CGGCAGTTCGTGAAGCATTGGGAGCTCAACGTATTGTACATACCGGAGACGTGCTGCCCCTTCCACTCCCTTCCCATCCTATAACTCATGCGCCACCACCCCCTGCGCGGATCTCATTCTGCGAGCCCGTTTCACAAGGCTTGCTGATGTCGACAACAAAGATTGTGCTTGTCCAAGCTCGTGCTCAAGGACACCGCGCTCAACAAACTGTGCCTTCGAGATCTGCACTTCTGAAGCAGGTGGCTGAGGACGAAGCTGACGACACTTCTAACGAACAATTTTATTCTGCAGCCGAGGATAAGCCTGGCGAAAGTGGGACAGAGATGGAGGTAACATCAGTTGCCGAGGAGTCTGAAACAGAGGGCTCAGTAGGATCCATGAGTGACTCTTCGGATGATTCTCTTGAAGATATGATTTCCCTCAGTGCACCTGAACTACCCCAGCCACCGTCGGGGGTGATGTCTTCCATGACTTCGGCGACCCCTAGAGCAGGCGGTCGACGATCGGATGGCATCCATACCCCCGGATCTGTGGCATCGAATTTTACATCGGCTACCATGCGTCCTGGCCGTGGCGGAGGCAAAACCTTCAAGGTGGAAGGTCTTCTGCAACAAGTCCCAAATGAGGCTCTGCACCCCCGCCCTCGTGATGATGAAGACGTCGACTCCTTTGTCTTTGTAGATATCAGCACACTCGCCAAGATCGGATGCTTCTCTGGCGATTGGGTCAGAATCGAAGCCGCCGAAGAACCTCAGCTGAACATGTTCGCCTCGCTCAAATTTGGAAGCTTCAACGGCTCCCCGGAAGACTCAGGCGACTGGCGCCCAGTTAAGATCTTTGGCCTCTCCGGTCTTCCGTCATCTAAGCCGCGGTATGCCATTAATCACTCAGGGGAACGCCGGTCTAGTATTTCGCAACGTCAACCCACCCGCTTGACCCCTTCAGTTTTTGTTCCCCCGTTGCTTCTTGGTAATATCGAAAACCCGAAGTATCTGAGGATTTCTCCTATGACCTTCGCTACTCCTAATGGCTCTTCCAAGCCTGGAATTTTGCATCACATGAAGAACACTGCTGCCAAGAATCCACCTCTGGCGAAAGAGGTCACACTGCTCAAGGTTTCCACTCCTCTCTCGATGGACCGGGTCCTTCAACCCGCGCTATTTTCAGGACTTAAGCAGTACTTTGAGTCACGGCGGCGTATCCTCAAAAGTGGTGACCTGGTGGGAATTAGTGTGGATGAAGGACTTGGCAGAGCAGTGTTCTCTGGCGCCGCTGGCGGTGACAGTGCCAGTCAAGAGGAAGATATCACTATCCGGCTGGGTCAAGGTGTCAACGGAGAGAGGGTCGGAGCCCGCAAAATCGGCGTCGCTTGGTTCCGAGTCGGGCAGGTAGCCCCGACTTCTGTAGAAGAGCTGGAGGAGACAGGAGAAGATCAGTGGGGCGGGGTCGCTGTACTTGACCCGGCGACCACGCGCATGGTACAGGCTGGAAGCGACGTGAGCCGAGTTCCCGGAGTTTTGGGCAACGGGTGGGAATATTGGCTGGGCGTCAAGACAATCCCGAAGAGCATCCATGATGCCCCAATGCCTCATGGCATTATTGCCGAACCACCTCAGTCATTTATCCCATCATTGCAACAACGAATCCGGGATTTGATATCTGCTGCCACAAGCCCGCGGGCCATCCAACTTGGAATGAAGCCTGTCTTTATTCTCCTCAGATCTCAACAAAGACATATCGGCAAGGCAACCATCGCAACTCGAGCGTGCTCGGATATCGGCCTCCACACATTCCCCATCGATGCATACGACATCTTGACAGAAGGCGGCGCGAATGGAGGCGATGTCAAAACAGAAGCATATCTCAAAGCGCGAGCAGAGCGGGCTTTCCACTGCGGAGCAAACTGTACCGCACTGCTGATCAGGCATATCGAGGTTCTAACCGCTGATCGCATTGTCACGGCAATGGCCGATATCTTAAATGACGCCAGGGTTGTCATTGCCACCACCACCGATGTCGAGACTATCCCGGAAGGTATTCGCAGCCTCATCACCCATGAATTCGAGATGGGTGCCCCAGAAGAGAAAGAACGTGAAGGCATTCTGCAGAATGCTGTCGCAGAGCGCAGTATTAGACTGTCTGCGGACGTGGAACTTGGCTCCATTGCTTTGAAGACTGCAGCTCTAGTCGCAGGAGATCTGGTTGACGTTGTGGAACGAGCTGCTGGGGCGAGACAAGCCCGCCTCGAAAGTCTAGCCGAGGCTAGCAAGAAGCTTTCTGGCTCGGAGGTCTTTGTTAGGGACATCCTGCTGGCAGGAGGCGACGGTGCCCGAGGTGTCACCAAGGCAGACTTTGACACTGCTGTGGAAGCCGCGCGGAAGAACTTTGCCGATTCGATCGGTGCACCCAAGATTCCAAACGTCGGCTGGGATGATGTTGGTGGATTGACCAATGTTAAGGATGCCTTGGTCGAGACTATTCAGCTACCTCTAGAACGGCCCGAGCTCTTCGCCAAGGGCATGAAGAAGCGCAGTGGTATCTTGTTCTATGGCCCACCCGGCACCGGCAAGACCCTGCTTGCCAAGGCCATTGCCACTGAATTCTCTCTCAACTTCTTCTCCGTCAAGGGCCCCGAACTGCTTAATATGTACATTGGTGAATCCGAGGCGAACGTGCGCCGGGTATTCCAGCGTGCTCGGGATGCTCGTCCCTGTGTTGTGTTCTTTGATGAGCTGGATTCTGTTGCGCCCAAGCGTGGTAACCAGGGAGACAGCGGTGGTGTTATGGATCGTATTGTTAGTCAGCTGCTTGCAGAGCTGGATGGAATGAACGGCGGCGAGGAGAATAGCGGTGGAGTTTTTGTCATTGGTGCAACTAACCGTCCCGATCTGCTCGACACTGCACTTCTCCGCCCCGGCCGCTTCGACAAGATGCTCTATCTGGGGGTGTCAGATACACACAGGAAGCAGGCGACTATTCTTGAGGCTCTGACTCGGAAATTCGCTCTTAACCCCGATGTCTCGCTTGACCGCGTAGCGGAACAGCTTCCTTTGACCTATACCGGTGCTGATCTGTATGCACTCTGCTCTGATGCCATGCTAAAAGCCATCACCCGAAAGGCTACCGCGGTCGATGACAAGATCAAGACTCTGCCAAATGGTCCTGTCAGCACTGCTTGGTTCTTTGACCATATTGCCACGAAGGAGGATGTGAATGTGACGGTAACCGAGGAGGATTTCTTATCTGCTCAAGGAGAGCTTGTGCCAAGTGTTAGGTATGTCCACTCCACTTCCCGTCCCACCCTACTTCTTGTCTCCTCTCAATAACATGCTGTGATACTGACTCTTCGCAGTGCCAAGGAGCTCGAACATTTCGAGCGCATCCGCCAAACCTTCGAAGCCGTGGACAAGTCAAAGCAAGACCCCGCTGCTGCCGCGCCACAGACAATCGCAGAGGCAATGGAGGCATTCAACTTGGGCGGCTCGGTCACACTCGGAGAGTCGCCGGCCACGAATGGTGAGAGCCACGGAGCTGGAAGTATTCATGGTCGTATCAAAGGCCTGAACAAATGGCCAGGCAACATTGTTCGCAGCCCCAGCGGCCAGTCAACTACCAGTAGTAAAGGCAAAGGAAAGAGCGTCAGCAAGAAAGGAAAGGGATCTCGCACTGGTGCGGAATCTGATGGATCTGTTGATGGCGACGATGAGGATATGGTAGATGGCGCCAATGCCAATGAGGCCGAAGACGAGGATGATTACGTCGTTCGCACTGATCACTTGAGGAACCCCATGGAGGAGGTTGAATAGAAGGTCTGGTACAGACATAGATTTTCACATACCGGCACCTTTCAGCTGGCCGACCAGCTGGCCTTTGTATCTACTAGCTGATTTGATAAACCAATTGTTTATATGTACATTTTTAACTTTTTCTTTTTCGCTATGAGGATTTGCTCTATTGTTGATGCTCTGTATCGTCGCACTTTTCGTGCGCAATCTGACTCCTTGATCATCGAGCACATTCGGAGTGCCTTGGGTCATGGGCAACCATGTACCGTGCACGAGAAGACCTGCATGCACTGGCGCATGCAATTCTGCGACTGGAATTTGAATTTGATGGAGATGTGAGGACTCATTGGTACTTTTGAGAAATTTTAGCATATACTGCAGCCAATCTTATGTCTAGTGTCCTTGAATCAATAGATTCTGGTTATGTCTCGGTAAGAGATCTTGCCAACCTTTGTTAACAAGTTGTCACTATTGTTTGTTAGTGACAGCAGATTCTCTTTGGATTGACATTCAAACAGTAAGCTCACTTTGAGCTCATTCTATATTCGACGTTCCTGGCCATTATTTCGAGAAGCGCATAGAGCTGGGTTCCTTGGGGTCCATTCTCATGGGAGCAGCTCAATGACAGCCCCAAACCATCAGGTCTATTCTCGCAATAACCAAGCCGAGGATCTCTCTTGGCAATTCTAAGCTTCTTCGACCGTGCAACTCATTTGCCTCATGTATAGTATCTTAATCAGATCAGAGTGGGAGTAGACATGGCACGGCGGCGCAGGATGACCTCTGGCTCGGTTTGTCCATGATTTCACTGAAAGTCCTGTGATTAAGATAGTGCGTCGTAAAAGTAATGCTCTGCTTCCCACTACGTTTGTCGTGTCAGCCAATCTCGTCCTTTCTACTTTGGCCTCACTCCAGATTGGGAGGTTTGTGTCTCTATCCTCCCAGCTCTTCTCTTCCCTCTTCCCTCTTCCCACGTTTTCTCTCCACATCCTTCTTCCCAACCTGTCCTCGTCGACTTTTTATCCTTCTCAACCCTAAAGGTTGGTTCTCATCTACATAGGGAGCGTTTATCACATCCACTGACATGGCATGGCACTGATAGGCTTTTTTTCCATTCGTTCACCGGACGCGTGTCTCCAAAGGCTTTTCTTATTGCCGTCTCTCCAACACATTTGACCCTGCATTTTTGCGTGATATACCTTCTCTCCCGCCAGAATGAATATCACGCTAAATGAGGAGCAGCTGTCCAAGGGACGAGCTCTTGCCAACCGCTGGAAGCCCGCAAAGTTGCTAAGAATCCTTGCAAAAAACCCCCGTACCATACAAAATGGAACCCTCGATTTTGAAGAGGGACATATGCCACAGGTCCTCAGATTCAAGGAACAGGATACGAAAGGCTTGGGTAATTTGAAATGTCTTCCGAACGAAATCGTGGACATGATTGTCGACAGATTGAATATGCCTAGTGCTATAAGTCTGTCATACGTCAACCGCGCTGCCAATTTCTTTGTTGGGAAAAGCCCCGTGCCATTTCTGAGGCGCTGGGCTCCTGGCCTGCCGAAGCTTCTTAAACAAACCCAGATCGATAAGATTTGGACCATTCGTGAGCTCAAAGACGCAATTCGCCGTGAAAAGTGCGTGGTATGTGGCGACTTGTGTGTCCAACTCTATCTTCCGACGATGGAACGAATCTGCCATCCATGTATGCACGACAACCATGCATACTGGTGCCTCCCCGTGGAACAGGCGGCCTTGATTTTCGGCCTTGACCTGCCCGATGTCATTGATCATCAAACCATGTACCTGCCGAGGCTGAGCAGGGATGGCTGTGATTTGGGAGATCTTAGTGCCTGGGTTGTTCCTGTCAAAGTGGCGCTGACCAGGGCCCTGGAGCTGTATGGCACCCGCAAGGCTATTAAGCGCGCTGCAGAAGGCCTCCTGTCAGGTATTGACGAATCTGAGGAAGATGACACCTCTGAGGACGATGAATTTGTGGTTGAAAATCAGCATGACGTTTATCGCGCTGCTTCGTTGTCCACCCATTCAGCCCCACTGCGTTCGCTTGGCTTATTAGAAAGGCAGCAAATGCATATTTACCATCATGACGTTACCTGTCAGGTGCCCGTTGTCCCTTACGGGAGTACACGCAAAATTCTTCAGCTGTGCCGTGGTTGCACTGCCATGCTCACACACACCAGACTAAAAGACATCGAGGATAGCCATATGAGGATGATGGGGCTTGACCCTAAGCTCGACAGGTTTGAACGAGCGTTTAAGATCTACCGTCGCGCTTTTCGCGTGCGGACTGAGGCCGAGATGGTTGAGCATGTTCGAACCGAGTGCGTCGGGGGTTGGACCCTGATCTGTGCTGAGCATCGGAATGAAGAGACATAGGTGGATTTATGGTCCTGGATGGAAGACGTGATGCTAGTCAGCCATCTCCAGAGCACTTGTGATGGACATGGGGAAGGAACAGTGGGTCAAGGGGGGGCGCTCTCGGGGTTGTCCAACTAGCTGCGTTCGTTGAAACCAGCGATAACCCGCCATTTAATCAGTCCAAGGTCAGAAATTTTGAGAATTTGAATTTCCACATACGATCTGTGGGTTGGAGGTTGGGAGTGTGAATAATGTATGTATTTTGTGCATCGCAGAGCAATGGCAACTTTGGTTCTCTTTGTACGGAGTATGTGCTGAAGCTTTCGATTCTCATTAATCTTTTTCCTTTTCGCTTTATCTCCCGGAAAAGTACGTGCTTTCTGAGTGGAGTATAGTCCAGCCCTCAACATTGAAGGATTACTAGCGAATCCTTCGAAACGGCCCCCGGGGACATCCATGTCTTGGTTGGGTTTCGGACTGAAATTAAGACTAGACCTAATTGGGCATGGCATTCTTCACATAGTAAAAAAGTCCTGGAGCCTACAATATATATGTCCGCAGTTCTTCGTAACCTATCGTTTACAAAGAAGTGGAGTCGATTTTAATGGGGGTTGACTGTGAAAATACCTTGACGAAGCAAATAAGTACCCTCCAAGTAGCTAGGATCAAGGCTCAAGTCCGGAATGTCTTCCACGTTTGCCTCAGCGGATACTGATGATTGAACATATGGACAAGGGGATTCCACTCGGTGAAGGCGATATCTTGACATAGGTGTATTTGTCTCCAGAGATAGGGAAGCCCGCCCTATTTACGGCCCACCGCTCCACAGTCAAACTTATCACCTCGGCTTAATTTATAAACAGAGAGGCCGTACGGAGAATAAACCTGGAGTTGAGCCAGTTTGAGTCAAGTCAGTATCAGCCAAGCCTTTGAGCATAATATATGTTCATTTATCACGCACATCACACTATGCATCCTTGAATTTATCCGTCCCTCAAGGCTCATCCATTTCCTTCCCCGTACCATGTGGGTCTCCGATGCCATACCTGACCAATAAGCTATCGACTAGTGCACAAGCTCTGGGGCTGCCGCCGCAAGCCATGGATCGGCAGTCCACGAATATCCAAGGATCAACAAGGCCTCGATGATCGCGTGGCTTCCAGAGACTGTGACTGGCTGAAATCGCCGGTCTCGGTCCGCCGCACCAGTCACAGACACGGCCGGTTATCGTCTCTCGTTGTCAATACCCCAAATTAGTTACATAACACTTCTCCGTACTCGGTTCCCCCGCGTCTGGAGAAGTAGAGATTGGAAAGATTCGGGCTGTCGTCATTCCACTCGGGATTTTAAGAGATGGCCGTTCCTCCTTCACCTTTTGCTTTTCTCTCACATAGCAATTGCCATGGACAAAGAGGAATACAATCATGACGATGCTCAGCTGGCCCAGATGGGCCATAAGTCTGAGCTCAAGCGAAACTTCTCATTGATGTATGTGCTGCAATTGAACTTGGATTCTAGTGGGCTAATCTCTTATATTTGTTCCTAAAGCTCGATGCTGGGTCTTGCTTTTGCCATTCTCAATGTACGTGATGCGATTGACATACCAAACTCCCATAAGAATCAGCAATTAACACTAGATAGTCATGGACTGCTCTGTCGGCAAGTTTGTCACTCAGTTTGCCCTCGGGAGGCAGTACTAGTATTGTATGGGGTATGTGTCCACTCTGCTCTCGGTCCAATTCTCGAATTCCAGAGCTGACATGAGTTCCCAATAGGTCTCGTTACAGCAGGAATCTGTAATTTGTGCATGGCCACCTCCCTAGCCGAGTTCCTTTCTGCGTACCCCACAGCCGGAGGACAATACCATTGGGTTGCTGTGACCTCATGGAGAAAATGGGTGCCCATTCTTTCCTGGATTACAGGGTGGGTCAACTGCTCTGGCTGGGTTGCGCTGGTCGCAACTGGTGGTCTATTGGGCAGTCAACTCGTCATGGGTGTCATTTCTCTCATGAACCCGGTATGTTGTTCTAGGCCGCAGCATTAATATACTTGGCTGACTTTCAAATCCAGAGCTATAACCCCCAGCGCTGGCACCAATTCCTGATCTATATCGGCTACAACATCGTGGCCTTCCTCATCAACGCCTTTATGAACAACGTCCTGCCTTACGTTACCAAGGGCGCTTGTGAGATACCTTGCACCAATCTGTCAGAGGATTCATACTAATTCTCCCAGTCACCTGGTCTTTGACAGGATTTACCATCATCTGCATTACTGTACTTGCATGTGCTTCACCAGATTATAACTCTGCAGAGTATGTGTCTGGCCGATCATTTCTAGAGCTAAAAGACTGACCAACAGCAGATTTGTGTTCACGGATTTCATCAATACAACAGGATGTAAGTTCCTATGGTCGTGATCTTATGTTTCTTGAACTGACTCTTGTAGGGCCTGATGGAGTGGCATGGTTGCTTGGGGTATGTCGTTTGATACCAAAATTAATGAGTAAATCTAACATATTCATAGCTTCTGCAAGGTGGTCTTGGTGTTACTGGCTTTGATGGTGTCGCCCACATGATCGAAGGTAGCTTCCAGGAGTTTGCATTTAATTATTGATTTGAGGCTAACAGACTATAGAAATCCCCAACCCCTCGGTTGAGGGACCTAAGATCATGATTGCTTGTGTTTGTATCGGTACCGTCACTGGAACAATTTTCCTTGTTGTACTGCTCTTCGTGGCTGGCGATATCAACAAAATCATCGATTCTGCGGCGACTCCGCTCCTTGCGATCTTGAAGAACGCCACTTCGAGCAATGCAGGTGCTATCTGTCTCTTGATGTAGGCTTCATTACTCTTCCGCCGTGTTCTTGTTGTGCTGACACTCTCTCTAGCTTCCCCCTGGTCTGTGCTCTGTTTGCTGCAACCGCTATCATGACCACTAGCAGTCGCATGATCTATGCCTTCGCCCGGTACGTTATTATGTTGGTTTCATTTTTCAGCCTGACCCATCATGCTGATAGTTACTATAGTGATGGCGGTCTCCCTGCCTCTCCGTTCTTCTCTCGCGTTCATCCAAAGCTACAGGTTCCTTTGAACTCGCTATATCTCAACTTGGCTCTCGTGATCATCTTTGGTTGTATCTTCTTGGGCTCTACCAGGTAAGAATACACATAATGCTTTACTCTGGTTAATGCTAACTTCTCCAAGCGCTTTCAATGCTATTGTCTCAGCATCAGTGGTTTTGCTCGGTATCTCATATGGAATTCCAATTGCAGTGAACTGCTGTCGAGGAAGGAGGATGCTTCCCGAGCGCTCATTCAAACTGCCGGAAATTGTTGGCTGGACCCTTAACATCGTAAGAGACCCGCTCCTGCAGCTTTGGGGAAACAAGTACTTTACTGACTCAAAATCTCTCAGATCTCGTTGGCATACATTTCCCTGACTACTATCCTGTTTCTTTTCCCCCTGAGTTGCCTGCCACTGGTAGCAGCATGAGTGAGTTGACTTTGTCTTTTTGATGCGAAAGTATAAAGCTAATGTGATGTAACAGATTACTGTGTTGCAGCTTTTGGTATTGTTTTCATCATTTCCACCATCCAGTGGATTGTAGATGGACGCAAGAATTTCGTCGGTCCCCGCATCCAGGTGGAAGTTTTCAATGGAGAGATCGGTACTCAGCCAGAGCAGCCAATTCCATTCGTCGAACGGCATAAGGATTAGATATCCTGCTTTGAAATGATGAACTATCCCATAGAATGTCACTAAGTAGCGCAAAAACTAGATTTTTCAGATATATTTGCTCGCAATGCAGGCATATGTAATACGTTGCAAAATGATACAGCTCCCCATACTCTACTTGACACTCTTCTGCCTTGTGTTATCCAGTTGTGATTTCCCACGAGAAGGTTGCTTTTGCATCTTCCCGAAGTAAGCGGAATAGGAGTAGCAACTGAGGTCGTCGCTTCCAGATTCATCATTCATCATGTGATCAGATTGATAAACCAAAAGTTCCTACGTCATACCAACTTACGATGCACTTACGATGCACGTGACGGCTTCCCAACAATCCCATCCAAACGACTACACACGGCCTCACTCATTGCCACTATGTTTACTGTTAGGTGGCCATCATTGCCGTCGCTAGGATTATTTTCATCCTCGCCCACCCAAGCGATTGATCTACCACCGGTTAATGTCCATGAAACCGAGACAGCTCAAGACAAGCCGGCCCGGGCATTGAAGCACTTACTGAAATTGAACCATGTCGAGAACTCGCTGTTCGACCGTCAGAACTTTCCTAATCAGCTAATGCATGTGAGTAATTTGCATTGTCTCGGTAACAAGAGCTTGTTATGTATGCATTCCTCATCATAAGTCCATGACATTGACCTGCTCGCAGCTCTTAAGCTCCTCCTTTCTGCAAGGTGCAGACGCCGATAATTTAGGTCGGTTGTATGAGAAGGAAGTGTCTAATCTGGTGAAATGGAAAGAATCGCCGGCAGAAATCACTACTCTCGACTGGCGAGGCCACCTGGGATGCCGAGGGTGGGTTTCTGAGCTTGTCTCAGCCGTTCTTTCTCTTGGGACTCCTCGCTAATTTAAAACAGATATGATCGAGCTTTCGTGGACTTCTTTGAAGACGAAATGGTCAACCTTAACTATGACTGGAAGGAAGTTGTGGCCGAGTACTTATTTACCGGGAAAGAGCCCATGTTTGATTCTATAATGGCTTCTCGTATGTTTTCATTTTCCTTGAGGAGAAAGCGTGCTTGGAATTGCGCCCACTAACTATTTATCTAGTCGGATTGCCATTGATCCATCTTGCGTACGCCTTTGAATTGGACAGTCGTGAAATCGCAATGGAAGCACTTGGTCTTGCAGCAACCTGCCATAATGGCATATACAAGTCCTTGGAGGACCCTAAGAACTCCAAAAACGAGGCTACATATGAATTAAAGTCACTTTTTGCAATTCTTGATCTAGTCCGGAAAGATGAGGGCTTGGATGGTCTTTTTTCCACTCCTGGCAGCGACAATCTCAGTACCCTTTTTGTCAGTCGCAACGCCGTGCTTCTCAATCACTGGAAGGCGTGGAAGATCGAGAATCCAGTCGAGCAGTTCCGCGAAAGCCAAGAGCTTGCAGCTGCCTTGCTCGTTGGAACAGCAGTTGATTCGACTGGGCATTACGATTGGTTCTTCGCTTTGAACCTCGCAACCAGCCACGCTGTCCGTGTCGTGCTGCCGTTCATTCCTCCCCAGTTCCAAATCTATCTTCTTCGACAATGGTGGCTAATCTGCATTGGTATCTACGTCGCGCAACTGCGGCCTGAGATCAAAATGGATCAGATTCGGAATTATGAACTGAATGGAAAGGACTGGGAATGGGTTGCCCAGAAAGCTGTCAATGGTGAATTCTCATCAGATGTGTACTTTGTCACGACCACCCGAGCACTGAAGGGACTGGCCTCGACATGGGGCGATGCAGACAGCTTCTTCTTGAAGGCTGCTGTACGATTTGCGACTGAGTTCAAGGGTTGGCGAGGTAACTTTGTCGGATATGAGCTGTAGATTTTTATTTTTATCATTTTGACTCCACTCAGCCCAAATATATGAACGATTTAATGGATAATTGAAATACATTGAGTGATGAATGTTCCCTACGACCTTGGAAGAAAAGTAAAATGCTCTCGCTGTACAATTATATGTAGTCATGTGACTGCAACGCTGTTTGCACTGTTTACACCACAGAAACACCAGTACGAGATGATCGATATCACCACACATCCACCAATCTCCTTTAAGCACAACATGCTTCTTGTGACCTTAAACATTCATAACTCCCATGACAGTGTGCTTGCTAGATAAATACCTAGTCTTCCTAACCTCTTCCCCGTTTTCCTTCCCCCCCCAGGAGCATCAAACATCTGAGTTATCGAACACCATCGCTCTGCCTGGGCTTAATACGTGTGTGCACAACTTCCACAATGCAAGATAGCGATATACCCCTCTATCTCCATGCAGAATTCCTACCAAACATCCGCCAGATAACCCTTTATGTCTCCCTTCCCGGGACTGCGCTATTTGATGGAATCCGACCAGATATCCAACTCTCGGAATCAAGAAAAGCAGTCACAGTTTCCCTATCGAAGCCATTTGAACATGTCACGGAAACAATTAAACTGCCAGCACGCGTTAATGACGCGTCTCGGCGCGTGTTGAAATCAATTTCTGGTCCCGCACCAAAATCCAATCCCAATGGCGCCGGGGATCCCAGCTTTGATTTTTCTTTCCGCATGCAGGTTGATTCTGACGAAGAGGCGCTGGCGCCACGAGATGAACTAATCGATGAGTTTGCACCCTGGACAGCAGAAGAGATGTCGGCCTTGACTCGTATTCGTTGTCGAGAGTGCGAACATGCTTTCCTTGGTTCGTCATCAATATCCGAGTCGGTTGATCCGGGAGTAGGTGAAAGTCCTACCGCAGGATGGATCTGGAAAGACCTTCCAAGTGGCAACTGGGCTGAAATGATGGATTTCTGGCATTGTCACAAACCCGACCCCCATGAAGGGCACGAAAAGGATGAGAAAGACTCTGCGCTCCAGGTCGAGGATCAAACGGCGCAGACTAAAGGATATGGTGCGGATAGTCACGTTGTGGCTATTTCCGGAACAGTCTTTATCGATGTTGCCACTTTCCTTCTGGCTGAGACAGACTGCGCAGGATTAAAAAAGGTACGATTCTATATCCCTCCCTTCTTTCTCATCATTTCATCTTGCGTTCTATCCCTCAGGACCGGGCAACTTAGAAGGGGACCACTCATTTTTCAGTGGGGTGGCCTCCGATACAATTGCCCAAGATGGACGAAATGCATTTTGTGTACTTGCAATCCAAGGCGAAGGTGGTTCTCTCACGGGAACAGGATCACGGACAAGATGGGTAGTCATCCTCTCCCCGCAGATGGATTTCGCTCTTTGCGTTTGCGAGAATGGACTTGTGGGGACCGCCTTCACCCTGTTTTGTGACTCAAGGTGTTCTCTCTTTTCAGCGCCAGCTATTCGAGCAGTGGAGCGGGCGTGATTACGAGAGGTACATTATATTATTCTCCTTGCGTCATGTAATATGGGCAGTATCTATATAGCTGTGAGCTTGAATGCAATGCCTTTTTCTTCCTTTGCTTTTCAGTATTTTGTTCGGCGCTATAGTCACAGTTCCCATTACAATTACAATTTGCTAACAAGCGATACATTTCAGGGCGATGACGAAGAGAAAAAATCCAACATGGAAGTCTCAGCGCCACGAACCCTCGACTGCGCAAACTGCAATTCCATAATCGGCATGGAAGATCCAATTGCCAAGGGATGGCGACTCTTGAAGGCCAACGTATCTCTGAATACCGGTTCACCCAGTTGTGGTGCAGACATTGCAGACTGGGAGGTTCACCCAACAGAAACCATCGTTGCTGCACAGTTACTTGAGTTGATCGAGAGAGAAAGTGCTCGACGGTTTGTCGTCCATTGTGGCCAGAAGAGCGGTCTCGTGGTAGGTGGCATTCCATTCCACTCCAATCACCTCTGAATTTGATGCATTGCAGAGAGAAAAATCTACAGATGACACTCGCTAACGCATATTGTGCCTGGAAGCTTTGGGTTTTCAATCCAGATATGCGATACTCGAATTCTAGCGCCGGCTGTACTATTATGGCTCAGCAAGCGATGAAAGTATTCTACCAAAAGACCCCTGATGTGGATGAGCTGCTTCATCCAGAAATTGGGAATCCCTCGCCTTTGTCGGTGGAAGAATTGGAGTTGCCATCTATGATATTCGACGCAATGTCGCAAGCATTGACTAGGAGTAACAAAATGCTCCCGTTCTCCGCTAGGCAGTTTAACGAATGGGATGTCGGGCTTTTGAGTCGTTTTAGGCGCGAGAAAGCCTGAATGGTTGGTGCTTTTAAATGACACAAAATAGGAAAGCCTACGGAGTGCATGCACCACATCGACGCTGATAATGCAAGGATGGAAATCAAATCATTCTTTGTTATTCTTTTCTTCTCAATTTGGGAGTTGAGATTATCGTAGCTACGTGCCATTATAAATTTGAAGGCTTCCAGCGCCCCCTCTAACCATCAAAGGGTGTCTCAAAGGGAGGCTCAGCCTGGGGTGTGAGACGAGCGAGGTGTCGGCGCTGGCCATCTTCCCAATCGAAGACGGCAGAGTGGCATGCCACACGGTTCTGCGAAGATCAGCGTCTTTTCTCATATTTGAAGAACAGGTAGGCACTATAACTTACATCCCAGACGACGACGGTGCCAGCCTTCCAGCGAATACGAGCCTGAACGTCTTGCGACAAGGCGATGTGGTCGTATAGGAACTTGAGGAGGTGGTCTGATTCTTCTTTCTTGTATCCAACAATGTAACGGGTGACTATACAACAACACGACATGTCAGCTTTCCAGATGCTTCGTCAAATATGTTGCCCTAGACTTACACTGAGGGTTCACATAAAGTGCCTTCTCACCAGTCACCGGGTGAGTCCGGACAATGGGGTGCTCCGATGTGATAGGATCACGGCGGGCAATACCACCGCTATTCAAACTAGCATTGATCTGCTCGAGGCCGGAGTGTACGGCCTTCAACCCGTGGAGTCGTTCCCGGAAACCAGGCGACAAGCGCTTATATGCCTGGACCATGTCGGCGAACAGAGTATCACCACCTGTGGTTGGGCCATCGAGCACATATAAGAAAGTCGTGCCGGGGGCTGCTTCTCAAAGGTGACATCGGAGTGCCATGTGATAGTATTTGTGCGCTGCTTCAGGAATTCATCGCCGGTACGGTCATCAGCACCGCGGAAGACAAGGTGAATCTCTGGGAAGCCCTTGGGGGCCCCAGAGGTCTGGTGGATGTGGTGTCGGCCAAAGTATCCGGCATAGTCGACGGCCTCTTGAATCGGGCGGGATGCAAAGTCTTGGTCGCGGAACGCTGTTTGTATTTGTTAGACTCGTGCGTAGGAGGGGGGTAGAGGTGAGAGGAATCTCCTCGATCACGCACCGACGACTCGTCGCTGTGCAACATATAGGGCCAATTGATCCTTTCCCTTGTCAGACAGTTGGCTTAGTTGCACGCCATGGACCTCAGAGCCAATGAAGGGTGTGATCTCATCGACCTCGACTTGGCCCTGAGGCAGCAGGTCTGGGAAAGAGGCATCGGCATCTTTGCCATGGTCATAGTGCTCGAAGTGCTGCAGAGGAGGATATCTGGGGATCTATCAGATATGACATTCGTGGTGATGCGGACGACAATGGGCTGTAACATCAACATACCTTTCTGTCTCGTTATCCCAAACGGGCAGATAATCCGGGTAAGACACCGGAGGGAGCTTGTCTGTGCCTTTAATCTCGCGCTCCTTTTCGATCTTGTATCCAATCAAGTTTTCCTTGTTGTGTCCACCGTCCGACTTCAGCGAAGTCGCAACCGGCGGGGCCCGCAGAGCCACTGTCTCGGTGAGGGAGGGAGCCATGTTATTGAAATTGAGATTCAGATTGAGATACAGAGTGTATATTTCCTCGGTATATGTGTTGTCTCGTGTGGGTTAACGCCGGTATATAAATCAACCATAAATTGCGCCATCATTGCGGGGAGTTGCGGTACCTGGATGGCCTTCGACTGTTCCGTGATCTTCGCGAGCGAGCCGACGAGCCTGCGGGGTTTAGGCGAGGACTTATAGTATATCGCATGTATATAATCTGCCCATCTCGGTAGATTTCAGATATCCCCTGCTGGTTCACATTGGCCGGGAATGACGCGATAGATGGCGTGCGCTCACTAACAATCGCCGTGATTTGAGAAAGTACCTGGATACGATTCTCCCATCCACTATGGCGTGATAGACTCGAGATTTTGATGTCTATGTATCATCTAATCATTCGAATGTTACGGAGTAGATTATCCATGGATGTTCAATGAATTGCTACGGAGTACAATTAGATGGTCACTCTAACCTATTGTATGCCAAGACACGGTTGAGATAGCAGTGCTTCCCTACCCCAGACTTGTACTTTGGATCAATTTTCATCCAAAACAAGATTCTGCAAAATACCCCTGCTAGTTTGAGCTTCGTCGACTCGTGGACTCTAACGTCACTCCCACTGCACTTGCGTGATTGCAGCCAAGCCAGCACCCTACTGGACATCCGTCGGCTCGTCGTCTCTCGAATACCAATCACCAGTTATCTGAGATCTTGTCTTTCGAGGGAGATGTTGCTCAACAAGATCCCCGATCTCACAGAAAGCTCTCCCGACGTCGAGTCAAGGTCTCCCCAAGATAACCTATTCAAATACGTTGTGCACCATCGGGGTGCGATGTTGCAATTAGCACTCTAAATCATTCATGCACATCATAATCGGAAGTCCCACACCGTTCTGCATCAAGATTATGTCTTTAACCTTTGGTCTGGTCCACACAGGTAGAGGCCAAAGCGAGGCAGATAGAAGATATGGCGTGATAAGCAAACGTCAATGTCGCCTTGCTGCCTTTATATGAGTTAATGCCCGTCCAACCCCAGGACAGCCTCTCTGGTTTTGTTCATAATCATAATAACAATCCCGGATACTGCGAGATGACGGTTGAAGAAGCCAATAAGAAGGCGTCCGATGCCGAGAGCATTGACTTGAAGGCTCCCCCAAGAGTCTCATCCGCCGAGTCTTCGTCTTCGTCGACCTTTGACGGTCCTCGCGCCAAGCAGACCGACTGTGCTTTTGATACGACTGAGGACCCACGGTTCTATAAGCCTATTCCTGAATATGAGGGTGCCCATCGCTGGGACCCGGACTTTGAGTGGTCGGAGCAAGAAGAGAAAGCCGTTGTCAGAAAGGTATGAGTTACTGAGAAGAGTATGTATTGCCTTCAGAGTGACTAATCCATTCCGCAGATCGATTGGCGTGTCTGTACATTTGCCTGTGTGACTTTCTTTGCGCTCCAGCTAGACCGTGGAAATATCGTCCAAGCTACGTCCGACAACATGCTGGATGATCTTGGCATGACCACGAACGACTACAACACTGGTCAAACAATTTTCTACCTGACATTTCTCTTCGCCGAGCTACCCTCTCAGCTAATATCGAAATGGGTCGGCCCTGATCGCTGGATTCCTGTGCAAATGATAAGCTGGAGTCTCATCGCTTCGTGCCAGGCATTTATCCAGAATAAGAATGGATTCTGGGCGACCCGGGCTATGCTCGGTCTCCTCGAGGGTGGCTTTATTCCAGATACCATTCTCTTCCTATCATTTTGGTATAAATCCAAGGAGTTGCCTATCCGACTCAGCTTCTTCTGGATGACATATGAAGCTACCGCGATTATCAGCGCTTTCCTGGCTTTTGGATTTCTCCATATTCGTCAATCCGATGGCACCGGTGGCTGGCGATACCTATTTGCCTTAGAGGGGTTGATCACGGGTCTGATCGGTATTGTCGCCGCATTCTGGATGCCTCCCTCGCCAACGCAGACCGCAGGCCGGTTCCGCGGGAAGAATGGCTGGTTCAATGAGCACGAGGAGAAAATTATGGTTAACCGCGTGCTGCGCGATGACCCAAGCAAGGGTACCATGCACAATCGTCAAGCTGTTACTCCCAGGCTGCTTTGGCAGGCCCTGAAGGACTACGACATGTGGCTCATCTATCTACTTGGCCTGACTTGGTTGATCCCTTCGACACCAGCTACATCATACATCAGTCTGGAACTCAAGTCACTTGGTTTCAGTACTTTCAACACAAACCTGCTCACTATCCCGGCCTATGTGATCTTCATCATCAATCTGCTAGTGTGGACGTGGATGTCGGAGCGGTTTAACCAGCGATTGTTGCTTGGTGTTGGTGCCGAGCTTTGGGCTCTGATCCTATTGATCGCGCTGGAGACTATTTCTGAAGGTGCTAGTGCGTGGGTACGTTGGGTTCTGCTGATCCTGCTGATTGGTATGCCTTACGTGCATGCCATCATTGTTGCAATTACGTCGCGCAATGCAGGCTCTGTGAGAACGCGTACGGTTGCTACTGCCGTCTACAATATGATGGTGCAGGCTAGTAACATCATTGGTAACAACGTGAGTTCTTGTTCCGTTTCCCTGTGTGCTAGAGTTAGATTGACTGACCATCATGTCCAGGTCTACCGCACCGAAGATAAGCCGTACTACCACACCGGCAATAAGGCCCTGATTGGCCTTGCGGTGTGGAGTATGGCGATATTCATCATTGCCAAGATCTACTACGTGAGACGTAACAAGTATGTTGAACTGTGCACTCCGATGGATTGTGTTTGCTAACGTTTGCCACTAGACAAAATGCCGCTATCTGGGATAAGATGTCCAGCGAAGAGCGTTCGCGATACGTCGTTGAAAACAAAGATTTAGGAAACAAGAGGTATGTCTTTGACGGGTTGTCTCTTGCTGTGCGACTAAGCGCTAATGACCACGCTCCAGGGTCGATTTCCGATTTTTGCACTAGAGCTCATGACTACATTGGCTGGCACATGTGGTTGAACTATAAAGATATCAGCGAGGTTTGAGAACATCAAGTAGAGCAAAATAATGAGCTGAGCTCATTCGCAGCAATTTCAAAATGTTCCTTACAGAATATTTCAAAGCGAGTATATATATCGAGTTAAAAGACAAAAGTGATATCCTTCCTACTCTCCAATCACGTACTCACACCCCTCATTCCCAATCCAGACCTCGTGGAGTTTACCGGCAGGGACATCAACCCTTTCTCCAGCTCCAAATGTCTCTTTTTTAACTTCCCCATGATGCAACTTCGCATTATCATCCGGGTAAGTGATTGTGAGAGATCCACGACGGATAAGATGTGTTGTTAAGCCGCTATGCGAGTGCGGGGAATAATGGGCGTTGCTGATGGGGGAGGTCAGCATCGGTATACTCGCAGATGAAAGACCGATTTGCTGGAACTCAATCGATTCTCCCATTTTGGCTGTATCATCAGGCGATACAGCCATGTACGTACCTTCCGTCTGTCCAGGTAAAGATATGTCGAAAACCCCACTCGCGGACGAGACGCTCGCTCTCGGTGCGTGTGCCGATTGGATACTTCTCCGTCATGACGGCTTGGCTTGGGATTTTCAGTGTCACAATCTTGCGAACGTAGACTAAAGTTGGAGGCTGGCTGATGCCGCATACCTATGTACGGATAACTGTCAAGTCACTCGGAACCTTTCCCTTTATCTTTTAGGACTTCTCTCTTGCCGCTTTAGAAAAACGAAAAACCGAGCTGGGTACGGAGTACAACTTGGCCTCGTTTGAACCTGATTTTTGTAAGGATACTACCAGAGGGAAGTGAGGGGTTATGTCTGACTCTGGAGAGTAGGCGAAGTCTGTTGTCAAAGACCTGTAACTAAGACCGCGTTGACACATATAAATGAACCTGGGGAGTCGTCTACATTGTAGATGTAGATGATGTCATAGAATGTCCCGATGGATCACGTGGGGCTACATACTTATTTTGTCCATATATTATATGCAGGTCAAAAGTACTTGAAAATGCCCCGATCTAGCGGGCGCTTCCAGACGATCTGATAAACTGGTGGACTCGGCCCGATGGTATAGGGAGCACCCGATTATATTTGTTAACACGCAGCTGGTGAAAAAAAAAGGCCAAAATGTCGTATCTCATGATCAGAAAACGCTAAAGAAAAGAGAGAAACAGAAAGACCATGGCAGAACTCCTCTGCAGCTTCTACCTAAGGTATACCCAGTATCAAATATGTGTGAGGTGTCAATGTTCAAGATGGTGGTAGGCCTTCCGTGTATGTTCGGACGTCTTGAACTTGTCCTCGAGATTCAAGGAGTCTCCATATGATTGGGAGAGGTTATGATGTGACAGAATCAGATCATGTCTGGAAATCAAGGGCACATACTACACACAGACTCTTGCGCCATGAGAGATGTGCAACTTGAGCGTATCATGCACAGGGTGTGTGACAGATGTGACAGTTTTTGCCTGGGATAACCCAAACTTCTTTCCCCTGCGCTTGGCAATTGGGGCAACGCACACCAGGCATCTTTTTGATAGTTAGTCTGTGACTTCATAAAGGGTGTGGGTGAATACCACATCTGTGATGCAGTATAGCAGTACAAACCTTGGTAGACGTGGTGGAGTTTGAACACACCGGCGCAGCACATTCGGAGGAAGTCATGATATCGGTAGGCGAGTAAAGGGTAGAGAGGGATATAGAGTTCTTTGCCGAAGCCCGAAGATAGTGTAGTTTAGATGTTTAGATTGCTCTTCGGTCGAAGGTGTGAAGACAGGGCCATGGGGAATAGGACGAGGGCCGTCCTTATAAGGCCCTGGAAAGCAAGGAAAGCAAAAGAAACAGAGAAGAATAGATCTAGTTCACACTAATCAAAAGTAAAGAAAGGAATCAAAGGAAATTAACCCAAAAAATAAAATAAAATAAAATAAAAACAAAAATCATCTCGAAATTAATATCAAAATATTAATACTAGCAGAGTCTCGGTTTGTTTCCCCCAATAAACAGCCAGTGACAAGTAGATACTCCTGACTGCACAGAGCTTCAAAAAAAAAAACGAGCCAAAACCGAAGTCGCTTCTGTACGCCACGAATCCACCAAGACCAATCACACCGTCTTCGGTACCTCCCGAGGTTTCCGGCCTTTGATGTTTGCTTTCTACATGAATATCGAAAGATCAGCAATTCAAGAGGATTAGAGAAAGGAAGTGCCTCGGTAACGTGCATCAATCCGATACTTCAAAGAAAAGGGGCTTTGATTGCAACTTTCAGTTGACGTATCAACCCCGGAACCCTAGGGCAGATCCAAGATGGGTCTAGTGTTCGGTCTTTGGGCATACCAGCATTGTGATTCGCCAACGGTATTCGACATGAGGTGCTCTCCAGTTTTGAAAACACGATCCGGCCCGATCATTGGCTTTATCGGAGTTGCCCGTTTGTTCAAAGGCATATTATCGCCATATCATGCATGCAAAATTTCATGGATGTGACGCTTGAACCCATGAGCCCATGAGCCCCTTCGCCCTGGAGGATCTATCAAAATTCCAAATACCCCAAACTACACTTGGGTCGCAGGATCTACTCTCTCCTCCGGAGTAAAAACCCTCCAAATTTGGTCTGAGAGTGCGATTCTTCATGCTGCGTGGAATTATCTTTGCCTACTTTGTCGGGGGAATTACCGGTCAACTTGACTTATCTGTTAAGTCTCCACTAGCAATGTCGATCAATCTGATGCATGTCGCTTGGCACGTTGATCGCTCTTCATGCTAAAACTTTCAATGTGAAGTCTCGTCTACCTCTACATGATCCCCACGATTGAGGCTATGGCTCGCAGCATGCAAGAATTTTTTTTGTTCGCCTATGTACTCCATACCGTCTGTGGATAGGCTCAAGTGTTGTAATGCTCAAGGCTGGACTACTACCCCACGTTGTTACGCATGTCTTGCCCACAATCATCTTTGATATCCTGATGGCTGTCAGATTCCGTCTTATCTGTCACCGCTACTCTTTCTCTTGGGGGATCCCATGATACCTATAAGCGAATAGTGATACTACCTACACATGCAGGTAAGATACTCACATACCAAAATCCAATCGAGGACCTTTCAGATATCCAAGTCGCAGATTGCGATGTGCATATCTGTACTTCAGCACTCTTCGAAAAACCGGTTTGGACTTCCTTCCACTATATTCCATACTCATGCGCGGCATTGGTATAATGCATATCATGCGGCTTATAATTGAATGATCTCGAAAGTACGGAGTACTACTCCGTACATGACACCAGCACGACAGCATATCAAGCACGGAGTAGGGACCCTAGGTACTCCGTGCATATGCATCCACTTCAGATCCCAATGGATCCGTCTAGCTCAAACAAGACATGATCTGCCCAAAGCTCGGTCCTCTTGCCCTTATTCAGACACCCGAGAAAGTATAAGGCTAATACGAGTGAGTTTTTCTTTTTCTACTGACAGCCAGCCGTCAACGAACGCAATGCGTCCACAATTTCGCACAACGCAGCCCGGAAGACTCAAACGGTTCAAATGCCCAAGTCCCCTGGTTTCTGTATGCCGTCGAATCCCTGAGGTCAGATATGCATGCCGACTGACATGATTGTATCCCACAATCGCGATCGATAATATGTAGCCTGTCGCTTTTGGTCATGTCAAAATGACTTTGTGATACACATGCCAAAGGACTTGTCACATTTACCAGATGCCAGAGCGCCTTTCTGCAACCTTTTTGTTCCTGATGCTCCCAATGTGGAAGTACGCTGTACGACATGCTGCCCAAAACCTGCCCAAAGACGAAGGGCGGTTCTGACGCCGTGTTTTTTGGAATGGCCTTTTGTTTTGGAAGACTCTCACAATTTGTTATGTAACTAATTATATGGGACTAACAGTTCTGAACACTGACGCAAACGCTTCGGTGATAACTCGTTCTAGGTATCTAAGTAAATCGCTTCACAATATTGACCAGCAAGATACCCCCAGTCTTCTCGCCGGTGCAGTCATGAAGATGAAGCAGTCGATGGCCCTCCCGTAGCCGGTCAAGCCGAATGCAAGCCCACGCAGCCAAGGTATCCCGACCGATCTCATCGTCCTTGATCTTGAACCTAAAAATTCGAAATCAGAATCGTGTCAGTGGTTTGTTTGTACTCCGTGCATAGTGCTTGCATCTTCGAAAGTGAAACGCATTATGGAGAAGTGTGCATGACAGTGGAGATGATGCTGAGGAAAGCCACAGGTTGCCCTGCTATGCCCAAGCCCAGACGATGCATCGTGTCCCCAAGGAGCAGCCGGGGAAGAAGCAAGTACCAAGCCCCGTCGTCATGCTTATGTGATCCGGGCAGGTGCATACGTTCTTTGGCGGATATCACAATGCAGGTTTTATGCCTGCATACTCGAGAACGAAAGGTAGAAAGGCAGCAAGGGGAAAGTTTGCGGAGCAAGGGAGGGGACAAAGGACGGGGTACATTAATCAATACAACGATGTAAGGAAGGAAGAGATCGAAGAGATCGAAGAGATCGAAGAGAAAGACTGACCGTAGGAAACTAAGCTCCTCAATTATCCCCGTCACGGTCGGGAACTCCAACTTCTGGGCGCCGAAGTCCGGGTTACGGCCCGATGAACTCTTCGTGCACCGCCTGTAGCTGCTCTTCTCCGATTCGGAGCTGGCGTCGTCTTGGTTCGGGTCGACATCACCCTCTGGTTCTTCAACGTGCAGCTGACAGTTCACATAAGGTTTGAATCCCCTCTCACTATGGTCGCCTGGCGGCAAAGAGAGATCTTGGGCGGCGAATACCTCGATGGAGAGGGTTAAGTTGCGGCGCTCGATCACACCTGTCGCAGAACTGCTATTTCGGTAGCCGGATGGCTTCAGTCGCCAGCCGTGAGTTCCAACAAACATTCCATGATTGAGCATCATGCCCTTATCTAGATTCTGCCAGTTCAATGCAACCAGCTGGGCCCCACGTCGCCAGTAGAATGTTGGATCAAGGTTCGATGAGTTTACTCGGAACGCGTACGGGTAGATACGCATTAGAGATCTTCGGTTGTGCTCAAACAAAGCGTCGCGATGGTTGAGATGGGCTTCTCGCGCTGCTTTCTCGGAGAGCGAGAATACATGGCGAGGGACTTTGGCCTCTATTGATCAAATTAGCATCACCCCTCACAACCATGTCCACAATGATCATGCATACCCGGTTGGTCAAAATGACGGAAATGATAGGCGCGAGTATAAACAGCCATGTTGGCCAGGGCATCAAGAATCTTCGATGGCTTCGCCGACTGCTGTCCCGAGGACTTATCATCTGATTCCTGCGGAGTCAACGTTTCCCCATCGGCTTTCTCCCCCTCGCCGCTTAGTGGAACACCTTTGCTTTTGATCAAGATCTTTCCCTTCAAATCAGCCAGCGAGGGAAGCTTGCCCTTATCCGGAGGAGCCTCCACAAGCAATCCTTTCCATGCCTCCAACATGATGTCAACCATCGTCTGCTGCTGCTCAAGAGAGGCATGTACCTCAAGACTAATCACCAGTGGAAGATCGCTAGCAACGAATCCGCTATCGCGGATTGCGTAGCATATTTCACGGAATGTAGTTCCCTTGGTCAAAGTATGGCCATGCAGAACACGGGGCTCAACCCGAACAGGCATGTGACTCGTCCCAGCCTCTTCATCCGCTGGTCGCTCGGGCGACTTGACGGATTTGCGACGAAGAAGGCCATTCAGTTTCGCTTCCAATTTTGACGAGACTGATTCTTTCTGTTCTTTCGCGGCCTTTTCCTGACCATTTTTCTTGGAGGTCATCTTTGTTTTTAACTTGCTCCCCATACTCTTCTTGCCTTCTTCCGTCTCCGACTCACTGCTGCTACTGTCGCTGTCGCTTGAATTTGGTGTGTCCAATTCGCCATCCCAAACATCAATCTCGACGGACCTGCAGCCACGGAGGAGGACCTATTGCAGCATGCGTAAGTCAAATTCCGAATTCTGGATCCTAGAAAGACATAACATCTATGGAGGGTGAATGGGGAGTATTATTCAAGGCATCAACTCACAGAGGTATAGGCACTAGCAGCAGCGTCGCTGTACAGCTGATTACCCGTTAAATAAGTGTTGTGGCTCGATGAGATAAAGTAGTCCGAGATAGGCGCGGAAAGATCCAAGGCTTCTTCTGGTCTCATCGCAGACGAGTTTGCGTCTTTCATATAGGCACGAAAGGCATCCAGAGAAGCCAAAACGTCGGCGACTGGCTCAGGAGAATTTGGGATGGCAGCGTCATGTTGCATTTCTTGGAGGAAATAGTTTGTAGTTGGGGCATATGCATCAATAGACTTGTGGATCTTCTGGATATGGCTATCCAAAGTTGGGTGAAATTTGTCCACCGTATGTGACGGCGTCTTGGGTGGCTCGAGTGCATGCCTAGCACGTTCCACGAGAGCTTCGACTTTCTCCATCTTCCAGTCTATTGTGAGCTCCAAGTAGCGAGCGTAGGAAAACCTTGAGGTAGCAGGGGCTTATTGACAAAGACCCCACTTGTTTCAGGGGCTGCCGGTATTTCCAAGGTGAATCTATGTTGTATATCGAAATAGAACAGAGAAGACAATACGGGGGAGAAAATCCCAATGTGACCCGTGCGTCCTCCCCACTGCCAACGCTGCGCTGTCAACGTGGCGTTTCTGCATTGTGCATGTCTGAAGGATCTTTCTCAACTTCCTGATCGAAACGAAGTGTGTTTGTCGAAGATTGTATATATATATTCAATACCGTGCTTCGCATAGCTTCGCTTCGGATCATGAAAGCCTGGATGTATTAGATTATATATATAATGTCAAGATCCTGAATACATCAAGGCTGTCGCTTCGGTGAAGACCCTTGTCAAGAGCCTCAAGATCAGCAATGTTATATTCCAAGTTTCTTTCGGACTTCCCCAAGCCCCGAAATTCCAGCTGATAAATCAAAAGCCCCACTGGGCTCCGAGACGCACTTTATAAGTTAGAACTACTTGACTTGGAGCCCAGCGATTTAGACTCAAGTTCTTCGAAAACGTACAATATCCATATCGCTTATACAATGACTGAATCCAAGATCCATTTCTTTGACCTCCTATCAGACCTACCCGGTACGGAATATACAATTGGGTGAATCCAGTGACAGACTAACTCAACTAGGCTCTTCCAAGTCATGGTCTCCCAACACTCTTCGGACCAGAATGGTCCTTAACTTCAAGGGAATCCCCTACACCCAAAGCTGGGTATCATACCCCGATATTGCACCTCTACTCAAGGCTTCTGGTGTCCCACCTGGCAAGTCAGCGATGCCTTACACACTGCCGGCAATCAGCCATAAAGGGTCCATAGCGAGCAATCCAGACGGGGTCCTCATGGATTCCGAGCCGATTGCCATGTACATCGACAATCTGTACCCGTCGCCCCCGCTCTTCCCCTCCGGCGACGCAAGTTACTCGCTCATGCTTGCCGTGCTAAAGATATTGGGCCTTATCTCACCGGGTGTTAGGCCGCTGATTATTCCCAACGTCCCATCTGGACTGGATGAGCGTGGACGGGAGTATTTTATCCGGACACGCTCTGAGGCTTTCGGGAAACCGCTTTCTGAGGTCAGGCCGACAGATGAGGCAGAGTTGCTTGATTTGTGGCAGCTGATCGCGAAAGAGGCGGAGACGTTGATTAAGATGCTCAAGGGCAAGGATGGGAAGAAGGGGCCATTTTTGGAAGGTGAGAAGGCTGGATATGCGGATATCATTCTCGCTGGGCTATTGGCTTTCTTCCAGCGGTTTGACAAGGGTACCTTTGAGAAGCTTCTTGTTCTTGGGGATGGGGAGTTCAAAGCGCTTTATGAAGCATGTTTGCCCTGGATTGAAGGCCAGGGGGAGGAGAAGGAGTGGCCGATTCCACAGTAAGTCATATGCTCGACTTTCTCGGCGATGGAGATGGCTGTTCGGAATACTCTGCGGCGAGCTTAGATCTAAGACAAGTATCATTTGATATATAGCACAATCGAAAAACAAATCAATGTAATAATACACCCCGGGTGTTCCAAATGGCCCGGTTTATCCAGTATCCAATGCAATATCGAAGCGGTTCTGGGCGCCTGCGACACAACCCCAACAAAAGTACAATCGGTCTCATGTGTTCCATTCGAATGGAAATGGAACAAGCTTACAGACCACGCAGGAAGTTGGATTCCTTGATGGCCTTCCGTCTGGCATCGCGTGCACTCCTGATAATCTCCGAGCGCTGCTCGAAGCCCTCGGTGGCATCGGCCATGGCATCCGCTGGAGGTGCATCGCGGTTGTAGGGTGCGGGGGTGATATCGTGAGCGTGGTGATGAACGGGAATCTTAGCGGCGAGGGGCCCAGTGCGAGCAGCTAGCTTCTTCTCGTAACGCTTTCGTTGCTTCTTGTTCAAGGCTGCGACATGATAAGCATCGTGTGAACAAACAAAGAAAATCCAGGAGATAACATACTGCTTGGGTCAACACCGCCTTGCTTAGTCTTTGCGTCCTTGGTGGCATCCCCCAAGAGGTTCCATAGCCAATCTGGGTACTCGGAATCCTCCTTGGCGAAGACATCCGGCTTGTTTTTGAAGTAGTTGAGTCCGTTCAGTTTGGTTCCGGCTGGGCAGCTACTGGGTGGGCGCACAGCTGTGGGTTTTGTGGAGGCTCCGGGGTTGACATCGGTGTGGACACCTTCGGGGGTGCTCAAAGGCTGAGAAACGCCGGGGGTAGCGGAGGAAATGGCGGATGGGGTTGTGAGGTCGCCGACTGTGGGTTGGCGCGGGGAGGGCGGAGAAGGTGCAGCAGCCACGGGTGGGTTGGTATCACTGCTGTATGAGCGGAATTGGCTGCGAGCCAGAGGCAGCTGGCGCGCACATGCTGAAGCAGTCCGAGTCACTGGCTGCTGGGTGAACCGGGACAGCATTGTCGTGCGGCAGGTTTTGCAGATCATGGTGGCAGAATAAACCAGAGAAAGAAGGAGAAAGGTTAGAGATTATAGTAGGGTGTTAGGAAAAGGTCCTGAACATCAAGGAATGGCGATTGCGTGGATATACAATAAGACACGCGCGGAGACAGAGCTATCGCAGAAAACTGCGGCCATAATTTGATGCCAAGACGGAGACCCATCACGTGATATATCAGCAAATATGGTGTCCGGCGTAGAACATCCTCACTTGTTACTATAAGACACTGCTAATTTCATAGATTATAGGCACCAGAAGGTAATGCTTCCAGTGTCCTATCATCCCTAAAGTTTCATAACACTGACCTCTTCAACCAAATAGGATGTGTGATCTTCTTGATCACGTGATAGCACACACCTCCGAATCGCATCTATTCAAAATCTGTTCAATATTTATTGATCAGTTCTCGATTAAAAATACTCTCCAAAAATACCTGCTACAATTCTCAAGGATTGAATGATAACTTTTTGCTCATTTGTATACAGCGAGTAAAGGAAGTATATAAATGACTGTGCACCTCAGACGGGAAAACATCACAGGGACTGACGAAGAATGCTCGCAAGTCATGCATCTTGAACCAACATGCTAAATCAAACAAATATAAATAAACAATCATTATACCGAAATATATGCCTCCAAAATGGCATGGTTCCGATGAACAGGTATATTAGGAACAGGTGGGAAACGCAAACAAAGACGACTGTCATATCAGACCAACAGTGTAAGGACCGCGCTATGAGGACAGACCACTGACATCTAAGAAGTTGCAGATGTCCTGGCACGCATCCTTTAGGCTCTTTTCTGTCTTCCATTGAAGCTCTTCCGTCGAGCGGTCGACGACCGCCACGCAGGCCCCAACGTCACCTTCGCGACGTGGTGCGGCACGTCGAGGAATGGGTTTCTCAATAACCGACTCCATAGTGCTGACGACATCCATCACAGAATTTCCCTTGCCAGTCCCAAGGTTGAATGTCCGGAAATTCTCTTTAAGCTTGCCCTCGTTGGCCGAACTGAGCGCGGCAATATGCCCACGAGCCAGATCGCTAACGTGGATGAAGTCGCGAACGGCAGTGCCATCCTCGGTTTCCCAATCTGTCCCAAACATTGAAAGTTCGGAATACTGGCCGGTCATGACTTTGACAACGACGGGGAGCAGGTTGGTTGGTGCCTGTCTTGGGTCTTCGCCCAGAAGACCGGAGGAATCACAGCCAACAGGGTTGAAGTAGCGGAGTGCAACAATGGTCCACTCGGGGTCTGATGCAGCCAGGTCGGCCAGGATGGTCTCACAAATCCATTTCGTGCGTCCGTACGGGTTGGTGATTCCAGTGCATCCAGGCTGAATGGATTGTTGTGAGCCTGCATGATCTATGTACAACTCTTCCTTGTGAACACAGAGTTCCTCTTTCAATGGAAGACCCGAGGTTGCGAGGGTCCCGTATACGGTGGCAGAAGACGAGAAGATGAAGGTCTTGATGCCGAAGTCTCCAAGGATTGTGGCAAAGTCGACAAGACCGCTGACATTGTTGGAGTAATACTTCAGTGGCTTCCGAATGCTCTCCTCTACGGCCTTATAAGCTGCGAAGTGGATGACTCCGGCGATCTTCGACTTAGGAGTTCCCCACCGGGATGGGAGCTGGTATTCCTCAAGCAGCGGCTGAAGAGCTTTGGTGTCGCGATAATCGTGTGCATGCAATCGTAGAGATGGCATTTTTGTGCCATTCTCCTCGTGATGCTTTTTGGCCAAACGGCGGATACGGCCAAGAACATCCTCGAACGCATTGCTCAGATTGTCGATCACAATGACGTTATAGTTTGCCTTGAGCAGCTCAAGCGTGGTATGACTACCAATAAAACCGAGGCCACCAGTGACAAGAATGTGACTTTGTGAAGGGAGTACGCGCAACAAGTCATGAAGATTGTCGAATGGGTCTCCAGCCTCTGTTGTGGGTGTATCTAGGGCGATAGGAGACTGCACATTACTGCTTGTATCGGACCTTTGGGGGCTGTCCGATCTCGAAGAAGAAGAAGAAGATGATGATGTGGGCTCAATCATGGCGAGAGGTCAAGAATGATGAATCTCAGATGAGTTCTGCTACCACTCCAAAGAGAGAGAATGTATGTTGTATATGACCAAGATTGAGATATCCTGATCTTTTGGTGGGCCTTTGACCAAGGTTTTATATAAAACAAGCGAGGTACCTGCGTTGCCTCCCTCGGGCTCGCCGTTTGAGTTCACCTACAACATATTATGCCATCCATCCTTGGCGAATGAAGATTCAGCACAGTCCCCCGGCTAAAATAGAAGAGAAAGAAACAAAAGGAAGCATAAGCGGAATAAAAAAAAAGCACAAAGAGAGAATTGGGGCGGTAGGCATGAACTGGAACAGAACCATCATGCCCCTTGGTGGGCCAGGCATGCGGCTGGGCCTTGGAATATCATTTTGTACATCCTGCCCTAAGTCCCTCCACCTGTACGTCAGGGCCTCAGCTCAGATTAAATGAAATAATAATTATTATTGTGTATTTTTCATACGAGGTATAGATTCTTTCTTGTATTTTCTTTATATTGTCCACGTCTAAGACCTTTTCTGCATATGGTCGAGGCCCTATGTCCATTTTTGTACGGACAGTAATCCTTAGTGTGTTCAAGTTGTTCTAATTTGGTATTTTTAGTTGGCCACCATTGTTTGAAAACATTATGCTCATGATATCCTTCGCGAACCCACTCTCTTCATTCAGACATTCTCTCTATAATCAATATGGCCGATCCTGAAAAACACGTGAGCAAGCGAACATGTCTTAAGTCGAAGCGTTCTCGTTTCATCTTGGCAGTTGGGCTTCTCATTGTGATCATTGCTGCCGTTGTTCCCTCCGTTGTGGTCACTACTCTCCGAAAGAAAAATAACATGGGTCCGAAAGCAAAGGTGTTCGTTCCACTCTATGTATACCCTGCCCCTGGGGCGTGGGCTCCGCTGGAAAATGTGTATGTTTCTAGCCCCTTTCATCCCAATCATCCCTCAGTCTACTGCTTTCTATCCCGGTAGCCCTGCCGCACCATTCGGGCGCCAAACCCGTACCATCACATATCAAAATTCAAAAAGAAAATCCTCCCCAAAAAGCAGAATTACAGAGAAAACACAGCTGCTGAACGCCACAGGATATCTTCTCACCCCGATGTCAACTTTACTGTCGTAATCAATCCTGGAAACGGTCCAGGGCCTGACTCTCTCCCGGATGGCAATTACACCCGTGAAATTCCAAAGCTCACTGCTTACGAAAATGTGCGCCTTTTGGGTTATGTGTATACCTCATACGGAAAGCGCAACGTCTCTGCTGTTCGCAACGATATTCAAACCTATGCAGACTGGCCGACTAATTCCTCCAACCCCAACCTTGCGGTTCGCGGAATCTTCTTTGATGAAACCCCCCAACAATACGATGCTCAAATCTTGAGCTATTTGCAAGGTTTAACGGACTTTGTTAAGGATATCAAGGGTCTTGGCCCCGATCAGTTTGTGAGTCCTGCCATTCTTCCGAGACTGAGTTTCAACTTTATTTATCCACTGCCCCATATCTTACACCCCCTGTCTCGCATCATCTTATACCTACTTATACTTTCGTTCCTTTGTTTTGGCTTGTTTTACTTTTTGTCTCCTCGGTTCATTATTCCCATATCAGATGCAGGGCCACACTATGACATTATTGAATTCTATGCCAACATCCCACGTTCACCCCGGCCTGCATCACAATTGCTTCCTCTTCTGGAATACATAGGCGAAGTCCATGGAACTAATGAAGAATGACAGGTTGTCCATAACCCTGGCGCTGTTCCCGATTCTCGGTATTTGGCAACAGCTGATTCCACCGTTGTGTTCGAAGCCGCGTACACTACTTTCCAGGAACGGCAAGGCGCCAAGCTGTTCGCCAATATTGAGAACAGCAACCGTACCCAACTATGCGCCATCGTTCACTCTGTGCCTGAGTCTGTCGAGGGCACGGAGCTTCGCAGTCTGGTCAAGCAGGTGCGCAAAGTGGCGGATGAGGTGTACATCACCCATCTTAGCACAGACTATTACGCCTCCTTTGGAGCCAAGTGGACAGAATTTGTCGATTTAATGGCCGCTTAGGGATTTGAATTTTTATCTTCAAATTACTTGCTTGGGTATGATGTGCACTGGTGAGGTAAATTGGGTCGAGCAAGTATGTGCATATTCTTTTGGTATGGCTAGCATGTTTTCACTCATTTGGGTTGATGATTCTAAGATTAATTTTGGACTATTTTTGAGTGCATCTGAATTTTCAGAATTCGTGGCATAGATTGGAATAAAAAATTTCTCCCTCCTACCCCTTCAATGGACAATCATAGGCCGTCTTGGTTAGAGGTGAGCTATACTTTTTAGGTCAAAGTGAAGTGGAGAACATGTGTATTGTGGTAATTTACATGGGTTTTTTTTCTTTTCGTATGCCAAGAATAAGATACACCGATACATCCTATGATACATAGTACCACTAGGCCCCAAAAGTGCATATATTCCACTAACCGAAGTACGCTATGTATGTACAACATACAAACGAAACATGTGGCATAGCAAAAGTATGGTTCCCTCGTGGAGCAGAGGTATCTATCTAGAACCAGAAAGCGGATTATGCAGTTGGCTGTAGGGCATCCGCTCGATACGAGGTATAAGCTAAACGTGGCTTAACCCGATCTCAACTTCAATGCCGATATAGAAAATGCTCTGACACCTTCCTTTCCCGGGTCTCGATCAGGACCGCCGTTCTTCGCAATGTCTCCGAATTACCGCTATCCGATGAATCTACGAATTATGAGACCTGCAGATAGCGTCATGTAGGCCCGCAGCCAATGCCACCCCGAAGCTCGGAGGTACACCCAAACCAAAATAACTGCAGTATTAGCGCTCAGTCACCTTGGCAGGGCATACCTGCACAGCCACTATCTTGATTACTGACGGGTGTCATTCTTTATTCAAGATGGAGGCACGGGATGAGGAGTATATTCAACTACAACATATCACATCTGCGACAGGCCCTACATTACGATACTAAGCCACGTGCTCAGCTCAATCATGTTCCAGTCTTAGGTGGTTCACGGTGTACAGCAATTTGAAAGTGAAACAGTAGCGTGGGACATGACCTAGACAGCAACTTCGGGTGTTAACATTCACTATTGGTGTAGGTCATCGCTATACATAATATCCAAACTCAGCTTTCTAGATACAACGCTGCGTTGGAACAGCAGGAAGATCATACAGAGTATGCATGTAGGATTAACGTGGTGCAACTGCGGCTGTGCCGAGTTACAAACACGACTTGTCCCATTCCAACGGAATCAGTATCCCAGGAACCGGGCCAGCGTGGGATATTGTTGCACGAGACTGTCGGCAGCTGGTAATTTCAATAAACCTTTCACCTGTCCCCGATCCCCGGTCCCCGGCGCAATGCAAAATGCTACCGTCCCTGGGAATATTTATCCTTTGCCTAGGGGTGGTATTGTCTGCAACTTCCGGCTCTGACGGGCCAGGTCATTCCCTGTTGACTCACTGCAAGATGCAGTTTGGGGAAACCATGTACCGCCTCACTTTCGTTCTCAGCTTATGCCTATGTACTAGTATCTATAACTCGGTTTTTCCTCCTGAAATTAACCGCCGGTGGCGGAAGCCACTTCCTCGTGGCATGGCCGAGTATGTTGGGCAGAAGAGATTTCTAATTTCCATCTCTTGGCTACAGTTGCCACTGGAAGCCACCCGGGAGAACTGGACTGATTCGTCAATCCTTCCTGTCATGCATCGCTGCTTCGACTCCATTGTTGCAAGCGCTTCAGTTGAACGAACTTGACTGGTAATGCTATATAAACTGAAAGTACGGAGTACTGCGTAGTCGATCACAGTCGATCGCTGGAACAGAGAACATGGTGGAAACACTAACAGGATAAATACGGGAATCCGCGCTTGGGGGGGATTAACGCTGGAACAGCGTGGGCTTTTGCTGCTGCACGATCAGAAATGAAGATGCATAGGTGAGCACACGTCTAGATCTGATCAAATGGCGAACGGTTCTCTGCGCATGCATTGATGTTCGAGGTTCGAATCGCATGATGTGGGCCATGCAGCCTTTCAAAAAGCCACCGATTCAATCGGACAATCCAATCGAGATCATTCATGGCCGCTTTGGTCGACCATACTAGATCGTAGACAGTCATGCCTTGAATTATTCCTTGCTACCATCATTACGGAGTACTCCGTCGATCAAGTCAATTTCCTAAGCGATACGCCATCCTCTCACTTCGGGTCAGTTTCCGTTATAGAAACCCTGGATTGGTGTCCAAAAATTTCCAAGTTTATACCGAATGGAGTCAACAAACCCAAATAAATGGAGAGAACACACAGCCAGCCAGGAACAGGGGCAGATCTTTCGGGAGAGCCACTCGGGCAGCCGATCTTAGCGCCCTTCCATCCCTTTCCTTGCTGCAACCACGCGAGGCGGGCAGCTTCCATGGTTCCCGGATTATCGGTAAGCGGGTGTAGCACACGTGTCTGTGGATGGGTTGGACGCTAAACAGAGAGAAGAAAAAGCAAACGGAAAGTGACCTGAGACCTAAAATGCTCCCCCAATTTCCAGTCTTTTGTATTGAGATCGGCCCCGAGATGCGAAAAGATTTTCATGTCATGAAACCGGGTGGAAACATGGTGTTGATCCCGGGAAGACAAGAGTCTCTCGGCTCTGGATCATCCGGATGTTTTGAGCAAAGTGTGATATGGTAAAAGACTGTAAAGAGTACGAAGTGTGGAATACCCCGTACAACATAGTCATCTTGGTAAGTGACACACTAGGTACGCCATAGTTACTTGCGAGTTCGTTTCCTGCTCCAGGTAGTTATGTAAGGGCGATTTTCGACCTCAATGCTTCCATTAGGATTCATGATAGGTCAACTATAGCAAGCACAGTCTCAGCATATTATTGGCGGAAAAACAACCTCAAGATCAAGGTTAGCAGCCTTAGAACTTACGTGCGTACTGACAGATGATACCTAAAATACATTGAATAACAGCTTGACTTCTTTGTACGTAATTAAACATTGGAAAATACTGAATAAAATACCCAAGAGCGCACGTGTGATGGGTAAAGTTACCGGATGAACCAAAAAGGATCTAACCGAATATTCCATGGATGAACTCTCGAACCTGACCAATTAAACTAGGAAGACGCCAGCCTCGATCCGCTGCTCCATTGCATATGCCAAGACTACCAAGTCCAGCGAAACATCGTCTGTCATTGATCAACATTACCTTTAGGAAACTGATGTGCCGCCGTCTTCTTCGCCCCGCTAATCACGCTAGCCTCGCTCCGTACTCAACCCCTCAGAGAGACAACTTGGGTACTGAGAGCGATTATTGGGTAATGGAAGGGTGTCAGCAATGGAGTAATTGCTTTGTTCTACCCCAATGTTAGGTACAAAGAAGTCGTCTATAATTATACTCATGGTGGCAACATGCAGGAGAGAATGGACAGGGATCAAGTCCGTAAACTCAATTGATTTGAGGTGTATCAGGATATTGACAAGCCTAGGCCGAGTAAGCCATAAGCGAGGCCTAATACCTTGCAAGTAAAAAGCAAAAAAGCAGCTATTGCCGGATGACTGATCCGGCACAAAATCAGGACCATCATGGTAACAGCAGACCGGGAATGCACGGAAGTCTCGGGCAATTGGACATTCCACTAGCGTTCATAGTCACACCCTCCGTGGGCCCAGTCTATGCATAAAAGTGCGCTAAAGTCACAGATGGTTCGCGCCGACAATGGCGCTGCTGATGGGTTCGTCATTTAGGCTGACATTGATGCCAGAGCCAACTTATGATGTACCCTTGAAAGAAGCTGCTTCGTCGGAGTAGATGAGCATAGACTGAGTTCAACGCATACCGAAGGTGTCATCCGTCTGTTCAAAGCCGTTGGGCTCCAATCCAGGTAAGAAAAGGCGATAATGTGCTCACACTAACTACGTCTGATCATTGCACGGAGTAGCGGGCGTGCTGTGTTATCACCAAAACGTGTTCGCTTTTGGCGTTTTGGGCTTGTGGGCTGCTGTACTGTGTGGCCCTCCATCTCGTCGCTGCCTACAAGATATTGGAGGCAGAAATTACCTAATGCGCGATTTATGTTGCAATGATCTTGATAAATTAGACATCATGGGAGAGGTGTGGTTTGTCAAGCATCAAATGTTGACAATGTCGAGTGCGTTTCTGCTATAACGTTTAGATGTAATGCAATTTGTAGCGACTGGCCAATTGACTTTTTCTAAGCCCTTGGGCCCAACAGCCATACGGTATTCAAAGGAAAGAACAGAAGTAATGGATGATGGTGCCGAAAATATCACGTCTTATTATTTGTATATGCAATGTCAACTCCCAATTGGATAGGACGAGCCTACCAACAGCAAATAACCTCAATCACGAGCAGTACTCAACCCAAGTATCCAAGTCCATGTTTTTTACAACAGTTGAAAAGTTGCCGGAGCCGTTGGCCGTGCATGAAGAGCTTAACTGTTTAGTCGTTACAGCCTTGTTGTTGTTGGTATCGTCGCCCTTGGGGTACTCGATATGGAAAACAGGTTTGCCGGCCTCAATGAAGGGCTCATAGGTGGTACACTCATCGTACTCAGCACACTGCTCATTGACACACCACTGCATGTTATCAATGACAGATTCAATGATGTCTCCGCCGTTCTTCAGTCCAACAGATAGGCCACGGCTGTGAGACTGGGATGCAAGCCAGTTCACGTAGTCGATAGCATCAGCCCTAGTGATATCAACTCCGGGGTCGTTTTCGTATCCGTCGATGTTGTCAGGATCGACACCGTCGCATCCCTTGGCCACGGCGATATCCAGACGTGCCTGCATAATTTTGCGCACTTTGGGGGACTTGACATTCAGCCATTTTTCGCCGGGCCATCCGTCGAGGTCATTGCCCTTATCATTGTCATCGAACTTGCTAGCGTCATCGCGCCAGTCCTCGAACGATCCGGCAGAGAAGTAGCAGATCACTTTGCGGCCCATTTTCTGGAGGTCTGAGATGACGGTCTTGTTGTTGTCGAAAAGATCAATGTCGTAGATTGGTGCGTCCACCTTGGTGGAGATCTGGCCATTCGCCAGCTCGGACTTCAGGATAATTTGCCATTTGGTTCCAGCGGCCGGCTGCCATTTTGCGGTAGTGTTTGTTGGTGTTGTCGTGTCGGGCCCGCTGCCCTCATTATCGTTATCGTCATTGTCTCCACCGTGATTGAGACCAATTCCCAGGCCGGCACCTAGACCCACACCCAGAGCAACAATAACGAGAGCGACTGTTCCCAAGATAAGAACCTTCTTCTTGGTCGACCAAGTCCGCCAACCCGACTTGGATGGATGATCACTCATTAGAGCCGATTATGAAGTGAAATGAATCGATGGGAGAAGCTTAGAAGTCCGTGATATGGAAGATCAAGCGTGGTGACCCCAACCCTGTATGTGTATTTAGTGAAGGAGTACTGGGTAGCCCAAAGGAGTAAAAAAAGAGCGAGAGATGAAAAGATCAGCAGGCACTAAGTCGGGAGATAAGGTGTCTTTAAGCTCAAAATAAGGGCCCAGAACGCAGGTCCACCGAGGCTGAGGGAGATCTACGGAAAGACTTGTGACCCCTGGAAAAAGCAAAGGTCATAAAATAATCCGTTTCAAGCTTTGTAAACAGCTGAAAGAGTAAGGTAGATGGTTGGCAAGAGCTCAGTCCAGACGGAGTACGGAGTACAGCGCGTAGGAAATGGGGATGCCTAGCGGTGCGGAAGGCCCCCACTTGGAAAAAGTCCAAAAAGAAAATAAGGTGGTGGACCTCCCGAGGTCGGAAAGCTACTGATGGTAATTTGATAATCTTGGTCGATATATTTTCGATGTTGTACGGACTACACAGCACATTTGCATGGAGAAAGAATAGGATTTCAGGGGCTGGTGGTTTTCAAGTAAACTCATTTTCTGAGACGTTAGTAATTTGTCGCCTAAAGATAGAACCCTTTGCCAAGCACTACTCAATTCTCCGTACGCCGTACTTACTCCATATTCTGGATTGGGACTCGATGCCAAAAGAGCAAGTGGATTTTCAACAGAACAGAAAAAGCCAGCGAACAATCTCATTTGCACTTTCGATAAGTTTTGAGGTATTACCTAAAAAAAGGTGTGCTGGCTTTCCTAGCCTTACGGGGAACTATGGTATTGTTTTCTATTTCAGTAATTACCATGAAATAACAGAAAAGGGTGTTTTTTTCTTTCACTCCCCGAATACAGGTATTCTCCTAGCCCTAACAAAGCACGGTTCCGCCTAAATCTGAAATGATCTGTCTCAAAAATTGGCACTTCCAAGCTTGTCCCCTCGACAAGGATATGCATCATTTGACTTGAAATTTTCTTCAACGCTTATGTGCAGGAGTGAAATGACTATTTGGATTTGAAATATTTGCATGACTTTTAATCTCACCTAATTGAGTCTGGCTTATTTTCAATTGTACATGACTCGTTAAAATCAATTGAAAAGCCAAAGCGGCGCTACTCCAAAACCCAATCGCCTGCTTCTTCCCGCATGGACGCCACACCCGCTAAATGTCCACAGGACTGGGCAATTACAAATCTGACTCGAAACGAGATCGTCTCAGATTGAGCCATTTCAACCTCTGCCAAGATCACGCTTAAGAGATTTCAAGGTTCACTACGTATTTGACAAGTCACCCTACGCTTGGCCCAATATGTTTTGCTTGGAATGTACGCTAACAGAGTTTTCCTGACTTATTCTATAATCTCATATCTGTCCGGCATCTGTCGTTGCGGGGATAGCAAGAAGGAAAAAGAAGGCGAGAGAAAAAAAAAAAAAAAAACTCAGGAGTCAGACTAAGCTCCAAACCCCGAGCACAACCCCGGCCACAGGCTTACCATGGCATATATTCTACATGACCAGGTACGAGTGCATTAAATCCGAGGCCGAGGGGCTTCGCCCAGAAGTCTAGTCCAGCGGATAGCCCCGAAATGGTGCCATTTTACGCCCATGATTCCAAATTTAACGTTGAGCCTCCTTGTCTCTGATTCTATTAACCGATTTGATGTACTCCGTCGTCACTGCACTAGCATCGTATACACGCTTCCCCGCTGTAGGTCTGGAACCAGATCGCAGGGCCGGATTCAATTACCCCAGCCACCCTGCAGGTAGACTATATAGGTCGATGTACGGGGTATCTTCGTACGGAGTACTCCGTACACCGTACCAGTATCTCAGACATTTACAGTCTTGTTGTTCTTGCATATACGATGTCTCCACAGGTCTTCCGCTTCCAAGACATAATTGAAATCTTCCGAGTTACTTGGCACAAGATTAGTTGCTCGGATGGTGGTTGTAGTTTGTCATGGTGGGATAGGATATGATGTTGAGACAAGTTGGGCCCTCCAGTCGCTACCCAGATTGTGCTTCTGTTTTGAGTCGTACTTCGTACGGAGTAGCTGTGCTCAACTTGGCAGAGCTTGCTTTTGCCACCTTTCCCATGATCAATAATTGCATTGGGATGGCTGAGTATAATCGGTAAAAAAAAAGAAATTTCTTTCCGTTTTTTCATTGCATGATGAAATGCAATGTACTGGAATTGATATCCGCCGCCTTGCACTAGATCAGTCGGACAACGGCGCCTCTCGGTTCTTACGCTTTGTCGATACTGTCATATCGGGCCCACACCACACAGCGTCACATTGGCCACATGATCCTACTCTACCCTGGGTTCAGGCTGCTAGACAACATGTTCGAGGGTAGTATTGGGAATACGAGGAGATCTGGTTCGTTGTTCCTCGTTCTAAGGGAAGAATTTGTTTAGATTTTGTACTGACTGAGCTTTATCATGGTTGTAGAAAATGTGGAGATCATGCAGAAGGAAGGATTGTATATTTTTCGTAGAAGTACACCCGAGCTATGTAGACATCGAAAAATACAGGATATGCAACTTTCATATCAACAGAAAAGCAAGGGTTGTTCTCTCCTTCACATTTATAGAAAACATCATTGACATTTCAAAGAGATGTCAACACGTTATAATAAAAGCGATGGGTAATCAACCAAAGCCAAGCGGTACACCGACCTGCCAAAGAAAGGCAACTCGATCATTGTTTCAAACTCTCAAAGGGAAATTGGGGTGGAAAGAGTGAATGTGACAGGGGAGCCAGCGAGTTTGACCCAGACGGTAAGGGGGTCAGCACCGAGCTGCTCGGTGGCAAAGCCCTGGGTGCTGGTAGGAGCAACAGGGAAAGTCACCGGGATAGGGTCAGTGCAGGTATTGCCAGTGGCAGAGATAGTGACGGCAGTGATTTTCCGGTTGCTGGTGCTGTAGCTCAGAGAGTAGCCGCACTTGTCACGATTATAACGAGCAAGGAAAGAAGCGGACATCTACAAGGAGTCAGTACATGGACGAGAGTTTATAGCGTGTTTGAGTGACTTTATCTTACCTCTTGGTGAGTGAGTGTAACGATAGGCCATTCAGCCAGGCGAACGAATTCCTGAACCTGGGTTTCCACCCAAGCTTGCATAATAGAGTACTTGGCAGAGACACCATTGATGGTGATCGGATCAACATCAATGTTGCGGAGGTTGGCCTGGTGGAACATGTAGCCATCATGGTACAGGCCAAAGAGGTGGCGCATGGTCTCAGCCTTCTCAATGGCTAGGAGGTCCTGGAAGTTGCCGGTAGTTTGAGAGGTGGTAGTCCACTCTGCAACAGTACAGGCAGGAGTATCGCAGTTATAGTAGATGCGAGAGGCCCATCGAGGGTTAATCTGCATCCCATCAAAACCGTTGGCGGCAGCAGTGGTGAAGAGAGGCCACATGGGATTCTCCTTGTTCAGAAGTGCGGGGCGAGTGTTATCACCAACACAGTTGGTAATTCCATTCTCCCACCAGGCTCGAAGGGCATCCCCATTGTGCAGACCAGTAATTGCAGGAGGAATGATACCATTGGAGGTAAACTTGGTGGCTTTGTCGATACCAACGGCCTTAAGCCAAGCCTGGTTGAAGCTGATCTCTTTGAAGACATCGCTGTAGGTGGCATTATCCTGCTCCTCGTGGGTGAAGGTGTGGGAGATGTGACCGAACTTATTGAGGTTGCTTTCGGTGGTCCACCAGGCTAGGAGCTCATCCATGGCAGTGCAAGTAGCAGTCCAGTCGTAAGTGGTGGGCACGGCAGGCCACAGATTAGTGCCAGTTCCGAGAGGCTTGATCCACTCGGGAGGAGTGTCAAGAGGTGACTCATATTCGATAGCAGATCCACATGCATCCCAGCCAGCATTTGAGCTATCGGAAGAGTTTTCAATGTTTCCGTTACCGTTGTGGCCGACTTCAACAAAGTAAGAACTTCCGGCGGGCATCTTGGCATTGATAGCATCAGTCCAAGTGGCAATATTGCTCAAGTCCTGGGCGCGAATGCGGAAGTTTTTACCAGCGGGTGAGTAAATCTCGGTCTCGAGGAACATGTCATCAATCTGAGTATTCAGGTTGACACGGCGGTATCCAGCGTGGAGACCTCGGGTGATCCAGGTGATCCATGCATGCTGCAGATAGTTGGATGTAGAGCTCCAGGTAGTGTCAAAGCCAATAAAGAATGCCATCTGCTGACGGCCATCGAAGTCGTTGATTACAGCAGCGACACTCTCAGTGGAGAAGCCTGCGGCGGGGGCAAACGCGGCGATCTTCTTGGTAGAGGTGGTGTTGCTGATAGTCGCAGGGTAATGCCACAGACCAGTGGTACTCACACCTGCGCCAGTCTTCAATCCCGACGTGGGGAAATCACTGATGTCGGTGAATGAGACGAGTTGCTCAACACCGTCGCCACAGCATCCGTCAGCGATAGCAGATGCGCCATATTTAGGACCTGGAAAAACATCATATTGGACCATACGGACACCATATTCAAGCTGGTAGGCATATAGCTGGTTCCACTGATCAGTGGTCAGCGCACTCTGGAAGCCCTTGTCACCACCGTAGTCATAGCTGACTTCAGCGGCAACCACGATACCGCCGAACTTTCCTCCGGCGGTGCTATTGAGGTCGGGAAGAGCGACACCAGCGGAAGGAACAATCAGGGTGGTAAATGGAATACCGTATCCATTGAGGCCAGAACTAGCTACATTTGCAGAGGCAGCATCTCTGGCAATGACCAGAATGTCGGCTGCAACCGCAGCCTGGCTGAGCGGGGTGGGAGAGGCAGAAGCCGAGACCGAGATGGCGGAGGACGACATGCTCGGGGTAGTCACAGAAGCACTTGTTGAGACAGGCGCAGATGAAACAGTCGAAGATAAAACGAGCGACGATGAGGTAGCACTTGAAGCAGGCGACGAAGACGTCGGGCTGCTGGAAACCCCGGACGAGGTTAAAGTAACGAAGGTGGATGCTGCAGAAGTGCTCGGTGAAGCTGTGCCAGAAGAACCGCCAGACGTAGTTAACGAGAGTGTAGAAGTAACGATCGTAGTGGAGCCCACTCCAACTGAAGTGCCGGGATTAGAAGGAGTTGAGACCGGGGGGTGATAGGCGATGACAGTCGGCGTGTTCTTAGGCCAAATACCGGGGGCAGTGTCGCATGTTATAAAGCCATAGTAACAGCTGACCTTCAAGGCCCAGACTGGCAGAGCAATCATGGCAATCTTGACCAAGTCCTCGATAAGGCAGGTCACACACAATGCAGGTCTGCACTAGCAGCTAGGAAAAATACGAGATATTTTGAACGAATGGACTTAGCTTGCGTCTACCCACAAGTGCATGCTCGTCAACTTTATATCAGATCAAACCTTTGAAGCAGGCCGCCATCCAACCTTCGAAGGCCTATCGCCTTTTGTTTCTCCGTATGTTGAAGCCAAGTTCATTTCGGAGATGATCTCGTACCTGGAAAAAAGAAAAGAAAAAGAAAAAAAGAGATAGTTCATACAGGTCTCCATGTGGAGTGACTCGAGGTCTCAGATTGAAAAAGATTAAATGTACTCCAAATAAACACATAATGTACGGAGTTGCGTTGGCACCTCTTCCTGGGGTATGTTATTGGTCAAGTAACAGTCTTGGCAGGGCGAGAAAAATATCCTTTTGTTTTTTTTTTTTTTATGGGGTTTTTTTGGCCAGAGGTAAGAAAAATAAAAAGCAAAGATCATTGAAGCGAGATATGAAGAACGCCTTACAAGGGGTAAATGCTCCGACGGCAAATGCTTCTCGTATAAGCAGTTGGGCTTACAGGTACAGTCAGGTACAGTCAGGGGGGGAAAACTCTCCAGAACTTTGTGGAGAAAGCGACCATGGCCCAATACGTAATACGTGGTATTTCAGCGGACTCGGTGTATATGTATTTACTCTGTAAATACTTGGTAATTTTCACTTGAATCTCGTTCTCGGTTTCGTAGTTTTTTTCTTTTTTCTTTTTAAACTTTTTAATATAATTTATTTTTATCCTTCCTAAGACCTCAAGTCTTGCAGGATGATATGATCCTTCTAGACTACTGTATCCTTTAGAGAAGCTATGTTGTAGGCGAAATGAGACTTTGATATGGGTTCAACATTTGATATATTCTTCAGAACAGACTTGGAGAAATACCTATCGGGATCTGAATTGCCATCGATCTAAATCGAGTGGCTTTGCCACACATGGGCACCTGCTATGCAACATTGTAGAATATGTATGCTGGGCTCCAGCAGGTCTCATCGGTCAGGCCTGATGCATTGGTGGCTTTTTTAGTCTTGCATCTAGGAAAAACTGGAGTGTACTATTTTAGCTATTTTGGCCCCCGTGAGTTTGAGGTCTCTGCTTCAATTAGACGCCTATGTACCCTTTGTCCTAAACGGTCTAAAACAGGCGAACCTACTCCCGAATTTCTTTTTCTTTTATTTTTTCGACCCCCCTGGCAACTGAACAAGGGAAATCCTAGGAGGCAAAATCGTCTGCTTTACTTATGCACTTTGGAGAAGTGGGTACTCATTCTAGTCTCCCCACTACTCTTTTACCTTAACATCTTGTCAATACTAGAGCTCCCCTTCGCTCTCCATTTTTTTCCCCCATTCTACACATCTTTGGCTTTTTGAAGAACACAGAAGTCACTCGTTCAAATATGTTACTATAAGTATTTTGCATCGGAGAAAGTCTTATCTCTGCTTGGCAACAGGTTATTCCAAACCTTGTGCTTCTTGCAATGGCAAGACATATGGAGTCGAGTACTGAACCTCTCGACACAATGACAGCAGTAAAAGCTCTCTCAGTCGAGCCATATCCTCTTGGCTGGACTCATATGAGAGAACATTGGTGGCAATTTGTATGTCTATTTTGGTCCTCCTTACAACTTGACGTTCAAAACTCTCGTTTGCAGACAGTGCGCCACGATATTCTGACCGGGTCCATAGATATTCATTGGAGTGTTGCTTTTTACAGTCATCGTTGGCTCTGTGTCAATCGTATATTCTGGAATAAAAAGACTTATCAAATACTACAAGGTATGATATGGTGGCCACGAGCAAGCTGTTCTCTAGTTTGAATATTAATCCAAGCTATATTTAGTCGAGGCCGCCACCAGACAATTTGCCTTTGAGTGTATCCCAGCGTCTTATCAAGCTAGCCAACCGAGAACTCAACTTGGTCGACAGACCTCCATACAAGAAAAAGCCCGCGAGCTTCGGAGTCTACCTGGGAAGCTTTGAAAACCCACCTACTGTCTCGCAAGAAAGACTTCTGCAAGAATGGGATGTCTTGGTCGTGGATCCCTTCCAGGAAGGTGTCGCCAAGGCTATCTCTAGACACCAGCGCAGTCAAGTACTAGGACGTGTTGATCTCGGAAAGATCCTTCCCCCAAAGGCATCGGCCTTGGCTGTCATTGAAAAGGTCGAGGAATTGCTCGCAAGCGGCTTTCATGATACTACATTTTCCGGTGTTCTCCTCGCAAATTGGGAAGATGTCCTCCGTCCTACCGCTCGGAGAAAGCTTCTCGAGACCATAAGCAGCCTCGGTCTGACAGTTTATCTCGAATCGGAGCCACCACATTTCTTGAAAGATCGAAAGGCTGTGCAGAGTGATGCCGTGGCGGGTTTAGTCATTCGAAATGCCAGCATCATGCCTCAAGGCGAGAAGCGGGATTACTTCCAAATGACCGAACTACAAGCAACAATCAAAGCGTTTGTTTCTGAGTCTTGCATGAGAGACTTCGTGGTAATGGCCTGGGAGACCATTGACGACAACGTCACTGTCCCCAATGCCATAGTCCGCAGGTCTATCCAATGGTGCAGTTTTTACAGCGCAATTACCTGGATCGGCTCTGAAGCCGCTCTTCACGATGCGGACCTTAACGCCACCACACTCGAGCCTCTTCCCGCTTTTGGTTGGTTGAAAGAAGCAGAAATGATGAAGGCCCACGACACCTGGCGTGCCAACCTCAACATATTGCCTTCCCCAGATAACAAGGCTGGCTGGGATATTCTCAAGCCACTTTTCCCTGCTATTGATGCTCTATTAGGTTCATCGAATTACGATTCCACGGCTCCTGATAGCCCGGCGGCTCAACTGCGTGATCCTCCGGAATGGGTTGCCCAGGTCAAGTCAGAGGGTAGTCCTCTCTCTATATCCATGTCGGGGATGGCTTACAATTCGCTTGGTTGTTTTCCTCTTGGTTCAGACTCGACTCCACTGGCCTTTGCGGAAATCGTCCAATCTCAACAACGTCTCAAGTCTCTAAACCTTCTTCATCCCGTCCCAACCACCAAGATCCAAAGCATTGGACTTCTTCTGCGTCAATTCCATGACTCTCTGGATATCTCCGAAAATGACGATCATTTGGCCAACACAATCAAGGAGCTTGCTAATTGGGCATGCAACGACCTGTTGCACGTAAATCTTTGTCTCGACTCTGGTTTGCGCAAGAGCTCTGATCTCCGCTTTTGGGCCGTTTTTGATATGGAACGTGATGGTATCGAAATTTATGTGTCCAAGAATGCGCAAGGCCTGGCTGGAACTATTCTCCACACCTTCCTGTCAGCAAAGGGATTTTCCCGGCATGTTTGTTTCGAGGCTGAGGCTAACTTCGCGACTTGGTCTCGGGATGTTTCCCATGATACTGGCCTCCCCCGACGGCTGATTCAAGATATCGATGTTCTCAGCCCCGAAGAGCGCCTTCTTCTCTTGCAGCACCTCTATCTGACCGACTCTCATAGCGAGCTATCCGAAGCCATCTGCGCCTACATTCGCAAGCAACTAGTGGATGCCCCTTCCTTTGCTCAATTGAAAACACTAAATACGGTTGGGTATCTTGAGAAATCTACCTCCCCCGAAGATCTGATCAGCTCTCGTATCAACTGGTATCGGGATCAAGGGTGCAAATACCCGTCTCACGATGTCTGTCTAGATCTTTTCCATCAGGCCGACAGTGTACTCTCTGATGTTTTGAGGTATCGCCGCGAGCATGACCTCGCTGTCATTACCACTGGTCTCTGTGCGCTTCTTCAAGGTGGCTCCGTTGACACATATGTGGATATGATGGCACTTGCTCTTTTCTGTGCCGCAAGGCAGGGAGCCTTCGATGAGATTTACGCAGAGGTTACCGATCGGAACCCCCTCTTCAACAACCATACCGATCAGGCTGCCGCTTTTGCAGAGTCGTTTGCGCTTGGGTCACGATGTGAAGCTTACTTCGATGTGTCTCCCAGCGTTTTTGGCAAGCTGCTATCCGATCGGTTCAGAGCGTACTATGGAGATAATCAGCCGCCCAACTGGGTGAACGGTGCTCCGGAACTCGCTACATCCTACGCCGGTGCTCAGATTGATGTCAACCCTGATGAGCAGCCTAAATCTATGCCTGGATACCAGCGATTCACATTTTTGAGTGTCTTTGCCATTCCGGCTTTGATTGATATCATCATGCTTACACTGATTGGTCGTGGACTCTATCTTTCTGCTGCCATGTCTTACGATGAACAGGACAGTGCAACCATGGCGCTGATGATTTCTCTGCTGCTTTCTGGTGCAATTGGTACATGGATTGCATGCGGTGGTCCCTACTACCTCATTTCGATGGCCTTCGCAGCAGCGAACATGTTCGTTCTTATTCGCCTAATCGCTGGTATTGCATTCACTGTGGCCGGTGGCTTGATCGGTTTTGTGGCTATCTCAGGCGTTCGAGGCCCTCGTGCTGGTATCATTTTCTACCTCTACCTAATCGCTCTGACAATCTACTTCTCGACTTTCGCCTCACTTGCAAGCTTCAGCTATCCCGGCTCGAGCTTTTTGTCTGGTCGTAAGCCAATCATCTTGTGCATCCCCATCCTCTTCATATCGCCGATCATCACGGTCTGGACTGGCCACGACTCGGCTGTTTATCTCGCTGTTATCTATCTCTTCATTGGTGTACTCTTGCTTTGCCTTCGTTCAGTTACCTCAAAATGGGTCACTTGGTACCAATCCGTGCGACGCACCGATGATACTGAGATCCGCAAGTGGTATATTACTGCCTATGGAAACGATGACGAGAAAGTGTTCGCGAACATGAGCGACCCGGCTGCCCTCAAGCTGGCGAGAGAAGCCCTTTTCAAAGACGTGTTGGCTGAGACGAAGCGTGGCATTTTTTCAAGAGCGACTAAAGATAAAATGGTTGTTGAGCTTGCCGGGGATTGGGAGTCTACTAATTTCCTTCTCGACTGGTACTGTCGCCATGCAGATGTTCCAAAGCCTATTCCGTTCAGTTCTGGTTGGAATATTCAGACCAAGGTCGCACTTGACACCCTACGTAATTCACAGAAAGGTCTTCGTCTGCACAACGCGTTCGTTCACTGGCGTCAGTCAAGCAAAGAGATAGGATGTGGTGTCCTCTACTTTATTATTGCTCTGCTCGACAAATGGGCTCAATTACTCAGTGGCAATCGCATGCTAGGTCTCACTGGCGAGCAGAATGATGCTAATCGAATGGCGGTTGGCTTTGCTCTTGTCTACTATTTGATTGGAGCTGTGCTCATTGATACCAAGGCCCAAGAGCTCCATGATGCTCTTGGTAAGAACGCCCCTATTTCCGTCAAATCTGCAAGGGACATTCGGATCGCACAGAAGAAAGAGGTGCAACTCCGGCGAAAGGTATACTGGAAAGTCCTTTTTAGATTCCTCTTGTGGCATGTTTGGAGTCTTGCGCTTGCGACGGCTCTCATTTGGACCTTTCAGGCATCACGTGAAGGCATGATTGTTTTCTTCTCCTACGTTCTTGCCTACACTGGTTTGATCTGGTACCAATACACGAAGATCTTCACTGGACCTCATGCGCTGAAGCCCCTCCTCATTGGCATCTGTATTGGATTGCCAGTCGGTATCGCGCTCAAGGTCTGTAAGCAGAAGTTCGCATACTCGCAGATTATTGGACTTGGATCTGCCACCTGGACAGTTGCCATCCTCTCAATGTGGAATGCCAAAATGGGTATGCCAACTAAAGTAGACTCTTCGGTAGAGCTTGACCGCACCTTTCATGCGTTCACAACGCCCTGGTCGGACCCCGAATGGTCCCAGCAAGAGCTACAGACTTTCTTCGAGGGCTATCTGCTGCTTCCTTCCGATTCACGATTTAGGCTAAATCCTGGTGCCCATCCTGGTGTCCAAATCAAGAGTTCTATGATGTCTTGCAAAGAAGAACTCAGGATCGAAGAGGCATTCCCCTGCTCCAAAGATATTGTCAACACGGCGATCGCAGCATGGGAGAAGGGTGACATTGTCATTGAGCTTGTCTCTGCTGGCTCTCTCGGTCCCGGCATTCGAGCTCTCAGTTGCAGTACCGGGAACCAGTTGACATTGGCCATCACCGTGGGAGGGCTCCTAGATGAGCGTCTCGACATTAGCGCAAACTGTCAGATCATTGCTGAAACCTTACTTCATGCTGTCACGGAGCTCGTGATGGGTGTGCCTCATGAATACGCGTCATTAGCAGGATCGATTATCTCCGGTGGAGTGACTCATACACTGGCACGACAGCTTCGTGAGGAGGCCAACACAACTACGGTCGTAAGCTGGGCTAAGAAGGAACTCCTCCGACAGCTTTGTCTTGGTTTCGAGGCCGATATTCATTGGGACAAGCTGCCAACTGAAATTCGGGATATACTGCTGAAGCGATGCTTGGGTCAACAATGCAGCCTCTCCAGTAGCCAAAGCCAATGGCTTCAGAAAAGACTTTGCACATTCGACACTGATGACCTCAATATTCATGTTGCCCGTTGCAACCTTGGAGCAGCCACTGCAATTAGCGTTCTCGATTATGCTCACTGGGGAACTGGAGAAACCGCTCTTCCCAAAGAGCCCGAGACTTCGAAGTACATTTCCTACATACCTCGGAAGCTTCCAATTGGACTTTCGCTAGTTCGATCACCAGCCAGCTACATTTACCATAAGCTGGGCACAATAGTCAAGTTCTTTGTGGTGGCTTTGCTTGCAGACCCAGAATTCCAGAGAGAGTTCAATCACGTCACTCAGGACTTTCCGAGCGTTTTTCGTGTGCCGGTCGTCTTCTTATTTAATATGATCTGGGTGTATTCCAAGATAGTTCAAGACTTTTGCTTGTCTTTCTTCCTCTTCCACGGCCGCAAGAACGTCAAGCGGCTGTGGGAAGATGCCAAAGGCATGACGATTCATATCAAGAAGAGCCGGATCATTATCCAGAGTCTGGACGGCACCTTTACAGCCTTCAAGCACCACGAGGTTGATGGTGGTTTCAAGATGTACCATTATGCTGGTGAACATAAGACCGAGCCCAAGGATGTCAAATCTTTGAAGTACGTCAGCACCTATTCGGGTGAGATGTGTCTCCTGGTCAAGCAGGAGTTCAAGGACGGGAAAGTGACGAACGAATACCACTACGACTACAGATCCCCGGTTAAGAAAGGCTTCAAACTTGGAAAATCCTCGGCCCGCATTCCACTGGGACGACGCTGCGTGTCAGGACCAAACCATTTGCAAAGTGTCCAGTACAACCGCAAGGGTCTCATCGAATCTGGCTCCTACATGAAGGATGGCAATCTTATCCGCTTCAAATACCATTATCGCAAGAACCCCCGTTTTGGCGATGAACTGCTCCGAGCCGAGTTCGTTTTATCCCACATCAGTTGTACGGTGTCTTGGTGTGCGCCTCCGCGTCGCCACCCCGAAAAGGTTGAGCGCTGGATTCCTCACTCCAAGGTCACCGAGGCCAGCTTTGTCCAAGGTCCCGATGTCTATGAAAGCCGTTGGCTTTATGATCACAAGTTCCATCCCACCATCTTCACCACTATCAACGGGCAGAAGATGCAAACTCCACCCATGATTGAGCACGATTATTTAAATGTACTTTCCAAGCCGAAGTACACCAGCTTTGTTCATGATAATCCCCTTTTCTACTGTGACAGTCTCCAGTCAAATCTTCTTACTCGGACATTGGGCCTCACGAAGAAGCGATTTGTGGTTTCAACTTCTCGGGCTCGCTCCTTGATGTGGAAGGCGTGGAAGGATCGTGTTGATTTCGATGCAATCATTGTTCGCTGGTTGGATGACCGCATTCTGCGTAGAGATAAAGTTCTTACCCCTTACTGGCGCAGCCGTGACTGGGGTAATCTTGTATCTGCAAAGAAGTATGTGGATCTTCGTGCCGATGCGATCATGGCCAGTGCAGATCTGGACGACAATATTTCCAGCTGGACCCCTCTCGCTGTGAAGCTCACCGATCTGCTCAACTTTGGCCCTGGTGGTGATGCTGTTGTTAACATCCGCTCCAAGAACTTTGGCAAGGATACAGACAAGACCCTCCATGTTATGGCAGCAGACAATGGTACCTGGCCCAATGAAGGTGGCGGTGTCTCTGCCTGTCGACGAGATATGATCAACTCCCTGCGAACCATCAAATGGCACATGATTTGCGAGTCCGCCAACGATTTTGGTGTCCCCAAGCATCAGACTGAACAGAACATCCAGTCTCTCAAACTCATCCCGCTTTGGGGTATGGACTTCCTCACTCCGACTCACGGTTTGTTCAACAACAAGCTGGATGCTGAAGTGGACAATGTTACATCCGCGAGCGAGTTCGACATCAAGATGAACTTTCTTCCGATTCTGACAGCTTTGGTTAAGGGTGCTCGTGCAGTTCATCTCTCAAAGTCTGATATCCACCAGGCAACTCGAGCGCTTGTGAACCTGAACACATACTTCCAGGAGTCTCGCCATTGGACTCAGGTTTGGAACAGTGAAATAGTCAAGCAGTGTTGGCGCGAGTTGTGGATGACCCAGGAAATGCCGAATACTATCCCGTCATCTGACTGGTTTGACACTGAGCTTCCTACCTTGACATCCCTCGATGTCGCTTTGGAGCTATGGTACCGCTACCTCTTCATCTTCTCGATCCCGGTCCCTGAAAAGATTCCTTCAACCTTCCAAGCCTCGCATCACAGCGTCAGTGCGTCTTACGGTGTTGTATGCAAGATCAAGCGCAACTGTACCTTGCAGATTTGGGACCACGCCATCAGTTGGCGTGAAACCAATCTCTGCCTGTCGTCTGCCCTATGCAAGCTCTCACCATTTGTTCGAAATGCTCTCCTTGGATTGATGCGAATCACCTCTGTTTTGACCCTTCATCACGCGGACATCATTCTTCCCTGTGCAGACTTCTTCAACCCCGGTTGGGAGGTCGAGATCGGTACCTGCCAGGGCACAATTGAACACCGAAACACTTTCCGCCGAAAGATCGACCCTGTCGTTAACGGTATTACTGACATGCAGAAGTTTTCTCCGGTCAAGGAAATCAAATCTGAGCGTCCGACCGTGACCATGTTGTCCCACGTTTGGTATGCCAAGGACATCAAGACTGCCCTTCTCGCTGCAGATATCATCATCAACCAGTGGAAGTTCGACGAGTACCATCTGGACATCTATGGTGCCATCGACAAGGCCCCGACTTACTCTACCGAGTGTCAAGAGATTATTGCATCGAAGGGTCTTCGTGGCAAAGTCACACTCTGCGGAACTGCCGACCCCATGAAGGTCCTAGAGAACACATGGCTTTTCCTCAACTCATCTCTATCTGAAGGTCTCCCTCTCGCTCTAGGAGAGGCTGCTTTAACTGGGGCTCCTGTCGTCTGCACAGACGTCGGTGCTTCCCTCCGAGTACTCAGCGACCCAGATGACTTCTCCCGCTTCAGTGCCGTCGTCGCACCAAACGACGCCCTCGCCCTAGCAAAGGCCCAAATCGGCATGCTCGCCATGCTCGGCGAATGGAGCAAGCACAGCGACGACACATCACCCGCGCCAGTCCTGACCTCCTCCCCTACGCCTGAGGAAGTAGCAGCCATCACCCGCCGTATGTACGAGAAGAGTGAGCACCGTCGCAAACTCGGCATGATGACACGAAAGATTGTTCAGAAGTCCTTCAGCGGAGACCGGTACCTTCGCGAGCACGAGCAAATGTTATGGATTGGCAAGTCCGCTAAGATGATAGCCAGCCGCGCAGCTGGCGATCCGATCGAGCCGGCCGACGTGGCAGCCGCCATGGAGACTGGCGTCGATGAAGAGATCATTACCATCCCACGCGGTGTGGTGCACTCCTGGCGCTCTTCTGCCCAGTCCGGTATCTCCTCGATCTACAGTTCCGCGTCCCACCTACCCGGTCGTGGCGACCATCGCCGTCCCCAGTCTGATATCTCAGCTATGAGCATGAGCAATGTCTCTACGGATACGGAGTCCTTCTCTCGCCTGCCTGTCTTTGCGCCGAGGCATTCCGCAATTCCCAACGGCGGCTCTCCCGGTAATAGGTCGCCGTCACCCATGTGGGCCTCCAACCCTCGGTTGCCTGTGCCGAATGCCGGTCGTCACACCCTCTCGCGTCCTCAATCCTACTCGCGCTCCGTCTCAACCACCGGTCGAGAACAGCTGCGTGGCTTGCAGCGCGAAGACTTCCTCCCGTATCGAAATTCCGATGTTAGTGTGATCAACAGAGATGACTTCATTCGGGCTGGCGGGCTTTCTCCTGCTGGTTGAATCTCGCGCATCTTGTTTTGAGTTCTATGCACCCACACTCCTTGCCATCGCCTACTTGCACATACCACACTCCTGTACAGTTTTCTTGCTTCATTCTGTTCATATTTGCACATTCGTTGTCTTACTTGGTTCCTGGAAGGAACCACAGGAAGTATTTGAAGAAAAGCTTCTAGTAATATGTTTGTCTGATTTTTTATAGTCTAATTTTTTTATACCAGTTCTGTTGTTTTGACATGTCAAGAAATTGTGGCATATATCGGAGACGTCCGTCTATCTTCTACCTCCTAGCTTAGTCATGAGAATATATCAACTTATAATATGCATCCATTGTCTCTTAGAACTATGTATATCTAGCAGGATATGATGTACCCATGTGGGTTATAGAGAATCGCAGAACAGATGTATTTATCCCGAAAAGCCAAAAGAAAAGCGAGTCAGTCAAGGGCACAAGACCCTTCACGTCGACTTCTGTGGTCTCGGACTCGTGGTCCGATGCCATTCACCATTGAACGCATTGATGAGCCAGCTCGAGAGACCTTATTTCACAGTTAGTCATATCCTATTCCAACCTTGGAGAGGCATTAAATGGGAGCACGTCCCAACCCAACTTACGTTCATAAACAAGCGCATGCGCCATGTGGAATTGTATACTATGATCTGAGTCTGGGAAGACCTGCATGTCGTAGTTGGCGATATTCTCCAAATCCAGCTTGTCAATCAGCACAAGGGTATTTTGGAGATGAACGTTGTCGTCGGCAACACCGTGCATGATCAAAAACCGAACACTGTGGCCTAGGGCCGTCACATCACTGATGGAGGCATTCGCGTAGCCTGAGGGATTGTGCTCGGGGGTATGCATATAACGTTCTGTATAGATGGAGTCTTTGAACAAATAACATATCAGCATGTGGGGAAATAAGCGGAACAGTGCTAATATGAGTAAGCTTACCATAGAACCTCCAATCAGTGACGGGCGCAACGGCCATGCCATATTGGAATGTCTCGCCCGCATCTTGTTCAAGGACCTTCAAGGTCATGTAGCCACCGTAGCTCCAGCCCCAAACTGCCATACGGCTTTCATCCACATAGTTCTTGCTAGCCCAAATCTTGGCCGTCGCGATCTGATCGAGAGCTTCGTAATGGCCGATATTACCACGGACAACGCAGCGGGCTTCTCTCCCAATGAAGCCTGTTCCTCGACCGTCCACAGTGACAACAATATAACCCAGGCTCGAGGCGACATAGGTCTGGAAGTCAATCGTGAACTTGCGGTCGACTGTTTGCGATCCTGGTCCACCATATAGAAAGAAAAGCACGGGATATTTCTTTGCAGGGTTGAAATTTGGAGGGCGCCGCTCCAGAACTTGGAGCGTGTAATCATCAATGGTAACGTTGGTGTACACCTCGGTTGGAAGAGCAAATTCTTTAACCATCTTAGCGAGTTCAAGGTTCTCTTCGATGATGTTTATGAATTCAACTTCGTCACGTTGGGTGCTGATCACGGACTGCCACGGTACCGATGGGCCTCTATAGCTGAGTAAACCATAGCCGGCTCCATGGGAAAATGAAACATCGAAAAAGCCGAGTGCTGACGTGTTCGTCAGAGGGCGAAGATCGGAGCCGTCCAATTTGACCGAGTAGACGTGACGCTGGGTTGGAGCCTCCTTTGTGGCAATGAAGTATACGAGACCCTTCGTCAGGTCGACAGCAGACGGTGCCTTGACAACCTCCCAATTGCCATTGGTCAACATCACAGGCTGTGGGTTGTCGAAAGGTGTGAAATAAGCCAAATGATCATAGCCCTCATAAATGACAGTGTCAATATAGCCATCGTGTGGTCGTCCATTTTTGGGGTCAGCGGGAATAAATCGAGTGGACTGTGAAGGCTCAACCCAGCCACCGTCAAGAGCTGCGATATCCTCTGACCGCACCAGTTTTCCAGTTCGGGCCTTTGTGTCCATAACAAAGATCTTCACAACGTCGCTTTCGCGATTGGTCTCTCGGATCAAAACCTTACCCTCAGATGCCCAGACGATCTCAATAATAATTCTTTCATCGTCAGTAAAGTCATCTGGCATATCAAATGAAAAAACTTCATTCTTCTCGACATCATAAAACTGTAGATTGACGATTGGATTCGGGCTGCCGGGTTTCGGGTATTTGATTTGCCTGACTTCGGGGTAATTTTCAAGTCCTGGCGGTGGCTGTTTGCCTGATGGATGTGAAAGGAAGTACTGAATAGGATATTCAGGAACTGCTGACTCGTTTGTTCGCAGGAATGCGACAAACTTTCCATCGCCAGACCACCAGGTGCCGGTGTTGCCTGCAAATACTTCTTCCTCATACACCCAATCTGGAACACCATAAAAGAGGTTCTCGTCGCCATCCTTGGTGATGGGGGTAACCTCTAAGGAGGCCAGCTTGCGCAAGTATAGATTATTCTCGCGAACAAACACAACTGCATCGGAAGTTGGCGCCCAAGCTGCAAGCTGTACCCGTCCACTCAGGTTCCCTGGATCTAGCGGCTCGGCCTTTTGTGTCGCCACATCAAAGATCCAATATTTCCCAAAGTACGAGTGTCTCCAATTGGATTGAGTGTCAGTCATGACCAAGACCTTGTTCATATCAGGGCTTGGCCATGTCTTGGCTGGTTGCATGGCCTCTCCATCAAACCAGATGTACCCCTTCTTCATCAACACTCTGGTCTCGAGATTATCGACACCGTCCTTACTACTGCGGATATCTTTCACACGCAAAAAAGCGTCTTGCTGCTCACCCTGCTCAACCAGAAGCCCATCCTCGCCGTTTGGGCCTGCAATCCAGGAGATCGCATGGGACTTCGGAGACCAGGTCCCAGATAATACTTGCTCAAGTGTCACTGGTTTCCCGTGGCTTATACCACCGGTGATCGATATCGAGTCTGGTTCATGAGTATCCACTCCTGAGGCAGATGAGAGCGCCGCGGCATTGGGTCGTTTCTGCGTGAGGAACAGCACGAAGGCAAGCGCCCAGCCACCGACGCAAAGCAACACCAGTAACCATACGATCCGGCGCAGGCGACTAGACGACCCTGACTTCTGCCCGCTTGGTATTAGAGGCTCATCTGAGTCATGTTCCCCTTCATCTTCAATATCCCGGTATCTATGTCCATCCCCTTCCTCCCTCGGCATCGTGTTGCCTCCCTTATGGTTCTTCATAAACGATTCGGAGGCGATCGATAGACCCGAATCGGTGGACATTTGTGAGATAGGGGATTCGGATCCTTGTCGAGTCAACGGTAGGGACTCTGGGGTCCCCTCATCTTCGAACTTCCCCATGGTAGTTGTTGATCGGAGTTCACAGGCGGAGAGCTGACGTCCCGATCGTGACGCTATCTCTTATCGCCAGCGATTCGAGCCGGGTAAGCGCCAACAACTGGAGTGTTTAATGGCAGTAGATATATGTGTATATATAATCGCCAAATTACTGAGACGATGTATGAAAAAGCAGATATCACTTTTCGAGAGCTGTCGGGGGATCTTGTGAAACGGGCCGAGGCCATCTCTTGGCGCGGACAAAGAGTCTATTCATGTCTTTAGCTTCAAATATCCTTATTCAATTCCATTTTGGATTGTATTATTGATGTTCGATTCGCCTCTTACAAGCTGGCCTTGTGGCAGGTGTGTATACTATTAAAATAATCATTTGCTGTTTCGGGGCAGTTGGTGCTCAAAGGTTGCACTATACATCTCAAATACGTTTGTCATATTGAGCTATATCTACTGTCGCAGGAATGTTTTCTCAAAAGATAGTGGCAAATGTGCTGAAGTAGTTTGGATCGCCAGAAGTTCCTAAGAAAAGAAGTCTTTATCGAAAGATCATACAGGCCCGATGAAGATGTTTAAGGGCTTCCAAAAATTGACTCTCATCTGATTTCATTGTTTTAATTTGCTTGAGAGTGCATTTCATGAAACGGCACTATTAAAGAGCCCAATAGAGGTCATTGGAGAGTGTGCACATAGGAGCTTGTAGTACCCTCTTTGGTGACCCCAAATAGCTCCTATATTAAACTCCCATACTAGTGGCACCCTCGGGACCAACCACACCCTAGGTCTCGCATTTCATAATGGAATATGCGAGGATGGTATTATATGAGGCTCGGTTTATCATACATTGCACAGGAAGGGTATACAAGTCTGAGAGTGATTCTATGCAGGAACGGGATATTTTTTTAATTACTCTCGCGATCAAATCGCTTTCCATCATACAGCTCACATTAGCGGCCGCCGAGGGCGTTTACCGCGACAGAGCAATGTCATCAATTCTCATGATCATCTTCACAGTCTCGGCAGCCAGCTCAATCGCACTGGTGCTGACCAGCAGGGGCTGGAGAATATTCTCCTCTGTAATATCATCCTTCACACCACCGCTGCGAATACTGACGCCAGCATTGTGCTGGCCCTGAGCGTGGCGGTGACGCAGTTCAGTCACAACCTTGATGGAGTTAAGACCGGCGTTCTCAGCGAGAGTAGTAGGAATAACCTCCATGGCATCGGCGAAGGCCTTGAAGCAGATAGCCTCGGTGCCAGTAAGCTCACGGGCACGCATAGCGAGTGTGTGGGCCACTTCAATCTCGGGAGCACCACCACCCGCGATCATGGCACGCTTCTTGACGAGGCAGCGGATGACACACAACGCGTCGTGCAAAGATCGCTCGGCTTCATCCAAGATCAAGCTGTTGGCACCGCGGGCGACAATTGAAACGGTCTGGTTGTAAGAGGCAAGAGGAGCCTTGATACCAGTGATTTTGACGTAACGGGCACCGGAATTCTGAACTTCCTCGACGAGGTCAGCAGTGCCGAGCTTGTCCTCGGTGAAGGAGTCAACATTAGCGACAGGCTTGCAGCCAAGACTCTTGCACAAGAACTCGACCTCATCACGTTCAATATCCTTGATGGCGAGAATCTTGAGACGGGAAAGGAAGTGCAGGGAAAGTTCGTTCACAGCGTCACGGAGGATAGATTTTTGAATCAAAAGGACGTTACACTTGGTCTTCTGGATTTTCTTGACCATGTTGAGCATGTATTGGCGCTCCTCTTTCAGGATCTTATCCATCTGACGGTAGTCGTTCACCACGATTTGATTCTCCATCTAGAATCTGATTGTCAGTCTCGTTCCAGCATCAGTGCGAGGCCTGGGCAAACATACGTCTGGCTTAGGCGGGCTCAGTTGGAACTGAATCAGGCCTATCCGCGCCTTCTCGATTCTTGTGGGACCACCACTGCTCTTGATCACAGGCTGGTTGAGAACCACACCATCGACCATCTCGCTATCCTCAATTGTACCGCCAACCTTCTTCACAATACGGATATCCCGCAAGTCCACATTCTCTGCAGTCTTCGGGTCACAAACCTTCAGGACGGAGTCGACGGCCATCGGGCCAAGAAGTCCGGAGTGCTGAGACACGATCTTGGACGAAAGCGAAGTGGAAGCAGCTTGGAGGAGGGTGGACCGATCGGAAAGGTTGATAGGGCGGGACATGTTGTGAAGGATCTCGACGGCAGCACCGGCGGCTCTTTGGAAAGACTCGGAGATGACAGTGGGGTGGAGGCCCTTGGATAGCAACTTTTCGGCAGCGCCGAGCAGACTGCCAGCAATGACAACCACTGAAGTCGTTCCATCGCCAGCTTCGACATCCTGTGCCGAACTCAGGTCGACGAGCATACGGGCAGCTGGGTGCATCACGCTCATATCCTTCAACATGGTGTTTCCATCGTTGGTCTGCGGGGGTCAGTTGGGGCTCCCGATGTGTTCGAATGGAATTGGGCTGCGTACAATGATGGTCTGTCCCTTGGCCGTTTGGATCTGCGAAAAAGTAAGCATCTTGATAGAACGAAGCCCTGAGCAGTACTCACCATCTTATCCATACCCCTGGGTCCCAACGACTATATTCCTGTTAGCCCCTCATCTACGTATCTGCAGATCGTTCGAGCAAGCGTACTGTTCGGATGGCATCGGAGACAGCTATGATATCGTTAGCATGTGCGCTTTTCAATGACAGGGAATATACATACCCCGAGCAGCGAGAATGTTAGAGGCCCGCACGGCCATCGGCTTCTCCTTGTCCTATATGCAATCAGAAATCAGTGGCCCACACACATCAGTTGAGGTTCTCGCACCTTGAAGGAGTTGTTGCCGGCGGTTCCCTGTGCTACTGCGGCGGCCATTTTGAAAATTGATATTCAAAATTAACCTTAAAAAATGAGTGAAAGGGGACAGTTGAGTTGTTGTGGTGGAGGACACACAGGAAATTCTGCGAGGTTCTGGGGCGGTGATGAAGCTTGGCACCTGATTAGTGAGGCTAGCTCAACTACCGCAGCTCTGCTACATCACCGTTCTTTGCTCTCCCAATACTCAACTTATCTATCTTTTTTCGAATTGCTACTGCTTTCAGAGGACATCGATTTTGTTCTATCTGCATATAAATCTTCGATTCTATTATTTCCCTGGACTCTCCCTTAGCTCGGCCTTGGGCTGTCAACACCTTTCATCATGCCTAGCGCCACGGGTCAGAACTGGGAGAAATTCCAGAAGAACTACGCAGACGATGAGGAACCAGAGAAGAAGATCACACCCCTTACAGACGAGTGAGTACCGGCTGTGCCGATTCTATCCACACAAAGCGCGATAGCAATGATTAACTTGAGATTTATCACAGTGATATCGCAGTACTCAAGACTTATGGCGCCGCACCTTACGCGAATGCGCTGAAGAAGCTTGAAAAGGATATCAAGGACAAACAGAACAGCGTCAATGAGAAGATCGGCGTTAAGGTGATAACCTGTCCAGCTCTTTCGGCCCCTTGAACAATTAGAGCTTACACCTTCAAAGGAATCCGACACCGGTCTTGCGCCTCCACACCTTTGGGATGTTGCCGCCGATCGACAACGCATGGCGGAGGAACAGCCGCTACAGGTCGCGAGGTGCACGAAAATTATCCAGGACGAGAAGGACTCGGACAAGAGCAAATATGTGATCAACGTCAAGCAAATTGCCAAGTTCGTTGTCAACTTAGGAGAGCGTGTGAGTCCGACAGATATCGAGGAAGGCATGAGAGTTGGGTAAGTTATGTGGTGGATTCGTTTGTCATTCCTAGACACTGACCAGTCTTCGCAGCGTCGACCGTAATAAGTACCAGATCATGCTGCCCTTGCCGCCGAAGATTGACCCCAGCGTGACAATGATGACTGTCGAGGATAAGCCCGATGTGACCTACGGAGATGTTGGCGGATGCAAAGAACAGATCGAGAAGCTACGAGAAGTTGTTGAAATGCCCTTGCTATCGCCGGAACGTTTTGTGAACCTCGGTATCGACCCACCTAAGGGTGCTCTGCTCTACGGACCTCCAGGAACCGGTAAGACCCTTTGCGCCCGTGCAGTCGCCAACCGGACGGATGCTACGTTCATTCGTGTCATTGGCAGTGAACTGGTGCAGAAGTACGTTGGCGAGGGTGCTCGGATGGTCCGTGAACTTTTCGAGATGGCCCGTACCAAGAAGGCATGCATCATTTTCTTCGACGAAATTGATGCCGTTGGTGGTGCACGTTTTGACGATGGTGCTGGTGGCGACAACGAGGTGCAGCGAACCATGCTGGAACTGATCACACAGCTGGATGGGTTCGACTCTCGTGGTAACATCAAGGTCATGTTCGCTACCAACCGCCCGTCCACACTTGACCCAGCCCTGATGCGTCCCGGTCGTATCGATCGTAAGATCGAATTCTCGCTGCCGGATGTTGAGGGCCGTGCCAACATTCTCCGAATCCACGCCAAGAGTATGTCCGTCGAGCGGGACATCCGTTGGGAGTTGATCTCACGATTGTGCCCTAATGCTACAGGTGCCGAACTTCGCAGTGTTGCAACTGAGGCAGGTATGTTTGCTATTCGGGCTCGCCGCAAGGTGGCTACCGAGAAGGACTTCTTGGCCTCTGTTGAGAAGGTGATTAAGGGTAACCTCAAGTTCAACTCGACGGCGACATATATGCAGTACAACTAGAGGTTCCGACTTGCATTATGGATGAGATGTACTATGATTATTGTCTTGTCACGTGGGAGTTTTTTTTTTCCTGGTCAATGCAACATAATTTCAACCAAATTTCCTGACTTCCAATAATGTAGTACGGGCTCGAACGATGATGTAGTCCCTTCGCGTTCCTGATTGGTGAGAACATAGTTTGTCATGTGACTACACGTGACCTTTCGATATAAATGTGTAATACATGTGAAAAAGACAGCACTTAGCGATTGTATGTCGTTCCATCAAGAAAAGTGGGACTATAATCAGAACAGATAGCCATATATAGCTTCAAGACCCCGTAATCGATCTTAGCGGCTCTCTCAGTCTCCCTGACGTTCTACCGTATCCTTCCGGCAGCCTCTGCTGGCCGGCAAAATGAATGGTGCACACGTGCCATCTGGCCAATCACGGGGGGCCGGCTGCCCGAGGTTGATTTTCATTGCGCAGCCGCTGATTGGCTAATTCGGCCCCGGTCCTCCCCGTCGGCAACTGTGAGAATGATTATGTCAGCGTGAAACTGCCAACCGCAACCCGATTCCAGATGAAAGTGTTGCCCTGGAAGGAGTTCGCTATTCCACAATCTCCCCTCTTTGCTACCCGTCACCGACCCTTGGTGTCCTACTGTTCTCTTGGTTCATTAGGGAAATTCAATTCTCTTTTGATCCGCCATCATGAGCTCCATGAACCTGCGGAGCCTAGCTCCAGCATCCAAGGTGAGTAGCCATGCAACGATTTTCGGCCCGTTCGCAACACCCGTATCATACTCACCCGTCTATTTCTCTAGGTTTCCCGCATTTTGAGGGACCAGAGACGTCTTTTCTCATCTTCAAGACCCGCAGGTACGCATTAGAGCACTCGAATTGTCAGTTCACGGAAGCACCACTAATCACTACTGCGCCAGCCCGGATATGGTCCAACCAGCCCTTGCGCGCTAAGGAGTCCAATGGCTACCTGACTGACAAGTACCCTATTATTGTAAGACTATTCCGCTCTTCGGATGGAAACGAGGTTCATTGGGTCTAACTTGTGCAGGATCACGAGTACGATGCCGTCGTTGTCGGTGCCGGTGGTGCCGGTCTGCGCGCTGCTTTCGGTCTGGCCGAGGCTGGATTCAAGACTGCTTGTGTTTCCAAGCTGTTCCCCACGAGAAGTCACACCGTCGCCGCCCAGGGTGGTATCAACGCCGCCCTTGGAAAGTAAGTTCTTCCCAAAGCACTGAAAGGTAGCGAATCGCGTCTAATTAGATTTTAGCATGCACAAGGATGACTGGAGATGGCACATGTACGATACTGTGAAGGGTTCTGATTGGCTTGGTGACCAGGACGCCATTCACTACATGACCCGCGAGGCTCCGGCCAGTGTTCGCGAGCTTGAGGGCTACGGTTGCCCCTTCTCGCGTACCGAGGATGGACGTATCTACCAGCGTGCTTTCGGTGGTCAGTCCAAGGATTTCGGTAAGGGTGGTCAGGCTTACCGTTGCGCCGCCGCCGCCGACCGTACTGGTCACGCCCTTCTGCACACCCTCTACGGGCAGTCTCTCCGCCACAACACCAACTACTTCATCGAATATTTCGCCCTTGACCTGTTGATGGAGGATGGTGAGTGCCGTGGTATTATTGCCTACAACCAGGAGGATGGTACTCTGCACCGCTTCAAGGCCCACCACACTGTTCTTGCCACCGGTGGTTACGGACGTGCCTACTTCTCCTGCACCTCCGCCCACACTTGCACTGGTGACGGTATGGCTATGGTCGCTCGTGCTGGTCTGCCTAACCAGGATCTGGAATTCGTTCAGTTCCACCCTACTGGTATCTACGGTGCTGGTTGCCTGATCACCGAGGGCTCCCGTGGTGAGGGTGGTTACCTGCTCAACTCCGAGGGTGAGCGTTTCATGGAGCGTTACGCTCCCACTGCCAAGGATCTTGCCTCCCGTGACGTTGTCTCCCGCTCCATGACTCTCGAGATTCGTGAAGGCCGTGGCGTTGGTCCCGAGAAGGACCACATCTACCTCCAGCTTAGCCACTTGCCCGCCGAGCTCCTGCACGAGCGTCTGCCCGGTATCTCCGAGACTGCCTCGATCTTTGCTGGTGTTGATGTCACCAAGCAGCCCATCCCTGTCCTGCCCACCGTCCACTACAACATGGGTGGTATCCCCACCAAGTACACTGGTGAGGTTCTGAATGTGGACGAGAATGGCCAGGAGAAGGTTGTTCCTGGTCTGTACGCCTGCGGTGAGGCCGCATGTGTCTCTGTTCACGGTGCTAACCGCCTGGGTGCTAACTCCCTGCTTGATCTGATTGTCTTCGGTCGCGCTGTGTCTCACCGTGTCCGTGACACTTCCACTCCTGGCAAGCCCCACAAGGAGCTTGCTTCCGATGCCGGTGCTCAGTCCATCAAGGACCTCGACTTTGCCCGTACCGCCGATGGCCCCAAGTCGACCTTTGAAATTCGTAACGCTATGCAGAAGACCATGCAGACCGACGTCAGCGTCTTCCGTACCCAGGAGAGCTTGGACGAGGGTGTCGAGAAGGTCAACCTTGTTGACCAGATGTACTCCCAGGTTGGCACCAAGGACCGCAGCATGATCTGGAACTCCGACTTGGTGGAGACCCTTGAGCTCCGCAACCTTCTGACTTGCGCGTATGTATCCCCAGATTATTGATTTATAATCGCTTGCTAACATCCATACTACAGTACCCAAACCGCTGCTTCTGCTGCCGCTCGTAAGGAGTCTCGTGGTGCTCACGCCCGTGAGGACTACCCCGACCGTGACGACGAGAAGTGGATGAAGCACACACTCTCCTGGCAAAAGAAGCCCCACGGCGAGGTCAAGCTGGGCTACCGTGCCGTTGAGGCTAACACCTTGGATGAGGCGGAGTGCAAGGCCGTCCCTCCTTTCAAGCGTACTTACTAAGCTCGCTATTTTGGAATCGACCCGCAGAGAATACGGAGGATACCACGGAGTTGTTTCAGATGAACCCTATCGACGCCCTCTCCCAAACCTCGTGGTTTTGAGGTGGAACTAGGGCTTGTGGCGTCGTGAGGCCCCGTTTCAAGGGGAAACATCTATGAAAAAGACTTTTTTTTTTTGTTGACTGTGTTACTTACCATCCTGTATAGCCATATTTTTTTCCTTTATCTTAACAGGCGAAGAGTTGGTGTACTGAGTGCTTTTCCCCTCAGTTTGTCTCATATGATTGGATTTATTATTTCTTAATGTTGTTCCGTTCCCTCTAGGTACAGACAGTACCGATATGTAGTCTTCTCTCGTATGGAAATCCCGCTCTATCTTGAGTTTCCTAACAACCTCTTGAGCCCCCGGTCTGTCAACAAAGAAACCAAACATCTTCCAGTTTCATTTCGAACCTTGACTAATTTGTGATTTATTGCTCGCTAAATTCTGGGATCATTTATCTCCATGACAACGATCTCGAGTCCATTATCCAATGCCTCACATGAACTAAAGAGAAACCAACACGCAGGTGACGAGCCTATTGGTGACGACGACAGGGATCTATAAATGGCATACCATCGCCCCGCACAAGCCATTAACAAAGAAAACTTCCCTCTCTGCTTCTTTCAACCGTGTGGTGGTATCCCATTCGAGAGAGAATGAATGTCTCTTGAATATCTGTCGGGGTATGGCCCTCTGTCATCTCTGGCAAATCCTCAGATCTTGAAGGTTGAAACGAGGTCTCTCACCTTCAGTTCCAGGTTGTTCTATCCAGCATCACTGTGTGTTGCGATTTGATCAAGTTATCGAATTCGGTGAATGAGACTTTGTCGTTGAGGATGCTAGTTGAGACCGAGTCTTCCGAGTCCCTCGGGTCTCTTGTACCTCGAGACCTGAATACCTGCACTGGGATAAAGCAGTGGTATGTCTGCACGGCAGGCAACTTTCGTGGATGCTGCTCGAGTGATCCATGTACGACAGGGATTTGTCCGGACGATGGCGATGAAGACGACTCGGGCACTACCCCAACCAAGTCGTCAACACTCTCGTTGACGACCGCTGGGTTCATTGGTTTGTTGCCAAACGTGACGCCGAGAACCACCACTACGTCCTCCATTTCCACTTCAACGGAGTCAACCACCGTCTTGTCAACGGGTCTGTCTACGGTGACACCTGTACCTTCCCCGACAGCGTCCTCTGTCACTTCGGAAACATCAGCAGGTTCGAAGACACCCCCAGTAAAACCCACGACTTCAAAAGCTTTCACAAGTTACACAAGCCCACGGCTATAGGAGCTACTGGTACTACTGCGCCTTCACCCAGTACTTCGTCTAACACGCCAGGTGCCGCATCTTCAAACCTGGGCGCAATCATCGGCGGTGTTGTTGGTGGGGTTGCAGTTTTGATCATATGTGCCATTCTGCTCTTCTGTTGCTGTCGCCACAAGAGAAAATATGGGAAGCGTGAGAAGGGGTCAACACTCGTCTCATGGTACTCAAATGGATTCACGCGGAAAGATCGCGCAACTGCGTCCAAATCGAAAGGGCCTCTATCCCCATCAGACAGCGAAGCAAATAGTGAGCAAAACCTCATTCAGCAACTGACTGGCCATTAAGGCCAACACAACATTTCACTGATACTAGACATTGCACAGACACATCGAGCGCTGTCTCCCCATTCACTATTGATAACACACGGGCAAGCACGATTCTTACCCCAGACCTAACATTGGTGTCATCGTCAACAAGCCTTATCTCACACTCTCCTCTCAACACACCACCAGTTCCGCCAACCAAAGTACACTCAAACGAACTCTTCGCTTCAGTCCCTCCCCGCCAAGGATTTACCCCAGAGCTGCAAGACACGGGCTTCCATCGCCTCCGCGCTGAACTAGCCTCCCACTCACAAAGCGAGCTGATCAATGTACCCATGGAGCACCGACAGCGACAGCAGAGTCATATCAAGTCGAGGCCTGGTCCGCGGGCTTGGGAATCGCCTGCCTTGGCGCCTATGGTTAGCCCGTATGCAAGCCCTAGAACGGGAACCGACAACGGCAGCCACCACAGCCACAGCAATAGTAACGGGGGTAGTCCGGCGAGAAACCCAGCTGGGCGGGTCATTACTGCCGAGGGAGTTGTCCTAGGTGCGAATCTTGATCGATACTCTAATGGTATGGAAATCGGAGAGTCCCAGGCTCAGGGGGAAAGGGGAAGGAAGGCTGAGCGTGGTGAGACAGATCATGTTATGAGTTTCATGCAGTATGGTGGGAGGTCGGAGGATCGAGGTTTAGGGAACGGGCTTGGAATCACGACAGATGGCCATACTTCCAGTCACCAGGGACGCAGAAGCAGTGCGTCCAGGTCGAGACCTAAGCCCGCGGAGCGCAGTTTAGAATATGATATTGCGGCTGCGGAGGGTCATGCTGACATCCCGCCTGCTTATCAGGCAGAAGAAGGGGCTCCTGGAAGGGATACTAAGTCTCCATCTGGGACAATGGGCATGAGCCTGAGAGGGGTTTGAGCGGTATATCTTAATTTTGGAGAGTAATGCTGGGTTATTTATATGTCAGAGCTGGAATCCCAGCTGAAGTTTTTTTTTATTTTTTATTTTTTGATGAGAACGACGGCTCGATAGGTATGTTGTATGATATTCCCCCTTTGTTACATAGTTTGGGCGTTGACGTTTTGGAAGACACCTAAACAAGTCAATTCATACATTCATTTTTGTCTAACCGAAAGCCTAACGTTTGTTTTCTGTCATATATCGTATCTTGAAGATTTTACAGTAACTTCTTCAGCACGGCGGTCTGCTCGAGGACTGCGCGCTTGCTGGTTCCGCCAATGGCATCCTTCAACTCGACGGCGCGCTCGTAGTCGAGGCAAGCCTGGACATCAGCGTCAAAGCGCGGGTCGACTTCCTGGAGCTGCTTCAGAGAGAGTGTGTCCATGGGGACATTGGTGTTCTCGGCCAGAGCAACGACGCGGCCAGAAATGTGGTGTCCCTCGCGGAAAGGCACACCCTTTCGGACAAGGTAGTCGGCAATTTCGGTAGCCAGCATCTCCGGGGCCAGGGCGGCGACCATCTTCTCGGGGTTGACGGTAAGAGTAGAGAGCACACCGGTTGCAATCTGGATGCTGTCGCTGACAGTCTTGATATGGTCGAGCATGGGCTCAACACTCTCCTGCAGATCCTTGTTGTAGGTAGTGGGCAGGCCCTTGATTGTGCACATCAGGCCGGCCATCTGGCCGAAGGCACGGCCAGCCTTGCCGCGGAGCAGCTCCAAGCTGTCTAAATTGTAGATCACGTATCAGTATGCTGCTTCATATTGCATGTACGTTATTTAAACTTACCTGCGTTCTTCTTCTGGGGCATAAGTGACGATCCAGTCGAGTAGGCATCCGACAGACGGACAAAGCCAAACTCCAGACAGCTGTAGATGATCAGATCCTCGGCCCAGCGAGAGATCTTGAGCATGAACGAGCTGCCCCACTGCATGGTCTCCATGGCGAAATCGCGGTCCGCAACAGCGTTCATGGAGTTGTACAGCAAGCCATCGAAGCCAAGCTCCTTGGCCATAGCCTCGCGATCAATGTTGAAGCAGTTACCAGCGAGGGCACCAGTTCCGAGGGGGCTCTTGTTGACGCGACGGATAACCTCACGCAGACGCTCCAACTCGCTAGCGAAGGCAGTGGCATGCGACAGGATCCAGTGGGACCAGCGGACGGGCTGGGCCTTCTGCAGGTGGGTGTAGCCGGGCATAAGATAAGCGATATCATTCTCAGCGCGAGCAATGGAGACCTTGATCAGATCGGAAAGGTGTTTCTCGATCAATCGGAGCTCATCGCGAAGCCACAAGCGCATATCCGTGGCGATCTGCTCATTGCGCGACCGACCGGTGTGCAGCTTACCGCCGATCTCCTTGCCAATGATCTCTCCCAAACGTCGCTCGTTGGCAGTGTGGATGTCCTCATCGTTCTCCTTGGCCACGAAAGTATTTGTTTGCCATTCCTGGGCGATCTGCTTGAAGCCCCGCTCGATCTCGGCGAACTCTTGTGCTGTGAGGAGACCAGAATTGGTATTGGCGCGGGCGAAGGCAATTGAGCCAGCAATATCCTGCTTCCAGAACACACGGTCGTAGGGGAGTGAAGTGTTGTACTGCACCATAAGGGGATCAAGGCCCTCTGCGGTTTTTTTTTGGTGTGAGTCAGTGGGTTTTTTGGTGGGATGGGAGGGTGTTGGAACTCACGGGTGAAGCGGCCTCCCCAGAGCATGTTCTCAGCGACGCCTTTAGGGTTACTCATTTTGAAGGAACGAAAATTAGTCAATGGCTTAGAAATGAGAGAAAGTAAAGAGAAATTCCAAGTTGAAGTTCCCCTGCATCTCGTGGAATCACCGGCAACCGATCATCCGCTAAACCTAATTTGGGAATATCTGGGGACAGGGTTTACTATGAGTCAACTTGACATTTCCCCTTAACATCCACCCTTTGGTCGCTTTGAATTATAACAAAGAATATGTTTGTCGCGAAGAGTTCTTGAAAGATATCTTACTTCTATCCAGAATTGGTACGATCTCTAGGTTCAGAACCTGGGGTTCTTCCTCCACAATTCGCCTCATGTCTAAGTTGACAACATAATACATAGTCGCTAGTTCTGATTAATAGCTTAAATGCTCTCTATCATTCCTCCCCAGTCTGTAATATTCCCTTATTGACTGGCCCAGAAAGCCCGAAGCTGACGAGGGCCCCAGTATACTGGTTGATCCTACTGGAAGAACCGTCGCGAACGCTAGGGGTATTCGAGGGATTCAAGCATCATGAAGTCGGCGGTCGATATCGGTAATAATCCAAAGTTATCATCAGGCCAAGAATCCAATGTCTGCGGAGGTCGGAAAGGAGTTGTTTGGATTTGGTTGGAAATATCGTGCGAGGTCTGAACCGATGTATCGCTGATGGATCGGCTGGATTGCTCGTTGAAGTGGGTAGCGGCTCTCTTCTGGAGTACTGTCTGGTACCAATTCCGGATACCTTTCCATTGATTTAATAACCGATGGAAGTAATGGGTTTGACCTTGCGGCGTACTGGTCATGGAGAACAGTTCCTGGGTTCGTGTATATATTACCCCGAGGTACGAATCCAACTGAGCAATGCGTGCTGTGGATTCTTTATCGGAGGCAATCACATCGATTGATACCGAAATTTTGCTTGCCAGCATGATCGTATAGGTTAGCTGTCGCCAGTCAAAAGCAGTCCATGTTTGCATGTCCTCCGCTGAGATCGCCAAGGCACGTTTCATGTAGTCTTCCACGTGTGCCAGACAATCAAACATAATGCTCACCCGAGTCGCAGAGAGAGGGCGGCTCCGAAAGTTCCCATGAAGCCCAATTTCGTGGGCGTATGCCCCTGCCAAGTCACCCCACGTATTAAGTTGCGCTGAGAACTCCAAGTCAGCTTCCTTTGGCCATTTTTTTCAGTTGGAAAGGTAATCAAAGACCAACCATGTTCGGATAACTCAAGTGGGATATTTTCCCGCCACGAATGGAGTTGGCCTTCAAGAGCTTTCACGACCATTTGAACTTTATCATCGCCCATGGAAAGGCTATGGTCAGGGTCTCCATATTCAAAGACGCTATAAACTTCATTCATAATTCGCAGCAGCTTAATGAAGTGTATCAGCGTCTTGTCGGTATCCACCTCGCTATCCTCTTGAAGGGAAACTGCACAATTCTCCAAATATGCTGAATACGCAATTGGGGATTGTTTTCGGCACATGAGTGCACACCTGATTTTGTGTCAGCAGATAAGATCCCAAGAATGGCGGACCTATGATGCCTACAGTGTTGACTGGATGTAGGCCCCGATCAGTGCTCGTCTCGCCTCATGACTCCAAAACTCAAGCTTCCGAGTTGTCATATGTTCCGGTGCTGGTTGAGAATTGAGGATGAGATCGTGCTGTGTTGTTCCTTGTGGAGGCTTCTTATTAAACCCGAGATCTACGATCATTGTCACACACAATGAAGCCAATCGGTATGCATGGTACTGCCCAGACTCAGTCACATTGAAATGATACCTACATAATCAGACCGATTGCAAGCAGTTCCTATAGGGGAGAGATCACGTACCATGCAAGATATGTTAATAAACCCTGGAGTATGTCCAAGCTGCGTTCCCCATTGAAGAATCTCGAACCTAGTTCCTTCACATAAAGCCTCTCCAGAGCAACTTGTCGGGGCTTGTTTTGCCATGATGCTATAACCAACATGGCTTGCAAAAGCATTGGCCGTTCCTGCTGCAATTCCAGCACTCCAAGCCTCTCAGGGACGATAACGCAGGGAAAGTGCTTGTGTGACATCCTTCGATAAGTCTGACACAGAATTTCCGCCTCGGAAAATGTGACAAGGCCACAAGATAAAGGATCATGATTCGTGGCCGTTGGTTCGCTGAGCCCAGGCGCTGCAGTGAATGCTGCAGGTGTAATATCTGGCACAATTCGATCTTGTGGCCGGTCAGGAAAACGGTCCACCAGAGTACCCAACATCTCTTCCAAATGCGACATCCGATTATGCACTGTTGTTGAGTGAGCTTAGGGTTTCAGCTACAAGGACCGCCCACATACATCGACTTTGTCGCTTCCGAGGGCGTGTTTCAGGAAAAGTACAGTCCTTTGCATGTTGGTGACACCTTTTTTAATTTTCAATTTCAAGTTAATGGACTAAGAAAATTAAGCTAAGATAGAGAGACTCAAACCTATGGCAGACGCTGGGCAACTCGCGACTGGGAACGCAGCGGAGCTTTTTCGCCTTGCACTCAGAGCAGGCACGCCGTGGGGAGGATTTCCTCTCCATGGATTAAATATGGACCAAGAGCCGATACGTATATGGAGCCAGGAGCAATGAAAAGAGCAGAGATTGTTACATTCAACTCGGCCAAGGAGGCTTAGTGGCGCCGATTCCGAGCCTCTGATCACGTGGTAGACCCGCTTTCTCCGGCCTCGGGGACAGTTTAACCTCCGAACTCTATTTTGGCTAAGTATCCCGACTTCTAGATATCTGATTTAGCACACTCTTCTCGGAGAATACATAATTAACATCAAAATGGCCGACAGCTCATCGAATTTTGATGGTGAAAAGATACACCATGTCTCCCTATTTATATTGCCTTGACCCTTTCTTGTGAAGGATCAGGCGCAACATATATTACAACCCCCGGCCTGAAATATGGGCTTCACTCCACTTAGCAACGCACCACACAGTCCGACAGGCTCCGACAAACACACTTTGACGAGACGACCATGGCGACTCAACGTGACGGATTTCCAAACGATCATTGACTTCCCTTATCGCGGTAGCGGCACATCAGAAGACCCGTATATTGTGGAGTGGCTGGAGAACGACCCTGAAAACCCCAAGAATTACAGCGAGGCTCTACGATGGAGTACCACGGCATTGATAGCAACCATGACACTCTGCGTTGCCCTTGCCTCGTCCGCATATTCAGGTACCGTTGGCTCGCTGCTCGCTGAATTTAAATGTAGCCATGAGGTGATTACCTTGGGTCTTTCGCTCATGGTACTCGGATATGCCGTGGGACCGTTACTGTGGGCTCCCATTTCTGAGTCCGTTGGTCGCCGCAATATCTTCCTCCTTTCATATACTGGATACACGATTTTTACTGCTGGTTGCTGCGGCTCGCAAAATGTGTGGACTCTCATTATCCTCCGGTTCTTCACGGGTCTTTTTGGATCCAGCGCTTTGTGTATCCCTGGAGGTCAAATCGCAGATATGTTTAAAGCGGAGCTCAGAGGCCTTGGAATCGGCGTCTTTTGTCTTGCACCTTTTATTGGGCCTGCTCTTGGTCCCATCATTGGTGGTTTCCTAGGCGAAGCAGCTGGTTGGCGCTGGGTAATGGGTCTTCTGGCTTTATTCGGGGCGCTATTGACACTATTGGCATTTGTCTTTATGCCTGAAACATATGCACCGGCATTGTTAAGAGCGCGCGCTGAGCGTTTGTCGCAAGCCACCTCCAAGGTCTATTTGACTGCCGAAGATGCGAAGAACCCTGTCATTTTCAAAGAGTTGGTCAAGCACGCGCTACTTCGACCGTGGGTGTTGCTATTCCGTGAGCCTATTGTTTTTAGTCTGACTGTTAGTACCTTTCTCCTGCTCACTCAAAAAGTCTAACAACCACTAACGGACCCATGAAGCTTTACATGTCAGCAATCTACGGGACTCTTTACATGTGCTTTGCTGCATTCCCGATCGTGTTCCAGGAAAAGCGTGGCTGGAATGCCGGTGTTGGAGGCCTCGGCTTTACGGGCGTCTTGGTAGGGCTAATAGTCGGAATCCTCATCATTTGCTGGGACAATAAGCGATATGTTCGTATCTACCACGCGACCGACGGATTCGCACCTCCGGAATGTCGTCTACCAGCAGTTATCGCGGGCGGAGTATCGATTGTTGTCGGACTGGCCTGGTTTGCTGCCACTGACTCTCCCAATATCCACTGGGTGGTTCCAATCATGGCTGGAGCTCCATTTGGTGCAGGATTTGTCCTGGTGTTCATATGCTGTGCCAACTATCTGTAATAACCCCCTGTGCCTTACACCTGGTAACTGGCTGACTTACTATCTCTAGTATTGACGCCTATGTGATATTCGCCGCCTCAGTCCTTGCTGCCAATTCTGTGATGCGATCCATATTTGCTTGTGTCTTCCCTCTCTTTACCACCTACATGTTTAATGTACGTGTAAAACGTCGTTCACTTGGCTATGTCGTCTGCTAACAGGATCGCAGGATATTGGAATTCATTGGGGAGTAGCCGTTCCTGGATTCATTGCACTAGCCTGTCTTCCATTCCCCGTCTTGTTCTATCTATACGGCTCAAAGATCAGAGCGCGTTGTAAATACGCTGCACTGGCAGAAGAACATCTTCGAAGCACCAAAGTAAATAGGAGCCTGACCCCTCAACCCTCGACTGACTTCGAAGAAAATGCGGTTACGAAAGTGTAAGGAACATTCAAGGGGCTTTCAACGCGCCCAGTGATTTGATGTCTATGGTCAGGATATTTATTTAGAGGGTTTCAAACCTGCTTGGACTCTACCCAATACTTGGAAGAGTCAATTTACACATATAGCGAGAATTTAAGACATAATCTACTCCCAAATCTGTCATCGATTGTATTATGTGTCAAATATTTTCACTCTAAGCGATAAGATGCACAAGTGTGGTTACGTAGACCTATTTTCATCAGATCAGAAGTTCTACATAGAAAAGTCAATTGCACAGAGTATGCGTTTTCCTTTTTCTGCCGTCTACATTTCAGACTGCAAAGAGGATCTTGGAGATTTTTAAAAAAAATATCTAAGAAACGCGCTGAAAACCCCTCCAGAGAGACCTCTGGAAAGACCTGGAAGATATCATAAGTCTACTCTTGTCATTTATATATAGAAAATCAGGGATGAGAACCTTCAGTCACACAGCTCAATGACAGTCCAGGTGACAGTCGTCAAAATCTGACCCCCAATCTTTTCCATGACCCTCCGACTCGCCTTATTATACCCAGCCACCTCAGTATGTGCCCAAGCCCCGACACGCTCTTGAGTCTGAGTATCCTCAGAGTCTACACCCCCGGCCCCGAAAACACCATTTACTGACATCCCACGACGTATGATAGCCTTACACAATGGAACGGCAAGCCCGCGACCTCGATGCTCCGGCTCAACATGCAACGTCGCTAGTGCTCCATCCACACCCAAGAAACCCCATGCAATGGGCATCTCATCAGCGCTACTAAGCTCGGAATCAAGATAAACTGCCATACCAATCATCTTAGATAGCTGTGTCCTTGGCCGGGGGATATGTGTCCGACTCTGCACAAGATCCAGATGCTTACTCAGAACGCCCTCCCTCCCCTCTCGGTCGTGGAACCTATATCCGGATGGGAGAGACAAATCCGCGAACGGTAAATTTGCAGATTTTGCAGATCTTGCATCGGGGCTGAACTTAGATCTCTGGAAGAAGTACTTGTAATAAGGCGGGTCATCGAAGCGATGGAACCGGATATTGGGTATCGGGTTAGATAGCGTGTAAGAGCCAGATTGCTGCAGGAGAGAGAATAGGCCCGTATGAAAGCTGCCGATGAGGAAGGCCCGTGGATCTGGTGCAGGGATCAGGGGGACAGTACTATTGGTAGTGGGATTGTTGTTTGGGGCAGTAGATCTAGCCTCGGCAGATGTGGCTTGTGCTGATTCCGCCAAGTATGACAGGTAAGGTGGCAGGAAGGAATTCTTGACATATGACAGCAAAGCCAATAGCTGCGCGCGGGCCAGGGCTAGGACAGCTTGGTTGGCGGAAAATGTGGAAACAATGGGCTTGGTTTGGGTGTCGATGTGGTCGTCAGCGTGATTATTATTATCATTGGCATTGTTTTTGTTATTATTGGATACCAAGCCCACATTTAATAATTCCGGTGTCGTGGCTTCGGTGCTATCGCTGACAGTGGCGATCGGAGGAATTGACGTGTACTTCGCTTCGAGGCTGGAGTAGATGAGCATTTGTGTCGTGCGGCCGGCAAAGAGATCCACCCGCGCAGCCAGCCATGGTTGGCCCGGCTCAGGGGTTGAGCCGGACGGGAAAGTTGCTAGTATGTGGGCAGTCTCAACCGGATACGCGATTCCATGTTGAATCCGACGGAGTAAGGTAGTGGAATATGGCAGTTCAGAGATGAGTGCCGGCATTATTGTGGCTGCATCATGCTCGTAGATGCATATCGATGCCATTCCGATCGTGGATGTACCGGATTCCCGGGAACCTGGATTCAGGGGCGATTTCTACACGGGGTAAATGAGATAAACGAATAGACTATTGATCTCCAATTTATTCATAAAGTGACAGGTTGACACCTGGGCCGTGAGTCAGAGGGTCCTTCAAAGTTGCCTAACTAAGTCTGGTTAGTTAAATGCCTGTTTCACGGACTTGATCATTTCGAGGTTGAGTCTCCGAGCCCTGGAGTCGCTTAGGTATTTGTCACATTGGTGTGGACCGTGTGGCGGTGCGGCACTATCGATTCTGACGCGGGACCCGCGGGCGATCGCCGATGCATCGTGCTAAACGAATGTTTCAAACTCTTTTTGACATGACGATGTTACATTTTGAGGGGGGAATATATTCCTATGATGTAGGATATGAGAATGAAAATAAAAGACCGGCTTGTCATTATAATCCACTGTGATATGACATCACAAGCACTATATATTTTTTTTCTCGAAAATTGGAAACATAAGAAAAAACGAAAAGAAAAAAGAAAATTCGTGCCTCATCACCGCGGCATCCTACCAGGGACTGCGCGCTCCGATCATCCAATCCTCCATTGCTAGCCATTCACTCCACCGCGCCTCGGCCACTCGAATCTCATCCTCCGAGGGATCACGCAGGGGCCTCAAGAAGGGGGTCTCTTCGGCCGGAGAAATGTCATAGGCAGCCTTAGTAGATGCCCACCCACTGCTCTTCGCCGTAAACAGATAGTTAACCCGCTCTTGTTTGTAGATACAACCCACGCCCGCCTCCCAGTCAGCACCGAAGAAGCCTTGCATAACAGCCGGTGAATCCTGCGCCGTCACAATCAATCGTCTGATATATGGCCGCAGTGAGATAAATGGTGATGGCGTCGAGGGAGACATTGATGCGCTAGACCCCGAAGGTTGCTGGCAGGGTAGTCGAATATTGATGAACGCGGAAATGGACTGCACTTGGGTTGTGTGCTGGCTATAGTCGACAAAGTGCTGAACACAATTTTTATAGTGTGGAAACCAGCCCGTAGGATCCACGCGACCAAACTCGGCGTCATTCAACACCGACTGAGGCTCTGGGTTGGTCATCCTCTCTTCACGAGAGTGCTCGCGCCTATCAGAGATGCGTTCAGCGTCTCGTTCGATGGATCCTGGAACAAGGGCAGAAGGTCTCAGAATATTGGTCATTGTGCAACCGGTGCACCTAGGCGAGGGGTAGAAGGAAGAAGAGGAGGAAGTTACTCACTTTGAGCGTGTTGTTCGTGAAAACAAGGATCGCGCATGTCCATATGCTGAAAGTTTTCCCAGCACTCTCTTCCAGAACCTTGCATTCTCAGTGACATGTTCGACAGTCGACATATGTTGATAGAGTGAAAGGAAGATCTCAAACTAGTGGATAAGTGGATTTAGACTTGTGTTAGAATAGAGTCCATGATCCTGGGGGAGGCGAATGCCTTATAGGTTTTGCGCCTAAGCGCGGACGGGGAAGACCGAGCCATCAATGCCCAAAATCGATAACTGAAGATCAAGGGCGGACTAGTTCGGGTTTCGGAGGTAAAAGCAGGTGGATCTGGGAAGCTAAGAGAATGAAGCTTGAGCCACCGGGTCACTAGCCACGGTGAGCCACGGTGAGACCGAGGATGTGGCGCGTGCACTTATCCCCAAATAGCAAGGGGTGTGTGGCTGTGAACAATGGAATTGTCCACTAGTCTCGATCGGGTAACCCCCATGGTAAATCGAGATCTCTTACTCCGTACTCTGTCTTCGGGGATTCAATAGTTCAATAATTTAGGGCTAGTTTCTTACACTATCCTACCCTAGATCCCCGAAAATGATTTGGAAGCTTTATTACTAGCGGAAGATCACAGATCTCAATGTTTCCTTTGCTCAGTGACCCGTGCGACATGCCTGACACTTCAAGGTCCACTACTCAATATTATTAAACATCTTGATAGTTCTTGGTGACCGAAGAGGATCCCGGATGTGTTCGGGGGCAGATCTCATCTATCACATTTCAAGTCTGCAAGTATTCTCGTAGCACATGGATTTCCCCAAAGAAAAGTAAAAAAAGAAAAAGGAATACGGACTACAAGTATGATGATGATGATGATGATGATTATTATTATTCATTTTTTTCTTAAAAAAAAAAATTAAAAAAAGTAAAACAAATTAAAAAGAAAACAAAAACGTGGGCAGAAAGATAAAAAAGAAAAATGATGCAAGGGAGTGGGATAATCTCACCTCCCAAGTCCTCGTATCGAGAGGCTTGCCCACATCGGGGACCCCGAGCGATTGGCTTTGACCCTCCGATGGTCCCCATTGTCCAATCACAGAGATCTATCCACGTTCCATGGTGTACCTGAAAACCCGACTTCCCGGTTCGAACAAAATTCTATCGACGAACAGACAAAACTAGGCGAGGATGTGGATCCTGACGTCTGATCTCCCTTTCCAAGTTACTGCGGCTGAGCATGTCCATTCGTTTAAATGCCGCCGGGCTCGCTTCAAGAACTTGCATTTCAGCACTGCATATTCGCAACGTCTCTCCGTCTTACATTTGTGACTTTTCGAAGATAATTCAGCACCACATCCTCATCATGAGTTACAAGACGAACTATGAGCTCTACGTGAGTAACGTGACATTACTTTTCGCCAATCAATCTGACATATTTTCTCCTAGTCTCGAGGGAGCATTGACAGCAGACAGTCACCTCCACCAGATGAGCTTCTCTCGCCGTTGGCAACACTCTACCCACATGTCGCGGCCCTGCAGCCACAGTACAACCCGAGCAACTGCACCTTCACCGGTTACCGTGACACGGGGTATTGGGCTGCGGCCTATACAACACAACCTATCGATGATCCCTTTGTGTCCATGCGTCGCATCAGTGGTAAGCTTGATTCTATCTCTGTTCGATCGCATTTAGTTCTAACCTTGTCCTAGATGGTCGACCATGCCGATTTGTTTCTAGACTACGCCGGCTCATCAGCCGAGATGATCTAAAACGTCGAGGATCTCGAGCCACTGCGTAAACCGCATCTTGATTCCATTCTTTTTTTTTTCCCCTTAGCGATTTCCTTCACACTCAAACGACCGGCGATCCATTTCTTGACACCCTAATGTCCTCTTATATGAGGCCCTTCTTTTTTCAAGCATCACTTTGCATCCATCCTTTCTTTTGTCTGATCTTGATTTTCACAAGCGTCATCTTTCATTTCTGGGTTTTTGGGCAAGCGGCATTTCACAGCGAGGAGTTGATGGCACACAACGGCAAGCCTACATTGGGGGCTATATCTTTTTTCTGTCACCGAATTTTATTGCATATATCTTATGTCAGTGATGTATATATAGGCAGATTTGCCTACGGATATCGAAGGACCTGATACAGTCCACTTTTTCTAAGGATAGTTGCACTTTCTTTACTCCATAGGACTGTATTCAAGCTGTAGTACAAGTATGCACGCGGAAACTGCCAAGGTTGCCCAAGTAAGCACGTTTATCAGCAAAACCCCATTCTCCACTATTGGGCAGTGACTAGCTAATCAGGCCCCTATCTCCATTGCCCTGCGTAGGTGAGAAGGCCGCATGCGAACCTGGGAAGGAAGGCACAGGGCAATGACATAAGATATTTGCTTTTTTTTTCTCCATGGCCTCATGGCGCAATCCCAATCCCATGGTAGCACTGACACCCTGCAGTCCCAGGGGAAAGGAACAGGATCGATACACCATGTGAGATCGAGGGCGCAAACGCCCAATCACTTGCATCCGGCTCTATCTGCCGATCACCTCAATAGATGTACAGATTTTCATTGACACAACATGAGCAACCGTATTGCCTAGACTTATATCTTGAATCTTTTTTCTTCAGTGAGTCTGAGAGTTTACTACCTGGGCACTTCAGGGCTCATGTCCCGGTGTAAGTCTTAAGGGCCGACCCGTGTCGATCATGTGCCTATTCGAAATATTACATAACGCCTGATTTTGGGCCTTTTCCAAGGTTGTGTACGGAGTATAGTATGATTAGTATAGCATATCCCTGAGATCTTGGCAATGTGCATCTGATCTCTCTTCCGTACTTGCTTTTTTATTCGGATTATATTGACGCTAGCTTGGATAGGGGAGGAGCATCTCATTGCATCAAGTGGCTGTATTTCCTTTCTGCTCGAAAAAACTGACAGCCATGCGAGGATAAAGGCCGGACGGCATATGAATTATTGAAAAAAGCTCATTGAGAAGGGGCTTATGCTGGTAGCCCCCAACTGTGACATGGAAAGGAGAAGATATACCGAGATCAGTATGGTCCCCGAAGCCTGCAATATCCGGGTTCTCATGCAGGGGTTGAAATTACCTATTATTGGTTGATCCATCTCAGATGATTGCCAGAAGACCAGAGTACCTATATTGTATAGGTCTTGTTCAATAATGATAATGCCGCCCGACAACAGTCGGGGATCGAAATTTTATATGTATAACTCTTGAAAACTGCCAGCCTGCGCCACAATTTAAGTATAGTATGATCAAAATTAAATGGTTGTTCTCATAGATATAGCTGGACCTGAAAGCCGAGCAATCAAGGGCAGTCATTACTTGAGGATTGTGATAGGCCCGTCGAACATGATCTCCTATATTGTACCCTTTTGCCCCCCAGGTTTTGCTTTGACCCTATCATGAAGTCACTTATGACTATAACAGAAGCCAGGGAACCAGGTCGGCATATGTGAGAGAAGGCGAAGAATCATAGACCGACACAATTACCGATCAACGCTTCCGCCAAACTTTCGCCCCACTACTCTCCCCGCGAACACTTCCCCCGGATTCCCCCAGGCAAATTAATCTCTGTTCAAAAATGTCATATCCTGCGACTGAAATACCCCCAAAGTACGAGTGCACATTATGTCTCAAGCGATATAAGCGACGTGAACACCTATTTCGCCACATCAGCTCCCACACATCACAACGGCCATACCAATGCAAGTCGTGCGATGGAGCTTTCCAGCGCGCCGATGTTTTGAAGCGACATCTGCGGACCTGTGATGGCGGCACCTCGAGAGCAAGTACTCGAAGACGTGCCTGCGATCGTTGCGTTCGTCAGAAAAAGGGCTGTAGCTCCCATCAACCATGTCACAGCTGCGCCAAAAGAGGTGCTTTGTGTTGTTATTCAACAGACACAGGGCCTTCATCACAACAAGATCAAAATAACTCCACAAATAATACTCTGAAAGACCTAGATCTCAACCTGCAGTCTACAGATCCACCGCCATCGACGTCCAATACAATGATGCCATGGGGCTTCACAATGGAGGATTTGCAAAACTTTGGCACAAGTCCGATCGATACTTATTTTGATCCAGCACCTTTGCAAAATAATAGTCCAGTTTGGCCGGAATTTTTAGCGTTAGCTTCTGAAAGCCCGGCTGTTGTTGAAATGCCTGCTTCTAGTGACAGCCCCCGGAAATCGCTGCACTTTCTGGACAAATTTACTAGCCACACAGGCCTTGTGTCGAGCTTTGACTGTGGCACTCATGAGCAAAGAGAACAAATTGCTGCCAGCTTAGACCAGCAAAGCTTGTCTCCGCTAAAGCAGAGAACAAGCTCACTGGCAACTTTCAGCATGAATATCCCATCTCCTTTGGCATGGGACAATATTAGTGACACAAGTTCAGCCAGCAACTTACCACTCGACTGGCTTGATGATCCACTTTCCTTGAAGACACATGAGATTCTTCTCCTCATTGAAGAAGTGGTTACGATCAAACCACGCAATAGCTCTGTCACCTTAGACTGGTCATCGGCGCTCAAGAATGCATGTGTGCGATTCTTCTCTCCTTCAAACATAAGAAGATTTCTAGGGTTCTATTGGGCAATATGGCATCCCAACGTGAACTTTGTACACCGGCCTACCTTCGACATGCTGGCAGCGAAGCCAACACTCCTAGCTGCAATGGCTTTGATGGGTAGGACAGCCTCCTAATGCATGATCCGTAAATACTAATGATCGAAAGGTGCCTGTGTATCACCTGATATGCCTGACAACGAAGATGCACGCGTCTGGTTCAATTGTGTGGAAGAGATGGTTTTCATCGATGATGATTTCAACAGTGATCTGACCTATCAATCCTCTGACAAAATGGCCATGCAAAGACGCAAGATTCAGGCTGTACAGGTTGCCTATATAGTCTGTCTCTATCAGAACTGGGAGGGCACGGATGCGAGCAAGAGTCGCATCCGACGTTACCGTTTTGCTACCCTGGTATCTGTAAGTGTACCTTCCAGTCTTTATCCCACCAGTTTATTAATGTATCAAAGACCGCTCGTGATATTGGTATTACAGCGGCGAGGCATTTAAATTACAGCGAGCAAGGCCGTCATGAGTTCGAATGGAAAGAATATGCAGCTAGGGAGGAACTAATACGGTAAGTGCCGATATTGCGCTTGAAGAAATAGCCACTGATCTATTTCAACCACAGTCTATTCACTTGGATCTTTTTACTAGACTCGGCCTTCGTTATTTTTAACAACCTTCCTCCGCGGATGGTCATCAAAGAAATGAGAATGCATATGGTAACACCAGAAGCTTGCTTCCAAGCGACAACAGCAGACCAATGCCACCACCAACTTCAACTTTTCCTGCCTTCAAGAAGCCTCTATTGGACGGTCTCCTTCCGGGGGTCATTTGAGTCGCTATGTAAGGACGACTTATCCGCCAACATCCGCCACCTCCTCGCTACCCTGGGTCCATTGAATTTATTTGCATTAACATCAGGTAAGCTACAATCCAAGCCTCTATGATTCAATCTCGTTTAATCGGTGAAAATTAGCAATTCATTCACAAATCTTCCAATTCCGCAGCGCAGTGGGCAGCTTCCAACTCCGGGCTCCGATACAAAATGCACTCCGCAATTGGCGAGATATCTGGCACCTGTTCTCTACGACCTCCCCCCAAGGAATCATGCCGCACATGACAATTGAAGACCCTCACATTCAACCAGAGGAGCTCTGGAGACGAATGGGATTCTTCCGCTATGCCCCCGAGTACTGGCTTCTAGCCCATCTGATGGCAGATCGATTGGCAGTACTTGGAACATCCAAGCCAGAGAATGAGTTGGAGCCACTCGACGAGGGCCCACTCGACCCAATCCTGAATCGATATGATCAAACGAGCATGCGCCAAATCAACGACCTGATTATGGGATTTCAGACATTCCAGATTTGAAGGCCGGATCTAATGTACAAATTGCACAATGCAAATGCCTCACCCACAAGAAATGAATACATGTTATCTTGCTATCTATTCAAGTCCCGGATAACCTTGAGAACACAAATCGCTATTGCTGAAACGATGGAGATTTTGAATAAAGGCCAAAACTGTGGCAATGGGACATCACTGACAAGATCTGTTAGTAACTAGCTGGTCGCAACTGGATGCAAAGCTTACCTCTCATGATGGGAACTCGGAAGAAATCCGGCCTCGCGTTCTGATTCCAGCCTAAGGGACTCAGACCCGTCCTCTCTCCAGTCGATTGTCGTTTCATGGAGCCCGGGTATCGTGTCATGATCGTCGTGTTTGGATCTCGGGGACAGAACCATGTCTGATGCTGCATCGTGGATTGATTGCGGTTGTACTATCGTTTGTGTCGTAGTTTGGAGGGTGTTTGTAGGCCCAGAAATCCTTATAGACCGAACGCCTATAGTCGCGCCTGTAGCCTGGAAGCTGAGGAGGAGAATAAAGAAGGTGATCAATAACTGAAAGAACATCTTAGTCTGCGGTGAAACAAGAGACGAAGGGTTGGAAATCTGTCTGCAATCAGTGCCCAGGCTTAAGTGGGTGTATTTATATAGACCTCCAAGGTTTGAGTTTCGATCTTGGTAGTTTTGAAGTTCGATTTAGATTTGACTTGTAGATACCAAGGTTTGACCATGATGACCTCTTGGCGCTTATTGGACGCATACCAGCTGGCCTTGGCACGGAGTTAAGCTGTAATGGCAGACATACAAAGAGTTGCCTAGCACGCTTTATCTTCTTAATTGGAAAATGGGATTTCCTACACACCTCTATTGGCAATTCACATATATCTCTAGAGAAATTACTGGAAGTAATAATATACATAGGTTCTAACAAACCACATAGCTCATATCATTTACCGGCGTACCAGATACAAGTTATAGTTGAGAACCTTGAAAGGCAGCAGGATTAGATAATCGATGCACGTTGCTGACACGCCAAGACATTGGGAGCTCCACGTGCGAAAAGCGTAAAATCCGACAAACTAGCCAAGTTCTTGTTATGAGTACATTGCTACATGTATTACGCGGCTATCTGGGCACTCGGACTTATTTTTGCACTTGGCGTTGTCTTCTGGCTCTATTCACGCTTCGATTCCTTCTCCAACCAGTAAAAAAACACTTCGATGGCGTTGAAACCTATTTGTTATCGCCCAGAAAGTGGTATCACACAATAAGCATTAAAGGGAAGTTTATTCGAGTCGACTGCAGAGCCTTCACGACCACCTTATATCCGGTCCGGGGCAGAGATCTACATTTTAGTCTTATCTTTCATCTCCCCCTCGAAAATAGGCCAGAGCCTTCACCGCAATGTTTGGGGCTCTTATGAAGTCATATCCTTTCCTACACATATATGCAAGGGATGACGGAGAAAGTACTTTAGTAGGTCGGGATTTTTGCAAATTGAAAGCATTCTTTGCTCTAGTTATGCTGCTTATTAGGTGTGAAAGTAATTTCCCAATCAATTTTGGAAAACATTCGTATAAATTGGTTCATGGATAAGTAGATCTCCGCAAAGCCCACGAAGCCCAAAGCCCAACCTACTCCAACCCCCTAATGGGCTGGGCCTTGGGCCCTAATAGGGCCCAAAATGCACCGAACGGTAGAAATATTCCGAAAACGTGACTTCTTTGATTACTACATGCATAGATCCCGTTTCTTGCCTTTATCTAGGGGTAATGTTTTATTCTTAAAATTGATATATAGTAAATTAATAGTCAAATTTATTAATCGCATTTCAAAACGCGAGAAGACGCGCTATTCAAAGAATCTATAAAGGATCAGAGGTTTACTAAGAAAGTGGTAGTACTTCAGCTTAGAGCCTAAATATATATATGCTTATATTTCCGCGATACCTCGATCCCTATCAGTCGGATTTATTTTCAAAGTTAAAAATACACTTGCCTAAATACTAAAATTATAATTACTGATTTTAAACTCTATACAGAACGTAGAAGAGTTAGAATACAACGATTACAAGACGCTAGTTGAACCCATTGAAGGTTGAGCCTGGGCCCGATTATGGGCTTTGCGGTCTAGGAGTAGATTGCTATGGCACGCCCACAGAATCATGGGCAGGTCACTTTGATTATGAAGGCATGCGTAATTGTAATCCAGGTACCATAATTTTTTTGCTGGTCTGAAATAAGGCATTCAGGCATCAATTCCTCCCCAAAAGGGGTTTTGAGCCCTGACCTCGGGAGCGTCGGGAGCGATATGAGCCTTCGTAGTTACGAAGCCATAGCTCTTCCCACATCCCACTCCGACGCCCACCCCCGCGTCCGCTCTACACACATCCCACTCCGACCATCGAGATCGCCAAATGCGGAATTGAGGAACATGGTTGGAAAACGATATATTTAGAATATATCTATATCTAGAATCACATTGATTTTGGTGTCAATATTTCTCTAAGCGCTTTAGATTCCCTCGGGTGTGAAAGTAATCATATCCAAAATGTTACCATTCACCGCGGTGATAGGGGTGGCTATTGCTGTCCTACTTCTTTCACGCCTTCTCAGAATTGGACGTCGACCAAAGAATTACCCCCCGGGTCCCCCAACACTGCCTCTTCTAGGGAACATTCATCAAGTATGCGATAGACTGCTCCAAATGAGGGCCTTTGAGCTAACTAGTCACTTTAGATGCCCTCTCAAGATGCTCATCTTCAATTCGAAAAGTGGGCACGTGAATATGGCCCAATCTACAGCTTAATGCTTGGCACCAAGTGTCTGATTGTGTTGTCCAGTGATGAGACTGTCAAAGAGCTTTTGGATAAACGAAGTGGTATATATTCGCATCGGCCAGAGTTGTATATTGGCCAAATTTTGTGCAGCGGTGACCTTAGAATGCTAATGATGGTAAGCCATAAAGCCGAGAGTAATGTTTTGTGGATGTATCTTGGTACTAACCCTTCATCTTTAGGGTTACGGACCAACTTGGCGTGGGGTAGGCATGACTTTGATAATTATAGTGATATTTGTGCTAACTTGATCCCAGTTTCGCAAAATGGTGCACGGCTTGCTGAACGTCACGACGTCAAAAAGATATCTACCCTACCAAATGTTGGAGAATCGGCAAATGCTGTACCAGTTCCTGACGGAGCCAGAAGGATTCCTGAAGCACATTCGACGATACTCCAATGCTCTCACAACCACCATGGTCTTCGGATGGCGCACGCCTACCTACGAGGACGAGAAAATGATGCAATTGTTCGACGGCTTCTCGGAATTCGCAGATCTCAACCAGACCGGAACAGCAGCGATCATTGACTTTTTCCCATGGCTGCGAAATCTACCCGAATTCCTTCTCCCAGCACAACGGAAAGCAAAAGATCTTCACCAAAAGGAGAAAGCGTTGTATCTGAGCCATTGGTTGCGAGCAAAGGAAGAGGTTCGCTCGAACACGATCAAGCCATGCTTCTGCGCAGGAATGTACAAGGCGCAGAAAGAAGACGGATTCAGCGACGATCAAGCAGCTTATATCTCTGGAACCCTCCTGGAAGCCGGCTCAGACACTACATCAAGCACCTTGTACGCCTTCGTTCAAGCCATGTTATTGTTCCCAGATGTTCAGCGCAAAGCCCAAGAAGAAATTGAAAGGGTAGTGGGTTCGAGTCGCCTACCCGTCATGGATGACCTGCCCGAATTACAGTACGTCAGGGGCTGCATGAAAGAAACCGTTCGATGGATGCCGACGACCATTCTCGGGGCCGTTCCACACGCAGTTACACAAGACGACGAGTACAAAGGGTACTTTATACCAAAGGGCGCTGGCGTGATGAACAATGTGTGGAGCATCCACATGGACCCGGCCCGTCATCCCAACCCCCGAGAATTCAACCCCGATCGGTACCGAGACGACTTCCAAAGTTTTGGAGACGCAGCGGCAAACCCCGATCCCTCGAAGCGGGATGTTTTCACTTTTGGTGCCGGACGTCGCATATGTCCCGGCATCCACGTGGCCGAGCGCAGTCTGTTCCTTGGAATGTCGCGTATTCTATGGGCGTTCAAGATTGCGCCGGAAATTGATGCCGCGGGCATTCCGATTTTGCCTGATCCCGATCGCTTGACGCAAGGGTTTGTGTGTATGCCTGAGGAGTTCCCGGCCAAGATTACACCAAGATCCAAGGCGAGAGCGGATTTGGTCATGAGTGAGTGGAAAGAGGCGGAGAAGGAGTGTCTCGACCCTAAGACGAGACAATGGATGCAGTCCCCCGTGGAAGTATGATTGGATAGAATGATCACTGTGCTATTTATGTATTTAAAGTGCTAGAGCTAGGTCAGAGAGGAGAGACCATTGTACATTGGCAATATTGACTGGATGAAACACATGTGATTCAACTGCTATCAGACCAAAGCGTTGTGTGGAACCCAATGATATTTGTGAATATAGATCCTGCGTCACAAAGATGTGTACCCTACGCGAACTCCCTACCACTGGGACTGGAAGATTCGTTTGTAGATGCCTGTGTAACCGAGATCTTGTATATGAAATGGCGAAAATGGGCGTGTTTATACCTCATTTCTTTTCCAGACGTAGATTCTGGGTTCAGACCTCAACCGGCCTTACCCCTGAAAGGTCCTGATCAGCACACATAGAGATACGGACATGGTTGTATGGAAGCAAAAGAAACACCGCATCCAAATGAAGACCTGGAGCTATGCATGAATGCTTGTTTTGAGGTGCTGAGTCCACCTTAGCTGAATAGTCGGTGTAACTAAGTTGGCCATCTAAGACCCGATCTGAACCAGGAGGCGTTGTGTATTGATATGAGCCATATAACTCAGCGAACAGGATGCCCTTCCCGCACTGATATCTCAAGCTATCCTTGTAACATAGATAACATTGCTCCGAGGAGAATGGGATTCTAATATAAATAGCCCTGTCCGCACCGTTGGTCTTGAGATTTTCAGTATGCCTTTCTCTTGAGATATGTTCATTCGCAGCGAGTTCACGCGTGATCCAATTGTCACACGAGTGAAGAGCGGCAGTCTTCTCATTGACACCGTCGGGATCAGATCACTAACTTTTATTGAAAGGTGCTTTCCCTTGAAGGCGTTGAGCATCTAGATATCGGAGCATTTCCCAGGGTTGAGCATTAGTCCCGAGAGGTCCAAAAGGTTGGAATTTCAGAGGAAGTCCCAAACCGAGAAAAAGAAAAAAGCCAACACATACGTGTGACCCAGGCGACAGAATTTTTGATATCCCGCGTTTGGGAAACCAGTGGAAAGAAAAAATGCCTCAGGTATATATGTAAATGGCGCATACTGCGGGGCTGTCGGTCAGCTCCGAATGAATCCTTATGATTGGAGACCGGTTTGGAGACCGGTAAGAGCTTGATTTTCCTTGGAAATCTTTTTCAATCTATCGGAAATGGACAGGGAAACAGAAAAATGACAGGCGTTTGGACATGATTCACACCCTCCGATCACTGACTCCAGAGGGGGATATTTTGTGAAACGGGGGAAATGCCAAAGCCCTAAAAACAGCACAGCCACCTCCAGATGCACACCCTGGTCTCTCTCGGTCTTGGCATCATATTACGATTTCACCAGCCGCATGGTGGAACGGGCGTCTCGATTGAGTAAAGGGTCAGAGATCTTAGCAAATGTATGAGGCAATTTGTCACCAATGTCTAGGTAGTATTTCGAGATTTCTGTATCATAGTTTGGTTGTGAAGTGCTCCCCCGACCTCGGCTTCATAAATCCCTCATAGCTATACCAATTCAGACGTCCCAGAGCTTTCAAAGTACTCAGCCGTTTTACCCTTTAAAGTATTTTCTGTCGGAGACCCACGGCCGCAAAAGTACCGGATATTAGCATACATATTAGCATACATATTAGCATATATTAGCCTGAAACTATGGTCCAAGCTCCAGTTCAAAACGTCAAAAGATCAAAACAAATAGAAAAAAAAAAAAAAAAAACCTGAAAGAGTCATTAAGCCACAAAATACAGAACCCTCCGAATGCACGAGCCAGTCTTAGTCGATCCTGTGGCTGTGACTACCGGTCGAATCATAGGGTTGATTTCTCGCGACGCACAGAAACATGCCTGTGCCGGACTAAGTAATAATGGTGATAGAATGAAATAATAAAAAAAAAAAAAGGAAAAAAAAGGGACCTTGTGTCAGTTTCAATATCCGGCTTGACCCCTCAGTTATAGGGGGGAAAAAAGGTATATAAGCTCGTTCCCGTCCATGCTTCACTTCTCTCATCTTAAGGAATGCTTATCGACGGTCATAAGTGGGCGTGTGAAGCTTGTATACGGGGCCACCGTGTGACCAGCTGCAAACATCATGGTATCTTGGTCTCCCTTTTCCTACCCCTATTGACTCGAATTCATCGCTCTTGGAAACTGACTCGGATCAAACCCACACCTAGATCGTCCGTTGATTCGCATCAAGCGTAAAGGTCGTCCTTTCGCAACATGTACAATATGCAATGCAACACCCTGTACATCTCCAATCGAGCATGCACGCGCAAAGCGTGACGCAGAGCTCAAATGTCCTTCAAAAGTAACGCAAACACAAAACACAACAGACGCCATATCTTCGGCATATGGAAGAAGAGAAAATTGCAAGCGCCATGGTGCTGATTGCTGTTTGCTCTTTTTCTAGAAAGCCTCGAGCCACGGAAGACTCTATCCGCGGCAGAATCCCAACGGTTTCCTTCCGATTGCGCCGCGTCCACGTCCAAGCCCAAGTCCATCGGGATCGATTTCCGGTCCGGCGGGTGAGAAGCATGCAACGGTTGCAACCAAGTCAAAGTCTAGGTCCGGGTCAAAGTCGGCCTGCTCGACCTCGTCGGCTTCGTCGCCCGGGAAGACCCCCATCTACCATGATGCCATGGGGGCAGGAGAGTGGTCTGGTTCCGAGGGCTCATCTAGGATTGAGTCTACTAGGCAAACCATGTCTTTCTCGGGGTCAGTGATGCCGAGTTTTGATTCAAATCAGACACTCAGCCCAGGGCAGGCTGGCGCCGCTTCACGATCTGCACCGGGCTCACTGTATGAGTATCCCATTGAGTACCCCGCGACCTCGGGGACCGAGGCCGCGGCCGCCTTGTTTGATCCTGCCTATTCCCTCCAAGCTTCTACAATCGCTGCTTCGGGTTCTCAGCTCGCGCAAACGATGCCCATGGTTAGTCCGCTCGAAGGGGTGAACCCCTTTGACTTTTCGCTGGACCCTGCGCTGGAAATGGGTGATAGCATGCGATATATGAACGAGGGTGAGATGAATATGGATTTGGAGATGCCCGTCATGGAGGAAGTGTTCCAGGTGGAGGATTGGTCTAGGTATATGTGGTCAGCTGAGACAGGCTTTGAGCATTTAGACACCGGATTTCCCCCTGCGTCACAATAACAGGAGGGGTTCGGGCGGCGAACCTGGTCAATAACTCGCATGATGATTGATGATTATGATATTACTGCTTGGAAAAAAATTTGGAAATGTATATACAAAAAATGGGAAAAGAGCAAGCATAGGCTCTGGTGCCGTTTGTGATATGTTCTACTCTTGCGCTTTTGCCACTGTGACTGTTCTAACCGTCATTAAAATCCAAGGGAATCAACGTGTCTTATGCTCTATGCGAGACTCGCGAATGGTTGCCAAGCACGAAAAGCCCCAATGCTCCTTGCTGATGTAAAATAATGATGGCAACGGCACTGACGACGCCGACTATACAGCAGAATGAAAAGAAAATCAACAGAAAGCAGGCCTGAACCTTCCAAGATTCTATAAAAAGGCAATGATCAAACGTTCTGGAAAGAGATGTACGAAGGCCAGTACCTACACCTCCTGGATGTAGTTCGCCGGAACGCTCTTCGTTACACCACCCCGTTCGACGTCAGCCCATCCATCACCACTATCCCGGTTGATTAATACAAATCGGTCACCCTCTGCCATATTCCACTCCATATCGCTGCGGGCTTCATAGTCATACAAGGCCTCAACATATTGCAATTTCTTGGCCCCTCGTCTGGGCGCGACGGCTGGTCCGACACGCTTCGGCGCCGCGCTTCCTGCCAGGGATGCTGAGGAGTTTGAGTACGTTGACCCGGGTCGGTCAGGCATACTGGGACTAGCGGATGGCACGGGTGATGGTGTTGGGGCAGCTTCGACATATGCGGCTGGCACAAGTCCTTCGTTGGCTCCTGAGCGAACTCGCAGCCATCCAGAACCATCTGTGTAATTCTTAGTGAGTTTCAGGTGTAAAGGGTAGCACAAAAGGACGTACCATCTGGTTGGAGGATCACCACTTCATCTCCATCTTCCACGCTGACCTCATCCGAGCCAGTGGCTTGATAAGGGTACAACATCTTGCCTCGTGGCTCTTTGGATCTTGAGCCCATGCCAGAATCGCTGGGCGGAGGCGCAGTCACATATGCTGTCGGAGGTGGTGCTAGCACCCGGTTCCTTTTTGTGGTAGCGGCAGCTGGTTTTGTCTGTGCAACGGGAGCCGGGGGCTCCTCTGCTGGGATTTCTGGTGTGGGTTGAGTAGCAATGTTCGATACCGACCGAGTCGTGCTGGCCGCATATCCCGAGCTAAGAGAGTTCATTGTATTTTGTCGCGTCAGAGAGGGAGCGGCAACGGAGGCTGTGGGTGTGCCGATATCCACAGCAGGCATGGCACCGGCCTGTTCTTGTCGCAAGGCCTTGAGTTTCTTCTTCTCTTCCTTGGTTTGCTCACCCGGGCACTCCGGCGGAACCTTCATTTGGCATTTACTATGGCAAGTGTAACCACAATCTCGGCAGTCAAAGCCCTTGGCGGACAGACCCCAGATTCGCTCGCCGCAAAGGTCGCAATTTGTCGGGATCTTGAACGTCTGAGAGCGGAAATTGTGGTTCTGGGCCCCAAGAGACAAATCCCCAGCCACTGCCATGATGGTCGCCGTTTCAACCTCGGCTGTGACCCATTTGCGATCAACCTCGTGCAAGGATTCTTGAATGTAGAACATTGACCGCACAACGTCTAACTCGTTTCGATTATCCTTGCCATGTTGGATATTTTCCCGTACTTTCTTGCTTCCTTCAACCTCGCGCTTCTTCCGGTCTGACTCAACTCGCAATTCGTGAATTTGAGCTTTGCTCTTACTCAGAAGGTTGCGTAGGAAGACCTTGGCTGCCTCGTCGACGACGATTGAAGCATCGTCGTGCCATACTGGACTCGGCTCAAATGCCAGGTTCGCAGGTTCCTGCGATTGAGTCACATTGTGCTGGAGGAACATCAAGGAGTCCAGACGCGGGTTGTTGCGAGGAATTTCGACAAGAAGATTGGCGAGGTGCTCCGTGCTACGAGAAAGAGATGACTTTTCAAGTTGGGCGGCAAGCGACCACATCAAGTTCATTTTTGCGACTCGTGTTTCATTGAGGTTTTGTAAACCCTGGAGGGACGTATGAGTACCATTCAGAAAGTTAATAGAGGGGGTTCATCTTACATCAATCACCTCAGGGACATATTCATGATAAAACTTCTCCTTCAGCTTATTTGTCACATTAATGCTGATGAGATAGAGGTTCTACCAGCAAGTTAGCACCATGACAAAAGTTTTCAGTCAGATAAGCCATACCTTATAGTTGTTCATCTCCAGTATTTGTTGCTGATATGCTGTTTGTGCTTTGCTTTTACCATGATCGAAAGCGGACTCCATTTTCTTTCTGCGAGATTCAACCTCCTGGCATGCGCCATCGTATTTACCCTTCGCTTTCTTGAGATCACCATATGCTGCCTCCCGTTCCTTTTCTAATTTCCCATGATATTCCACGTGGCATTTGCGAATCTCTTCATATTGCGCCGCAGCTTGTTTCAAAGGATCTGCCACCTGCACTACCAATTCTGACGCAAACTTGTCTCGTTCGGCGGCATGTGATTCCACGGCATTCAATTGTGTAGTCCATGTGGTGAGCGATGCGCTTTCGAGGGAGCCGGGGGTCAAGGTGGGTGTATCGCCCACACTCAAAGGGCTGATCTTCTTCGACTTGCGGTCATAGTACTTCTTGCATAGGGCCGTTAACTTGGATGCGTATTCCTTCTCAATGACACTGCGCTCGCGGTAAAATTGGTGTATCTCGTCTACCCATGATATACCATTTGATACCTGTGCAACATGTTCGCATTAGCTCCACTTGAAGGGTGAGCTGACGGGTTGCGGGGAAACGATATCGGGACCATACCCAATTGTTAACTGGTTTGAAGGAATCCTAGAGAAATTGATCCAAGTTAGCTTTGAACTTGCGACCATCACCATGCACTGTCAATACCTTTAACTCTGCTCCGAATTGGGGCGCAACGTCTGCGGCTGCCATGGCTAGATTGAGACCCCAAGGCACACGCGCATGGGATAGCGCGGGAAAGGAAGACCGAACAATGAGACGGTATTGCCTGGTCTTAGCGTTACTTATCAGTGGGCCACTTGTCTATCAAGGTCAGTATCAATCAAGGTAGTCAATCTCTCCAAGTAGGCAGTGTTCAATGGGCTATTGAGGCCATCAGATAGGAGGAATGAGCTCAATAGCCAAGGCGGGGAGAACGCCGGAACCTGTGACAATACCAAACATACACGTTGCTCGTACTTAGTATGTGCATGGTCCATGCGTTACAATACTATAACATTTATTTCACTTTGACTCAATTCGGACTAGTTCCTGTCCTTCGGCGTCATCTGTTTTTGCTCTTCCATTCAGAGCTATTGTTTTCTTTGGCTATTACTCTTCTCTTCTTGGTGTCTGGATTTCTGATTTCTTCCATTCTTGCTGAGTCCTGACCGAAGTCATCCTCAGTTGGCGCCATATTAACAATCGTGCGCCATCTCCCATTACGAACTTTTCTTTACCCCACGACCACCCCTCCAGCTTTCTTTCCTTCTCCAACTCATTCTGGTTTTCTGGGATACCCGCCAGACTTTTGCGCCATGTCTGATAACCCAGAGACCACACCCGCCACAGGCTCTCTGGCTGACCGTATCACCAAACCTGACGAGCCGAAGCCCACCGGTACGAGACGAGACCACGCCACCGTTGCGGATTCTTCCAGTCCACACGACCGGGAAACATGTGATACCCCGGCTGATAGCTAACATGTTTTTCTTGAATTTCACAGATCCCTCCAATGTCTCCACCACCCCCAAGGAGGATGGGGCCTCTGCCCCCGCGCAAGGCTCGCCAGACCTTGAGGAGCCCGATTACACTGTCGCAGTGAAATTGAGTGATTTGCAAGCGGACCCAAACAACCCCTTATACTCAGTCAAGAGCTTTGAAGATCTGGGCCTGTAAGTGCTGCTCATTGATATCCTGGTGCAAATGATCGTACCGCAGCTAACTTGATTGACACTGCAGAGATGCGCGCATCCTGAAAGGTCTCTCCACCATGAACTTCCGCAAGCCATCCAAGGTTCAGGAGCGCGCTCTGCCCCTTCTGATGAGCAATCCTCCGAAGAATCTCGTTGGTCAGTCGCAGTCCGGTACCGGTAAGACTGCGGCCTTCGTTCTCAACGTCCTCAGCCGTCTCGACCTCTCAACGGAGCAGTTGCAGATGACACCCCAAGCTCTGATCCTCGCTCCTACCCGTGAATTGGCTCGCCAGATTGTCGGTGTGATTCAAATTATGGGTCAGTTCCTTGAAGGTCTTGTCATCGGCACTGCTGTTCCCGCTGATTCGAACGCACGCCCGTCGAAGATGGATTGCTCAGTTGTGGTTGGCACACCTGGTACTGTTCAAGATATGATCAAGAAGCGTATTATGAACCCTACCGGGCTGAAGGTCCTTGTCCTCGATGAAGCAGACAACATGCTCGACCAGCAAGGCCTGGGAGATCAGTGCATTCGGGCCAAGGCGTAAGTACTTTCAAACTCCGGCACTCAAAGCTTTTAGCTGATATCCGCCCCTGGATAGGATGATCCCCCGAAATGTTCAAATTGTCCTATTTTCCGCGACGTTCCCCGCTCACGTCTACCGCTATGCGGGCAAGTTCGCCCCTGACGCAAACGAGATCACCCTCCAACACGAGGAGTTGACCGTTGAGGGTATCAAGCAACTCTACATGGACTGCAGCAATGACGAGGAAAAGTACCAGAACCTCGTCCAGCTCTATGGTCTGCTCACTGTCGGATCATCAATCATTTTCGTCCGGGTAGGTATCATCTCAGATTAAGATTGGAATATTGCTGATCGCCGTTTAGACACGTGCCTCTGCCATTGAGATCGAGAAGCGTATGGTTGCTGAGGGTCATACTGTCGCCTCGCTGACTGGTGGTGTCGAGGGATCCCAGCGTGACGCAGTGATTGACTCCTTCCGCAGCGGTGAAGCTAAAGTTCTCATCACGACCAACGTCCTCGCTCGTGGAATTGATGTGTCTACAGTTTCATTGGTCGTCAACTACGTGAGTTTATCGCCTGTCTGCTTTTACGTCCAAAACTAAAGCTTATCGCCTTCAGGATATCCCCGAGGAGTACTCTGGTGGTCAGCGCACCAACACGCCCGACTACCAGACCTACCTGCACCGTATCGGTCGTACTGGTCGCTTTGGTCGCATTGGCGTGGCAATCTCATTTGTCTCCAACCGTAACGAGTGGGAGATGCTTCGCAAGATCCAAGACCACTTCCAGTGCATCATTGACCGCATTGATACTAGCGACTGGGATGAAGTGGAGGAGATGATCAAGAAAACGATCAAAAACACCCGAGCTCAAGCCAACTTCGCCCAGGCCAACTAGACGTATGGAACGTTGGGGTCGATGTACAACGTACACTGAACCCTTGCTTCAATCTTTACATCCTGGTTTGAACACATCATTTCACGTTTCATGCTTTTGAAGAGTGACGAAATCTCTTCTCTTTCTTTTTCGCGGGCCAATGGGGGGAAAGTCAAATTCGATACCTATTTGCATGCACGGCAAAAAAAAACGTCTGTTCTTTCTCATTTCAACGTGTTTGTAGATCGCGTTCTTTTGTGTCATTACGGACTTTTCTTATGAGTCATTCTTTCGACACCTATTAATCTTCTCTGTATTCATGTTCTCTTGCATCTTTCGCATCCAAGGAACCACTCTTATGCTCAGTGGAGAGTTGAGCAGCAATGTCAGCGTAACAATCGATGCGGACTTAAGACACGCATAGGGATATCGTTTACCCGACTATGATCACACCAATCTACACCAATCTAGGCCTGGATGACAGTTCCCCGGGCTATACCAAATGTGTAGGTTGGTTGGCAAATCATCGTTCTGTGGAAATCCTGTTTCAGAGAGATGTCCTTACAGATGGGGATTTCACGTTTGAGTCTCATTTTGTAATGTTGGTAAATTATATGTTCTAGCGCATGCCACCCCATCCATAATGTTGATGGGGTACCCCTTTGGCCGAGGCAAATTGACAAGGAGACCAACAGTCTGATTCACTCGCAAAGCCCTTCTGTCGCAACTATATACATGAAGCCATCACAGCATAGAAACACCCTTTTAGAACAACCACTGATTGAACGCAACACCAAAATCTATATTATTAAACAGATCCAGGCCATCAACTTCGATCAGTGAATCATAATCGAAAGCAGAGGTATCCCCAACGTTCGAGTCGGGAAGAATTGACTGTGGCTCCAGGATCTCATCAATGATCCTAGAGAATAGCTGACTGGCCCGTTGGAAGAGAGCATAGTTGGCACTATCCGGCCGAACGATGGTCTCAAGATGCGAGATGAACACACTCAAATTGCGGATAAGTGCCGACCTCGACCCTTCGTATAGGAAAGGCTCGCCTGTGTGCTTTTGATGCTGCAAGGCTTTGATGAGTAGACTGGCGCTAGGGAAGCCGTAGAGTAAGACCTGCCATTCACCTAATATTAGATTGGGTAGAATTGAATTCTTTTGTGTCAGTACGTACCGTCCACGCAAAATCCGGTCGGAGATCGACCATTTGTTCGCGTTGCGTGCCTAATGTCAGAACCGTTGATAGGATCTCAGCACTAACGCAAAGCAATGCTGTGTTTCCGCGTGGATTGCTCTTCCCAGCAATGAGTCGTTGGATGAGGAAGTCGTTGTACAAGTATGCCAGATATGAGATGATCATCATAAGGCGTACTGCTATGTGTAAATTTTGATCCCAGCACCGTGGGCTGTACCGTAGCCAATTGGGGAGCGAATCCCATGCTAGATGGCATCGCTGCGAGATGTTCCTGTATGGTATTAGCGATTGAACATCAATAAGAAAGTTATGATTTACTCGAGCATATTTTCCATCTCGGGTGTCACATTCTGTAGAGAGACCTCAAGAATCTCATCCCGAAATGTGCTGATGATGAACCGCACTCGTATCCATGATGATCGCTGTACTACACCTTGGAGATTCCAGCCATTCTCATCAAGATGATTGTGAGAGTAATCTAATATCATGTCATCAGTAGCGAGCGCCTCATCGCTAATATCAAGGGGCATGCGACAATCGGCGTATCGCCATGGTATCCTTGGCGGTCGACCTAGGAATGTAGCAATGCTCTTGTCGAGCTGATACGCTGCAGCAAATTGCCGTCTACGTGATTCTAAGAGAAACTCGGGTATATCGCTCGAGGTTTTAGAGTCACGGTGAAGGCCAAGTGCGAAGATATCGGTGGAAAGCTCGCCTAATCGCTTCCAACAAGCGGGGCCTAGGTTGCGTTAGGAAATAGAAGACAGCGGGTGGATGGGCTAAACGAACTTGAATCACCATGTACTATATCTGACAACAGAAGAATCTCATGTACAAGCCATATTGTCAGGTCATTGAGTGGTGTGAGGATTTTGCAAATCGATAGTGCGGCATCACTCGCTGCAAGCATCTTATGCGCATATTGAGACCGCGAGGTCCGTTCCTCATCGACCCTGTCATTAGCGAGTCCCAGATATCTTGCCCGACCAGCGAGAGCGCAGAGAAGCCCGATAATTTCAAGGCGGATTGCTGATCCCGTGAATAGCGCATGGAAGTCGCGCCCTTGGGTGGAGGAAGGAACCTCGAAAATTTCAGACGTGTTTTGTATTATGGTTACTGTCAGGGAGGAAGTGAAATCGGCAAGATTACGGTCCGATATGTTCTCTTTGCACATGGACTTGACCGGGCCAAGACTGTTGAGTACAAATGGCGCTGGTATAATCGCGCTTTGGCTTAGTGCATAATAATCGCGAATCAAGGCCTCGACTGTGGCAAAGTCGTCGAGTGTCAATATAATTTCGGAGATCTTGTGAACCCAATATGGTGGCAGGATCCTCTGGGCGGATTCAATCTCCAGGCCCAGACTCAGGCCTTGTGAGCCCAAGTCGACATCCTCGGTTAGGGGAGATACGAAGCTCGTTGGGCCGAAATACCCAGATAGCAGTGGTTGGATACGGGCCGAGATAGGCCCAGACGAGCTCTCCTGTTCCACATTAGACACAGGCGGGTTGAGTGGTGTCTCGTTTGACTGAGGGTTCCTGGAAAACGGCAATCATAAGAGCCTGTTATGCATATGGATGAAGCTACGGAAGTGTATCGGGAGCGATACTTGACTGTTGGCCAATTGACAAGACAGGAAGATGGCATCAAAACAAAAGACGGATCTACAATTGACGCACCTTGCTGATGGGGGTCGATCAAAGGGAACTCCCTCTGCCAATGGGAAGAAACGGCGACCCTTGGCCCTTGTCAGAGGAGCGGGGTGGTAGTAACATCGCGTGGAGATGCCACGATCTCTACAGCGAGTGCATACAGGTAATGCATGGTCGCAGCGAACTTTGTCTCTGCGGCATGGCTCACAGGAGGCTGGTTTGCCATTCCGACGACGCGAGGTCGTTCCAGGGGTACTATGTAATTAGCGGATGGCATTAAGATAAGAACCGAAATCATTTACCTCATAGGGAAATCCAGGTGCTCAACGGGATCAAGTCCCCAAGGCCCAAATCCCAAGTTTCGGTGTTCGCTACTCCGACCACTTAGAGTGAACGCCGAAGAACTCCGGTGGAAACCGGTGGATCCTCTGGGGAAGATGGTAGTATAGATTGGATTTGTACACGATACTACATGATAATCAAAGCCAAGAGATGTCAAGACCAATCTCAACCGTCTTAAGTAAAGGCCAACATCTCTTTGACTGTACAAATCCTGCAGATAAGCCCCTCAGATAACGTGAGGAGAAAGATAAGTCACATGGGCTGTCCCCCTCTTACACCTCTCTTTCCCCCTGCTTTTCTTTTGGACATCTTTTCTTTCTTCTCTCTCTCTCTCTCTCTCTCTCTCTCTGTCTACCGCTATCTCTATCTATTGATCTCTTCTATAAACAAACATGTTGAAAACCGAACCCATCCCCGCCGCGTTGCCCGTTGGTCCCGTACCAACGGAGCCATCTCCAACAACTCCTATTGACCCCAACCCCAGGTTCAGCAATCATATTATCGTAAGATTACTCTAAAATATATGCTGACTTGAACATTCGGATGATGCTGATATCAGGTATAGTTAACTACTTACCCAGGCCAGAGCGGTATTGAGCCCGTCCCCCTGGAGTGGGGCGCTCCCGACGCCAAATCCCGGGGTCCGGTAGTTGTTTCACGCAGTGGGAACCTTGTTAAGCGCCGCAACGCCATCGGTGCCCACGGTGGCAGTTACAGCATCTATAATGCCCTTGCCATTGCCGCTGGTGATTTGGATGCGGATTTCCGACCGGACTTCCGTAACTCTGAGCCGACTTTCAATTTTTCCCCCGCAGCCTGCCTGGGCGGATAAGAAGAAGATCGTCTCTATGGATCCTTATGGTCATGATATTGTCAACCAATTCAAGGCAGAGCTAGAGGCTGGCTGGGATATTCGCCCGACTATGGCAGTCACTCGAGCTAACATGAAACTCGCCGAGATTGCTGATGATGTGAAGAATGGCCTGCTCGAGGTGGACGGGTCTATCCTTGTTGATTCATCTGGCGAGGTTCGTGTCACCAAGGTCGCAGCTGAACCCGTTTGGTATCTTCCTGGTGTAGCAGAACGATTTGGGGTTGACGAAGGCACCCTTCGTCGGACTTTGTTCGAGCATACCGGTGGGAGCTACCCCGAGCTTATCACTCGACCTGATCTGAAAACCTTCTTGCCACCTATCGGAGGTCTTACGGTGTACATCTTCGGTCCCCCGGAACGCATCTCGGACGAGAATGTTAAGCTCGCTCTGCGCGTTCACGATGAGTGCAATGGTAGTGATGTCTTCCAGTCAGATATCTGTACCTGCCGACCGTACTTGGCGTTCGGTATTCGCGAAGCCATTCGCGAGGCACAGAACGGCGGCAGTGGTGTGGTCATCTATTTCCGCAAGGAAGGTCGAGCCCTCGGAGAAGTGATTAAGTATCTAGTTTACAATGCCCGCAAGCGTGGAGGCGACACCGCCGATAAGTACTTCACTCGGACAGAGAATATTGCCGGCGTCCGCGATGTAAGAATTGTCATCAGTTAACGTGGCTCGCGTGTACTAACTTTCTTCCCTGCAGATGCGATTCCAAGCTCTTATGCCCGACATTCTGCACTGGCTCGGCATCACCAAAATCGATCGCATGCTGTCAATGTCGAACATGAAACACGATGCCATTGTGGACTCTGGCATCAAGATTGTCGAGCGTATCCCTATCCCCGACGAGATGATTCCTAGCGATTCAAGAGTCGAGATCGATGCTAAGATTCAATCGGGATACTTCACCACTGGCAAGCAACTGACTGATGAAGAATTGGCTCAAGTCCGTGGGCGCGGCTGGGAGAAATGGGAAGACATCTCGGTAAGTTGAACTGCCTTCTTGGACACTTTGTAGACTTGCGTGGCTGACCGTTCTCACAGCACTAAGTTTGGTTTTCATGGTGCCTTGTCGGGATCAAAAGTCAGACTCGTTACTTTAATTTCGGTATCCCTTTTTGGCTGGCAATTTGGTCAGTATGAAGCATGAACTTACGCACCTCACCATACAGTACTTTGTCGCGAGTTCATAAAGTATGGATCTATATCCAAGAGATAAATTGAGAAAAGAGTTCATATGATTCGAATAACAAATTCCATGTCGTGGTTTGAGTAAGACGAGTAACAGTAACATATCACAAGGTACTCATTATCAGACGTCCAAGGTCCTTCCGATACTGGAACGGGCATCCCCGCGGGACCTTAGCGGCCTTATCATCGGCCAGCACGCCGACGTGGAGTCTGCCCCTATGTACTCCGTATTCCCCGATTGATGTACAATCATAGAGAAAAACATTTCTAGCACTGGATTTTACGACCCAACACCCTTTTATGTCTTAGAAACATCGCCTTTCTGGAATTTACCGATATTGATCCGTTTTGAATGGGGTCATGAGGTTCAGATATCTCCACGGTCTCGGACCTACCTACGTAGGTAAACATCCGCAAAGCCAAGCCCGATCAGTGGAGGCCGACAAAAGGTTGATACATATGTTGTGTATTCAGAATATATGCGGGAGTACTACTACTTTCTGAGTGGACCTCTATCATCGAAAACTAATCTAAAGCGCGCGTTTTTCTCGCGTGTTCAAACGCAATATGTAGATTTCACTTATTATCAATAACTTATCAGTTGATGTAGTAGATTGTCACCCTGAGCTAAAGGCTTGAATCTGGGATATAGACTCGGATATGCAGGGGCAATGTATTATACTCCGTCGATATAAAGATTGAGAGGGGAGGAGACGTAGCGCCAGATAGCGCAAAGGAAATTTAAGTGCTTAGCTGGAAGTTTCAGGCAGGAGGGGATGGCCTTACTCAGGGGATCTGCTGTATCAGTCTTTCATACCATCTTCTCCCTTTATGAATTCCGCTGGCCTAGGGTTCTTTCTGCCTTTCTGGTCGTGAGACGCATATTTTTAAGCAGCTGAGAGATTTTGAATGCGGAACGGGCCGACCCGTCGATAGCTCAATTGTAAAAACCTTATATTTCCATATCATGAGGTACCTAATGTCCCGGACCGAAGCAGACGTCGTTTGTCATTGGGCATTAAAGAGTTGATAGAGAGACCCGTGAGATAGCAAGATATAGGCTGTATCAAGATGAATGCACAAGAAATCAATATCCGGACCTGTGCCGCTGCCAGTTGACGATGTATGTGAGGCGGCTCTAAAAGTACCACATAAACAATTATCAGTCTCCTGTTTGTTTCGACTGTAGGGGCTTATCATGGTGGTGTGCTATTTACCTGCTATATTTTCTTCCAAATTGCCCCTCTGCTCGATTTTTTTCTTGCATCCCATCATTCATTTCCTTACGTTGTGTTATCTCTTCCCCGTTGCCTCACATATCTCCCATTAGTGTCTATTGCAACTTAGTAGCTCTGCCCTATACTTCGAGCACATTATGGTGGCATTCTGTCAGGGAAACCCCAGAAACTATACCGGAGCGCCTCCAGACCTGGACCAGAGCCCTATTCAGAATGAACTCGGCTTGTTTCCAAACGATCTTCCCGAGAGTTAAGTCAATGAACACTAGGTCATCGAGGAGAATAATCCGAGAGCTTGAGTCAAATCCAAAAGTTCAATATTCTATCCACCCGCACCAATCTGAGTCCTTTCTATTTCCAGATTACAGCGCACGGCAAAGGCAGATACCCGGTCGCTGAATGCCGCCACAGGGCCCAACTTTGGTAAAAATGTCTCAAAGTATTCCTCGACATTGACCTTGGCTCTCGAAACCCCGACAATGTGAATATAGGAAGCGCCTTTTCCTCAAAGATGACATCGAGGATTGGCATGGCAAAGGCCTGTAACTGAGAATAGCACCATACCCCAGCTACTTGAATACACACACCTTTGAGATATATTATATTGGATGTCTCTTATTGCTGGAGCGCGGGGTTATGAGCAGGAGTGCGAGCTTCAGATGAGGAACATTAATGCGAAAGTCACCCACTGCTACCAAAAGTTCCTTTTTGGCCCTAATGTGAGTGATCAGTACCCCAGTATTCGAACAAAACTCTCTCAAATTGCTCACTTGAAGATTAGTATGGCTTGGGATATCCTACGTAACCTACGGCTTATGAATAATGCAATCCGTAACTCCTAAGACCGCGTGTCAGGAATTACTGATGTAGACCAAATTGTTTAAGATGCACTCTAACTATCGAGCCAGGTCCTGAAAAAGTTACTATTAGCTTTCATCTGAAACAGTAGGGACCCGTCCAAGAAGATACACCTGTGAGCCTCGAGATCAAAAGAAGCTAGAGTACATGGCGTAACGACACCTTGCGTAAAGGGAAAGACGCCTCACACCTTTCTTCACGAACGGGAAACTCAGCTGAAAAACCTGAGGTCTACCTAAGCGACTACCATGTCCACAGGTCAAGCCTTACTTTGTTGTAGGTATTCCATAACCACTAACTCTCGAGCCCACGCAGCCCGATCTTGGCCCAATAACAACTCTTTATGGTTGCAAGATTAGTGAGCTGTCTATATATATACCCTTTGCCGAGCAACTTTTGCCGAGCAAATAAACATGCGGTGGCCTTTGATTCTGCACCAGCGGGGGTGGAGAATGCGCTAGAACAGCTCAAGCATCCTACTCCACAGGAGAAGGCCGGTGACATAGTGAAGAACTCGGCGAAGACTTTAATGGGGATAACTGTCAGTACGATGTATTGATAATGGAACCTTGCAGTTTTGATGGTATGGTCCAGCAAATCGTGAGTAGCCCAACATGGGATGCCTTGTCGACTGTTTAAGTTTTGAGACTAAACAAACAAGTTTGAGCCGAAAGAACCCCGATTGAAAGTGGGGTGGTTCTCAATAAGCTAGATGACGCAGGGTGGCTGGTTTCCAAAACACAAGACAGAAAAGTTTCTTCTGAATGCCGGTCAGAAAGTGTCGCGAAGCCGAGTTATTATGTCAAGGTAAATCGATGTGGACCGCAACACCGAATTCAGGATCCACACAGCCTTCTACCAGACTTTTACAGAGTACCATTGATCCCATTCGCCTCTTGCGCCGTTTCTCTAATTTCTAGTGCTACCGGCACGACAGTGGAGACTGGCACGATCAGATAAGATCATAACACGCTCTTTCTTTTTCCCGCCTGTGGGGCGCCAAGACATAGCGCGATGACGTGTCCAGACAATCAGAGCGCAACAGAAGAAAGCAAATTAGGTCTGCTCCATTTAGTAACCGAATATTCAAGGTTAGAAAGCGTGTACAAGTATGTTGAAATAGAAATGTCAAGAGGTGAAAGGGTGAAGCTTAGAAATCACATGTCGGGGTGGGCACTGAGAGAAAGTGGGGGCACGGTAGGACCAATAAGCACTGGTATTTTATTACTGTTACAGACCATTTATTACATTGTTACAGGCAGAAATATCCATGAGTCAGCGTAATTAACACTCAGGATACTGTCAGGGGTGACCGGGGAGCCGGAAGTGCGTCCAGCCGCGATCATACGAGCCTTCCTATTCGGCTGCCTGGCGTATTTCGGTCCATACAACCTCCCCTGATCTTCATGCATGGAGACTGGAAGCTCGATCTCAACTTGAAGAGATTATAGCTTGTATCTGTCTCTTTTCAATTTCCTGTATTCTCAAGGCCTGCTCAGGTGATCCACCCTTTCTCACTCGGAGTTCCTTTTTGCGCAGATTTTAGAACCCACTTGGTTCCTTGGGCCTAACAGTTGCGCTACATTGTATGTGGGTATATTGAACATCCCTGCTGTCTGCTCCTCCAATCGCCTACTACCACCCGTGACTGTGGTTCTAACATCCCCCCTCCTCGCAACTCAGTCTTTACATCTCGCCTTGCAGAGAGCAAGTACATTCATTTCTGTTGAGATCCAGCAATTTCAGTTTGAGCGTTACACCTGAATTTGAAGCCAAGTCAGTATTATCTATCTTTCTGCCGCCGTCATGGGATCGTCGCTAGCCTGTATCGGTCTAGATGTCTGTCTTGCCTCTACTATGGCTGTACAGTCGGCTGAAATCTGTTTTTGTTTTTCTTTTCTCTCTTTCAATGACATTGGCTTTTGTCTTATTACTGGAACTAACGTCTTCATCAGTGAGAACTGTCTAGAGTGCCCAATATATTACTCGGACCTAGACTGCCTAGGGCATTGGCCGAGCACCCAACTGTGGAATGCCAGCCAAGATGTCCGACCCCAATATGGAGAGTGACTTTCAGCTTTTTTCTTCACGAAACTCTGGTGGAGATGAAACTGGAGGAAATGGTCACTCGTTCACACATCGAAGTGGAGAGAATGTGAACCCAGATTGGACTCAATGGATGCGATGGGATGAGCCAATGTTCTCAGAAAGAGACCAAAAGCAGATGGCCTCATCTATAGATCTACCATCTATCTCCCCGCACACCGATATGAGTTCCCCGAGTCATTTAAATTACAGAGACTTCTCGCCCAATCTTCCGCTCGGCTTGATGGAGATTCCATCTGAGCCTAATGCCGGGAACAACATCGGGTACACTCACAGCCTGTCTGGACAAAATCAGCACATGAGTCATCAACAAAACTTAGGTCTGGTGTCCCCAATTTCAAGTGTTGGGACAAGCCGGAAGCGAAAGACGGGCAGCGATGACGATGCAACCACAGTGACTGGACCAGTGCAACCGGGCAAGAAAATGCCCGCCAAAAAGCGAGCTCACAACGTCATTGAGAAGCGGTATCGCGCCAACTTGAACGATAAAATTGCCGAACTTCGCGACAGCGTTCCCAGCCTTCGGTCGACCAAGAACCCGAATGGCGGCTCAGCCGATGATGACGACGAAGCTGAGGGAGCAAATCCCGCGAACAAACTCAACAAAGCCTCAATTTTGTCGAAGGCGACTGAGTACATCAAGCATCTGGAAATTCGTAACCAACGTTTGGAGGACGAAAACACTGCTTTGAAGAACCGGCTTCGCCAGGCTGATAAGGTAGCAGATCAAGCCGTCACATCATCAGCCTCTGTTTCCTCGCCCAGCAACTACGCCTCAACAGAATCGTGCTCCGGTACATCACCTAGCGTGTTCTCTCAAGCGGAAGAGTTATCCAGTGAGAGTCCACCCACATCGCAGAACCCCCGGAAGGCCTCCTGAAGGTTCCTGATGCGTGGAAACGTATGCGAGCTGAAACCCCGAAGCAAGGAGTATTTGCGGAATCCTACATCAAATACCCCTCGTCATCCTCCTCTCATCAACCGCAGTATGCCACAGAGCATGCTTCCACTCGACGTTCAAGGATGCCCAACAAGTATATGCTGGGTGCCCTTGCCGGTCTGATGGTCATTGAAGGCATGGGCTCTGACGATTCCGAGTCCGAGTCGAAGGGCCTGTTTGCACTCCCAATCAGTCTTCTCGGCCGTTTCCAAATACCCAAACTGGCACCCTGGGAATTTTACCTGAAGCACTTCTGGTACTCGTGGCAGGCGCGTGCATTTGCCCATTTCCTTATGCTAGCAACGCTGGTCGTTGTTAGTGCCTTTATCGTTTTTGTCTACTTGTTCAACGCGCAGCCTATTACGCGGCGTGGCCCATCCAAATCGGTTTCTGAGGGTCCGGTTGCACCTCTTACCTCAAGTGATTTCCGTCGGCAGGCTTGGCTGACTAGCATGCAACGGGTCGGTGTTCCACGTCATAGGTTCTTCCGAGAGTGGTATGTTGTTACTTCGAGATGCTTCGAATACGTCTTACGATGTTTCATGGGATGGAAACTCTACTCATGGGCCACCGGAATAACTGAGGAGGATGAGAAGGGGCGAGTCAAAACTTGGGATATCGCAATTGATGCTCAGCTCACTGGTGGAGATGCCGAGATCAGCAAGAGTCGCCTTGTACTCACTATTTTCGCTGCCGGCACACTTCCCTGCACTCCTACAAGAATGATAATCAAAGCCTTGCATGTCCGCATTCTCTTGTGGAACGTTGGAGAAGCGGGCTCCTGGTCGTTCCATGTGTCAAATGACATTGCACGAGCTCTCGCCAGATTCCAGTGGGGTGTAGCTCGAGAAGTCAATGCCGCGCTGCCTGAAGGTCACCCTGATCAGCTTCCCCCTCATCTTGCTGCCTTGGTCAAATTAGATTGCGAGGATGTCATGATCGACAACATCATCCAACGCGCTGTGAACCTGACATGGAACCGACCAACCCAGGAAGGTACTGGCGATGACGAAGTGCTGCTTGATGTTGTAGACGAGGACCCGGCTATCCAATGTTCGCAAGATGCACTTGCGGCTTGGTGGTCGAGTCATCTTTTGCAAACCGCTCTTCTCAATTATTTCGAAGCAAGCGAGAAGGGTCCTGTTTCCAAGGCAAGTCGCGATGCATTCAAAGAGAAGATCCGTATGTCTCTTGATGTGGCCCCAGAGCTTTCCGCCGCGCATACTCGGGCACTTGTGATGAAAGCAGTATTCTTTGAACAAAATCGCATCGAAAATGTTGGGGCAGTTCTTGCCGCGCTACCGAAAGAAAAGAGAAAGGGAAGTCAGAGCCAATCATCCAACTTTCTTGATTCCTCTCTGCCCGTGTCGGTGCGGGACGAAATATCCATTGCGGTGCGCTGTGCTATGATTGCTACCATTGTCACCGAACGATCAAAAAATAACGCCTCCTCACTACCCGAGTCCTTTACCGTTCAAAAGGCCATCACTTGGTTTAATCAGCTTCCGATCGATCCAGTCGAGCTTTCTCTCATCGGGTTCTCGTCTGTCTATCATCTCCTACACCTCCTCGCCTCTGATGTGGATTATATTGCGTCATCTGATTCATCGTCCCCTTCGACCCCAGTCTCCGAGGCCACGTCCGCCGACGATGAAGCCGAAGAAAAGACCCGTCCGACCCATAAATTCTCTATTTGCCCCCGTGACATCCCCAATCTCGGGCGAGTATCAGCAGAACTCATATATTGGGCTCGAAATGCCTATACCCCGGCTTTTTACGGCTTTTCAACTACTCTTGTAGAAGTCATCGTCAATTCGTGCACAGAAATTTGCCAAAATGCGGGCATCAACGTCGATGACTTTGTGCACACCACACCTGACAGAGCTCTGTCTAAGAAGCGCAGGACACGTCGGCGCAAGGGAGAACCACAGTCATCTGAAAGCGATGCCGATCAAGATCTAGTTGATTATCCTGCTCAAAGACCTTTTCTGCGCCGTGAGCGGTCCGCTAGCAACGACACTGGGTATGGCAGCCTTTCTGTTGAAGAAGATGGACAGCCAACACAACTTCCTCCAGTCCATATGCAGGAGGCGCCCCGCTGAGATCTTCAATGATCTTAACAGGGCAACTCATGCAAAAATAATAATGACGGCGTTTTTGGCTTTTGTATCTCTAGTTTGGTTATGGTCCAGGGGTTTTTTTCGGTCAGGCAAAGAGGGAGATACGGAATGGTGTCAGGAATAACGTTTGTTTACGGGCTCTAGCACCCAATAGAATGGCATCATGACTACAATTGAACCATCTTGAAAACTAAGATGCGTATAGATATCTCATTGACCTGGAACTCTGTCTCCTTGTCCCTGTGCCGTTTGCTCTGACGTAGCTCTGACCTTGATAAAATTCCTCCCTGGAGTCATTGATTTTTCCATTTACAACCGAAGAATCAGGTTTCATAGTGGATAGCTCTACGAGAACAGCGACATTGTGCCTTTGCGGCAGAATTTTCTACCGGTCTCTTCCAATAGGTAGCGTCTCTTTTCTGGCATACGGCAACATCTACCCGAGCTTTGCCTCTCTGGAATAGTTCGCAAACAATTGAGCCTACTCCTGTCTGCTCGTGAGATGTTCGGTCTGGGCCGAGATTAGACCCTCGCCATCTTTGCTTTTCAGTCTGCTTTAAGGTGTCAAACCCGCTACAACTCTCACTCCGTTTCGGGCCATTTGTGAAGTGAAATGCAGCGATACGAGAGGTAGGTCTAGAACTACTGAATGGTAGGATCTGGAAATATCTCGGTTCACTGAGAGAACGATGAAATTAGACCGAGAATGAATAGTTACATGGTCTCTCAACCCGGAAGAGGTTCGGCTCAAAGGACAGACCGAGAGAAGTCTTTTAGTAATGTCCATCAATACACACGACTACCTGGCATTTATCAAGCCAAGGCTTGAGGAGGATACTATGGCGTCATGTTGACAAAGTTCCAAGACTGCTACGCTACAGTTTCCACTTTGAACTTGACCATTGTCTTGAACGTTGCAGTTGCATCCCATTGAACCGACTATCCGAGGCTCAATTCCACGTTCAGCATATTGATATCAATGATTTCGACAATCCAAATCTTCAGCAAGATCGATATTCAGGAACCAAAGCGCTCAAGGGGCCAATTTGAATTATTTCTCTTCTTCCGAATGGAGGACGAAGAATGCTGAGAGTGACAGGCAACATTCCGTTTTCGGGTTGCCCGGCGTCTAGACTCTTTTACTCCTATCCAGGACCCCGAGGCCTTGCAATGACACAGTCCGCCACATTATCCACATCCCCTCTGATTTGGGTTATGACAGGACATCCGAGGGCTTGAGAACTCACCACCGAGCGCATCAACCTCTACTGAAAATAACCTTAGCATGCCAAGATCTATTTTACTCGACGTTACATTGACCATGTGAGACACAATCGTACACGCTTGCCATTCAAATGCGAGGCGAAAATAAGCTTGCGGGACCTGTCAATGACGGCATGTATCTATAGCAGATCTAGAGATTAGCACGCGAATGATGCATGTCCAGAACTTACTTTCCTTTCCACGCGACTACAGAGCCTTTAATAGCATTATTCCATCCATCCATTGTATTCTCGCCCTTTTTCGGTCTCGAAGTCCTGAGAGGGTTGAAGAATCGAGGTTCATTCTGGTTGACGGTCTCCATACCCAGATCGACAGCTCGAGCTCCCTTTGCTTCTCTGAATGGCGCAATGGGTGTCGAACTCAAAGGAAATGGCCCGGGGGAGCCGCCTATGAACCCGGCGATTGCAGTTCCCTTATTCGTTGTCGCCGGGCTGATAGTAACTTTGTTTGTCTGGAAGACGGTTATTCGCATCCGACATCGTCGACGATCAAAAGCAGCACGACGAGGAGCAGACCAGACCCAGTTGTCCCGTACAAATGGCTTCAATGCAGCCCTGAAAAAGCATCTGCTGTATGCTCCGATATGGGGCAATCGTCACAGCCGCGAGTTTCGCATGTTTAGGCTTCATATGGGGTCTTTACCCTTACGACTGGAAGTGATTTGCCTTTTAATCTATCTCAGCCTGAACATAATATTCATTATTGTGACAGTCGATTGGTGGGTCAGTGATTATACCGAGAAGATGTTTCAGCTCAAATACTCCGCGGGCCATCTGGCAGTCATGAATACGCCTGGTTTGGTCCTAGGCGCAGGGCGAAATAATCCGCTGGTCCCGTTATTGGGCATCTCGTTTGATACGTTCAATTTCATGCATCGTTGGGTGGGACGAGTCATCACAGCTAATGCGGTCATTCACATGAGTGCCGTGCTGGCCAGCAAAGCCCACGTCCGTAAGTGACCTTGACCATGTAGGATACAATCATGCACTAACAGAATTTCGCGCTTAGATGGCACAGATTATATTCTGTATACTCTATGGCAACAGAAGCTCTTTCTATGTGGTCTTCTGGTATGTTATGCAGTCCACCAGAGCACTTTAGATGGCCACCTAATCTATATTCGCAGGCCATCATTGGATTCCTTTTCATTTTTCTTCAATCGCTGTCGCCGGTCCGACACGCATTTTACGAACTATTCCTTCACCTGCACATAGCCCTAGCCATATTCTCCTTCGTGGCGCTCTGGTATCACCTACAAAATCTATTACAACAGCGTGTGCTTCTCGGCACCTTAATCCTGTGGGGTCTCGATCGTGCAGGTCGACTTGGAATACTAATTTGGAGAAATCTTAGTTCGAGGCCCACAACTGCCACAGTCGAGATCCTCCCTGGGTCTGTTGCTCGCGTTGACGTGGCCGTGGCTCGGGCATGGCGCTTCCGCCCTGGCCAGTATATGTACCTCTACATGCCGTGTTTGGGCCTGTGGACATCACATCCCTTCACGGTTGCGTGGTCTTCGACATCGGACTCGTTGAATATGAAAGAAAAACGTGATTCGGGTGATTCTTTGAAGGCCCTCATCGGAGAATCGCCGACTATAACCATGTCCATTCTGATCAAGGGCCAAGACGGATTCACAAAGAAGTTGCTCCAGAAGGCGGGAGACTCGCCCGAGGGACGCATTCAGGCTATGGCATTGGCAGAGGGGCCATTTGGTAAGGTTCCTCACCGTGAACATGAGTTGTTGACGATTTCTAAACATATTTGCTGACATCCCACAGGCGGCATTCATTCTCTGACGTCATATGGCACTCTGTTGTTGATAGCTGGAGGAATTGGCATCACCCACCCAATGTCGTATCTGAACGAGGTTGTTGCCACATTCACCGAGCAGAAAACAGCTACTCGCAAGGTGCATCTGATCTGGATCATCCGCAGTCTAGGTGCGATCACCCCGCCAATTACAGATCAATGACTGCTAACATATGGAAAGACCATCTCACTTGGATTCAAACATTCATGACCGACATACTAGGCCACGAGTCCCTAATTGGTCCCATAAACGCGAACGAACACTCATACTTCCAATTCCCACGGCTGCTCCTCTCCATTAACCTTTACATCACAGCAGATAAGGACGCGGTTGAGGAATACATACCACAGCCGTATCCGCCGTGGATACAGTGCGCTCCACCTAGCGTACCGGTTAGCATCCACTACGGCAAGCCTTGTATGAAACCTATGCTAGAAAAAGAAAAAGCAGAGCAAATCGGTGCGATGGCGGTCAGTGTCTGCGGTCCTGGTGCTTTAGGCGATAGTGTGCGGGAGGCAGTCAGAGATGTACAAGGGGAAAAAACAGTTGACCTGTTTGAAGAGACATTCTCATGGTAGATGACTTAGCTTATGCGGTTGAGTCGCTGTGAGTTTGGCCGTTGTCTTTCTATGTACACAATTTCAGTCAAGCTCTAGATCAATGTCCTCTGTGAGGTTTCAATGAGTACTTTTTGCCACAGTCTATCACCGGCACACATTAGCCAGAAACACACGCCGAGCAAAGCAACTGTAGAGACGAATTGTTCAGAAAGAATGCTCTCTTTGGACACATAGCGAAGTCCGCATGACCTTGAGCATTCCATCGCATAAACTAACAAATATCAGCAATCCTTCGAGGTCAATCTTCTCGAATACATACTTGCAGGGCACGGACTTGAGATTTCCACTCCGTGTATATATCTACCCCAAGTATCGGAAGGAAATCAAAGATACAAAACAAACATGTGAGAGGACATGGTATAAATCAAACCATCACTGTTCAATTCGAAGCACTCTGTGCAATAGCCCACTCAAAAAGTTCCGCGATCGAGGTGCTCACGGCAGCTGTCCTAGGAATCTCATGCCCGCCACCGTGATCATAGGTGCGGCGTTTCGTTGGTTCGCAGATACCAGAGAGATGCACACCCGCCGCCCACCGAGGATCTTTCGAGCCGTAAATGTGTACCGTGGGGATATTTATACGGTAGGGGCTAGTAATCTCATTCCGCAATTCGGCCTCCGAGAGCCCACCGGCTCGAGTCTCGAGACCAGTCCAGCGATCTGAACCCTGAGCCAAGACCGCCGACGAATTGGCCTGTAGAGCTAGCGCAGATCGGGATGCAAGATCACGCTCGCGCGCCTCAGCAGAAATATGGAATCCCATCTCCTCCAGAACACTCAAGGCGGCGCCACCACAGATAAAGATAGCCGCTTTGAACGGTGGCGGGAGATGAGGAGTCTCTTCCTGATGGAAGAGGAGGGCACTCGAGCCCAGAGAACAGCCTTGTGAGAACATGAGCGCGAGATCGTATGGGCCATTCTTGGCGATATGCTCAGTCAGCCAGTTGTAGGTGGCTCGGACAGCGTCGACACCATCCTGTTCCCAAAAGGAGTAGTAAGGCGGACTGTAGAAGATATCTACGCCTGCAGCGGCATCGCTTCTAAATGGGCCATCGAGAAAATCAAATTGTATGTCGCTAGGAAGTTTAGCGCGGAATGAGGCTAAGGAGGGTCAGTTCTCTGAAAGGCCTCTGAAAAGACCCGTGGGGTTGGGAATCTAACAAATCTGAGAGCGGAAGATAGAGCCACTCGTGCCCTTGCCGTGGAGACAAAGCACCTTCATGACTGATATCTGGTTGGAAACACAAGGTGAGGTTGGAAGGAACTTCTGTCGAGGAGGGGTTGTTCATGCCGATAAGCACTAACCAACTAGCTCCCGCGGTATGCCGATTCAGGATGACTTATTTTGAACAGGGGTCAACTAGACGTCAAATACGTTTGGACTCGAACAAGATATACGTTTGACAATTATTGGAGTGGGTGAAGTCCGGATTTGTTCCCGGTCGCTGATATCCCTTGCGTCAGGGAACCTCACTGATATCCGATGTACTCCGTATTAATAGGTCTCTCTTGCAAGAGTATCGAAATAGGAAATATAAACATGGGAAATAGAAAGATCGTAGGGCCTTCGACTTCGGGTTATATCCAGAGCCCGGTATAGATCATAGAAATAAAAGGGGACGTGAATCTGATCTCCGACATCAGTCTCTTGGAGCACCTGGGCATATTTCCGGTTTGGCACTTTGTTTCCTGTTTATCGCATTGTAGACCTGTATACCATTTGAACAGCAAAGCTTATTCAGTGTGACATCATGGAATTGTTGATTCTGGAGATTCAAGTATTTCCCTGGTAAGCACCTTTGGTGGAAGGAGATATATGTAATCGACCCTTGTTCCACAGATTTGCGGTCAAAGGCCACGGTAGTCCCTCGTTTGATGTGAATGATTGGCGAGATATGAATGATTGGAATGTGCCAAATCTTGGCTACACAACTTGGGTGTCAATAATCCTTGATGTGCATTAAAAAATTGGTCAAGAGACTAAATGAAGGCCCAGAATAGGGAGCAGGCAAAAGGAGTATCGATTGAGGCCTGTCAGAGTGAATCGAAAGAGGCCCAATGTCATGGGTTTTTCCAACAAAGCTGTGTATATTCGTATGTGGTCCGAAGAAATATAGAGCTATAGAATGTTCTAGGGGAAACGCTGTTAAACTGTGTGGAGACGGGTTGAGACGGAGTGATTAGTATTGAGACGGAGTCGGTGCAATATTTACGACGGTCCCCGAAAGGGAAGTGGATTCGTTTTTCGTCATACTTCCTTCAATTTGTAATCAGCTATTTATTACTCCATCTTCCCCAGAGTCCTCTTTTCAATTCCATTCTCTGATTCATACTCACAATGAAGGCAGTCATCGTCACCCAGCCCAAGACTGAGGGCCTGGTCACAGATCGCCCTGTTCCCAAGCTTCGCGATGATTATCTTCTCGTCAAGACCGTCAGTGTGGGCTTGAACCCCACCGACTGGAAGCATATTGCTTATCTTGCTCCTCCCGGTGTTCTTGTCGGATGTGACTATTCGGGCATTGTCGAGGCTGTTGGCAAGGATGTCAAAAAGCAATTCAACAAGGGTGACCGCGTGTGTGGATTCGCACACGGTGGCAATGCAGTGCAGCCCGAGGATGGCACTTTCGCTGAGTACGTCGTCGTCAAGGGGGACGTGCAGTGGAAGATACCCGAGAACATGAGCTTCCAGGAGGCTGCCACCCTCGGAGTTGGCATCAGCACCGTGGGCCAGGGTCTGTACCAGAGTCTCAAGCTTGCACTGCCCACCGAACCCATCAAGGATTCGACTCCAATTTTGATCTACGGTGGCTCCACCGCGACTGGCACTCTGGCCATCCAATTTGCCAAGCTGTCGGGCTACAAGGTCCTGACCACTTGCTCGCCGCGCAACTTTGATTTGGTCCGCAGCCTTGGCGCCGACGATGTCTATGATTACAAGGATGCCCAGGCCCCTGCTCAAATTCGCAAGGCCACTGATAATAAACTGAAGCTCGTGTTCGACTGTATCTCGCTCGAGTCCAGCGCTGCGTTCTGTGACAATGCTATCTCCACCGATGGTGGCGAGTACAGTGCTCTGTTGAGCGTCAAAATCGACCGTGCCAATGTGAACGACCGCTTTACCCTGGCTTATACCACCATTGGCGAGGCGTTCACCTTTGGGGACATCCCAATCCCTGCCAAACCGGAAGACAAAGCTCACGCTGAAAAGTTCATTTCCATTGCCGAGGATCTGCTCGCTCAAGGAAAGATCAAGGTCCACCCCCCCAAGGTCGGCAAGCAGGGGCTGAAGGGTGTGATCGAGGGTCTGAAGTTACTCAAGGAGGACAAGGTCAGCGGCGAGAAGCTGGTCTACAATGTTTCCGAGACCCCTTGAATGAGACACTACTTTCTGTCTACCCGATAATATAAAGAGTCACAAAACCACCACTTTTATTCCCACATCTTTGAATCCCCGTGCGAGTTTGCTGTACCCTGTATGCCAGATCATATAATTCCCAGTAGTTGACATTATCAATAGAATCTTCATGAGACAGGCGTGAATTTTCAACTCGTCACCTGCCCCTCTTCAGGGTTGTTATATCAAACTGGATTATAAATCGGGCTATTCTCCTGCATTTCGTAACAAGAAGGAAGGCCTCCCGTCCTAAAAGAAAATCCCACTTCCAACTAACTGTTGTCCTATCGGCCCGGGCCAGTTCCAAACCAATTGAGACGATTATCAATCAACCCTTTTTGTCAAATAGACCAAGGACATCGAGAGGCAAACTGATCAACGTTGAATAAACTTGAATCCATCAACGGTCTCGACCTGGCCTCAACTCCCGAGGTCCTGGGCTGAGTCGAAGAACCGAGGTCAGGGGATGGCCAATCAGAGAGAATGTGTTATCCGTACTAGTCTAGCCTTCGCAAGCATCTACAATGTACAATGAATTGTAATCCTGTATATATTTTCTAAATAAGAAAAATCTCGTGTTAGTCGATATATCAAATGTGTTCATTCTGAAAAATTCAATAGAAAATGAATAAGAGCGTGTTGAACGCCTTGGAGACAGCAATTCCAATATGGTGTTGAACCAGAGAATTGTTCCGAAATCACTTCAATTCCACGCTCGCATTCGCACTCAGTGAGAGTGGCGTAAGATTGGCCAATCCTGCCCGCGTTTCAGCATCCTCAAGCGTAAGCGTCGCAGTCTTTCCGCTCCCAATGCCCAGCGACCGTTTCACGGCCTTCCAGCTCTCAACGCACAATAGGTAGACACAGGTACAGCCAAATACCACTCCCCACTCCCAGGTGATAGCATGATGCTTGAAGACCACTTGGTTAACGACCGGGAGATAAATGACTGGAAAGGCAATGACAAAGCCAGCCATGACCGCCCAAAATAGGAAACGGTTGTTCCAGACGGTGGGGAAGACTGAGAACGTCTTGGGATATCTGATCGGATCCATGTTGAACAGGGAACGAGAAAAGTGCTTCACCTCCCACGCTGTAACAAGGAGGAGGAAGGTGAGGGTCGCATAAGTAGTGGCCCGGGCGCGGAACACTGCGTCGCAGCTTGGATTGTATTCCTGATTACATCCATCGCCCAAAGAAGATGTTCCCGATCCGGCGCCGTATATCACACAGACAAACGAGACGAGGCAAAGTGTTCCCATGAAGGTTCCGTATATCATTTTATCCACAATGAGCTCGCGCGTGAAAACACCTACGCGTAGGTCGTGTGGTGGTCTGTACATGATATCGGGCTGGGCCTCTTCGAGTCCAAGACCGACAGCCAAGAATGAAGACGTAACAAGATTTGCCCATAAGATCTCCAGTGGCGACAACGGGAAGACCGAGTCACCTCCCTTGTCTTTAAAAGCAAGGGCGATCAGGAGGAGGATGACCTGTGCAATATTCGAGATGAGCAGATGCAGGAGGAACTAAAATCGAGGTCAGTAAATCAATTGAAATATTGATGGTGATATTCTCACCTTCTGGATATTATCAAAAAGTCTCCTGCCCTCTTCTACTGCTTTGACAATAGAAGAGAAGTTGTCATCTGTCAAAACCATATCGGCAGCCTCCTTCGCAACATCGCTACCATTTTTTCCCATGGCAATACCAACATCAGCCCTTTTGAGTGCAGGTGAATCGTTGACACCATCTCCCGTCATGACACAAAATGCCTGACGCCGATGCATCGCATCTACCATCCGAACTTTAGTGGCAGGGCTACAGCGTGCGATCACAAGAGGCAGTTCCTCGATCGCATCAATGTCTGCATCAGTCAACTTGTCGAACTCATCTGCAGCCATCACCAGTTTGTTGGATTTGATGTGTGCGGTGACACGGTCAAGAATACCGACCTCTGACGCAATTGCTGTCGCTGTCTTAATGTGGTCCCCAGTAAGCATGTGCACCGTGATCCCTGCCATTTGGCATCTGCGTACGGCCGCAGCTGATTCCACTCGAGGCGGATCATATAGTCCTACAAGGCCTCCAAATCGTAGGTTTGATTCAGCGGAGCTTCGTGGAGATATTTGAGATTCGTCATCGATTGGGGGTGCTTTGTAGGCGATGCATAGGACGCGAAGTCCTTCGCCCGCCATCCGATCAGCCGTGTCTCGTATAACTTGCTTTTCTGCTTCGTCAATATTGAGATGAGGAATAACAGCCTCTGGGGCACCCTTGGTGTAGATCTCTTTGGTCCTATCCCGTGGGTTGTCATAGACGACGGTCATCTTCTTGATAGCCGAGTCAAATGGATACTCTGTATGCAATTGAAGTTGCCTTTTCTTCATCACGGAATCTTTTCCAAAATCAAAGCGCAAAGCCAGAACGTGAAGAGCAATCTCCGTTGGTTCACCCACAGCACTCCATACTTGATTTTCATGGTGGACAGCGGAAAGATTACAGAGAGCAAGCGCTCGCAAGAAGGTATGCAGTGCAGGATTCTCTTCGATGGGTTGATTGGAGCTCCAATCAATCTCATCCAGTTGGACCAGACCACTGGTCGGGTCGAATGGATCTGTAGTTTGGCTCACAGTCAAAGTCCCAGCACCGGGGATCCATGCAGAGCGGGCTACCATCTTTCCCTGGGTTAGAGTCCCTGTCTTGTCAGAACAGATGTTCGTGACACCGCCGACTGCCTCAAGACATTGGAGTTTCCGGACTATTACATTTCCCTTGGCCATTGCTTTTGTACCCACAGATATTGTGATCGTGAGGACAGCAATCAGCGATTCCGGGATGACCGCAACAGCAACACAGATGCCATATATGAGCACCTCACCCTGAACATCCCATTTATTGACCGAAAAGACGATAATGGCGAGCAGAATCGCCAGTCCGAAAAGCAAGAGTGCAAATTTGCTCAGCTTCACTTGCAACGGCGTACCAATCAAGCCCAGCACATTCATAAAAAATGCCTTCGTCCGTTTACCCGCCTGAGCAAGACGGCTGGAGTCATGAAGGTCCGGCTGTGTCTGGAGTAGTTGTGCAATTTTCCCGACCTCTGTATTCATCCCTGTTGCGGTGACTATTCCCATTGCACGACCTTGTGTAGTGCTGCAGCCAGAATAGGCCATGTTGGTTCGGTCGCCGATAGGAATATCAGAAGACGCTAGGGTCACATGAGGGGTTTTGAGGATGGGGAGGGATTCGCCTGTGAGAAGTGCTTCATCCATTGAAGCATTCATGCCATCAAACAAGCGCAGATCGGCAGGGACGATATCCCCAACTGCTAGCTGGACTATGTCGCCGACAACCAACGTTTGAGCCTTAATAGAGGCAATGCGACCCTCTCGGATGGCCTTGCATATTGGGGCGGAGAGACGATGCAGTGACATGATTGTCTTTTCGGCGCGATAGTCTTGTATGAAGCTAGAGGGAAAACTTTTAGCCCAAGGAGCAGAGGCAGGTTTTTCGAGGTACTCACCCCACAACTATATTCAAGACAATCACTGCGGTGATGACACCTCCCTCAATATAATCATCGATTCCAAAGGATAGGGCCATGGTGATCAGAAGAACCTTAGATTGTGTCAGCTACGTCTTCTGGGCATTGATAGGCCTATGCGGTTTAACACACTAGTGTAAGACTGTTGGACACCTGCCTTAGCAGTATCCCCCAGACGGAGACACCCTCCATTTCACGCACGGTATTCGGACCATCGCGCTGGAGACGGGAGGCCGCTTCGGTGCTAGAGAGACCATTTCTAAAGCTTGTGTTAACAAGGATATCTAGCTATAATAGGGTACACCATATACTAACGCACCGGAGATCTGTATGGAGGAGGAGTGCAAGCTCAGATGGTTCTATGAGATGAGCGTTGCGGTCGGACCCTTCTTTACTTGATTGGTTCGAGGACGCAGTGTGACCGGTCGTGTGCGAAATAGGGTTTTTGTCGGTAGCGCAGGGCTTTGTACACAGGGTGTTTGTCACATTGGGTTGGGGATTGATTTCCGTGAAAGGACATATAGGAGGTTCCGTCGATTCCTCGACATCGGGGGTTATCTCTACGCCCATTCAATAAGATTGTGGGAAAGAAAGCGGTGGAAATAAGTCAGACAGTCTTTAAATTCCCTGAATATCCGTGAACCTTGTTAGTGTAAGGAAAAGAGTATGTTCGCACTAGGGAGGAAGTGGAAGCAGCAAAGAGGGAATGATCCAGAAATGGGTTTTATATGCGAGAGGTAGCCATGCACATAGAACAGGGCACATGCTTTCAGAAGAGGGGATCATCTAAGCTGTGAGGGGCAGCCCTAATCACATCGTGAAGCCGCGATGTCATTGGGGGCGACTTGTCGGAGATTCTTGGCTCCTCTGCGCTCTGGCGGAGTTTTCAAATATCCTGGTCCGTAATCCAGTGAAATCATGGGACTTCCAAGCTCCTTGCATTGGGATTGGATGTCTTCCCAGTCCGGGGTTGAAGCCACAACTTGGCTTCTAGGCAGTCGTGGCGTGCTATTCCTGGTTTAAGGCTGACGTGCTTATCGGAATCCCATTGCCCTCTCGTACTTTGGCTGTCGATACCTCTGATTCGGAGGTCACGAGCCGGGTGCTCCGTACCAAATAACAGAGACAGAAATGACATGAAGGCCCCTGCTAAAATCAGTTTAAAGGCCACTGCAACTTCCTGTATGAGCACAGCCGCCTTGCCAATTCTCGGTTAATGCAATCGGCCGCATTCCAAGGGCTCGGCATCCAAGGACTGACACGTCTACTCTCGCTGCACCTATGAGAATCAGTAGCGAATCAGATAAGACAGCCTCGTCCAGTCACGGTGTATGCCATGTAAAAAGCCAGGAAGATCGAGGAGTACAATATACCATAAAAGTAGAAATGTAGAAAGTTGAGTTAATAAGTAGAAATGAAAACCATCAATATTCCAGGGTTCAGTTCAAATGACTTGTACTGAGTACCGCAGAGGTATATGGTGTGCAGGGCAACAGCCAAGGTACCCAGTACAAGTCCAGCTAAGGCGGCCAATCAGGGAGCGGGTCCGCACATGAAAAATCACTGACATTTGAACTTGCGACTTTGCTCGAACACAACTTTGGAAGCTTCCCAATTTATCCCCGAACATGGTCGGTCCCATAGCATCCCTCTCACAGCTAAATCGTGCCGACGGTTCAGCGTCATACAAATGTCCGGCCACCGGTTACAGCATTTTGGGTGCAGTCAACGCGCCCATTGAGCTCCCAGCTCGCCGTGACGCATTGAAACCCGAAGAAGCCACTGTGGAGGTCTTTGTCAAACCTGGTACGACAACTGCTGGCGTCGGTGAAAGATATGTTGAAGGAATCCTGCGGTCTGTGCTAGGGAAAATAGTCCTCGGACGGGAGAAGGGTTTCCCCCGTCGCGGCGTGGTCATCACCCTGGCTATTGTTGGAGGAGAGAACGTGGAACGTGGTGACTCTGTGAGTATTTCAAACGCTCAATCTGCCCTGCACTATTGTCAAACCGTCAGACTAATTTATTCAGTACCTTACTATCCTTCCGGCTCTCCTGCATGCTGCCTTACTCGCTATGATATCCGCCTCCGTTCCTCTGTCGATGACCTTCTCCGCGACCCTCCTTGGTGTAACCAAATCTGGTGATATTGTGCGGGACCCCTCCCCGACCGCCGCCAAGGCTGCTGTGTCCCTCCATGTCTTTGCCTTCTCCTCGAAGAACCATCTTTTGTTGAACGAGAGTGAGGGTCGGTTTGAATTTGATACCTGGGAACTTGTCCGTGAGCGTGCGCTCTCTATCTGCCAGGGTGTGACCAGTACAGATGGCGATGTTACCATGGACGAAGGAACGGCCAGTGCCAGTTTGAACGGATTCATCCGGGAGACCGTGGAGGACCAGGTCTACAGCGATTATGCCTACAAGCTGGACTCTATCTGAGGCGGACGACGACCAAAAATTTGCGGAGAGTTAGCGAGACGTGATAAAATAGGACAATGTCGACTTGTCATCCTCTGGTCCCCTTCTCTTCCAAGGTTGGGCAGATGACTTCCTTGGAGCACTCGCTATATCTTCCCCCCTCGACTCGGAAAAGTACGGTGTCACAAAATACTTGGTCGAGTACCACATCCGATTAAGGCACCGTCGCCTGACTTCCACTGCATGTACAATACGCTTCATTCGGCTGCCACAAGCGACAGCCTTGCTGCATGCGAGGCTTGTTTTTGGGTTCCCCCACCTCTGGGTTCCGGACAGCCTCCGTCAGCTTTTGATATTGAACATTTCGGTCCCCCGATTTTGCCAAGTGATTTCGCGGTGGACAGGTGGAACTACATAACCCTAGCAGGCGCCAGAATAATGGCCCACTTCGAATCGGGGTTGGAAGGGGATACATATTTTAGCGTTATGGCAAAGACTGTACAAAGTAACAGAATGGAATATCAAGAAGAGAACCTCAACACATCATTACTTTTAAACATTTTTCATAAGCTGTTTCTGATCTATCTCTAAGGGATTGTTCGTCGCACCCCTCGCCCCCCTCCCGGCTGATTTTCCCATACGGAGTACGGATTACAGTCTTCCCCATCAGAATCCTGCTATATGTTCTGCCACCATAAAAATTAGCGCTTCGCAAAGTTCACAAGCGTGCTTGGATCCCAGGACCAAAGCCCAAACTAACCAACAGCCCTTTTGTGGGGGCCCATAAGGCCCCCATTATAGCCTATTGAGGGGGTTCGAAGAGGATCTTGTAATCGCTGCATTCTGACCTTTCAACTAAGTATGTAGAGCTTAGATTTGAAATTTATGATTTTGGTTACTGCATCAGTGTATACTCTAATTTTAAAACATAATCCAACCTGTGGAGGTCGAAAAAATGTTGATATACTATACTCTGATGTCAGATATCGGTTTTGGATCTAGACAGGAGTTCGACCACTTTCTTAGTGAGCCTCTTGAATTTAATATTTCTGAATAGTGCGATTTCTCGCATTTTGAAACGTGATTAATATAAGTGACTTAATGTATTAGCCTTTCAACCTACTAGATACAAGAGTAGACGGTCGCTTATGCGGCCTCGTGATGTCTTTTCAGCGGGCTTCTCAGCAGGCTTCTTGGTTCTTGGATATCTTGAAGCTCCCCTTTCCAGTCCTCAAGGTAGACAACAGAAAAGGCGAAAAAAAAGCATACTTTCCGCAAGAGACTTTATGCAATAACTTCCAATCAATGATAGTGATAAATATTACCGGTAGATAAAGACGAGAAACGAGGTCTATACACATATTGTACCACTTGGTGTTTTTTTGGGCCCCGATAGGCCCTCATTCAAAAGCCCAGTGGGATTTCACCCCGGGCCCGTAGCCCAGTGGACCTGAGGACCGGGTCCAAAACCCAGCCCATTTGCGGGTTTGGTGCGGCTTGGGCTGACTTTGTGGGCTTTGCGGAGGTCGAGGCGATGTGGAGGGTAGACAGAAGGCATGGGAAGTCCTAATTGAGAAGGCGGTAGTCCATACTGAATAATCAGGCACAGGGGGCCCCCTACGAGCATGAGGTCCAAGTACGATTAATCTCCTATCACAGTGTAAACGTCATTTATCTGAGCGTACTGCGCGAGTGTACGCATTTGGCAATGAGCAGTCAGACCAATTATAGAATATTCTGGGGAATCTCACCAGAGTGAGAAATTCTTAAAATAATCTCCTGGTCGAGGTCCGTGATCCTAAAAAGCCCAGGAATTCCCTTTTGATGTCCTTGATCCTTGTCAATATTTGCCCCTACTGCTCCTTCGAGTTTATCCGCATCCTTGTCGACCTATCTAAAAAAAAAAAGAAAAAGGACTAATAAAAGCCCGCAAAAGAAAGAAATAAACTTCCCCAAGGTGGTGGAATACGCTAGAATCAATATCACCTCTCCAGGACTGGGTCCACGGGGGACACAGCATCGCAAGACTTCGGATCCGCAATCCCCGTTACATCCGAGCTCTTTTTCCTGATTACTCTTATTTACCTGCCGCCAAAGCCGATGGCAGCCAACCGTGATCTCCAGTCTGACATATTCTCAAGTCCATCGACGCAAACTCCATTCCCCTCTCTATCCCCGAAAGCCCCACCAACGGCGCTCCTCCGCGATGCCCTCAACATAGAATCCTCGACCCAGGACAATTGCTCAGGTCTCCCTCAAGGAATCAACCGCCTGCTGTCTACACAAATCTCCGAACCGGCTCAAGAGGAGCCCGTAGGCTCGTCGCCTTCCACAAAGATACGGTCATCTCGCCGGAAGTCAATAAATCGCCGATCGAAGAAAGCATTGTCGACCGACTGTATACCACGACAGACAATTTTGAAGGCGCTGGCCTCTCGCGCTTCGATTCTTAGCAATAATCCCAATATGTCGGCGAATCCCTTATCGAGTACGCTCAATAAATCCACCCAGGTTTCCCCGCCTTCCGACAACCTACACCGGCGGAGTAATGGTTCCTCCCACAATCTTACCACTGCGCTATCAAATCTTCAATTGAGCGGCTATCTCGATCGATCGCCGGCCACGGCACGTCTGATCTTGCAATCGCCATGTTATTTCCACCAACGCTTTGATGATGCTGTCAACATAAAAAAGGTGTTGGAGGAAATCGCCGATGACGAGTGGTTGTCACATTCGCGGCTTGTTCAGACGGCAACTGGAGTTCGTGAGGTGTCGAAGCAACTACAGCGACGACCTATCAAACGGGCGGTGCGAAATGTCATGATTGTCACCAAGGCACGTGATAACAGCCTGGTGCACTTGACCCGGGAAGTTGCCGAGTGGTTGCTTTCGACATCAAGATACGGAAGTGACTTAGGAATCAATGTCTATGTAGATGCGAAGCTGCGAAATTCGAAACGATTTGATGCTCCGGGGCTCTTGCAAAAACACCCGATGTTTGCGCAGATGTTACATTTTTGGACCCCGGATCTGTGCTGGACATCGCCAGACAAGTTCGACTTGGTATTGACCCTTGGGGGTGACGGTACCGTTCTTTTCACATCTTGGCTCTTTCAGCGTGTGGTTCCGCCTGTGCTCTGCTTTTCGCTAGGCAGCCTGGGCTTCCTCACAAATTTCGAGTTTTCCGACTACAAATCACAGCTTAATGCTGTTATGGGCGAGGTAGGCATGCGCGTCAATTTGCGCATGCGATTCACATGTACCGTCTATCGGAAAGATAGGAGCAAAGGAGCAGAGGCGGGCGCTGTCGAGGAGGGGGAGCAGTTTGAAGTATTGAATGAGCTCGTCATCGACCGCGGCCCGTCCCCTTATGTGTCGAACCTGGAGCTCTACGCCGACGACGAGCTACTGACAGTCGTCCAAGCCGACGGCTGTATCTTCTCCACACCGACCGGTTCCACAGCATACTCCCTATCCGCCGGCGGTTCTCTTATGCACCCGTCCATCCCGGGCATCCTCCTCACCCCCATATGCCCACACACCCTCTCGTTCCGCCCAATGGTCCTCTCAGATTCCCACCTCCTCCGTATTGCAGTCCCTAAATCCTCCCGATCCACCGCTTACTGCTCCTTTGATGGCAAAGGCCGCGTCGAACTCCGCCAAGGCGACTACGTCACTGTCGAAGCTAGCCAGTACCCATTCCCGACAGTCGTCGCCAACAATAACGAATGGTTCACAAGCGTACAGCGTGCTCTGCGCTGGAATACCCGCGGAGCGGTCCAAAGGGGCTGGGATGGCGGCGATGCGGACGTAGATCTGAACAGCGATCCCAATGAAGACGAACAGTGGGACATCGATATGGACAACACCCTCGCTGGAACAGATAGCGGCATCGGTCCCAGTGAAGATGGAGATTCTCTGTCGCCCAACCCCATGCGTCGGCAAATGAGCTTGCTCAATATGTGATGTTCTTGTGCATGTTAGCGATTTTCGATTCCCTTTTGTGCTCTATACCTTTTTTATCGTTTGGGTCTCGGTGCTTTCTCTTGTTCTCGTCTCAACCCCAGCGTGATGAGGTTCGCTCGGTGTTTTGCATTGTAACTATTTTATTTCCGACATGTCTCGGGCAGGTAAGCATCTGCCTTGTTGTTCGTCGTGGACATCGTGTCAATAGATCGCGACATATTGCCTCTACGGCTTGAATAGAAGGCTTTGGCGGGTCAACAATGATATTGTCTCGCGGATTGATATTCTCCCTAGATTTGAAGTGGTGTAACTTGGTCTACAGACCCTCATCTCGTGAATACTATTCACTTCATTTCTGCTCTTCGTTGGATCGTGGAGAGCATAAGAAGACCACTCACCCTCAGATTTCTCAGTGCTAATATTATGCGAAGCTCGTGGATTTTATTTACGGCTATTCATTCAGAGATTATACCTGCTCATGAGATGAACGCATGTTCTTCATTCAATTTACTCTAGAGTATGATGCCACTATCATACCTAATAGAGAATCATTTTTTCGATGGATAGCGTGGGGTCAATACACGGCATCACTGCTGTAAGCGAGAGTGCAACTCAGGGAGTAGCGAGTACTCAAAATGTATGATTCTTATATCCTGGACTCCAGCCGAGGTTAAATCGAGTATGATATCTAGATAGAAACTTCCAAGGTCAGAAGCAGTAATTCTCACCACCGCATTAGAATTAATTCCACGTGTGAACTCCGCCTGGTAATTTACATGTGCAATATTAAAGATGTATTCATAAAGGCTTCGTATACATATTGGTGGGTCCAATAAGGAAATAGCAACGCAAATGTGATTCAGACAAGAAGGGGTATCATCAGTCAAGCCGTCGTTGTACCGACGCACCCAAGCCACACGTTATCGCCCACTTCCCATCTCGTAGGGTCCCAGATTCGGTCTGCTATTGTCCAGCTCCGATAACAGAGTTTGTTTGCCCCAATAAACACGTTCTGATTGACCGGAGTACTGGGAATAAGTCATGGGAGGCATTTGATCTTGTCCAACGCTGATCTTTGGAACAGCCATTCTCTTCTGCCGACGACGGCGTATGAGCCACCACGCGACCAGGGCGATTACCACGAGCCCAGCAGCACCACATCCAGCGCCGATACCCGCCGTGGCTCCCGTGGACAAATCCCCACTGGCAGATGATGTACTTTGAGCGCTGTCATCAGTCGTTTTGGTGCTCGAGTTTCCAGCGGACGTGCTATTCGTCTCTGTGAGCGGGGACCAATGTGAAGCCCAGGTCTCCTCCCAGCTATCACCTGATCCCGACAATTCAGCTGCACTCTCTTCAATGGCGATGGTGTTCGTTTGGGAGTATCCGGGGCCCGGTGCTTGGGCCAGAAACCAGTTGCCAATGCCAACTATTCCAGCTCCATAATTAACGCCAATGAAGGCAGATTGGAAGAAAGCTCGTCCCAGGGCGTAGGTGCCCTCAGTCCCAAAACAGGGGAAATACGGTGTTGGCTTTGTGACGAGAGGCGCCTCCAGAGTAAGGTTGAGCAACGCGAATGGTACCTTGATCGTGATGTTCTGAGTGTTGGTATTGTCCTTGACAAAGGTGAATGCCAAATAGCTGGGAGAGTTCACAATTTTCGAGTATTGGGGGTCATCGGTATTCCAGAAGTATAGACCAAGATCGGCATTGTGGGTCACTGGTAATTCAGCGGCAATGGCATCACAGGAGCTTTGAGGCAAATAAATATAGGGATCTACAACGTTTGCGTGGACGCTGACACCAGACTCAAGAGAGGAATTTCCTTGAGCCAGTAAACCGGCTTTGCTTGGATATTTCCATGGTGAGCCTCCCTCTGCGACCCCTAGACTAATGTCTAATAGCGAAATTGGTGCCGAACTGCCTGTATGAGGCTGGGCAGAAACTTCCCCTAGGGCCCGACTTTTATCATATCCGCCCAGCATCAGACTGCCAGCAATGCCTAGCGGGGCAGAACCGATATGCATCCCGTATGTGTAAGATGAAATTGTCCCGGACCCGTTCCATAACCAGCTGGTGATCATAGTAGCTCCGAGTTTATCAAATGTTTGATTGACGTCTTGGGCACCTAACGACAGGTAACCGACTTGGAGGGGGTAGCTTTGGCCACCAGGATAGGTTTGATAGCCTTGACTGATGCTAATCAGGTCGACATCTGGTACAGTTGTTCCATATAGTTCCATCGTTTCCCGGGCACGTCTGGCTTTTCCAGAAACGGGAACCGCATTGGTCGGCGAAAAGTTTAGGTCCTCCCAACTGTAACCAGTTGGGTCCAACTTGATGCTGGTATTGTCCCAGGTTGACGACATGCCGGGGTTAAATAGACCGGCTTCCTCGGCGTAGCAGACAGGTGAAGTCGTGATATTTGAGCAGTAGTCGGAAAGGAAGACCCAAGTCTCCCACCACCGTCCTGCGTACATTGCAATCTCCTGTCGACCACTACCCATCTTCACCAATACAGCGTTCCAAGGACCGTCTGGCCCATAGCTCTTAGGGGACCATTTCATAACCCATGGGCGCTGCGCAGATGTGAGTCCCAGAATGGCAAATAATAAAAGAATGCTGAACATTATAGCCATTCGTTGGGATTCTTTCCATACGCAAATATGTTAGATACAAGTAGTCCAGAAGGACTTGAGAGAAGAGGTTACAAGCAAAAAAAAAAAAAAAAGAAAAGAAAAGAACCTCAGGGGAATGACAGCGCTGTGAGGCTCCAAGGCCTGCTTGAGACGACTGCATCGAGATTTTTTTTTACAATCAAAAATAGAGGAGAAAGACAGGGGGGGCCTCAAACTTGCAAACTCAGCGGCTAAACGAGAGTAATAACGTATTTTCAGAAATTGCAGGGTTGGAACCCCTGTAGTGTAGTCGCCAGCGTCGTTTCCATCACATCTACTCCGTATATAATACAACTTATTGCACTAGCTTGTAAGAAAGACTACCATACAAGAACAATACTCTGAAAGAAATGTATCCGAGGTCGATTGGGCAAATCAGGGGCCTGATATGCCGAATAAGTGGGCAGGGATAAGCGAACATAAGACCGCCAAAATTTCACTCTAGCCTCTTGTATATAGTGCTCTCATTTCTTTATTATTGGATCTACTTAGTTCGGTATTCCTAGACTGACTTGGCGCCGGCCTTAGCGTTGGCAGCTCAGCGCCTATTTCGATGCCAGCCTGTAACCACGTTGATTCTTGTTTTCTTAAACATCTCTTGGGTTGACCTCTATCTTTAACCTATATTACAATCAGATATCATGGATTGGCTTTGATCCAGCCTCACCTTTGCCGACAAGTTTGTCCCCTCTACCCGCTCCCAGGGCTCACCATGCTACCAAACTTGTCAAAGACAGCACGCACTATAATCGCCATCATTGTCCTTTTCTTTATAGTTGAGACATTATTGATCTTGTCGAATGGGCGTAAAAGTACGCAATTTTACGAATTTCATCACGATCCCTCTCCGAAACCCACTGATGCCTTGGATTGGTCTCGCTTTGCCTATTCTCAATATGTTACGAACACGCCATATCTATGCAACTCGGTTATGCTTTTTGAAACTCTAGATCGCTTGGAAAGCAAAGCCGATCGCATCATGATGTACCCATCGGATTTTTTGCCAGACGAAAATGACAACGGGACGCAAAGCCGACTTCTCCGAAAAGCTCGAGATGAATATAAGGTCAAACTAGTGCCCATCGAGATTCAAAGTCGATCAGGTGGTGACGGTATGTGCGATCCATTTCTCTAGAAATCTTGTCACAAACACTGTCAAAAGAAATAAAAATCTAATGTCAATCCAGCAACATGGGCGGAGAGCTTCACTAAACTTCTTGCCTTCAATCAAACGCAATACGATCGCGTCCTGAGCCTTGATTCAGATGCCACTATGCTGCAAGTATGTTTTCCAGAGACACTGAAAATCGGGTGCTTTACTGACAAGGTCCAGCATATGGATGAATTGTTCTCCATGCCGCCATGTCCTCTAGCTCTACCTCGAGCTTACTGGCTTAGCCCGAAAGAACGTGTATTGACCTCCGCACTTTTGCTCGTTCAGCCTTCTCATTTTGAATTTAATCGTATCATGAAAACCATTGATGCGGCAGGTCACTCGGACTATGATATGGAAATTATGAATCGTCTCTACGGAGATAGTGCGCTCATCTTGCCGCATCGTCCTTACACCATGTTGACTGGAGAACTCCGCAACGATGATCACTCGAAATATCTGGGGAATAGCAATGAGACTTGGAATCCTGATAAAGTGCTCAAGGAGGCCAAATTCGTGCATTTCTCTGACTGGCCAGTTCCAAAGGTATGTCCCTTTTGCTCCTCGCTTGCATCCTTGAAATATTGTCCTCACTAATAGCCATATAATAGCCTTGGATCACTCCCACGGCTTCTATCATGGATGAAAAAAAACCATCCTGTCACTTGAATATCAGTAGTGGGCTTCTAGACGACTGTCGTGACCGTGACCATTGGTTAGGGTTATATGCAGATTTCACCAAACGACGAAAGGTATTGGACACTCTTCTCGGAATTACTTGGAACACCAGCTGACCAAGACAGGATATCTGCGGCGATGATATATAAGAGAGGAAGCAAGTGCCCTCGGCGACAATAATAGGTTGACTTCATACGAACCGGCCGTTCCCTGGTTGAGCAAATATGTTGCATGGTGGAAACTGAGGACGCATTGTAGATATGTATTTTCCATGATATAGATGTAAACTTCAAGAAGCTTCATGATTTTCCATTCGATTTTATTATATACGCTCTCCCACCACCGATAATATACCTTCTATGGCAAAAGAGGGGATTCGCGGACCCCGACATGGATTTGAAGTTACGGTCAACCAAATGGAGATACACACTCTGTATTCTTAGATGTAATACATTTACAATACCAAACGATCGAAATTCTGAAGCACCGTGCACTGTACCGTGCAGTGGGGCTCCATATCTCTTGGTGATTGGCATATAACGTCGTCTCGGGCCGTATGCGCACGACCCATAGCGCTCAGGGTCCAAACCCCCTTCTTGGAGGTTAGATGCCTAGATGCTTTAGTATTTATAGGCTTTTGCGTAGTATTTCTAGCCCACACACGCTTCCCTTTCGATGGTCCAGATTTCTACCTTATCTAGCGCTTGGGGCTTACCTCTAAAATAAGATACAGTGGAAGCGGCTAGCGTGTACGGAGTACTCCGTACCATACCATGCAAGCGAGCCTCAACGAGTCATTCCGCGGTCGGATCCATCACCCCCTGGGTAGGTACAGCACATGCTCAGGGTACGGACCATGTTCTCCACCGTTGGCACTAGTGAGCTGGTCCAAGGGTGATGGGTCAACGCAGAAGACTCCATTGAAGGCTTGGACTCAACCGCGCAGAAATGTTATTACGACTGGCACAAGACATTGTGGCTAGAAAATAGGTTGTACATTAAGTGATTCCGTAAATTTTACTGCTAGCGCTCTGAAACCCTCCTACGGCAGAGGTTATCGTTGCTTAACTCACCAAACATCCTTGCTGCCATCTTTTGCGGCTGGTTTTATCTATCTTTAGTTTCTTGGCGGCTAATGCGCCACGACACAAATACGGATCGATCTTAATGGTCTTCCGATCAATCACACAACCCCCTTAATCTTGGACATGGTCCGCCGCCTTATGTGGAAATTCGGGCGTGATACTAGATTCCAATCGGTAAGTAGGTCTAGTATGATACCTTAGCACGGAAGATCGCAGATTTCCTATGCACATACTACAGAGTACGGAGTACGGAGTAGATGGTACTATGTTGTATGTTTTGGTGTATGTAGGCTTTACTCATACAGACTAATGATAATATGAAGCGGCCATCTATGTTGTTGTACCAGATCACCGCCAATCCACATCAGTACCCTATTAGTTAAGAGCGCAATATTGATCAAAGTGTAAGGAACATAAACGCAGCTCTTGTCCTGTGTCTGTAGGCTCCAATGACAAATCTACTATGTACAATAACAGGGCTAATATCTATCAGAGACCTTTGTTTCGATCATGGAAGGGCTCAATGTACTGAGAGTATGGATGGGGTTCTTAGGACTCAGTAAGAAACGACTGTTGTTCCACTTTGGTGTTTGCTGGGCATATTTCGCAATTGGCCTTCCTATAGATTTTGCAAATCAGCAGCTTTGGTTTTCTTTCCGTTGTATTTCTGTTGGTTTTCCATGGCTTGATAACTTCTCGTTTATTCAAGCAATTTATCAATATCTCAGATAGTGAAGACACTTTGCTGCGAACACCGTTTCATATCTCAAGAACAGAGTGAATCTCACTATCTCTGAACAAATAAATCAGTAGAAAAGGCCAGTAGAAACCATGAGGTTTTCAGTATCCTGTGCAGCAAAATGCTCTCACAATTATATAACTTCATTAATTCATCAGTCGTCTTAGAGAGCCCCCGTTACAGCCTATATGAAGTGTACAGGATTGCCTTATTCCTTGTCAAGTGTTTTTCATATTTTCTCAACTCCTAGATTTACATATCATATGAAGTGAAACTTGTGACTGGGTTCACACGTCAAATCAATGTAGTTTACATGTTGAATATTTCGAGTTAATCCTTATAACGATTTTTCCTCCACTCAAATCCCAAAAAAAAGCTCAGCCCAAGTAGTTGTTCAAAATCCAACAGAGATCTCTTGTCCACTTTCAACAGAGTGGGTCTCAAAGGCAGACTTCCCAACGCAGTCTCCATACTCATAAGGAACATCAATACTTCCAGTATGACCCTCGACAATGGGGTTGCCAAATGTGACGGCGGTCTTGGGCAAGTCGCCGCACTCCTTGGTGCCAAGGAAATACTCGACAAAGCCCAACTGGCTCCCCTCAATACCCCGAGTGGTATCAGGAAGGGTATAAGAGCCGATATGGGTCTCTTGGCCGGTGACAGCATCAATGAGTGTACCAACCCAGGTAGTTCCCTCGGAGTTCTTGACATTCAGGTGATAGGTGTTGGCGTAGGTACCGTTGATATTGACGTAGCAGCTCACGCCGGCACCACCATCGGCGCCGTCGCTGCAGTTCTCGTCGGTGGTGGTGCTTCCAGGAACGAAGCTGGAGAAGGCGGCGTGAACTACGGAGCCGGCCGAGGAGTCGACTTGGGGCTGCAGGCCTGTGTAGCCTACATCGGACTGTCCGGCGAAGGTAAATTGCTGGGCAAAGTAGAAGCCCTCCTCGTGAGGTGCGTTGGCGATATTGATGGGGAAGGTGATTTCCCGTAGTCCGTCGTCGGTCACGTCTGACACAGACCAGGAGTGTCCGACAAGGGCTGTAGTGGGTTGAAGAAGCGCGAGGGCGAAGGGAAGGGTCTGGGAAAACTTCATCTTGGTTCGTGTTTGGACTTGGAAGGGATTGATTGTTGATGGGCGTGAGAATGTCGTGGTTCTATGCCTCTGCTTTATAGACTTGACTGATACTCGCTGTTGCATCCATTGTGGGAAGCATTGATGTTTTTATCAAGATGAAACACCAACATGTTCAGTGTAGATGGCGATCTACAATATTGTGGAACCGATGGAACCATGCCCCACAATATAGTTCCCCTAGTATTGACATTTGGCAACAACCGGGTCTGAAGGATATGCAATTCTTGCTGCCTTTATTCATCTGTCAAAAGGTCATCCTTTACTCCGAGTTGGATGATACTCTCGATGCTTTTGTCTTTTGATTGGTTTTATTCAACATGCAATGTAACATCGGTTATTCAACCCCCGCAGGGAATATAAGTTACAGCGTATGCAACATAGCAATGTTCTCCTATTTCCCCTATTCCAGTACTTTACATTGGACATGGGCAATTTATATTGATCGCGATATTAACATTCCCGCACGTGGATAAACTGAGATCCACAACTGCCCGATCTGCACAGTTTGCGCCTTCTACGGCTGGCTTTATTTCGCCTACAGAGGCAAGTTATGTGTCAATTAATATCAGATCGATGTTAAGTCTCCGAGCATTGATAAATTAGAGGGATCCTGAAGCTTAGGTATTGATTGTGCCGTGCAGATCTATTCCAACACGCGTCGAGACTTGGCAGTCAAATGCAGTCATGAACGTGTTAATTCCCGGGGTCACTCATTGATGACGCTGATCATTTCCTGCATCAATCTACAATATAATATACTGGCTGCAAGCACCTGGGGCCGTAATTTAGTCCAGACATACGAAAAGCTTGAGATGTGACGTAGAACAGTGAGCTTCATGTATGAGACATGAAGAGGTGGAATGCGCTATTTACTTATCAAATTGCAACCATTCAGATATGTTCAGTTGATATTAGACAGTATCAATCCATTCCGTATATGTAGTGTACATCTTCAGCATTCAAGTGTCAACAAACTGGATCCACCTCTCAGGCACGACTCCACTTTAAAGATTGGGGCGAGGGCGCCAATGTGAACGAATAGAGCACTTGGCAAGGTCCCGAGGTCTTAGGGTCTTCCCCACGGGTGATAGGGGTGATAGCCCCTTGGATGGTGACCTCGGAGCCCTAATGCTTGCAAGCCCCGACACTGACTACTACCTCAATCAGTGGTCATGCTACAATACCATCTCCTAGTGTACCTATTTCGGATATCTAAATCGCTGATACACACGGCCAGTGGCTGCGATAAAGGCTGCGATCGACATTGCATGAAGAATTACGGAGTACAACATGACAATGAAACTTGTAGAGCCTGGCACAAACCTTCATAGTAAGCAACGACAACGGCCGGTTCCTCGATGTGATCTCCGACTATTGCTCCAGTCATTTCACGTCCAAGGAGGGTGGGTCGGGGGAAGAGAGTGATCACCCATGCACTTGAGATAATTGCTGGCATCGATATCGCCTGTTGCGAAACGGTACAAATCTAAGGTAATGTTCTATGCGAAACGAATTGCTGCCTATGACTTCGCTAGTAGCGTTGCTTCGGGGCAGCTCTCTGTAAGGAAAGACATGTTGCGTTTGTGGGGCAAATCTCACTTGCGTTTTCGTTCCAGTTCGGAGTTGGTATAGCTACGTAAAACCCGGCTGGACACGACGAGCGACTTGTGGCTCATGGGTCGTTTATGCATACACAGTATTTTGCGTGAGGGAGAAACTAGGTCAGAGTTTGTTCTGCTGACAGGTTCTGTGAAGGAAGAAACCTATCAGGCTTTTGCGCCAAAATGGCTAACAGCAATCGCTCAGATGCGCGATCATGAACCAAAATGTTTCATTTACCTAAGCCCGTGTCTTTCGTAACCGTTAGAAGAGATATTATGTTTGCTTTTACCAGTCGCAGTTCTCAGCCAAGAAAGCGGCCAATTTTTCGAGGTACTTCTTGTCCACATCGTCAAAGCCAGAAGGCTCTGTGCAGTCGATGTCAATAATAGCGACAGTCTATGAATGAAGATGTCAGTATGTTCCTCCAAGGCTAATTGTGTCTCCAGGAAATGCGCCAATGTCGCGAGTAATTAAGTACTAACCTCTCCGTTAACCAAGATGGGCACAACAATCTCACTGCGACTCTCTGCATCGCATGCAATGTGCCCAGGGAAGGTCAGGACGTCAGGGACAATAACAGTCTCTTGCTTCGCGGCAGCAGTACCGCAAACGCCTTTACCGAAACGAATCTGCTGGCACGCGGGCTTTCCATGGAATGGCCCGAGGAGAAGAAGCTGGTTTTCCGAGGAAGAGTATGTAGTTGAGATAATTACACCACCGGAACTAGCTGCACCGGGCACTGGCGGCGAGGAGACCGGGGAAGCAAGAGCTGGGAATTTGTCATCGCGAATGTAGAATCCGGCCCAGTTTACGGATGAGGAGGGTGCGGGGAGGGAGGCATAGGCGTGCCAGAGGAGGGAAGCGACATTGGAGAGGTTGCTGGTGGGTCGTCAGCGATCCTGTTTTCAAGGGTTCTCGCAATTGTTGAAGCGCGCATGGTTTGGATTCCGTTGTAACTCACCTAACCCAATTGCGCTGGCCATCCAGAAGACCTTGCGTCGACAACAGAAGCTGTTCGTATATGTCGGCCTTGGAACTGTCTGGCATAAAATAAGAGGAGTCGGCGTGAGGCTGTCATACGCGATCGTGTTAGCTCTGTCCTAGGGTGTGTGGGGATCTTCGCGGCTTGCAGGGGTCAAGGATTTCGCGATAAGCACTCGAGAGCGAACGTACCATGGCGATACAATGGATGTAGTTATTTACAGGTGTGCGAGACGAGAATCAAGGGATGTAGAGGAATTGCGCGATTGCGCGAAGTGATTGCTCTCAAAAAAAAGAGCGCAGAATCGGAGAAGCGGGGCGATTAGACGTGCCGTGAAAAAGCCAGGAACATTCAGCTTTTTTTGACCTCAGATCTTAGTTGCTTTCCTGGGTACTATAGAAACTTGTTTTCTTGCTTCTGCTTTTCTTCTGGGGAATTTTTCTCCTGTTCTTTGCTCGGTTCCCGAAGCCCAATTGCCGAGGCCTTCGAGGCTTTAGTCTTGGAATATTCGCCTCAAAAGCCAGACTCCACATTAGCGCGGGGAGAAGCTCAATTTCAGGTCTTTTATTGTCAACAGAGTCATTCCCAACATTCAAGTCAGGTTGACTCCACCCCGGGTCCAGAAAACTGACGATGTCGGAGGCTGGAGATGGCCAAAGTGTTGGGAGGCCAGACTTAGACTATGAACGAGCATCTCCGTCTGCAATGTCACTTTGTCCCGACTGATCTTTCTTCTCTCTCCAGGAAATGACAGGAAATAATGGAAACTTCGAGTTAAACATCATATGCACTTGACATTTCTCAATCAAGTTACTGATGATATGATTGTCTTCCCCCGAAGCAGAGATCGTACTCGAGAGATTGAGGGTCTGTTGTACTGGAAACCATGGGTGCTGCGTCCTGGCTGGTAGCCAGATTCCAGTTCCCGAGTACCTTTGATCCAGCCGTCTGAATGGATGGAAGTCGTAAACGGCTCTTGGATGTGAACCTCCTCGGGAGTAATACGAACCACAGGACCTAGAAATGTCAGGTTCAATACCTTTCTCATAGATGCCAAACAGCATACCAAACTTTCGATGCAAATTTTCAATCTGAAACTCGAAATTACCATCCCAGGCAGAAAAGTAGGCCTCATACAACCCTGTTGCAGCAGCAAAGCGAGGCCCCGGGAACTTGCTGAGCTCGTGAAAATGAAGACGGTATATAACCATGACTAGGGTATAGGCCACAGCACTGCCCAAGAAGAAATAGGCGAACATGATCGCTGTTGGTGAGAAGGTTTGTGAGAGTGGTGTTGAGAAAAGGAAAAGACACTCCCCAATTTCTATACTGGAAGTAAAGATGTAGCCCCAGGGCTGTTCTCTTGATATAATTTTTGGCGACAATGAAATCTCTATATTGTAGGGACTAGGTATGGAGCGACCTGATTCTCAATTAAAGCTCCACCGGTGTTCCCATACGCGATCAAAAGGAGCCACAGCCCCGTTGATTTCACTAATATTGGTTCGATGGGCGCAAGTCTCACATCATACCGCTCTTCTTGGCGATCTCTAAAATGTAAATTTGTACAAAGTACGGAGGAGTGCGATGTACACCAAAAGGTGTAGACTAGTGCCGATCTACTGCCGATCCAGAGTGGCTTGTGGGTTCGGCCTTATTGCTGATTTGATGATGTCGAGGGGGAATTTATCGTAGATCCCGACCGCCAGTTGGCTTTGCACGTCGTTGCCAGTGGTTGATCTGCCGATCTCGCTTTTTCTCTTCCTTGACGCATGTATGTGGCGTGGAGTGGCGATGGGCGGGAATCGAGCGTCGATTTCCATGCGAGGTCCATGCGTGTGCACTGGCCTGAGAAGACACGACATCAAAACGACAATATCGTCAGTGGCAACTAACCAGTGCTATGAAGTTTCAAAGACTAGTGTGTTCATACGTGAAAACCTCCCGGTTGGACATAAGAGGTGGGGTCCACAATCTGTGAGCTCAAGCATGGGGAAACGGAAGTTGTAGTAGAACGATGATGGCTGAAGGTGACTTCCGTACCGATACAGGCACACATACCCTCAGAAGCCAAAAACCGATCTTGGAATAGGGCTCCAATCGACGTTTCTACATCGTCTGCATCTTGTGTACCTATGAATGACAGTCCTGACCTTTCAACAATCTACGGCGTGGCTTACCTGACTCGTTTGGGATAATTACTTCCACCTGATGTGAACCTAGAAGATTTGTTTTTCTACTTTATTCACATCTACGAAGCCGTCAGTGCTTGAATGTCTCCCTTCATTTATTTGCATGATCTACGTCGTTGCGCAACTGCGGTCCGACACTGGGGGGCGCAGCTCAGCAGAAACTGACTAAACTGAGATAGGGAAGGGAAAAGCAAGAAGAAGAGAAAAGGGAGGGGGGGTTATACTCGTAGGTGGAGACGATGCGCCTTCCACATGGATAGCTTCAACCAAGTGCCACCCGTAACTGCTCGATGATGCTGATACGTTCCTGCCTGCCAACAAATTGAGAGAATGGGCGGTAACAAGCCTCCCGCACCTACCGTCATATAATCATCCAGTGCGTTGTTTCGTTGTTGGAGGGTTTCCCACAAGTTGTGAATACGTCGAAATGTCGTCGCATATACACCGTGCCACCATGTATCCTCTCGAGAACGTATACACAAGCTACACGCTCATGCTTGTCATTGTAGTGGCCGTGCGACAACACCATTAGGCTAGTCATTACTACCATTGATTTCTTATCTTTCCATGCAACACTTCAGGAGCTCTGACACACAGCCGGAAATAGCTCAAGCACCTTCCGTGCATGAAGACTTTTGACGCCCCCCACCATCCTCCTCGGCTGCTAGCACTGATACATGATCGACTTCACCTGCGTCAAGGGCCAATGGTAAGCTCCTTCCACACGTGTTGCCATAATATCTGCTATAGGCGGGCAACTCACATTTCTGCGCATCTTCCATTCAGTTCTCCGCGGTATAAACATATCATTCGTCAAGCCCAAAGCCCAGCCCGCCTCAACCCACTGATAGGCTGGGTTTTAGGCTCATTTATGGGCTTTGTATCAACCGTCTCCCATCGCCAACCTCGATACGGTGTTCATGCCATCTTCTGTACGGCCTCCCGCCGACGTTGGCGCCGACACCGACATCAAAACCAACAAAAGGCAAGAAGATCATGATGTTGGCAAGATGTCACTGGAGTCGCGACTTCTGGTATGCACTGCTTCTCCTACTATCACGGTCCTCAAGGCAGTCCTTAGGCTATCTAGAAACTGAGACCCCTCTAGAGACGTAACCTCCATCGGCTGGAGATTCGATGTAATGTAATTCTTTATGAGCTTGGTCTTTGTCGATTTAACTCACGTTAGGATATTCTCCAAGATTACAAACTGCATACGAAGTACTCCGTACTATGTAGGCAGATGTAGGAGACCATGTATATGCACCAAACAGGGAACCAGGGCTTAGGGCTCTCGGATAGACACACTTCCGGGAGTATGGTCATGTGATACTGCGGAGCCTGCATACAATAACACAGCTTGGGCCGTTACCAGGATGTGTATTGCGTGTCACTTGATAGGCCAACGAAGCTTAAATCCTGAATCACATCTGAATGTCATCCAGTATATCATAGCAGTGGTTCAAGTTTCTTTGTTGATCTTGATCCTATACATTTCGAGAAAACAATCATACACACCGCCCGCATAGCACTCATATCTATACCCATATAGAAACCTGTATCCCTTGGTATCAATATTACCACTCGGCAAGGCCAACCGCCATGAGTGGTCCGATGCCTTCAGGGTCGGATGTACCCCAGAAAATGTGGCCCCTGAGCTGGCTCTATCAAGTCTAAAGCGGAGACCACCGTGTCCAGGGTGAACGGAAAGCGGGTACAAAGCCTTCCGTTGCCAAAATGAAGAATATTTAAACGAGATACGATTTCGGTTTCCATTGATGCTGTCAAAACCTCCCTCACACCATCACTCCTATCCATACCATACCATCCTCTCACAATGCCTGAGCAAATTCTTGCGGGAAAGACATGCCTTGTCACCGGCGGTGCCGGCGGCCTAGGCAAAGCAATTGCAACCCATTTCCTTGAAGCCGGCGCCAACGTCGTAATCTGCGATGTGAATGAGGAACGTCTGCAGGAGGCCTCGGCTGAACTGTCACCCAAAGGGCCCATGAAGGCCATTAAGACGGACATCACCAAGACCAACGAAGTGGAGAGCCTATTTGAAACGCTGATTGGCGAATTCGGCAAAATCGATGTACTCGTCAACAACGCCGGTATCATGGACCACTTCGACCCAATCGGCGATCTGGACATGGAGCTTTGGGATCGTGTCATTGCGATTAACCTCACTGCCCCTGCTCTGCTGAGTAAATTGGCTGTTCGCAACATGCTGGAGCAGCCCAAGCCTGATGGGCGCATCATTAATATTGTTTCTGCTGCCGGCAAGGCTGGATGGGCTAGTGGTATGTTCCAACAAATTGAAAAAAAAAACTTTACTACAAAATCTGAGATTGACTAATTCTTTTAGGTGCTGCCTACACGTCCAGCAAGCACGGTCTGGTCGGACTGACTAAGAACACTGCCGCTTACTACGGCAACAAGGGGATCAAGTGCAACGCTTTGATGATGGGTGGCATGGACACCAACATTGTTGATGCGTTTAAGAGTGGGATGAATATGGAGGGTTATGAGAAGCTGGCAGCTATTCTCAAGGGGATTCAAGCTCCCCACGTCGATGTGAATGAGGTTGCTGGGTTCTGTGTGAACATGACATATGGAAAGGGCGCTAGTCAGATCAACGGCGCGACTATCGCTATTGATAATGGCTGGACTTCTATCGTTGGATAGGGTACTCTGTACATGATTTTAGGTTGCTGGTTGGCCCGAGAGCACAATCATGGAGATGTCTTTCTTCTAGTTAGCAAGTGTTCATATCTTACAGCATAGTACATATGTTTCTTCTGACTACTCGGAATTAGGCAAATGAGTCAATTTGGATCGCTCTCACTCTCTCACAAAACGACAAGTACTTAGTTTACCAAGGGATTTGGGTGAGGCGGTGCCTGATCCCATTTCTCCACGCCTTCGGGAATATCAATAATCGCCTCCTGGCACCAGATATGAACTGCGCTTCGCAGCATCTCCTTGTTCAGATCCTCCAAGCAACCACCTTTCACACTGGTAATTGCAGAAAACTCGGGCTGTTCGCCAGGTGCAGGCACTGCATCCCGGAAGCGATGGAGAAGCCGCGCGCCACACTCCTTGCAGAAAAGGCACTCCAGTTCACGGCCCTTAAGGGTAATGCGTGTGTAGCTGCCGACCATACTGGAGGCTGACTCAGGGAGCTCAAAGTACGGAAACGTTGCGGTGATGCCGAAAGCAGACGAGCTTTGGTGCTGGCATTCTGTGCAGTGGCAGATCCAGAGTTTCAGAGGTTTGTCTGTCGGTGTAGTGAATTGAATCTTGCCACATTGGCAGCGAGCTTTCATTCCCATGGTGGGTTGTGAAATGATGCAGTTGTTCCCAGGTGAGGGGTAGATACAGATTCCAGAGAACTCGGGGAGCCACCCATGCGCGGTTGTTCCTAATTAGTGGTATAGCTATCAGCCCGTGGAAATACAAAAAGTAGAACATGATAGTTTCTTTATTAAAAGAACCAGGATGGCTGGTCAAATAATCAGAAAGGTCTGCTCTACTAATTCCCACTGTGTAACCTTTTTTTGGATAATCATTTCGCTAGGTTCGCATTGAATGATGGATACCTTCAGATATCATCGCTAAAAGTGATTCTGAGTAATGACTACAGGATTGTGCTTGCGGTGTGGAAATAACTTGGATCATAGGTCATCGAACTTGGATGGCATAATGCTTGAAAGCCACCTGGGCATTGTCACCATTCTCCCACTCAATCCATCCTGAAAATATCTCCCGTTGGGGGCAATCTTGATCAAAGTTTACCCTCGATAGCCAGCTCAATGACAACAATGGCCCCGGGAGCCTCGTGCCATGCTTCATAGGTCAAGTTCAAGGTCATCTGCATCTGCTCCACACTCCCGATTGAAAACATCATGGGTTTGGCATTCAGGTGCTCATCTGGGTTCACAAGGGCCGGCCAAAAGTGGGGATTCAATTTTTGGACGGCCTTGTACAAAGCGCGAATCTGAGCCTTGAGCTTGACGATTTCGAGCCATTTATCGCCACAGTTGACGACATTGGGATTTTTGGCGATGGTCGAAGATTCAAGTCCGAATCCCAGATTTGGGGCAGTACTTCCATCAGGAGATCCCACCTTTGTGAACAGTACTTGAAGTACTTTCGCCTTGATCAGAGTCATAGCAACCATATGAGGAAGATCAACCATTCTCTCACAGAACATCTCAACTGGCTCGAGGGGATTGGCGTTCTTAATGTCGAGGTACGGCAGAGTATTGTTGCCCCAGTCGTAGTCGGTTTCACTGCCGGTCGTAGCCCACTACTTCAAGAAATCATAGCACTCCTGATCCTGTTGGAGACAAATCATCAGACCAGGGATGACGTCTCGCGAGCCCATGTTGTCACCTCGACAGAGCCGCAAATTTTCCAGCAGGATGTCGAGCTGTGCTTGAAGTGATTCATAACTTTTGACAACGGTCATCGCATCAGATAGGGCAGCGCGGGCTCGCATGTAAGGGCGTGTCTCAAAGATCATCCAGAATTTTCCAACACCATGGGCGAAGATATCATCTGGCTGAGCCCGTAAGGCCTGTTCTTCCTTCTCCATAGCAACGCGAGATCTTCTGATAGCACTGCAAGCCGACTTGTGTTCCTGGCGGTGAGCAGTCTGATGTTCGACGCCGCAGTACATCATCACTTTGCAGCCAGAGCAGCGAAGTCCATCTGTCTTACCGCACACACCACAGCCAGATGAGAATGACATTTCGTAGTGGGACGTAGAAAGAATAGGAAGACACGGTTGAATTTGTTGAGGGGAAAATACGAATGATTTGTTTGTAGCGGTGAGAAAAAGATGACGGTTTGCTTGCTATGCAGAGGCTGGTGGAATTTTTGCAAATTATGCGAATGCAGAACGGCTTGATCAGGGGATGAAGGAGGGAAAGAGTAGCGGAATAAAACGAACAGAGATTGGAAGAGAGGAATTGAGCATCATGCACTTTATTAATTCGACTGAATAGGAAAGGAATCGATGATATCTGGTTTGCCTTCAAAGCCTGGCTTCAACATGGTAAGTGGTGACTCCAGTAAAAAAGTTCTATATACAGAACCCGTCCCGAGATGTGAACTTCTAATGCACGGAGGACTCGTATTTATACAAGGTTTCCCTAGTTTAAGTATTTCTAATTGATCGCCGACTTGAGAGTGGAATTAAGACATCGTTAGCTATTGCAAGCCGATGATAGGCCTAATCCCCGGAACACGTGAGAGGCATGTGATCCCCAGCATCTGATTTCCCTCGGAATAACTATTGATCCCATTCTGGCCCCACTTCTACCTTTCGCTCGCCTTCGCAAAAAGTACTAGATCAGACAACTCCTTGCTCTTTTTGCTACTCAATCAATCTATCTATATGAATCGCCGAATGCCATCATGAAGTTCTTCGAAAACAATTTCACCTACGATTACTCCTTTCCTGCCGTCTCCCTCGCCTATTTCCTCCGCTACCCCAACCCTTATTCTCGCCATGTCCTCACAACGGATGTCATCGACAGATACGTCGACCCTGAGACTGAGCGTCTTCACACAATCCGGCTGCACCTAAAAAAGTCCAAGATTCCATCTGGAATTCTAAAGCTCCTGCCAAAAGGCATGGGTGGCTCAGACAGTTCCGGTCAAAGCTACATCCTTGAGAGGACAATTGTTGATGCCAAGGAGGGATGGATGGAGACAGAGTCCCGCAACATGGAGTGGACGGGCATCCTGAGCGTAGTCGAAAAGCAATGCTACAAGCGGATCCCATCTGAGGAAAACCGCCTGGCCCTCGAGGGTCTGGCCGTCGACAAAAGTACTGAGCAGACTAGTGTCAAGACTACGGTTACCTTCCGGTCCCGAATTGGACAGGGCAAGTTGCTTGGGAAGAAGAAGCAGGACACAGGTGACCATGAAGATGAAGAGCCTCGCAAAGGATTCTTTTCGTCCCTTTCCACTGCCGGCATCCAGCGGACCATTGAGCTCATCGGTGTGAGTCGAACCAAAGAGGCTGTGCTGAAAAGCAAGCAGGGAATGAACATTGTCCTTGAGCGCTTGCGCAGTGGTGGTGTTGTCGGTGTCCTAGAAGGCATGCGCCAGGACCGAGAAGCAGCCTTCGGGCCTGACGGCCCGTGGAAGCGGGTTTGGTTGCAGGGCAAAGACCGCCCGATTGAAAACGACAAGTCGTGATTGACATCCATTTTGGTTTTGGATTGTCTTTTTTTGCCTGGATGATCTACCCGTCGTTGCATTCTGATTTCAAGCGTGGAGTTCTGGCGTTGGGGATATGATCGAAACTCTCCCACAAATCTTTTCTGATTGTTGATATTTAATGTTGTATAAGTCTTATCTGTTTGCATAAGGTCAAGCCTCTGGGATGTACATGTATGTTAAGGGGTATATTTAACGCTTATTTGAAGGTTCACTGTACAATATGCATCAATTTTCTTTTCTTGTCTTCTGGGCAGCTCTTTGGGGGTGGGCTCTGTCATCACTGATGCCTTTGTGCCTGGTATCGCATGGTGCTGGTCGAAACTGCATCCTCTTCAACCGAGGTGGTATAGGCGCAGACCACTCATCGGGTGTACCATCAGGCTCGTAATTGTTTCTGACGTATTAACGAGCTCATTGTTCAATGGGCGCGTCGTATGGTGATACGATATCACTTTGACTCGCTCCGGCTCTGATATCGACCAGAAGCTCAAACGAGCATTGTATGTTGTAGTTGGTCCATGTCCCCCAACCCATCTAGCTTTCCCACTCCTAACAGCAAATCATTAGCAAGGTTTGACATTCTTTCGTTTGCCGTTAGTTCATTTTCCTTAACATGGAGGTCAGCAACTGCCAGACGAGGTGGAACCCATCAACCTATCAACCCATCAATACCATCTCACCACATAGGATGGCCCGCCTCACCTTTGGCGACTTGGCTGTCCTCGTCCCTCTGCGCGCTGTTAACAATGACCTTGAGATAACCGCCAATACGTTACAGACCACCACAGATGTCGTCATCAATGGTGACTAGCTGGAGATGAAATGTGGCGCCCGCCCCAATCCCCCTAAGCAACACTCGAGACCTTCACAAATCGTTGCTCGAGTAGATTTGAGCATGGAAATCCGAGTCGTTACTCCCCCTGTTTGACTGGACTTTGATGTCTTTCCCCGACAACCAATTCTCGGACACACGGTGCATCAATCCATGAACATCGCCTGAAACCACTAAGGCGCCACCGGCAAGGCCGGCAGTGCCACATTGTTGACATGAAACATGCCACATCTCTTCTCTAGTATGAAACCATGTGAATGACATTTCGAAATCGTGGCATTTTCGAGAGTTTGCAATACTAGCTTATGGTTGCTTTTTGGTCATTCTTGGATTCAATTTCATGTGTTGGGAACGATAGGTTATTTCGTTCTTATCTTAATTCCCTCAAAATCGGAAATAATTTTGCTCTTTCTTTTTGGAAGATTCTTTGGACTAATCTCAGGTTGGGAAGACTATGAAGATTATAAGGACAGCTCAGGCTACACAGCATATGAGATCCTCGTCCCCGGATCTATTTGATGAGATGCGCATACCAAGTCCAACATTCTCAGAGGAATTCGGGATTCCTCCAAGCACGGGATCTTGTGAAATAATACATGTATGTTGGAAGTGGATCACTCGCGATACACATAATTGCACGCTAACAGCCGAATCAGCCAAGGCTCTGAAAACACCCGACGCGAACCCGGAGTCTCAACACCAATGAGAGTGAGTGTCTTGGATCCTACCAAATGACGCAGCTAGATTCGAGTATTTCTGTATTTTTCCTTACGTCAGACAAGCCTATCGGACAGGCAAGGATTATTGGCAATGTATCGTGTCTTTGCATCCTATTATTGGCCGTCATACCTAAAACATACTCTAAGACTGGAATGATGAGGTCATGCAAATCTATGATCAGAGGGAGATCTGAGAATAATCATGAAAAGGGAAAGGATATGCTATAATACCAATACCCAAGGAATTACGGAGAGTACTCCGTCCAGGAGTTGTGGTTGGACTGGTGACCCTTTTGCTTGATCGTCAATCTTTTCCATTTCAGGGCTAGCGAATGGGAGTACATCTTAGGGGAAATAACATTCCAATCATAGTACTTGAAAGAGACTTGTCTCTTCCCTTACTCCACTACTTTGCATCAAGGTACCTCCCAGGTACCCAGCAGGTACCCGAGTTTCCAAACTAGAGAAATGCTCGGTGAATCCATTGAATACAAATAATACATGTACTGTCAACGTTCCTCTGGTATTTGCATTTCTCTTGGCATGGTAATTTATTTTCCATTTTCCCGTAAGCTCCAATCGTCTCCCCTTGATGTTTTGGACTAAACCTCATTCTCTTTAAAAAGACCCTAGTCTTGCGGGGCCCTGTTACCCTGGCTTCCCTGGCTTCCCTGGCTTTGGCTTTGGCTTTTCTGGCTTTGCCTTTTTATCTGCTTCCTTTTTTCTTCTATTACCTTTTTTTCCCCGTAATGAACTTGCAATACGTCTGCTTTCGATCACCCTGACTCTGAGGGCCTCCGTGGTCACTCTTGCTGGACATACATAATCTCCCCTGGATATGGCTTTCAACATGAACCTCGGGTACCTAACCCTCTTGGTGGTATTGCTACAAACTGTATCGGCTCAGTTTTGCTCATTCTGGAATAACGGATGTATCGACTCGCTCGCTCAAACTGCGATTCGTTTCGACCTCAACCCTCTCTTCCCGGACCCTGTCACGCTCTATTATGGCTTTGATGCCAGTTCCTCTGGCAAGGGCGAAGGGCCCATGACTAAAACCGCGTTCTGGCTGGGATATCAAAATAAAAACATCAATATAAATGCTGTTGACTCGAATCGCACCTCGGAGATCGGTCTCAGGATTGGGAATTTGACCGGTACCCCTTCCGGGGCGAACAATGGATGTGATGGGATTTGGGGTGATGATTGTTCTCGTGATCTTAAGAGTGCCTTACAGAAGGGTATATATCGCCTTGCTGTTTCCGGAGAGTACTATTCCAAACCTCTCGAGGTCGTTCTGAACAAGATGTTGATGAAGCCGCCGCCGTTGCCTGGGTGTCCCCCACCAACTCTTGACGTCGCGTCTATTCCAGTCCAAGGTATCTCAATCAGTCTTCTTTCCTAGCTCTATATTCTGACGTCTCCAGATTTCGCCAGAGAACGAGTCCCCGAACAGAACGTCACCATCATGCCACCTGGCTCGGGCGCTTGGCCTTGGCAGGTCTGGTACCTTGATGGCATGAGCGCCCACAACCAAGCTTCTCAAGTGGCAGTTGCCATCATCAGTCGCGCCCCTTCCTACAATAGTATACCACCAGATGGCCCAGACGATATCATGGTTGAACTTGTCTGTGTGCAGGCTCCTTCTAGTGGATCTTCGAAGGGTTCTCATGACTAAGCTGGGCTGTAGAGGTCGGTCTTCGGATCGTCCTCGGTTTGTTTTTTTTACTATCTGGGTGGTGGGTATGGTACATTACGCTTTTTGCCCTCTGGTGCTTCCTGGTACCTTACGAGCAGCTTCGGTCTTTGCGTAGCAGGCCAGGTGACACTCCATCGCGAGAAAATGCAAGTCTGAGCAAGATCCCAGGGCACCCATTTTATTTGGTACAAGTGCATTCCAGAGTCAAACCGCCAAAATACATCAGCGAGTCGATATTTTTCTCTCCGTGTTCGCGGCATCGTTGCCGCTTACAATGATTGACAACTTCCAGATGAACCAGCACACAGTTGACTGACTCAATACCCACGAAGAAATGTGGCCGTTCAATATATGTGCTGTACAGCGACATGGCAATACATTTGAAACTTGTCGCTCGCCTCTTGGAATGCACGAAATTATCCTTCACCGCCGCCGCATCGACTCTGTTGCCTCCGACATTCAAAAAGTCGGCAAACTGAACAGGCTTCGCATTTCCTGGCCTGCGAAGTCTCAAAACACCAGCCTGTTCACTCAACGGCATGAAACTTGTCTTGCTCATGAGCTTCGCAAGCCCATGACACCTATCTGAATCTTGCTCTTTTTCCGCTCATCACTCACTCTCTGCATTTTCCCGGTATTCTCCAGGAAATCTCACCGGGGTAGTGTTTTTCTGGGTGGGATGTCCTACATGAGCACGAACAGATCGCTTTTGTCTCTTCGAGCCAGTCGCACTAATACTGGCCTCCCGCCCGGATACCCCAGGAACCCGCCGTCTGAAAGTTGACCTGTTTACCCATTGCCCGCTGTGGATGGGGTAGTTAATACAGTTTTTTGTGTGCGTTTACACCCGCGCGGTCCTGTATCATAGCCACGCAGAGAACCGTTGAAGGTGAAGCAGTCTCGGGATAACTAAATGGACATTCTGGCTAGGCTTGTGGAGTTTGGAATTGTGATATTATTGATGTATCAAACTCCCAAGGTCTGTCAGAGACTCATCATTCAATGAAGATATATGCTAGATCTCAAGCCACTGGGGCTCAGAATAACACGATTGCTCTCCAACGGTTCAACTTGGGCGGGATTCGCCCACCATCAGTATATCATGGTGCACAACCAGCATAATAAATCAATTGGTATGACCGATTTTAATTTCCAAACACAGGATCCTGACTCTCAACAACCTTCAATTGCTTACTATTTACATATAAATATAGAGTGGTAGGTCATCGTCCTTTGTATTAACCTTCCAAGGAATATAAGATACCGGGATCGCATCCAATCAGAGAATACATTGATCCAAGGCTGTTGGCAAGTGTTTATACCAGGTTTCCCTACGAGACTATGCTCCGTGGTTGCGGAGTACGTAGATGGTTTGATCTCCTCTTAATGAAAAGGGTGTATTGGGGTAGAGTGTGTTGTCAACATCAATCCCAACCCAACCCAACCAACCCACTTTGCACCGGCGTAAGTTGTTCTTTCCTTTCTTTCTTCTTCTTCTCTCAATTCTCATGTGATTTATCTCTTTTTCTCCTTCACGTGCATTAGTGGGGCACTCCGTTATTGATCCGGTATCGCATGATCCAGCATCCCAGATATCCAAGGTATTGGCTCAGTATACAGAGCCCAGCATTGATGGCATGCTCAGGCACTATTTGCGGTTCTGTTTTTGCGACACTTGGAATTCATGACAGCAACCCTTCAAACATCGCTTCACCTCATGACATCCCTAGAAGTCTGGGGAACAGCAAAGCTGGAAATATGAGCACCTGGCCGGACTACGGCGTTATAAACAGTGGATTAATTGTGAGACTGTAGATGGAGTGAGAACACACTTTAGTGGCTAGTCTGTCAAGACAAGCTACGAACTGCGCATCAGTGCTTCAACACCGATATGTTGTCGATAACTCATTTGGAACTTGTTCGTTCATTCTCTTAAACTGTCGGTACAGCGACAACTTCTTGACAATTGTCACCAAAACTGACTTATAAGTCTGGGTATTCTCCCGGATAATCGGGCATGTCCCCTGTAGCTGGGATGGATCCAATGCACTCCCCAATCCGAGCGATCTATTTTACCAAATTGTAGACCGCTACTTCCCTCACGTTACTGCCAACATATTCTTCGAACACACCCGCGAGGATTACTGATTTATTGTACCACCTACGGTCCTATGCAGAATGCAGACAATGCTCGCACCGCCGGTTGAATCGTACCCAGTATAGCCCCCATAAGATACCTAGCCAGTGGCTTCCGTGTGTATGAAGTCGACACGGGCGACTTCAACATCTACGAGGCCTATACTTCTACAGCAATTTGTCGAACCACCCAGCTCCCGAGAGCACAGGTCCAACATCTGAGATTGAATATTTCACCCGTAATGCACATGGACTTGTAGCTGGGTGGTACGAGGATGCACCGTTGAAGGCAACCTTCTGGTCACAGTTTATCAAGGCCATGGAGAAGGACATGGGGCTTGTCAGTCTGCATAACACTTACCAGGGGAGTCAGAGTATTAGGAGCCCCAAGTGTACCACAGTCATGTGGCAGGAATCCAAGGTCTGCTACATGCGCAGTGGTAGTACTGCGTTGGGTAGCCAGTGGCCACAAGGGGGAGTCGTGTGTGAGTAGGTCTAGACTCTACAATGCCGACCTCTTTAGAGATAAATATGTACAAGGGGCCTCTAGGAAAAGCTTGTCAAATGTTGAGCAAAACGGTGCTCGAGCACAGATACCCTGCGATTGAATCCAGGTCTATCCTTGCGAACAGGTAATTGTATGTACTGTAGTCATCCAGATGGGAAATTGAGTTTGAATCAATCTACATCAAAAGCACCGTAACATGATAAGCATCAAGGGGCAATCCACAAAAAAAAATGGAAATTGTAGAAAATATTCCAATGGAATGTAGATCTGTAATTTGGAACCTGGATCAGGATGTTGAAAGCGGGTGTAGTCAGGTCAAGGGAAAAAAAAAAAAGCCAGGCTTTCAAAGGAAAAACTCAGTCAATAAGTCAGTCAATAACTCATCATTGAGCAGAGTGCAACCTTCATGATTTCATCAACCTCCTATAGAGCTGTTACATTCACTTGAGTCCAATAAGGCCGCTCATTCCCGGATGCATGACGTAGAGCCGACTTTTAGCTTTGGGGGGATTTTACGTCTGTCATCATTAAGCTCCGGAGCATCCGATTTATAACCTCGTCGTTTTCCCCATAGCTCTCATATACTGTTGAATCTTTAAGCTGTTCTTTATTGCATCGCATCCTATACCCATACAGCCTTCCTCGCGATCTACCCGTCTAATCTAAATCTACAAAATGGGTCTTAGAGGTGTGCAGCTTGGCCTCAGAGCCTGGGAGGTATGTTACAGCTAAGCTATGGGTTGCATAGTACTCATCAAACTCGCAGTTCATATGGTCCCTGCTCATCATGGCCCTCGTCGGTAATATGATCGCTGAAGCTTTCGCCGGGAACCCTGGGACCGTAAACTATGCGATCTACACATCGGTCTTTTCAATGTTCACGCTATTCTACCTGGTCCCGGCCACGTTCAATCTCGACTGGGCCATCCACCCGATCATCATGATCGTCGTCGACTTGCTTAACTGCCTTTTCTTCTTCTGCGCTGCCATCGCGCTCGCTGCGAAGTTGGAGTGCCACTCTTGCAGCAACCACGTAAGTTCCAGAAAAAAATACAGGATCGCAGATCGCTGTGAATATGTGATACGAGAGCGGATTGGCGCTGACCCCCTTCTACAGGAGTACCTTATTCACAACGAGATTACCAATGGCTCACACAACATGTCTAAGCGCTGCCGTGAGGCCCAGGCCTCTGTTGCTTTCCTTTGGTTCGGCTGGGCGTGCTACATGGCCTCCGTCATTGTCTCCCTGTTCATGTCCCGCTCTGGTACCCCCTCCTCGCGCCGCAGCCGTGCCAACAGCCGCCGGGCTCCCAACATGACCCAGGTTTAAATATACCTTTGTCATGAAAGGTGAGGGCGCGTGGTGTAGGCTGAGCTTTGAGCTTGGTTATCGCTCTCGTCTGTCGAGGTTATGTACAACCTGGTAATTTGGGGACTATTGGATCATGGTTACATTTATGATTCTGAGTCTAGTTCTGGTTAATGGCGTTGAGGAGGTGATGTCAGTATATGGTTGATATGTTTGTACGATCTACGAGCTTGGAGCTTGGAGCTTGGAGCTCGGTCTTGGTTTTGATGTCTTCTATGGTCTCATGCCTGCAACGATTCGACGGAAACACTGCCTCTTTTTCTTTTGTCTCTGCTCCATAATGAGAGAGATGCTCTGATACTTTATGTGGTATTACTTCATTAATAATATTTGTTTTGGTCAGTCGCTTTCGGCTTTTACCTGGCGTTGACTATTATTTTGAGTTTTACGATTCCTACGAGGTCGTGCCATCGCTGTATGTCTCTTGATATAATACTTAACATTCGAAGTTTTCATTTATCTTGCACAAAGTCCTAGGGCTCAGGCATCTTTACATCTCATCTATTTGACTTGATAGGGCAAGTGTAAAGGGCTGTCATTTATGCTGCAGCATAACAACTTCGATGTTTATAGATCACCTATGAGCCTACAGTCAGTATATCACTTCAAGCAATCTACGAGATTGTATTTAGTCACATCCTTCTTTCCTCGTCCTCTTGTTTTTCTTCCCGCCCTTTACCTATTCGGCTGCTTGAAGCCACAACTCAGATTGTTCACTCATATCTACCAATGCACATGTCTAGTGCTTTTCTAACGCAGATAATTATGCGGTTTGTAATTGTGGATTACCGCATAGTTTATCTAGATTTTTATCTATGATGTGATTGGCATAGCCATGGATATATATATCTTCAAAGCGTTATATGTAAGAACAACATCAAACATATGCGTCAATAATCAAAACAAAAAGTCCCGACCGTGAAATCATACTGCTTCTGTCGCCCTAAGGCTCTAAATCTGTGCATGAGGCTCCGGTGCTAGCCTCGATTAATATTTCCTGCATACTTCCAGAGAGCTGTAGATGCAGTCATGGAGGCGAGGGTTGAGTCATTCAAGGCCCCGTGCGCAAAACACAACACAATGGCATAGCACCTTCTAGCGAACAAATATCTCTAGAATCAACTTCTATATTGTATCTCCACGTTTATTTACAGTTTATATGTTAAGCTAGGGCTTAGCGGGGCAAAACTCCCCTCCGCTCCACCCAAAGAATTTCTCCAGAGCTTCCGCCCTGACACTTTTCTCCATCCCTTCATCTCACATCTCCATCATGCCTATCCAGTACGTCTGTCTTGCGATCCTATATTTGCGATTACTAACGCCTTACTAGCTACCTGATTCTGCTCTCCCGACAGGGCAAAGTGGTATGTCTCGTCACCCAGCTACGTAACACCTGTCCGAAGCCCAACTGACAACCTTTCTCCCTAGCGCCTCGCCAAGTGGTTCACCACTCTCTCTCCCAAGGAGAAGGCTAAGATCATCAAAGATGTAACTCAACTGGTGCTGTCCCGCCGGACGCGGATGTGCAATTTCCTGGAATACAAAGGTGGCTTTTTATCCCCGCATCCCCTTTCGCCGATGAGCTGGAATTGGACTAACAAACACTACAACTCTAGACTCCAAAGTCGTCTACCGTCGCTATGCTTCTCTCTTCTTTATCGCTGGCTGTTCCTCGACCGATAATGAGCTGATCACCCTCGAGGTTGTGCACCGCTACGTTGAGCAGATGGACAAATACTACGGCAATGTCTGCGAATTGGACATCATTTTCAACTTCCAGAAAGCATACTTTATTCTTGATGAATTATTGATTGCGGGGGAAATGCAGGAGACCAGCAAGAAGAATGTTCTTCGTTGTATCAGTCAGCAGGACAGTCTGGAAGATATGGAGGTGAGTTAAACGTTTCTTTTATTTCCCCAGGGGGTTTATTTGCCGCTTTTCTTTATCAAAGAAAGAATCTCTCAAAGAGTTGCTGCTACATGGCTATATTTGGCTTCCTTGATCCCCCCCTTTTCATCCCCCGAGCCATGGCCAAGATTCAGCCGGGCTAATGATTCCCCAGGTTGAGGAAGACGTGGTCACCAAGATCATGTAACATAAGCAAGCAGGCTTGCTTCTTCTTTTTTTATCGGCGTACATAGGAGACATCACCAATACTAATGAATACAACTTGTTTCACACTCAGGATACGGAAGATATAACACGCAATCTGGAACGAGCTGGGCTATGATGAGCCTTTCCATGGTTTGGCTGCTCGTGAGGTCAGTGCGGGTTCTCACTGGACCACGACTTCCACACGTGACTACTTCCGGAAACTCCCCTCTCATTCCCCCTCAAGGACCATCCCCTCTTGCTTCATTTTCATCTTTGTATACTTTCACTTATTATTGGCAATCATTGGTGCTAGAACCGTCATCAGCCTTTCGTGCGTGTTGACATCCACCCCTTATCTCAGTCCTGTTCGCGGCTATCGACATCATCGCATCTCCACTCCCGGTTGAATCACCCGTTCTAACACCGCCCTCGTCCATCTCCTTCCCTCGATCTTTTCTCGCTCTTTATAAATCAGGAGAGAGATTTGAGTCTTGTCTCTTCGCATCGCAAACCGTGCCACGTCATCTCAGCGTGCTTATCGGCTTATCTCGGGAACTCCACTACCCCAGTCTAACCTCACGATGAAGGTAAAGCCGCAAGTCCCGACGTGTCTTTTGATCAATTTACTCATCCTCCCTGTGGTCTAGTTTCTTCCCCTTCCAGAGTTTGAAGACGTGACCAGTTCTCTCAATTTTGATACGACTGATTGTCACATCGTTGGTGGTTGTGACATTTACACGACCAAGGCGGCACGCTCCGATCGGAAGCTTTACAATCATATTGAGCAGTCGCTTGAGGCTCAATATGAATCGGTTCTTCGATTTTCGGCTTCACTATCCCCTCCGAATGCGCACGATGCCGCCGAGACTCTTAACTTATCACGATCTAGCCCGTTTGGACCCCTGAGCGACCATTCGAGCCGACGGACATTTGCGTATCTGATCGCCACTTTGAACGCAAGTCATCCAGACTATGACTTCTCACACGTACTACGCCCCACTGATTTCCGACGCGAACGGAATCTGAAGCGCGTCATGAACACAGTCGATTCAACACTACTCAATCTGCGACCGCGCGAGAACATTAATTTGTCTCCTGCATCCCCTGCGACGCTTTCCGGATCATACACAGCAGGATCATCTTCCGCGTGGGGCCCGCGGGTATGGAAAACGATAGATGAACACATGTCGCTCAAGGAGTGTTCGATTTACTCGTATTCTCCGGAGGAGGACCCCTCCGATGCCGATGATGGGGCTATCTGGAGTCTACATTTCTTCTTCTTCAACCCGACTCGCAAGCGCGTCTGTTATATCTTCCTGCGTGCTATTCCTATACTTAGCCACACTCCGGACGAGATGGTAGCTACGCCTACTGGGAAGCGGGATTACGACGAGGGATACCTCACACCAGACCTCAGCTCCAGCAAGCGTGCCAAGTACTGGTTCGGAGAACGCGCCAGATCGACCCTAATCGCCAGCGACAGCGATGATGAGATGGATCGCCCTCCCAAGACAATCCGAACTACCACTGACGACTATGATACTTATGTGATTAGTGACGACGACGACAATCTCCCAACCAGTCGTCGTGGAGTCCGAGCGATGAGTGAGGAAATTGCAGACTCGATGGAAGTCTAAGATATATCAAATGATTCGTCTTGTGTGGTTTTTTTTTTCGTTTCGTTTCGTTTCGTTTCTTGTTTGTATTCTTTGGCCCCGTTGATCGGGTATGATCTTTCTAGCCGGAGGTGTTGGGTTATTGTCTTCTTTTTTTGACTGGCGCAATCAACTTGCATGGTTTTTGTTCACGAGGGGCGTTGTTGAACGGACAATATTGACGTCCCCTTCAACTTTTTGTGACTTACTGCCTAATATCACCCATGTCTATTTTTTTGGATTACTGCTGCTTCATGAAGATTTGTTGCTTGATAAATTTTAGGAATTCAGCCGTTTGATTTCTTTTGGAAGACTCCTACCATTCGTCTCGAATGCTATCAGTGACTCTGTCTCGGCAGCAAATCAGTCTTTGATATGCTATGCACAGTGTCGTCTGTGATTTCATAAGTCAGAAATCAAGGATACCACAAACAAAGCTTGCTCTGCGCGAGGAAGTGTTCCAAATTGAACGGTATCAACTCGGGCAAGTTCAGAATTCACATCCTCCGGTCAACCCTCCAGATTCTTCCCTGATCAATAGCTTCAAAGCAGCAACACTACCCTAAGTCCTCTAGATGTCTTCTCATCCCCGACAGCTGCGGATTAAATGCAAGACCTAACGCTTATCCCAATCGCGGCACTTCTAGGCAACGAAGAATATGGCCGGCAGAACGGTGAGCTTAGCGGCAAATTAGGGCATTGCCATACTTGCACAGCATATCTTTTCTAGTCCATCGACCTGATAGAAATCCCAGGGAAGAGAGTCATGGCATCTTCCCTTGGTCAGGTCTGTTGGACGCCCGGGCCAAGAATATCGGTCCATTTCTTGATCAACCTTAAGGTATGGTAGTATTGTGGCATTATGAATTCTCTGTAGTGCGTGAGAAAAGCCTCCAGATGATGCTTCCACACTCCAATCTTCTTGAGCAAGTGGATGAGACTTATTGGAAGGTCGACAGGGGTGTGGAGTGCCTCAACCTGGCGGTGTCCCTTCTCTATGCAGCATCAGCGCGTATCTTGTTGATGCTACCTAGTTGGATCTAAACAAATCTAGCGGTTATGGGTGCTTCTCTAGCACATTTCTCGTTGATACTATATCGTACATCTCATTCTGGCATATAGATCAGGCACGTGGTCCGTGCGCCGGGGAAAGCTGTCCATTCTCTCCCTTCCACCTCCTCATCTTCCCCCATTTCATTATATCCATACCATTCAAACAATTCACTATGGCTGACGACGAGGAGCGCATCAAAGCCGAGAAACTGGCCGCAGCCAAGAAAAGGGTAATTCATCGCGAGTGACAAATGGCGTTGTTTGGGTCGCTAACTTGACTGTTGCTCTTCAGGTGGCTCAGCTCCAGAAGAAAAAGAAGGCCAAGAAGACTCCCGCCACTGAAGCGGACACACCCAAAGAGGCAGAGACTCCGAAAGAGGCAGAACCTGCTGAAGATGCCCCGAGCCCAGAAACACTGCAGGCAGACGCCCCCGCGGAGGAGAAGCCAGACATGCAACATCAGCCTGTCGCGCAATCAGAGGTCACAGCCCCCGAACAACCAGAGAAATTAGAAGAATCAAATTTGCAAGCTACCAATATGGAGTCTCCTACCGAACCGATGCCTCCTGCGCCCACATCTCCCGACCCAGAGGCCGAGCCGTTGCCAGTCCGACTCGATACACCCCGCGCCAGTCACGGCCGACAACCCTCGCTGTCAATCCAGTCAAAGATGCGCTCATCTTCATTCCGCAAGACATCTGTCTCACAGGGCAGCGTCTCCCCCTCTCCGTCTGCTGCGACCAAATCCCCCGCACAATCATTACCGCCCCTAACCGGTGACGGGGAGTCGGTCCATGAGGTGTTCCGGAAACAGTCTACTAAGATCGAAGAGCTTGAGAAAGATAATAAACGATTAGAGAAGGATCTCGCAGATGCAACTTTGCGCTGGCGCAAGACTGAGGAACAAGTGGAGGATCTGCGGGAAGCGAGTGTTGATGGCGCAGAGCTGAAGGAGCAATTGAAGAAAGCAGAGGAGAAGGCTGCAAGCATTGAGTCACTGGTACGGAACTTTATTTCTTGTGATCGCTATAGTTGCTAACCTGCAGGATAGAAAGAGGAAATTGCTTCCCTCCAGCGACAGAACTCACAGCTTCAGACCCGATCACATCGAAACACTAGTACAACAGAGTCACCACCAGCTGACCTTGTTCGTCAGCTTGAGTCCAAGTCAGCCACTATTGAGTCCATGGAGTTAGAGATCTCAAATCTCCGCGCCCAGGTTACCTCCCAGACGTCTTCTAACGATGCACACGAGTCTCAGGTCGCAGCGCTAGAGGAGAAGGTTTCAAAGAGCCAATCAGCACTAGAACAATCCCAGCGTGAGCTGGCAGACACGAAGCAGGCATTGACGCGGGCCTCCGAGAAAGCAGTCAAGGAAGGCGTTGATAAGACATCTACCGAGACGCTAATCCATAACCTCCAGCGTGAGATCGAAGAACACAAAGGCGAAAAAAGTGAACTGGAAAAAAAGATCGAGACCCTAGACAAGAAACTCCAGGCAATCGGCAATCTTCACAAAGAAACCGAAGCCCGGCACCAAACACGGTTACGCGAGAGCGAGAAATCCGAGAAAGAGATTGCTGTCATGCGGAAAAAGATCGCCAGCATCGAAAACGAGAATCTCCGCCTACGCGAAGAGAGTGATCGGATCCGGACTCGCCAGGTCGGTGGTGGTGTCGACGATGACGCCCTGGATGAGCTCGAGGATGAAGAACGCCAGCGCCTTGAGCGTCGAATCCGCGAGCTGGAAGGCGAGGTCTTCGATCTGCGCCGCGGCGTCTGGCAAGAGAAGCGCCAGGAGATGGAGCACTACCCAGATGACGGACCCAGCCCTGCCTCCGGTGACACAGCCAACGCATTCGACGACGTCGATCTCATCGGTGGAAGACCCGACCATGCCCGTCGCCGCAGCATGGCCCGGAATCAGCACTCGTCTTTCTCCACGGTGCTGTCTAGCGGCTTTGCTGCCTTCACAGGTGCTGGCAACCGCGCCCACGCTTCATCGTCCAATCCGCCCCACCCCCCTGCTACCCGTGGTAGCCTCGAGCTTGTATCCGAAGAAAACTTTGATGACGAGTTCGACGAAGATGCATTCGCGCGTGCGCAGGCTGAAGAGGAAGGCCGCAAACGTGTCGAGTGGATGCGCGATATCAAGAGCAAACTGCGTGACTGGAACGGTTGGCGTCTGGATCTGGTCGACAGCCGTGCCGGTGCAGAAGGTGCTGGCGTAGGAATGGGCGAGATATTTGAGGTTTAGTCTATAGTGTTTACTTTACCATCGTGTGTGCGGGATGTACGATCATTTTTACTATATACCAAGAGGTGGAGTTGACCAATGAATATTGATGCAATTGACGTAGGATACCTGATGGAACACCGACATATTAAGAGACAGGAAACATTCAAAGTAAAAAAGAGCCAGAACAAATATGAAAATCCATCTCCATTACTCGGAAGACTTGCCCGTCAAGTACCCCTCAGAGGACCTACTCTTTCTACGACCCCAGACGTCGCCAGCCCAACTAGTAATCTGATATAGCCAGCCACCAGTAACAAGCACACCTGAAATGGTGTTGATAACCCGAATCAGCAGCGACAAAAAGCCCGCCCTCTCCTCGCTGACCAGCAACAGGATCGGCTCAATGTTATACTTGAAGAAGATGCCCGGCACAACCATCGGCGACTCAGGGATCGCGCTGGACTGGCTCGTTGCCGCGTACTGGTTCGTGAAGACCGTGTTACGCCCGTACCGCGAAGCCGCAGCCTCTGGCGAGCGCGTGTACGCGTCCAGCGCGCCCTTACCTCGGCTGTACAGCGTCGGCACGATGGAGAGGAAGTACTGGAACTTGTAGTAGTGCTCCTCGCTCTCGGCGATAGTCCTATCGAGCGGGTTCTGCAGGGTCGGGTAATGAGGCCCGAAAGAGAGCTCCGTGATCATGTGGGAGAAATTGAAGGCTAGCGAGCTTTTAGCGATGTTGTACGGGATAATAGCTTGAGGGGAGGATACGTACACGAGTGATCCAGATGGGGAGAGTTCTCGCGATACCCATGTCCGCGCGCGGTGATGTGGAAGTCGCCCTGCACCTTGTTTCCTTCGAGGCTTCCGTAGATGCGACAGGCGTCTGGAACGTCGCTGCGGCGCATGCGCGGACCCTTGGCGAACTTGCGGCGTGGGTTATGGCGCACCTCGCCGAGGACGTGGCGGACGTGGGCGTCGGCCTCTTGCTCGGCGAGACGGTCGGTATCTTCGTGAGAGAGGGTCTGGTATTCGTGGGCGCCGTCGCTGGTCTCGTAGTTGCGTTTCTGCATCCAGAGGAGCCAGTTTGTGTTGTCGCGTTTCAGGAGCTCGCCGGCTAGGATTCGATCGCCAGCTGCATCTTGGATGTTCACGCGGAGTTGGTCGCAGGGCATGTGCACGACCATATCAAGGTTTAGCTGGAGCTCGTGCGAAACGCCCTTTTCAACGCTGAAGTGGTAATTTTCGGTGCCGCGCCACCAGGTTTTTAACTCGGACCAGCTGAAGACCGTGCATATGAGCAAGATTAGGACGGTCCATTGGCCGCCGCTGCGGGTTGGGGTTGTGTAGGAGGGTTTGGTTTTGGCTGGTCATAGAACGTGAGTAAGTTGTTTAGATCGAAACTTTTGAGATACTCACGAAAGGCGTCGAAAGTCTTCAGCGCACCCAGACTAGACTTCTCCCCGAAGGCATCTTCGTCCAGGCCCTTAGATTCGAAGCCATTCATTGCGAATCAATTACCCATGAAGGCCAATGGAAGTTGTTGTGGAGTAAATAAGATAAGATGAGGCCAAGTAGCCCGATTGCCCAGTGGGGACATGTCAGTTTGCATACAACGTACAAGTCTAGCTAGATCCTCTAGATTCCCTGTGTTCTTTGCATTCTTTTTATCTTGAAATTGTCCAAAATTAATTAAAATCACATTGTCATTAATTCAATATAAGCAAATAGCCAGACACGTTAAATGGCTCTACTGAGCAATACATCGTAAACTCTTAGGAAATGCAATGATAGGTAACAATGTACAAAGGGATCATGGCCCTGGGAGTCATCAAGTAAAAAAAAAGAAGGGAAATGCATAAGCAAAGTTAAGCAAGAGCAAAACATAAGGTATAAGCGATACTCTGGTCATCATGGGCGCAATGCAAATGCAGGAACAAGGGGGTATAACATGATTGCATCTCAAACAAAATGCTGACATGACAACCACCCGATGCAAGGATGAGAAAGTAAAAGCAACAGGGTTAGTATTACAGGGCATTCAAAAAAAACGTGTAAAATCATTTCCTCTATCGGCGAGTCAGCATCCCATTCGATGGTGGTTCAGGTCGCTGGCCTAACTCACCAGGCTTGTCGCGGCTGCTGCAGTAGCGAGGTCTGGCTTCCCGCTGAGACTCCGTGCCGAAACACGAGGGAGTGCGGACCCAGTAGTTGTAGAATTGCTGGACCCTCGCTTACCGGGGCTCGACGGAGGACCATTCACAGTCGAGTGTCGTTTGCTGCTACCCTTGACCGGGGAATTGGCCGAGACATCGCGAGCGCGCGTGAACCCGCTCTTCAGCGTTGTGCCTGGAGGATCTGGGAGAGGACGAGCCGCAGAGCTGGCACCTCGTTTAGAGGGAGAGTTTGATGAATACATCCTGGGCCGGGGAGCCTTGACACCAGTGAGGAATTCGTGTTTCAACGCATCATGGGGCGAGATTCGACGAGCAGGATCCCAGCGAAGGCAGCGAGTGATGAAATCAAGGAAGGCTTCATCGTCACACTTCAAGACCTGTCGGAGCTCTTTGGAGCTCGGACGACGTCGACGTCCCTTGGAAGAAACAGTCAAACGTGGCTTGCCGAGAGAATCAAAGAACAACTTCTTGCGTGTGCTCTTCTCGATGAGATGCTTTTCCGGAGGACCAAAGACTTCCATGATACAAGCAAGCTGTTCTTGCTCATTTTCGCCTGGGAAAATGGGATAGCCGGTGAACAGCTCAGCCAAAATGCAACCCAAACTCCACATGTCTATTGGCATGCCATACGACATTCCGAGGATGACCTCAGGCGAACGGTAGAAGCGACTCTGGATGTAAGTATAGACCTTTTCATTTTCGAAACAACTGGAACCAAAGTCGATGACTCGAATTTCAGAGTTCAACGGGTGAACGAGAAGAACGTTTTCGGGCTTCAAGTCACAGTGAATGACCTTCTTCGCATGCAACAGCACAAGACTGCTGAGCATCTGCTTGGTGAAAACACGGATTAGCTTCAACGAGAAGCCCCGGAATTCATGGGCCTTGATGAATTCATAAAGATTCATGCCAAGGAGTTCGGTCGAGATACACAAATGACCACGGAAGTAGAAGCTTTGGGTGAAGTTGACCACACTATGCTTGCCATGAGGATCCCATTCCTTCAGCTTTTGTAGGAGGTTGACCTCAATCAAGGCTTGTTGGTGGAACCGCTTCTTGTTGCGAATGATTTTAATCGCAACTAGAGCCCCAGTCTTGTGGTCGACGCATCGTACGACCTGTCCAAAACTGCCCTTGCCCAGGACGTCAACAACCTCGTACCGGTAAGCCAGATGGTCGCCGATGATGATGTTATAGTCACCACGGTCATCATCGTAGCCAAAGTTCGCTGCACTGGAGTGGAGATCTCCAACATGCTTCTTGGCAGTCTGGGTACCACAGAAGAAAATGTCGCGATAATCGATGATCTCGCCGCGTTCAAAGATATTGAGCGATGCCATCTTCAAGGCCTGGGCGGGACTAACACGGTCCTTTGGTCCAGCCTTGCGGCGCAAGTCGTCTAGCACACGCGCCGCCTTTTCAAAGTCTTTGCGTTTAGACCCAAGTCGCTTCATCTCTTCATCTGCAATCGCCACATCTGCATCAATAGTGTTGTCCACAGGGCGAGAAGCAGCTGCAACACTAGATCTAGCGTTGTTGATCATCTTGTGAACAGGAGAGACATAAGTGCTCTGCACGCGTCTAGAGCGTTCGCTTTCGCCCGACTCATTGGAAGGAGTTGGTTCTAGGGTGAGACTTTTCTCGCTGCTAACACTTGGTTTTCGAGTCGTCGGGTTTGTTGCACTTGAAACAGAAGACTGTCGGCGAGGATTGAGATACGATGGCTTGAGACTGGGGCTCGTTGAGTTGACCGAAGAAAGGTTGTTCCATGTCGCAGATGCTGGAAGTTTAGGCGGCGGCATATGATTATATTTAGCGGGATCACCATCGGATTCTGGCTTTTGGGGCTTCGAGTTGCTGCGAAGCCGGGCCACCTTAAGGCGATCCCGAAGAGATGTGCTAGACGCAGTGACAGTGACACTCTCAGGCTCCGAAGGCGTCGATATCTGGCTGAGCCGTTCTGGAGCGGGCGTGAAGATGGCACTTTGCGTCTGGGGTCGTGGACCATTCAACTTGTGCGGCTGCGTCCGATTCGAATAGTCGGCGCTGACTTGGTGGCGGAGATGATTGAGCTCAGCACCGCTCTTGGGTAGCGTGTACGAGGCATAGGGAGAAATGCTGCGAGCTGCACTTGAGGTGTCAAATGACTCGAATGCGCTGGTACTGCTAGAAGCTCGCAACGCGGCAGTGGATGAGCTGACGGCAAAGTGAGAGGTACTGCTTCGTGCTTGGGTGAGGGGCACTTGGTCGTCCTCATCCCGGTACCAGAAATTCGCCTTGGATGCTGTCATCGGAGTACTGGGCGTCTTAGAAATCACTTGGCTGGAGGGGGTGTGGGCCTTGCGCTCGTCGTCCCTGTCCTTGAGAGCCTCAATCTTTGTTGTCATGGGTGTGCCCAAAGGTAACAGGTTCAGCGGGGGTAACTTCAAGGGCTGCAAACCCTTTCGTCCACCCAGAACAGTAGAAGTTCGTGATCGTGAATCAGGGGTTTTTGTTTCGGCAGTGTCAACTTTGTCAATTTGGACGCTGGTGTTCGCTTCGGAGCCCGAATCTTTTAGATCCATAAGGCTCAAATCCACAGGAATACTTGATTTCCTGGGCGCAGGAAAGACAGGCGCATCCAGTTCGCCTTTGGGTGATTCGTACGCCTTGGGGATTGCTGGAACCGGCGGTACCTCTTCCCCATTCGAGCTTGTTTGCTCTGTACGGGGTTTGGGCGTCGGGAGTCGTGATGAAGATAGATTTTGAGACAGCCGATTTTGAAGTGAGCTCCCAGAAGTCCGTACTGAGCTATGGCTAGTGCTCGAGGAAGCAGATAATCCTGAACTGTACGACTTACGATTTGGGTCAGGAGTGGTTCGGTTCGAGGAAGGTGTGACGCTTTTCCTCGGGATTTGGGAGGGAGATTGGGTTGATGATTGAGGACGGATGGGAAGAGGTTCTGTCTGAGTGGGAGGTGTATGTGGCATCGGTGGCGCAGGAGGCGCAATAGACATCCGCTTCAGCCGTCGTGCATCAGTGGGACTGATTGTTCGAGCACCAAGTCCAGTGGCATGTGGCGGCATGACAGAAGCCCGCTTAGAGGCAGAGGAAGGGGTTACCACGGCGTTAGAAGGGGTTCTCACCGGGGTCCGCACTGCATTGGTGGAGTTTGAGCGTGTGTGGTCAATAGCCCCAGAGGCAGTCAGAAACGGACCACGGGGTTCCCTTGGACTGGGCTGGAATGACTTTGCCTTGAGGTTTCGAACAGAAGACGGTACCTTGGCATCAGACTCTGGAAGCCGGGGGCGAAGCAAGTTATTTGTTGAGGCGGTGTCCGTGCTGATTTTGCGGGCACTTAGGCTGGCGCGCCTGGCGGAGGCATTGGTAGGTGCAAATGCCCCAGAGCTGATCGATTTGCGGGAACCCCTTGAAGCACTTGGAGCGGACGGCTGGGCTATACTCTGGCGGCGAGCGCGGGTGTTGGCAGAGGATGCTGTGAGGCCTGTGGCATTTGAACCATTCGGACGTTGCACTTCACTCTTTCGTCGAGCAGAAGGAACCCGTGCACGCTCCGATACAGTGGCCGCATACGTATGGTTTTCCCAGGGATTCGTCAGGGAGCCCGTTTCACGATTCTCACCCGAACTGCTGTTCCCGGGCATGGGGAAGTGGTTTAAGCTGGGTTCGCCCATGATGCTGTTATGGAAATCATCGAAGTTGACCGGCGCCAGAAATTCCATGTTGTCGGCATGATCGGGGTCAGTCTTTGAAAGATTCCCCACGCTCGTAGATCGGAGGTTGAAGCTTTTAGTCGAATCAATCGTAGAATCAACAGATGAGTTCCCAGAGTGAAGGTACGGGTTAGGTTTGCTAGGTATCGAGTTAGTTCAAAATCAAATGAAAAGAGTAGAACTGGTCATACCTCCATCGTGAAGCGTCTTGCGGTCTTGGGCCCTGAGGAACTCTTTGGTCACGAATTGAAAGTCTTCTCCTGTTCATACCACCACCTGCGCGCGGTCCGGCAACCCCGTTTGAAACATCAAAATTGGTGTTGTTCGAGGGGAAGTTGGTCGAGGCTGACTTTTGCAGGCGCCTGCGGGCCGGAGCCTCTGCTATTTACTGTCAGTATTCTAGCTGCACCTTCCCGACATCTCAATTCTTACCTCCCGAGCCCGAATCATCGTTTGAGGGAATGTGTGCTTGAGCTTCGGTCCGCATTTGGCCCCTCCCAGGTGTTTGGGGTTTTGTTGGCATTGTTTTTTAGCCCGCGCGTTTTCAAAGGAAAGTCGGAAAAGGAGATGCGATCGCAATTGGCGTTCAGGAGAAGTGCGAGGTCCCAAACCAAGAGATACTTGAGCACCGTCGCGCAACTCTTGACAACTACCGTTCCATTGCGAGTGAAAAAGCAATGAGGGCCAAGGCAGGTTCTCTTTGATAATAATTTTGGGGGGAAGCAGGGTTGCTGGGGCAAGTCCACTAAGGCGGTAACTAGACGGAAAATGAAGGTAATTTTGGGGGGGAGGTGGATTTTATAAGTGATCCCCCATCAACAAAGGGGATATTTAGATAGAATCGAGGATGGTTGTGAATGATCACAGATAGAACATATTTATATTCAAAAAGAAAAGAAAAAAAAGAAGCCAAAGAGACAAATGAAGACTTTGGTCTTTCTTTTTAGTGTGAGAACTATCGAATTTCGAGGTTCCCCCTGATGCAAACTAGATTATGTCAGCCTCCCACCCCGGTCCACGGTGATCGGCAAAAGCATGTGCTTGGGCTCTCTGACAGTTATTCTGTTCTTATTTTTACTTCCTCTATTCTTCTCACCCTATGTATAATCATGGATGGATTTACAGAGTCTTTGAACGAACCTAAGGTTTCAAAACGGAATAGACCTGGTTCACCAGACAGTTCACATTCGAGATCTTCCTCTCTATCCAAGAACTCATTGCAGGACCGCCTATTTACAAAGTATGCTTAGATCCAATAGATCTGTGAGGATCTTTAACTGACAGATGATTGTAGGCTCCTACAGCAAGTGATCCCGACAGACGATGAGGATGAAACCGATTCATTGGGAGACAAGGCTTTGGCCTCTCCCAAGAAACCGGCCTTCAGTCTGCCTGTAATGGCAAATAATTTCCGCCGCTTCAATGCAAGGTAGAAATGAACCATCGCCTGTGATATCTACTGAAACTAAACATATTATAGAATCGGTGTGGTATTTCTGTTCCAGAGCCGCCTTGAGCAATTATTCACATGGGAAACACCAACCCATACTATCTCTTTCCTTTTTGTCTACTCTTTCATCTGCTTGGAACCTCATCTACTTTTGGTTTTGCCTCTAGTGGTTCTCCTGCTCTTTATTATGGTGCCGGCCTTTGCAACCCGTCACCCACCACCTCCAAACACCTCGACATCCAGCACGACTCCTTACTACTCCTTTGATGGACCAGCCCTAGCACCAGCCACGACTATTAAGCCAGCCCCAGAGACCTCCAAAGACTTTCTTCGGAATATGCGAGACCTGCAGAACTGCATGGCTGATTTCTCCGATGCCCACGATGCAGCTATCAATGTCGTTGCCCCACTGACGAATTTCTCCAATGAGAAGCTCTCGTCAACCTTATTTCTTGGATGCACAATAGCCATCGTGGTGTTGTTTATCAGTGCACATCTGCTGCCCCTCCAAATTGTGGTGCTTGTCGGTGGCAACGCGTTGGTTCTCTCCATCCACCCAACTGTGGGGCAATTCCTCTCCGGTTTGATGCAAGACATGACTGGAGATTCCATGGACGCAGACTCAGATGAGAACGGTCTCGCATCATCGGTCCCTGCAGATCCATCTGCAGCGATGTCAGCCATGGAAAAACTTGCAGATATCTCCTTGGACATTTATCCCGAGGAGCGCGAGGTGGAAATTTTCGAGCTACAGCACCGGGCCGCAGGAACATCAGAGTCTGGGTGGGAGAGCTTCCTTTTCAGCCACGCGCCATATGACCCGCTATCACCATCTCGCATCGCCGGGGACCGACCCCGTGGATGCCGATTTTTTGAGGATGTCCGTGCCCCACGTGGCTGGGCTTGGAAAAGCAAGAAGTGGGAACTCGACCTGGACTGCCGTGAATGGGTGGTGGAGCGCATGATCACCAGTGTTGGGTTCGAGGTTCCAGGCGTGAATGCCGAAGGCAACGCCATTGTCGGAGAAGTTGGTGGTTGGGTTTGGGACTTGCCTCCGACTCGGCAGGAGTCAGATGACGATTTGACGTTAGCTTATGGAGACCTGCCTGAGCTACCATCCACTAAGGAAACTAAGACTAAGGAGAAGGAAAGGGGGAAGGGGAAATTACGGGATTGGGAGGAAGGGACCGCGTCCTACGGAGTGGGTGAATGGAGGCGCCGACGATGGGTTCGAGTGGTGCAACGCATAAGCCTTCCGCCGGCGGGGGGTGTCACCTACTCGACGCTCAGTAGTAACAGCTAGAGGAAACACGAGATAACGAATCCAAGCGGCTCATTTGCCGTCCAATAATATTTACTTCGGGACACATGTATCCATGTAGACACTTTTGATAAACAGAAAAAGATAAACGCCAGACTCGCCCTAACCAGATGCTCAGAAAAAATGAACAAGGCATTATGACTGACTCTTCTTCCACTTGTTAATTCTCCTCCGCAAGTCACCCTCGCTCTGCTGCATAGGATTCAGCTTGCGGTCGCGAGTCATAGCAGTAAAATTATCGCCATGTTTCTCAATCAAGCGCTGAGCCCACTCGCCCTCACGCGAGCTCTGGTACCGCGGCTTCTTAGCACGGACAGTCTTGCCCTCCTGATCCGCCTGGCGTTCGAGCTGCTGCACAATCACTGACTCCGCGAGAGGGTTGCTATCACCATTGCCTTCCAAAACGTCGTTCAGAGGATCGTTGAGCGGGTTGTGGCGCGAGCGCTGGCGGCCCGCCACTTCGATGTTGTCTTCGTTGTCGTGGATGACGCGCAGAATCGCGCCAGTCTTAGGATCGCGCTCGACTCGTGTCTCGCCGAGATCAAGCTTGGCTGCGGCTGCTTTGGCACTACCGCGGATGTGCAGCGAGTTCTTGGTGTCGGGGTATTGGTCCTTGTTTCCGGGAAGGCGTTCGCGACCACCGGATGGTGCGTTCAGCTTGTGCATCAAACCAAGACGCTGATAATTTTGTGTCAGAGTGAGGTTACGATCCCTACAGTTGTGAGTATTTTGCATTTTTGAGGGGAGCTAAGTGTGCATACCAGTTGTCGGCGATGATCTGATTGCCTAGCACATTGATCTTCTTGTGGCCGCTCTTGAGGCGGTTGTCCTTGGCCCGGGCCATGGAACGCCCAGAGCGGGCTTTCTTCTTTTGCAAAACTTTACCCATTGTGAATTGTGAAGTGAGTGTAGATGTCAAATAGGTTCTTCTTCGCTGTAGTCGGCGATAATAAAAAGCGTTATCGAAACTTTTTTTCTGAGTTTGCATGTCTTGGCATGTTTGCTCACGGTCCCGCGATAAACAACGATAGCGCGGCTTAGTTGTACTTCCGTGGGCTATACCCCCTGTCACTCCCTAGAAACCTGGCCAATTCTTTCGCAATGGCTTCTCGTTTCTTCCCTTCACGTACAACAGGTATTGCCCTTGTTGCAGGGTGTCTCTTGTTCTCAGCATTGGCTGCGGCTAATGTTGGCCCGGGAGAGCTCTCCGTGGCTCAAATCGAGGAGCAATTGCAGGTATGCTGTACAACGTACTTTGTGCCCTACATGTTAACTAATACACTATAGAGCTGCCCACTCGTTGAAGCTCTCAATGAACACAAGCGTGCAAATCGCCCGGAGACTGCCAGTTTGACATCGAAGATCTTCGCTGTCCTCTTCCCAAGCACCCCCGCCGTGAATTCGCTTCTGGCAACTTTGTATATTTCCGGTCCACCTAGTAAGTCTTTCCACCAATACTCGTAACAGGTCTTTTCTGACTGATTTAGACTTCCTCCTGGCGCTATGCCCACCCAACATTGACCCCTCCTCGCTGTCCGTGATGGTCGCATTTGCCGTTGGTGGCTTACTCGGCGACACCCTCTTCCACCTACTTCCCGAGATCTTTGTCGGCGAAGCCTCCCCCGACCACGTGAGTTTCGTGATGGTCGAACCAAACAGAAACCTTCTTCTCGGCCTCGGAATTATGGTCGGATTTTTCACCTTTGTCGCAATGGACAAGACCCTGCGCATCGCCACTGGCGGCGAGGGCGGCCATGACCACTCGCACAGCCACGCGCATGCTGAATCAATCGATGCAGTTACATCCGGTGCCGATACCAATAAGTCCAGCGGTGGGCTGAAGAAGCGCAAGTCTGCTGTGAAGGAAGCTGATGTTGTCCCGGAGAAGGAAATTAACCCTAGCGTCAAGCTGGGCGGTTACCTTAACCTTATCGCTGACTTCACCCATAACATTACCGATGGACTTGCCCTTTCCTCTTCCTTCTATGCCTCGCCTACCATTGGCGCGACGACCACTGTGGCTGTCTTCTTCCATGAAATACCCCATGAAGTCGGCGACTTTGCTCTGCTTATCCAATCCGGTTTCTCGAAGCGCAAGGCCATGGGCGCCCAATTTGTCACCGCTATTGGTGCCTTCTTGGGGACCCTTATTGGAATTGCCGTTCAGGAGTTTGGTGGCAATGGCATTATGTTGGACGATACCGAGCCTGCTGGTCTTATGGGAACTAGCCTTACTTGGGGTGATATGCTTCTTCCTTTCACCGCGGGCACATTCTTGTATGTTGGCACCGTGGCTGTAATTCCGGAGTTGCTGGAGACTGGTAAGGACAGAGGCGTCGAAGTGCGCAAGACTATCACACAATTTTTGGCTGTTGCTCTTGGAGCCGGCATTATGCTTGCGTAAGTACCTGCCTTCTACCCCTGCAGGGTTTCGATGGTACATTTATCGCTAACACACTTTATAGTATCTCTTGGGATTGATTAGGTTGTATTGGGCATCGGTATATGCTGGTATAAACCGAACATCGTACTGTGCCCAGCACTATTGAGTCTTGGTGCAACGACAAAAGTGTTTGATTCATTGAAAAGGATACATAAGTGATTCCTCAAGTACTGGTAAATAGACCAACGCCCTGTTCAGAAGTAACCGTTCATTCGAGATGGCAATAGCCACGTTAGAGTCAAAATAAATGCACAAGAATCATCAAGCCAGTAACAACCCTAGAGCTAACTCCCCTTCAACATAAATGAATACCCGTCATATTCCTTGGTAATACACAGAAGAATGCAATGTCAATTTTGGGACCTGGGGAATTAACCATCACAAGTACATATGAAATAAAACCCCCCTCAACGGAAAGTTGTTAATGAATCTCCTGAATGGCGAAGAAAGGTGAAAGAGGTCAAGACGCGCACAGCGCAACGTATGCATGCGAAATAGATGTTAGACGAGGCTGGAAGCCATTTACTCGTTATAATGGTAGACCTGAAAAACATGTTAGCAAGATCATCTCCTTCGCTGCACTAAATGAAAGTGGAAACATACGAAGTAATCTGGGAGTCCAATGACCTCATACCCCAGTCTTCGAGCCATTTTCGCGAAGCCTTCCGTCTCCACCAAGTGGAAGAAAGGAAAGGCAGGGAACATGGCGCCGTCGCGATGCACATCAGCCTTGACCAACAAGGCCGTACCGCCGACACCGTCAAGAGCAAGCATCTTCTTCGGATCAAGGTTTTTCATATCTGGCAAGTGCGCCATCAAGGTGCGATACGTAGGCATTTCAGCGTAGCCTTCCAGGAGAATCTCATCAGGCTCCATGTTTGCAGCGAGATTCTGCGCGGTCTGGCTGTCAACCCATGAATTGAAGTCATAAGGCCTGATATCCCATTTCCTCTTCGAGGAATCGTAGTATCGCTGGAAGCAGTTTGGCACAATAACGGGCTGATCGAAAGCCGTTAGATCCTGAATGAGAGAGGTTGGTGTCTCGACGACGTCGCTGTCCAGCCAGAGGACCCAGGAAGTTGCCGGACCGAGCGTTGTAAAAACCAAACTGTTTCTCGCACGACTCATTGACTCACGACGCTCTTTCTGCGCGGCCATTGCATGGCGGGCCTTCTCATCCTGGGATTTCAATGGCGGGTCAAAGTCTTGGCGCAGGATGCTAATGCTCGCAAAGCGGTTGTCGATTGGCCCCGATTGCGTCTTGGCAATGGCCTTTTCTAGAGCCGCAACTGCGGTGTTTCCCTCGCTTGTCTTTGGTGCAATGAATCCCAGGGAGACCAGCTCGTGAGGATAGCTCAGCCTCTCAATGTTTTCCCAGTATCCTTGGTAGAATCGGGCTAGCGGGGTGAGGATGAGGACCCGCTCGCCGTTTCCGACTGAGTCCGCGGTGTTGGTTAGGTTGTTGAGGTCGTAGTGAACGACCGGAGGAGCTGCCTGATATCCATCGCTTCGAACTGCTTGTGATTTAAAGAAGGGCTTTGTGGGTGGGGAGAGAGGATGTTCCGCGGCGTATTCCTGGCGCTGCTGGGAGCTAGCGGATGTGGAGGATGCGGAGGGAGTCGAGGGCGAAAGCATGAAACATATGAAACCAAATGCCAGTAGCGCCGCTAGCATGAGGCTTATTGGGCTCGTGCGGCGCATGGAGCGTGCAACGGCCATGGCCGATCAACGTGAAATTGGGGATTGCGACGTGTCGCTGTCCAGTGAAACCGCTGACGTTTGGTCTGCGGTGATGCCTCAGGCACTCAGGAACCAGACTCAGGTTATTCAGCCTTGCCTCAATTCCTCCCCTGGTGACGACTATGGGAAAGTAATTTTAACGTGGAAGAAAATTGAAATGTCAAAGAGCACTGCTATAAATTACTTTTATTCTTTGCCCTGTCCGGAAAGAGACAAACCAAGACAACCCATGTCACTTCGCTATCAAGGATCCTTCGACAATGGCCGAGATCGCAACGGCGGGCGCGATCACAATCCAGTTGCATGGTCCAATTACGGATCGCCATTTGCTCGGGCTTTGAAAATCGTCTGTGTTATCGCAGGATACTTCAAGGAGGGTCCCGAAGGGTCTCATCGCCGAATGCGGCCTGTCACCAAATAGTCCATTCTTAATCACAGAGTGCCCTGACTAAGGATTAAATGCCCTCAGGGACAAGTATTGCATAAACAATGGGTATGTTCTTCTATTCTAAGTAATTATATAGCCATGGAACCTCGGTATATTCAATCATTTTTAGGTTCGTGTAGACCATTAGGGGGTTAGGGCAAGGTACGCATCACACCTTCGAACGCAACCAGAGCCATTGCATTCGCCGGGAACGCTCTAAGGAAGCACGGCACGAAGCCCCGCCAGTACCCTCTCCACCCACGCTCACGCCATACGGCGGCCGCAGCATCCTTCCAGCCGCGGAACTGTCGTTGTCCATCATTCAGCGCGCCACCCATAGGGTCGGTCATAAGACGCTGCTTAACAACATCGGATGGGTAGGAAGTGAGCCAGAAACATTGGGCAGAAATTCCACCGGCCCAGAAATTGATTGCAGGGGCGGACATCGTGGTGTTATTTTTGAAGTAGCGAGTCAGGACGTCATAGGAACCCCACCAGAAGAAGAAAAAGGAGCGGAAGAGGACCGTCGCCCAGAGTCCGCGGTAAAGGCCGCTGATGCCATGCGAACGATACTGTTTTATGTTAGTTATTGCGTATATCATCTACAACAGCCATTAGGACTTACCATCTTGCGCAGGCAGTCGATCGGCCCGCTGTACATGCGCTTCGATTTGTCGGCGGCGTACTGCACCTGCAGGCGTGCCTTGACGTGCTCGACTGGGGCTGCGATAAAGCTGACCGTTGTACCGGCCATGATGCCTGCAATGCCATGTCCAAAACTGGGAAGGATGGTGAGGTCTGACTGGTAGCTCGAGAAGGGGAGATAAGGGCGAATGTAGGGTTTCGAGAACACATTTTCGAGTAATAATCGACGATATAGAGTCAAGGATCCTAGCATGCTACAGGCAAGTCAGCAGTATCCCTGTGGATTTATAGCGCAAAGTACTTACACAGAGTCCATCACCATCCATCCGACCAGCGGTGGTGTAGCTCCTTTGTAAAACCCTTGTAATCCTTCCTTTCGCAAAGTCTGCAGAGTGCAATCCAACGGTCCTCGGAACTGCACATCTTTGCTAGTTTGTAGGCGAACCTTGATGGTGTCGAATCTGTGCAATTTCGTTAACAATTGACTCAAGGCGAAGTAATTGGTTATGCATACGGATGGCCAACTGTAGAAAGGAAATTAGCGTCAACACTAAATAAACACACAGAAAAAAAGAACCCCTACCACTGAGCTTTGCAATGCCTGAAAAAACACCCGCCACAAAGCCCTTGTAGTTTGACTTCGACGTCCCAGACTGAGCAAGCGCGTTTTCTGCCTTCTGTTGCCCCGTCATATCAGATACCGAAACAGGCAAGGGCGCCGGCGCCGATGACATCGTTCAATAGCCCCGAGTATTTCCTCCAATCTCTGAACCCGGATCGCAGACCCAAAGAGTCACAGAACGAACACCTCGCACGGGTCGAATGGTGCTTGTGCGCAACGAGTAGTTCAATTGAAATGTGGTGACGGATGTCGATAAGGATAGAGTGATCTGAGGGTAGCTGGGTTGCCAAGGGAGTTTTGCAAGCCGTGTCTTTTCTGGGGAAGCTGGGGTATATCCAAATATTGTCTTTGATGGGGTTATTGAAAAAAAATATTGCTAGGGAAAGTTATTTCAATGATTATTTGGGCCCCGCAGATTCCTCTCGGGGAGAGTAGGTATTCCTCCGAATCGCTGAGGATGCCTTAGGCACATTTCGGAGGTGGCGTTCGAGCTAGCTCTATAGGGAGTAGTAAATCTGGGGATTAACTTTGAGAGTTTGTATATCATCTCTACTCTGATCATCAAAGAATCAGACCTGGAATCTCAAAAAATATTAGGGTGCTCGGTGAAAAGCCTGCTAGGGCCAAGTTATGCAAGCACAACTTTTCCCTTCACCGCTCCCCAAAATTGAAAGAAAAATCTTTGGCTGGGATTATCTCCAGATCAGAAAGGCGCTCTATATATGGCAATATAGAAGATGTGATGAACCCTAAATGAAGCGGATATCGATGACCCAGCAGACACATTCAAGTACCAAATGCCAAACTGCGAGGCCAACATGTTAACCGCACCTCAAAAGTACATTGGCCATCAACAACCTACCTATAACCTCAAGGTTCGAAGGAACCCTTGTCATGATTCCAGTCTGGGTAGCAGTTACTGTAGATGAATAAAAAGAATACAATATGATATTTCGTATTGAGGGTCGATGCTTTGGCTCCACTTGGATATGCCAAGGTCCAGAGACTGGACTAGAATGGGGTATATAATTTAGATACATGATTTCGTGATGCAAGATCAAACGCAGTAGTCGGCCGAGGCCGAGGATGTTTGATCATGGGTGAGAGCGACGGGAATGGCAACAATGAGAAGAAAAACGACAAAAAGGAGGCCCCATGTAAACTGTATCAGCCCTGCGGGGTGAACTCATTTTGTTCCCAGAACACCAAAAGCAGATATTAAACGAACAGGCACGGAAGAGTGAGAGGGGAGCCCAATTCTCTAATGGATAATAGACGGAAACAACCTTTTGATGCAAATTCAAGGTGCGATAGGTCTGTTACCGGCCCTTGGCGGGCTTTCGAGCCATCTGCCGAGCCTTCTCCTCATAGGCAATGAGTTTCTCGACCAACTCGGCCGGAGGGCCAGAGTTCTTTGGGACATCCCGTGGATTCCGTTCGGATGTGTTGTTCATCGAGCCATGGGCAAGGTAATCACCCGCCTCTAGCGCCAGGGGCGTCACGGGGCCAGGACTAACCAGAGGGTCCAGACGGGGCGCCGAGGGACCTTGGTGGACGCCTTCAATGATTTCACGGTACTGCCACATCATGTCGCGTGACCCGGCTGTAGTGCGGTAGACCGGTTGCCAGGATTGACGAGGAGACGAAGGCTGAGGAACAGCGTTGTGAGAAGTGCTGCTCGACTGATATACGGCAGGATGGAAGCGGGGCAAGCTGCCGAGATGGAAGTTCTGGGTTTGCTTAGCCTTGGATGGATTCTGGGTCCGAGAGCGAGTTGGTTGGGGGGAGTTTGAGCGTCGGGGAGACATGATAGGCGAGGCAACCGGGGAGTAGTAGGGGGAGTTATCAGAACGCATCCTTGTCGAGGATTGCGGGGGCCGCGAAAGATGGCTGCGACGAGGAGGCCGGATTGAAGGGATTTGTCGGGAGGTAGATTGAGACACGCGTTCCCAATCGTCAAAATAAGAGTGATCGAACCGACCGGTGAGTGGTGTCACTGGAAGGTCGTATATTGGGCCGGGGCGTCTTGGGATTGGAATCGGTCGTGTGGATGAGGATGAGGTAAGCGAATCAAAGTCAATCGGAACAGTGTCCGGGTAACGGTGCCGAGGCGAAGGAGGAGTATAAGTAGACGAGGTGGCTGTCAAATCTCGCAGGGAAGAAAGTGACACAGGTGTGGGGTAGCCGTGTTTGGTGATCAGACTTTCAAGATGATCTCTTGGTTGGAATGTTGAGCGCCGGTGCGAGGTCGATGATAGGCCTAAAATTTGATCAGCATTGGAACGAGAATGCCACACGTGTTTAGCGAAGAATGTACGAAACCGTGTCGCGATAGCCGACGCAATATTGAATAGATGTCATGGGGAGCGGACAAAGTTTTGAGAATATAGATCTCATACAGGAGTAGACCAATGGTGAAAGAGGGGGAAAAGCACCCGGGATCTCAAAAAGGGAAAGATGATCAGAGAGTAATTGAGCCACTTACTTGGGGAAAATGAGCTACTACGAGATGAGAGGTAGAAAGAAGATGAAGAGGAAGAAGAAGAAGAAAATGAAAAAGGGGAATCTGAGGGAGAATGTTTTGGCATCTATTTTTCCCGGTTAGTGTGCATCAAGCACTTGCGGGGGGAAAATCTCCACCAAAATTTCAATGGAAATGAGATTGTAAAATGACGACAGAGAAATGAAAATAACATCACCAAAAATACCAAAAACACCAAAAACCATGAACAAAACACCACAAACTTGAAAAAAAAAAAAAACTCTCTTACTAGATTCTAATTCCGAGGACTCCGACGCCCTCTAGAACACCTAGAACTTCCAAGGCTAAACTCCCAAGGTTGGGGACGGGATGACGAATGTGCCGCTTTAATAGTGGAGCATGTTAGATGAGATTGGGAATCGTGAAAAAAAAACGCAGTCCAGCTAGGAAATGCCCTTCTTAAAAGCTCCGAGCCAGGCACCTGTGAAACCAATATTTCACCCAGGTACACTTCTCTCTCCACGCGCAACTGCCCGGTGACCCATATGTTCCTTCAAAGACATTCAACAAAATTATGACTCTTTTATATCACAAATCGACAGAATCCAAGTTTTGATTTAGCGAGAGTGGACGCCCAAAGTGAAAATGGGTGAAGATCCCGGTCCAGTTGCGGTCGATTGACCGGGGGGTGTCATGCGTCAAGCTGGTCATTTCTGATTCGCACGCGTCTCAACTCACCACAGTGACGTTCCGACTACCGACTCATGTCATCCGTCTACATCTCCAGGGCTTTTTGCTGAAGCCAATCTATCCAGTAGCTGGATAGGAGATTCTCTCCAGCCAACCAACATCCGCGTTGCCTGGTCTCCCACATCACCCGACACCTATCACTACGCGTGGAGGGAGAGAACCGTTCATGCTGACTGGTTGACACACTAGGCTGAACCTCCATATAATGTTTTCTAGGTGCTTGATACAACCTCATGATGCTCTGCGGTGCATACATGTCTTGGATTGCTGTCCAAGCTCCCGACCCATCTAGCTACCCCTTTGCCGGCATAGTGACGCATTTAGTTACAAGACTGTAGAATTGGATATATTTAGAACGGGGTATCCCATACCCAAATGAGCCACAGAGGATTGATTTTATCATTTTAGGCTAGAACCACAATACCCTGGGCAGAGTGGGATCTAAATAATATGCTGACCCGCTAGAGCCACGGACGAACTAATACAGGCACCCAAAAAGCGAATTAGGGCAACCTGCCCATATGTCCTGATTGGGCCAGCTGCAGAACGCTGGCTTTGGTTTCAACGTCGCGATACCCATGGACATGTCTCGGGCTGATCTTCTTCACCTTGCCCACTTTGCCCACTTAGGTTAGGATATGAGATATTAAGAATCAAATATCCACGAGGGCTGTAGCTGTAGGGGCGAATAATATATTGATACTAATGAGTATGTCTGCCATTACTGACATTACAGTACTCCTTGACCCGTGGACATCAAGGTATGTTGCAGTAAATTTCGGCGGCTTTGCCCTTTGCCCCTGCATACTGTGAGTTCTGCGCCCTCTCGGACCTCTGCACTACACCAAAAGAGTGAAACTTACTAGCGAGGAGTCTACAGTCCAAATTCGAATCCGAGGCCAAATCTACGGGAAAATTATGAGACCATAGCCTTGACCCTTCGCCCCCACCACGGAAATTAGCTCGCGCGGTGAAACCAACCTTGGAATCCCATTCGGAATACAAACTATGTATATCACGATGTCAAAAAAAAAAAAGAAAGTCTTGAACCGAACAAAATACGCAGCCAACAAAGCGAGCGGGTCTCATTTTCCACGCCCTCGCCCAACACGACAAAGATACGTGTCAACCGGACCCCTCCGGAGCTCCAACGGTCCCGAAAGTCGATATCAAATCCTGTCTCTTTGTCCCTTATATACGGAGTACAAAAATCATCGATAAGGTGTCCGGCCCTTCTCAGAACAGGAAAAGCAATCCACATCTGCAGCAGGCCGAAAAGACAAGCTTACTAGCATAGTCTCAAACATCAGTGGCCCACATATCCGCGCAAGTTTACCTACTACTTAACTACCCTGACTTAGTGCAGAGTACTAATTGACACATGTCACCAATTATACAGTCAGTCGACTTCCGCACTGTGGATATCTTCTCGAGGCCCGGCGTAAGGGGGGGCTTCGTGTCGCATACAGTGGCTTGCGCGCCCGTTGATAAGGCGTGCCTAGCGGCGGGTTGCTGCATGAAGTGTCGGGTAGAGGGAATATTGAGGTGGGATGGAATGATACCCGACGCAGATGCGCGGGGCAAGGTGGCTAGCGGTTGGTGGATTGGAGTAAGTGCTCACGGTGAGCTAGAACAGTGGGCTGATATACTACTCCGTACTCCGTACGGAAGAGTACAGCGCATTTAAATAACACTTGGACTCGACTTATTGGCAGCATGCGGGAAACTGGGGTCCTTAGCAATAGGTTCTGTTTCTGCTGAGAAGGATTAACAGAGATCATTTGCGACTCTAGCCCTCTAGACTGTCGCTTTTACATAGCTGTACTCCGTATATGTACTAACCAACACACCAGTGGAGGTCTCACAGACTCCCAGACCACGCCAGCGGATGCTAGCACCTACATTTCCCCATGGTGGGTGTGAGTGGAAGTGTAGCAGCCGAGATGCAGGTGCCCAATCGACATTGAACGAGGTTGAAGGTTGCTTTTACAGCGGCGGGGGAATTTGGGTGGACATTCATGCGTAGTATCGTGTTCCTCTGATTGACGACTAGTTTCAAAAAGCTGGAGACGGTCCCAAAAATATGGACAACATGTTCCACCACTTGTATTTCAACAAGCAGTCATATATAATCTTCCACATTACTTAGGCTTGTTCCTTTGGATAGGGTATTGACACACCTCAGCCAAACCTAGTAGAGAAATATCATGCTAAATGCTCAATATGTCAATTGGAACATCCGCCGCAAATCGGATACTCAGGTCCTGGTCCGGTTTCATATTCCTTATCTGTCCTCGAACAGCCAGTCTAAACATGGTCCAGTTGTGGACGCAAAAGAATTAATGCCCCCTGCTATAAGAGAGAATAACCTATCCGTTCTCGTTGTAGCCATGCATATCATGCTACATTCCATCTAATTGCCATGAGAGCATGGAGATGATATAATTGTGATAATGATCAAGAAAGATTCTAGATGGGTGAACAAAACACAGGACGGACAGAGGGTTGTTAAGTCTGGATCCTGTGTTGATGATTGCTGCACAACTCTACATACCAGTTCTGAGACAGCATGCACTTAACGCTCCTGTGGAATATCCTCCTTACAAGAAAGAATGTTGGCCTTGAGACGTAGGATCGGCGCTGGAAGATGGACGCCATCGAGATTGTGGCCCCTCTAGCTATTCATTATCTTAGGGATTTGGTATACTCCGTAAGTAATATGGCCTACGGGTATAATGTGACGGCTTTTACAAGAGCTTTGAGTAACCCAAAGCCCAATATACTCGAGGTGAGGTTACCTATTAGGAGCTTTAGGACCATCACGACAACCGTTATCTTAGCTGGCAGAAAATTGTATATTTGAACATCATTTATTGCTTTCTGTATTTCCATATTTTATGGCGTATTGATCTTCTCCTTTAGTAGACTATAGCATTGGTTAAGGAACCTTGGAAATATTTACAAAAAGTATAGATAAGAAATATCCGGGAAGACTTCGGAAAAGAAACCGTCTACAAGCGGCAAATTATTCTTATCATTAAATACCTGATAACCATGTAGCCTATAGGTGTCACTAGTACAGAGTACTTGTAGACTACTCCTTGAGAGGGACATCTATTTATTCGCCTTATGTCTGAGTGTGCACTATGGATTACATTATCTACGTCTATTATCCTACTGATGGATACAGAGGGTGTTGATTTTTTTTATTACTATAAGTTGAGTGCAAAGCAAGACAAGTAATTACTATAGAACAAAGGCGTTAACCCAATTATGCCAGTTGTCGTGATGGCCTTGCAAAATATTCGTAGTTACCTGACACAAGCAGGCGCATATAGCTGCGAGTGTTTTTGCTTAATTGATCAAACCTGTATAGATAACGTTGCTGCAAAAATTCCAGACATTTGGCTTCATATGACTTTTGCCTCTTGTAGGCACAGATAATACAACAAGAAAGGAAAGAGAGTTATAATTCCTATATTTGGGGGGTGGGGTGGGCAGGCCAAAGTCTATGGGCAAGTATCTATATCGTGGAGGCTCTGGAACTCTCCTATATGTCTAAGTAATATTTATTCATATTTCAGTACTAAAAAAATTCGTTTTCTCAGTCCTATGGGAAGAAAGGCATTCAAAGCCCTTGAGGAAGATATACTTCTCACAGATCGCGCTCGATGCACTCTATTTGCGAGTATAAACTGTGAATAAAACAAAGAGCTGCCGGATACGTCTATTTTGTTAAATAGAGAGTCCTACAATTCTATCGACTCAAAAAGAATCGAATAAGAAATCAACACAGCACAAGGCTTTCGCGGGGTTAGACCCGGTCACCTGATGATGTGCAAAACAGGCCAATCAGAGTGCCCACTGATAGTAGAAATTCTGACTCATCCCGCGATATTCCAAGAGGGGCAACAGAAGAAATTCACGATTTCCTCGACCATAAAATAAAGTGAGAATTGGCCTTTTGACTGCTGCAATTGACAACTTAAAGCTGATCAAATTCTAGCAGATAAAGGAACAATCATGGCCAACGAAGCAGCCCAGCCTCCGGCGCTCAACTCGCTGAGTATCGACGAGAAAACCCCAGACACCAAGGCTGTTGGCCAGATCGTGACGCCCTTCGATGTGTCCGGTGGAGTTGATGAATCCGGAAAGCTGTTGCCAGTTGATTACGAGAAGCTCACGAGGGAGTTTGGAGCCACACCGATCAATGCAGCTCTATTGGAGCGCTTTGAGAAAGTGACTGGCCATCGGCCACACCGTTTCATGCGCCGGAGCATCGTGTTCAGCCACCGTGATCTGTCGAAGATTTTGGATAAGCATGAGAAGGGCGAGCCGTTCTTCCTATATACTGGCCGTGGGCCGAGTAGCGACAGCATGCACGTTGGGCACACTGTGCCCTTCGAGTTCACCAAGTATGTTTAGTCTTGATGAACACTTGCGCAGATACGGGAAACTGACCCAAATGTAGATGGCTCCAGGACGTCTTCGACGTTCCCCTCGTTATCATGATGACCGACGACGAGAAGTTCATGCACTCTCAGAAGATCGAGATTGAGGACGCCAAAAGATACACAAAAGCAAACGCCAAGGATATCATTGCTGTTGGATTTGATATGAAGAAGACCTTTATCTTCAGTGATTTCCAATTCATTGGTGGTGCTTTTTACGAGAACATGTGCCGGATGGCAAAGAGAATTACTATCAATCAGGTCAAGGGCACATTCGGGTTCAACGACAGCAACAACATCGGCGAGTTCCACTTCTGTGCTACCCAGTCCGCCGCGGCATTCTCTACCAGCTTCCCCCACATCTTCGGTAATGAGACGAAGAAGGTCGCATCAATTCCTTGCTTGATTCCATGCGCCATTGACCAAGACCCCTACTTCCGCCAGTGCCGCGAACATGCGGAGAAAATGAAGTTCAAGAAGCCCTCTCTCATCCACTCTATCTTCCTTCCCGCCCTACAGGGCCCTGGATCTAAGATGTCCGCTAGTGTCGACAGCTCCGCTATCTTCATGAGTGACACGCCTAACAAGATCAAGAACAAGATCAACAAGCACGCTTTCTCAGGTGGCCAGGACACCGCGGAGTTGCAGCGAGAGCTGGGCGGCAATACCAAGAACGATATTCCATTCCAGTATTTGACATTCTTCCTCGAGGATGATGAGGAGCTGGAGCGCATCCGCACCGAGTACGAAGCTGGAAAAATGATGACCGGCGAGATCAAGCAGAAGTGTATCGCTGCGCTACAGGCTTATGTTCAAGGATTCCAGGAGCGCAGGGCACAGGTTACGGATGAGATCATGGCCGAGTACATGCGTCCTCGCCCTCTGGAGTGGAAGGGAAATCCCAACCCGGTGGTGGTCGAGAAGGCCAAAAAATAAGCCTGCTGTGGAGGGGCATTCCCCGGAGCCATCAACTTAAAAAATAAGCATGATTTCATAGCCTTTTTATCAAATTACCAATACCATTCAAATGTCGGCTAGTCAACATACGTACCCATCCAACCAGGTGCGTACATAAGTACATACTATGTACTATGGGAAATTCTTACTTGGCTATGACCTGACCGCGAATGAACCCCCTTACGCTGTTGCTCAACCAACACAATTCGCCATCCACAATCTCATCCCGGGATATGGTGTGTTCTAGACAAAAACCCTGGGATAATGCATATCTCCGTGTTGTACCTGCATTGCCGCCGCTGCTCAGTGGAGGCGTGATCCACATATGGTCCCGTAAGAAGTACGGCGTAGTGATGCTGCCCTCCATAACCTCGCCATCCGGGTTCACAATCAGTATCTCCGCAAGGTCTGTCGGTGAATTAATCCCGGCCCTCAGCCGTGCAGACGTGTAGTCATCACGCGCCGTTGTTTTATGTGTGGTGAAGCCAGAAGGATTTGTTGAGTGGGTGTCGACATAGACGCGCCATATCGGCAGGCTCGGGTTTGTATGTAGAGAGGGAATGAATAAACTCATTAGGTCAATGCTCGCTGTTGGGCTTGCCTCGACCATCGTCTTCCCTTTGCTATTCACAACAATTCGAAGCCTCCACGGTTTGCTTCGGTCTGGAATTGACGCGTCAAGGAATTCTTCGAAGCCTTGCAAGTCTTGTCGCAGCCAATTTAGAGCCCGGTTCCATTCGAAATGAGCCGCAGCAGCTATAAGCCGATCTTGGTGATAGGCGAGGAGGTAGTATGGAGATTTGTGAGGATGAGGATAGCTCGATTCATAGCGACAGGCGGCATCTGAAAGGCCTGGGTCAAAGCGAAGGGAGGAAATGATCTCGAAAGATCGTGGAATTGAAGAGTTCTCAGTCATTTTTGCAGAGGTCAATGGCTTGCGGTCGTTGCTATAGTTACCAAGTCAGTATTGCCAAATCGTAAACGAATCCACACGATGTGGCTTTGGACATGATTCCAAGAGGAAAGAGGGGGAATAATACAAAAGATCCGATCAAGTCTGTTCAATCCGGACATGTGTTGTGGAGAACTTGAGGGTTACCGGTGCAGGGCGCGTGATTGGCCGGTCCGGCCAGCGGAACCCTTGACTTTTCCTCTGAGCTTCATCATTCCCGACTTCCCCATCTCTAACTCCTTTTGTCGAGGCCTGGTTAGTAACCCCGTTGTCTTCTGTCTCAGCCTAATTGCCCCGGCCTACCGATTGAATACTGACATCTGCACTTATTTGAAGAACTAGCCGCGTTGGTCCTTTGCCTGGTTCCCTTACACAACATGTCGAACGAGTTGCCGTTACCCACGCCTGCCCAAAATGTGGTGCTTGATACATCAAAGCTGACCGAGTCATCATCGGCATCGGTCTGGAATCGCATCACCAACTGGGTCTCAGAGAACAAGGCCGTTGTTTACACTATTGCCGGTGTTGCCGTTGTCGTGACCGGCGCGGGTGTTGTCTACTACCTGAATGATTCCAGCAAATCCACTCCCCCAGCACCCAGGAAGAGCAAGAACCAGCGACGGAAAGAAAAGAAGAAGGCTGAGGAGGAAAAGGCCGCATCAGTAAAGGATGGTATGTGCTCTCTTTCAAACACCGTGGTCGTATGACTGACAAGGTTCCAGAGGCTCCCAAAAAGGCAGAGGAGCCCACTGAGGAGCTTCCCGAGGTGGACGAGGCAACTATTGGACAGTTGTCCGAAGAGGTATGTTGAGCAACATTCTTTCTTATACTTTCGCTGACAATTAAGACCCGAAACGCCTATGCAGCCAAGCTGAAGGCCGCCGGCAACAAGGCCTACGGAATCAAGGACTATCCCAACGCGATTGAGTTGTACAGCAAGGCAATTATCTGCAAGCCCGATCCCGTCTTCTACTCCAACCGCGCCGCGTGCTACAACGTCCAGTCCGACTGGGAGAAGGTCGTTGAGGACACCAGCGCCGCTCTCGCCATGGACAGCGAATACGTCAAGGCCCTCAACAGAAGAGCCATCGCATATGAGCACCTTGAAAAGTACAGCGAGGCTCTCCTCGACTTCACAGCCAGCTGCATCATTGATGCCTTCTCCAACGACGTGAGCCGCAACTCTCTCGAACGGCTGCTGAAGAAGGTTGCCGAGAAGAAGAGCCAGGCTATTCTCGAGGCGCGCACCAAGAAGTTGCCTAGTGCCACCTTTGTCTCCAACTACCTCCAGAGCTTCCGTCCCCAGGTCCTCCCCGAGGGGTTGGAAGAGTCTGTTGAGTTGAGTGATGAGTCCGGCAAGGGCCAGCTGCGCAAGGGTCTGATTGCTATGGGTAAGAAGACTGCCGATGGCTACGAAGAGGCCGCCGCCGCTTTCGAGAAGGCTCTTGAGCTTGGCGAGCTCGGCGAATTTGAAGGATTGGCCCTCAACATGCGAGCCACCTTCACCTACCTCGGCGGCAACGCCACTGGCGCTTTAGCCGACCTGGACAAGAGTGTCGAGTTGTCGCCCTCTCTGGTTCAAAGCTACATCAAGCGGGCCAGCTTGCACCTGGAGCTTGGCAACAAGGACGCTGCGGCCGATGACTTTGAACTTGCCATTACTCACAACAAAGACGACCCTGATATCTACTACCACCGCGCCCAGCTGCACTTCATCCTGACCGAGCTTGCCGAGGCCGCCAAGGACTACCAGAAGTCGATCGACCTCGACCGCTCGTTCATTTACTCTCACATCCAACTTGGTGTGACACAGTACAAGATGGGCTCTGTCGCCTCAGCGATGGCCACTTTCCGCCGGACGGTAAAGAACTTTGAGGATGTTCCCGATGTATACAACTACTATGGCGAGCTTTTGCTTGATCAGCAGAACTACTCCGAGGCCATTGAGAAGTTTGAAAAGGCCGTCGAGATGGAGAAGCAGAGCAAGCCTATGGGCATCAACGTGCTGCCCCTGATCAACAAGGCTCTTGCTCTATTCCAGTGGAAGCACGACTTCCAGGAGGCCGAGAATCTCTGCCAGAAGGCTCTCATCATTGACCCCGAGTGCGATATTGCCGTCGGTACCATGGCCCAGCTACTCCTCCAGCAGGGCAAGGTTTCCCAGGCTCTCAAGTACTTTGAGCGTGCCGCTGAGCTGGCTCGCACTGAGGCTGAGATCATCAACGCCATCTCCTATGCCGAGGCCACCCGCACTCAGTTGGAGGTTCAGGAGAAGTACCCTCAGCTAGCTGCCCGCCTGAACACCATGGGTGCCATGAACGGTGGTGCCCCTGGCATGTAAGCAAGTCCGCGGGCCATCTTCGCTCATCGATTCTTCGCTTCTTTCCTCAACCCCAGTCTGGATATCACTGTCCAAGCCTTTTTCTCTTCCGGTTTCGATATCTTCGGATCTCCGGTTACTATTATCTCTGCGTGTATTTACTATCGGTTGACATATTCCCCGTCTGCCTTATTTTTTTTCTTATTGTTTTGGTTCTGGGTCTGAGATATGACTCGGGATAGGATGGGCCGATGGACGGCAAACCGAGCCCGGGTAAGTGCATTGGGGGGGTTGACCATGTAGTAATTTGTGTACCATAGAGGAAATGAGAGTGCTCATTAAGATCAGATTATCATTGTATCTGAAAATCCTATCCAGGTTGCTATGCATACACTGGTATACTACTAGGTAGTTCCCATACTTCCCCGTATAAATGCACGGATGACGATGACGTGTTAGTCCCCACATCAGCTGACTCCACCTCTTATCGGCATCTTTGTGTTTTTATATATACACATGTATACACAACGTTGAAGAGAGAAACTGCGTCGTTGAAAGATTCAGTAAGTAAGAGTAAGTCTATATGTACTCTTTCTATGAAATCAGTCTGTGTCTAGTCGAGAAGTGTCGAGCCAGGGTATATGCGTCTTGAAATAAGCCCAACGGCGTCATTTGCTTATCTTACACTATCACTTCTCATACATACCTCATTGTTCCTGAGCTTCCGGATAGTTGACTTCTTAGTTTCTTGCTGAATACTGGCTTCTTAGATTCTGAATAGATTTATTAGTAACTGAGGATCAAGCTGACTTCCATTTCAGAGGCTTACTTGCTCCCAAACTTCTTGCCAGCGGTGAACCCAACTTCGACCTGATTGATGAACCTACCCCTCCCTCCCTTCCTTTCCTCTTCCACACCTTCTGTGCTTTGAAACGACTTTTCATACTCGCTACTCTGAGTTGCTTTACTCGCCAAGTACTTGTTGTTCCAACAAATCTGCTATCCACCGGCTGTTTCAACTGGTCCATGTGATCACGTTGCAGCCTGGAAACACCCGGGTAAGCTGCCTTTGTCTCCAACTTCCTAATCTGCTACCCCCCACTCTTCATCTTCCCATGCTTTGTTGTTCATTTTACCTTGCTGTCATGATCTCTGCTGTCATCAAATTCTATCTCTCAGTCTAACCATCACCTAGAGACAAACAGCTTTCTATTTCTGCTTTCCAAATTCTACACACCAACGTTGATCTATCTTTCACCATGCCGGACCCACGCGGTAAGTACTTGGAACTCTTAACAATTAGTGACTTGCAACTAACATCTTGAATTTACAGTCACCGTGACGCTTGCCCCCCTTTTCGAAGATACCCACCCTCTCCGTACCCTCACCATCACTGACAGCGATATAACTGTGGCGATCGGACGTGCCTCGAAGCGGGAAACTCGAAAACGAAATCCTGCAACAGAGAACGCTTGGTTTGAGTCTCGGGTTATGTCTCGTGACCATGCCTTTCTCAACATACCACCAGACCAAAATGTTAGTTCGAACCTCCAAATCTGACCATATCGCCAAGTTGACATCCTTGATAGATGGTTTTCATCGTCGACTGTGGCTCAACACACGGAACCTTCCTGAATGATGCGAAGTTGGTGACCGATGTGGAGACCCCACTGTTTAGTGGAGATATCATCCGATTTGGCGTCAACGTCGACCGTGGCCAGGGTGAGTTGATAATATCACCCCGACAGTACTGGAGCTAACCAAGTCTAGAAGTTTTTGAGGCTATCTCAGTCCGATGCAAGGTTGAATGGCTCAAACCCCAGTGTGTGGTCATTCCACATGATGGACTTGCTATCAAACAGGATCCAAGCCCATCAACCAACAGTTTCTCTGTCCCCGAAGACGATAGCGATATTGAGCCTGCCGACTTACCCAGTGATGACTCTTCTAAGGAGTCCATTGCTCGCTCTTGGGAAACTACTGTTCTGCAGCCTGCGGATACATCTCTAGTCTCTTCTGTGTCGAGTGTCCAGAGCGAGGAAGATCTAAAGGACGAGCCGGAGCTTCATTCGGGACGCTTGTCTACAGTCAATGAGTCCACCACAAAAGCTGCACCCGGCCCTACACCACTGGTCCCGGATGTTTGTAGCTCGCTTCTCAATAGTAATACCGCTCGGGATGCTAAATTATCCCCTGCCAAACCGGCCTCAGATATCACAATATTTCCTATAAAAGCGGCCTCCACCGAAATCCCATCTGCTCCACATGAATATGACGCAAATGGTCTGCCTGCAGTCTGTTACCAGAAGGTGCCCGAAACCAAATACAGCAATTGGACCATGATGCGGCCTATGTTCATGCGCCTGGCAGACATGGCTTGGGGTGAATCCAATATTATCCCCGACGTTGACCACGACAGGCGTATCATCCACGCTGCACGCCGTTGTTCTCTTTCCAAAGATTCGTACTGGGTAGATGACTCCCCTAGCTTCCAACCTTACGTTGGGACAGAAGTCTATTGGGAGCCAGACTCCGAGGAATCAGACACTTCATTCCATCGTATGCCTGGCAGCCTTCTTAGGTACTGGTCGGTCGATAAGCGAAGGTATTGGATTATCTATGAGGAGGAAGATAGCCAGCATGTGAGCAACTTGTGGTGGATCGTTGAAAAACCACATGAACTTCTCAGCGAGGAAGTGAAGCACCAGCTCGAGACGGAAGTCGAGGTTGATGACCGTCATAAATGCTGGATCGTGAGGGCGTGGGAGCCTCAATCGATGGGAACTTGGTGGTGCGATACGACCCCTTACTGGGATCCGAATTTCGACAAAGATTGGCTCGCTGACGACGAGTCCGTTGATTCGGACGAAGAAGCCGAGGCCAGCGAGGGCGGCATGTCTGAGTCAGATGTTATTAGTGGATCGGTCTCAGAGAATCACGGCCAATATTCGTATGGGGTGTTCAACAGCCAATCAATTTATAGGGTTGGTAGTGAAGTGTCGGCAGAAGACTCTGAGGAAGACGACGATGAGGAAGATAATAATGAGGGCTTGGAGGAAGATGGTGAGGTCTCCGATGAATCCGAAAACGACTCACATCGTTCCTCTGAGGATGAGCCTTTTGAACACCTTATTCCGCAAAGGCCTCATATGAACTCCTCGCTTGATTTGGAGTATTTGAAGAAGCTTGAACGCATCGACCCCACTGATGCTGTCGAAGTGTCCAAGCATGTTGTTGAGGAAGCTGGACCAGTTCGACTGCACCACGAGGCTCCTGCAGACCAGCCGATGAACCCCACACGGAGCGAGAGCAAACCATTGCTGACACACACTCCCCCTGGTATGACGAACCCAGGTGCTCGATTCCCGACACACACTGTTTCTGGTGAGCTGCCAAGCTCATGCCAGAACAAATATCCACCAATGCAACGGAAGATTGAGAGTACTGTTGGGGTACCGTCCATCTCCCATGAATTCGGGAATTGTTATCACGATGGACCGTTCTCGACCAGTGCACCCGTGGAAGATGCCTGTGTGCCCTACCAGACAACATCTAGACATTCAACTTTGAAACGTACTGCGACAGAGATGCAATTGTCGTCTCTTGAACCCAGTCTGTCCCAAGATGCTCAGCGGCTGCCTGAAGAGCCAGCCAGCCAGTCAGATCCCGACCTTGATACAATCTCTTCTGAGGCCAAAGATGCGATCAGCTCTGCGCTTGCCGAGAATGTGTCTGCATTTGCTGAGAATGAGCGTCCCGCAAAGCGAATCAAGTCTGACAACCCAACATCAAAGTCATTAGCGAGCCACGCCACCACGGCTGTTGTCAGTGCTTTGCTGGGCGGTCTGGGAACTATCGCCGTACTAGCAGCCTTGCCTAATGAATATTTCCAGTGATTGGAATCATTTAACTTCGGTTTCATTCTCTGCCTTTCCATATTTTATGATTTAACGCCGAAACAAGAGTCTCGGCGTGGTTCCAACGAGTTTATGATTTCGGGATTACCCAGGCGTTCTGGTTTTGCGTGGAAGGATGGATTCAGGGTGCTTGTTTGTTTTACGCTCCCCCCGTCGTTGCTGTTTTTACGTCGTGGCTCCATGAGCAAGCACACGAGGTCCTCACATGATCGCTGCTGTGTTGGCCATGGGAGCCGCTGCGGCTGGGCGCTTTATTGGTTGGACAACTTGTTTATGCCCTATTTCTTTGCTTTTTTTCCCCTTTACCGTGGCTACACATACAACCATGAGCTGGGTCAGATACGGTGACTCTAAGATGGAGCGCCACCTAGCGCCGTATTCTTTTCCATGTGATAGCTATGCAGATCGTAACGGAGAATGTCAATCCTTTATTTTTGATTCAGTATCATGTAATCCCACCTCAGCCTGTCAGGTACCGATTTGGGGTATTTTTGGGTGGTCTCATTTGAAAATGCACCGTGATATCATACCACTGTCGCCGAAGCGTCAACACCTGCTTGCAATGTGAGTTCATTCTATGCCTCAAGTGATCTTTAGAAGCCGATTCTCGGAGACTAGTATCTGATGTTCTACAGTGCTCGATCTTGTATTTGCACATACAACGTATCCTCAAATGACAACAAAAGAAGTTAGTCATGTCATTTCGATAGAATTGAACAACATTCCCACCAAAAAACGGTGACCCAGAATTGTTGCATCGACAATGGGAACTGGGCTGCAGGTATCCTATAGGTTCATATCAGCTGACTTGCAATGAAGTCTTCTTCCCATTACGTGAAACCTCATATGTTGCTCCCCCCCTCCTCGAGTATCCTCGGGTCCAATTGTGACAACGATTGCCCAAGGCTATTTGCAAACGTTCTGGTTCCAGGGCAGCCTTCGGAGGTCTCAGATTTGTTAAGACATGAAAACTTCAGATAATTGACGGGATTCGTTGCTCATGCGAGGCCTCGATTCCAGTCCGAGTTCAAATTTTCGACTGAGTATCCTGGACTAGCGCGTGATTCGAAGTGGCTGGCTGCAGGTTCCCTACCAGCGAACTGCTTGAACGAGATGGGAGTTTGAAACTAGCTCTTAGTTCCTACCGCATCAGAGGCGGATGTCTTTTGTTTGAGTACCCACAGCCCCCCTAATGACGCGCATACCCTTTCCTTCTATTTGCCCTTGGATTGAAATAACATTGATCCTTTGACTGACATGCAAACCCCGAAAGTGAAATCTTTCTCATGTGTATCATTTTCACATTCAAGTCTGCATGTGACCAACCTGCAGAAGCGCTTCAAGATATGAAAGCCAAACGGCCGCAAGGAATCCTTGCAATGTTGCGATGAGAATGTTAAGGGGGCATTTTCTACTCCGTGGGTCTTTTCCCCTTGTCCTTGCAGCACCTCCACGGTTACCTGCTTGATGCGATGTGACATCCACTGCGCTTCGGGCTTCGGGCTATGAATTTGGCCTTGTCATTGGTCGTGAGACCAAATTTTGATTGTTTCTTTCTCCTTATTGGTTGCTCAGATCTCTCACAGAGCTTTCTTTTCACCTCCCATTCACCTCCCATTACTGCCTTGTTTTTCAGATCATGTCGGCACCACACGCACCTGTCAGTTGTGTCCGCTCTCTCCGGCTGTGATTATCGGAGATTGTGCTTACGATACATTATTATCCATGTGATACGCGGATTATGGAGATCATTGCATCGCTTTGATCCCTGCGCGAGATCGTCCCTGCGCTTTTTTTCTACTGCCATACATATTGACAGCCCTCTGGAGATCCCCCTGAACTATTACATACTGTTCCTGATCGGGTATATCCTAAGTGGGGCTAGGTGACTGTCTGGCTGTCAACTCCAAGTTCCATGCATGGTACTTTACCGTTTTCGGTTGAGATGGAAAGATCATCTCACGAGGAAAATACGACAGCTGAGGGAGAACGGAAAGAAATCATCGGAAATCCATCCAGCATGGCCGCGTATCCATCTATACATCATTTCGGAGATCATATCATAGTCGCATGGTCCAATGCAGCTATCCGTGGTTGGAATTTTCCATCCCATACTGGACATGTCAATCGTCCTGACCCATGAGGGATAATAGGATACTAGTTTGTGCGATTTGTTCTTTCGTGTCACGATGTGGCGGCCATGTTTCTGGGACATCTTTTCCGCCGCACATGAACGACAGCCTGCCTAACACTAGATCAAGTTTGATTTGCCAATTTGGTGGCATCTTGGTTTCACTGCATGTACTCTGCTCTAAAGACCTCCCACAGAATGACCAGCGAATGAGCCCGTTGCAAAGCCTATGAACTATGTAGGGCCGTGGATTGAGAAACACCAGAATCCCCCACCAGCTCCTGTTTCATAAACCCTGCATTTCCGCAGCTGGGTACCTTAGCTCGACAGGTACAAGCACCTGGGCAGGGTTCGACAGCTCAGCTAAGTCCAGAACGGTTTTTGTGCCGTTTCCCTCTCTCATGTTGGATCTATTTGCTTTTTCTTCTCTTGTTGGAAAACCAAAGGATTCGGTTCAAGTGGCCCCTATATGGGTGAATGAAATATCCATGTACATGTAACTGCTAAACTGCCCTATCACCATCCTTCTCACTGTCCTGCTGATCATCCCGGACTCAGTCTTGATTCCCGTCATCAATGCCACGCTCCCTTGTGCATTTCGCATATGTGACACCTGGAAACTCTCGGGAAGTTCGTGGCACTGATTACTGTCTTCCTGTACGGAGTATAAGAAATCCGTGATATCTCCGTATCCTTTCTGCCTTCATCACACTTTGGCACTATTGTCTTCTTTTACTCCCAACTCTTCTTTGAGGATTCACAGTATACTCACTATTCTTGGTTGATAGTCTTGTTCCTGAGAGAAAGGAACAATACCACCAAGCCCTCTGCACTTTATATCAGGATCTTGATCATACTTCACTCTCTGCATTCCATTTACCTTTCAATTACTTCCCTTCTCTGTATCTCTACATCCATCACAATGGCTAGTTCCATCCAGCCCTTGCTTGACCTTGACCCCGAGCACAGATCGTGCATTGGAGGACGGACGGTTGTCACATGCAAGGGTTGTGCTGGAAATGCCCCAAGGTATACACCTCTGAAACACCCTTCCCATCTATACCCCAATACTAACGCGATTCCCAGAGGAGCAATCTGCCCTAGCTGCAACGGTCGCGGCTTCAACATCTTTGTCTGTGCACACTGCAACTCTGCAGCTGCTGCAGCCGCAGCCAGAGCAACGGCGAACCCCACAGCTGCATCTGCAGAAACACCCGGCTCTTCGGTACCTTCATCCCCGGGCTCGCTAAGCCGTACCCCGTCTACTTCGCATCCGGATCCAACCGTCGCTCGGTACGCAAAATATGGGGATGGTCGTGACAGTAGCTGTGGACGGATTGATAGCAATATGAACAAGCCACGAAATCCATGATCTGTATGAACATATACATGAAGCGTATCGGATATACAGAGAGTCGGGATGTCTCATGGCTCGAGTATCTTACAATCTGGCAGTTTTGCGGGCTGGTATATTTGCCCACTTGATCCAGATGATGGAATGAGCATAATTCAATTCTGTGACTTCTGGCCAGGGAATAAGACTGTGGCTGATAGGGATTGGGAGGAGTATTGGGATTGATTCCATGAGATATACGTGCTATGACTGCCACCTGATTGTGGCTTCTCCTTTGGGATCTTATGTCTTTTGACCGCATGTTTGGTTTCGATCTCTTGGTCTTAGCTGATTGATCTACTCTGGTTGACACAGTATCGTTTTTGCCCTTTCATGTGGTGATGGCATTGGATGCTGCCGAATTATTATGTAAATACCATTTCTTTCCTTCGACAAAAGAGGCAGATATCACGCTGTATATGAGGAGCAACTACTTCTTTTGACTTCAGTCTTTTTTTATTCCTAAGCTTTTGATAATTTGTGCTTTCAATACCAGACGTTGTGTATGAAAAGTGGTCTGCGCATATTGAGGAGCCATTTTCCAACTTTTATACTGCCTACCTATAAAACCGAGAAAGAAGATACGTAACGAAAAAAGACGTACAAAAAGACCACCAGAAAGAAATCACAAAGCCATGCTAGAGGCTGACTCTTCTTGTATTCTCTGAGCTTATAAGCTGAAACTGGCCAGAAATGTTCTGCAACTTCCACTGGGGAACTTCAATTCGCGAGGTGACATTGCAGGATCTTACTACCCTGTATGCTCGATAGCTCTCCACCATCTATTTCATCTAGATCTATAGGTATAAAGCCAATACCCTAGCTCTGATAGAGTATCTAACGGTCTTGCTCTTTTTTTTTGCACAAATTAGGGCTTGCATCTGATGCTCCCTAGACCCAGCAATGTTAGGTCAGAAGGCTTGTTCATAGCACGGCATTCACCGATAGCAGAAGGCTCACCGGTGGCAGACTGACCAACCACGGGAGAACAAGCCAGGTTCGCAGCACGAGTAGCAGCCAATCTTTTGTGAGATCCGAATGCAGCTAGGTAGCACGTGTGCTTTTAGAGATATCTGGACTGATACTCTAGTATCTTGATCGTTTTCTTCAACTGCTTTGAACTCACGTACTTGCGAATTCGCTGCATATAACTTGTAAATCGGGAAGCAGGGGTGGCTCGCAACACATGGTCAGACAGAACCTTGAATCAATATCTCTGGGTCCACAAGGTCATCCATCCAGCATCGAAAGCCCTCCGACATCAAATAGACGAGCGATCCCCTCGGAAGAGTATCCGGGCAAGCCAAAACCGTAAGCCCATTTCTACATGGTCAGCAAATCTTTGGAAAAACAGGATGCGTATACATACTGGTACTTCATATGCTTGTGCCGCCTCAGATAATAAAATTCCATCCTCCCCAGTTGGCCGCAAAGCTCTAGGTGCTCGAAAGTCCCGGAGGTAATGCCTGATAATCCGAGCCGACTTTCGGGCTATCGCAGACTCCTCCATAGCGTCTAAGATCTCTACGCCCATTTCCACGGATCGCAAGAAGGGCATGGTCTCAGCGCACATGCCAAGCCTAGACATTGGAAGGAGAAGTGTCGATATAGCAAACATCACGTAGGTTGTGTTATACCACCTAGATGTTTTCTAGTTATTAACGCACTAATACCAAGCGAAGAAACATACCAACAGCTGAAAAAAGTGTGAACTCGGTAAATGTCATGAACCAATTGGAGGGCCTTCATGGCGGAGTCCAAACACTTGTTAAAAGTTTGGTCCAATTCGCTTGGAGCATTTCGAAGTTTGCGCTTGAAGTGGCTTAAAAAAGGCCGGAAGAGCAGCATTTTGACGGTATAATACCCTACACTCATTAGTCGGGAGTCTAGAACCTTGAAAGTCCCGAGATTCCAGTGATAACTCACTAGTTCCCAACACAAGGCGTTGTCTCCGTGCCCACTTCGGGTCGCGCAGGGCACTACGAAACATTACATGTCCGGAAATATCGGGTTTGATCATTTCTGGAAGCCTCGCTAGCCAGCGATCCATTTCCATTTCGATCTGCAGAGCAAGTTGTAACTTGTCTTCTAATGAGATGCGAGAATGGTAGATCTGGACAGAGACTTGTCGGATGATCTGCGCAAAATCAATCATCCATGGGATTATGGCAAATTCAGAATCATCGCGGAGTGGAATGCTGCGGGTGTGGTATTCATCCATCCCAAGGGTGTCCGGTCGTCCAACCGAAAAGCTCATCTCACTAACTCATCAGTATATATCACCAACAATGATAGGCAGTGTACTTACATTTCCAAAGAGAATAGGCCCCTGCTACCTGGTTAGACCTACTGAGTCCTATCGGGACATAGACTTTCGACTTACCACCAGGTCTTTGAAATCCAACCAGAACGCTGCTTGGAGTCTCCTAGACATGGAATGTCTCGATTGAAACCAGCAGAAAGACATGTCCGTACTGCGAGACCAAGATACATGTACGCCACTGTTTAGTTAGATATTGAATCGAAAATTGTAAGGAAAAATCACATTTGGGATCGAGTTCATTTTGACAAACTTTGGCCTGCCCAAGTTAGCGTGCAATCACTCATCGGGAACTACCCACACACCATCATATAAAGACACTGGACAGTTTCAAGATCGTTCGAAAACTGCAAACGATCTAGGTATACCTGCGCTTCCCTAAACAGCTTTCGGCTCCATTCAAACCGATCCAGGCCGGCTATGGTATCTTCATCCCATACGCGCACCAAAGACCCAAGCGAGAGGACACTGAGGTACAGTGCGACAAAACTCGGCTCAGGCGTGCGTGATCGATTAAACCAAAGATCATTGGCGCGCGCGAGGAAGTCCTCCTTATCAACAAACGGGTGGATGTAGTGGATACTCTCAAAATATCCATTCATAAAGATATGAGCCTGGTCGAAATAGTAGGTTTGCTGTTCAATTGCCAACGTTTGCCCCGTTCCAGCAGCGCACGAAGGGGAGAAGCTTGGCCTATAGACCTTTGAGATGATTGAGGAGTCAGATGCACAAGAACAAGCTTTTTCTTGGCCTTTGGGCTCGTGCGCTTTCTTCAGATGGCCAGTTATTGCAGCCGCGCACGTACCACCGTGGGATTCAATGCCGTCGGTGTATGTGGATTTGCTGATCTTGTCGTCGGCACTCTCTGTAGGTTCTTTGGGGATCTCTGATAACCTTATACCCTCCCGTGGCGTGGAGGCATCCCGCATAGAACATGGGGTTTCAGCTGTTGGTAGGATGGGAGACCTAGTGGAAGTTTTGGCCTCCGCATCACGCAACTTTGAGGTCAGCTCTTCCACTTTCATCTCGAGTTCAGTGACATATCTATGAATATTAGCTAGCACAGTGTATGCCTAACTGATTGACTTACTCTGCAGACCGGCTACTTTCCCGCTCTCGGTAATTGCCCTGATATATACAGGTCAGGTTACTTTCTATAATTGTTAGAAAACATCTAATACCCCTCTAGATTCATCACCTACTTTTACAATGCAAACATGGATATTGTTCGTTGCACTTGTACTTCTTCAGCCGACATCTGTCGCAAGCTTGAGCTGCACGCGGCCGTTTGGTGCGCTTGGAGGCCAACTGGTGGAGTCCGGGCTGACGGGCTGGAGACCCGAGATTCTCCATCATTCATACATCCCCCAATGGGCCCTAGACAATTTGAAGATGTTGAGCATCATATTTACAGTCTTGGACGATGATTATGCGAGGCCGGCAATCGCGGACCGGCTTCATTACACGTGACCGGGGAAGCACCCGGGTTTAAATCAGGGACCATTCGCGAGATCTACGAGTGAGTGTTTGGAATTCAACTTCTGAGAAGGGAATTGCTTCCAAACAGCACTTCACCGAATTCGTCATTATTCAGCACCGGTCAATAGCTTCCACAATCCCTTAGGGACCAAGCAGACATGGGCGTATTTATAGAAATGGGAAATGGAGCATTGGATCACAGCGCCGCTTGTGAATATAGCAATCAATACACGAGTTTCTTCACAGATGTCAGAGTATGAAAAACACCTTTGATTTCGGGATTATAATCCACTCACCCTCTAGTTGAGAGATTGCGTGTAAGACCCATTCGAGTGGTTTGTAAGGTTCAGCGACATTGTGAAGTATAAAGGGTAGCTAGCAAGTAGCTGATAGCATGACAAGGTATGTGATATCGTGTGATATCTATATAGATTGATCTTTGAGATCTATGTTGTGAGCTGAGGTCTCTCGGAGTTTACTATATATATCACGTACCCTGATGGATTTCTAGGATCACCCCCATCTATTTGACCTTTTAACGGGGCGAGGAAAGAGGTAGATAAGAACTAGTGAGTCCTTTCTCAATCAAAATAGTTTTTATCTTCCTTTGCAGGTGTATACCCAAATCCTCACTTGGAACCCTAGGGCTGATTCGTGTCTTGGTACATCCCAGTCCGAGGGTTGTGAGGCGATGACAATCCCAGACTCTATATTTAGGACAACCGACAGAGAATAATGGACGATATGGAGTGATACTGATAATGTATTTCCAGTGAATTTGGCTAGAAGTCCCAACTAGATGGTGCGGATAAGGAATTTCCCATCCCCACGCTCGTGGGGATGGCTAGTGGCGCCGATGTGGGGTCTCAGCTTGCTATAATACCATTTGGGCTCTTCTTCTTTGATTCCTTCATAACATTATTCACAATGGCTAGTGCATTAGAAAAGCCCACGGGCGAATACCGCCAGTACCTACCTGACCTCAACCTCCAGCGCTTCCAGGTGATGTGCCAGCAGGATGCCCACGAGTACGCCCTCGAATTCAAGACCGGACATCAGCCACCCTGGCTGCATGCACTGTATATGCATTGGTTGGAGCTATTGCAGGAGCCATTTAAAGGCGTGACTACTGATGGTATGGACTTAACTAGAATGAAACCAGAATAGTTCTAATATCTATAGGAACCGTCCGTCCGGGTCTGTTCACATTACAAGAAGAAGACCTGCCAATTCAACAGATTGTAGATGCAACAGAAAATGTAACGGCCCTGCTGAATGACAAGCAAAAAGAAGCCATCAGCTACCACATCGACTCCCCACAATGGCGCACATGGTCGAACCCCGAGTTCCTACTCGCGAACAAAGGCATTCGGCTCGATGAAGTCAACACTGAGATCCGGGATGCAGTGATGAACGTCCTCAAGACAACCCTCTCACCAGAAGGCTATGCAAAGGCCGTTAGCGCAATGCGCATCAACCACTTCCTCGGCGAGCTAGTCAAGTCACCAGCAGTGATGAATGAATTTTCCTACAACTTCGTTCTCTTCGGCCGCCCATCAACCACCCGCCCCTGGGGCTGGTCATTCTACGGCCACCATCTCTGCCTAAATATCTTCCTGTACAAAGGGCAGATCATCGCATCGCCGTGGTTTACAGGCGCAGAGCCAAACGAGATCGACGCCGGCCCGCACACCGGCACGCGCATCATGCAGATCGAGGAAAAGCTCGGTTTGCAATTAATGCAGTCGCTGTCGGCGGAGCTGCAAGCTTCCGCCCGTGTCTTCGTCCACATGAAGGATCCGGCCATGCCGCCCGGTCGCTGGAATAAGGATGACCAACGTCATCTCTGCGGTGCGTACCGTGACAACCGCGAGGTGCCGTATGAGGGTATCCTCGCGTCGACTTTTGATGTCGCACAGAAAGAGCTCATGTACGGTATTCTGGAGCAATATCTGCTCTACTTGCCGGCCAAATCGCGCGCTATGAAGATTGATCAGGTGCGCGCGCACGAGGGAGAGACGTTTTTTTGTTGGATTGGAGGGTATGGGAATGAAGATCCTTTCTATTACCGTATTCAAAATCCGGTGATCCTTGTTGAGTTTGATCACCACTCCGGTGTGTTCTTGAATAATGAGGAGCCGAAGAAATTCCACATTCACACTCTGCTTCGCACGCCGAATGGAGGTGACTATGGTCAGGCGCTTCGGCCCCAGATTCCGGCTGTTGAGGGATTGAATGGGAAAGAAATTGTTTGGTAGGTCGAGCCTATCGGAGGGAATGTACTGTATGAGATAAATGACGAACCGTTCAACTACGTTGCATTGCATTTTTCTGCCTATCTTCAGATAAATTTATCCACTGATGGTCTTGTGTACGGCCACAAAAGCGATCCACGAAGATATGATTTGATTGACGATAAAAAATTGGCTGTGGATGAAGAATCCTGTAGAGATATTTTTTATTCAACCCATTATTCCCATTAGTTCTCCCTGTTATAGCCCGGAAGAATAAAAGATGTATACAGCCCCAACGCCGAAGCCGAGATCAAAAGATAGAAAAGCGTAACAATCTGCAGCCACCGAAATAGCAGTATTGTGAGAAGTCATCAAGGACTGATGATACCGAGATGTGTCTCTTTCGTCTGTTTGCGTAAAGCGTGATTCGTCCAGATGCCATGACTGCTACACAAGGCACTATCAAGTGACTTGAAATTGATCATGATCAGGGATCAACTCGTACCCACCCTCTGAAGGTAGGACTTTAGCAGCCACAATGACTGCGCCTGCGCAGAAAACACTGAGGCACCAGCTGATAGTGCAAAAGATCCAGGACTTGTCAAGTTTCCAGCCGACGAAGAACCGGTCCTCGTTATCGAATAGATATGCCTGTGGCCGACTCCATTAGAATATATCATCTTGGGCCCAAATACGGGCATCTTATCAACCCACCACTATCGACATGCCGGCTACCTGCACAATGGCAGACAACCCAACCATCAAACTAAGGATACTCCACCCATTTTCGCGCAGCTGTTTCCCGCCACTCAGAATGACCAGGTATGTGACTATACCGATGCCCTGCAAAACGACAGCAAAGGAAATCAAGAACCCGACTGAGCGCCACATGGAGCAAAAGTATCGGTCTTCGCCGTGGCAGTCTTCGCGCTGTGGGAAGCTCTCGCAGGTATCGGTGAGGGAGGAGCAGCGGCGGTGAAGGCCATAGGAGTAGTGATTGTCAGGCTATCAGCTCATGGTGTTAGTATGAGCGTATCGGGGGTGGATGCACGACGTACTCTTTCACTATGGTAGCTGACCCAATTTGGAATGACGATCGATGATACCGTCAAGCCAAATGCTAGAAGATGTCAGCAACTCTGGAGACTGAGCTGGTAACTGAGAGCTGCCTACAGGCCAGAAATACCACCAGTGTGCCAATGTAGACTATTGTCTTTGTGAGGAATCCTGTGTAGTTGCGATCGCTACCGCGAGGCACTAGGCGGAAGTCCATCGCTACGGCTTTGCGATGTGGAGTGTTCACGATAATTAGTGATAGCACTGCACATCGAATGTACAGAGATGGAGAGGTCTCAATGGACTGAAGATAAAGCAGAGATAGCAAGGGGCTAATCGAGCCAGATAAGAACGATCACGCGGAGTTTGGGGAATGTTAGGCAGATAACACCGGTAAACAGGTTATATTGGTCGCAACAAATCGCTCTGGGGCCTGGAAATGTATCGGAACGTTCCCCGCAGAAAGACTTTCCAAGGTCAGTTGACGTCAGTGCGCTATCGTGACATTGAACCCAATCACCTACCCGAGTACATCGATCCCTATACTTATCGGCATGATAGACATCAGATGAGATATTCTCTAGTTATTCACTACATTTTCCAGCATGTTCGACTCTGCATATTAGACAGACTTTCAAGTCATCGGGGGCAGTGTCTCAGGAGACAACCCTTCGGAACAGGACATCATCATTAGAACTAAGAGCAAGATACAGTCATAATATACACGACGGCATATGCCATAAACAAAAAAAAATCATGGCGCAAAAGACCGACCCGAATGAGTACATGCGGATCTAAAGAAAGCATCAAGATGACCACCCGAAAGGAGAAGAACGCCAGCCGAATACATGCCATAAAAAAAGCGGAAAACAGAATTTGCGCCAATTGTCACTGTCATTGCACTTGCACTTCATTCCGGACGCTTTTGTTGGAGCATAGCGCGGAAATCATCATTGCTCTTTTTCGGTTTGCTCTCGCCATCGGGCGCCGTGTCCATTTTGTCGCTAACCGGGTTAGCCGCAGGTTGTTTCGGACCGGGAGGTGCAATCTGTCGTTTCATCCCCAGACCACCCTTCCGGCCGCCAGGCTGCTGCGGGCGTCTAATCGGTCCCGTAGGTTGTAGATTCATCTTCTTCGATTTAGCGTCATGTTTGACTGATGGTCCCCGGTCTTTTTTGACTTCCGGTTGCGAGTTCATCATCTCTCGGACTGTGCCGATATGGAGGGGACGTCCAGCAGTGATCTCCTTCCCTTCAAGCGCCAACGAAGCTTTGCCGGCATCCTGAATATCGACATATTCCACAATAGCACCTTGATGTTCTGGGCGCAAATTGATCGCAACTAAACGCCCATATGGTTCGACGAGAGCACGGATGCGGGCTTGATTGACGGTATCGGGGACGTTCATCAAGGCAAGTGTGCGCTGTGCATGCTCCCCAACCGGTACTTCAAATCCTTGGACACCGCGATTCGCCGGGTGTGCCGCAACTCGAGAGATGATCATTTGGTTTCCACGCCGAGTGTCGGTGGTAGCAATTTCAACATAAAGTGGACGTGACCTGAACACATGTCCATTCATTGCGACGGCGTCATTGGCAGCCTCCTTGGTTAAGAAAGTAACAAAGCCATACCCCTTGCTGCCGCCATTAAGCTTCCGTTCAATCAAGACCTTTTCGATTTCACCGAATTTGGAGAACAGCTCTTTCAAATCCTTTTCACTGGCATCCCAGGCAATGTTGGACACATAGACTTCTCGTCCTTCGTATCTGGGACCACTGCGGGCTGTTTTTTGTCCCGGATCAGATATCTTAACACTGAGCTTTTTGCCATCTTCAAATCGCATTCCATGAAGCTCTGTGGCATGGTGGGCAGCACTGGAAGAATCGAACTGCAAGTAGCAGAAGCGCCTGGCAGTGTCAAACTTGAGAGACGGCATTCGAACGTCGAGTACTTCGCCATACTACTAAAGTCAGCAATGCCACAAAGGTCAAGGTGAGGCAGCACTTACTTTGCTGAAAAGGTTGCGGAGGTAGTCCTCATCCGCAGTCGGTGGGTAATTGGTGATCCAAAGTGTCGTCTGTGACCCAATTTGCACGTCGATGACGTTGTCATCAGTGTCGTTGAAGCGCTTTTGATCGCGAGTGAGAGCCGCAAGAGCATCTTCCTTGGTTTCGAACTCAATTACCGCAACCTCGGAGTTTTTCTCGTCTCTTTGGAGCATTTTGACAGTGTTGATAGTACCAATCTGTTTGGTCAGCTATGTTGTCCCGATAATAAAATGGATGAGAAACTTACATGACGGAAGAATTGACGAACGAGCCGTTCAGTGGTACCCTTCGGCAAGTTTGAGACGATAACGGTCGCATTTTCTCGATCCCGTGGTGGAGGAGCAGGAATCTCCGCCGATGCCTCTTCATTGCGGACCTTTTTGGTTTCCGGCATTTCGTCTTTTTCATCTTCGCGTTTTCTCTTTTCAGGTGAAGTAACTGCTTCCACTGCGGACTCCCACTGCTGGTGCTGTTGCTGTGCTGCTGCTGCCTCTCGTGCTTCCCTCTCCCTCCGGGCAGTGACAGCGCGCATTGCTTTACGAGTCTCAATCACAGCTAGCTGGAGCTCATCAGAGTCTTCATAGTCCTCGCAATGTGTCACGTATGTCTGAACAATCTTGTCAGGCCAGTCAAGATCTGTTCTCTGGATTGCCTGTTTGAGCACAGCAGTAGCATAGCTCGGATTGGGGGGTTCGGCGCGCTGCGTCAACTGTTGCCTCGCCTTGCACGAATTTGCTCCAGCAAATCAACTCCCATCCGTAATAAGTGAGCCAGAATTCGTAGCTACTGCCGCGACGCGCCACTAAACCTTTGAATGTCTCTCGCGCGCTGTCCCAGCTGCCGCTTTCGCTGAGGAAACGAATATAAATCCGTTCCAGGCGGAAAAGAGGATCGCCCTGATACGCTGGGCCATACTTCTTTTCACCCAGCTCTTGCACGCTTTCGATGGCTGAGCGAATGCCGACTTCCGCGACATCAAGATCTTCGTCGGTCGAGTCAGACAAAAAGGCGCGTCGGCGAAGATAACTACACCAGGTGACATGAACCTTCAGGACTTCTTCCAAACCACCAGCGTCAAGCAATCCAGTACTAGTCGCCTTGTGCTTGATACTCGAGATCTTGTTGAACGACTGGTTCTCTCTTTCCGAGCTTAACAGATACTGGGACCACAGATTTCCAGACCATGGACAATGACGCGTGGCACGGTCCAGAGTAGAGATTGTCGTAGTAGAAGCCCGGCGACGAAGAGATTCCCCGATCAAAAACATGACATAATCTTCCCAAAGCGACACATCGGTGGGGAATCGAAGAACGGCGCGCTGATAAATAGCATTTACCAAGTCGAAGCTGAAATCTCCTCGTTTCTGGCGGTTGCGTGTCAATTCCCAATCAATGTACTCGGTGTAAACTGTCCATTCCAGAGTACGATCGCCAGACTCTTGCGCTTTGGCTAGGCGGTGTTCGAATTCCTCTCGTGCATTGTATAGAGCCTTTGGCTCCGCTGCGCGGGCAACAGTCTCAGACATGATCTCCTCATACTTGCTGTTGTAATAAGTCGAAATGAAGCTCGAGAACTTTTGGAAGGTTTGGTCCCAAGTGGCGTGAGGAGTTTGCAAACGATGGCCATATAGCCCATGAAGATGGTTGATCTTTTCTTGGGAAGGTGCGCGAGCGATGTCCTCGGCATAGAGATCCAAAAGGCGATCCCAGACGAGGTGGCTGTTGTTGATTCTCCATTTGGTAGCATCTGCGCCCCGTTGCCACACCTCCACAACCGAATCCCACGTGAACACCTCGCGCCCAACCATGCGATCCTCTTCGGTCCACTGGGAACTGGCTTCGCCATGAGCAGAATTGTAAAGATAAAGAACCCATTCGCCGTAGATATTCCACAATTTTGTGCTGCCAAATTCCTCTTCGACAGATCTTTGGCAGAGTTCTAGGACAGCAATGCGCCCGTCGACATCTTGAGCTAACATACTCTCATCCTGAATCCATTCAGCCCAAAGATCTTCCCCCATGGCGAAAAGCTTGTCCATTTCTTCACGTGCAGTTTTCAAGTCATTAAGTAGATCGTAGCGTCGCGGGTCACCGTGGACATCTGGGTTATTCGGTGGGTAGACGTGGTTGACAAATCCTGCATGCAGCAATCCGATAAACTGCACGTGCGCGTCATGCGTGTGGGGGTTGAGGGAGATTTGATGAAAAAGTTCGGTCGCCATCCGTTGCGCATCAGGGTCGAGCGAAGTTGCGGCATAGGTCCTCTTCGCGGGCCCGTCGCGTCCATCTGACATGGCGATCTCGAAAGACATCCGAGATGTAGGTGTGTTGTGGGTAATAGAATTGACGTGTGGGTGAATAGTAGACGGGGATAACTGGTGCTCGTAGGACTCGGTACTACGAAGCATACTAGTCGGTGTTGGACGTTGTGGCTGGTGGTGCTGCATCGAGGCGAGATCTGCCAAAGTGTCCATTCCCGGCGTGGATGGCTGTCTTGAGGGCACTTCAGTTGGAGAAGTCCCATTTCCTCCGCTAGGTCCGGGCGAAGATTCTCCAGTAGGAGCATACACCTGCTGTGCAAGAGGCGAAGAAGTCTTGCCCCTTCGTCTGGAGCCTGTCCGAGTTCTCTCAATAGCTTTGTGGGGGGATGGCCCTGCAGAGGTGGCCGGTGCGTTGTTCGACGTAGGACCAGGGACGGGCGTCGAATTTCCAGACTTGGGATTCGAATCCGGCGAAAGAAGCGAATTGATATCCATATTAGAATACAGCTTTGGGTAGAGCGATTGGATACCGGGAATTGTCGTAGTGGATGCCCAGGTTCTTTTCAAGCAGAGATCCAGATCATACGACAGTCTTGAACTACCTCAGCACGTCCATTCCTGCATTGACCGGTCGTATCCAGATTCCTCCTCGTGGTTTATGCAAATGACGTAGATTTACACTGGCGCAGCTGTTTCTGGTGAGTGGGTAAGAATCCAAAGGAACGCCTGAAAGGAACGAGAGCCCTGCAACCGAGAGGGCAAGCTGAAATCTCTGAGATATCAGATATTCGGGAAGAATGAAAACGACAGGCTGATGGCCTGGGAAGGGAAGGGAGGGATGAAGGAAGACGAAAAAGAGAGAGAAGAACTGAAAGAGGGAAAGGTGAGGGCTAGTGGATACTGTGGAGATGGTTGGGAGGAAGAAACAATACAGTCGCGAGAATGAAGTTTAAATATGGCGGTCGAATAGAGAGATCATCCCCATAGGCAGACAAGCCTGTTCTTGCTCTATAACCTCGTGCAGTCGCGAGTCGCATCGCTCTTGAGGCTATTCTGATCGATCAACCTAAAGGTGCCTCAGGCTCCGGTATGCCGCACAGACCATAAGTGCAGGGAACTTCCACCTTTTTTCCCGACGTGAACTTCTGACACCAACATCCCAACAGCCACAATGGTCTATCACTCAGGGCAATTGGTCCGGTCAGGTATGTTATGTTCTGAGATCTTCTGCTAGGTCTCACTACTGACTTTTTTTGCCATATTTAGCGGCCCGGACCGTCTCCTTCGTCCCTCGTCGAACATTGACCTCGACACCCTTTCGTTACGCTTTGAAGGATGGTGAAAGCAAAAAGCCGACCGGATGGCTCTCTTCCTTGAAGAACGTGTTTGCGGGGGGATCTGCCAAAGTTGCCCACCGACCCTCGGCCCCTCAAAAGGAAGAAGGTAGTTTAGGAAGCTCCATCTTCGGATCAGATTTCACCGCGCCAACATCGGGTCCCATGCCATCCAGGCCAACGGAGCAACAAAAAGAAGCCATTTCCGGAAAGCTGGAGGACCGCGACTTGAGTCGCCTGCAAGTGGGACTGGGTCCTGACCCCAAAGCCCAGCTACGGTGGGAGAGGAAGATGGCCGTCCGCGAGATCCGGAAACGAGGCCGTGTACCGACAAAGGTGCAAATCAAGCGCACAGAGCGCGAATCACTTTCCAAATCTCACTGGATCAAGACCTCACTGAAGAAGCTGGGTCCTCTGGCCCGCCAAATCGCCGGCAAGAATATCGACGAAGCCATCCTCCAGATGCGCTTCAGCAACAAAAAGGCCGCCAAGGACGTACTGGAACATCTGGAACACGCAAAGAACGTCGCCGTGGTCCGTGCAGGCATGGGCCTTGGCCTTGATGCCCCCAAGTCCGAATCACCGAAGCCCATTACCGTCATACTCAAGAATGGTGAGCGGCAGAAGATTGCCAACCCCTCTGACATCTACATCCAAGAGGCCTGGGTCAACCGTGGTCCCTACGGATATGAGATGGATCACCGCGCCCGCGGTCAGATCAACCGCTTGCGTCCCCCTACCACAAGTATCTCAGTCCTGCTGAAGGAAGAGAAGACTCGTATCCGCGAGTGGGAGGACCGTGAGGCCAAGGCTCAACGGGAGCGGAGGTCTCAACTCTGGACACAACTGCCGGATCGCAAGGTCTCCGCGCAGAATCAGTACTACAGCTGGTGATTGATGTTTTGGCGTCTGTATTATTTATATCTAGATCTTTCGCGTGGACAGTGGTTTTTCATTAGCCGATTGGAGGCGACAATTGCATTTGTGAGAAGTCGCTCTCGACCTTCTTGAGTAAGAGCGACTCATGTACAATACTGAATCAATTTCTTGGATATCAAACTATTGAGACTGTTTGCTCTCTTCTTCATATTTTTCAACTCCAGCAGCCATGTTAGTTACAAGCATGCAGCAAGTTTCAAGATTGACTTTCGAATCACTCGAGCTTTACAATGACTGCGAGTCTGGCTGCGTCGAGGGGCCCTTTTCCACAGAAACGAGCACAGGGATCACCGCACCAGTCGCCAAGGCAAATTGTCGATGGCCCACAACTTCCAGAATGCTAGTTATGGCACCGGAATGAGCTGTTAACGAAATGTACGTACTGTCGTCGTGAGTAAATATATCGTTCAGAAGACAGCGAAGCCGATGGTTGCGATGCTCATTCGACTCGCGGACCTTAGGATCCCACAACTTGTCTTCCTGTGTGAACCCTGCTTCAAACTGGTACTCCGGGTACTCTTCTGCGATTTGCGAAGCTGTTGAGCGACGGTCACAGGTGTGCTGACCCATCGTCTCACGGAGAAGCTAGTTTGATTAGACACTATACGTCCTGTTGTAGAAATCAACACACCTCTTTGATGGTCGGCTTAAAAGGTTCCGTTTTCGGGATCCCAAGTCCCTGGAACGTAATTTGCGCGGTTTCGAGACACCGGTTCAGGGGGCTCACGTAGTAGGACTCGGGTGACGGGATGCCGGCGTCGATCTGTTGCTCCCAAGCTGCATGTGCAACTTGCGCTTGGCACCTGCCCTGTTCAGTAAGGCGAGCATCGACCCAGTTGCCATCCTCATCTCCGTCTTGGAGAGACCAGTAATCCTAGGGACCTGATCAGTGTCCGGTCCAAAGAAGAAATACTCGGCTACCTACGTCCCACTTCTTGGTGCCATACTTACGCTCAGCGACATTGTGGACTCCCTCGCCGTGGCGTCCGAGAAAGAGGACCTTGAGCTTTTTAGTTTTGCTGTCGTTGTGGCGTTGAATGTGGGCATCGAAACGCCGCCACTGGCTATCAGTCTGTTCCACTCCGTGTTGCCCATCGTAGTGTTTTTTGACGAGACCAAAATTTGATTTCACCTTTCTAGATCATCAGACAATGGTTTGATAGCTTTGACAAAGATACTGGGGTCTCTTACGTAGTCGAAGCTTTCGGGGTCAGTGGCGGGGTCATCCTGAAGGAAATATCCCGTCACTGCAGTGAATCGTAACATGTTCGGGGAGGTCATAGTCTTGAAGTTGAAGTGAAGTACCAATGTTGGTTTGGACTGGTAGAGGACACGGAAAAGGGGTTGGCGTGGGATTAGGGATATTTAGGGCTGAGGTGGTGGGGACCGCAAAGAAATTCATATCAATTGTTCACTATTTAGGTCATTCACAGAGCGTTCGACTCGATGACTTCAATAGCAATAACCTTGATAGTAAAAAGTTGGACATGCAAGATTGGACAACTTTGATTGTTTACATGCATTATTCAGTGGAAACTCTTAAGAAGGCGAGGCCACAATGACAAGAGTACATCAAGCTGGCAAAATCAAGACATAGAAAGGAGAGGAGAAAAAAGGAACACGAAGACAGTTAAACATTTCTATGGATATTGGATGTTCGCTCTAGCCACCTATACCTAGACATTCAGATAACAGTCTATCTCTAATTCTGGAGGACTCAGGTTCTCATACTACAGCCTTGGAATTCGACCCCGTGACAAAGGCCTAAACCCCCAGGCAAATAGATATAAAGGCTCTGTATCAATAATCTACAGGTACATATCATCTACCATGACTTTTGTTTCTTAGAGGGATCCATATCTTCAAAGAAATTGGTTGTTGCTGCTGGAACCACATGCTTGTACTCATGTCTCCTAGATTCTTGCTCTGAGCATACAGGTTTTGGTGGATATTAAATGCAAATGAATTCTTTTTGATTTCATCATCAGAGGCCAATTCAGTGTGACAGTAGAGGGCACATTTGTATGCCTTCTACAATTAAATCATTAAAGCGAGCTCAGCTAATTATCAGAAGTTGATCCATCTAGTACCAAGCGCGATCTGGTTCATCCGAGAGCAGCAGGTGCGTTATAGGCACCAAGCGTTCCGCAGCCCGCCTAGATATGAGCCCTTCTTCGCAGACACAAGGTGTCGGCCAAATATAGACAGATATTTGTAGACCACGCCCTCAACCCCAGCTGCCAGAGAAAGCGATGTCTTCCAGGCACCAGTAAATGCCAAGGCAGCACTGGAAAGCAGGCCACCAGCACTTTCCGCAACGGGGCCAACGATGGAACCTCCGCTAATGAGCAGTGGCCTAACCTCGAGAGTATGCGGCAAGGTGCTTCCAAAGAGATCTGACGATCCACGTCGAGTCGGCGAGACCAGAAGATCCTTCGGCACCGACTGTAAGCCAGAGAGTATTGCGAGTTGCTTGGCCAGTCCCTCTGAAACTCTCCTGTGATCTGCTCCAGGTAACTGGATGCCAGAGGTGTGCACGAGGGGCATGGAATTGCGCATTCCAACGTTGCCGGCAACAGTACCTGGCACCATGGGCATTTTGAAACTCGATTGGTATACATGGAGGCCTGGAATGTGACGAACACCTGTAGTTGGATGATCCACCGGAGATTTGGTCTTGATGTTGGTCCTTTCTGAGCACACAGCACCAGCAGATGAGGTCGATACCCGCCAGCGCAAGCCTGAGCTGCCAGAGCACATGCCAGCTGCATGAACTGGCCGAGGCATACTCGGACCGCATGGATCGTGAGGTTGTCCACTTCCTGTGGTCTTTGACACCCTGTCTTGTGTGGATGCTCTCTCGTGTCCCGCGGAAGAGCGGTTTGCGATGGCCTTGCCAGATAGGACTATGTCGTGTCTGGCAGTCTCGTTCATCGCGGTGTTTCTGCTCGACAGCAGAACGAGGTCTTGGTTTGACGTGCTCTTGGAAGCTGGCTTGCCAGATAGTAGAGCGATGTCGGGCCCCGGCGGTGTACTCTTTTGAATCTTTGTCCTGATGATCTGCTTGGCAATTGGTACCACGCCAGGCAGTCCCATTGGTGGCAGCCCCACAGAGGGGTCCATGCCAGATGAGATGCTTGTTGGTTTCCTCGTCGCCCTGACAGTTGGAAGCGCTTGAGGTGAGCTGAATGATGGGTCGTGACCGGGCGAGTCTGAGTAGTGCGACCCTGGGAGGATTGGCACATGAAGCGCCGGCTGCCTCGGTCTTTCTTGGAGTGCTACACTCATCGGAACGTCGCTGGCAGCGACTCGAGCAGCAGCCTTCTCCAGACAGTTGCACTGCTCGAACGTTAGCGTGGTCAGATGTTCAATGTAAATAGAAGACTTACTCGCTTATGCTGCTTCTTGTGCTTCTCACAAGCCCCATATTTCCGAGCCTTGATGTAGTTCTCCCTCTGTGCCTGAGATCGAGGCTTCTGTTTCTTAGGCACATTGGCTGCAGCGTTCATGTTCAAATCTAGAACCATCTCCATGCCTCCTGGAGGGGGTGCCTCAACAAATGTGTTTTGTGGGCTAGGACGCGGAGAGATGCTCCCGCGAACGTATTCTGACCAGCTTGGGGATGAGAAGCTGGTGTTGGAGTCGGAGGACATATCCAAGTCGAGAGCAGTGGCATCGCAAAGGCGTTGCAAATGCAGTGCAATCGCTGCCTCGCGACGCTTCTCCTTGATAGTAGCAGCGCGTGGGTCGGCGGCGGCCTGCGCCTCCACCAAGTTCCGGAATGTGTTGCTGCTGTCGTACGGGTTGTATCCCAGGAACGCAGCATCATCGAACAAGGGAGCAGCCGGGTCCTGCATAAAACCTCCATCCATGCCCATGAACTCTTCTTGTGGGAGATCATAGTTGGTCATCTCGAAGGAGGATTGCATGAAATCAGATGGGGAGGTGAACATCCCATCTGCCTCATAAGGGAGAGCCAGGTCCTGAGGTGAGACGGTGGTGGCAGTCGACTCATCGTCGTAGCTAGAAGGGAGATCGAGAAATTGATCGAAATCCACCCAGTCATTTGTGATTGACACATCCATCTCGGAGAAGGATTGATCAACAAAAGCCATTGGAAAATACAACGTGGGGTATCACTAGGGGTATCTATTAAGAAAAGAAGTCAAAGAGAAAGAGGGCCAGTCAGGCCAAGGCTAAGATAGAAGAAAAAAAAAACAAATGGCTTCCGGAGAAGGTGAAGAACCCAAGACCTGAGGCAGCCGTTGATTCTATGTATGTTCTGGCTCTCCCATTCCGCCATTCCTCTTCGGGGTCCCCGACTCCACGCTAATCCGTTTTGGGACCCCGACACCCCGCTTGATCGCTCTAAGCCGCAGTATGACTCAAAGCATATACCCCTGAGGTACTTCTCCAGCCATACAGTTTACTATTGAGAACTAGGTACCTGATAAGTCTCTTTTATTGGGAGAAAATTCCATATCCTCTTAGCCTCTTTCTAGTAAAAGATCTTGTATAAATGATCCACACCATATATATATATTATATCCAAAAGCTCAACCATGTAGAACCATATAGCTTTTCCGAATATGTATCAAGGCTTAAGAGGCTGTGTTGCATAGCCCGACCGAATGTGCGCTAAAGCATAATTGGATAGTATAGCCCGGCACATTCTGTCGACAACCCCAACATATATACTCCATAGTCGACGTAGGATCCAGGAAATGAAGTAAAATGCATTATAGCTGGAGACCATGAAGAAATAATGAACGACCTCGATTGGCTTTAAGCCACAGTTAAGGGTTTGACCCACTGTATATGACACAACTTTTCTCGGAGCTTCGGCAAAAATTCTTGAAAAAAAAAAAGCTTTATTTGTTCGGTCTAGCTGGGATGATATACCTAATATTGTACACCAATTTTGGATCGAGGATATTATTATACACTATAGAGTTGGTGTAAAAGATATAGATATTGGGCCATGCTGACCGACGAGGCTGGGCTGATAGAGGTCAAGGTCTAAAAGTATCGATTGCAATAAACAAACGTAGAGAGATATATATATATATATATATTCAGATGTAGAGATATAAATCTTATATATTATATGTATTATTTATCATAAGTATATCCGTGATCCAAATGACAATTATAGTACAAATAGTGATCGTGAGGTCCACAATCCGCCCCAGCCCAAAATTCAGCTTAGGTAAGGTCTAGAACCCCCCGATATCGCCAAAGATTGAAATTCTCCAAAGGCTTGGCTTTATCGAATTGATCTTCCGATTATTGTTTGACGTGATAAATACTGAACTTGACTTTCACTTCTCTGCAACCCTTCCACCTACCCCTGACAAGCAAATCTACCCCTCCATCCCCCCACCGACAGCTGTCTAGCTCCACCCTCGGTTCTGTTGTGGGGAGGGTCGAGACTGACCAACTGATTGGCGCCTGAATGTTTCGAGAGAAAAAAATAGAAAACCCCCGAGTACCACGGTCTGCACAGTCAGCAGCCCCGTCGGACCGTTGAACCGTCTGGAAAATCAATCACGTCACGTTGTCATTCTTCCACGACCATGGCCGCCGCTTTCGATGAAGAAGATCTCGCTGTCCCTTTCCCCTCCGACCGTGATCGTCCCCGTGAACGTGCTAGGCCTCCCGCCTCCAACCCCTCCGCCATGGCAATGCCGCCCTCCAGGCCGGCCGGCAAGGCTGAGGAATCAGTACAATCACCGTCAACTACCCGGGACATGCAACGCCTCGACCAGTACCAGACCGTGAAAGTCTTGGGCGAGGGTTCCTTTGGTAAGGTCAAACTTGCTATTCACCAGCCAAGTGGACGTCAAGTTGCTCTGAAAATCATCCCCCGACGCAAGCTACTCTCCCGGGACATGGTTGGCCGCGTGGAGCGAGAAATCCAATACTTGCAATTGCTACGGCACCCTCACATCATCAAATTGTACAGTTTCGATTCAAAAGGCGATTGGGACTGGAGTTGACTGACCAATCATCTTTTAGGTATACGGTGATTGCAACCAAAACCGATATTGTGATGGTGCTGGAGTACGCAGAGCGAGAGTTGTTCGATTATCTCGTGAGAAAGGGAAGATGTGCCGACGACGAAGCCCGCAAATTCTTCCAGCAAATAATTTGTGCTGTCGAATACTGCCACCGACACAAGATTGTACACCGTGACTTGAAGCCTGAGAACCTCCTCATCGACAATCAGAAGAATGTTAAGATCGCGGATTTCGGTTTGAGTAATATCATGACCGATGGAAACTTCCTCAAGACCAGCTGCGGTAGCCCGAATTACGCTGCTCCAGAGGTCATCTCTGGAAAGCTCTACGCCGGCCCTGAGGTCGATGTGTGGAGTTGCGGTGTGATTCTATATGTGCTGTTGGTGGGCCGATTGCCTTTCGATGATGACTACATTCCAGCCCTGTTTAAGAAGATTGCAGCGGGCACCTTCCATATACCTGGATATATCTCATCTGGGGCAGCTCGTTTGATCCGGGCAATGCTTCAAGTTCACCCCGTCCACCGCATTACAATCCCTGAGATCAGACAGGACCCATGGTTCACCAAGAATTTACCCCAGTACCTGGAACCGCCACGAGAGGAGTTCATCGCCCCAGGGGTGGACTTGAAGAAAGTTGACCCTGCAAAGATTGACATGGGAAAGCCTCCGCCAGTCCAGCACAAAATCCATCGAATTGCAGTTTCCAAGCTCGAACGAAGCATGGGATACGGCCGAGAGGATATCGAAGAGGCATTGAGACACCCGGAACCCAGCGCGATCAAAGATGCCTTCTCCATTGTCGTTGAAAATGAGATGATGCAAACCAATTGTAAGACCTGAACTACTTTGTCGCCATACCTCCCTGCTAACTATCACAGCACCCACGGAAGATAACTTGTTAGCTCAAAATGTCCAGAAGGTAGCTGCGCCTTCATCTGCGGATCGAACTCCTGCGCCTCGTCATCAAACACCCCCTACCCCCGCCAGGGACAGAACTCCTAGCATATCACGCCGGAGGGCCTCGGAAGACCCACATCAATCAGAATCTGAGGAAGAACCCCGCGTTAGCCACGTTCGGATTCTCCCTACCAGCTTGCCATATGTCCACGACCAACTTATGGAGCAACGTGATCGAGACAAAAGAGCTCGCAACCAAATACTCGAGCAACGTCGACAAGAAGCCGCGCAGCATGACCCAGAAGGACATGGATCTGCCTATCGGGACATGTCTCCTGCAGAACAGGCCGCCACTGCCCGTGCATTGAAGCCCCACGCACGCAGTGTCGTCGACTTGGACAAATTGCGATTTGAGCCACCAACTGGTCAACCCCTCGAAAAACAGCCAAAGCGGAGCCGCAAATGGCAGTTTGGTATTCGATCCCGAAACCAGCCATATGAGGCCATGCTGTATCTGTACCGTGCAATTGCTGCCCAAGGTGGATTGTGGGATATTCAACCCGTGGAATCAGGTATGTCTCGACCCGTTCCCCATTTCGAGCTTATTCTTACATCTTCTAGGCACCAATATCGGTCCCGATGCAACCCCCTCCCCTGATAAGCCTAAACCATTGCAGAGCAAATACCCTGACCTCCCGTCCGACTACTATATTCCGAAGGACCCATGGTTCATCCGTGCACGCCTGCTGAAAGAAGGTATCAAGGCTCCTGGTGCATCCACCAGTGTGTACAATAGCCGCAGCGACCTTGAAGAACTGCGCCGCCGCTTCAACATCTCGGGGATCTCTGCCCCAACAGAGGATCGGAGTAGAGACACTCAGTCTTCCGTGCCCGATAGTGGTATTGCGAGCGGGGCCTCATCGGTCAATGGACCAGCCGGGCTCCCGCACATCACTTACGGTGTCTGGGTCTTCCTCGACATTCAGCTTTACCAACTCGAAGAAAACAACTATATGGTCGACTTCAAATGCGATGGCTACCAGAACGTCATCCGCGCCGAAGGCGACACCGAATGGCATCCTATCAGCAAGCGCCTCAAGAACAAGGAGAAGGAGGTGACCAGCGCTTACCCCTTTCTTGATGTGGCGTCTGATCTTGTCGCCCAGCTGGCTGTGGCAAGCTAGACCAGTCTATTTATCTGAGACCTGAATTTGGCTTTTGTTCACGGCAACGACCATAATCATCTTACATTAATCTTTTCTTTTTCATTATTCTTGCTTGGGTGGTCGCATAAGAGCTTTTTGTTTCTGCTGCATTTGGGTGTTATTCTGGCAAGCGAGTCGTATTGTTGCGGGTTCCATATTGTACGGAGTATGTGTCTGATTCTGTTTCCCTTCTTTCTCATGCAGATATTTGTCCAATTCCCTCTCCCTCTTTAGCTGAGTACCTAAATAGGTGCCTAGTTGGTCCGATGAAGAGAAATGAGATTTAAGATCATCGATTTAAGTCTTCGAAATAGCCTCAAACCGCCCAGCCTGTCTCCTATCGATCATCATAACACTACATACCTAGGTACAGGGCTCATAATTAGGTTAACCAAGGCAGCCAGTTATTGAATATCTCTTACAAGCCAATTGGATTGAATTTATTGCATTGAGTACAAGGCGATCGAATATGCCAGATCTTTTTCACCCTTTATTTCTTGTAAGATTCTGCATCATGGCATATTTCTTTTGCTCTTTCTTTTGAACTTTTTCAATTTTTCTTCAGATGATTCTTTCTCCAAGCTCACTTTTAAAGGTCCGTAGCTGAGGACAATGAACACGGTCTGATACCAAGAAGTGAGATTGCCGAATCTGAAGCCAGGGCCAGTGATTTGAAATCCAGGTGATCTCGGCGTTGTCATAATAGTCTTCATTCGCAGGCCTAGCGGAGACTGCAGGTGAAACAAATTTCTTGATATGAAAGATCATTTTAGCACATTTGTTGAGGTCTTTTGGCATCATACGGTGGTGCTGTGTGTCGCAACACATCTCCTACAACTTTGTCCCAGCGTGACTGGAAGTCGACAAATAGAAGAATTTATTGAGTTGATGGTGGCTGTACTTTTATTCAATCAATTTGAAGGTTTTCATTCTTTTTTTGGTCTTGAACTGAATGCAAAGATCACAAGGCATAGTTACCTAGGCCTTGTATCAGCAACTTCATTCAATATCCCACTGCAGTTGGCTTCTATTCAAACATGCTGGAGATCATAATCTGTCTTTCTCCCTCTTTTTTCAGGTTTCTCTGAAATGTAATGATCGGCTGCTGTCAAGAAAACCCAACCCGATGGGCACAGGCTTGCATGATCACCGGATGAGAGATTGTTGACTGAATGACAAACTAACTCTCACCATCCTTTTCGGGCTTCTTGATTGAGCCCTGACCAGGGACACGGTCTATGGCCTTAAGGTAGACCCGCTCACTGCGTCGTCGCTGGCTCTCAGACTGACCTCGATTAGTCCCAGCCCTGCCAATGTGAGCTTGATTCTGCGGTGGATTGGCCCCATGCATCTCTGATGTAGAAGCATACTCGGAGCTTCCATCACAGTGGGGAGTGGTGTTGTTGGTTGGGAAGTTGCTATTTCTTGGCTGACTGGATTGGGACTGAGCAGTGATGTGACTGGTATCCGAGATTTCTCCAATGATATGTCCCCTTCTCGAAAGTCTCTCTTCCGCTTCATGGTCTTTGTTATTGCCTTCGTTCATGGGACATGTAGTGGCAGATCGTTGTCGTAGAGCAGCCTCCTTAACCCATGGCTTGAAATGGGGGAGAATTTCAACATCAGGGAAACGGATCGTGCTAGCACGCAGACGGAGGGGGTCCCGGTTGGCAGGTTTAGTGATACGTCCCTTTCGACCGTTCGAAAGCACACCTCGGCGGGGGCTTCCTGGTGCACTCGTGGACTTGGGAATATGATTGAGCTGTTTCGCTCTTTCTAAATTCCGGAGTCTCACCATGTGGCTACGTACGAGTTCGATAATCTGACGGATCTCTTGAAAGGTCTTGCCATGACCAACATGTTGGCGCAGCCAGTCCGGGACGGGGGCGACGATGGCAGTTGGGTGCTTACGACCTGGAGACCGCGCAACGACACTCGAAGATTTGTGGGCTTGATCCTGGGTTTGACCGGCAGAAGGAGTAGTCTCATTTTGATTGGAGGTCTCGGTGGTAGCTTGGCCTTCAGTCTCACGTCCGACACGCATTTGCTCCCGACGGCGGAGGATAAGTTCGAAACTCTCCACTCCATCCCAGCTCTCCATTCGGCTTAGTGATTCTAACAGGAGATCACACTGCGTAAACGGCCATTGGTCTGCGCGATACCGGGCACGCTGGTAGTGCTTCCGACAATAATGCACCCAGACACCGAGTGGGAACAGCTTGGTAACGGCCTTATTTCTGCCAAACACGTGCGACACAACCTTTCGGTAATGCATCCCATCGGGCGAGGGATGCATTTGGCATGGAGCAGCGAATTCACATAAATGCTCCTCGTCATTTTCGTTGGTATCCACATCTTGCTTGGACTGGTGTTGCAGAGGTCCCGGGTCACACCCCTGCACTTGTTGCTGTTGACTTTGCGGGCATTCATACAAGTTCTCATCATTGACGGCGTAAGTATTCCCCGGAGAGCCCCATGGATGGTCCATACCAAGAGGAAAACCATAACCACGCTTTGTGTTGCTTGAACATAGTGTCGGGGAGGAGCTAGGCAGGATCTGGGGCATCAGGTCATTGATTCCGGGTGGAACATACATCTCTCGAGGATATTGATTGAATCCCATCAATGGAGCTGTTGGTGGTTCTTGTGGTTCAGAAAAGTCAGCGGGTTGAAACTGGGTGCGAGGACTTCTACTGCGAGCCCGCTCTTTCTCTTGTGCATGGTCACCTGGGTTCATTCTAACCCGATATGGGTTCGCACGATCAGCAGCACTCCTGAGCTGTGCTCCTCGGTTGGGGTCATAGACAGGATGTGACACATTTGTGCTGGTGACGTGGGAGCCCAGTGGTTGTGATGGGTTGTATTGATGGAGAGGAGTAAGTGGAGGAGTGGAATCGATTGTTCCCGGGGGTATCAATGGAGAAGTAAGCGGAGGAGAGAGAAGTAGGGACAAGGGTGGGTTCCCCTGGCGGATTGTCTGAGCAGGGCTTCTGGGACTGAGAACTCGATTAGTCGACCTCAATAGAACTTGATGCTTTTGACACATAAGAGGAGGTGGTATCACGGAACACAGTTCATAGATGATGAAGGAGTACCAAGAAGGCAAAGAAGTAGTGAAAGGCCGAACCGGAAGGTAGGATATGAGATATATGAGGCTTGGGTCCTAGGAAAATAGCGATGCTAGAGGACATATCGTATACTTACGTCGAAACATGTTGGTTGTCATCAGCAGCGTTGCTAAGCCTAAGCTCTGTAAGTTAGCAAGTCTTATCTCAAGATAGAAGCAGACGTGGTGAAGAAGCCACTGGGAAAGGACGAGCAAGGGTTTCAACTTATAATGCCGAGTTATATGTACATACCTTTTTGTGTCCTCCTCTGGGTTGCCCCGATCACCCTGGATACCAGGGCCCTGATATTGCATGCCGGATGGAAGTTTTGATGTAAGACAAGGCAAGGATAATGGAAGATGGGGGGGTTTGCTTTTGATAACGGACTTGAAAGACTATGATGGCAAAGCCCGTTGTCGATGATGCACAAGCTGTCTGATAGTGTGAAAGGCGTTGAGCGAAAATGGAAACGAAAAGAGTGGGTGGATAGGATAGAGGAGGAGGAGTCGTACTAGAATAGGATGGGCTTTTATAAGTTTGTTGGAACTTGCCTACAATGTTTGTGCTAGATCGAGTTCAGATGACTTTTCCCCTTTGGATATCATCATCCCAATTTCTACAACGTGGGGATTCATATCGTGTGTACGATATAGTAGCCGGATGATCAGAGCCGGGTTTCTAGAGCTGATTTCTCGCGTATAAGATGATGTTTGTATCTATGGACTCGCACGGAGACATGATGAGGAATATGGCGTTTCAAATTCAATAAGAACTAGGCTTTACAAGATTGTAAAAGCATGAAGTTGATGACTGACGATCTGAGCATAATTCATATACGATAACATGATGTTTAGCTTGGCAGCCAGAGTAGAACCTTTTAGGACAGCATTCACCGAAGAGAGCGGGCTATAAGGACCACTATATAGAAAATCCTGAGGACCACTGTCAGACTACCAAGCAGCTTCATCAATGAATCTGTCAAACATAGTCCCAAGCTACAAATACATCCAGTAGGAGCCAAGGTGTCACTGTAAGGTATCATTGGTTATGCGTGGTATGTGTACATGAAAAAAAAGATATCCCCCCGTAGATCAAATCCATAACGCCATCTTTATCGGATATCAAGAGCAATGCAGTCTGAAAACATAAGTGAAGAAAACTGGGGGAAACATGCCCTCCAAAATAAGAACAGTACATAAAGCATCCATGAATGCAAAATGAAATTTCCTTTTATCTAGCGTAGCCAATCGATGCCGGTTGTCTTGGTATGTACTTTCGAACGGCCCCCCGCCCAGGGCTGCACGCTGTAGAGCCAATGTCGATCGTACTCAGCTCTCGACTCAGGGCATCCATGCGAACGTTTCCATTTGGATTGCCCGACATGACAGGGTAGCCTGGGCTTCCTCCTGTGATTGGCACCTTGCTCGGAATCGGGGGACCTGGACTGTAGTCATATAGCGGCGTACGAGACCCTGGCGATGGCGAGACCGAGCCTCGGGAAGAGCGGGGCCGCTCAACCGAAGTTGGTGTGCTGTAGCCCCGAGGCTGCACATAGCTGTTAGGGCGCTCGCGCACGTAGTCCGGCCGAGGGGGAGTTCGAATCATTGACCCCGGGCTTACGTTCACATGGGTGGGCGTGTACTTGATTGAGCGATCCGACGGATATGTGGTGGTTTCTGTTCTAAATCCAACGCGTGGAGGGCCTGTGCTGCGAGTTGAAGGCGACTCGTCGCCTCTAGAAGTTGGCCGAGTTGAGTGTTTGAAACGGATAATAACCTCGGGCTTACGATTTTTCCTTTCTGGTTCGGGTGCCCATGTATCGGTGGGAAGATGGTCAGAGGGGTCAATCTCACGGCCATCATCCCCGATGATTGGGTGATCCATATCTCGATGGGGTTCAGTCTTTCCACGTATCACGGCATCTCTAGCTTGCGAAGGCGAGTCGTATGCTGGGGAAGGATCTCGGCTGGGGGTGTGTGAGGCATTCGGATTTAGAGAGATGTAGGAGTCGGGAGAGAAAGGGATCGAGGAACCTTCATAGACGTCCGAAGAAGATGGGCGCGGACTGACTGATTTCCGGGTCACGGCCCGCATATCAGGGCTCGCAGATCCACCTCTGCTAGAAGTGGGTCTTTCTTCAATAGGTCGGGGGGATGTTCGCAGAGGGTGGATGGGACCATCGTATTGGACAGGTTCTGATATAGGGACTGGTGCAGATGGATGAGAAATCATCATCTCATCGTCCCATTGGTTGCTGCGTCTGCGAACTGATCGTTCAAATGCTGCTCTCTCAGACGAGTCTTCCGGTTCATAGCCTGCGACGAGGCTTGCAGGCATAGCTGGGGAATTCCCCATTGAAGAAGGCTCCTGGTAGCGATCACGATAGGACGGGGTGGACATGGTCGATGGCAGATGGGGGACCGAGGATCGAGAAGACTGCGGTTTGTAGGGTGCATAGGGGTGAGGCGATGTTTTCGGGGTAGGCAGCTGTGAGTGCGCCCTTCGTGACCGGTGTGCCGGTGGAGGCGGTGGGGGCCCGCCATCATCTTCATCCTCTACTCGCGGTTGCATTCCGGCGTACTCTGGGTGATAATCATGACCTCGGGCAGTGATTTGTAGAGGTCTAACTTTGTGTGGATGGTACCTCGGGTCATCCATTGGGCCTAGGGAGGAAACCATAAAGTCTGAAGCCGGCAACCCATGCGTATGCGTTGTCCCATACGGCACAGAGTCTAGACCGTATCGGGGCTGCTCTATCTGAGCGTAGAGGTCCTGATGTGTGGAATGGTACGACGCTTCCTCGTGGGGATTCGCCCCGTACTGATTTTGTCTTACGAGACGATAGTCTCTAGAAGGTGGCTGGTCATACTCAGGATGATTCCGCTGTCCTTGCCGCTGTTGCAGCTGCAGCTGCTGTTGTCCTTGTTGTTGTAGCTCCTGTTGACGTAGCTCTTGCTGTTTTAGCTCTTGCTGCCGTAGTAGCTCTTGTTGTTGTAGCTCTTGTTGACGTAGCTCCTGTTGACGTAGCTCTTGTTGACGTAGCTCTTGTTGTTGTAGCTCTTGTTGACGTATTAGCTCTTGTTGTTGTAGCTCTTGTTGACGTAGCTCTTGTTGTTGTAGCTCTTGTTGACGTAGCTCTTGTTGATGTAGCTCTTCTTGGCGTAATAGCTCTTGTTGTTGTAGCTCTTGTTGCTGTAACTGCTGTTGACGTAGCTCTTGTTGCTGTTGCTGTTGCTGCTGTTGCTGCTGTTGCTGATGTAACTCTTGTTGCTGTAGCTCTTGTTGTTGTTGTTGCTGCAGTAGGCGCGAGTCGTAAGGTGTTTCAATAAATTCATTGGAGGGCAGTTCATGGGTGATCTGTCGGCGGAGAGGAGCAACAGCTGGGGTGTCCCATTCTTGAGTGTAGTTATCAGCACCATCATACCCACCCTGAGAGGGAGGCGGTACAGGAGAAGGTACGCGATAAGATGATGCATCATAAGCAGGCTCTGAATGTCTCGGGGCATGGGAGATGGTGTCTGGGGCACCAGATACAGTGTTTGAATGTTCAAGAACGACGGGTCTTGACGGGACCGGATGGTGGATTGGAGGCGCAGACTGAGCGTGTTCAAGAGGGGCTGATCGTGCCGGGGTCCCTGCAGGGCCACTGGGCAAGGGTCGTCGCTTGACGTCTTTCAATTGCCGGGGACCGGACAAGCCCGTACTGCTTGGAGTACTAGGGACTTTGCCTTGTACCCGGTCGGCGGCTTCTTTTCGGCGTCCAATCAAGACCTCATCTTGCTCTCTCGTATCATAGTAGGTCATTTCGATTCGAATCTCCCCTGCATATTTCCCACGCCATTGAAGTGGGTGCCAGTGATCATTCTGACTTCCACCGGGAATAATCAAGCTTTGTAGATCGACCCAGGTCTCGCCGATCATGTCGGTCTTTTTATCATCATTGAATACGGAGACCTTTAGCTTGAAGTAATCGGGAGATTCATGCACGGTAAATCGGAGTTCCGAATCCCTAGGCTGATAAGCTTCCATTTACACATTTATTCATCGAAAAGCTTACCATCGGGGAGTCTGGCCTCCTCGTAAGTCTGTCTGAGTCTTTTTTGCCTCCTTGCCCAATCGTGCTGCAGCATAGGGATTCTGCTTGCCCATAGTCTTTCGGTTGGGTAGATTCTTGGCTCGGTCGATGATAGCGACCAAGGTACCGATAATAGGACCATCGACGGAGATGTCAGCAAAGATGCCCGCCGCATGGTTAACCTTGGAGATCTTCGACATGTTCACCAGGTATATTGGCTCGAAACAGAGACCATTGATCCAAGTGGGAGAAAGAAAGAAGAAAAGCGAAAGATAAGAACCCAAGTCTTCCAAGGCTCGAATGGTATTGGAGGTGGCTGGGGGTTTGTATCAGATCTGGGATGTTGATTGGTTATTACCCCTGGTGTCTGGGTACCATACCACGGATACCTTGCATCAGAGTAAACAACGCTTCTCAACTTGATCTCCATATCAACTACTTATATCTCATCGTTGTTTTAACACACCATGTTATGGCATTTCATATATATTGCATTATATCATATGATGCCATTCAAGTCCTCTTTATCCCAATACAGGTATTCCGAATGAAGTGGATCACCTTCAGCTCGATCGGATCCCAGCCACCGCGTATTCAAAAACTTACGCATTCTTGGTGGGACGAGCGTAAATTGCCGACTAGATGGTCCAGACAAGATCGTCATCCCTCTTGATTCCGTACTCATGTTTGTAAATCCGGTTTCACCTGCATTGGGGCTTCAATAAGCTGTCAAGCCATCGCGGCTCCCCCACCTTTAGGGTTAGGGTGCTGCAATGGACCTTCGTTTCTCCCCACTGGATTGCCATAGCGACCACTCACGGGCCTCATGCTGTGTACAATGTGTGTCGTATTCTGCGTACACCATACTACATCTCGTACATTGGCAATATTACTGAGACTGTCTTGTTCACCCGTTCTGCACACATCCCCTACTGATTCCAGATACTTTGACAATTAACGATGTTGCCTGTCTCACTGCCTCAGTGGGTTCACTGGGCAATCCCTGCGAATTACTATTATTAAGAGAACAAGATGGTCAAAAATATGGATGCCTACGATGTGCAAACTAAATATAACGTAGATCCGTGAATCTCAGTTCTATCTTTGGGGTTAATTGATGGGCAACGTTGAGCTTGAGGGAAGATCTCGTGAGGTTGATCGATCATGACAAAGTTGACCATATGAGAGCCAACATCAATACTCGATTAACTTAGAGACAAGTGTATCATCTTTTAATGACGAATCTTGAACAAATTGAAATTGTCTGCCGAGAAAGTTGGATAATTCGGGTATGGTGCTTGTAGCGACATGGAGTTCAGAGAAAGAGAACTTCTGATTACACGACTCCGAGGATCTGAACGTATCAGCCTAGAGATATGTGGATTTTCTTGTCAAATTGGACCCATCTCATGTGGATCCAGGCTAGGCTCTCCATGTTGTCAGTCTGTTGCATCGCCTTATGTGTACGGAGTATTTTTACACAAGTCAAAGATCATAAAGCCCTGACCATGGCGGGGTGGATATGCCAAGACTTGAACTTTTGCCTTGATGCCTTAGGCACAAATCAATTACTTAGTGCCTCAGGCAGAAAGAGCTACCGCCACCATTCCCGATTGGGCGAGACGAACTTTTTTGATCGGCAGAAAAAGATGGTCTTCGTGAACTTCACGATAGCACTCTAGTCGGCTTAACTTTACCTCCCATTTTTCGCCTTGGGTTGCCTATCTAACTAATATTCCCCGAATAAATACTGCTCACTCACCACTGCAACCATGGCGGCGCCCGTCCTGCCTCTGCAGCAGATCAAGCTCGCCTCGTTACCTTCGACGCAGTTAACGCCTGAGCAACAATACTGGCGGACATTCAAAAACCCGCTCTTGATCCCATCGCCGGCCAATGGACCGGTCAATCTCATTACTCAGCCTTCCGTTCCTTCCTCTGCCGCGGCATTCCCATCTCTTACACAACCGCCCGATGTCTTCACCGTGACAACAGGCGCACGAGTCCAGATCTATTCGATTCGCACACGAAAACTTCTGCGAACACTCACACGGTTTGACGATACTGTGCGTGGTACTGATGTCCGTCCGGACGGACGTGTTTTGGTGGCAGGTGACGACACCGGTTCCGTGCAAGTCTTCGATGTCAAGTCGCGCGCCATCCTCAAGACCTGGAAGGACCACAAGCAGCCCGTGTGGGTGACCAAGTTCTCTCCCAGTGACCCTACATCGGTTCTCACTGCCAGTGATGACCGTACAGTGCGGTTGTGGGACTTGCCGTCCCAAACTAGTGCGCGTACCTTTGTCGGCCACACCGATTACGTGCGCAGCGGTGCATTCATGCCTGGTTCCATGGCTTCTTCTGGTCTGGTGGTTTCGGGCTCTTACGATCGTACTGTTCGATTGTGGGATCCCCGAATTGGAAACCGTGCCGCTATGACCTTCAAGATGGGTGCCCCCATCGAGACTGTTCTGCCCATGCCCGCCGGAACTACAGTTCTGGCCGCGGCCGATAATAAGATTGCCGTTCTGGATATTGTGGCTGGTAAGCCACTGCACATGATTCAGAGCCATCAAAAGACCGTCACTGCCCTTGCACTGGCCTCCAATGGGGAGCGTTTGCTCAGTGGTGCACTTGATGGACACATGAAGGTCTTTGAGACCACAGGGTGGAACCCCGTCTCCGGATCTAAATACCCGTCGCCCATTCTTTCCCTGCGCGCGATTACTTCCGGAACCGAACACGAGGATAAGCACATTGCTGTCGGTATGCAGTCAGGCCTCTTGTCTATTAAAACCCGACTTTCTGGCCAACAGAAGATCAAGGAGCGGGAACGTCGGAAGGAAATGGCAGCTCTGCTGGAGGGAAAATTGGAGGAGCATGACCGGGAAGTGGCTAAGAAGAAGAAGGCCCGTGGTTCGGGATGGGAGAAGCGTCTGCGTGGACGCGATTTCATCGGAGAAGGCGTGGAGATTGTCATTCAGGGTCAGGACCACAAGAAGCGCAAGAGAGAGCAGCCTTGGGAGAACGATCTCCGTAAGGCACGCTACTCTGTTGCGTTGGACCAGGTCCTCACCTCGGCCGACAAGACTGCGCAACTTACACTGCTCACGGCCCTGCGCCACCGCTCCGCCCTTCGCGCCTCGCTCAAGGACCGCGATGAGGTGACCCTCCAGCCCGTCCTGCAGTGGGTTCACAAAAATATCCGTGAACCCCGCTTGGTCGATCTCAGCGTTGAGGTCGCCATGAACCTTCTCGATATCTACTCTGGAAACCTGGGCCAGTCCGCACAGGTCGACAAGATGGTGGAGCGTCTGCACCGCCGGGTGCGTGACGAAGTGGAGATGGCCGAACAAGCGTGGCAAACAAAGGGAATGCTTGATATGTTGAAGGCAACCTGATCTGACCTTGAATCGCAACTTGGAGTTCGGGGTGTCTGGGATTCGCACATGCGGTGTATATGGCGGGCCATCTTTTGTACAGGATTTGCATAAAGAATAAAAGTCGAAATATTTACCATCATTGACCGTAACATCATTCATTCATATTCTAACTGTGTATCAAGTGTTCAACTTTGAGAACCCGCCAGCAGGCGGCTGCAACCAATTCCGCGCATCATATTCCCACCCCTCCGCGCCCTCGATAACATGGAAGGTATAGGCATACCGACTATTCAAGCTGGTATTTTTCTCGCTCTTATGCAAAACATTCCCATGAATGAGCACAAGTGATCCAGCCTTGATATCAAGAATCTCCAGATCCTCATCTGTAGTCTCCGAACTCTTCTCATCCTCCATACCTTTAGGAAGCGACGGCCCCTGGTTCTCAATAAACTCCGTCCCCGTCCCATTCTCCTTCCTCACAAACCTCCTAGCAATGTGGCCACCCTTCCTTCCCGTATGCGACCCCTTGTACATACCCAGCGTCCCATTCGCCGGACCCGCATCCTGCAGTGCATACCACCAGCCTACGGCAGAAGGCGGATTCGTATACAAAAACTCCGAATCGCGATGGGATGGCACAGCCCCACCAATGGAAGGCTGCTTGCAAATAACCATACTCTGCAGCACACGGGGGTCGGAAAATCCCAGGGAGTGCGCCACAGAAGCATTCCGCTCGTTTAGCGATATGGCTTTGAAAGGTGGCGACAAGGTATGCAGCGAATGACCGATCTTGTTGACGGCGCGGTTTTTGGGCTTCAGTAGCGCGGCTCGACCGGTCAAGGGATCGAGCTCGGTGCTGAATGCATCTGGCTCGAAAAAGAAGCGAATCTTGTCGCCTGAGTTTAGAAAGTAGTCGTCGCCTACATGGTCGGCGGTTTCATCGCCCGTTGTGAACTGGGTGAGGGGATGGGATTCTAGTGGGAACTCCTCGAGGAGTTTGTTTGTCTCGGCGAGGAGAGCGGTGACCTCGGTTGGGGTGAGGTAGTTCGGGAGAACGAGGTACCCGTTCTCCTTGAAGGAGGCGACTTGATCTTCAGTAAGTCCAGCCATTAGATGCTTTATGTTCCAAAGCTGGAGATGAGTTGGTTGGAAAAAGCGGGGAGAAATGCAAGTGATAAGCAATTGCGATAGGTACGTGCCTTATCGGGGGCTTCGTCCGTGCACGCAGCATCGATGGACAACGCCTACACGCTCAATATATACTCTGTTTCCCCGGATCACTTCTCGTGGGGTATCTCCAGACCCCTTGGCAATCCAGATGGGTCTTTTGCCTCTTCCATAGAGGTTAGTTGCCGCAGGAGGCAATGATGCAAGGGGCAAGTAAACCTTGCCACAGAACAAGACGACCGAAGTATATAAACATATCGAAATTGAGCTAGACAGCACTTACAAGTCGCATATTATCGATGCCAACAATTCACATGAAAACGCTTCTAAAAGCAGACCGACATTAAAGAAGCCTCCCCAAGGTTTAGTATCAACTTTCCGTTTACCCAACTGAACAAACTGCAAATCAACCCAAGTGGACCAGATAAACATTTTCCTCTCGCACATCCCACCGAGCGCAACCGTTCACCACGATGTCCGACTCTTTCACAAGTTCCTCGTACTATTACAGTTCCACAAGCAACGGCAGCGACGGCAGGACTACAACCGGACACAGGTATTCAACGACTTCATACACCGAGCCCGACGGCACAACCATCGTACGTACTGCCCAGCAAGATTTAGGCCAACCAGCAGTCGTTGAAGAGCGGCGCTACGACAACACTGGACAGGAACAGCTGGCTTTGCCAGAGCCGGGAGGTGGTACTTCTGCAGGTGGAGTACGGCGCATCACCGACCTAGAAGATGTTTCAGATTCCCAAAATTCCCTATCCCAAACTTCCACGTCCAATGTCCTTGCTGATATTGGGGGTAAGGCGGCTCAGCTCTTGGATGGGGACGGCGAGAACGATTCGTTTAGTTTGGCTTCTTCGCCGCTGGGGTCCAGGGTTTATGACCCCGTGACCGGTACTTATAACAACCAATCTGAGTATGATATCGGTGGAGTCACCAGGCGTCATAAGGTTATTAGGGATGCTTCTGGTCGGAGACTTAGACGGGATTTGGATTTTGCTGCGGATGGCCTCTCGTCTTCGGCGAGGGAGAACCGCGCGTATGAGAATCCTAGTACAGGCACCAGGTTGCGGAGAGAGAGTGACGTGGATGTTAGGAACGTGCTTTAGGTGAGTGAGTTGGCAAGTATTTGCATTTGCATTTGTTAAGTATTTGCACTCGGCTTCTTACTACAGAAAATCAAAAATGATATATCTCGTGGGAGCCTTCACGCATATGTGGAGAATATCAGGAGATTGTAAATCCAACTGCTCCACCCCAATATATATATCTCTCTCTAGTCACGTAGACGTAAGCGTCCCTCTGACCAGCGGCTACACGCCTTCTGCCACCATCCGGGAATCTCATAGGACCAGTGACAAAGCATACCAGCAACAAAGCCGACCGCGTCATTTTTGAACCCTACTAGCAATCCCACAGTGACCATCATGACAGTCCAGCGGCGACTACGCTCTTCATCTGTGAGAACAGGGCCAATATGCTGCCCCGTATTTGCCAAAAGCCCACTACCGGCTTGGCTGAGGTCCTGAGCACCAGTGGTATTGAGGCTCTCGCCCACGCTAAGCAGCTCTGCCCCAGCTGCAATAACCATCACACCGAGCAAGGCTGTAGGGAACCGCTTGAGAAGGTCAACCAAGGTCTCTCCGAATAGGAGGCCGATGAGCAGTTTTAACAGGCCGAGGAAGATCACACTTGCTCCTGAGCGAGCTCCGAACCGATATTGTGCGGCGAGGCCCCCAGATCCATGGCAGACGGGCATAGCACCAAACCAGCAACCAATCAAGTTCATGCCGGCCACACTCAGACCAATGTGAGTGACGGATGGAGTGCGCACCTTCGGGAGCAGATCATGCGCCAAGGAGACCACCGCCACGATGGAGTTGAGAGTGGTAAGAGGAATTTGGCCGATACCAGCATCCACAGCACCGACACGCCATTGAAGCGGGGTCGGAACCAGAGCGAAAGGACGCCACACCTCGAAATTGGGCATGTGCCCTGCCATTGCTGTCCGAATGATAGCAAAGACCAGACCCAGCGCTAATACGCCGATCGCATAGGGTACTTGACGATAAATATTGGTGAGCAGAAGTACTACAAATGCAGCAACTGCCCATATACGGTTATCGGCCCAGGAAGGGCTGAACCAGCCCAAGGGATGGAGCATGCTGCTGCAGGCCGCGATAATCAGGGATAATCCCGCCCCAACTTGGATACCTTTGATAACTGGGATAGGAATCGCACGGGCAAACCAGTGCAAGATCCCCGTAACGCTGAAGACAAGGATACAGGCGCCGACGAAGATCCCCGCCGCTGCGATCGTGCCATTTGAGAAACTACGCGCGATGGCCACTGCGGCGATGGCCTTCATAGGCTGGACTGGCAGCGGAATCCCGAAGAACACACCCGTGAGAATATTGAAAATCCCCGAGAAAATCAAGGTGCTGGCGAGGGAGACGGTGCCGTTGACAGCTAGTGCGATCGCGATAGGCAGGAATGTGCCTAGATCGCCAAGCGAGCCTGAGATCTCGGAGACATAGTGGCGCTTGAAAGTGCGTAGATTATGCGCGTTGATTTCACGCAATGACTGGATAGTCATCGTGGGATGATATGAGTTGACGAGGAAAAGAGTCCCAGAGGGGGTTGCTTTCATTCAATATCGGCCCGGATGATCCGCCCCCGCGCTGATGTAGTCGAGAATCCTGCTTCAATTTAGATACTTATGTCATTTAATATGTGCTAATCAAGATTGTATATTATTCACGATATCCTTGTTTCCACACCCCTCAAAACAGGCTATCAAGCAGCATGCTCTTTTAATGCTTCCATGCGTGAATTTCACCCTGGGAATATCGTCTCGTGGCAATGACAAGGAGGGCTGAATTTCTGCGTCTCGCAATAGTAAATAATCGTGCCAAGCACCCAACACACACACCTTCTGTTGGTGCACCACAGTCATCGATAATTTTCTCTTAATGATAAAATTTGAAAAATAGGTACCTTCTGGATGGTATTGTAATATAAAAGGTACGAAGGTTGCAATATCGACAATAGTGCTCCGCAAAGCCCATAAATAGGGGCCCACGGCCCAACCCGCAGTGGGCTAGGTATATTGGGCTACTGTATCTATGGGGGGCCCATCATAGCCCATTAAGGGGGCAACCGTCGACTTATAATCACTGTATGAGTCTCAAAATCAGTACAGACGCTTAAAATAGCTATCCCAATTTATAAAACAATTTTAAGCAAAGTTAAACCAGTAGAGGTCGAGATATAGCGAGAAAAGATACTTAGAATTGATATTTTGATACTAGATATATTTTCTACGATCATTACGACAGTGTTACCATTTTTAACAAACCTTTGTAGTTTGAATTATTCTTAACCAGCGCGTTTTCTCGTATACTTGAATCTGATAAATAAACTTGACTTAAGATTCATAAATTACATATTTTTCTAATAAGATGTTACTAAAATATAAGTGCTGATTACGGGGCTCAAACATAAGGTACTGATTTTTCAAAGTATTTGTATTATTTAGTGCTGACTGGGCTTCATAGGCTCCTATTATGGGCTTAGTGGGCCCGGGCTTGGGGCCCAAAGCCCAGCCCATTTGTGGGTTGGGTTGGGCTGGGCTATGGGCTATGGGCTTTGCGGAGCGCTAGTAGTCATGTGTCTCGTAGTGTGGACAAGCAAGTTGACATGATGTATCGCACCGTCGTCATGCTTCATTACCAGCATCAGATCTTCATCTGCTCGAAGATGACCACAATTGGTCACCATTACGAGTACAATTTCGACCGTCACCTATCAGACGAGGTTCTTAATAGAACGATAAAGATACCAATGAATCTAATATCTGTTGACACAGATGATCGGGTAGAATATACCAACAAATAAGGAGTCTTCAATATTGCAACGTGATTGCACACTCCTGGGTTCACGGACGAAGCGGCAACCTGATATGCCGTCTTCAATTCATTACATCCCATGTCCATCGCTCATTTCCATCCCTATCCTCATTCCCATCAAGTCTTCCTTCACCGACAGCTCCACTGAGTCCGAATTTTTCTTTTGCAGTATCCTGCCTAGCGCCCGCGTTGCTAACACGGCTGATCTCTATGGCATCAAGCGACCAAATGGCGGGCCATACCAAGCAACTTGGGATTCTCAAGTCGAACTACTCCAACTGCCATCGCTCCACACACATTTGACTATCAATGGAAAGTCTCTCGAATTACGGTATCGATGCCCAGTCTGGAGATTGCCAAGTTGCCCTGGTTTGCAGGTCTAACTATCTTAACTCTATATTTTCTGAAACACTGTTCCTAACCCCAATGTGATCTTCGGGAACTAAGTTTTCGGGTTGTGGTGGTTTCGCAACGTCCCACTTGCCTCGTCGCTTAAATTCAATACTCACGGGAGTGACAGAAAGAATAACTTGTGCATGACTAATGAACACCGTTGACGAGCAATTGGATCTTATTCTGCCCTTTGCTTTCGATTCACAATGTAGATATAGATATGACCTCTCCTCTTATGTACCAGATCTTTCAACAATGGGTCTTGTCCGAAGTACTCCGTACTGAAGTCAGGCAGAAGAACACCTCGGAAAGAAAAGGAAGGGCGATGACTGTACAACATAAACAATGGATGTATAGTAAGCCCCACTCAGCATGTGATGACATGTGATAGCATGTGATCAGAGGGCTCATAAATCTCTACCCAGACGATTCTCAGGCCACATTGTTCCAAGGCCATTGAACTAAATACTGAATCTGGGGGGTTTGTTCTAAGGTAATGAAGATAGGTGTATCAAATTGATCTATTATTGGAGGGTAGAAAGTTGAATATTTGGCTAGTGTTCCCCACGTGACACTGTAGTGCTCATAGAGTGTAGATAGCGTCGTGGCGAGATCAATCTATCGACGCTAGTTTGCTAGGGAAAACCTAAGAGATAGGGGACAGGGGCTCAATAAGTACCATCTGCGCCCCACAGGGCTCAGGATAAACACACAACGCCAAAGAACCAGCTCGTGCGTTAGAGCCGTTCCGCATCTTGTACCAGTACTCTGTACTCCGTAGTATCCCGAATTATCAAGATCTGGAATCTCGGTAAGATCCCGAGGTCCTTTCCCCAGTCTCTTTTTCCTTTCATAAAGGAAAACAAAGTCTCGGCTATCTTAGGGCCCGATTTTATGTATTTTTATGCAGGTCGGGTGCATCTACCCCGGGGCCGAGACCCAGCACATGGCTCGGGACCTTCGCTTCCCGTTTTCGGATCATCCAGAAACGCCGCTGACTTAGCATGAACCTTGGAAACTAACTCTAAATTTCCTTTTTTTTTATGCAGAATGATGTTGCCTCCATGGATTCAGACTTGGCGGGACCAATTTGATCTACAGATCTGCCGAATCATAGTAGGACTATCGCAAGGGTACTGAGATTTCTCGTTATTGTTATTATTATCATTTTTTCTATTGCTCCGACCTCCGACTACTCTGACCCACAGTTTCATTACAATGGAAGATGTCATCCACAACGGCCGGAAATGGCCACAGACCCGATGGTTAAAATCTTGGGTTGCTGCCCCTATAAGTATCCATTTGTTTTCGCTTCGGGAGAGATACCTGGATTCGTTGTCCATTAGATTCAAACATGGCATCGACATCGGATAGCTCGATCGAGCTAAAGGAGAAACATGAACCAACTCCACCGCATACTGGAGATGCATCAACTATTGGCGACTCTCCTATGGAATTCATCGGCCAAGAAGATGTTGAGACCCTTACTAGGATAGCGACTCAACGGTCACGCCAACAATCGATTACCGGAACAAATTTAGCAGCCCTCGCCGAACAAGATCCATCCCTTGACCCCCAGTCGGGAAAGTTTGACTTGCAAAAATGGCTCAAAGTGGCTTTTGCCGATCTCAGCCGAGATGGCCGATCGGAACAATCAGCAGACGTCGTTTTCAAACAATTGAATGTATACGGATCGGGCGCTGCCCTGCAGTTCCAAAATACAGTCACATCGAGCCTAACCGCTCTGGTTCGGTTGCCCCAAATTATCCGTGAATCACGCTCTCCCCCAAGGCGTATCCTCAAGGACTTTAACGGTCTCTTGAAAAGTGGCGAACTGTTGCTTGTGCTTGGTCGGCCAGGTGCCGGTTGTAGTACACTTCTGAAGTCCATGACGGGAGAGCTGCACGGTTTGGATGTGGCAAAGGAGAGTGTCATTCATTACAATGGTAAGGCTCAAGCTTTTCAGCATTCTAGAAAAGAGCTAACAATCACTAGGAGTTCCCCAATCTCGCATGATGAAAGAGTTCAAGGGCGAACTAGTATACAACCAAGAGGTACGGTCTCAACATCATCCGCACCGATGAAGCTAGGCTAATATTTGAATTGTTTAGGTTGACAGACACTTCCCTCACCTGACCGTCGGCCAGACGCTGGAGTTTGCAGCCGCAACGCGAACTCCTGCCCATCGGTTCCAAGGCATGTCGCGTACAGAATTTGCCAAATACATTGCTCAGATCACCATGGCTGTCTTTGGATTGAGTCACACATATAACACGCGTGTTGGAGATGATTTCATCCGTGGTGTCTCGGGTGGTGAGCGAAAGCGTGTCAGTATTGCAGAAATGGCCCTGGCCCATGCTCCAATCGCTGCCTGGGACAACTCTACCCGAGGATTAGATTCCGCTACAGCATTGAAGTTTGTCCAGGCTTTGCGACTGTCCTCTGACATCACTGGCTCGTGTCATGCGGTCGCTGCTTATCAGGCAAGTCAAAGCATCTACGATGTATTTGACAAGGTGATTGTACTTTACGAAGGCCACCAGGTCTTCTTCGGACCCGCTGCTGCAGCCAAGTCCTATTTTGAAAACCAAGGTTGGGTTTGCCCGGCTCGACAGACCACCGGAGATTTCCTCACTTCAATCTCAAATCCTCAGGAGCGACAAGCCAAGCCTGGTATGGAAAACCGTGTTCCTCGTACGCCCGAGGACTTTGAGGCTGCATGGCTCAACTCACCTGATTACAAGCGATTGATGAATGAGATCGCTGAATATGAAGGGCAAAATCCTGTTGGACATGACGTGCCAGCCCTCGCTGATTTCCAAGAGAGGAAGCGTGGCGCCCAAGCCAAACACACCCGGCCCAAGTCTCCGTATATCATCAGTGTCCCCATGCAAATCAAACTCAATACCGTCCGCGCCTATCAAAGACTCTGGAATGATGCTGCCTCAACCATCTCTGTGGTGGTCACTAATATTATTATGGCTCTAATTATCGGATCGGTTTTCTACGGGACTCCGGATGCAACTGCAGGCTTCACGTCAAAAGGTGCCACTTTGTTCTTTGCCGTCCTTCTCAATGCCCTGACAGCAATGTCCGAAATCAACAGTCTCTACTCTCAACGCCCAATTGTCGAAAAACATGCTTCCTTTGCCTTCTACCATCCCTTCACAGAAGCCATTGCTGGCGTGCTCAGTGATATACCGGTGAAGTTTGCATTAGCTGTCGTGTTCAACATCATCCTATATTTCCTAGCCGGCCTGAAACGATCAGCATCTAACTTCTTCCTCTACTTCCTTATCACCTTTGTGATCACTTTCGTCATGAGCGCGGTCTTCCGGACATTGGCCGCTGTCACCAAAACGATCTCACAGGCAATGGGTCTAGCAGGTGTTATGATTCTGATTCTCGTGGTTTACACCGGCTTCGTCCTACCTGTTCCGTCTATGCATCCATGGTTCGAATGGCTTCATTACCTCAATCCAATCTACTATGCCTTCGAGGTTCTGATTGCCAACGAGTTCCATGGCCGCGAGTTCCCTTGTTCATCTTTCGTTCCCGCCTACGCAGACCTGTCAGGCAAAGCGTTCAGTTGCGCTGTTGCTGGCTCGGAGCCAGGCTCTAGAACAGTCAATGGCGACCGGTACATTGAATTGACCTACAGATACAGCTACAGCCACGTCTGGCGCAATTTTGGTATCCTCATGGCCTTCTTGGTCGGTTTCATGTGCATCTATTTTGTTGCAACCGAGCTGAACTCCGCTACTACAAGCACAGCTGAGGCTCTGGTCTTCCGTCGTGGCAATGAACCTGCCAGTCTCCGCCAAGACCATAAGTCTGGAGCTGATGTCGAAAGCAGCGAGCCATCTCAAGCTCAGCCTGCTGCGGGTACAGACGACACAGGAATGGGTGCCATCCAGCCTCAAACCGATACATTCACTTGGCGCGATGTGTGCTATGATATCGAGATCAAGGGCGAGCCACGTCGTTTGTTGGATCACGTTTCCGGATGGGTCAAGCCTGGAACTCTCACTGCACTTATGGGTGTCAGTGGCGCTGGTAAGACGACTTTGCTTGATGTATTGGCACACCGCACGTCGATGGGTGTTATTACTGGTGACATGTTTGTCAACGGTCGTGAACTGGATCAGAGTTTCCAGCGAAAGACAGGTTATGTTCAGCAGCAAGACCTTCACCTCGATACTGCTACTGTGCGTGAGTCTCTACGATTCAGTGCTATGTTGCGTCAGCCAGCCTCTGTCTCGGTCAAGGAAAAGTACGACTATGTCGAGGATGTGATCGGAATGCTGAAGATGGAGGAATTTGCCGAGGCCATCGTTGGTGTCCCGGGTGAGGGTCTGAATGTCGAGCAGCGCAAGCTGTTGACTATCGGTGTTGAATTAGCCGCGAAACCCAAGCTGCTGCTCTTTTTGGATGAGCCCACCAGGTTAGTACTCCTTGCAACATATATTTGTGCCTTTCAAAAAATACTAACCATGCTGTAGTGGTCTCGACTCTCAGAGCTCTTGGGCTATTTGTTCATTCCTTCGCAAGCTTGCCGAGCACGGTCAAGCAGTTCTTTGCACAATCCATCAACCCAGTGCCATGCTTTTCCAACAATTCGATCAGCTACTATTCCTTGCCCGAGGTGGTAAGACTGTGTACTTTGGTCCTGTTGGAGACAACTCTAGCACAATGCTCGAGTACTTTGAATCCAACGGTGCGCGCAAGTGTGCAGATGACGAAAACCCAGCTGAATACATGCTGGGCATCGTCAACGCTGGTAAGAATGACAAGGGTCAGGACTGGTTCGACGTCTGGAAGCAAAGCAACGAAAGCAAGGAGGTGCAGACTGAGCTCGACCGAATTCACAAAGAAAAGGAGAACGAACCCCCCGCCGCGGAAGATGATTCCTCGCGAAGTCACTCTGAATTCGCCATGCCGTTCTGGTTCCAGCTGGAACAGGTCACACACCGTGTGTTCCAACAATACTGGCGCATGCCATCCTACGTTCTTGCAAAGTGGGGACTTGGAATTGCCTCCGGCCTATTCATTGGTTTCTCTTTCTTCGGTGCCAAAACATCGCTGCAAGGCATGCAGACTGTCATTTACTCTCTCTTCATGATTTGCACCATCTTCTCGTCATTGGCGCAACAGATCATGCCCGTGTTCGTCAGTCAACGGTCGCTCTACGAGGGACGTGAACGCCCCAGCAAATCCTACTCCTGGAAGGCCTTCCTCGTCGCAAACGTCATTGTGGAGCTCCCTTACATGGTTATCATGGGTATATTGACCTACGCCTGCTACTTCTATGCCGTCGTTGGAGTCCCCAGCTCGTTGACCCAGGGAACTGTCCTCCTGTTCTGCATTGTCTTCTTCATCTACGCTAGCACCTTCACGCACATGGTCATTGCCGGCCTCCCCGATGAACAAACCGCCAGTGCGGTAGTCGTTCTTCTCTTCGCCATGTCTCTCACTTTCTGTGGTGTCATGCAGCCCCCGAGTGCCCTTCCTGGCTTCTGGATTTTCATGTACCGTGTCTCCCCGTTCACATACTGGGTCGGCGGCATGGCAGCCGCTCAGCTTCACGATCGTAAGGTGATCTGCTCGACCTCAGAACTAGCCATCTTCAACCCACCCTCTGGTCAAACTTGTGGACAGTACCTCATGAAGTATGCCGAGGCCGCTGGCGGTCAGCTGCTCAATCCCGAGGCTACGAGTGATTGCAGTTACTGCTCTCTTCGTGTTGCCGATCAGTACCTGTCCACGGCGGGTATTGAATACGGTGATAGGTGGCGCAACTTCGGTATCATGTGGGCTTTCATTATCTTCAATGTTTTCGTGGCCACCATCATGTACTACCTTGTCCGCGTGAAGCGCTGGAACAGTGCCGATTTCAAGAAACTCATTCCGGGAAAGAAATCGAAGGGTGGCAATTGAATTCTCTCACTGTCCTCTTGCTAATATCTCTCATTCTTTGTTTATATTTTCTCTTTTTTTTGCCCCCTGGGTACCTTTGTCCTTTCTCTCCATTGCCTTTTTGGGCCTCCCACCGACCTTGCGGTTTATCTCTCATATTTTGCATACCTTGCATACCTTGCATATCTTGCATACTTTCTTATTTCTACCCTCCTGCGCTACGCAGAGAAACTATTGCCTTAATCCATAGACTATATATCCTGCTAGACTAGCAATTGCATCATGATATTTATATCAAACCTACTCCATCCAAGTACCAACCTGGCAAGCCTAGAGTCTCTGGAGTCAAACCTCTAAGCTATGTAATCACGAAAGTCAGGACTTCGTACAGCCCCCTACAAGGCAGGCAATAAGTGGATCTTTGAGCGCGGGAGGGTGCGCTTGGTCAGATAGATTCATGATCAAGCAAGCTATGTAAATCATATAAAAACCAAAATACTTATTGATAAAGGTTTGAAGTAGCATGCCATAGTGCTTCGAATACTGAAAATGCCTCTCGTTCGTGTGTCGTTTCGGGTGTTGAGGTGCCTTCTTGATTTAGAAGTTATGGTTTTCCACAGCACATAAATACTCTCCTTGTCTTACTTATCTTCCCTCTTTCTCTCTTTCCCACTCCCCAAACTGATTTCACGGTACACGGGCTTCGCCACCAGACTCACCTGGAACGATGGAGGATAACTGGCGGGGAAATTCGACAGCAGACTCACCTGTGACGAGAGGCACCAAATGGGGATGGGCAGGCGGCTGCCACGGTTCAAGATGCTAGGGAAAACATATAAAGAGGATGAACTTCTGTTGCTGGTGAGAGAAGTAGGGGGATGCTGCACGGGCGACCGTTTGAGCACATCAGATGTATGAAGCACACCGGAACTCTTTTCTCAGACACAGTGGGCGTTCGTCTTCTCAAGCCTCGGCGTTCGCTTAAGCAACGGATATAAGGGATCTGACTTTCTGGTACTGTGGAATCTGGTGAAGTGGGTTCGAGGGAGAAGGCGGGTGGCGGGCTACTGTTTGCTCTATGATGAATCGGTCTTGATGATGTTTCACATCCATCGGACGTGGCGACACCCTCTGTGACGGCCGGGCAAGCTTGATCGGAGGCTCGCAATGGACCTACTGAGAGCATACTTTTGTACTGGATTGTTCACATGTATCATTGTGGGCTTGGGGGCTGTGGGTAGTTGACTGAGAATGTTGTCTGCTTGTTTCATCACACTCAGGCGTGAATAGAGCCTCCACGGTGTGAAATCCAGACAGGCCAGCACAGTCAACTATTCTGTACTATCCCTCCAGAGCAGGAGCATTTTAATATGGTTGAACCTTACGTACATAGTCAATCTAACCTTTTTTGCGTCCCAGAAGGCCCATGCATGGTTTCTACCTCAGGTATGAAAGCAGGTTGCAGTCTCAATTGGGTGTCTTTGCTCATGAATAAAAACACCATAACACATCTCTCGGTTGATCATGATCTTGTTTTCAGACCCTCGGAATCCTTGATCTCTCCATCAAATCCGGCATGGCCACCGTCGGATCCATTTTATAGATCGGAACCTTATCCTTATCAGCTAATCAGCAATGCACAGACCAACGGCCCGTTGCACCAACGTCAGGGCCGAACACCGCGCAATAAATCAACCAATTGCCCGACAGCCTCCAAGGCCCCAGAACATCAACATGGACCCGGACAGCAGCATCCCGGTCGAACCAGAACCCTCGGTTTTCAACTATGTGCTCTCCTTCCTACTCGTCGGCGTAGCATGGGGCTTCACAACCCCCTTTATCCGCCGTGCAGCAGCAGACTTCAACGCCCGACAAGAGAAGCGCGCAAACGAATCAAACCCCTCAGGGCGCAGAGGAAGGTACTCGGAAGACTCACCTGAAACCGGATTCACGGATGCGGGCGAGGAGCAGGAATTGCTCTCTCGGAACAGTGACTCGGGTGACGAGGAAGGTGTGCGGAGACGGAGCACGAGTAGCAGTGATGCGAACCGAAAACCAAAGACTGCTGGTGCCGATACGGGGCTTGACAGTGAGATTGATGGGCAGAGTGCGAGTCGCGATACTACAGAAGCGAGGGAAGGCGGCGCCGATGACGAGCAGGACGATATACCCTCGCCGGTGTGGAGGCGTGGAACTCCTGCGAAGCAGTCATGGCTGCGGGCGAAGATTGTGTCTATTTTCTGGACGGTTGTGAATTTGCTTCGCACGCCTGCGTATGCGATTCCGTTGGTCATCAATCTCACGGGCAGTATTTGGTTCTTTTTGCTTGTTGGAAAACATGGTAGGTGTCACTCCTTGGCATCCTTGACTGATCAGGCTGTACCTTTGGGGGTTTCAACTGCTAACCAGTTGCTGTGTAGAACTTTCTTTGACTGTGCCGCTTGCAAATTCGAGTGCGTTCCTGTTTACTGTTCTTGGGGAGTGGTATGTTGATCGCAAGGTGATTGCGAAGGAGACATGGTTGGGGATGGGGCTGGTACTTGGAGGGATTGCAGTATGCGTGCATTCTAAGAATCAGGCATCTTGAAATTGATTCAATTTGGGTTAGGGAGTTGGTGCTGATTTATGTGGTGTTAGTATGATTGGTGCGCGCTAGACACTAAAGCGATGTACGTCGCTTGACCTGAATTTAATAAAAATTTTAATAGCCGATAGAAGTATATCACTATATCCACTCAGTACCTGAAACGGTGAAAGTATATCTTGACCCCCTATAGTGCCTAAGATTTATGTACACATACACTGGTGCTTTTGGCCTACTTCTCGAAATCCATATTGACAAATAGAGTACACAAAGCCCAAACCATGCAAGAAACACATTTCCATGAGCCCAAGTAGATGCGAAGGCAAGCACATGCAGATGATGCACCGAGTCGAAGGATAGAAAGAAAAGAACAAAAACCAGATAAATCACGATATCATTTCATTCCGCGTATCATAAAGGACGAAAAGCATATCGCGGGCAAGTCATCAAACATATTACATTTTCCATTTCCATTTCCATTTGCGTACCAGACCGGACCCGCCGTGGTATTGTAACCGAATCCAAATCCGGAAAAGATCAGGGGATATATGAGAACAAGGTATTGCTGTATGGCGCAAAGAAACATAGCCGTCATGCTTAGAAGTTGACTGGATCAAACGCCGCGGAACTAAAATATGAATGTTTAGTATATGATCGACGAAAATGTGGGCGGAAGGGAAATAACTCACCATACGAACAACCAGATACCACATTGCGCCAATGAACTTAAACATCGACAGAGCAGCAACGCTCCACAGGACAACCTCCATGTAGATCATGGAGCGCTTGGTCTGCGCATCTTCGGAACTGGTCTTGGATGTGTCATCAAAAGTTTCCAATCCGGCAGCGCTCAGTACAACCGCACCAAGAGCAAAGTTGCAGAAAACCCAGGCGAGCACGACGGCACTGCGGAATCCCTTGTAGTAATCGGCTTGCTTCTCTTCCTCGGAAATGACTGTAACCTCCTTTGGGGGCTTCATGGCGAACTTGGCACACTCGGCCTCATACTGTGCGTTCAGATCGCCGTCATCTTGCGGAATGTTGACGTCGACCTTGCCGCCGGGTTTGAGGTGCGCAGAAGGCAGCTTCTCAGCCTTGTCATCGCCCTTGGTACCCCATGTGATGTCGTGGGTGTTGCAGAAGGCGTAGATGTTGAGGACGTTGATGTAGGTTGGTGTGAGCAGGATGTATTGAATGAACTGGAGGATGTTAGGAGAGCCGACGATATGAGATCCATAGAATAACTTACACTAGTGAACATGTGCCATGGATCCAGGAAGATAAACGAGGCCACGAACCACATGACATAGGTCGATCCAAGCGAGACAATGATAGAAAAGAACGTCTCGTTGGAGAATAATTGACCGACCGAAAAGGTGTTTGAGGCCACTTCTGCTTGGATCGATTTGACCGTGACGAAGACAGCAGCAAATGCAAGGTATATCATGATCACAATCCAGAAATAAACCATGGTCATATAAAACTTGTTGGATCCGCCGGGTCGATTACCGAGCGCTAAAACGAAGCACGTAACGAGAGTTGCCAGGTATAGCCACTCGAAGACGATGCCTAAAACCTTACCGGCGGTACCCAGTAGATCATCTGAGCCCAAGTATGTTGTCAAGATGTGGAAAACCAAGAAGAAGTTACCCTGTGCAAGGTGTTAGCATAGATAAAAAGAAATTATGTATGAGAGAGAATCTTACGATTCCGAACCACGCGAAAATCATCGCAATTGTCTGATAGACAAACTCAATCATGAGCATGAACTTTCGAATGAAGCTGTGATCACTGCGGAAGATCTGATAGAAGTGGGTGATCGCGTAAACTGCAGCAAAGAAACTTCCATTCAGCCAGCGACGACGCTGGAGAATGAACTCGGCCATCTGATCAGGCACATCAGTTTCACCAGTTGACGACTTGACGTATTGGAGAAGCCATCGGCATTTCCGCTTGGAGACAATCTCGAAACAGAGGATTCGATCCTCGGCCAAGTACATGTTTGCCGTGAAGATACCGGCATTTGCACCATGCATCTTCTCACCCAAGAAGTAACGCTCCAGTGGACCTTGGCCATTCTTGTCGTTTTGGAGTGCAACAAATCGGTAGGCGGAGAACGCACCAGGTAGCACCGTAATAAAACCGAATGAAGACTCGAGCGGTTTGTCGAGAATGTTACTAAGCTTGTACTCGAAGTTTTGACCAGCCACCAGCGGGTTCAGCAACTTCTTGCCGTGAGACAGCATGACCTTGATCTCACCACATGCACCGCCGCACATGGGCTCGACATCGAAGGCCTTCCAGAGGTGATATATCGAATCTCTACCCGGTTTAGTACCCGCGTCTAAGAGAACACAGATATTGGGGTCCAAGACACGACCGAAGGCTTGGAAGAACCATCGATGAGAGTTGATTTTCTTCTGATTCTTTTCCTTCAGGCAGAAAATCAGCTGCACAGGAGGCCCAGATCGAGGCTTGAGATGCACTTGGGTGCCCTTTACCTCCAACCCAACCTGAGTGGTATACTCGTAGATGTGCGCAGTGACGTCCTTGCCGTTGACTTGCTGCTTCGCAATGCCGTCCTGGTACACACCTAGACCTGCGAGTACAGCACGCGTCCGGGGGGTTGATCTTGGCACGGCCGTCGCTAATAATACAGACGACGATCTTCTTCCACGCATCCTTGCCCCATGTTTTGCTGCTTGTGCGCGAACACATGTGATCAATGTTCTTGAATACACCAGACATGGTGCGCGCGAAAAGGAAGTCATCTTCATTGTACATGGTCACGGCGATGAAAAGCTCGGTGTTTCGAGGCTTTGCAAAAAGCTTCTGACGGAGAGTAAATCGCTCTTCGAAGAAATCGGCGGGATCACATGTCGCTGCCGAATAGCGCATATGTGTGAATTCATCGCGACCTGGCGGATCTGCGTGGGGTACTTGGTCGAGTAGTCTCGGTGCAATGGGGCAATCGAGCACGAGGTTGCCGTTGAAAAGCTGGACTTCTTTCACCGTCTTCCAACGACGAATAGGCGCTGGGCTGGGCGTGGGTTGTATTTCTTCCTGAAACTCAGTATACGGGTCCGGCCCGAAGGGGTTGTCGCCCGTTTGCAGCATGGGCTGGTCATCTTGAAAGGGGGTGTGTCCTCCCTCCGGATACTGGCCTAGGTCATAATCGTCATGTGGCGTGTGGGTAGGCTGGTAGGGTTGGGTGTAGTAGGCGTCGTGATGGGCCTCAGGGTCAACAGCATACTCTTGGCCAGCATAAGGATGGTGTGTGTCGTAAGTGTCATGATGGCCATAAGAGTTGTGAACATTTTCGACAGAGTACTATTTTCAATGTCGATTGTCAGCATGTATTTTGACACAGCCAATTTCGCTCCTATCTGCTCATACTTACAGTAGGTTGTTCGGCCAAGCGATCACTGGATGGCATGGGAAGATGCGACTGAGGGCCATATGGATTGTCTGAAAGCTGGTAGCCAGGCTGCAGTGGTCGCCCTGGGGAAGGCGTGCGATTGCTGTATCCGGTGAGATGGGAGGGATTCAACATGGGCGAGGTATGCTCGTCTCCGAACGGGTCTGTTCGCGGCATTGTTAGTCTTGAGACGTAGAAGATTCCTCAATGGAAGCTCGAATGGTAAAAGCTTGACGGCGCAAATGTTAAAGAGACCATTTAATCAATGACCAGCACTGATTGAAGCACTTTCAGAGAGATGGAGAGGGTACAGGCAAGAACAGAGGGAGGGTGAGGTAGGGAGGGTCCAATAGGGCTGGAGGAGCACTGACCGGCGGCCACACGATTATAGGCCATAATGGGAGCCTCAGAATTGAGTTCGAGATTATGCCGCCCCAAATTTGTCGTAGAGGATTCTTGGAGATTGCGCCAGGAGCGCCGAGTGGAATATTAAGCGTCAGTAGGAGGAAACACTAGTCCGATTGACGGATCCGAGGTCTCGGCGTCGTTTCAGATATGAAGGATGGTCGCAAGCGAAATTTGATACGTAGAGAGGATATATGAGATTGTCGCACGACTGCACAAAAGGTGAAGAAGAATAGCGATCAAAAAAAGGTGGAAAATACGGGTTGCCTCTGTTGTTTACGACGCCTTCGATTCCCACCGATAATGGGTGGATCTGGGGGCGAATCAGATGTGTCTGTGCTGCTCCGCACTGCGTAGTGGATGTACGTCAGTATGTACCTTGCACGCCGATTAGGCCCGTATACAGATGCAGGGTATAATGGAAAAAAAAAGAAGAAGAAGCAGATTCTTCGGGAATAAAAACCCCAATAGTAAAGAATGCCCTGAAACAGTTGAGCCACGGTTTTGTAGAGAAGAGACTCCAGAAACTCCACTGAGAGATGTGTTACTGGGCCAACTGACTGGGACTCAGCCACATATGGCTTGGCACTGTGGCTTGTCTATTTGTCTTTTTTTAGCATCTGAGGTCATTGGAAGTGCTGTAAGGTACATTGTAAAAAGCAGCTGCCTATATGAATGATGTCCTGGTGGGGTTTCACCTTGATCTGCATATCTAACTCTGTCTCTAATTTCTGCCTAGTGTACAACATTGCATATAGAATTTGGTGTATATGGTTGGAAGGCGTAATACGAGTGAAGATATTCTCTTCAGGGCTCTGGTGGAGAGACCCAAGTTGGGATAACCCCCACCTTACCGCCTTCACAATCCAGGACCTTCCTTGTATACTATCGTCTTACCTACTTCCTAGCTCTGCATATCCCGAAAAGTCTCATAATCAAGATTCCTTGGTGATCCCTACCCCACTATGGCTTCCAACTCAAATGGGCGCTCTACCAGCGTGCTATTTGTATGCCTGGGAAACATCTGTCAGTCATCATTGCCGGTGCTCCCCCGCTATTGCGACATGCTAATCCCATCTAGGTCGTTCCCCGATGGCCGAAGGAGTGTTTCGCGACCTGGTTGCCGCCCACCCCTCCATCGGTGAGATTGACTCCGCCGGTACAGCCGCCTACCACAGCCTCGAGCCGCCCGACTCCCGCACCATGTCGACGCTGCGCCGCCACAAAATCACCAATTACAACCATGCCGCCCGCAAAGTGACAAGGGAAGACTTCCTCACCTTTGATTACCTGCTCGCCATGGATAAGTCCAATCTCCGCGACCTGGAGGATGTGCGCGAGTCGGTCATTGCGACGCTGCAGAGGAAGACCGACAACAAGCCAAGCTCGAAGAGTACGCGTTCACACGTGGATGCTGCCATCGGTGCATACGGAGCTGATACCAAGGTTGCCAAGGTACGGTTGTTTGGTGATTTCGGCAAGGGTGGAAAACTGCACGATCGCGTTGGCGGAGGTGAAGTGGTAAAGGATCCTTACTATGGGGGCGTCAATGGATTCGAGGAGGTCTACCAACAAGTTGTGAGATTTTCTAAAAATTTCGTGGACCACTTGGAGCAAAACCCCATTGATTCTGAGTGAGTGGTGCTGACCACACACCACGGGGATGAAAATCTCAGACCATGAACCTAAAGAAGGTGGTTTTTTCATTGATACCCTGCGACGAGCGATTGAATCGGGCACATGACTGGCAATTAGAATATACAATGTTAAATATAGTTAGCAATATCGAGATAAGTAGTCGGTATAGTACATGGAGCCCTGGACGGCAACAGAAGACATGAACGGTGACGCAACCTCGGCACATGCGTTCCACCAAATTGCCTGATCAGATCTTCTCGCTGATCTTGATAGCGGTCCTGCATCCAAAACGAATGACATCCACGAGCGGATCGTAGGGTTTGGCCTCCTTTGAGTCGTTGGCCACGGCATGGTCGAGATGCTCTAGTTCCTCGTCACGAATTCTTCGGAATGTGGCCAGCATTTCTTTAAGTTCATTATCCAACTCCTCCCCCCGTCTCTCGGCATCTGCCTCCCAAGATAGAATTTCTCTTACTTGGTCATTGTAGTGTGTTCCAATCTCAGTCTCCACGGCTTCGGTGCATGCCATTGCAGCTTCGCGACCCAATGCCGCAGTCGACCAACCCAAAAAAGTGGCGGCTACCTCCCATGCCGGATACATGGCAGTGGGGCGGATTTGGTGCTTGGCAATGAGGTGATTGAAGGTCTTGAGATGCCCTGCTTCCTGGTCGTACATGTGTTTCATCAAGGGTCGGAGGTGCGGGTGTGAGCGGACGATCTGAGGCGTTTGGGCTTTGTAAATCAGGGTTGCGGCGAGTTCACCGGCTTGATTCACTCTCAGGGCGCTATCCAGGAATTCTCGTTGCTCTTTGCTGAGAACATATAGAGGTTTGGAGTCACCGGGGGTGCCGGCTGTAGTTGAAGCCTGCCGACATTGGCCATTCTTGAATGTTGACGGTACGAGGAAATCGAGAAAAATAGGAGCTGTTGCTGGCACAGAATAACGGGAGTGCGACAATGCGCACCTGCGCAGAATTGGTAAAGACAACATTGAGAAATTGAATTGGCATACTAATGAACCAAATTCAAGGAACGAAGCTCACAGGTCGCGTATTGGTCGCTTACACTGTATTGGCGCTGCCGCGCGCTTATTATCGGCTTGGCATTGAACGTCATGAAGTTGACGGCAAAGGCCAACTTGCGACGACCATCTACGCGCTACTTACGATACCCTCCATTACGTCTTCCCTTCCTCTCGTGTATAGAGTGTTTGTCGGATTTGGGACACCACTTTATTCAGAACGGACATTTGGACCACACTTTGAAAGTCTTGCCCACTTCTCTATATTTTTGGAACAACTCGTGGAAAGGAGGGGACAAATCTAGAGGAACACGAATATTCCTATTGTTCCGAGATTCTTGGATGCCTATCGATATATAGGCCACCGTTGATTGAGTTCTATTGAGGGTATAACTGCATTAGGAGATATTCACAATGGCGGACGATTTGGATGCTGAGCTGCTCGCGTTGGCGGGTGACTCTGAGGAAGAAACATCACCACCCCCCAAATCACCAGCGCACTCTTCTTCTTCACACGCCCAAGATCGAGATACCTCACCTGCAGCCATGGGTCGTAAAGGTACCGCAAAATCGATGGGCCGCCGATCCCGCAAAACTACAAACGATGAATCGGAGGGCGAAGTGTGAGCAGCATCCCTCTATCTTGCATAGCGAAAAAGATCATTAAACTGACAGTATATACAGGTCTGACGATGGATCTCGTCATTCGCTTCAATCTGCCGCCATGTCTGAATCCGAGTCAGAGGCCGACAACTCTGGCGATGACGACGAAGATCGCCCTATTTTCCCATATGATAAGCTCTACTACTCAGCCCAGGACAAAAAGGATATTATGGCCATGCCTGAAATTCAGCGCGAGGAAACTTTGTCCGAACGTGCTCAGCAAGTTGATCGCCACAATCAGGATCTGGCTCTACGCCGCCTTCTAGCATCTCGCTCGCGCGAGGAAGCACGAGCGGCCAAAAAGGCAAAACGAAAGGCAGGTTCCGCCGGCTTGGATGACAACCAGCGCAAGAGCTCGCGCCAGAAGACCACTCTCGGTGGCCGCAAAGTCGGAGAAACGTCCGGAGCCATCGAGGCATACAAGCGCCAGCGTGAACAGAAGGGAAAGCGAGATGAACTCCGACGCCGAGATCCTACAAAATCGCGCCGCCGTTCGCGCTCGATTGGATCTGATATTTCCGATGAAGATGCTGATGCCGAGAGTGATCTTGAATTGGATGACCGCGTTGGCCGTCCGGTTTCCATTCCCAAGGATGACCCGCCCGCGGAGCTTCGAGAAATTCGACGTGCTCAAGTTGGCCGTAACAACTTCGCCAAAGTCTGCTTCTACCCTGGATTCGAGAATGCTATGATAGGCTGCTACGCACGGTTGAGCATTGGTCCGCACCCCGAGAGTGGCCAGAATGAATATCGCCTAGGCCTGATTACTGGTAAGATGCGCTGTTGTCTAGTTTCCTCATGCACGCTGACAGTTTTCTAGGAATCTCTCAGGGCAAGCCATACGCGTTGGAGGGCGAAAACGGTCGTTCATTTGTCACGGATCAGTATGTCAAGCTAGCACATGGAAAGTCTGTCAGGGACTTCCCATTCGTCACTTTCTCAAATTCTCCAATTACTGAGGTTTGCTACTTCCCGCTCTCGAATCTCAGAAGACAACTGACAGTCAACCAGTCCGAGTACCGCCGTTACGTCCAAACCCTCACTGTTGAAGACTGCAAGCTAGCTACAAAGGGCAAGGTTGAGTCGAAGGTCGCTGATATTAACCGTCTTCTCAACCACACATTCACTCGTGAGGAGTTGAACGAGAAACTCCGTCGCCAGGGTGCTTTTGACCAGAAGAAGAATGTACTCAATCGTCTTGAACTGGAAAGAAATCTGGAATTCGCTAAAGTCAATGGAGACATGGAGGAGGCTGAGAAGATTGAGGCAGAGCTGCAGAAAATGGTCAATCCGACTCTATCCTGGGGAACAAGCCTTGTCAAGAAAGAAGTTGATAGGGGTCCATCGGAAGCCGAACGAGTCCACCAGATCAACCTTCGCAACCAGAAGCTCAACATCGAAAATGGTCGTCGTGCTCAGCTCGAGGAGAGAAAGGCTGCTAAGAAGGCAGCCGAGGCTGTTGCCCGTGGAGAGGCGGCGCCGAATCCCTTCATGCGCGTCCGAACAGTGGCTAAAACTCACCACGATGTCAGCGGCGCACCCAAGTCCGCTTCTGCTGCCGACGGCTTAAAAGATACCCCGGATAGCGCGAAATCTAACGGTAGTCCTGCACAGAAGGGAACTCCCGCTCCTCGCATCACCTCAAAGAAGCCCAAGAATGGCTTCATGATTAGTTACCGCAACACCGATGACGAGAACATTGCCGCCCTGGATATGGATATCGATATCGAGATCTGATTTCATTCGAAAATGTCGTTTTTACCCTGTGCTTCGGCGCGGTGACTTTGGTCACTTGGTCCGATTTACTACTTCAAGAATATTCTTCTATTCCGAGGTTCCATGATTCCCCCGAACAAGCCTACATGTCTCCAGGACCTTTAGCGGCGATGGAGTCAACGTCTTGTCCATATTGTGTTTGTATCTTTTGCTTTGTTTTTTCTTACACGGTATTTGAGGAGTCCGTGGGTGATCTCGGCGTCATTTCAGAAAATAGCATCAAACTGTGTATTATGAGGGTTCTGGGAATACAGCATTAGCAACACTCCCATCGTTCCAAGTCAGCAGCGCCGTATTTACTACTGGAAGACATAGTTCCAAAGAATTAGGCTAAAAATGCGATCAAATATAGATCAAACAAAGAATATCTCATTTGCATCTATTCGCATAGTTGCCCATAACAATAAAAACCAATTAAGCCGAAGAGAAACAAATGATAAGATAAGGTCACGTGTAGTAGCAACGCGAGGAACGCGCATCGCGTTTGGACTATGCGCCCTTGAAACTGGCGTCCACGTCAACTAATTCCGCACGTCGGAAGTCTCACAGCTCGCTTCCAAGTATAATCCATATCACTATGGAAACTTTTTCTTAAAAATCAACATTACGACCATAATATCAACAAGATGTCCTCACCATCCACTCCACGGTCGACGCGTTCCGTGTCGCCCGCGGGTGATTCGCCGAACATTATTACGCCCGGCCAGAAGATCAAGGCTATGATGGCTCAATTCGACAGCGATTCGGATGACGATTTTCAAATTGCCAAATCAACAGATGCAGTCTCGAAGCTTGATCTAGGGCGTGTTTCGGTGCCGGCTGCTGAGACGCGGAAGAATGGTCCATTGGACGACCCAGAAGAGGACTCAGACAGCGCAGATGAGGTTTTCCGACCAAGGGGCCGTATGGCCGCTCGTTTACAGGATAGTGCTGGATCAGCAGAACTCGAGCACGAAAATTCAGCATTTGTCCGCGTGTCGAAAGCCATCCGATCAGAAAGACAGGACCAGAAGCCCGAACAGACAGAACCACAACCTACACTCGTCAGCGAATCTAGTGATGATGATCTACCTGCAGCCAACCGGAGGAGGAAGCATACGCCCACAGCCAACTCCCCTAGGTCCAATAATAGGACGAGCCAAACCCCTCCCCGTTCAAGACCCGACTCTCCCCTCTTTGTATCTTCTCCAGGCGAACCGCATGACGACCCAGATGCCGGGAATGAGGAGACCGAAGATTCCAGCGAGATGAGGCCTAAAGGAAACGCCCGTTTCATGGCTCTTGTTGCTCAAAAGCGCAAAGAACGCGAAGAGCGAGAGAAAGCCGAGGCCACAAAGAAGGCCATCCGCAGAGCCCAGATGGAGCAGTTTAGTTCACAAGTAGTTTCAGGCGAGGAGAGCGGTGCTGAGGACCCGCGATCTGAGAGCAAGCTTTCCCAGAAAGCTCGTCAGCCCCGGAAAGCTAGTAAGAAGGCACTGGATGAGATGAGACAGGAGACTCAGCGGATGAGCCGCAACATGCAACTTGCTCACCAAGCCAAGACAAAAAAGAAAATCACCAAGGAAAGCCTCTTCGCTAAATTCAACTTCATGCAACCCGACACACCGGTCGAGCAACTCACAGCAAATTCATCATCCGCGGTTGGATCTCAAAATTCATCTGATGGAGAACTACACACCAAAACCAAAGATACCCCGCATACTTCTCCAGTTGCTAGCCATTTGGATGCTCTCAAGTCGACCGCCGATTCTGATCGTGCTCAAGTTCAGGCAGCTGATGTGGATATGGATGTGGACACTAAAGATTTGCCTGACCCTAAAGACCTCCTGGTGCCAAGTCAGCACCCTTCATTGTGCAAGGGCCTCGACGCCCAAGATGCCTCGACTTCTGTGCCTGAACCCGAGGGCGCCAAATTGAAGAGAGTTTCGCGCCCATTGACGCAACCATCTATTCGCGTGCTACTTTCTAGACAACAGGTTGCTGCGCATCAGAAAGACTCAGACGATTCCGATAGTGATCTTGAGGTCGTAACAGACCCTAGCAAGTGCCGTCGTCTCGCAGCGTTCGAAAACCTCCCTACTAGACAGTTACATGAAGACCCGTCCATGACCAAGCTCAAGGCATTGGCACACCTGACATCTCCTACCCGAAAAATGGCTTCCATGAACGCTGCGGAGCTTTCCGCAAGCCTTTTGTGGCGGGCGCGGCAGCAAGCAGCCAAGGAGCGACAGGAGCGCATTGAGGAACTCAGGGCCAAGGGAGTGGTCATTGAAACAGCCGAGGAGCGTGCAGCGATGGAGGATGACATGGAAAACCTTGTTGACAAAGCACGCAAAGAAGCAGACGAAATCCGCCGGCTGGAAAAGGCTGCTAGGAAGAAGGCCAACGTTGACGATGAGGAAGAAGAGGATGATGACTACGAGCTTTCTGGCTCTGATCAGGAGGGAGGTGACGAAGAAGACGACGAAGATGACCAAGAGGAAGAAAACGAGCGTGTCAATCGCGGCGGTGATCTCCTCGAACGGGAGGCAGATCAAGACGACGATTCGGCTGACGACGAGAGTGAGACCGTTCCTTCGGATGCCGAGAATGAGTTGCCTGCCGCGAGGCGAAAGCGACGAGCTCGAGTGATTAGTGATGACGAAGACGAAGACGAACCACAAGCACCTTCAACACCTGTGAGAGCCCCGAGCTATGTCCCGAATTCCGTCGAACGACCCAACTTTCTTGGCATGGGAACACCAGGCAATCTGTCCCTAGGTCTTACCCAGGCATTTGCCTCCACGTTGGATGACAATGGTGTCGACAGCCAAGTGGAATCTGCCACCATACCTTTCTCACTCTCAGACCCCGGTCACGTTGTTCCTCGACTTCAAAAGGAAGAATCAGAGATTCTTGTCCCAGACAGCCAGCCCCAGCCCCATGACAAAGACTTCGTGGAAGGCTATACGCAGAATGTAACCCGAATCTCAGAGTCGCCTGCGCCATATGCCTTCTCAGAGTATTCCCAATCACAATTGCCCGACCCAACCCAGGACGAGGGCTTTGTTTTCTCACCATTCGATCCTGCGAAAAGATTCAAGGGTACCCCGCCCATGTCTACGGTCGACACCGTCCTTGTGGGCCAAACTCAGTCACCCATTGCTGACCGCAAACGCAAAATGCTGCGCCGAGGACGTGCAGTTAAACTATCTCAAGTTGACGAGGATGATAATGAAGGCGGCTTTGAAATCGACGCCAATGCCTTTGATATCATGAAGAGAAATAGGGCTGTAAAGAAGAATCCTGCTCCGCAATACAACAAGAACAACAGCAAGGCGAAAGAGATTGTCGATGAGGCCGCTGAAGAATCCGAGGATGAATATGCCGGCCTTGGAGGTAACAGTGACGAGAGTGATGGCGAAGAAAATGCCATCGATCGCCAAATGATCAATGACAATAGTGGCGAGGTGGTTGACGAGAAGCAACTTGCCGCACTCAACGCGTATGTTAAGGTTTTGTACATATTCAATGGAAATATACTAACATCCTCATAGGGTTCACGATCGCAACCGTGATGAAAAGGACGTCGCCAAGTTGATGAGAGATATCACCACTGGAGCCCTCCGTCGTCGAAAGAATGCGGATGATGACTTTGACCTCGACGACTCAGACGATGAGCTCCTAGCACGTCGCCGTGAGAAACAACGAGAGTTCGCTAAGATGCGCCGCGCCCTCCTTGCAGACGAGAAGATCGGCGAGATCGCCGAGAATCCTAAGAAGGCCGCATTCTTCAAGGCCGTTGAGGATCGCGAAGTTGATGATGACTTTAACATCGACTTCTTGGAGGAGGAAGAGAACGGCTCCCAAGGAGAAGCCTCACAGGGCCCTGCTTCAGCAGAACAATCGAATGATGCGACGAGCGATGGTCAGAACCGCAAGCGCCCTCTCGAACCATCGGCTGAAGATGCAACCAACCGTCCTCCAGCTCGCCTCCGTCGCACCCCCGCCAGCGCAATGTCAAAGAAACCAGCTACCATAGCAGAGATTCGTGAAACGTTGTCCTTCCTTACTGAAACCCCCGATTACGACTCTTTCCAGGACGACGCTTCTCTCGACGATGAACAGCCCGACCAAGATGAAGACACTCCTGGCGCGGAAGAAGTCCAAGGCGACGACGATCATTCACAGTCGGACAAGGCCTTTGCCAAACCCAGTCACCCACGCCGCACGCGCGGAGTCGTGGTCGACCGCCTTGCACTCCTCCGACAAGCGTCGTCCAACTCGGCCACAGGCACCAACTCTGGCCTCGCAGACTCAAAGCTTGCATTCCACAGTGGTAGCGGCGGAGATGGTCCTATTGGATTCCGCCCTCCTCAACTCCTGCGTCGTGTTACAAGTGGTTCCTCATCTTCCAGCAGCTCGAATGCCTCCAACCGTGTCTCCAAAGCTGCAGCTTCAGGTCCCAAGAAGGGCGGTGCTGTCAACTCGTATGCAGCTGCGCGTGAGCGTGAGCGTGAAAAGGAGCTTCGTATCAAGCAGCGCAGTGGAGGTTCTAACATTGCCAAGTTATTGGGTAAACATACTGGTAGTGGTTTGGGTGGGTTGGATAAGGGTCAATGGGAGTGAATGGATGTTCGATGGAATGAGTGATGTCTTCCTTTCTGCATAGGCGCGGAGTTTTCATTTACGCTGTGTTATGATGGCATGGGATTGATTCGTCGGAGTTACGGTCCCATAATGATATGATCTCAGGCATTAGGCGTACTGTTCATGATTAATTTGTTACATATTGAATCAAATGTTTAGATTGCACATTCCCTAACAACCTTGAAAAAGACAACTTTCGAGTAATCCATGTGTTATTTTTCCCTCGATAAGGAGGCAATCTACAACATACTGATGGGTCCTTGGTGGATTCCACATTAGAAATCCAAAAAAAAAGATGTGCATCATCCGTGAATCGAACACGGGCCTCGTCGATGGCAACGACGAATTCTACCACTAGACCAATGATGCTGGTGGAAACAGGTGATCAGATGGCTGATTGGCTGTTGATATATTGAACTTCCCTATTGAAATACAAGAGGCCAATGCACACAGAATGGATATCAAATTAATATGGACTATGGAGAAATTCATTTTGCTCATAGTCATAAAATCCTCGACCATTCTTGACTCCCAGACTTCCATCTTGAATCATCCCCCGAAGATAGTCCCGCGGCTCTGTAGGAAGACCACTCCGAGATTCGGCGTAGTGATTCTCAATGTCCAACACAACATCCAAGCCAACAACATCCATTTGCTCACATGGGCCCTTAGGCGTCTTCAAGACGTCTTTGAAAATGGCATCAATTTCTTTAGGCGTGGCAACACCTTCGGACAATGTGAGCAGTGCCTCGCGCTTGATAGCAGCCCAGATTCTTGAATTGTTATAAGCCTGATCATATGGTAATGGTGGGACAAAGATAACCCACCTGTTATATATATAGCCGATCGAGTCTTTTTTGACACGGAAAGGTGAGAATCCATGTTCTTGACATTGCCCCAAGACTAGATCGATCAGCTTTGGATCGCTGTCCTTGTGGCCCATGATTTCAATCGCTGGCTTCTAATTAGTTAATCGAACAGAAAAGGACGATGGTTGGGAATAGCGATAAACATTACCCGATGTCTCTGGTGGCCAATCTGACAGAAGGTGTTAGCGGAGTATCCCATTTAGCATTGATCACCACCTACAGCAGTGCGCGCTCATAATACGCGTGTTGTTCTTCAAGCTCATGCCCTCGATGATTTCAAAGATTCCATAGCTACTCGAGTTCGAAGCAATAATTGTGCTTTCGGGGGCAAGATCATCAAGTTGGGTGATCAGCTTTCGCTTTAGCTCCAAGCTCTCCGGCACACACTGGTTTCAGGTCATGTTAATCAATTGGTCCTTTCGGTGAAGAGTTAAGTCGTACCTCAACAACGAGCCATGCACCTTTCAGTGTAGATTGTAACGAAGAGGGCTGAGAGGTTTCAATCTTCCCCCAATTTCGTTCATGATCTGTGGCATCCGCACGAAGTTGTTCCACGTACTTCATAGCATCTTGAAGCTGTTGCTCTTGAAGATCTACCAGACAGACAGTGCCACCTCGGCTTGACCACTTTGACATGTCAGCATCTAAAACATTTTCAAAGTTTTGAATATCAGTTACCATGTACGCCAGACGTCTACCTTGAGTACCAGCTCCGATAATCACAACGGACCCCTGTGGTGTTTGAGGACCTTCCATTTTCAATGTCGAAGCTCTCCACGTCGGGTCTCGAGATAATGAATTGAAGTTCCAATTGAACGTTTCAGAAAAATTTGGAGGATGTTCAGTACAAGTTCGGAGTTCAATGCGCAGTTCGGCCCCGCGCCCGGCACTTGCCCGCGGATATGCGGGGTGTACATGACGGACATGACACTCGGACCTTTGACGAGGCAGGAATTGAATGAACAGTTGCGACTATGAAGCGGATTCTCATTGGGCTCTGAATGGAGGAGACGCAAATGAAAAGAAAAAAAAAAAAGGCCAAAATGAACCAATACAGTTGTGTGAGGTGGAAGAGTCGCCAATTCAATGGATACAATTATTCTATCTGTCGCCTTCACTTGCTGAATGTACACGATATGCATGACCAACGCTGGCCGGCCTCATTTCGAGTGAGTTCTTTCAGACAGCCGTTCCCAATTAGATTTGATGCTGCCAGGTTGTTCGCGAGAACAGACTATTTTGGTAGAGGTGTATACACCAAACAGAAACCCTCAGGCTAATCTGGCCGGGTCGACAAGAACAAGCGATAGGTAAGCGTCTTCGGTACCACTTGCAGATATGTCATGACCGGTACAGTTTGGGGTGCAGCCTTGAGATTGCGCAGCAACCCATTTCAGAGCCCAACCCGAAGGCTCGCTGCTACCAAAGAAGCTCCGACGATGAAAGAAAAGGTTGTGTGTCAGAGAGCGAAGCATTGCACAAGCTCATGGAGTTGAAGAGCACAGACTCTTGACATGTCAAGAGTGTTCTATTTTGTACGTTGTCGCCTCCCAGGTTGGGGCATGAACTGATATCTGTTTCCTCGAGGCCAGCCAGGGAGCTTCGAGGTTATCTTCTTGACTCGTTATCCGACATAGATTGTCGATAGTAGACTTTGATTAACTTCCAGCTCACATCCGTAGTTTGCCGACGGGTGTCTTTCACGGGAAAAGCTCCAATTTATCTGCCAACTTCAGGAGATTTGGAAATTCCTTTGCACTATTCATATCGAAATCGAAAGACTCTCGCGGAATCAAGTAGCTCTCCCAGCCTGCATCCCTTGCAGCCTGGTAATCCTTTTGAAATCATCTCCTACATGCACAGACTTGAATTTAGTTCTGCTGGTCAACCACGGCCGGGCAACCTTTAGAGACTGCCGCCTCGCCACGTCAAAGATCAGGCGATGAGGTTTCTCTTGGCCGGCCTCATAACTTGTAATAACCATGTCAATATCAAGATCCAAGTTGCGGTCTTCATGTTTTTTGTCAAGTTCCCCGGCATCGTCTTTTCTGATACCTCGTTCCTCAAACCCCGGAAGATCCATACTTGATTTATCCTGGTCGGCGCGCATATCACCAACTGTCAACCCTAATGACTTCAACACAGCAGGAACCCGATCATCCGAGTTAGATATCACTCCAACAACGATCCTATCAAACGACCATTTATGTGCGGACTTCAGTTTGCGCAGTCGGCGGAAGAAGGGTAGCACATCGTCATAGAGCGCATACCCCTCGGAACCAGCAAATCGATCTAGAAGGGCTTCCACCAAGCCATCTGGAATATGCTGATGCTCGGTAGGGTGTTCAGGACACGTCTCCCCATTCTCTGTAGACAAAACACGTCCGAAACTCCCCCTAATTACCTCTTCCCACCACTGCTTCGGTCCCCCGTATTGGCCCCGAAGAACATCCGCACGGCCGTAATTTGGGTATCGACGCGCCTGCGCACGAAATGTGTCCCGAAATGCGGTTTCGAGTTTGTCCGGGGTGACGGTAGTGCGTGATAATCCGAATTGGTGTGCGGTCGCGGCATATTGCTCGGGAATGGGGAGACGGGGGTGGAAGAGGGTATTGAACGCGTCGAAGGTCAGCAGAAGAGTTCGTGAAGATGCCGGTATAAGGCGGGCTTTGCTCGACATTTTGTAGAGAGATGAGTGTCGAACAAGGGAGAGATGAGCTTCGCGGGTTGCTCGCAACAGTCGGCCCCACTCCCTCCGTATTCCCCATCTTTTTGATATTCAAGATGATATTGGGATTCTTCAATAATTCAGTACTTTTTGTCAGCCAGGTAAGATATGTTTTACACCCTACTCATCTCTTGGGAGGGCTTGTTACTTCCACTCAAAAAGCAAAAAGACCACATCGCGCATGACATCAAGCTGCACTTGTAGTGCATGGTTCTAGCTAGTTCTCTGTTCATTGGATTGGGTCAGAGGCAATTCCTTCTATTGATTGCAATTTATTATGCGGGGAAAGCGTCAGTGAAGACGTACAATAAGTATAGAAGACCCAGAGTAGGTGTTGGACTTCGAAGATATATATCTACATGTGCCGTGTAGCTAGTACTATGATTTCCCCACACTGTTAATGCACTGTAGGGTTTTATAAACGCGCATGTACTGATGTTTGAAGTTATGTCTCAATTGCCCACTCTGGGCTATTGATATTTTAAACCCCTACCTATATAGGGAATACTAGTCAGGCTGGAATAAGTTAATTGAACCTAAGTTGAATGATTGATATATGTCAATTTGTAGGTTAGGTCCACAACCTAGGGGAACCAGGAGGGAGAAACAACGAATGATATATTCGCTATCGAAAAACTAGGGAGAAGAGAAGATGATAGGGAAAGAATATATATCATGGAGGGATCAGGTCATCCCCTCCATGCCGGTCTACCACATCTGATCAGGTTGGAGGCCAGCTCTTGAACACCCAACCCCCTTCCTCCGCCTTTGCAAACCCAATTCGCGGCCCTTGCTCACCATGTCTCTCCTCAAACATATTCTCTACCTCAGTCACCGGCCTTGCCATGTTTACTTCGAACAACGACGCTACCAACGCAGGAATGGTCAGGCGCGCCTGTGCCTCTCCCGTATTCCCCCGAACAGCTATCAGAGCTATAATAGCAAGTAAGATACCCAGCACCACAAACAGCAGATTAGCGGCAATGAGGGCAAACAGTGGCGCTTTGGGAACACGCGCAACAAGGATACGTTCTCGTACTTGGGAAGCTAAAGCCGCGCGTGGCTCAAACGCGCCTGATGCAACTGCCAAAGCGGTTTGACTATATGCTAGTGCAAACTGATCTGCCATATCTTGTGCGGAGCTGCCAAGCCCTGCAATGCTAACAGCCTGAATGAGATTCGGGTCTCCGACGTCGGTGTGGCGCTGTGTGCCTTGGACGATAAGCGCCGTAGAGCGGTTAGAGTTGCTCATCTTCCAGTTTTTGATGGTGCCATTGATGGAAGAGTATACGATGTCATAGACGGTGGATGTGCATGTCAATACTACGATGGTAGCACCGCCGTGTCCACCGAACAAGACCTCCGGTTCGTTCTGTAGGGCGATCGGGCGTGCATTGCGCATGTTCGCTAGAATCACGGCCGAGTAATGATAGGGGTTGCCAATCAAGGTTGTATCCGTGTCATTGTCCGAGCGAGTTGAGTCTGTGAAGTAGGCCATGGTGACGGAGTTGGAAGCACCAACGGCCGTGTTGACTGTGCCTTGGAATGCAAATGGGCAGTTGTATCGTGTGCCGACTCCGTAGACATCATCGCTACTCGCGCACTGGGAGGTAACAGGAGAGCATTGTGAGTGTATCGCATATGTTGAAGCGGTGTAGTCGAGAAGCGGGAGATTAGATACTTCCGGGCTTGCGAGGTATGCGTACTGATGGTTCCCTGCCGAATAAATTGGTACGGTCATTGTAGCTGAGATATTGGAGAGAACTTTCATCGGGTCGGGATGAAGTAAGACATCGCCTGAGACAGGGTTGTTGAGGTTGCAGCTAATGAGAGTGCTGTCTACGTTCGTGCAATTCTGGTACTGGCCAAATCCAAGACCCGAAGCTTCAGAGTTTGTATTCACTTGGATGAAGTTGACAGCTTTGGTGGTGAAATGCAACCAGGTGTCGGTGACTAGAACAAGAGTGCTATTTTCTTGTTTAAGCCACGCTCTAGTATTTCTACGGAGTGAAGAAACACGTACCTTAAGATAATGCCAAGAGTCAATACGGTCGTCACACTCTTTAACGCTCTCCCCTGGCGCTCGCGCTTTCCTCTCCAGCCAAAAGAATACATAAACCAGGTCCAAAGGGCAGAAAATGAGCCGCTCGAAATCATACGGACAATCAATGAGAGCTGAAAAGGTGTTGGTAGCCGTGTCACATCATGCTTTTCCGAGGCCGTTAAGAGACCCTTCGCGACAGGGTAGGACACCAAAGCGACACCGAAGCCAACCAATATTGGAGCGACAGTGCTAGACCACGAGGCAACAGTAGTGAGTGTGGTTGCACTTATTCGGACAAAATAGACGCTTGGATCATTCTGATTGGAGTCAAATGCCAAATCGCTTGATGTAAAGTCGTTTTGTATGATGCGATAATGGAAGACTAAAGCGACCAGAATGCTGGAGAAAATTATCATTGGTAAGGTCATGACAAAGAACGCAATGATAATCTCTTGAATGCGTCCCTGCATTCGCTTCACCTCTCCCTCATTAGCCAGAGGCACAGTTGAATATTCTGTCCTCTTGTCCATCTCTTTAGAGGTGACCATCTGAGTGAGGGTAGGAAATATGAAACCTGGTTATCGAAGTTCAACATATCATTTCAGGGCATTTAGGGGTACTTGTGTACAGCGATCGCCAAGAGTGCGGCTGAGGAAAACGAAGTACTCGCCAAATCTTGTCGTTTTGGTAAACGCCACCCAAGCGCTACTAGAGCCTAGCCCATAGATGTCCATCGGGAGTACGGGGTACAGGACCCTGTAGATTCCGAGTTAGCCTGGCTGCCTGACGAATTGGCAATGAACGATCCTGCCTGACGAAGTGGTAATTAACTACCCAGAAAGTTCCGTGTCCTTACATCCGTCACAAAGGTCGACGTGAGAATTCATCAGTTGGTATGATGCAAGCCATAGCACTCGACTGACCGTTGTGTCAATTCTCACGCTAAACGCAATAGGAACAGGGAACACCATAGAGTGTCAAAAATACCGTCTTCTTCATTCTCGTAGTCTGCAAAAGCCCGCATATCTTGCTTTCAGTAGAAGAAGGCTGATTTTGGTCTTAGGTATCGGAGGTACTACGAGTCTGGCTAATATTGCCGAGGCAGTATTCAGATCCATTCTCACTTTACTTCGTACAAGAACAAATGATGTCTGTCGTTATCCAATTGAAGCGTATCGAATTGAAGCATAATCGAAGTGTATGACATAAAAGTACATCAAAGTGAATTTCACGAAAATGAAGCAGAATTCAAATATATCAAATTGTAGTATATCAAATGAAAGCATAAAGCCGGGCTCATAAATTTGAATTCATAAAATGAAGTGTACAAGAGTACCACTTTGATCTTCAATTCTATAAAGATAAGAATCGATCATTTTTTCCAAGCCAGTATATCTCTAAATTATCCAAATTCTTACGGTATATGTTGTACCTCAATGTGGTATGCTATATCTATAGAAATAAAAGAGAAGCTAGAAGTGTACATCATGTATACTCCAAAAGGGCGGTAAGGAAATATGCGGTAAGGCTATATCCAATGTGAGGATTATGTACTCCGTATCGCTGGTCGCAATAGTCCGGTAGGTAGACTGCTAGGGGAAGTGCGGATAAGCGATTGGCTCTGGCTGGCTTACTGGCTGAAATGACTGGTGTTCGCCAGGCAACTTCTATTCGTCTAGATTTCAGGTTCATCAAGAATGATTTTGATTACACGCATGGAATCGGACGGGTCATCTACCGGTCAACTTCTTTCTATAGGGGGGAAAAACAAAAAGCATACTCCATACGTTAGTGAGGATTCGCTGGTGGTCACCAATGCAATGACCCCCTCAGCTGAACAGCAGCAGAATGTATTTCGGCATCTGACAATGGGGCTCATCAAAAGCCTAGTGGGCTTTCACTCCGGGCCCATAGCCCACCGGTGGGCCTAAGGACCGGGACCAAAACCAGCCCATTAGTGGATTGGGGCGGGTTGGGCTGTGGGCTTTGTGGGCTTTGCGGAGGTCTAATCTAACATCTGCATTTAATCACGAGCAGAGTTTATTCTGATGCCCCAAAGAGAGGCCGGAATGAAGGCACTATGCCGTCTAATAGTCTTATTTGGTGAGACGGAGGAAGAGAGAAAAGGACAAAGATCTTACTCCCACTTCCTCACTATTTATCTATCTGCTGAGGTCCATCAAACAGGATGGTACTCTACCATTCCAACGTATTCGTTATCACTGCAGTCAAATATCATGAATTGGTGTAAGGCAGGTTTCTTGACTAGGTTATATGCTGCCATGGGCTAGGCAGCATGGTATCCCTACCTAGACATAAGGTTGAGTCCATTGAACGGCTGGGTGTGGCGTCCAGCCCAGGTGTAATACATGATATCGGGCACCATACATATAAAAGGTATTGTTTGACAATGTTGAATGGGAACTCTGTTTGGTACGTAATGATTTCTGAAAAGGCAAGTTATATACAATACTGGAAGAGATATATTTCCTCTCCTCAGCCTCATACAGTCTTCGCTCGAGAATGAATCCGAGTTCTAGAGGGCAGCCGAACTCTGTCGATAGCTGGAGCATCAGCTTTCGAGAAGGGATTTGTTTGATCTACGGACGGTATTCTGCATTTTACATCAAAATAGGGGACGGGTGTACATCGCGACCAAGCGATATTCTTTCTTCCGCTATATCTCTTCCTAGAAGAGAATCCATGCCTGTTCCATTTTTCCCATTGAATGATACGTTGATTGGGGCATCTTGAGTGACTCTGAGAATTGTAGACAATCAACTTGTGTAGGACCCATAGTTCTTGTAATAGCTAAGCATCCGACAGAAGACTTTCATCGTTCGGCCTATTGTCGGCGGTACTACGGAAGGACTGCCAGCGACGAAAATGATGAAACGTGATCTGGGTCGATTGGATCTTCCTAAAATGGTCAGGATAGAAATACGTTTTTTGCAACAAAAACCAAGTGAAAAACTTTCCCCCGTTCCGTAGTATGTTTAATAGATAGCGAAATTTCGACACTGGAATTATGAGAGGACCGCGTTCTAGACAAGCACGAGGCCATCTGGACTTGGAGCCATCATCCACAAAGTGATTATGAATGATTACTTCAAGTGGATACTCCGGTGTGATTCTGCTTATGATATGCTTGGTAAGGACACCGGGAAAGTTTTCATATCCACACTTGGCAGGTTCCAGAATTCTGTTAGAGACAGTATCCAAGTGCATGTGGGAGGGTGGCTGAGGCAGAGAAGTTTATGTACGATTTTCAACGCCTCTCCCGCAGAATACACGAATCACAGCTCAAGGGACATGTACCCCTTGAAGCTCGGGGTATATATTGTACGTCAGTGGTAGAGCTGGGAAAACGCTTTCCCGGGAGAAGGGAAACAAAGAGGGTTCGGGGTGTTTGGTCCGAGAATTACAAGCCTATTGGAATGATCGAAGTGGAGGCACGTTGGGTCCGAGACTTATTAAAACAGTATCTCAATTAACTTCCGGGGTCAATATACTCCGTCTGGTGTGCTTTTTGCAAGACAAATCCGAATGGGCTATCATCAGTTCTAGTATGCCGACTGAATATCCGGACTAAAACGTAAGGTCAGAACACATAGGGATGCTGACCAGATGCCCAGGTAACTTAAGGTTTCTTCAGGGAGAAAAGATAGTCCTCTTATCTGATCGCGCTAGGCCAAGTCGATGGTGAAATTAGTTTGAGCCAAGTTTCGCCATGTTTCGGATGTGCCGAGTGTTTAATTGATCCACTATGATGCGAAGGAATTGCTGCAATACTTAAAATGACCATCCCCTGACAAGATTTACAGATCGGAGTCTCGTCAAATCTCCATCACTTGGTAGACGTCAAAATGAGGATCTTCCAGGCTGGCTCTCTCGCTGTTGCTCTCTCTGTTTTTACAGGAGCATCCGCTTCCGTCTTTCAGAACCACACCTATGACTACATTGTGGTTGGCGGTGGTCCTTCCGGGATCATCAGCGCCGAGAAATTTGCCCAGGCTGGAAAGAAAGTCCTGCTCCTGGAGCGAGGTGTCGGTCCAACTGTAACCACTGGTAACAATGAAACCCTACTATGGAACCACTCATTGACGCCCATCGATCTTCCGGGACTGTCGGCCGACATTGGTTCGCTCGATGTCTGGAACCAGTACATGTGCACTGACACTGCTGGCAATGCTGCCTGTGTGCTCGGCGGTGGCGTAACGGTCAACTACATGGTTTTCGTCCACCCCCCAGCCCGTGACTTTGACGACAAATGGCCCAAGGGCTGGAAATGGAAGGATGTCGAGTCGGCTGCAGACAGACTCTACAAGCGCAACCCCGGTACGACCTTGCCCTCTGCCGACGGCAAGCGATATGACCAGGGTCTTTATGGTGTATTGTCCAAGTTCCTCGGCGGTCTTGGCTGGAAGTCGGTGGATATGATCGCTGAGCCGAACGAGAAACACCAGGTCTACAGCTACCCGTCCTGGAACGTGCAGAATCAGATGCGTGCTGGTCCCGTTCGCACTTATCTTCCCGATGCTACCAAGCTAGACAACTTCCACCTTGCCCTGCGAACGAAAGCGATTCGCTTGGTCCGTTCTGGTAGTAAGGTCACCGGCGTCGAGGTTCAGACTGCCTCGGGCCGCTCGGAGATCATCACCGTTGCTCCCCATGGTCGTGTCGTACTGGCTGCCGGCGCCCTTTCTACTCCGCGTCTGCTGTGGAATTCTGGTATTGGAGCCAGGGCCCAAATCGAAACTGCCAAGAAGAGCGGTGTCGCAGTTCCTCCCAAGGCTCAGTGGATTAACCTGCCTGTCGGTCTCGGTCTCAAAGACCACCCAATTTTCTCGATTATCTTCAACACCAACGCCTCATTTGGTCTTGTCGACTATGAGGGCGTACTGAATGGAACTGACTCTCGCGATATCTCTCTCTACCGCAAGCACAGCGGCGTCCTGACTCAGGGCAAGCACCGCATGATCTTTTTCACCTCAGAGGAGATTGATGGCCACACTCAGTATTACCAGGGCTCGTGCGCGCCTACTGACGAGGGCGTGGTAACCATCACTGCGTATATGACTCACGGTCTCACCTCATCCGGTGTCTTGGGGCTTGATGCCAGAGGAAACACTGTTATTGAAAAGTCGCCCTACCTTCAGACCGCTGCTGACCGAAAAGCTGCCCGGACTTTTATTCACAAGATGGTCAAGGAGATCACCGCCCCCTCCACCGGCTTTGAGCTTGAGACTTACACCAATGTCTCGGCCATCCTAAAGTCTCAGACCCCTGGTACGCACTACACTAGTACTGCAAAGATGGGTACCGACGATGGCCGCAAGAACGGCACTTCCGTTGTCGATACCAACACCAAGGTTTATGGAGTGGATAACTTGGTAAGTTAGCCACATTAATTTGTATGCTCAAAAAATGATGCTAACCCTTTCTCCCATAGTTCATTGTTGATGCCAGTATCCATCCCGACCTCCCGACTGGTAATATTCAAACTGCCGTCATGGTGGTTGCTGAGGCCGCTGCCGCTAAGATTTTGTCTCACTAATTTATTTATCATGAATAAGCACCTAGGCCAGCAGCGAAGCTGGAGACTCTCAACCCTTATCCATATCTGCAACACATCACACATTTTGTTATATACAAGGACATAGTATATGTGGTACCTGAATCCGAGGTTGGCTTATATTTATGGCAGCTGTAATCCAGGTGTTATATCAAGCTCGTAAACCTCATCAAATAGAATACACAGTAAGTCCTAGCCATTGATTGATACACTTTCATTTGGCCCATTCCCGACTACTCCGTATAGGCTAGGCTGGAATAATCAATATGAATCTTAGTCTACAGCCAAGTGGGTCCACAAAATCCCCCAGGCTGGCGTAATAGCAACATTGGAATATTAGTATATGACTTGCCTGAGTTTATCATTTACATCTATAGAGTTTTTAGTCAAATCATGCTTGACTGACTTCTCAAATTGTACCGGGCAAAGGTTCAATTTCAAATTGAATTACAATCTATCTGTAGCCTGTTAAGCCCTCAACCTAGTACAAGAAGCAGAAGGGTTAAATTTGATTATACCTTTTTGGTGCAACTTTGAAGCACAACTATCTCCACTGGCTTAAGGTGCTTACCTCGATCGTTTACATCGTACAGAGTACATACATATAATGTGGAATATACAAATTAATACATAAAAATGAAAGTTCATGCTATAATTCACTTACTGCTGAGCCTAGGTGTTTACCCCTGAATTGCCCTGACCCTTTGGCTATCTTTCTCTGGACACTTATTACATTTATTCGGACTTACAACATTGAAAGCAGTGATACTACTGGATGTCTACATTCAAATCAACCCGGGGCGTTGGTAACCCCTGTCAATCCCCTGAGGATATACTCCGACACAATGATGTATCCTGCAATTTTCCGGGGTGCAAACAAATAACTCACAACGAATGGGCACCATGGCCCCACTAGACTATTTGATATTGATGTCTCTGTGGAGGGCTAAAATTGCAATCACCGTTAATGTTACCCACGTGGAGTTCAACGTTCTTGTTACAGTTCCTTGGGGTAGATAGACTGCTGATCTTAGGCGATCTTAGCCCAGAATATCATCAACCATTGGCTCCTTGGATTGTTAAGATTGGCGCCAGTTGTGTCGATCTTGTACTAACTTTCAAGGTTTGCTGCCTGCGGTACCATTAACAAGCGCTGGTGAGTTTGGGCTCGGAGTCGTATAGAATAGGGGGTACATCCAAAGTTCAGCAGAGTATGAATTTGTACCCGTATAATGGGGATTCATTTTTGTGCCTCGATGAATGGGTTCCTGACGAATCAGGACGATGTCATTGATGTCGTAGGCACATCCCGACAGTCAGGGTGGGAGATTTCCCCTGACCTGCTCTATGATTTAGGACTATGCGGATGATCTGCGAAATGGCTAATGAAGATGGGCCTCTGATGAAGCTTATCATGGAACGAACGCTGGCTTCCGGATCCAATCGTATATGGCGACGGGCTTCATTAACCACTCAGCATGAAGCTTACTTTTTGGTTGATGAGACAGGACTGGTGTTGCCCCATTTTGTATCCGACTCATTTGCAACACGAGCGGACCCTATGTCAAAGCACCTGTTAGCTCAGGAGTACGCCCAAAGATGTCAACAGACGAAGGATTCAACTCACATCGATGCTGATCAGTGGCCAAAAGCTATCGTATATAACACTAGACATCTTGTCGTGATGTTTGAGGTCCAAGAATCTTCTTTCTTGCCATTCCTTACTTACACAAGTCATTCCTTAATCTCAATTCCTACCGTCCATTCATTTACACGACACAAGCTTTTGGACCTGTTCTACTCATTATCCAACACGATGAAGTCTTTCGCCATCTCTGCCGCTGTTTTCGCCTCGACTGTTATGGCTCTGCCTGCCAACATACCATCGGGCACCACCGGTCCTCTACCCTCTGGAGTTCCCTCTTGCCTGCCCTCCGGAGTCATCTACCCGGGTATCCCCCTGCCCGTGGCATCAATGATTCCCACTTGCTCCGGTGCAGCTACAAGCTCCTTATTCTCCAACATGCCCAGCCCTACCAGCGCAGTTTCTGATATGACAAAGGGCTCCGGCGCCGGACAAGTTCTTTCCATTATCAACCAGGCCGGAACCGCGAACTTCAAATTGGTGGCCGAGTCCGAGCTCGAGCGTTTGATGAGAAAACTACCCCTCAGCGTGCTCGAGAAGCCCGTTGGCCAGGTTATTCAAACTGCCGAGTCCGTTGACCAGCTCGACACCAAGAGCGGGTCTGGCCTCACCAAGGTCACTGCTATCCTTGAGAATGGCAACGCCGCCCTCATCGAGCTGACCCAGGGAGTCGTCGATCTTCTCTCCAGTCTTGGACTTGGCGATGTTGGCAGCCTTCTCGGTTCCATCGTTGGCGGTCTTGAGTCAATCACCGGCAACGTCAAGCGCGACAACCCTCTCCAAAATATTCTGTCCATCACTGACGTGGATGGACTTGCTGGTGGTGAGGACCTTCTCGTCCAGGTTGAGCCTACCCTCCTTGGTCTCCTCAGCGGTCTTGACTTCTCCACAATCGAGGGCCCCGTCGGCAACGTCGTCGCCATGGCCCCGTCCCTCTCCGAGCTCAAATCCAAGGTCCCCAAAATTCCCAGTGCTGACTTTATTGCTGTTAACACTGAGACCAAGGCTTCCGTTCTTTTGGTTAAGGTTGACGGCGCTGTCCAGGGTCTCTTTTCCACTCTCGGCCTTGGTAGCCTCGGCACTGCCATCGGCTCCATCATCTCCTCTGTCAAGAGTGCCCTCTCCTAGTGAATATCCTCCCTTGATGAGATTTGATCGTTCTCTTCCACCATTAATTAATTCTTTACATCAAGGGGTATAACCCTGAGATGTTGAAACTAGTGCAGGCAGCTATGAAGAGCACAGTCTTCTCCCCTCTACATGCTTTTTCTTGAGCATTTATATGTTCTGTATACTGCATATAACATCGGAAAATTCTGTCTATCTGAATTAAGCCAATTAAATCCCAAAAGAAAACCAAGTCTGGCTGTAAGGGTATCTATACCCGAACTAAAGAAGAAAAAAAAAAAAACTGGCGCTCCACAGTTGAGCCTTCAGTGGTGCATTCCACCCCAGTAACTCTCTCCACCCTGATCGTATGGATTTGATGCATCTTTGCACCGAGGGCTATCATAGTCTTGGACCGTACCCATTGGCCAAATAGGGACGACACAAATCTCGTTCGCCGCGCAACCCCGGCACTCTTTCCACGTAGCCCAATCAAGATAACCCATCAGATTTCGGACAATTTGCACCGCAGCCTTAAGATCTTGCTCTTTCCCAGCCTCGACCAACGCCGAGCAGATTCTGTGAGCGACGCTGTGAACGGCATGTGCAGCAATACCCCCACCTTTCGAAGGAAACGGCGGTAAGAACTGAGTTGCACAACGCTCAATCTCAGCAACATCATCTCGCTTACTGTAGTCAATGAACGGGGACAAAACGCGCTCAATCTCAGACTGCAGTTGCTTGACTGAATCAATGCCACTGGAGGCGAAGTATGATAGCTCCTTGCTGTACCGAGTCACAATCATATCCGTAATTGCCTGCCAGTCCTCGCAGCTATCCGCAGGGTCATGAGACAGAATTAGATCTGTGACATTGGCACGGATAGCGGCGCGCTCATCAGCAGAGAGGTTGGCAAGTCGGGGTAGTGTCGAATTGTCTTGGAAGAGATCCACGTTGTGGGAGAAAGCTGTCACAAAGTGGTTGAAGTTCAGCGAAACTCGGTTTCCACCGATCCCATTGTAGCGTGCGGTGATTGCACGCATCCATCGCGACGAGTCGGGGCCGCTTCCAGGCCCGCCATGCGGAGGTCCCTTAGGACCACCAGGTCCACCAGGGCCGTGTCGCCTTCCATCGTCCTCCTTCTTTGGCCCATGACCGTCGTGGTGCTTCTCCTCACCCTCTTTGCGATGTTCATCCCGGTTGCCATGTTTACGGTTACCCCAAGTTCCACGTTCTTCCTCAGAGGGTTGCTTGACCTGAGTGATTCGTATCGGAGTTAGGTCACGCTCAAAGTGGCACAGGATAATCTCAAAACCAGCTTCCATACGAAGCACACCGTCAATGCGACCCTCCCATTCATCATCGGCCATCTCGCAGGCTAGTCTGGCCCGTTCGCTCTCTCGCCCACCCCGACTCGGAGGATCTCCGAACGATCCGTTGAACAAAACCGTATCCTGGGAATCAAGCGTGCCTTTCGATGTCTTGGCAGCAGACATACCGTCAAGATAAAGCAGACGGAGATCTTTGGCTGCAACATATGTATGCAGATACCCATTTTCATTTGCATTGTCATCAAGTGCCTTCGGCGGACGATCATCCGGTGGGCCATGATGTTTCTTGTCTGTGTCCTCATGTCCCCGCTTCCGCAGCTCGCCATGGCGTCCATCCTGTCGCTCGGTATCAGCATCGTTGGGCGGTACGTGTGGCGGGGGGCCCCGTCTCGGGCGAGCGAAGACCATAGCATGTTCGGGTTCAAAGGCCAACCACTCGGTGCCATTCACCGGGCTGGCCTTGGATGTTCCATGGTAGAATTGTGTACCGGCGGGAACGCTCGCAAGGAAGAACGACACGCCATTGTGGTGAAGAGACGATCCCCACTGGCGCATCGAGTCTTGGATCACATTGAAAATGTGATTGGCATTTTTGCCCGGCACATTATTGGGAGCCGTTGCAGTGGCGCTTGATAAGCCTATAGCCCCGAACAGCGGGAGGAGAAAGTATGGCCGCATTGAAGAGGAACTACTTCTCGTAGGAAAAGAGTGAATAAATGGGTCTGATTTGGAAATCTTTATCAGATCGCAGATCAGCCAAGCGGAAAAAGCACACTTCATATACAAGCCCTACAAATCTACTCGAAAGCCGCGTCATCAATTCGTGGCTATTCGCTTTTTGGTAGTTCGGACCGGCGCTAGGAGATAAGCTACGCCTGTGGATCTTTCAGGTTTGGCCGAGTTCGATGTGGATTCGATAGAAACATTAAGTAGAATTGTCTTGATACATTTAACTCATTTTGACGATAATTATTCCCACCTAAACCATCCTAGAAGCCCAAAGGCTGCTATTGTAGTGTGTTCATTTATCTACTTTGCGACAATCCGAGATCTAAGCACCGACCCTTTCTACGTCCAATGCCTCTATTTTTAGACTTAGTCGAAATTGTGAGTTTCTGGCAAATATGCCTTCTTCCGCATCAATAACCTAGTATATTCGTCGCTAAAAAATAAGATCTATAGGATTGCAGAAATGTGGTTGGATCTCTTGTTCGCTTTTGGCACACCCTTTTGTATCTTCTCCCTCCTCCACTAGTGGCTTCAGATCTTTCTCATGTTTCTCATATTTCTGTTAATACAGCATTTGATTTCAAATCAGTGGACTGCCATGAGTCTTCACTTTCACTTTGCCCTCACTTGCCTATCATGTGTTACCCCAGGAATCACATTCAACCCCTTCAGCCACCCGCTTGCTTCTTCCTTCATCCTGTCCCATCTGGTTATATCTCATATCTTTCTCACGTAATTTCGAACAGCAGCGCATGATACTACAATATGATGGTTGGTGCGAGACGAAAGAGGGCTGAGGTTCGACAGCATTTTGACGAGTGAAGCTTTTAGTTCATTGACGATCTATCAAAAGCGATAGAGACGACCGCATGAAGGTGCCTGATATGATATACGTAAGATTACACTGAACAATTGCAATACTTGAATTTCATCGAGGACGTGATAATCTAACAAAGGGTCTCTCTCCTAGTCATATCGGTCGCCGAATCAAAAACCTCCTCCCCACAAATGCTCAAAAATCTCGGCGTCTTCCTCTTCTTCAATACGTAGCGCTGTGAGCTCGTCATTCAAACCTCGCACTCGGCGTACCATTGATCTCACAATAGCAGGGAATCGCACGGGGTCAAGTGCCCATCGGGGGAGTGCCAGCAGAACGTGGTAGCACTCATTGTAAAATATCAGTTCCCGCTGCAGAAGGTTGCGCCGCTCAATACGCATTGCGCCGCTCAATACGCAGAGTGTATCTCGCATGAAGGCCCATCAGGGCCTCCAACTGGGAATCGCTCAGCGGGCGTATTTGCGACCCGGACATATCTACCCATATACATCTTGTTAGTTTGGGTGAACCAAGGAACATTTGAAAGACATTGGGTGAGCATGCTAACCCAGGGATGAGAAGATGGAAATGTGAAAAGCTAGCTTTTAAGCCTTGGCAACAGACTTCTCCTTCACTCATAATCATATGTGAGAGAAGAAACAAATCTCGATTCACCAATCTTTAAAAAGAAATTTACCTCCTGAAATCTAGCAAACAATCGCACAGTCTGCTAAGAGGCAAATAAGGGAGAGGGTATTATACAAGTTTTAGCATCAACTTCCAGTTTAAGGGCTGGAAGTCTTACTAGCCTTCTGGCTGTAGGGTTTGAGGCATAATCGAATAGTCAGAATGTTCATAGGATTCAGTCTATTGAAATAGTTTGAGGCTTGACAGCGTGTTTGCCAGAAAAGGATTATAGGTAGTCTCAGTGGTATGTAAACCCATGGGGATTGTTGAGAAGGGCGGAAAGGATTGGTTCAGAAGTGCTTGATTTACTGTGACATGCCTTGCTACCTTCATTTCGAGTGCATCTGAATATATAGCTTGGTCTGGAATGCTCGAAATGCCTCTTTCAAGATGACCATGTGGCATTCCAGACTCAGTAATTTGCGTATGGACTAGCGTTGAGCATGTTTACTCCAATGGATGATAAATTGATGTTTGGCTTGAATAACTCCATAGTAAGTTTGGGTTCCGTCTGAATATCGTAAATATAGGCAGCGAATCCGTCAATTATATACCAGGTAAGCATGCTATAAAGAGTGCTTGGTAGTTGATAATTTTGCTTTAATCTAATGGTGCCAACAACAACCCGAAAGGCTCGCTATGCGATTTTTGAACCTAGGAATGGTGTACTGACTGAAATACAGAGGGGCTAACGGTATCGTTTATAGTTGGTCCTTAGGAGCCACTCGCTCCTTTCATGACAGGGCCCGTCACACCTTAGCTATAGTCGCGTGGAAGGCTTTGGCTGCCGCTCGACAAACCCGCGGAAGCCCGATTCCCGACATTTCTGTATGTAATTGTGGTATTCATGTACCCCTTGGAGCCTACATATAGTTAGCATACCGATCAGAGCGCATTTGTGGAAAGCCCTACCAGAGTGGCTCTGACTTATCGGAGGAACTACGAGCCTCCCATACATTTGCCGTTGCGTATAGTGAATTATTCCACTGCTGATTCAATTTCTCTACCCAACCTTGAGATGCAGATAGAGTTGGCTCACAGTACTCAGCATGAGACTCGCGGAGACTCTTCAGGATGGACAAGATCCACTGTGCCTGGCATTCAACCGTCGTAGGAACATTCACTTTGACTGTTGGGCCTTGTGGACCAACCAGATAGAACATATTAGGGAATGCAGGGACAGTCATCCCCAGATATGAAATGATGCGGGTTTTCCAGACATCTTTCAAGTTCAAGCCGTGCTTGCCAGTGATGTTCAATCTTGTTATACTGGTACCAAAAGGCTCAAATCCAGTTGCACAGATAATGACGTCAAACTCGCGCTCAGTTGAGCCACTCTGGATGCCCTTTCTGGTGATTTTCGCCACCTCTTTACTGACGTCGACGACATCCACGTTGGAAGTGTTGAATGATTCGTAATACTTGTCCACAAAGGAAGGTCTTTTGACTCCAATTGGATAGGGAAGTATCTGAGGGACAAGTATGTCTTGTTTGATTGGGTCCCTTATCTTCGCTCGCGTCAGCTTTGACCAGAACATATAAAGCTCATCATTGGCCTCTCTGTTTGTCAAGACGTCCGAGAAGTTGCCCAATATGAGGCCCAGACTTCCCTCCTTGTATAACTGCTTGTTCAAGACATCACGCAGCGGAGACCCTATGGCCACCGACTCAGGATTCTGAAAAGAATAGTCAATGCCGGAGTATAATTTTGGAGATCGTTTGAAAGCTGCTCGAATCCCCTCTGGTGTCAGGCATCCGGCATGTGGATTGGAATATTTGTCAGATTTGGGTGTGGCTGGGATAATCACGACAGGCGTTCTTTGATAGACTGTCAAGCTCTTCACTTCGGGCGCAATGCTAGGAACCACCTGGGCTCCCGAAGCACCGTTGCCAATAACAGCGACCCGCTTACTCTTCAAAGAAACCCCCGAAAGTGGCCAGTGTCCAGTGTGATACAGCTCCCCTCCAAACCGATCGATATCTCTGATTGCTGGCAGAGATGGTGTGGAAGCAAACCCAACTGCTGGAACAAACCATCGCGCGGTCAAGCGCCTTCCATCAGACAGAGAAACCGACCAAAAGGAATCTTCGTCGAACGACGCTTGCACAACGGTGGTACCAAAGTCAATGTCCTTGCTCACATTCCATCGAGAATCGACGTATCGAAAATAATCACGCATTTCCACATGGTCTGCGAAAATTTGTGAAAATGTCCAACCGCCAGCTAATTCCTCGTCATGGATTTGATAAAAGGGCTGGGGGGAATCACATTGCGCGCCAGGGTAGCGATTGGCATACCAGACCCCACCGAGGCCGTTGTAACGCTCAATCCCTCGTACATTGAATCCGTTTTCTCTCAACCTGAATTTATTGTTAGAGATGTTGGTATAGAACAAGGAAGAAAAAATCTGGAGACAAACAGATACAGCATGCGAATTCCTGCAAACCCAGCACCCACTACAATTACGTCAAATTCAGGAGGCATAATTGGATCACTTAGAAGAATGTAACAAAGATGAAGTTTGCGTTGAAAGAAAAGGATGATATGACAGTGTATCGATGAAGCCCCTGAGTCAGCCTGAGATGAAAGAAGACAACTGGGATGGAAGACAAGCTCTTTAAATAAGCCATTTCTGATTACTGTCGTGGTATACTGTGATAGAGATTGCCTAAGATAAAGCTATAATATTGAGATTCTACGATCAATGATACTCTAGCCTCATTCGATTGATTTTGCATGTTTTCACTCTCTTGTTTCTATCTGACGACTTTGTACAACTTTGGGTATTAGGCATTATGGGATTGGTATGTCTTCATGCTGATAATTATACGTGGCCCACTTGTATAACAGCAGCGAGGAGCAAGAGTAGACAACAACCACTACGAGCACTTATACTGTGACTGTGTATATGTTTGAATACACCTACAGCCCACCACTCGAGTTTACATTCTTTCTAGATAGTTTGGTATATTTTGGTATATATATATATATAAGACAATGCCTAGACTTGGATACGTGATCATTGAATGCCAGGGGTACATACTCATAGAGGGCTTTTCAAAAAGGATTTGTAAACAGTTATTGTAGCTATATACATCTGTATGTGGGGCTAAAATGGGCAAGAATGTCAATGCAGAAAACGTGCATCTCAATATTTTATAGGCACAAACATTTAGTGCCCACGTGGTGTTCGTGTTTTCCCAGGACTTGCAAGTTTCGGAACGGGCTTAGGGCATACGACATACGGACATTTCCAATGTATCCCGGCAGATCGAGTGTAGTAGTGCCCACCTCCGCTGGGTTATTAGTTGTCCTGATTCTGGGCATCTGGCTCAATATTTGATTTGGTATCTTTAATTTCTCGGACCACTCCTCCTTGGTGTTGATAATAGGAGACAGATATCCCTTTATCATGTGATGTAGTATAGTAAGTGATACTAGGCCTAAGATCTGATATATAACGGAGAAAATGAGGAATCTATTTTTCCTTGGATACTGCACAACACCTAAGAAGGAAGACTCCTCTATGCACTCTTGGAGTGAACGCATTCAGCCAGATGCGTCAGAGTACATCTCAGTGGTTCAATCAGCCGGAAATGTTAAACACCTCGGTGAGATTGATGTTCGAGCTGAGGGTACATTCATGTATCTGTGCGGCAGACTTACTTTTGGGGCCACGTTTGTATGGGGATAGAAAGCCTCCACACACATAACTCCCTGTTATGACAAAACCCTGCAGGATCAATGGATTGAGCACTGTCTATCTTGATGCAGCATGCCCAATGCGTCCTTCAAACATATCTACAGCATGACCCCACGACACACAGTCCTGTGGTGTAGTAAATCACTTGCCTTATAAATAGTGATACCAGATCCCATGGCATACGATACTTGAAAAAAACACCACGCATTTGATACCTGGCTAAATCCAATCGACTTTCTTCTTAGGTGCCGTCGACCAAGATGTTCAAGACAATAATCGACCGATTTGAGACTTTTGTAAGCGTTCAAAGTTCTCAATTGAGAAATGTACTGATCAGCAGAATTATGTTTTACTTGTTTTGTCTACTGTCTTGGCTTACATACTGAGTCTTATTTTCTACCGTCTCTATTTACACCCTCTGCACCGATTTCCTGGCCCAAAGCTTGCTGCAATCTCTACCCTCTATGAAGTGTATTTTGACTACGTCCATGATGGCCAATTCGTTTTTCAGATGGAAAAGATGCATCAGAAATACGGTAAGCCCTTCATCTTTCTGACTCATTGATCAGCAGTTAATTGCCATAACCAACCCCGAAGGTCCAATAGTTCGAATCACCCCACGAGAGATCCATATCTCCGATCCCGAGTTCTACGAGCGCATCTACGCCGGAGGCTCTAAAATACGGGATAAAGATCCAGTCTCCGTCCGGTCATTCAACATGACCCATTCACTAGTGGCGACTATTGGCCACGATTTGCACCAAAGCAGACACCGGGTGATGGGAAGCTATTTTTCTAGACAATCAATTAAAAAACGGGAGCCAACAATAAATTACTGTATCCAAAAATTATTGGAGCGCTTCAAGCAGGCGCAGGAAACTGGTGAATGCATTACATTGAATCATGCATTCACGGCAATGACCGGAGATATCATCACAAAATATTCGTTTGGAAAAGATTTTAGCTTCCTTGAAGCCAATGACTACAAATCTAAATGGAAAAGCGCTGTGGCTGGCTCCCTGGAAACAGGGAAGTTTTTCCGTTATTTCCCTCTTTTGGATGTCTATAGGTTTATCCCATCAACATTGGCCCAGGCGCTCAATCCTGGCATGGGAGAAATCTTTTACATCGAGGATCTGGTTCGAAACCAAGTTCGACCCTTACTTTCGAGTCCCAAGCATGAGGCTAAGACAGAAGCTACGATTTTCAGTGCGCTATTGAATCCAGCCGTTCCCGCTGAAGAGAAGACCTTGGATAGGTTGACCGACCAAGGGCATATGCTTCTTGTTGCTGGCACCGAAACCACTGCCAACACACTGACTATGATTACATTTCAGTTGCTGAAGAATCCTGCTGTGCTAGCCTGTTTGCGTGAAGAACTCAAGGTCGCAATGCCTACTCCCGCTAGCATTCTCACATGGAACAGCTTGGAGAAATTGCCATTTCTGGTAAAGCCCATGACTTATGACATACTATGATGTGTTTGTGCTAACTCGATACCAGAATGGTGTGATACAAGAAGGCCTCCGGCTTAGTTTAGGGGTATCCAGTAGACTTCCCCGGGTTGCCCCAAATGATAACTTACAGTATAATGACTGGGTCATTCCAGCTGGGGTAGATACACTTTGACATTTTGATCATGGCAATGCTAACAATACTTTTACAGACTCCAGTGAGCACAGCAACGTACTTCGTGCACATGAACTCTTCGATATTTCCGAACCCCGAGAAATTCGATCCACAACGGTGGATTACGGCTTCTGAGAAAGGCCTGCGCCTGGAAAAATACATAGTTGCTTTCACGAAAGGGAGCAGGCAATGCTTAGGGATGAGGTAAAATACTGATTGATGCGTGTAAAATGCTTGGTTCTAACCATCTCCGCCATTTAGTCTGGCATATGCAGAGCTATATCTCACTGTTGCAGCCCTTTTCCGACAACTCGACATGGAGCTTTACGACACAAGCGATGATGATTGCAGCTTCATACGAGATTGCGTTATCCCGGCTTCAAAAAGAGGTTCTAAGGGGGTCAGAGTGATCATCAAAGGGTCTATAACACAGTAGAATTCCAATCGCAAGATCATGAACGCCGTTGAATAGAAGATAGCGGAAGACGTAGCCGTACTTCTCACTATATCCTATATATAGTGATGAATATTAAGCATACATTTATAATCATCTAAATGGACACCCAAGAAGATATCTTCATAACCCATTCTCTCTTTATATTAAGATAACAGCAAATACGACCGAAGTATAGAATTCCAGGAAATTTTAACTATGCTATGGATAAATTTTCACTTCAATTGACTATATGAGCAAAGACCGACTATGGCGTAGTGTTTCGAAGGAGAAACAAGTATAAAAAGAGAAAAGTAGCGGTTCAAAGGGCATCCTCCTTTTAGGCTTAATTACCGAGTTGCTATATCTATATAGTCGCGGCTTTGCGAATTGAAGAATAAGTGAACTGGTTATCGGCGGTGTAAATCAAGGTATTTCTATCTATATCTAATCTTAGGAGATTAGGTATTGTGGTAACGATAGACAAATTAATAGCCGGAGAGGGGTTAGTATCTCCGCGGTGACTACTCCTTTGGCTCGATATAAGATCATAAAGGATATAACAACGGCATCGATATATTTATCGATTTCTAAGAACAAAGCTAGTGGAATAGACAATAACTAAAACTATAATACCGAGACTATAGTATAGAGCAGGTAGGTACTTGTCTTCCATTTTGATGTCGAATTCTGGAGACAGGAGAAAGCTGTACTTATAAAATTCTCTGCCTTTCAAATACATAGTTATATACGCATTGACGATACATAAACGTAATTTAATGATCGACAACTCTTAATCAAAATTTTCTGTGGAAAGGTTTACACTTTTAGTGTTTCAAAAATGGGTAAAGAAGATTCCTACGTATAGACTGCGACATCGATGATCGCCCGTCTATGGGCCTCTTAGGAGGGGCCTATGGTGGGCATGCCCACTACGCCCGCCGTGATGTAAAGTTATCTTAAATATATATCAAAATTAGTTAAATAGTATATTATACTATACATATTTATATATATCTTATTAAAATCCGGAATTATTGGTCTAAGTGTATAAAATATACAAATTTAGTTAAAATAGTTTGAATTCTGTCAATATAAATCACATGCTAACCTTGCTAATTTTGCTTACTAAAAAGGCCCCTGGGCGATGTCGCAGTCCACCTGGGTAAGGTATTATGTTGACAGAGATATATCCCGGCTTCTCCGGCTCTTACTCTCTTGGTTGTTCCGGCTCTCTTCTTCTATAGCTCTCTGCACTCCGCATATCTTATCCAATTAATATTTCATGATATGTTTTCATATTTCCCTAGCGATGCTAAGTTGTGTTTATGTTTGTTGTTGAGGTATATCCATATGGTGATCGATATCCCCACTCGCAACATATATGACCTTGTTCCCAAGCGGATAAAGTCCAAACAGGAAACATGAAATCCCCAGGCCATGCGAGCCCTTTTAGCCCCCTTGACACGGACGTGTGGGGAGAATGTGGGAGAAGCGGGAAAGATTTACTCCGCCATGAGGCAAGCCAGTGAAACTTGGTCGGCAACACCATTCGGGCATTGCATTGGGGGAGATTTTTGTTTTAAAGGAGATTCCTTGTGCTATTTTGTGCATTCTATCTTTTGTCATCTTTTGAATTTTTCTCAATCCTGTCCTCACAACACCCGTCACAGATACATATATTCCACATACCTTCGACAAAATGACGAAAGCACCTCAAGATTTACAAATCGCCATTCTGGGGGCGGGTATGGGCGGTTTGACCTCTGCTCTAGCTCTAGCCCAGCAGGGATTCAAGAATATTGATGTCTATGAAAATGCCAGTGACCTCGGTTTTGTTGGCGCTGGTATTCAATTGGCGCCCAACATGGCCCGCGTTTTGGATGGACTCGGTGTCTGGAAGAGTATTGAGGCCGAGGCCGTGAATATTGAGGAGACATCAGTACGAGGTATGTTGCGATCCACCAATCAGACAATGTAGTTCGATCTAATTTACGGATTTAGACGGCGCAACGGACACTGAGCACGCATATGTGGATCTACGGTACATTGAAAAGACATATGGATATAAGCACATGGTTGGACATCGTGCCTCACTAGCCAATGGACTATATGATGGCTGCAAGAAGCACACCGCAATCAAATTCCACTTCGGAATCAACGCAGATAACGTGGACTCTTTCGGCCCTCGGCCATCATTCACAGCTAACCCCCGCGCCGAGGGAGCTGCTCCGTTCAAGGTCGAGTGCGATGTACTTCTCGCTGCGGACGGAATTAAGAGTATCACCCGCGTGGAGATGCTAAAGCAACTGGGTGTCGATGTAGGTGTCAAAGACACCCAACAGGCGGCTTATCGTATCATGATCCACAAGGAGCAGATCAAGGACGATCCCGAACTTTTGGCCCTCATAGATAGCAACCGCGTGACACGTTGGATTGGCGCAAAACGTCACATTATTGCCTACGCCGTCTCTAACAATACCATCTACAATCTCTCTACCACACAGCCCGACACCAATTTCGCAGCCGCCACAAACGCTACCTACACCACCAAGGGCTCCAAGCCTGCCATGATGGGCGTCTTCTCTGACTTCTGCCCCATGGTTCAGCGCATGCTAAACTACGTCCCCGAAGGCGAGGTCTGCGAATGGAAGCTGCGCGTCCACGAGCCGCTTCCCACTTGGGTTCACGAGTCGGTCGCCTTGGTTGGTGATGCTTGCCACCCTACCCTGCCCCACCTGGCTCAGGGTGCTGCCCAGGCTATTGAAGATGGAGCCGTTCTCGGTGTTGTTCTCTCCAAGCTCCCCGATACCACCCCGGAGTCTATCAACAAGGCTCTCCGTGTTTACGAGAAAGTCCGCAAGAGCCGCGCCGAGGCTTTGGTCGAGATGGCCACAGCTTCTGGTCGCGCTCTGCACTTGGGTGAGGGTGCTGCCAAGGAGGAGCGTGACAAACAGTTCGCTGCGCTCCGCGCTGGCAAGGGTCCCGTGCCTGATAAGTGGGCCGATGCCGATGTGCAGCGTGAGATCTATGGATTTGACTGCACAAAGGTCACCGCGGAGAATTTCGAGGAATACTTCTCGCAAATGTAAGCACCGCCCTTCATTTTGTTTTATTACGTTTGACCCTGCTTTTTTTGGGTATTAAATCTTTTTTTCTTTGTATACATATGGCCTTCAGACCACTGGTCAAAAAATATGAGACTATCATGGCATCTCCGATCATCTTTTTCCTTGGAAAACATGATGCTAAACTATTTTATCATAGGGATCATACCCCCCGCCATTCTAAGCTTGCATAAGAACTGGGCAACTATGCTGCACTGTACATAATCCCATAAATTAGACCAATCAAACCGAGCATAAAGCATCATGAAGCATCGTGAGGCGCGTAAAATCAACTGCACACTCACGTCATAAGCGCAATCTCTCTCGCTAAGTTATGCTGTCCCCATTCCGCTCCCCACTCACCTGCAAATGGGATTGGATCAAATGTTTGCCGAGTTAAACAAGCAGTTGGGCATCCACTTTGCGTTTTTTCCCAAATGTAGTTCTCGTTCGCAGTACTGCCTATCCCAAGATTTCTTTATTGTCTCTATATCATTTTTAATCTCATGGTGTCATCTTGACCTGCCTCTAAAGCCTCCTTCGTCTATCATCTCCCCAATCTTCCTCGGGGAATCAGCATGAGCATGTCCTCTGATATCGATTGGTCTCTTCGGCCAACTTATTCGCCGGATCAGCTCAGCCAATATTTTGACCGAATCAACTTCCCTCAGAAGTATCGCGAGTCGCCTGTAATTAAAGATGGCCCAGGTATTGACACCCAAGCCGCCTTGTCTCTCTTGGAGGCGTTGCAGCGATATCAGCTAGCAGCTGTGCCTTTTGAAAACCTTAGCCTCCATTACTCAGTCCACCGCAATATCTCCATAGATGCCCAGAGCATTTTTGAAAAAGTCGTGGATGCCAAGTCCAATCGGGGCGGCTACTGCATGGAGAACAATGCTCTATTCGGGACCGTCTTGCGGAGCTTGGGATACAATACGACCTCAATTGGAGGACGGGTCAACGAAGCCGTACAGCCTATGGCAGCATCGAAGAATTGGAAAGGCCCCAAATACCAAGGATGGTATGACGCACGTCTTCTCTCATCTCATCCAACTTAATCTTCAATCTATCTACGCAAGTACTCAATGACTAACCTGACTATAGGAACCATATGATCAATATTGTCGTTATTGGTGAGCAAAAGTACCTCATAGATGTGGGATTTGGCTCCAACGGACCACACCGGCCCATTCCATTACTCCATGGGTTTGGATTCCACAACGTGGGTGAACAAACCGGGCGGTTGATCTATGAACCAATGGCTCAACAAACGCTCAAGGGTCAACCTCTTTGGCAGTATGAAATCAATCACGGGGACGAGACATGGATACCCGCCTACTGCTTCACCGAGGTTGAGTTCCTTCCTGAAGATTTCACAATCATCAACTACTATGTGAGTCACAGCCGGGAGAGCTGGTTCACTTTCCACGTCGTGTGCGTACGAATGCTCCTCGATGAGAAGGGCGAGACCATTGTGGGAGACTTGACGCTGTTCAATGATACCCTGAAACGGCGTATTGGAGCAACGTCTGAGGTGTTGCAATGCTTTGCCTTTGAGGAGGAGCGTGTGGCGGCCTTGGAGAGATACTTTGATATACATCTCTCCAGCGCAGATCAAGCGAGTATTCACCACACCATCTCGGAGATTTTGTAAGTCTGGGTTAAATCAGACGGTATGTAAATTTTGGTCCGGGTCTAAGGCACTGAACATGAAGAATCGCTTCACTTGGTCGATAATTGAGCGTGATATCATGATTTCTTTCGTTGTTCTTCTATTGTATTATATCAAAATAATCACGGCGGCCTCAAGTGGAGAGCATGATTATGCCCTGAGATATATAACGCAATTACCACACAGATACTTCTAGAACAAGAGAATTCAACCCATCGAAGCTGTCCATAAGTATCTGCTTCGAGTAATCGGAATTCGTTTTAGAGCCCTTTGCGCCGAGATGGTGTGTCCTATGTGTGTACGGAATGGCCAAATTCATTTGCGCGGCCGATTTTGCCATCGACGCGAACCACTCAACTTCACAGATCCGTTGAACTGCATGCGTAGAAGCAGCACCATGGTATCCTTTCCAGATTTCTGATCATTTTGAATAAATGCCTTTTCCGGCAGTACGTCAACAACATAATTTATTGATTCTCGACGCTAATCAGGCTGGTCACAGACTCCATCACCATTCCGCCTCTCCCGCCGCAACCCACCCACGCGCCGCAGTGGCCCTCAATTCGCCCCCCACACCTCGGTTTCTGCTATCACAAAGTGCAACACAGAAGGAAGATGACGATCTTGATGTGATAGATGACGATGAGCCATCTTCAACGCGTGAAGTCGGGCATAACCCACCTGCTCCCCAGAGTGCCACCCGCTCGCGCCAACAACGCGACGTGATCGAAGACTCGGATGATACCGCAGATATCGGAGATGTAAGAATTAGAGGGAGAGCGCCAGTCCATCTACCAGATGATACCGTAGACAGCACTCCTGAGGAACCAGATACTCCGGGCATCCTGGATACCGAGTTCGACGCATTGTTTGCGCCGGTCAGAGACGGGAATAAACGCCGCCGTGTGGAAGGAAGTACGCCCTTCAATCAAAGCAGATCTAAGCAGCTTGATCAAATATTGTCATCACCACCAGCAACTGCGTACTCCCCAACCAATTCCCTCGATTTGCCCGATGAATACAAGCAAAGCAATACGACATGGGATATGGGTACTCAAAGAACTCCTGCACCAAGTGCACGTCCATTTGCAATAAATGCATCAGCCCAAAACGATATTCAAACACCGTTCCGCAGTCGTCCTCGGTTTATGCTTTCCTCGACAGCGAAGCCTCCCAGTAGCCAGTCCGCACCCAAATTCAAATTAGACACACCGGGCATATCGCCGCCTGAGAGACGGAAACCGGCTTTTGTCTTACCTCGATCCCCGTCGCCGAATCCAGACGCAGAGGATATCCCTACACCGTTCTCTCCGTCTTCACGCACACTTCGCCGTCGTGGTCGAAACCGAGCTGGTGTATCCAACTACATGCCTGGCGGAATGGCCGCTGAGGTACGCGGCTGGATCCTGGAAATGGGGACGAAACGTGACCAGTTGCCGAAACCACCTTTGGCTCCAGTGCCAGATCCGCAGGCAGCGGATGTCTCGTTAGAAAAGCTGAAGGTGTATTTGCTAACTGCACGTGTCATCAATGTCAGCCATTCAGCCTTGAGCGGCTGCGGCTCTCTCGCCTTTCTTCAAACAGAATTGCTTAGTGGGAATCATGTGCAAGGGAAAATCCCCAATGTGACTTCGAATATCCTGGTTATGGGGCCACCACGATCTAAATCTGCTGCTCGTCAAATTGCATCAGATTCTGATGCTTCTATGAAATCCCATTTGCAGCAAGGGGACGTGGTGGGAATTTACAGAGGGCTCAACTGGAACTTGGAGCTTGGGAACCACTTGTGCGAAAATCGATCAGCTGGTCAGGCATCTGACCACATGTCGGAGTGTGGTCCATCTGAAAATGGCGGACACCCAGAGACAAAAGAGAGCTGGCTTATAGCCATGGAATGGGACCGCATTGAAATAGCTTCGTGAGTAAGTAACGGTGATTTGTATCGATACAAGGAAAGGTATATCGTTTCCCTTCCCCTACATTTTATAGACTTCCATATATGTATCTTTTATGGTCCTGTGAGGGTAGGGTGTAATTATCAAGTCTATTCCTTGGATATTTGTTAGATTTGTACAAACTGCCGCTCTTTATCGATTTCGTTTGTTTTGAAATGAGCAAAGATCTGACATGGTGATTTTGAAGGGTTGGAAAGTCTCGAACATAAACGAATCATGAGCAGCGTAACAACTTGGGTATATTCTATATGCAATTGCAAGATGAATCTTAGTCTGCCACAGCCTTGAGGGCAGCCGCAGCCACATTGCATCCCCACCGGACGAGTTTCAGTTCCTCGTCAGACACAATATCAGTCTTCGCGACAACCTTTCGCACAAAGTAGATGAGACCCTTAGCAATGTGTGGCGTTTCCTTGGTACGCAGGAAAATCTGCATCAAAGGCCCTTCATTCTGCTCAGGCTCATCTGGCGTGGAGCTCTTGGACTTCTTCTTCTTCTTGGACTTCTGGGATTGTTGAATGATACTGATGATCAAGACTTCGACGAATGTCTTGGTCTTAGGCTGGAGATATGCAAAGTTGAGATTTTTCAAAATGCTCAGTGTCAAGCTGCCATCCATAATGAGGGCGCAGAACATCTTGGCCAGGTTGACCACAGACTTCATGCTGATACCGTTCTCTTCATCATCTGGGTCGAAGTCATTGTCTTCATCCTCCTCCGTATCTCCTCGCTCACCCATCTTCTTGAACATATTCCAGAGTGCAAACATAAACGACATTTTCATGCGGCGACCTTGCTCACCGCAGATCCGACGTGCAATCAGAGAATAGTATGGATTGTGAGCCTGTTCCTCCATGGCACAATGTAGGAGGACGCGAGGGATCTCATACTCCTGCGCACGCTTGAGACGAAGCTTCATGAGTCGGACATGCGCATCTTGGAAGTCGTTGGCAGACATGATGGCAACGAAGATTGACCGACGAACGTCGGTGTTCATGCGGTGAGCCCGGGCGAGCACTCCAAAGTCAGGCTCAGCGTCGCTTTCGTCATCTACGACTTCGGGTTGGGTCATTGGTAGATTAGCCATTTCTCGCTGTGCTGTTACAAGAGGATCTTCCTTCCAGCTTGCGCCGACCAACCACCACTTGCCCTTCTTGGAGGAGTTATGGATATCGTCGCGGGAGATGTTAATAGGCTCGGATGCGCGGATTGTCCGAGAACTGTTCAAGGAACCCAAGATCTTGCGCATTTTGGTGATGTGTTCCGTGGTGATACCTGCACCGACTGCGGCTGAAGCTTTCGAGCGGTTATTTTTCAAATCCGTGATTAGGTCAATCATGAACTTTGTTCGAACAGAAAGGCTGTCCTCGCCAGCCTTGGCGACAGCGGGTTGAATGAGCAACACAATATCCTTGAGTGCAGACGGGTCATCGAGTCGGAGCTGGGGACCAGAATCTGTAGTCATGTTAGTGGACTGGGATTTGTGTGATGAATTGAGTATATCACTTACTCCGAATGACCTTGAGCAAGAGCTCGGTGTTTGATTCCGTGATATCCTGCACATAAAGACGAACATAGTCAAACATCAAGGAAGAACCGATGACATGGAAGTTGTAAAGTTGTGACAGAAGAGAGACCAAGTTGGTAGCTTCTTTTCCTTGGAACTTTCCACGCTCGTCGCCATCAGCATCCAATGTTTCAACGACCGTTTGAATGATCTCCGCGCCAACGTCCATTCCCATAAGCTTATATAACGCTGCAATGAAACCTGCATGTAAAATGAGAAAGGTGTCCTGAAGGGCAGCCCTCTCACAGATCATGCCCATCAGTAGCTCGATCAAAGTAGAAGTGACGTGCTGGCGGGGGTAATCGCGGTAGAGCTTTTCGAATTCGGCAACAATTGAGAGCATATTGGCCTCGGATAGCTTATTGAGATGTCCCTGAGCCTGGCGCTTGAGACGAGTGAGAGATTCAGTTTCCGGGTCAGAGCGACCTCTTAATGAAGGTGGAATGTATTTCTGAGCGGTGGGTTCGGGTTTCGTGACCGGAGCGATATAAGGGTTCTCTTTCTTTTTTGGCTCTTTGCGCTCTTCCTCATCAAACCCGTCGAAATCACTGCCTTCGGCGTCGGAATCATCGCCCCCAAAGATTTCCTCGTCGAGATCGAAATCTTCGGCACTATCCACCTCACTATCATCTTTTTCGAGTTGTTGCGCTTGTAAGCTCTTGGCCTTGAGTCTCTTGTTTCGTAGCCAGTCATCGGCTTCTCGTTTGCGCTTTTTGCTCTCATCCTCTGAGGCATCGCCGCCGGCACCACCCAGGTCTCCCAGCAAATCCTCTAGTCCATCCTCTTCAAAGCCCTTTGAGGGTTTGCCTCCTTTCTTGAGGCCAAGCTTTTTCTCCAATGCAGCAATCTCGGCATCGTCTTGCGCTAATTTAGCCTTGACTGATCCTGGGATGTGGACCTCGGTTTCTTTGTGTTCTTCCTCGTAGGTGTCATCTTCTGACTCGTCACTAGACTCATCATCTTCATCCTCGTCCTCGTCTTCATCGAGGTCAAATTCTGACCCGAACCCGGACTCAGGCTCAGACTCGGACTCGGAGATTTGTGGAACCGCTGCTTTCTTCAAGATCGATTTGGGCTTCTTAGCGGCCTCTTTCGTAGACTTAGCCTTGGTCTGCGGTGCACTAGGTCTCTCGTCGAGATCCATGTCGTCTGAGTTGAGGTCAATATCGTCGTCCCCAATTTCCTCATCGCTGTCATGTTGAGCCTGCTGTTGAGGTTTTTGCTGAGGTCGCTGCTGCGGACGCCCGAGTGTCTTCTTGCTCGGTGGGGCTGCATGTCGGGATTTCTTCTGCGTACGCTCATTTTGGCGGCGTTCTTTGCGCGAAGCAGGCCCGTTAAGGCGACGCTTCTTGTCACCGTAGACATCGCGGATTCCAAGCTCGGATCGTAGATCACGAGGCAAGGCTGTCGTATTATGCCGAGGGCGGGGAGGCATTTTGGTCCTCTAAGATACTTTGTCTGCTCTCAAAAATGTTCAAAAGTCGGTCCTCAATATCAGGTACGCTAGGCGGTCGGCAACTTTTTTTCACTTTTCTGCCGCCCCAAAAGAAAGGCGGAGAGACACCCACAGCGGAGTTTATCCCCCACTGTTAGTTGTTCCCAGCTGTCAATTGCATATCAATCATCTGCTTCAGCTTTCGGATCCCTTAATTTTCGCGCGCCTCACACTAGAATCTCCAAACATGGCCCCACATTTGGGACACGATGAGGTAAATGTTAATCGTGATGCTAGTTGGCCGCTACAACTCCGCACATGCGACCACCATCACCAGTTTCAAGCTATATCACTAACACCGGTCACCTTTAGTTCTTCAAATCTCTCACCGATCTACTCTCCAAAACATCTCAGCAAGTCCACGGCTCGGTATATCTCACTCAAAAAGCTCTCATAAATGTGCCCGGTGCCACTACCACAAACTCCCAACCATCTATCCTCATCCGAGCCACTGATGGAAACACCAATGCGCCGAACCTCAAAGAAAGCAAGGAAAGCAGAGCCTCAAAAGACAAGTCTCAGAAAATCAAGCTCTCGACCATCGTCAGCCCTGATGACATTGAGGCGTTCTACGTTCGCTATGCCGATGTGTGCAAGGCAGGAATGTCCGGGTTGAAGAAGAGAGATCGCCGAGCCCGTAAGGCTAAGACCAAGGGCGGAGCTGCTAAGGTCACGAAACCATAAATTTGCTCTGAGGTCTATTTCCTGGATACCACCAGCGTCTTTGTGTACTTCGCTCGGACCCGGCACGCGATTTCTTTGGTGGCTTCGTTTTCTCATGCATTAGCTGGCGTTCGGTGGGGTTATGGCTTCTTGTTCTCAGATTTTCAATGCGAGCTTCCTATCAAGTGCACATATTTTCCTACGCTTGTAGCCCACGGGCGCTGTGTTTATACGATTCCTGTGGGACGGGAAAAGAAATGAACAGCTTTTAGCATTACAGTCGGGCATGCCGCTGTTCGTGGATTGTATCTTTAATATCTTTCCTCAATTATGCAGACCAATTGGCCAGGAATATGTACTTGTGCTAAGTCTACATGAAACAGCTCGGGAATTGAAAGAACGTAATTTGATCAATTAATTATTCGTTGCTGATATGACCCCCGGTCTCCCTCAGTAATACATGCAACGCTAGAATACAGAAATTTAGTATATTACAAACCATGCCATATGTCCACCCATAAGTCGTGCAAATCAGTCCCGAATATCATAACAAGGAAACCATTAAGGTGGTTTGTGTAGGGAGGGGAATACAAAGAGTAAGCATTAAATCGGCCGTAACGTGGGGCCGAAGATCCAGATGAAGAAGTGAAAAAGTCAAAGGAGTAAAGAAACCAAAAGCAAGACATTTCAGCCAGCCAGCTAGTCCAAGTCCCAAGGGTCGAGTTTCCTGAATATTTCAGCATCCTCGTATTCCGAAGAAGTTTGGGGCTCTAGTGGAAAGCTGAAGTCATCCTCCGTGGCTAGATCCTTTTTTGTCCGTTCGGGTTGGGATCGTGGCGCGCTTGGTGTGGAGCTCATGATCGGGTGAACAGCTGGGTTGATGACAATGCGCGCAGCGATATGAAGAAGGATGACGAAAAGATAAGCTGGAGGAATCAATACTAGGGTGATAGCCTTAGAGATGAACGATGAGCCGTCATCGCTAGATGGTTGATACAATGCCGAAGAATGAGGCATAGGAGAAACATCACGCTCCCTTGTGGCTTTTGCCCGGCGCCGGAACTCAGCACTCATGTGGTCGAAATCAGTGTTCAATGCACTGCTCTTGGAATGAAGGTGTGGGCGCAATTGAGAGTCCGAAGGCGCATCGGCAAAACGACTGGGTGGATTCCCATTACTTGTGGGAGCCATTGAAGGAGACGCGTCCGAGAACGCATCTGCGAAGCGCCTCGGTAAATTGTTTGCGCTTGTACTATGCGGTAATGGAGGATTAGGCGTGCTGGTCGGCTTTGAGGCGTCGTCGCTTTGAGGCATATCAAGTATCGACAGCTGCGACGTCTTCTGAAGGTCCACTGGTGCTTGGTCCAATTCAGTAATGATATGTTTTGTGATCGAAATATCAAATGTGTCTAGTGGATCTGGCATATCATGGCCTCCCACAGATGTAGGATGAGTAGAAACTGAATCTGGCGATTGTGGCTCAGCAGAATGGAATGACTCGGGGCTGGATGCCACGGAGGCACCATGGTCGATCTCCTGTGTGGGCCTGGCAGAGGATTGAACGGATTGAACTTCATCAACATCTTTGCTAATCTCATCCACAGTTTCCTTAGCTTCGTCTGCACTTGTAGGTTCGGCACCGAATACGATTTTCTTTGAAGTTTCAGCCGCCATCACCGCATCAGTCTCGACTGGAATGACGGGTTCCGCTTTGACTGCGGCTTTGCTGGTCGCTTCGGCTTGCGATACAGCTTCTGGCCGAGATACATAGTTGGTTTGAAGCAAGTCTTCAGCTTTGAAACCAGGCTCTAATGTGCTTTGGGTTTCATGTCCGGCTTCAACTTCACCGTCGACTAGAATCTCAGGCTCGAGTTGGTCTGCACCCTTGATCTCCTGATCAATTTGAAGTGCAGCATCGGTACTGGGTGCGGACTCTAGCTTGAGCGCAGGTTCAAGGTCATGGCCATCCTCAGGGACTGCCGTGGCCTCAAATTTTGCAAGAAGGCTAGTAAAAGTTTGTGGTATTTCGGTGACTGAACGCCTAGGGGGCCCAAGGTATGGCGAAGGACTCAAAGCCTCAGGAGAGGGTTCCCGGTCATCAGGAATCGCCCCCAGAATGGAACTGCTCGCTTTGTTTGAAGTGAAACAACTGTCATCGGTCAGGTTTCCGTCGGTGTCGTCTCCAGTGCTTGCGGAATCGACCCAATCCGACCTAATTGAAGCTGGCGACGGCGTTTCCTGTGGAGGTTCTAAGACATTCGGTACCCTTTCTTTCCGGTCTTTAGGTTGCCAGGCCTTTTTGCGCCGAGGTGCCATCGCATCGTTTGGGAGCTCGACACTGAAAGCACGTTTGAAGGGACATGGCGTGACCTCATAACGAAGTATTGTTGGCAAGGCTATTCTTAAATCTTGCACCAAGCTCCGGTCGTCTTCCGTCTCATATGGTAGTTCGATCCGATAATATGTAAGTGGGCGAATGCGTAAAACAAATTTCGAGACCCCATCAACACACCAACACTGAGAGTTTTTTAGGATCGCATGGACAACATTTCCACATTTCAAGAATGCTGTTGAGCCATGGACCTTCTCTAGCCTCAGTGGCGCTGTTGCAACCGTTCTTTCAGTCGCAGAACGCCAAGGGAGTGTTTCGATGGTGTCAACCGGGTAGTCAAAGTCGGACGGCGCAGAGCTGGACGGAATAGGGGCGAGCGCTCTTGGGGAGAAATGCACAATTTTTGCAGATGGGTGATAGAAGATTACATGTTCGGGGGTATTCGGCACGCTCGAACGACGTTGCGCGAGTGGATTTAATTTGGTGGGAAGGGTGAGAGAACGGCGGAGGGATTGTATCTGACCTAGCTCACTTGGAGACTCGGGCATGGTTCATGAATGCGATAAGTGATATAGGAGAATGTGTAGAGAAATTAATGTAGAGACATGTTTGTACAAGATACTGCAAGAAGCCAGGGTATCCGATGCAGGAGGCGCAGGGAACGGGGCTTATCCGCAACGATGCGCGGGGAGATGCACTGTTGCCTCAGGCCTAAATCAGGTGACCATGACGCAGCTTTCAATGGAGGCCACAGTTATTTCACTTTCACTTTCAAGAATGCATTGCTAGCTCCTTCGCGATTTCGACACCTCTAGCGCTCTTCACAGTGGTATTTATTTGGATCTTTCGCAGCCATCTAAGCCACAATGTCGAACTTTGAGCCAAATGCCGTGATCCGCGGCTTCCAGCTCACAATAGTAGGAAGTATGTCACCCCTATGTGTTTTTTTACTATTTCCAGATCATTCAGAAGGACTGGTTTGAAATACCTAGGCGGATTCCTTACCGCACAAGAAATTCCATCAGTGTCTTCCGGGCTGTATAACGTCGGAGTCGGCTTTTGCCAAGACTTTGGTCAAGGAGCTCCTTGCTGCCAGCCATCTATTTCCATTTGTCGTGGAATGATCCTCTGGATGGAAATGTATTTTTGACTACTTGCTAACCGAGGCTTACAGCTGTCCGTGCATTATCGAACCCAGAACTATTCAAGTACGACCATTTCCGCCAAGCAGCTCTCGCGATCGCCATCGGCATCGTGATTCAATTGATCATTCAAATACCAGTATGTTTCCACACCGTCCTCTGCTAGTTTGCCTTTCTTCTGGGCTTTCTTCTGACTTGAATCCAAGATTCTCAGCGTAAAATTCTCCATCTACTTATTATCATGGGTGATCAACCTAGAGCAGGCTGTCTGGGACGACAAGCTTCTCAATGGGCTGGAATTCATGTCCAAGTCCGTCCTCCAGGTACCATTCTTGCTCATGACCCTGATGCGATATGTGACGCCCACGCTGGATGAAATGTATGTTCCATTGGCAGTAGACTCCCTGACAGTGTCCGCTGACCATCTCACCAGTTTCATGCAGTCCATCCAATGGGTAGACATGACATACATTCAGAAACACAAATCAGAAGAACCTCATCAATTGCGCTCTCTTTACTACCCCAATCTTGTTCAGTACTCCGCCAAAGGGGGCTCCAGCGTTTCTCGACCAATTTCCGAAGCACTGAAGTCATTTTTCAATCGCTATGCAAAGAAGATTGGCATGATGCTTGGTATCTATCTTCTCTCGATGGTTGTCGTCATTGGCCGGTTCGTTATGCCCGCAGTGAGCTTCTACACATTTCGAAGCCATGTCGGGTCCACCCCCGCGGCCGCCATTTTTGGCGTAGGCTTGATCCTGCCGAAGCACTACATTGTCACATTTCTCCACACCTACTTTGCTTCGCGCAGTCTGATGCGTGAACTTGTAAGTTCAGCCACCCTCCCGGACTTGAGAATTTCCTTGACCGTTTCTAGCTCGAACCCTACTTTTGGCGCATCAAGTTCACTCCCGAGCAAAAGCGTCGGTGGTTCCGTGACCGAGAAGGTGTTCTCTTCGGGTTTGCTTTCGCTTTCACCGTTCTTCTACGCATCCCCTACATTGGTGTACTGATGTATGGCATTGCTGAGGCATCTACAGCGTACCTTGTCACCAAGATTACCGACCCGCCCCCACCTCCTGCTGAAAGTGCAAACTTTGCTGAAAGCCAGGTTACCTGGAAGAACAAACATGATTTCTTGCGCTTGTCTCTCGATAACCTTGACAAGCTCAATGTCGACATGGATGAGCACGATCACAAGGACGCCGGCTCTCCCGGAAAGAAGTTTTCCTAGAGCTATCAGCACTAAGAATTCCACGGCAAGAGTTTCATTCAAACATAAGATATAGCCTTGGAAACTGCGCAGATAGCATGCAATTCGAGGTGACAGCATACAAGACTACCATTCCATGTGACTTTGGAAGGAGTCTTACAAAAATACATTCAATCCACTACAAGGCTTGGCATGACAAGCCCTTGAGACTTATCAACCTAAGATATGCGAGATAAAGCGATGATAAGCCAGATCTCCCACGCTTCACGTATCTATTATTCATGTGAATATACGTATATCTATATATTAGGTACCTATATACATAAATAGACACATATATATTTAGACCGCCTGCGGGGTACCGCGTTATCGTGAGGGGATGTTGATATATTTGGAGTTCCCCCCGAGATCTGTACTCTCATCCTATACTGCCTCAATCGCATTAAACAACTACACCTGCAATAAGTATCAATATGGGTATCAAGGGAATTCGCACTGCTCTCAAGGTCGACCTTGACAAGCCTGCACGTGAACAGCCCGGTCTACATGTATGTTATTACCTTCGAATGGTGAGACATTGCTAAGTCCCCGATAGAACAGATGGCACCCAGATGGTATGTTAAGTCTTCATTATGGTCCCATCGAAACCACTGCATGCTCATTGCACATCTCGTAATTTCTAGTTCCGGCCTACGGAAAAATCGCCAACAATGAAGTTGTCAAGATTGAATGTCTAGATTGGACCGGAGGCCAAATCGGAAATAACGACTCAGCCGACGACATCAAGAATGTAGACCTAACCCAGATCCATTACCTATCCGGTCCGTTCGACATCGAAACCGCGGAACCTGGAGATGTCTTGCTCGTCGAGATTCAGGACGTCCAGCCATTCGAAGAGCAACCATGGGGATTCACCGGGATCTTCCACAAAGAGAACGGAGGAGGTTTCCTAGATCAGCTGTATCCTGAGGCGTATGTCACATTCATCTCATGACATTATAATGTATATTAGTGTTAATGAGTCTCACAGGGCCAAGGCGATTTGGGACTTTGAAGGAATCTTCTGCTCATCCCGACATATCCCACATGTCCGGTTTGCGGGACTAATTCACCCTGGAATCATGGGTTGTGCTCCATCGGCTGAAGTTCTGGCTGAATGGAATCGTCGCGAGGGGGAGCTTATTGCAGCGAATACTGTTGCTGATCGAATTGTCGCCCAGCCACCGAATCCCCAGAATGCCCATTCTGGCACTGCTACTGATGACGTGAAGAGCAAGATCGCTAATGAGGGTGCTCGGACTATCCCAGTGAGACAATATCATATACAACAGGACTGAACCATGAACTCATATGTCTACTAGGGCCGCCCCGAGCACGGAGGTAATTGTGATATCAAGAACCTCTCCCGTGGATCGAAAGTATACCTCCCAGTCCACGTCCCCGGCGCCAAGTTCTCTGTCGGAGATCTGCATTTCTCGCAGGGCGATGGCGAGATCTCATTCTGCGGAGCAATCGAGATGGCCGGTGTCATAACATTGAAATTCTCGGTCATCAAGAATGGCATGGCAAAACTAGACATGAAGTCACCAATCTTCCATGCGGGGCCCGTAGAGCCGCAGTTCGGTCCTGGACGATACCTAACGTTTGAGGGATTCTCAGTGGATGAGAATGGCAAGCAACATTTCCTGGATGCAACTGTCGCCTATAGACAGACCTGTCTCCGCGTCATTGAATATCTTCGACGCTATGGCTATAGTGATTACCAGATATATCTGTTGCTCAGCTGTGCGCCCGTGCAGGGGCATATTGCCGGTATTGTGGACATTCCAAATGCTTGTACTACACTTTCGGTGCCTATGGATATCTTTGACTTTGATATTCGACCTGAGGCGGATGTGGTTAAAAAGGAGATGGGAGCTTGCGCTTTTGTCACAAAGTAGGGCGTTTGGGGCTGGAAGGGGCAAGTTGAACACGCCGAGTTTCCTTTAATTTAGATACTCTAATCAATCTCCTGATATATTCTCGAAAGAGTATTGCCAACGCCACTGATTTCTTGATCGGTTATTTCGAGACACAGGTCAATGCTCATCAGCATAGAGTGTCGCCTACACCTGGTCGAAATACTTCAAAATTTGAGAACAGACGGAACTTTTAATAAGTTATACTTGAAATATATAATTTGGTACTTTTTTGAGGCGATGCTCTCCCTCCTGATTTAGGTGAATGCACTTTCAGCCTGGCATGCCGTGCCACAGGATTTTACCATGTAGAAGAGATTACAGTATGGACTTCGCACAAAGAACAAGGCAAATTGCCTGAATCCTGAATGATGTGATATCATACATCATGGGTCATTGGTGAATGAGAAGACCACGTCGTGAGTCGTGATGGAACAAAAGAAATATGAAACCAGATCAATTTCAACCCGTTTAAGAGAAGAACTTCTTCGCAGCGGCCCTTTCCTTGGCCTCCCGGTTCTTGACGGTCTGCTTGACCTTGGCGATCTCGTTGATGATACCAGCATCGCCGGGAGCCAGCTTCTCTGCCTCCTTCAGATCCTTCAGCGCGGAATCCTCCTCCTTCAAGCCCTCGTGAGCAACAGCACGGCGGTAGTAGGCCTTGGCCTTGTCGGCGTCCTTAGCCTTGGCAGCATCGGCGACTTGGAGGGCATACGTGGCCCAGTTCTGAGCCTGTTGGAACTTCTGGAGCTTGTTGCCGAGCAGGGAGGAGTTGGAGTGCAGGGTGAATCGGAGGGCCTTCATCTGCTCGCCCAGCTCCTTGGGGTCATTCTCGTCGGGCTCGGGGAACTCGTTCAAATATCGCAGACCCTTCTGGTACTTGTCGAGGCCCAGGTTAAGATCACCACTCTTGAAAGCAGTGTTGCCGAAACCCTTGAGGTCGGAAGCGATCTTGAAGCAGAGAGGCGCAGTAAGCTGCTCGCCCTGGTGGTCCTCGGTGAAGTCCTCGTATGGGTCGCCTGTCGCATCCTGTTGGCGCTTGGTCGCGTTCTCATAATCCTCGCCGGAAAGCTCGCCGCAGTCCACCACAGTGACGTTCTGGACGGGCTTGTCGGACTGAGTCTTCATGTTCTCGATCTTGCGAATCACACTCTTGCCGTTGATGACCTCACCGAACACGACGTGCTTTCCATCGAGGTGGGGAGTAGGGACGGTGGTGACGAAGAATTGACTGCCGTTGGTGCCAGGGCCGGAGTTGGCCATGGAGAGCAGGAAAGGACGGTCATGCTTGAGGTCGAAGTTCTCATCAGGGAACTTTTCGCCATAAATCGACTCGCCGCCGGTGCCGTTGAATGCAGTGAAGTCACCACCCTGGATCATGAACTGTTTGATCACACGGTGGAAAATTGAGCCTGAATCGGAACACGGCGGTTAGTACACGCCCACGCTATGGAAGCGGGGTATTGGAGACGTGCCTTTGTAGGTCAATTCCTTGCCCTGGGTGCCAATGCCCTTCTCGCCAGTACACAAAGCTCGGAAGTTGTCCGCAGTCTTGGGAACAACTGTTGCTGTTGTCAGTCACGTTCAAATTTGTCAAGGGAGAAAATCAGGTCGTACCATCGTTGAACTGTGTGACGCCCAGATGTTAGATACAATCCAGACTCAGCATAAAGAGAGCGCAGGTAACTTACTAGCTCAAATACAACCCGGCTAGGCTGGCCATCGCCGATTTGAATGTCAAAGAAGACACGGGGGCCTACAAGCTTGTCAGCAACTAGACTTAATTCTGGCATTCCGCGGGCAGCTGGACCCCGCACTGAACGTACGCTGAGCTGTCGCCATGACTGTGGAATTTAGGGATGGGAATCTCAAAAGTGGAAAAGAATAAGAGAGAAATGAAGTTGCTATGGTAGAGAGGTGGAGGAGAAAGAAGTCGTTGTGGGGGAGTGCGGCGCTTGTGGTTCAGGAAGCTTCCATTGCGGGCACCCCAACTATGTTCGGACAGGATTGTATAAAGGTGGTATTGGGGGTATCTGCTAACATCTAATTAGGTACAAAGCATTACTCTAATATCTATTTCTTCTCTTTTTTCTTCACGCTAGCAATTCAGGAGGAATTTGGAATTCGAAAGATCCCTTCATGTCCTGTTCATCGTTTTTGTCTCCATTTTTCTGCTCCTTGGGATCCTTCTTGGGGAGATTGGTATTGATTTCGATTGTGACCTAGAAATAAGAACTGTCAGTATAGAATCAATAGCGGCGAAGGAAGGAGCCAGGAAGGCAAAATGTACCGCCGCGTCCTCGCTGCAGTAGTCTACACCCACCGGCCCGTCGTTCTTCAGTTCGACATCCATCATGGCCTGGAAGACACCATTTTTGACCCGGTCTGGGGTATAGCCTTCTCCCATCTTGTCATAGAAAAAGTCATAGATTTTTCGCGCAGTATCGGGACTGGCTGCATCATGAAAGTCGGGTTTATTGCCTTTCTTCATTTTCGCATAGAGGGTGAATTGGGAGACTAGATCAGACAACCATCAGCAGTGCTCAGGGATGTTCCAAGTACAAATATGGAGAAGCATACCACATAGTACTTCTCCCTCGATCTCCTTAACATTCTTTTTCCACTGTGGTGGTGTCAATTAGCGATCTTACACCTATACGCTATTTGACTTACTTGTGTGCCATTCTCATCGGGCCAGAACTTGGCCTTTAACACCTTGTTCACAAGGTTCTCCGCATCCTTCTCAGTATCCTCTTTGCCAATGCCAGCAAATACAAGAAGGCCCTTGCCAATAGAGGAAACCAACTCCGAATCGACTGTCACCGACGCCGATTTCACTCTTTGGATAACAACTAACCCATGTTAGTTGATTTTGATATGCAAAGCTGATTCGGAGTCCTCACGTTTCATTTTGATGGCCTATAGATCTATCATATCTCGTCAAAATAAAAAACAGCCAAGTGAAGCTGGGTTGTGTACCTGCGGTGTAGACAAGATCCGGCCGGTGATAGCACTGGCACCAAGCGTTGCTCGGTGTTGCCCAAATGAGCTCGTTTGCCTCGGTTTGTCAGTGCAAATTGATTCTTCAAAAAATAATGAACTTATGGACTGAGAAATCGAATGACGTTTGTGACTTGTATGTGTGTAAAGCCACGATCCCCCTCTCACGCCCTCGCGTTCGCCTCCGCCCGTGACCGCCTACCTATTAGAGCATCCACGAAGCTTTCCACTCAAACGCGGAGAGGCACTCCATGGACTTCCGACTTTCCGCCCTTCTTGCTGTCAATCAAGCGCTTTTAACAATTTCTCCTCTATCCACTCACTCGATTGTGCTCCTGTGGCCATTTTGGTCGAAAGCGCATCACCACACCCTTCCGGCCACATTAATCCCGAAGCCAGTGGACGGCACAGTCCACCAGCGAGTTCACAATGGCAGCCCGAAAAACGCAACAGGAAATTGAGAAAACCTTCAAGAAGGTCTCCGAAGGGATACAAACGTTCGAAGGCATTTATGAGAAGATTCGCCAGGCTACAAACCCCACGCAACGGGACAAGCTAGAAGACCACCTGAAGCGCGAGATCAAGAAGCTCCAAAGATTCCGTGATCAGATCAAATCATGGGCGGCTGGAAATGAGGTCAAGGATAAAGCTCCTCTTATGGAGCAACGGAAGGCCATTGAAGTGGTACGTTTCTGTTTCCTAACTTGGCCCACAGGGCTGATGGGTTCCCTCAAGGGACGGCAAGCTAATACTGTTGGTAGTGCATGGAACAATTCAAAGCTGTCGAAAAAGAGATGAAGACGAAAGCATATTCCAAGGAAGGTTTATCGGCAGCTTCGCGACTTGACCCAAAGGAGAAGGAGAGAGTCGAGTGTTGCGAGTTCCTTTCCACTATGGTGGACGAGCTTCAGCTGAAGATCGAGGCCTTGGAGGCAGAGGAGGAAACACTTCATGCACAAATGAAGAAAGGCAAAAAGGATACGAAGAAGGCGGATCGAATGGCCGACATCTCCCACGTTACGGAACGACATAAATGGCACGTAAACAAGTTGGAGTTCCTCAATCGTTCGTTACAAAACGGCAACTTGGACGTGGGTGCGGTACAAGACCTCAAGGAAAGTATCAAATATTACGTGGAGGAAGGAGGTAGTCCTGATTATTCCGGTGAGGATGAAACACTCTACGATGATCTGAATATCGGCGATGAGGTCGAGGCACAATTCGGCATGGGCGGCGAAGGTGATCGTGTGTCATCACAAGACGCCCAATCAATCCAAGATGAAGAGCCAGAACCGAAGCCAAAGGCCAAGCAAGAAGCGCCAGCAGCCCGGAGACCATCAACACAGATGAAATCGCCTCTGCCTGTTCTTGCTACCCTCCACCCTTCCGCTTCATCGAGTGCCACTCCAGGCATGAAGCCCGCTCCCCTCCCTACCCGCCCCCCTGGTGAAACTCTCAAATATGCATCCGCTGCTGCCGCTGCTGCTGCCAGTGACAAAAGTGGTGTTGGTATTCTTCCTCTTCCCCCTCCACCAGGCTTCAGCCCGGCTTTGTCCGCGGCATTGCCTATCCCCAAGTCTTCTACTGCCTCACCTAGTGTGGCTTCAGTGTTGCCTGTCACCAAGTCAATAGTTCCACCTACTGTAGCAGCTGTTACAGAAGAAGTAGCTGGGCCTGCGCGGCCGAAGGTCCCTGTTACTGCAAGTGTGTCATCGCCGGCGCCCGCAAAGGCGGAGGCATCAATGAATGGAAAACCAGAAACGGACGGAACTGAGAGTGACGAATCGGTATATCATCTGCCCCCGGGTCTCCAGGACCTGCTCCAATCATTTGAGGTAACGAAGTCGCGTGCGTCGGCCAATCCATCGCCGTCCGTTCAGCGCCTTCTAGCTACCTCATTGACGACATGCCCGGAAGCGGGCGATGCTGAAAAGCCCCGTCACTACAAGCCACAGAACCCCTATAGCACGGCGCTCTACTATCCACAGGAACCTCTCTCAATATTCGACGACCCCCGGTTGTACGATACCGGCAGGATCGATACGGATACTCTCTTCTACCTTTTCTACTACCGCCAAGGGACATACCAGCAATATCTCGCAGCCAAGGCGCTCCGAAACCAGAGTTGGCGCTTCCATAAGCAGTATCAAACCTGGTTCCAGCGTCACGAGGAGCCGAAGAACATCACCGAGGAGTTTGAGCAAGGCACCTATCGCTTCTTCGACTACGAGAGCACATGGTCAGTTTAAAGATTCCGACTGTTTGCGTTTTTCCGCCCCAACTTTACGAGCTCACCACTTACGAATAATGTCAACAGGATGAATCGGCGCAAGGCTGATTTCAAGTTTGTGTACAAATACCTCGAGGATGAATTATGAGGCGTCTCTGGTCTTCTTTTTTTTTTACCCATGAGCAACCCACCTGGGTCTCCAAGCGCGGATGATTGATTTTTACCCTGGATTTATTTGGAATATCTGGTGACTCAACGCTACGATACAATAGACTGGATGTTTGAGGCTATGGAATGAACTTTCTGAAAGCTGTGGTCACGGTGGGCTGTTTACTGTTGCGGGACTGGTATGAGTGCAATGAATGGGCCTCGGTGATACGGGAGTTTCGTGTTATTTGCAAGGTAATTGTTTGAACAATATGAATTAAGTCAAGCAAATATACGAGGAAGTAGCTAAGCCTAGCTAAGCCAAACTGCTAAGCTGCCTAAAGTTGATATGCTTACCAGTCTGCCTTCCTGCCCAGGTGGTACCTGGCTAGCCGGAAGTACCATAAGTACCAATCCGGGGTTATGCTTGGTGTACACGTAGCTCTGCAGGTCTTAAGGTTTTGTCTATTGGGATGCAGGAGAGATGTAAGAATATGTACGGAGTAAGAGAAATATAAATTAATCAAGAGAAAAAAAAAAAAAACAAAAAACTGGGAAACTTGGAAACTGGGGGCCGCAATGCTTCGACTTCAAGTCAGGCCCGGAACAAATCCCAAATATCCCCGAGTCAATCAAAAAGATCAAACCCATGTGACGAATCGCATCCCTTTCTGTGCACAACGACGTGCGACGTCAGAGAACGGTAACTCGCTAGCAATACAAGTTACACCTCTCAGCCGCTTGGCACTAGGAATGTTCGAAAAATGCGGGATTTTTTTTTTTCTTTTTTTCTAGAAGGACTATGTCATCAGGGGCTGTGCGCAATATCGGTCGATCTATGACCCCGGATTGGAGGAGTTCAGTGGGAATGGAGGGAGATATTCGGGTTCTCAAGGCTGGATCGTGCGGATCATTTGAATAATATACTCGGCACGATTGTGCCGCGGGATACGTCAGTGGGTTTGGGAATGGATACTCGAACTCTTGACCATCAACCTTCCTCTTTCCAAACCTGAACTTCATTCTCGAAATCTGGAAAACTGGGTTCCCAATCCAGGCAATCCCCCCTCCCTCCCCCCCGTGCAGCACATGAAACAGCAATGTGCAACTGCATATGACGAGCAACAAAAAGACAACGGGGGGCCATGGGCCGTCAGACACGAGCTCTTGGCACGCTAGAATGTCACTAGAAGCCACACAGAACAGTCAACATCCAATCATAGAAGGATGATCGTGAGGGGGGGAAACACACTGGGCACCGAATGTCTGACCGCTGCTTATCGCGACTGGCCTCACCTCAACACACCTGATCATCCTCCAATCATCATCGGCCAAACTATCCAGGATGTGGAGGGCAATGAGGGGTGGACACGCTAGAAGGGCCGTGGAATATTCGCCGTCAGCAAAAGATCCGCGAATTGCATACAAAACAAATTCCCGCATGCGAGGAGGCGGGGAGGCTGAGTGGTTTTGTCCAGTCTGCTTCGATGTAGTTTTCTAGTTTTCTAGAACTGTTTAGTTCCCCTTTCATAGCCACTCACAGTCTAGCTCGTTCCCGTGTCGACCAATACCCTCGGGACCTATGATCCTCGAGTTTCATAACTTGGGCACATAAAAGGGCGGTATGCCTCCATTGCCTGAGGAAATTATTTTGCATTTTACCTGCGAAACATCCCGGCCAAATCAATTTGAAGTTTTGAATCCACCTGTTCTCTCTCACAATGGTAGGTGACTTGAGCTTGGATGGTCGTATTCTAGGCTAACCCTCCCTCTCGTAAGACCGCAATCCCAATTCCTCTACCAAACCAACGCTTCGCGTCTACCCCAATCGACATGCAGTCCCCATTCAACTATCCAGATTCTTACTCTTCCTACTCTTCTTCCCCAGGAAGTATGGACTTCTTCTTCTACGGCAGCCAGCCCGTATACGATCCCCTCTGCGAGATCGACACCAGTCCCTTCCCCATTCAAGAGGTCGCCCCAGAGCTCTACAATGTCACCAGCTCGCCCTACACCTACCAGGTCCCACATGACTACCCAGTCTTTGACCGACCCGTCATGCCCCAAAGGGCACCTAGCAGCTGTGGTAGCAGTTACAGCAGTAGCTATAGCAGTAGCTTTAACTTCCCCTCCGAAGACATCACCCTACCCTCCTATCCCATTGGCGAATATGAATCCGGGACCGAGTCGCCAGCGCCTGTATCCAAGTAAGCTAGCTATCTCCATCGCCAAGGAATCAACCCGCTAACACCTCGCCAGGCCTGTCAAGCCCTTCGGTTGCGACCACTGCGGCAAGTCCTTCACCCGCTTCGCAGACTTGAAACGCCACCAGTCCAGCGTTCACTACCCTGTCTTCCGCAACTGCCCTGTCGAGCACTGCTCGCGAAAGGGTAGCAATGGCTTCCCCCGTCAGGACCACCTCGTCGAGCACCTTCGCTCATACCACCACATGGACGTGCCAAAGCGCGGTTCCTGCAAGCGTTCCGCAAAGCACATCTCATGATTATGATGGTTCTTCTCGCCCTCCCCTGGTGTTCCTCGCATTCGTCTCCGTCCTTGTTACGATATTACGACTGTATTTCCTTTTCTGATTTGTTATTTCCCATGTCTATTTTTATCTTGGTTTCATCTAGATCGCAATCCGGTTATGGATCGGTCATGTATAGAAGACGCGCTTTGCTTCTTCGCTTTATTATGTTTCAGGTTTTGAGCTCATCGCTCATTACCTCTTTATGTGTTCTAGATTCTAGATCGGCTTAGATGGGTTATTGGTGGAATGTTTCAATGAATGGCAACGGATTACGATATACCACTTTCCTCAATTGGCCTAGACGACTTTTTCCTATCGCATTCCCCCTTTCTCTAAATAAATCTCTAGGGTACGCCAGTTGCTTCAGTCTCCCAGGACTAACTAGACTAAGTAGGTCCCGTATCCCGTCTCTTAATTTCTGAGTGTATATTCCCTTTGCAGATAGCTGCAGCATTGAGGCGTCAGTCCCGTTTTTACTCCAAATATCCCCTGTAGAACACAAAGAAGATTCGATCAAAAGCAAAGAAAACTCTAACCTGGAAATCTCTGAGCTCTCAAGCCTTTTCTTTGTTCCTTTGTGCAACGCCTGCCGCAAAAAGCCCCAAGGCTGGCCCTCACTTTGGCCCCCAATCTCTTTGACATCCAAGTATGGTAGGAGTCCACGGACAAATGATTTCCAGTAAATAATACCTATATGCAGGTACCAGGGGTTCATTGACGCATAAAAACCCGAACATATCATTAATCCCAGCACTCCATCCCCAACCCCCGTTCGATAATCTGCAACGCATGCCCTTGTCAACTTGCCACCCAAGATGATAATGCATTAATCGCAGCCTAGTATCATCGGTGTGGGACGCAAGACCTAAATACACCGGCCCGGGGAGAAGCGCCGTATCCCTTGTGGGTTCACCGGCTATAGTTGCGAGATTTAAACGGGATCGAGGCCTCCATACTTGAAGTACTATGTTGTGCCGTGTTGTAATCCTCGCTATCGATGGGTTAAGGTATGTCGCGGTGAAACGGGGCACTAGGTGACGGGTGATACTCCGTTATGGAGTCTATATAGTGATGGTGGAGGCCACAGATGTGTAGACTTGTCCCGTTGCGGTCGGTATCACGGAAGAGATTGCGGAAGTAGATGTTGCCCTAGTTTAATCCAAGGGTCGGGCCTGGTAAGGGGCCATTGATGGTTAGGTTCCATCTTGATCGGCTATTTGGTCCTAGGATTTCTTGGTCTATTTTGAGCCAGAAATCGTTGGTGGATTGGAATCTGAGGTGGCTTTTGGGTAGTTGGTGTAGAGATTGTGTTTCACCATTAGGATTTCCTTGTGGGTATGGTGCCCTTGTATGCACTTGAGTATATTTCTGTAGAAGCAAGAGGGACTGGAAGTTGCAGGAATGACCCAAATTATCTCAGGCCCCCTGGTGCATATCGGGTTGAAATTTGAACACCCACAAGCCGGCGTGACCTAGTCCCTCTGGGTTAGGTCCAGGGTTGAGAAAGATAAACACCGGCAAAGCCCCGGAGAAAGACTGCAGAGATACATGACAAACCCATGTTGCAGAGCGCATGGTTTACCCAGGCTACGCACGCCGTTATAACCAGCCACAGCCCTCGGGGCCAACTGGAAGTTAGCTAGTGGTTCTCAGCACGCAGTATTGACTTAGCTTATTCTACGAAATTATCTGACAAAGAGCTGTCAGCATTGCTCATCCCATTCGAGCCCAGCACAGTATTCAACATTCAACCATCAAAACCGGGGTTACCTAGATAGGAAATTCAGACGGAATCAAATTTTTGGATACAAGTACAGCAATCATAAATCACAACCTCATTGCAAGAAAACAATCCATCTCCCATCCATCAAACGCCCCGGGAACCCATAAATATAGAACAATCAAGTAAGGCAAACTCACTTAGCCGCCAAATCCACAAACTCCTTGAAACAAACCCCCGTAACCTTCCCATTCAAAAATACAACACCCTCCTCCTCAAGCCTCAGCATCTTTTCCTCACAAAACCCACCACCACCTTTATGCCCATCAACTTTCCACTCCCCCTTATACCCACCTAACGAGCCATCTGCCGCAAGGACCCGATGGCACGGCACCTCCGGCGCAAAGGGGTTACTGCGCATCGCGTTTCCCACTGCTCGCGCGCTGGAGCCTAGGTGGGTCGCCATCGCTGAGTAGGTAGTCCACCGACCTGACGGGACGGAGAGGAGCGTACGATACACGCGCCGGCGGTAGGGGGTTAGCGTTGGGTGCAAAGATATGCGGCGGAGAGATTTTTTGGTTTGCGCTGTGGGTTGTGTGGGTTGCAGAGCTTTCTGGAGTTTGGAGTCCTGAGTGTCTGGGGTTGGTGTTGGGGGCTGCGGATCTGCGGGCTTAACTGTCGAGAGTGACATGGCTTCTGTAGCGTATCCTCTTCTCTAGAGTTTTTGGTAGAAGTCTTGATACAAATTATCCCCTTGGATTTTCGATTCCAAGACCCGTTATGAGGTCTTGAAGTTTCTTGGATCTTGTGGACAGGATGTTATTGACTCCATTTAGAAGTTGGAATTAGCAGGGAACGATGCGACGCGAGACGCGTCTTTTGGTATAGCGATACTTACCACGTGAGTAACTTTGGTTTGAAGAGATGTGATACAGGCTTTTGCTTTCAACGTGACTATTTGAAGAAAGAGAAATAGTGATGGAAAACAATGGCTATGAAGCTCGAGTTGCTGGTTGATGGACGTTGTTCACAAAGTGGCCAATCAGAGCGCCGGCTTCGGTCGACTATATTTTTTCTTCGATGGGCCATTTTTGAAGAATCTTCTCACGATTTGCTTAATATACATGGTTTTTTTTATTCGGTAAGAAGGAGCTAGTGATCTTTAAATCATATATCCATTAATTAGCTGGTCTTCATCAATGTCACTAGACACAAGAAGCACAAACATAGCACATCTTCGACTCCCCACTCCAAATCTAAGCATGATCTACATGCTCTGTTCCTACAGCATTGTCACCGGCCTTAGAAGCTGCAATTATAGCAGCAGCACCGACAGAGATAGGCTTTCCAGTCTCCGGATCCACCACACTGCCCTTGCGACCGAGAGTCTGGACCATGCCTGGGTTCTCTGCCTTGAGGCGCGCAAAGGTCTTCTCTGCATCCCAGGTCCAGGGTGTATTAGCGGCAAAAAGGAGATCCATATCCTCCAGCGTGCGCTGGTTGCTTTCTGGATACAGAGCCCACACCATGGGGATGGCGATGACATTACTGGCGGCGAAGACATACAGTGTCTTTTCGCCAATGGCATTGAACATGACGGGGCATAGTAGAGTCTTTCGTATTTCTGTCAGTAAATGGGCCTTGTATTCAGTAAAGGATGTTCACTTACCAGCCATCCATTGCCAATACTCCATCCGACGACACCAAAGGCATTTCCACGTGCACGAACGGCCAGGGGAAAGATTTCAGCCGGATACACCCTGATAACCGTGAGTTAGCATTGAGTAAAAGAATATCAGGCGCGAAATCCATACCAGGGGACTGTGAGCCAAGAAGCTCCGAATGCAGAGGTAAAGATGAAAATCATCGAAGCTGCGGCAGCGCCATAAGAGGATGCCTTGCCCATATCACCGGCTGCTTTATTGTCGATGGCGAGACGGGAAAAGCCTCCCGCAAGGAACATGGCAATACCCTGAACAATCGCGCCCCAATATAAGGTCCACCGGCGACCGATGCGGTCGAGAGTAAAGACACATACTAGCGTAGCAAACTAGACGTGTACATTAGCACAGCTCGCCCATTGCTTCAACGTCAAAACACACCATGTAGAAGATATTGTTCAGTCCACTAATCCACTGACTCTTCATAGAATCAAATCCAGCAATGCCAAAAATGGTCGGTGCATAAACTGTAACTCCCGCGATACCAACCCATTCCTGCATAATCTGTAGCCAAATAACCAACTGTACGCGACGGCCGATGTGGAGGTCACCGGATTTATACCCAATCAACATAGACAGATATGAGTCACCGTGGTTCACCGTTCGCTCCAGCTCAGCGATGCTCAGAATATCCTGGAACTCGGCTTCCGCTCTGATGAGGTCCTCCCCGCTAGATCCACGTAGACGCTGGAGAACATAGCGAGCCTCATCCTCTCGGCCGACCTTGACAAGCCATCGAGGTGATTCTGGGAAGAACCAGACAACCGCAAATAGGATGATGAGGAAAATGATCTGGAATGCGATGGGGAATCTCCAGCGGAAGGCTGATTCTCCGTTGTCGATGAAAGATAGGCCACTGCCAAAGATTAGAAAGGATATCATAAACAATGAAACGTTGTACGTACAACTCCAGCCAGTAAGCCAATACGACACCAAAGATGTTCAGCGTGAATTCAATAGCAATGAATTGTCCGCGCGAAGTATGTTCAGCCGTCTCGGTGGCCCAGACAGGGACGATGGCATTCAAAATTCCGGTGCCAATGCCATTAATGAAACGCGCTGCAAAAGTTAGTCGAAGTCTCCATGTATTAAACCCTATGGCCCCTTACCGCAAATCATCCAATTAGAATTCTGTGCCGAACACTGCAGGGCTGCACCAAAAATAGCCCATAGAGAACCTGCTGCAATGGTTTTGATTCTGCCCGTCCGGTCCCCGAGCCAGCCACCGAGTAATGCGCCAAAAAGTGTACCCAGGTAATAGACCGACACGATGCCGCCTTGTAGCAAGGAATTTGTGACTACCGGGGTCACCTCGCCGTCTACCACTTCAGTATGGCCAAATTTCATAAGATCAATATAATCCTTTGCATTATTGACACCGGCCATCATTCCTTGGTCGTAACCAAAGAATAAGATAGACAGTCCAGCCACGCAGTTAATTCCGATGAGAAGCTGGCGCTTCTCCAGCTTGTGGACGACATTCCACGAGGAGATTTTGTCACTCATTTGAACGATGGAGTATTGGAGGCTTGTGGCATTCAAATTTGGTTCTATAGACCGAAACCGGAATGAAAGAACAGAAAAGAGGAATATGCCCGCACCCGCGGAAAATCAGATCAAAGCTACACAGCAAAAAAAAGACCGAAGATCTCAAATCGCGTCTACATGGCGGTAGCCGAGGCTTTTAAATCTTTGACATGCATGTCTAAACCCTGCGGCACAAGTCCGAGTCACCAATCGACAATGATGCATAGCAATTTCCCCCGGGGATCGACCGAGCGGGCTTTACGACCAGCAAGAAAAAAGTGATCCGATGCGGTTATATTCCGGTGGGATACGTCCACCCAGGTGGGAGAGATGGGGTAAAAAACCAGTCGCCAATGTCGAGACAACGCGGTTGTCTAATTACCCCCACCAACATGAGAAAACCCGGGGATGAAGGATGGACCCGGAGCTCGGCGAGTACTTGCTATGTGTGGTACATAGATATGTCATGGCGGGGCAAGTCTGGGGTGCGCCAGGGGCTTTTACCCGGTTGACTGGGGTCGGCAATCCGAAAAGAACCTTTTTTATGTTCTGCACATTCCGGTAGGTCTATATTAGATTCGGCATGAAATCGGTCCGGGAGGCAAAATGTGAACCGATGAGCTCTATACGGAGTAAAGTACAACTACGGAGTACACACTCTCTCTTTAGGGGGCGGTGAATTATCCGATGGCTTTCTGTGACCTCCGCATTTGCCCTGAGTGGGGGTTGGGGTATCTTGGCATGCCGCTTTATTCGCTCAGAGTATTTCTCAGTCCGGGCTCGATATTAAGGTCGGTCGCGTGACAGGCTCTGACGTGATTGGCTGCCACGTATGAGAAATCCCGAGATCCACCAGACTTGCGGCATCACATATCGTTTTCCTTTATTTTCTCCTGTAGGCTCTGGAGACATACATACTTACGGCCTGGAATGGTCTTTAATCTACCTAAAAATGAGGTAGATCAGTTAATAAGGAGCCGTATACACCTGAAATGCCACCAAAACAGTATCATTTATGGCATCATCTTGCTCCCACCCGTCGCTTATGAGCTAGTTCCACCGTATCAAGAAGATCTATCCAACTACAGTCTTGTTCCTTGATTTTACCGTACCGCTGCCAAGACTCTCTATGCACTCATGGATCCTTTTCTCCGCAGAGGCGCTAATACACCATTCATTTCCCTGCTAGGCTAAGAGTCCTACTTCGTGGCCTACTTCGTATGGGAAATCCCTGCAGAGTGCCCGTACATCCCCGGATGCGGCTTTTTCTGGGGCGCTAATTACTACTATAGAGTTAGATATGCTTCCGATCGGCTGTAACGTTATCGTATTTCTTGTTTCCCCCCCAAAGTGCCGAGATATATATAAAGCTCGGTATCTCAAAGTGGAGCTCTGTGATATGTATATATTTTGGGCCACAATTGAAGACAGGTTGTTAGCTTGCTGATGTTTATTGTTGGAATAATTGTATTAAAACTTTCTGTTAAAGAGTAGCGTGAAAGACCTATGTAGAAATGGTGAGCTCGGCTCGGAAGAGTCAGATATTTTTCTTGGTTGCATCGTTCATGCATGAACGAACTTGGCAAATTAATATGGCTGCAAATCCCGCCTACGAGAAAATGGTTCTCCCTTATCGCAACCAAGCCTATCAAGTTTGATATGAGCACAATGCTATTTACCAAGAACTAGCGCCAGCTCGTGTAGGAACCGTCCTGACGATCGTAATAAATACACTACGTACGGAATCCTCCGTACTTAGATAAGGATCGCTGCTTTTAGGCATTGAAAGCTGTGATACACACACATAGTATGAAAGCGATCGAGTCATCGCATATAGGCATGTCTTGAAGAAAGATTTCCTCGCGTTTGGTCGAGATTTCTTGTATGGAATAAATTTACAATGACTGTCAGAATGCATGTGGAATAGAACACTTCCACTAAGGCACGAGGACATCACATTTAATCTAGATTGTGCCGTACTCTTGACCAATAGCACCGCGTTGTGTGCTCCGCGGGGAGGGGTACGGAGTAGGTACTCCGTAGAGTGATGCTGTGGGAATGCAGCAACTAGCGGCAACGCAAGAATTGCGTGCCTGAAATGTGTTTTTCTGATGCGGACTCTTCCTTGCACTTTGGTGGAATCCTGTATGTCGTTGACTATAAAAATAGGGGGAGTGTGATTCTTCAACATGGTCCCAGAAGGAAGGAATCCAAAACATTGAAATACTACAATTGATTCGGTGAAGGAACAGGCCGAAAGATTGGAGAGCGCCATGCGTATGAATCGGGACTAGCGTGCTTTGTGCTCAGGGCGGGATCCACTTATATAGATTGTTCTACATATGTTGTACTCCGTACGGAGTACACGCAACTACATTGTAAGTCTTCACGCGGGTTAGAGCGAAAATGCGGAGAAATGTATCAACAGTACCCATATTGAATTACTTTTTCTAGGCACTTTATATTCAAAATAGATCCCCCAATATATCCCGCAGGTACATTCAACTCACGGCAGTGGCGCGAAAAAGTGGTGCACGTTCAGTCCGGTAACCATATCGACCTCCGGTCTCATGTTTCCAAGTTTAGTTGTTTCGGGAGTAGACCTTAACCGAGTTCACCAGCCAGTAAGCCTCGTTGAAGGCAGTTGGGTTATTTGAAACCCAATCGTTGCAGGTGTCGGCCAGGCTGGTGCATTTCTCATCCTTCAAAAATTCTCGTGAAGCCCCTGTAGAGATTAGTGGATGTACTTTAAATGCAATATGTAGAGTACTTACAGCCTCCGCAGAAGTTGGTGTTGAAGATAATGTAGTTTTCCTTGAATCTCTGGGCGATGTTGCAGGTATTGCCTGAGAAGCGGGCCAACGGGGTGCCAAACTTCGCCACATCCAAGTCTGCAGTGCCGGCATTGATCACCGCGTTAGCCGCAGCGCTGCCGCGAGGGAAGAACCACACATTGATAGACAGGCTTGCCCATTCAGTGACATAGACACCACCTCCATTGGCGTTGAAGGCGGCACCGTAGTTGTTGGCCGATGTGGTGCCCTGAGAACAGCCCGAGTCATTGTCCTCACAGTCAGCAGAGGTCTGGTCTGCTGTCGACTCGGACCCGGTGACATCCATGTTGCACCCCTTTGCTGTGTGCAGGGTGACAGCGTTGGACTTCTGATTGTTGACGCCCTCGATGATATCGATCTCGCCAGAGTTGGGCCAGTCAGGGCCAGAGGTCCAGTAAGCAGGCCAGATACCGCAGGAGGCACCCTTTCCAGTGCCAGCCGGCATGTGAGCAATGTCGGCGACGAAGAGGCCGGTGGTAAAGACGTCCTTGGACCTCACACGAGTGGAAGGACGACCACTAGGACTCTTATCCGCAAAGTTGACACCAAGGTAGACTGCACCGTTGCTGATCTTGGCCATACCAGAACTTTTGGCAGTCTCGGCGTCCACATACTTCACAAAGCCTCCAGATGGATCTGGGTCACTGGTGAAATTGAACCCTTCAAAGAAGTTGGTGCTATCGTATACTTTGGTCTGGGAGTACGAGGCAGCACAGACAGGAACCGCCGAGAGAAGGGCTCCAACACCGATGGCTTTTGCTGAGAAAATCATGTCTGCTGTGATAAGAGAAGATTATGGAAGAGGAGAGTTGGATTCTTTCGACTACTTTTTTCTTGCAGCATGGGAGAATATATAAGGCCATGCTGCCATGTCTTGGAGAAAGATCAACAGGTCCAAGACTTAATGTTACAGCCGATCGGGAGGGCTCCAACTACAACTCAAATAAGAAGTTGCATTTAAAAGCTGCTTAGCCGACAACAAGTCTGGCGGGAGTGTATAGCCCTAGATCCTAGCAAGAACCTCTAGTGGGGGGAATATATTAAAAGATGGGTACCGTTTCGGAGAGAAGGGTCGGATTGCAACGGCATTGCGTAAGTACGGAGTAGGTACCTGCAGATCAATAGCGGCATTGAGATATTAAGCCGGAGCTGACGAAGGAAGAAGAAACCCCTGTCCCAAAATATTCAAGTAGGGACGGGATTCATAGTCTAGACACTACAATATGCTTCATAGTGCTGTCACATTCCACGTACTGACACATTGCTTCCACAGGGTATCCTTCAAGACTATGCCTATCTCTGTAACATAACCCATGCCTTGTCATTTTCTGATTAATCGTGACCCGGTTAATCTAGGTAAATTTTACTAGCGCTCTGTAGCGCGATTAATTTATATTATCTATTCCGTTCTCCATATCTCTACGCAGTACAAGACGCTATGATATCCTATAGTTCACTGCAGATTGTAACACCAAGTTAAGCATAAATAATAAGAATTTGACTTTGTATTCAAGCTTGCCACTCTGGTGATATGACTGTCCATTTTGGCTTTCATCTGTAACCTACATGGCATGTATTGGATATAGCGTACGCGACTGGTAAGATACAGGGAAATTACTAGCGTGAGGATCGGCACAGAGATCAGATCTGTCTGGATCGGGGACCTGGATAAACCACATGGCAACTCTCAGCGGCATGCTCACTTGAACTCGGTCAAAAAGCGGCAAGGAATGAGCACCGAAATGGAAAGCAGGCGCCAACATGAAAATTCTCTAGGCTGACAGGACAGAAGAAACTTGTCTATCTTGGATAGAGACCGAAGGATCAACATGGAGAACAGGAAGAACGGGGAGAAAACGGAACAGCCGAAGTCCCCGGACTCGAGCTGTCCTTGCATCCTTGTAAATATTCTTCCGGTGATTGGTTCCGATTTGTTTGTCTTTATATCCTTGTCCTAACTCATCTGGTCTCTAGGAAAGGAAAAGTTTGCAGATTGGGGTAATCTGACCATGTTGTACAGAGGGAATCTTCTTCACAAATCTTGAAATTCTTGATCAAAAGAGACAAAAGTCCTACTTCTCATACTTTGAGATTGAGTATATTCCCAAGGTTTATGGACAATGACGTGTATTTAAGTATGCGTAACCGTGAGCACAGTCATGGGCCATATTGTCTTCAAAGTAGTATGTGCAGTTGATATATACTTTCGAAGAATACACAAGTCTCCAGTCTACATGAGAATGCATGATACCGTCAATGGAAACAAGTGTATGGCAATTAAAGCGACGGAAAGCACAAAGTAAAACTTGATCACAAGCAAATGTGTCTTGATATCTACGAGCCCATGGCTTGCGAGTCATACATTCCGGTTGTATGAAAGACTGGCAAGTGCACAATTCTCCTGATGAGGCTGAGTTCAGGTGCCGGTCCCGGGATTGAGAACCCGTTGACCAACTCTAATTGGTTCACTTCCCTGAACCGGGCAAGTAACAAAGCCAGGCATATTTCATCAAACGCATCTCTCCATTATACCACATGGTCTGAATTCCGAAGAGAATCCAACGTAAAAAGGCATGGCGCAAGAGCGTGACAACGAAATTGATACCAAAACACCGGACCCGCCAAGCCAGCATGGAGAGACGCGCCTAGAAGGGTATTCCCAGTTCACAGTAGCCCAGAAGCGGGCTATCGTTGTCATGGGATCGTTGGCCAGTTTCTTCTCACCCTTGTCTTCGAGCATATACCTGCCTGCTTTGGCCACCATTGCGAGTTCCCTGCATATCTCCGTCTCCCAGGTGAACTTGACGGTCACTACTTACCTAGTAAGTCAACGACAACAATAGTGCCGAGGGAAACACGCAACTGACCAAGCTGGTTATTTCTAGATCATGCAGGGAGTAGCGCCCATGTTGATTGCAGGCTTCTCGGATACCGCAGGCCGCCGTCCCGCTTACATCATTTGCTTCACACTTTACCTTGCAGCCAACCTAGGACTAGGTCTCCAAAACAGCTATGCTGCCCTCTTGGTTCTCAGATGTCTCCAGAGCGCAGGTAGTAGCGGGACTGTGGCCCTGGCAAATGGTTTGGTCGGCGACATGATCACGTCTGCTGAACGAGGCTCATACATCGCCTTCGCTTCCATCGGGAGTATGTTAGGTCCCTCTTTGTCACCAATCATTGGCGGTCTTCTCAGTCAGTACACCAACTGGCACTGGATCTTCTGGTTTTTACTCATCTTCGGTGGCGTATTCTTCCTCATCCTTGGTCTCTTTCTGCCGGAGACTTGTCGCAAAGTGGTCGGAGACGGTTCCATTCCACCCCCTCCTTTGAATAACTCCCTGGCAGATATTATTCGGCATCGTGCACGCAAACGGCAAGGTTTGGTGGCTGACCCAGACAAGGAAGCTGAGGTGCGGGAGAACTACTCTCTCAGATTCCCGTCGCCGGTCCCGACTATGAAGGTCGTTCTCGATATGGAGACGTCGATTGTCCTACTCACCACAGGGCTGCTGTTTGCTGGTTTCTACGCTGTCATGACTGGTGCGTCGACTTCCTTTCATAAATTATACCACTTCGACGACCTCCATGCTGCGTTGATGTACCTCCCCATTGGCGGAGGAGGGGTGCTGTCAGCCTTCACAACTGGACGCCTGGTCGACTGGAACTACCGCCGCCATGCCAAACGTGCCGGCCTGACTGTCGTCGAGAATGTGCGTGCGGATATTCGCAATTTCAACATTGAGCGTGCAAGGCTGGAAGTCGCTCTTCCACTCTACTATATTAGTAACCTTTCGATGCTGACCTACGGCTGGGTGTTGGGTCACAAGGTCAACCTCGCTGCTCCTATCATTCTTTTGTTCATTACCGGATGGTCCATCATTGGTACATCGCAAGTATTGAATGCTCTAATGGTCGATCTCTGGCCAGGAAAGTCGGCTACTGCGACCGCAGCAAACAATCTCTTCCGGTGTGAGCTGGGTGCTGCGGCATCGGCGGCGATCAGCCCTATGCGCTCTGCTATGGGTGAGGGCTGGGCGTACACCACGCTTGCTTTGATCTCTATCGGTGTTTCTCCTTGCTTGTGGATGGTTGCGTGTAATGGAATCAAGTGGCGACAGAGAAGAAACCGCAAGGAGGAGGAAAAATAATCTTGTGTTAAGGACTAAATCTGCCTTGATATGTTTTGCACGAGCTCATGAACTCACGAGACTCAGTCTAGAGCATACAACTGGGATTCTGCTGTGGACTTCAGTTCTGAATTCCTCACCTACGTACTTGCAAATGAATATTGCTTAGCCTTCGCTTTAGTTAGGAGCTTTTTTCGTCCGTGGATCTTATCTTTATGTATCGGTCCAAATATACCCTCATAGGGCTTGTTATTGTATTGTACAAAAACCCTTGCACACAGTTTGAGGACATTCGCCGTGATGACCAGCCATTTCTCTTGCGGTGATTTTATACGGTATAGCATTCGGTGAAATAATGGTCAAAGGATTGAACGGGTATGTGATCGGTGTGAAAAACTGAGGGCCGTTTGGAATAAACACCGCCAAGCACAATACTTCCAAGGTTGGATATCATCTTTATTTCTTAGTGCCCAGTTCACGCGATCCACCATTCTTAAAGAGTGGATGCTCATATAAAGGCCTGGGGTACGGAGTATTGAACTCCAAACTCGAGATTCCACCCGCTTATAACCGCGGCGGAGCCCGCCGAGATCAAGAATCCTTACCGATAAAAATGCCCGTCCGCGGGTAGGCAAAATATCTGGGGAATGGCCGCTAACTTCTTCAGTAGGAAGTGGAAATAAGTAGCTTAACGAATTGTATGCCCGTGAGTAGTCCTGGGTAGGCTAGACAATAATTAATCTGCCAATATCTTGAGTTCTGCCGTAGAAATGGAACTTTACAATACACATCTATCTGCTACAATAAGTCTTTTCTCCTGGCATCGCATCAAAATATTTCAGCGGTATCCCACATTCTGCCTGCAGTACCGCCGGAATCGCCTCCCGAAATCCTCCGGCAGGTAGCCGGCCCGTCTTCACCGCCTCACTCCTACAGACCATCTTTGCGGCCATATTCGTCGTGGGCGGTGAAGCCAAGCAATACCGCAAAAGCTCAGTCATTTCCCGTACTGAATCCACCCACCCTATTTGTGCACTCCCAACAACTTCAATCCACTCGCATTGAGGATTGCATTTATATCTAAAGGCCAATAGTCTTTTGTTTCTCCTTTCATTATGTTCCGCGCCGTCTTGCCCCGGGCTATGCCCCGGTCTGCTCTCCGCCATGCGGGCCCGAGGGCTGTTCCCAACAATTTCGCTACTCCCATGATCTTCATTAGCCAGTCAAAACGCGGTTTCGCTTCTGAATCAGGTAAGTTAACGCTTGCATCGCTATCACAGAGTTCCCGTAGAGGGTCGTTCTGCGTGCTTCGCGGATGCGATTGCTGATTTCCGCTTTCCCGGGTAATAGGTGATCACGACCTGGTCATCATTGGTGGTGGTGTCGCTGGTTACGTTGCCGCTATCAAGGCCGGTCAAGAGGGTCTCAAGGTATGAACTGCTCCTTCTCCAAGCTTATCGGTTTCGATTGGGCCGGTGCCGCTTCAATCCGCGTACTAACTGAACACTCTGGCAGACTGCATGTATCGAGAAGCGCGGAACCCTCGGTGGTACCTGCTTGAACGTCGGCTGTATTCCTTCCAAGTCTCTCCTCAACAACTCTCATCTCTACCACCAGATCCTCCACGACACCAAGAAGCGCGGTATCGAGGTCGGCGATGTCAAGCTCAACCTTACCCAGATGATGAAGGCCAAGGACACATCTGTCGAAGGTCTGACCAAGGGTGTTGAGTTCCTGCTCAAGAAGAACGGCGTCGACTACGTCAAGGGTGCCGGTTCCTTTGTTGATGCCAACACCGTCAAGGTCGCCCTCAACGATGGTGGCGAGAAGACTCTGCGCGCTAAGAACATCATCATCGCCACTGGCTCTGAAGCCACCGGCTTCCCCGGCTTGAACATCGACGAGAAGCGCATAATCACAAGCACCGGTGCTCTTGCCCTCACTGAGGTTCCCAAGAAGATGGTCGTCATCGGCGGTGGTATCATCGGTCTCGAGATGGTACGTATCGACCACAGAACAGGCTCCGAAATTGCATCTTGCTAACTCTTTCTCGTGATATTAGGCTTCCGTCTGGTCTCGTCTCGGTGCTGAGGTCACTGTTGTTGAGTTCCTCGGCCAGATCGGTGGACCCGGTATGGACGCTGAAATCGCCAAGCAGGCCCAGAAGATCCTGGGCAAGCAGGGTATCAAGTTCAAGACCAGCACCAAGGTCGTCTCCGGTGATGACAGCGGTTCCACCATTTCCCTTAACATCGAGGCCGCCAAGGGTGGCAAGGAGGAGGTTCTTGACGCAGACGTCGTCTTGGTCGCTATTGGCCGTCGCCCCTACACCGAGGGCCTGAACTTGGAGCAGGTTGGAATCGAGAAGGACGACCGCGGCCGCCTGGTCATTGACCAGGAGTACCGCACCAAGCTTCCTCACGTTCGTGTCATCGGTGACTGCACCTTCGGTCCCATGCTGGCCCACAAGGCCGAGGAGGAGGCCGTTGCCGCCATCGAATACATCAAGACTGGCTACGGCCACGTCAACTACGCCTGCATCCCCAGCGTTATGTACACCCACCCCGAGGTCGCTTGGGTTGGCCAGAACGAGGCTGAGATCAAGGCCTCCGGTGTCAAGTACCGTGTCGGTACCTTCCCCTTCAGCGCCAACTCTCGTGCCAAGACCAACCTCGACACCGAAGGTGTTGTCAAGTTCATCGCTGATGCCGAGACCGACCGCATTCTCGGTGTCCACATCATCGGCCCCGGCGCCGGCGAGATGATTGCTGAGGCCACCCTCGCCATTGAGTACGGTGCTTCTTCTGAAGATATCGCCCGCACTTGCCACGCCCACCCCACGCTCTCCGAGGCCTTCAAGGAGGCTGCCATGGCTACCTACTCGAAGCCCATTCACTTCTAAATCTCTTCAGATCTCATATATCCTCCACCATGTACCACTTTTAGCTAACCTAGACTAGCTCGGCTAGCAAAATACATCATTCATGTAATCATTTTTTTTTTTAGTTTCGTGAAATACACATGCTGCACAACTTGAGTCTACCGTTTTTGCCGACTATAAAAGTGCTCCTAGATGGAAAAAAATGCACCTGCTTACGTCTAGCCCATATTTTCTCCAAGCCCAGTCCTCCCGAGGTCAGCAAACCTGCTGATTGACAAACTACTATTTCTACAGGGCTACAATCCACTCTTAGTAACATGATCCTTACATCTACAATGTGGGGAATTATTGGAAAGCATCAGGCATTTACATTTATATATGTATGCATATTTGCGTATATTTTGGTCCCTGGTCTCTCTTCAACACATTCAAGCAGCGGCGGCTTTCAAAAACACCTGTCGAATCTCCTCCAGACCCTTCTTCTCCGCCAACAGCAACCCAAGCAGAATCCTCGACTGTTGAGGATTGAACATTCCACTGGCAATCTGGGTCTTCGCGTTCTCACCGGTGATACCAGCAGTGGGGACTTCTACATTCACAGTACGATGTGACAGCACGATGGGGATGTTATGCTTTGCAACAATGTCATTGCAAGCAGAAGCGAGTTCCGTGGAAACACAACCTGCGCCCTCGCCAGCAACCTATTATGACATTAGCTTTACTCTGCTGAACCGATTCGGATCTCATAAAAATGGGGCAGAAAACATACCACAACACCCTTGACACCATTCTTCACAGCACTATAAATTGAATCGATCTGCATATCCTCATAGGCATACAGGATATCTACACGAGGCATGGCATCCACATTGGACACATCAACCACGTGCTAGGCATTTGGCTGCACGGCTGGGTAATAAAAGTACGGTTTATTCGACACAATGAATCCGATGCTTCCCTGTTCATACGCCTTGAAAGTATCCATGGTATTAGCATTTTGTTTAGTTACGAAGAAAGCCGAGACAACCCGGTCATTTAGAACAACCAATGCTTCACGGTGCTTGGAATTCTTGTCTGCGGCAACGGTCACTCCTTGCGGGAGATGCATGGGTCCATCCGCTGACATAGCGGTAGAGGGTCGCATTGAGCCGACGAACACGACAGGCTTGCCGCAGTTCACTGTTGCGTCTATGAAGAAGCAGACTCTTCGAGGGTGTCGGTGCTGTGGGTGATCACGGCTCCAAACATGGTGGAATTATCGCAGAGTTCGACCTGGAGTTTGTGGGTGAGGTTTAAGAGGAGGGATGCGGTGATATCGCCGCTGTTGACGTTGTTTGCCTGGGCAGCGGCGATGTTGGCGACATTGAAGATATTTGGTAGTTCGGAAAGCAAACTTTTGATCCCCAGTGCACCAGATTCGTAGCCTGCTGTTGCGGTTCTGTCGTTGCTTGTGGCGGCGATAGCGCCGCCTATTTTAAGGTCAGAGGAAATCATGTTGCGTGGGTCATATAGAATTGAAATTTGCCAGTGGCTATGATGGTTATATTGGGAAGAGAATTATTGAATTGATTGAATGTCAAGCCATTAGAATTGGTATAGGATGTGTGTGCTGGCCGGGAATGGATCAGAGATGCATAGCTTGTGATGGCTAGAGCCAAAATCACGAGTGTCCGAAGCGATAATCTCATTTTGACTGCAATTCTCTGTTCATGTCAGATAAATAAAAGCCATGGGATGATATAGTACAGATATAGATGAGACAAGGATGGCCATTATTTATATACACTGGCGGAGGCTGATGCATGCTATGCATCATCCGATTCCTCCTGTTCCAACGCCGAATTCGACGAAATTCTGGATTCGGGTTACTTGGCGATATTGTAATCGTTATTTTGGATTAGGTCTGAGCATGCATGCATTTTACTATATATCTGATCACAGACAAAGTGAAGGTTATGTGGAGTAATATCGCAGATCGCGCGTTTAAAGTATTGTTTTCCGCCAAAATATATCCACATTCCTCGACAAGTATGCATATAGGTTTCTTGATCACGTCTGGTTATTGTAGTATCGTTTGGAGTTTGACTATTATCTTTCACCAGGAAGCCTTGTGCACATGTTTACTTCATCTCCTGCACAGCTCTCGCACAAACTGCTCCACACGGATATTGAATATAGCTGAAAATCTCGGCACATTGTCGGAATTATCAGTCTAGGGATACGGAAGGCAGCCGAGCAGTTTAACCGATGTTCGAACACATACTCCAAAAATGATAGCAACACGATACAAAGTACGTAATTCACCGAGTCTGCCCCGTAGGTTTCACCTGCAACTGCTTGGTAAATGTGCGGTATACCTTGGCAACATATTGAGTGTACCTTTGGTGGGGCAATGTCTCCAATTCCATGAGCTGTTTCATTTCTTAAGCTTTTCTTTGGCATGTTGATCGGCAACTAGGGCCTTGAAGAAAAATAACAAAAACAAAAAAAGAAACTCCGATAGGGGGAATCGAACCCCCGGCTGCCGTGTGAGAGACGGCGATGTTAGCCACTACACCATATCGGATATTGGATGAGGGTTCCTTCAGATTTAGCTTACAGAAACTTGCTAGAACGGTTCTACGTCCTGCATGGTTCTATATAGTCCCCTACACACCCTCCATCCAACAGCCTCAGTTATCTTTTTCGCCTTCCTTCCTCCTACGCTTTGTATGTGAGTCTTTTTTATTTTTCGTCATTGGCCGGGATTACCGAGCTCCTGACCACTATCACCTTTTCCCTATATGACTCGTCGACTCTACAATCTAAGCTACCCTCTCTCGTTCGGCCCTCGCTAGATATCAATCGGCCTCTCGTTTCCCAAAATCATTTATAGTCACTGGCTAATACTCATCGTCTTTAACTCTGAGGTCTATTCCCGCGAGGCCTGTCGGTTCGTCGTGGTCCCCACTTATTAACACTTCCAAACATCGCTGGCATTTCCTGCCTATAAAAGCAAGTAGACTAACGGAACTATTCTCGCTGCGTCCCATTATATAGTCATTGAGATATCCACACGATCGTTGCGTCGGTGTGTGTACCGCAGGTTGAGGCAACATAATGACATCCACAGTGCTCCTAGGAGCCGGTGTTGATGAGTCAAACCGGCGAAAACACAATTTTTTAATAATGAACAAGCCATGAGATCCAATCATTGAAGCTTGAACATCGCTTCGTTAATTATTCCTCTGCTATCTCACCAGAGCGGTAGTACTTGTCGATTCCAGGCTAGGCCACTTCGATGACGCGGAGAAAGTCCGTGACTGTGCTTATAGATTTGTGATTTCTATGACTAAGTCTGCAAATAAGTTGTCATTGGATCAATTACAAATTCATCCTGTCTCGGTTCGCCAACCGCGGAAACAACTTCATCGCATTCCCAAAGTTGATCATGTCCCTCAGCTTCGGATCCATTTCATAGCTCTCAAGCTCCTCGAGGAACGCTGGATACGCAGTTACCGGTGCATATGGAAAATCGCTTCCATATAAGATGTGGTCATGCGGAACCAACTTCAACAGCATATCCAGAACCTGCGGTGACGAACTGAGCGCCAAATCAAAATAGAAGCTGCGGAACGCCTCCATAGACTTATCATGTGTTGTGCCCATGCGATGAGAGACTGCAAAATCAGGTGCCTTTTTCATCGGCGTCGTGACCCGGGAAATAAGATATGGGATAGCTCCGCCGGCGTGTGAAAGTATGACTTTGCAGGCGGGGTACTTCAGCCGTGATCCGTTCACTATCATGTCCATTGCAGTGCGAGTGGTTTCATGAGGATAGTCAATCGCCGGCTGTGGAAGCTTCGGGTTGATAGGGTTAGTATCGACGGGGTGGGTTGGGTGGACGAACACGACACAGGCACGCCTATTTAGTTCAGCCCAGATAGGTTCTATGTCTGGATGGCCAAGATAGGTATTAGAGGAGCCGTAACGAGTGAATAGGGTGACTCCGTCGGCATGGAGGGTGTCTAACCCGTACGCAATCTCAGAGAGGGCATCCTCCGTGTCGAGAATATTAGGTAGCGATACGAAGAAGGAAAATTTCTCAGGTTCTTTGTCACGAAGTTCGGCAGAATATTCGTTTAATTGCCTCGCAAGTTGGGCGCGCCTCTGGCGATCTGGGAGGATGCAGGCGCCTGGGGCTGTCACAGAGAGGATTGCAGTCTGTACCCCAACGCGCTTCATTAGCAGCTTAGAAGCCAGAGGATTCCAGTGAGGCGTAGGCCAACCGCTGGGATCGCCTCCTTGTTCTTCAATCGCTGTGGCACGGTTAGTTAGGTATTCAAACCTTCGTCAACGAAACAGCTTACCCTTGGCATAGAATGGAGGGACACAGTGATGGTGAGTATCGACTTTGTTCACCGGAGGCGTGTGGCTCCAGCCGATGGCCTTATCCCGGAGCCAGTCAAGGGTGTGTTCGCTCATTGAGCAGAATATGCTGGGTTTGCAAAGGTAGAGAACGGTCAAGACTGCGACAGAGGCCGAAATAAACGCCAGCATGATGCTGTGACGTCCAAGTCATGCCCTTGTTTCTATGGCCCACATGGGTATTAATAAGGGCCCGGAAGCATCCCGGTGGCGATTCCCCGCATCGGGGTTTGTCCTTAAATCGTTGTCCATGCCGCATTATCCGAGAGGGTCCCTTATGGATCTGGGAAATGGTAAGAAGAGGCATTATTCATCATGAGTAGACACAATCTTTCAAGATCCTCGGCATCTGACCCCACGGGCTGAAGGCGATGGCTCTGTAGTCCGAGTACGCTACCTGCAACCGAGGCTGACCAAGACACACACGTACGACACACTCAATGCGCGCCCAAATTTCCGCCTCAAATCGCCAGGGTCGGGACGGGGACCTGAAGAAGGGGATATGGCGCAAGGGATTTCTTTCTTCCCACACGCGAGGTTGTTACCCAGGTTGGAAACGCAGACCACCCCCAGGAAAGAAATGAAAGCTTCCTCCTAGGCATAACAGCGTACCAATCTTTAGCAGTCTCCTAGCTTTCGAAGGATTCGATATGATCGAGACCATAAGCTAGTGAATCTAAGAGCTCGCCATAAGGCGATGGGTGGGAAACAAATTGACGGCCTAAAGCACAATAACCTTGCAAAATACGGCGAAACAACCACGCCCTATCTCAGCTCCAAAATATGGGTCCTGCGCATAGTAAACGCGGAGTCGTTGAATTATCGCGAAGCGCAGCTCTCTCAGGAACGCCAGAAGCCCCATGCCCATTGCCAGCTGGATTTTAGCCGCAAGAGAGGCATCATCCTGCACCCCCTTCATAATGGACGGAGAAGAAACGGGCGAAGCACTCTCTCAGTGCGTCGGTTTTACAAACAGTATGATTCCTTGGCAGCAGCTTAAAACGTACAGTTACGCGTGGAATATCTATCTCAACCGGACCGATAGTATCGCCACCATTATCGGCACACAAATTGGTGACTCGGATTGCGATGGGTGAGTGATGGTCAAGGCATTTGCAAGATGTTGTCATATACTTCGTTGAGAGCATTAGGAGTATTGGGACCAGCCTCGCCGGCTGGGTCCCATACCACAGTAGAAACCTTGAATATTTTCGTAATGGCAGCACTCTGCTATTCTGCCAAGTTTAAAATGATAGAAAAGAAGTAGACCGTAACATTTTGACGAATCCTTGCCTACTGGGGATTAATGATCTTGAGCAGATGCCCTGTATTTGCGCTATGGTCAAAGAGCTACTGCGCTGGAGGCCTATTTACACTACACTCCGGACTATGTCCTCACGTCTGACATGTACTTTGAGGTTTATAATTCATAGCAGCCGTCGGCTTGTGATGAGCGAGACCCAGTCCGCAACAAGTGGGAAGACTTAGGCGGGCTTGAGCCGGGATAGTGGCTTGACGGGCATGAGATCGAGCCTGTGCATGGACTGTGGGAATTGAGTTGAGGGAGTCATATTTGTGCTGGCAACAAACTGCTATTCGGAGGCCTGTTCCCTAAGCGTGGTACGTAAAGTGTTTTGCTATAGTTACAAAATAGTAAGTCAAATGCTACAGAAGAACCGGAAATCAGTTAACATGAGCCAGGATAGACCATACAACCCAATGCATTTGAATCATCACAAAACTGACGAGAACTTCCCCATAAGGGTGACCCCAAGAGGTGAACTGCATGCGAAATTGATACAGCAGGAACGGGGATAACTGAACACTCTGGAGGATGCTAAGCCCCGTATTTGATGGTATAGAAATTTCTTCCCTGTCCTGAAATGTATGACATTGTACGACAACTTATTCTTTGAAACAGGATATCACAAAGTGCGTAATAGCCTTCGTTGTTCCACTCGGAGGTCTCGCCGCGGCAAAGTCCATTAATGGTCCATCATGAGCTTCATTGGCCATGTACAAAGTTACTTGCCCATTACTATTTCTCTTCAGCATCTCGCCCAACTGCTGTACGTGATCGCTGAAAACCTCTTCGTAGCCCCCCGTCACAAGGATACCTTGCACAGCCTCGAGGCCCTCCCACCAGCTTTCAGGGACATCCAGGGCCATTCCCCAGCCATTACCAGCAGAAATCTCCTCCTGCCAGGGAGAGCCTCCTACAAGGTGCATACCCCATTCCTCCACAACCTTTTGGCTCAAAACATCGACACTGAACCATCTCTTGTAGGAGGGGGTACAGAAGTTGAATGATGATAATGGAGACACGAGGAAGCACCCTTTCACGGGGTCATGTTGGTCAATTACACTCTCTGCTGCTGGTTCAGAGGGACGGTGACGATGCAGATGAGCTAGGATGCTCAGGGATAGGTGTGCTCCTGCCGAATCTCCTCCAAAGATAATCTAAAGAAATTGAGGTTAGCTCTATAATTGAAAGAGGCTGGCTTACAGCAAACATACATCTGATGGTTTGTATCCAGAGGCAAGGAGATGCCTAAGTGCAAATATTCCCTGCATCATTTGCCTTGGATACGGGTTAGCGGGTATCATACCTGCGCCGTCAGTATACGTCGTGTTGGATTCTATCGATATCGTCTCACGAACCATATTCCAGAATACACACGGCAAGTTCAATCCCGAAGTTGGCCGCCTCGTTTCTGACATGCGCCATCCAGTCCAGGTGTCCGTCAGAAAGGGGCATCACATATCCGCCGCCTAGGGGGTTAGCCATATTCTTAAAAGACAATCATTGATCATACCGTGGAAGAAAAGAACCACCTGGCTTGCTTCGCTTGGTCCTAGCCACAAGAGCCGAGTTGAATTGTCGACAGACAAAACATCCACCCGAGAGCTGACCCCATGACCTAGAGTCCATGCATTATATGTGTCGAAGGTGGATGGTAGAATGGCTTGAAGCTGAGCGGGGGGGATGGTGGCCATCAAAGAGCCGGCAAATGCATTCCAGATGGCCGGTCCCAGGGGCAGCTTTTTTAACCATGCGCGGGCAATGGCCCCTGAAACCCTAAAAGCTGCCCGCGGCAAGACACCAAACACAAGGGTGAAGAGAAACTGTAGTCTTACGGAAATTGGTATTTGGCGCGTCATTCTGTCAATATCTCCCAGTACACAGTGTAAGAAGATCAGGAACAAGCGTGTGTGATAAGTAGGGCGCCTGTCCCTGATATTACGGGCGCGCCGACAACCTGGAATCCTCCGGACATATTCAAACTAAGGCCAGTAGCAGTTCCCCAGAATCACGTACGGATCCATCCGAGGTATTCAAGTGCCGCCGGAATGCGTCCGTCCCTAGCTAAGATCACACCTCCATCCCGTCCAATGGCTGGTGTCTATGCGGCATCTCCAGGCCCCACAAAGGAGCAAAATGGGGTCATGGCGCAGCCGGAACAAACCGTCTTATTTATGAACCCTTTGCTGCGCCCCCACCGCGAGTTGGACCTGGAGCTCGTTCCCGGACAGATAGTCATATCGGTTAGCTTCGATCACAAAGTTAACGTTCCTGGGCGTCCTGCTAGCATAACGAATACTGCCCGTTGTTGGAAAATGTCTTCGAAAGCTCCTGGTAACCCAAAACGACGCACGCGCACGGTACGCCATAAGGTCGCTTTAGCCTGTGACTCGTGTCGGGAGAAGAAGATCCGCTGCGATGGAAACAAGCCTATCTGTGGACCTTGCACGCGACGGTCATATCGTATAGATCAGTGTGTATACAACACGGAAAACTCCCGGTCTGCCAGCAAGGACGAGTAGGTCTCTCGCGCATGCATGCATTGTTGAGAACAAAGAATTATTTACCTCTAACTCGAAATAGATATTTTCATACCCTACATCAGCGAATAAGAGAACTTGAAGATGCCCGTTTGAAGGATGGAGTCTCCACCCAGACCCCGATAAACCCCCAAAGCCAGCTGCGCAGTGAGACCAACAGGCAGGTGGGAATACCCGCGGAAGCAACCGGCTTCTCCCCATGTGCTTGCAAATCGCTTCCGGGTGCCACGGCGCAGAATCCGCCCCCTAGAAGCACTGAAGCCGGGGTACCAGCATGTCCCAGGCCACCAGCCGCTCGTAGTCACTGCGACAACAGCCGGTCCGCGTTGACAGGAGAAGCGACTGCGGAGAGCTATGAATCGCCTTTATTCGATGAGGGCGAAGGTCATGTAACGGGTATGGGCCAGATCACAGCATCGGCGGCCGAAGGTCCACGCCGATCGGCCCGATTCCAATTCTATGGTAGCTCCTCCACTGCTTCCCTCATGCGATTCGCATGGCAATCTATGCCTTCGCAGCCGATCAGCGGTTCGCGTGCCGAACCTGTGTTAAGTAGGCTTCAGGATACGTCTACCGTCTACAGGTTTGATGATTTTAATCTGCCGCCGCGGATGTTGGCGGATCACCTCCTAAAGTGCTTCTTCGATAAGGTCTATATTTTGTATCCATTCTTCCACCGTCAAGCCTTTGAAGCGGCGTATCAAAATATCTGGCGGACAGAGGACGAGTCTTGCATTCCGCTAACAGACCTGCGGATCGGATTAGGATCCAGCTTTGAATCTGGTCCTCAATCAATTGTCTTTCATTGTGCCCTGAATTTGATGTTTGCTCTGGGCTGTCATTTTGCAGATATCGCCCCAGAGGAAGTCGAGCTTGTCGCCCATTCTTTCTTTCTTCGTGCGAAAGGTTTTATCGGACTCGATTTCCTAGAGTTCAACACTCTCGGTGTCGTTCAGACGTTGCTTATCACAGCGCTATACCTGCAGAGCTCCCCATACCCCAGCCGATGCTGGAATTCCGTTGGGGTGGCATGTAGAGTTGCCCTAGGCCTAGGGCTTCACGAACCAGATACCCTCGCGACATCAACGCCCTTAGAGGTTGACATCCGGCGGCGGACATGGCATGGATGCGTGATGATGGACATGTAATGCCTCAAACTTTTCTGTTTCTATTCTCTCGCGCTAATCATCGTGCGCAGCACTCTGAGCATGACGTACGGCAGGCCAAGCATGACCACCCATCTGGCCCCTCTCCGTTCACCAAGAGACCCAAATAACTCTAGCTCCCAGGAAGGAACTGGGGAGCCTAGCCTAATAACATTCTACGAGGAAGCTATTCACCTTCACGATATTCTAGACAAAATCCTATCCGATGTCTACAATGCTTGCCGCGGTCGGTCCCCTCAACATCGATCGCAGCAAGCGACAAAAAGTCCCGGGGGCCTAGACACCGTCCTCGATATTGAGAGGCAACTTACCCTCTTCGAAGCCAATCTCCCTTCCTTCCTGAAATACCCCGTCGGTCCATCTGTAGTGTATGCGGATCGAGAGGCAAACCTGGCGATCGCGCAACAGCGAAATGTTCTACATGCACGGTGCGTTGCGTTACATATACTATAATGTTACCCGCTCCTTTCTTACTTGTTGCATAGATACATCCATTTCCACCTTCTCCTCTACCGCCCCATCTTCACGCAACTTTACTCGGAAAGAGTACGAACTCGAGAGCCAGCAACAGGGCCGGAGCTGCAGGAGAACTGGATGCTCTCTGCAACTGCACGGAGTACATTATACTCCTCCATGTCCAGCAAATGTGCTACCTCCTGCGTGATGGCTGCCATTGATCTCACGCACCTAGTCCACGAGACCTACCAGACCAATGCCGCCGATGCATGGTGGTACAATGGATTTTGTATGCTGTCAATAAAATCCTTTCTTACTATTTTCTGGCACTGATAATACACGATCTAGATGTATCTACCGCTGCAATAGTCCTACTAATGTCATTTTCAGCTCCGTCCATGCTAGAGCCAATTACCATGGAGAAGGCGCGAGAAGCCTGGAGAGAGGCAATGAGGGTGTTGGAGTTTATGGCTCCATTCCACCGTTCCGCCAGCAACACCCTGCAGTTTTTACAGGCTGCGTACCGCCAGGCAGTGCCTGGCAGTCCGCATCAGACAGGCCCAAAAGCTGATGCTTCGCAACTTCCTAGTGAAATACCTCAGTCCAATGACCCACTCGACCAGCCGGATACAGACTCAGGGGAAATCTCGTTCTTCAACTGGGAGGAATTCACCGCGAACGTGGGGTCCGGTCTGGACGACTTGGGGTTCTTGACGAGGCTGGATTTTCCTGATACTTTGGCTCAGGGGGCACTTGTTTTGATATGTATTAGCTTCCTTTCTTATGGGGGAAGCGAGATATGTAACATCTAGCCTACTTCTTGAACTCTATCTACATACATATCCACAGAGTCACAGTACCATAAACCACGAAACACCAGTTGCGATCCCCCAACCTTCCGAACGCTATTACGCATGTCAAAGTCACATAGGGGCTTCAGGGAGGCGGAAGAGGTTCCCTTGGGGCTCAAATAACTCAGACCCATTCATTCCGTGATCTTCACCTTCTTCGCCTCCGGCCGATCCCATCCCACCACGTCAGTCCCATGAATCCAGTCCATCAAGCCGATAGTGCCATAGTTGACACGAAACTTCTCGTGGTGCAGATCATGCAGTTCCGCCGGTGGCAGTTTTAGAAAGTCATAACCGCTATGGTCCGCTGCTGCTTCCCACAGCTCGAAGATGCCAAAGGCCGTGATAGACAGGAAGTGTGCGCCTTTGAGATACAGCGGGAGCGTAATTGGCAAAACATTGGCAAAAAGATGCTCGACCGGATGCGCGTACTCTGCTGCAAAAGCGACGGGAGTGATATATTTGTGGTGCATCTTGTGGATGTAGACGTAGATGCTGGGGTGGTGGAGGGCGCGGTGAACGTAGTAGAATGAAACCTCTCGCGCAAGCAGGCCAAAGGCAAAATCCACAATAAAGGTCTTCAGAGAAGGCACGATCGGATCCATATTGAGGATGGCGTGGTCGAAGCCTCTCAGGTAGAGTAGGGTGAATTGTAGAGCTATGATCTAGACGTGGTTGAAGAGGCAGACTTTGACGCAATGCTGGATCTGCTGGCGCGTTGGTTGGCGGCGAGCGCCTTGGATTTTATGGCGCCAGGAGAATTTTGGCAACAGAGTATCGATCAACATGTAGATAGTTGCTGGGAGAATGAACCCAACCACCTGGGCCAAGATGCTGCCTATGAACTCGATGGTGCCAGGCTTGTATGTGGCAATGATATCTGTCCAGGCGGACTGCAGCTGTGCGTGCACATCCATGACTGTTGTTGTTATTTCGAAGGTGTGATGCGATGTCTGCAGACTGGTGTCGCTTTTCTTAAGGACATAGTCGAATTATAGCCCTAAATAACAAGTGTACACGGACCTGTTCCGGTACTCCGGAACGCACCCGGAGAACATGCTCTGCGTTGACGTACTCGCTTTCAACATCTGCACCATCCGCATTTCCGTCGCTCTTCTTCGCCAGAGGATCTCGCGGGGGTCTATGCACACGTTTTGCTTCGCCTCGGACGCCTCTAGTGCTACGGGATCATTCCGTAATATCCTAGCAACACTGCATTTGATACTTAAGCCCACGCGACCCCAAAACCTTTCTGTAAACCAGTCAACACCAGAACCGCTATGACCTCCAAGCCCTCCGACGTTCCCTCCTTCAGCCAGGTCGCGTGCGTTGGCGCCGGACTATCAGCCGTCGCCCTGGGCGCAACGTTGAAGAGATGGTACGACCTAGAAGACATCCAGTTCTTTGAAAGACATCCCACGAGCGGTGGGACATGGTACATCAACACCTATCCAGGTCAGTAACTGTCCGCCTACTATGCATCGCACTTGCTCAACGCACACCTTGTAGGATGCGGCTGTGATGTCCCGAGTGCTCTCTACAGTTTCTCCTTCGCCCCGAACCCCAACTGGACGAAGCTCATGCCGTCGAACAAGGAAATCAAAGAGTATATCGATAATGTGGTGCATACCTACAATCTTCTGCCAAAGATGACTTTCGGGACGGAAGTTGTCCGCAGTGTTTGGCGAGAAGATGCAAACCGCTGGCTTCTCTATTTGCGCGACCTAAATACTGGACACGAATACACCCATGAATGTCAGATTCTCTTCGCAGCCACAGGACAGCTTGTCGAGCCGCGCCCGTGTGAAATTCCCGGCGCGTCTGACTTCAAGGGGCGAATCTTCCATTCAGCGCGGTGGGACCACAACGTGAACCTGGAGGGGAAAAACGTTGTAGTCATAGGAAACGGGTGTATGTGTCCTCTCTCTTACTCAATTTCAACGGGAAGTCTGACAGTGGCCCCTAGGTACTGCCGCGCAGATAGTTCCAGCACTGGTCAATGAAGGGAAGATCAAGTCGCTTGCGCAGATTGTGCGTTCAAAGCACTGGATATTCCCAGCCCCGAACTTTACCTACCCTCGGCTTCTGCAGTGGATCTTTCGCTATGTTCCATTAGCTATGAAACTGCATAGATTTCACATTTTCTTGATTGCTGAGAATGACTTTCGTCTGTTTCCTATGACCAAAGGCGCGGCCAGACTCAGGGAGACGCGACGCAAGCAGGTGGAAAAGTACATGCGCGAGGCCGGTCCAGAAAAATACCACGACCTCCTCATCCCAGACTTTGATGTAGGATGCAAAGTGCGTCTCCCTTTCTATCCCTCGATTCTTCCCTTGTCTAAATATTGAGCGGAGGCAGATGCTAATCTGATACCCAGAGGCGAATCTTCGACCCTGGCTACCTTGACTCTCTCCACAGTGACAAGATCCTCCTAACCGACGCGAAAACCGAGAAAATCACCGCGGACGGAATCGAGACAGACAAAGGCTTTATTCCAGCGGACGTGATTATCCTCGCCACTGGGTTCCAGACCAACAAGTTCATCCCCTACATGGATGTGGTTGGACGCACCGGCCAGAATGTCTCACAGCACTGGTCGAAGTATGATGGCCCGGCTGCCTACAACTGCTCTGTGCTGAGTGGGTTCCCCAACTTCTTCATGCTCTTAGGCCCCAATGCTGCAACCGGGCACACATCCGCCATGATGGCTGCAGAGAAGTCCGTTGTCATGGCTCCCGTCATTCAGTATACATCCTAACTATTAAAATAGCTCCATAAATTACGCGCTCCGTGTCCTAAAACCGGTTTTAGATGGGGACGCCAGTTCGGTCGAAATAAAGGCTAAGGCTGAGCACGACTACGTTTACTGGGTGCAGGACGCATTGAGTAAACGTGTTTGGAACGCAGGCTGCATATCGGTAAGCCGACCTGCAATTGCTATCTGCTACCCTTTTACTAACGTGTATCCTGTAGTGGTATCTCAATGGTAAGAAATGGAACTCCATGGCCTACCCCTGGACGCAGGGTCACTACTGGTGGAGGAGTCTGTTTCCTACATGGTCGGACTGGAATGTCAAGGTCAGATCTCCGTGTCATTTTGTAGATAAGGTATACTGACTGTAAACAGAAGGTGAAGAAGCCACGCACCAGTTCACTATCCAGGGTCTTCTGGTTTTTGGCTGTTCTATGCGTTGGGATTGTAGGAGCAACACAGTCCAATGCCACTAGCAATATCTCTCTTTCGCATATCAGAGGCTACTTGGTCATGACGCTCTCCAGACTGACCAGCAGATAGACGTAGTCAGCGGCCAGCTTAGAGCAGTCATTTTGTTTGTTTCTATCTTACTGAGTTCACAAACAATGGTCGGCCATTTACCAGTTGTTTGTAAGCCCAATGTACAATCCGGCGTTTATACCTTCTCGTTTGAATTCAACCATCCTGGCCCATATCAACGATCCCTTCGTTTCTAGTTATACTCTAGATGGGCTAAAGATTGAAAGATAAAATAGGCATGAATAGCACAATCTTGTAATTCAAAGGCTGACCGGTGAGAATAAGCTAATACTGAGAGTAGTAGGAAGTAATTGGCGATCTCTTTATTTAGCCTGGTTTACGCTATGATGTTTATCAGTGTATTAGGATTTATAATTTAAAGTCATCACATACACACTATTAATTTAGATGTTAATAGTAGAGCTTACTTTACAGCTGCTACTTTAATTATTACTTTACCTAAAAGGGATAGCCCTACGAGACAACTCCCTGGAATCAATATGCGCAGCACAAGTTATTGCCGTTTGTGCAACCGAAGAACTATCTTGTTATTTCTAAATGTCATGTATTGCATTGAAACCCTGCCGATCATTCACGTTTATAGCGAGCGCAGACAGACTCAATTGACATGCCTTTCACGACAACAGCCCTGCGTGTCAAGAGCTTCTCCTCGCCAACTATTTCCACAGCCCAGATCTAATCTTTTCTTTAGCCTGTATCTGATATAGCGGAATACCTGGATGCTTACCTGCTCAGCCGTCCATCCAAAATCGACACTACGAACAAAATCGTGAATGAAAGCTTTCTCGACAGTCGTCCCTGGAGCTTCATCTTCCTGGTCTATGACGATGGCTTCAGTCAGGCCATGTAGAATTCCAGACCCAATATTTTTAGTCTGCAGCTCGACAAGGGGGCGGACTCGTCCATCTGAAGTCCTTTCTCCGGAAACGTACTGACTGCGAATAAAGACAGGGCCAAAGATCGTATCGTTGTGCTTGAACTCGGTCCACGTCAAGGGACGCCTCTCAGGCACTCCTTTCAGACCACTTGCTAGTCCAGCCTCGAACATTATCCATTCAGCTGCTTCACCTGTCGAGCCATGGGTTTCCGAGCTCTGAGTGGTCTTCAGGGTCATCTTCGACGCCCCAATGGCCTTCCTCGTTACCCAGCCGACTCCTTGCTACTCATTTTGCTTAGCCCTAAGAACATAGGTATTGAAAATGGTGGCCCACGTACCAGTTTTAGGACTGCATCTAGGTTGGTTGACCGGGCCTTGTCCTGTTTCCGGGGCTTTGCATCAGCAGGGAGTCATTTGCATGGTATGAGATAATTTACCAATACCCAGTTGCCACTTAGATTGAAAGAAGCCATCCTATCAATTTTCTAGTGTTTAGATTTCCCTGGTTAGGTTTCGAAGAGCGGTGGGAAGCAACGGCCCGGTCGACGATATAGCAAACAAAGCAATGGCCCTAGGGACGGCAGAGCAGGTAGATATTACATGATACTTGCTGCACCTGTTTACTCCTAACACGGTATTCGTTTTCAGTTCGGAAGCTCTAAGCAGTGAAGTGCGGAGGTTTCCGGTCCTACCGAAGTTATACCCTGAAGTCCGGGTCCCTTCCGGTCCCGGGGCCGGAACAAATGCAAAACGACCTTGGAAGATTCCTGGCAAAATGCATGAGGGGTGGATGTATAGACTGCGTGTATCAGAGCGTAGCCGAGGCTTCAGGTATATATCTCGCTTTTAACTGGTATATCAAGTGGACTAACGCTACTGGTCCGTCGTCACTGCCAGTTTCCTTCAGGTATCTCTAGCATGACGATGACAACTAAGCCAGGCATCATTCCCCGTGAAGGCCTGTACATTGACCCGGTTATATCAGGCCTACGGAAAACGATCCTCCACCCGCTTCTTGGGTTGATCATCCTGTACCTGGTGCACGGGGAAAGATTACGCGTGCTCGCGCCGTATGAGAAGCTCGTCCAAATTACCGCGACGACCAGTGTGCTCCTGTGGCTAAACGATTGGTTAAGTTCTAAATGCCGGAACAACTGGACTACAGATGACACGTGGGACTGGAAAAAAGAGCTCGTCGTGGTGACCGGTGGCAGCGGCGGTATTGGCGGGGGAGTTGCTCAGCGTCTTGCTGCTATGGGGGCGCGCGTTGTTGTGGTGGATATCATTCCTCTAACATATGAACCTGGTACTGCGAATATTTCTTGCTTGTAGGGAACCTTCCCTTTTGCCTGTATTTGCTAACCCTTGAAAGAGAACAATCGCATCTTGTACCATAAATGCGACTTGAGTCAGGAGCAAGAAATCGCGGCTGTTTGCGAAAATATCAGATCCGAATTTGGCCATCCTACCGTTTTAAGTCAGTTAAATCATGGGGCCTTTCACAAGCCTACGACTAACAGTCGCAGTCAACAATGCTGGCCTGTCGCGTGGTCGGACGGTGGTCGAAGGCACATACAGCGACAACAACATAACGCTGAAGACTAACTTACTGGCACCGTTCCTGCTCTCGAGAGAATTCCTTCCGACTATGATCCAGCAAAATCACGGACACATTTTCAATATTGCCTCGATGAGCGCTTATATCCCCCCACCAGGACTTGCAGATTACGCGGCGTCGAAAGCTGGTTTGATTGCCTTTCATGAGGTATGCCTCAAGTGTGCTCATCGGCTTCTGATACAAACGCTAACCTCTTTCCTTACTCCTCAGTGTCTCGCGCAGGAACTACGAGTTCAGAATGCGCCCAAAGTCCGCACCTCTCTCGCAGTGCTGAGCTTCGTAAAAACGCCTCTATTTAAAGGAGAGACAAACCAGTCTCGGTTTCTGATGCCTATTTTGCATGTGGACACTGTTGTGGACGCCATTGTGGATACACTTGACAGTGGGCTGAGTGCGACTATTTTCCTCCCTGGAATATTTGGCTTTTTTGCAGGCTTGGTAGGTTTCTTCCCTTTGACGCAGGACATCACATCGTTAACGGACATTGCAGAGAGGAGCCCCTGATTGGTTTCAAAATTTGGTCCGGAGTGGCACCAAATCGCTCAAAGTCGACTTCAAAGGGCGCCAGGAGATTGATACAAATACTGGAAAACTTGTCTAGTGGAGTTTCTGCTTTACGTGGGTTGTACTTTTGGCTGGCCCTCGACAGCGACATGAGTGTTGAGTACTGTCAAATATCATGATTTTTGATTAGACCAATACATATCATTGATTTATACCATGTGTTGTCGTTCAGACAGACTTCTGTCAGTTATGAGCCCAGTGCCCAGAGTTACCATATCACGAACTCACGATATCATATAGCATGTGGCCGTCGATTTCTGCATCAATTATGGCGGGAAAATGGATACCAGTCTCTAGCCTGCTTTGTGGCTTTAAGGGGGCGCATTTCGATTGAGCTTTAAGGGGTGGGGGACGCTTGATTGAGGTCTAGGTAGAGGGGCTGTGCCATACTGTCGGATGCCATAGGCATCCAGACATATAGATCAAACATGCATGATCTGGCATCATGTTTGGCAGTATAAATAGGATCTCAGTATCCTATACATACTTAGTTTCTCTTTCCTTTCTCTCTCTCTCAATCTTGCTTCTAGATAGAGAATATCATCATCATCTTTTCTGTCGTCAATTATGTTGCTTGGAGAGCTATTCTTTTGCTACTCCTGAAAGTCGTTTACTTGCGAGCTAGTCCATCCGATACATTTAGTACATAGTACATACGATGAATTACGAGGGGTAATAGCTGTAGATCTTGTCACAGCATTTCGGTTGCGCAGCACATTATGATGCGTTGTCATTTGAAAGAATTCCGTCATTTTCCTTTGCTTAATTTTCATTTGCTCTGAGAATTTTTGGGCGCTAAAAATGCTGCGCCACGGATACACCACCACGGGCGACTATTGGGACCAGCGATACATAACCCTCTCATTGGATACTGCCTTACCGCCTATTATCACCGCCTTTTCGAAGCATATACCCTGATCTCAATTTGTATGCTAATTCCTACTTCTCTTTTACTTTTTACACTTATAAGCGTAGACGGCCACTTCTGCGGCCTTGTGATGTCTTTTTTATAGGGCTTTTTAGTGGTCTTTTTAGTGGTCTTTTCAGCAGTTTTCCAATAGCCTTCACAGTGGCTTAGCTATAGTCAATTCACTAAATTCTCTAAGAATACCTTAAGGAAGGCTTTAAGTAGCTACCAGAGTAAGTGTGGAGAGGTGGTAGAGGGGAAGAGAGAAGGATAATTACGAAGTAAGAAGGCTTTAACGCCGAGGATTTATATAGGTACGAACAGCGTCACGTTTAGTGCCGATCTTTTAAGGCCTTACATACTATACTTAACCTAATTTTTCGGGTAAATATCTATTAATGAATGATATATTTCTGAATATAAGTTGGTATACACCTTTAAGCAAATTGATATAATTGTAGAGGCAAAAAGACTGTATACCATGATTTCAGTATAGTACTTGGAAAGTGAGGGTGGATCAACAATTCTGCCAGGAAATATAAACCAATAAGGGGGTTATGTATCGCTGGTCCCAATGGTCGCCCGTACACCACTGTGGGGACAAGGCAGAAACGCAGCTGCACCTAGTCGCAGTATTTTTCTGAACAGCATGAAGTCCCATGCAGGTTCGAATTTAATGCACGCAGTAGAATCTCGATCTAGACTACCTCATTCAGCTTTCACAGGTTTACCATGATCTGTATCCTCCGTAAAGGCTTCCAAAAGCATGCCCCGATTTGTTCACCCTTCATACCAATATACCATTTCAAGATATGGGAAGACTTTTTGGTGAGCTCATGAAGATTTCATGAATCCTGTTGCTACCTAGAGACTCATACCCCAGAGCTTATGCGCCCTGCTTACCGACTTGGATAGAATCAAACAACCTCAAGTTTGGACATGGGGGCGGGTAAACCCCCATTCAATGCAGATATGCTTGCACCTGTATACAAAAAATCGACATCAATTATCTCGTCTTGCTTGAGCATAGCCACCTCATTTACCAAGGCCATGGTCACAGTGATAAATGAATTAAATGAATCCGGGACTTTCTGTCGGTCTCAAATGAGGTAGTCAGGCAGCAAGGCGTAATGTAGAAAAAGGCTTGGACCTTGGTGTCAAGATTGTTCTGTTTGCCCTGTGACACAACGCACGAAGCCTCGCTCGATATATCAATTCCTAGCATTGAGGTGAAGCTCATACACATCGAGAGCCGCTGGTTGCATGTTGTTTCTCGATGATCGCATTCGCCAGTCTCATAGACTGATCAGCCTATGATAATTTCGGTACTCACTGCAGCCATCGACGTCGTCAATACCTGTGGCTGTCTTAGCTCGCTGTCGACCCTTGCTAGGTCGGCCCACAGGCACGAGCTATGTATAGCGAGGCGTAACTCGGGGGCAAAGTCTGCCTGTTTCCCAGAATATAATAAAGACAGATGATTCCTGCTTGATGAGTTGGAGCTGTGAACTGTGATTTTACTATTCTCATTCTATTTTGTTGAGCTGGTATTGCATACTTTTTTCTTCCCCTGCACACTTTAAAGTAGGCAATCTCCACGTGGATACCCCAAATCACCTTTCTCGTTACTCTGATTTCGAAATGGAAACCAAAACATCTGCAATAGATGAGTTCCACCTTCTCGCACGTGAAATGAATTGGAAGAGAGGTTCAAGAAAATATCGAAGTGGACTTTCGAAATTCTTGGAATCCGAATTTGCTATTCACTTTGGCACTGATGCGACAAAGTTGGAGAATTGGCAGGCGCTATGTCTTGAATTGAAGATTCAAGATCCAATTCAAAGTATCACAAAATGTCGAAAAGTAAGATTTATACTCCGGAGACTCTCTAGCTCTAGTCTCTTCTCATACTGAATTTGCCAGGCTCTTGCAAAGGTACACGTGAATTTGGTCGACTTGATCGACTCCCGTCGCACAGGAAAGCAAGTCAAACACTTTGCTAGTCAAAAGGCACTCAGGAAGTATACGATCGAGACTGGAAAGATATTCCCAAAATCAGCTGCCAAGAAGGATGGGTTTCTCAAGGCCTTGCTTCGGGAGATCTTTTAGCTGACGAGACTGCGTCACCTATGACCTTGGGGTAACAAATGGATACAAGGCTTTTTTATTTTTATTTTGTGATATTCAGGGTCAAGGAATCTCAATATAATCAAGATCAATACACGGATTCGTCCGGGAGTCCTTGTTCGGTAGAGTTGTTCTGAATAACTTGACTAATCCAAATTTCATTCATGAGGGAAAACATATCATTAGGTCTATTTCATTCCTTTGCTTATCAGTCTCTTTGGCTTTCGTGTCCCCACTCTCTATAGCCTCTTCAATAAAGTGAGCTACGATATACAGTTCTACCGCAAAAGTTTCCGTACGACCCGCCCCCCCCATCAAATATATATCTCAATCATGAAATCCAACCCACCAATTTCAATTAATTATTACGCACCCATTTTATATAGTAAAAATATATAAAAATATAGGATATATAGGCAATTGACCGTAGTATTTAATTGATTTATTTAATATTTAGTATACCACCCATTTGCCTCAATTACCGCCTTAACTCTGCGACCTATGCTTGAACTCAACCTATCAAAGTAATCCTAACCTAGTATCGCCTATGCCGCGTGGATTAACTCTTCGAAATGATTAATTAGATCTTCTTTGGTACCTTCGAATTTATCAAGGTACGGATCGAGGCGGTCAATTATTTCTTTTAGCTTCGCCTATATATATTTAATGGGGTTTAAATCAGGCGAGTACAGCGGCTATATCATAGTTTCAATTCTATTCTCCCACAACTAATCCTAGATAATATGAGCTGTATAAATTGGAGTATTATCGTGTATAAATATCCGCGTTAAATCCATATAAATTGAGGGTAAATTCTCTTCGAGAACCTCACGATATAAGAAGCGTAAGTAGCTATTGTGTAGAGATTCCGAGTCACGATTCATTTAGAATAAATCGCTATAACTACATCCGAAAATTACTCCCTAAATTATAATAGAGATATTCTTCGACTTCGAGTATATCACAATATACTCTTTTTTCTATTTTTCGTTACGGTGGTTAACGAAAAAGACCTATTAGTAGCGCTTCCCTTTCCTAATCTCGATAGAATATTTATCGGACTAGATAATCCTCCTCTAGTTATCCCACGTCCAATTTCGTCGCTCTAAAGCCTAGTCAAGGCGTAGCTTAGTATACTCTAGCTTTAAAAATGGTCTTTTTTTTCGCTTTCCAATGGCTATAGCCTAAGGATTTAATCATTCGAAGAAGGGTATCGTCGGACGCGGTCAGTCCACTTTGTTCACGGATTTCTTAATAGAGGATAAAGGGATCGTTTCGAATCAATTAGAGAATAGTAGCGCGGTCGTTTTCTAATAGAATTGAGGGGCGACCGGAACGAATTTGACTCTTGCCTTCGGTACGAAGAGCTTCTTGGTCGAGGGTGTACTGAACTGTGGATTTCGATAAACCGAAGTGCTAACCAATCTTCGCGATTGAAGCGCCTAGCTAGGCCTAGCCGTAAATCTGACCCCGGAGATATGGAGATAGCTCATTTCCCTTCACCCTATTTGAATTAATAGGGCGTAGAGGTGTTCGTGGAACCATGGTTGATTTTTAAAAACAGCGGGTTTAGAGAAAACGCGGTTCAAAAGTAAGAAAAAACACGGGTGTGGGTCCGGCCGTACGGAGACTTTTGCGGAGCGACTGTACAGCTCCTTGTACCTTGTGGTTTTTTCCACAAACGAAAAAGGTACAATGATCTCTTCTGATCAAGGTAGGAGAAAGGTTTGTGAAGAGTTTCATCGCGGCACTTCTAGAGATATTCAGATATTGATCTGGTGCCTATATATGTAGGCATGTGTGGAGAGGGGGAGGGAGGGTATAGGCATGTAGTGCGAGATGTACTCTAGTTTTGATCCTCAAAGATAGTTCGCTATAACAGCTTCAAGTATAAGGCCATTATTATAGTAGTTCAGAATAGATCCAGATAACTTGCAGCTTTGCCTTTCTTTACAAGAGGACTTATGTCTCAAAGAGACTCACGTTGCTAGAAAAATCCGTAACTCGAGAGTAGTGTAACATATTGACCAAAATGCAGATGGTGCCTCTTGATAGAGATACACGGTAGCTCTGGGGCTTCGAGGAGAAGACACCGATTGAGCGAGGAAGAAAGAAGAGAGAGCCATGACAACCAATATATCTTGGGTCGTGGTCAAATGACCTTGCAAAACAACCCATACACCATGGGGACTCGTTGCCACCTGGTACAATTTGCTTGCAGCATCGCGACATACCTCCAGGGCTCGGAACTAGGGTGTTTGGAAACATTGAAGTAAACAAATATCGTTTTCACACCGTCAGCTTATCTCGCTCCAAGGTCATGCGACTGTGGGTTAGCGGGGCGAGTGTGTAAAAGACAGGATGTGAGTTCGATTGAGAGTAGGTGGATTCACCCTATGTCGCGCATTTGTTGCAATTATCTTGCTTAGCTGAACTCTAATACATTCTGGCTACCGGCTACACATGCATTTTTAATCTTTGACTTTTCCAGATTGTTTTGAGTGACTTTAAAAAAGTGGGTAAGTTAAAGTAGAATGGCTGAGACCCGGGGTCCTGTGAAGAAACCAGCTCTAAACTCATCCCACCCTACAACTGGCTATATAGAAACACCACATTTTTATCTAGTATATCCACGCAGGATTGTATCTACCGCGTGCGAGCCATTCTGAATTCGAATAAACCCGCCCGCCTCAATTCGGGAACATACAGTCTCCTCGATCTACCATAGGGTGTTTTGCAGCCGATTTCAGATATCAACACTGTTCCTAATTTTAGCACCAGAGGTATTTGATCCAAGTATTAGTTGCCTTTACGGAGTACCAAGATTTTTTATTTAAACCTCTTTATATACAAAAATTTCCAAATAACGCGTTTTCTCGTATACTTTAATTTGATAAATAAACCTGACTTAATATACATAAATTATATATTCTTGTAATAAGATATCACTATAATATAAGTGCTATCTACGGGGCTAAAACATAAGGTACTGATTTTTGAAATGTTTGGTGCTAATTAGGCTTACTGGGCCCCTATAATGGGGTGGGCCCGGACTCTGGCCCAAAGCCCAGCCCATTTGTGGGTTGGCTTGGGTTGGGCTATGGGCTTTGTGGGCTTCGCGGAGGGAGGTCTAGATCACCCCATCACCCACCTCCCCCGAGCCGAAAACAACAAAATCCTGTGACTTAAGTGCGGTCAATATTCGAGCAGGTGTAATTGCGGTGACAAGGCCAGGGTGAGAGCCAAGGTGAGTGTCCCCTACCCGGAGCGAACAGCGAATGCCGCACTGACCCTCCTCGATTGACGAGAATGGAACATCATTGAGATCAATGTGCCATCTGAAATATTGAGTCTCAGCGTCTACAGATACCCACCCGGTGTGATGAGATTTGATTGGGTTAGCAGGGTGGATTCCAATCGCTGGAGTTGCTAGGTGTTGTGTCTTCCCTGCGTAGAGCAGAAGAAATAATCCAATCGTGTGTCCGCGTAGGCTCGCGCCCGGGGGGTTATGGGGCAGTGAATGGCTGTTCGAAAACCCCTGCGCCTGCCAATAGTTTCCCACCACATCATGCATGATTTTGACCAGGTGTATGCCTTGAGCACCAGTCTCGATTCCAGGCAGACAGATAAAGAGCGCGAAACCTCCCTACATCTGCTCTTCAAGCGGCCCCCACGCATGTTCGTCATTTAAAAATCTGAATTTCCATCAGTGTCAATTTTAGGACATGGTTAAAAATGGTGCGACTAGGTTCTCCTGTCCAGGGTGCAAGAGAAACAACTTTCGGAGTCAGCTGGGCGTCAAAAATCATTTCATCAAGGAGGGTCACTCTCTTCGGTGTCCTGTTTGCCAAAGAACATTTCAGGATGAGTTGGGGATTATACAGCATTATCAAAAGTATAACAAGTCTACTTCGCCCGGCGCACCAAGCGATAATCACCAGACACCACCAACAAGTGCTCCATCATCAAGTGCAGTGGTGACACCAATTGTGTGCTCAAAAGCTGTCCACAATGCCTCTAAAGAGTCATTCAAATCCTCTCAACAGGCGTCGGATATTCCTGGAATTCATTCTTTACAAGGTCCACTGGCTTCTTTCCCATTTATGAGCATCGGAAACGGTCCTTTATTAGGTAAGGATCTTCGAATTCCCACCAACTAAACCAGGGGTTAATTCATTGTAACATAAGTTGCTCCAATTCCTATATCTGCAACTAGCATTTATCCCACGGTTTTACCTCCTCTCGAGCAAGATCTCATCATGCGATATCTACGGTCCAGGTGCCATTCATGGAATCGTCTTCAGACAGAAGGATATATCATAGGTCCCGGATCCGTGCGAAACAAGAAGTTCCCGCGCAAAGGGTCCATTAAAACCTATGACTTTAGAGAGACAACCAATATGAGGCCACAGGCCACGGGCAATATTTCTGCTATCGCCATTGACTGTGAAATGGTCGGAGTACGAAACGGTCGCCAGACACTCGCTTTTCTCAGTGCCGTCAACTTTTTAACCGGCGAAGTACTCATAAGTCGCTATGTTAATCCAGATGAGGACGTGATCGACTGGAGGTATGAGTTCAGTGGCTTGACACAGTTCATTATGACCAGCGCCGTTGCCTCTGGTGCGGCATTTGGAAGCTGGCGAGAGGCGCGTGATAAATTGTTGGAGTTCATTGATAAGTCCACTGTGTTAGTTGGTCATTCTCTCAACTATGATCTCGAAGTGCTAGGCATAGCTCACTCAAAAGTTGTTGACTCTGCGATTCTAACTGCCGAGACTGTCTACCCTTCCGTGATATCAACGAAGCCATTGCCCCGCATGTGGGGACTAAAAAAACTTGCGAAGGACCTCTTGAGCTTGACTATTCAAGATAGCGACTATGGGCATAATGCTTTGGAAGATGCATTTGCAGCACGCGATATCCTCATCTGGTGCATCAGAAACCCGGAGGAACTCAAAGTATGGGCGGAAAATAAACGAGTCCAGGAAAAGCCCAAGCTCCCACAAAACCGAACAAAACTTGGCAAAAGCAGACCCAACAGCGAATTTCCCATCAGAAAGACTCGTCAAAGGCTTGAGGCATACGATTCCGACGATTTTCTATTGTCAGAACTTGCATATGAGTTGGGATGGCCCGAAGGATATGATCCTTGGTCCGATTGAGGTGGAAAAAATCGAGGATTTCATGACATATTCAACATTTTGACTTCTGTACCTTATTCTGAACAGATTTTCTCTACACTTTCGATTGTGTCTGGAACCACCACTCATTAGTACCATTTGAACTCATCGATAGCCCAGATCCTCAAAATTCAAACCGCATTATCTTCTCCCGCACGGACTAAAGGGTCTTTTTCGGATCTCCCGCCTACCTAAGCTTTCCATTTCGCTAGATTTAACTAGCATTTCCTGCTCTTCCGGCAACCAACTTAGACTCGAATCATCAACTTGAATTGTAAAGTCAATGTCGAAAGCACTTTTATTCAATTTGTGTTCGATCTTTCGCGGCTATATCCTATAAAGTTCCTCTTACACTTTTGCAGAGTACAGAGGATCAACAAGCACCGCTGACGTAGGCAATTAGCGAATGACAATTTGTTCTAACTTTTCTCTTTCAAAGCTACCAAGCAAATCCTTGTGCATAATTTATTGTGATTGAGTAATTGAATGTAAGGGGTTTCGATTTCAAGATGATTTAAGAGCAAGGTCTACTGCATAATTTAGGGTTTGACACTTCATTGCTATCGATTATAGAAGCTCTATTTTAAATCCGTAGGCAGATTATACCAAGACTCGTAGCTTATCAGCTATGTTTAGGGTTGGGCTAGTATCCAAGCTTCCAAGTTAGCACAATGGCCTTCCCCCAGAGGAAGTGATCTGGGCGCACAAAGAGGAAGGGGCTCTATTGGCTAGGGAGCAATGGTTGCAATAAATTCTATTGTTTCATTTACCTTTCTCATGAATCATGCTCCACGTGCAACCAGGAAAAGCGTCACCTCTGGAGAAAGTTGAACTCTCTTCTTGACAGAGATCCGCCGATGATCAGTATTCCAATGTCCCAACTCGAAAATGTACCGGGGAATCCTCTGGCCCATACTCAGGAAAACTAGCCCATGAGTACGGAAGGTGACCGAGAGTCTCAGTCGCTTTTCGAATTTCTGAATTGTTATACCCCAAAAATGATTGGAATTAAAGGTCTATTTTATACTTCAGGTGAACTGATACTACAAGATGTAGGCTACCCAAAGTATAGCCCTAAACGCTAGCCCATTTGGTAGGTTAGGCTAGGTCGGGCTATGGGCCGTGTGTGATTTCTTGTGGTCTATTTCCTGCTCGTGCCACGGGGCTAGATTCTGAAAGGGATGGCTTGTACGTATGTGGTATCTCCAAAGTTTGGTACATCATTATGAGGTAGTTAATCTTGCATTCAAGAACACATATCCTCAAACTTCATCCACGCTTCTCACATGCGATCGTACTAGAGTGCAGTGCTAATGATATTGACGATAGAAAAACCTTGAAAACCATATCCTGCCATTGATGGATGAATCCGACACCCGTGTTGCCAGATATGGCGATGATACGGAGCTCTTTTTGGAGACTCTACCTCCGCCTGTTCCCAGATACATCTACAGAGAAAGCCATCACTTTCATAAGATTTTAGGTTATGAAAGCGCACGTTTTCGGAACATGAGCCACGCACTGGCGGCTCCTTCCCACGAAGTTGGTTTTCAGAGCCTCGCTCACCGTGATACCCTTCCCGACGACAACACAAACTACATCATCTTTCTTATTGAGCCCTCGTCGTTTCAAGAAGAAATTGTTAATAGAAACAATCACGGACCTCTGGGTTTCTTCTACGAGTACGATCGATTTGCGAAAATTCTCATAATCAAGATGACCACAAGGCAACACCGCTGCGCCACCCGCGCGATGAATACTCTCATTGAAGAGGCCCTCAAGGACATGGGTCTTGGCCGTGAATTTGAGTCTTTTGCTGGAGTGGAGGTGAATGTGGGGGCAAATCTGAAAGTTCCAGATGAAGGCTGGGCGCCCATGATGAGCCCACTTGAAGGATCTAGTGGACCCGCGGTTGTTTTGGAAGTGGGAGTGTCTGAATCTGACACAAAGCTTCGCGGCGACGCGAAGATGTGGGTAGACCCATCAAGGGGTCAAGCAAATATCGCGATCACTATCAAGATCAAGCAAGATCGACCACTCTTGAAAATCGATGAGTGGGAATGGGATGCGGATATAGGAAGACCTCGGGTCAACCGCCATATTGAAATCACAGGAGCTCGCGGGACAGCTTCAGTTTCGGGAGAACCTCTACTGATTCCTTTTCATCAAATTTGGCGAAGGACTGCTCAATACCCTCGGGAGAAAGACATCGTTCTCAATGTGGAAGATTTAGCTTTTCTGGCGACCCATGTTTGGGGTGCGATGGGTATCGATTATTGATTATGAGTTCATTTTCATGTTTGTCGTTGTTTCCTTTGTGAATTCATACAATTCGGGGGCCAGGAAATACAAGACATCCAGTTTGAATTTCAATTAGTTGCAGATGTCAAAATGAGCCAGAGATCTGCGCCTCGGTGGCCCACTCCTAAAGCTTGTTAGCGGCGTCGGGATCTTGCACAAAAGTAGTACCCTTACTGCGATATCCAGCAAAATTATGATATACGCCAGAAACTAGGTTATCCTTTGCATATTCCAAAGGGAATTGAAAGCCCTACTAGGGATTTACCTGAAGAAAAGAGACACCGTGGCCTCAGTGCGATATACTTCAATTTGAAGTGCTTTGATTTTATGAACTTCCATTTAATAAAACTTGATTTTGAAATTCAATTTCGTGACAGTAAACTTAATATAATCTCATTTTATCTACTTCAACTTATATTTCAATCTTATATTTTTCAAGTTGACATGCTTCAATTTGATGCGCTTCAATTTAATAGATACAACATGAGTTCTCGTGATGTGAGAGTGGATCCGAATACCGCCTAGCAATATCAACCAATAAGAGGGATATGTGTCGCTGATCCCAATAATCGCCCGTACCTATGCCATACAGTTTGAGACGGTTGACCTATATCAGGCATAAGGCATAGGGATGCCTAGAGTGTCCGACAACAATGCTTATTTGATTGTGAACTTTTCACTATATCCAATTGGTCCTGTACCGTGACTTGTCCATGCGACCAACCAAACATCACTGCCCACGCCAGATCAGTATCATTCTCATTCAAGTAGGTGAGACTTTTTACCCTGGCTGAAGGTTCACGTCTCTCGGTATTCTAACACTAGCCTTCTCCGGCTCGGCATCAACGAGATCGATCCACTCAAAATTCTTGAAGTCTCGGGTAAGAGTGATGCCAATCTTTGGCGTGTCGAGTCTCCATGTCACGTCCCAATTCCGACGCGATTTCATAGTCGGCGTATCGACGACAACGGCAATCACTGCGGGCGCGAGAGCGAGGATAGAGAAAAGTGGGATATGCATACTTGGATATCGATTACCGGGTAAGTGAAAGAGAAGGGTATGTTGAGCTACTCGTTGAAGCGGAGCAGAGGACGCTCTTATAGTAGTCGTTCAATAGGAAAGATTATCAATGACCTCATTCTCATCCATGCATCTCTGTGAATCATTGCGGGGTATAATCCCACCAAATGGTCCGACATTATCGAGACATAGGATTTCACTGTGCAAAACAGTCAATCTTAGCGAGTCTGCATGAATTGTGTGATTCTTTCTGCACTCTCATCGGCAACGACCCCCGATCAAGATCGTGACGACGATTGAGCATAGGTAGATAGAACGATCTTGACCTATCGTGCATCCATGACATGTCGGCTGTTATACTCGTATACTGATTCTGGCCCTGCTGAGACATAACATACGGCCCACCTGCGGCCTATATCACACGGATTGCACAAAACGAAGAAGAATATCTAACACAAAATCTTTCAAGACTTTTTGGTACTTGTCAAAGACGTTCTTACTTCGAGAAAAGGCCTTGAGAAAGATAAGTTCTACTCCGCTGAACAGGAAGTCATTCTTGTGCTAACAAAGAAAATGGTATATATGTGCTTCAGAGACCAAGCCTCTAGTTGTGCCAACATGTGACGTGATAAAAAAGCCTCTTACTGCTTCTCAGGGTCTCATTTCTGCCGGTGAAAGTATAGCCGATAGGCTAGTGCATCTCAGTTCTTACATATACGAGGCCAAGACTGCATGGCGCTCGAAAAGTGTGAAGGCTGAAACTCGCGAGTCACCAGTGATTGCTGTCGTTCTAATTTATCTCTCACCCCACTCATTCTATGGATTCTTGCCTAGCACATTCTTGCTAGGTGAGTGGTTTATCACCAGCATAACCTTGGGCCAAAACAAGGTCATCACCATCATTCTGGTCAATTCGAATAACCATGGAGGACTTGCATATCTTAAGTTTGTCGATATAAAGAATGCCCAGGTGTCGAAGCGACGCTATCAAGTCACCTGGCAGGTCGGTACTATAGAGAAATATCACATTGCTTGCCTTTTTGCAAAAACAAACCCTAAGAATACCGTGAAGAGGTGTTCCTGCCAAAAAAAAAAAAATACTGCTTCTCACAATGTCTCTAGCTTGTTCCCCCGACAGCCATACTTTCAATTTGATCTGTAATCCTGGCAAAAATCAGCGCCAAAAGGAACTTCGACCGTGGCACGAGACCGGGCTTGCTAGGATCACTCTCAATTATTCCCAACGCATTGTGTCTACTTTCCCATGGTCTAGACCGCGTCTATGCAGTAGTTGTGCAGCTAATGGTAAGAGACCCCAATCCATTTATGCCGTGACCCGAGGGGTCTCAGTCGTCCTTTCACTACCTCTTCATATTCCCGTTCCGCCTCTTCCCATCGACATTGATACATACGAATGTTTCCGATCGAGGAAGGGTTGACAACACAAAAAAAAGATTGGCCCTAAGCGTACTGTGCAAGAACTGAGCTTTTCCGAAGGCTTGTTCGGCTTCCTCAAAACAGCCCTTCAAACTCTCTCTCATTTATCATTTGGTTGTTTTCCTGAATGGAGACAAATTCTTTGAATAGCTGCTGAGCTTCTTCGAGTTGATCTAAGCCGTGGAATCCTACAACACAGTTGGTCAAATTCTCCAATCAAACAATGCCCCTCGGAAGGCACCGCCGTCATATAGACAACGTACGCACTCTGATCTCCTGAGATTTAGCGGCTTGATTTGAAATACTCGGTATCAGTACAATGCTGTTTTATAGTATGGCAGTGAGTAGATCTGGCTTTGGGTCATTGAACTCGTCACGTATCCTTTGATTCCTTGAATGTTAGAGACCAGCAGCTACTATAAGATTCACTGTGACCAAATAGCTGTGAAGCTGTTTTTGGGATTCTCAAGCTTTGGAGTTGAGAACATTCAAGATCGTCTTCCCCGTCCTCATCGTCACTAGTGAGACCCGCAGTAAGGCTCTGAAACTTCAGGGTTCTCCCTCGCGCCCTCTCAGCGACCGCTGGTACCGTCAATACTCAGCCGCCGTCTCGCTTGGCCATATCCAATTATCCTCGCTCCAGCCATGCACTTTAATTCAGCCCCCTCTCGACCATGCATGTCTCTAAAGCATGGAAAAGTGATACTTCATGTGACAATACGTGAGCTGGATGATCGCCCAGAAGTTCCTTGCTCATTTCTGGACTATGATCTTCCACTTCATAACATTATCCATTAAGACCGTTGTAATATATAGCTCTTTCATGTGCATTATACTTCGGCAAAAGGATTGTTGGATCATGCCATGCTCTTGGTCCAACGGGACGCGTCCACCATGAGAAAAAAGACTCGTCAACAAATGAAACATTGGGTAGCTTGATATATAGGACCAAAGAGATAAGGTGGAAGAAGAGAAAAGAATCAAGAAAAAAGATGAATTTCAGTAAGTATGAAGCGAATGAATAGCGAGGGCGAGGAACAATCCGAGAACCCCATTTTAGAACCCCTGTAAACGCCATGTTCTACCAGCTAGTTCCCGAAGGGTTTCTCCATCCAGGTTAATGTCGTTCTCATTTCCAGTTGGTTGCCGCAAGAAAAGAGATTCAAAGGGAATTGTCAGAGAGTCATTGGTCAATTCAATTTGTCCATTGACCCTTGAAAGTTCGATTTGCTGAGTGCTCTGGATCATTCCATCGATACGCTCCCACCGATCAATCAAAAGTTGAGGACGCTTCCTGTCAACCTTGATTGTGACTGTTGTGTTGACATTGCCTTTGGATGGATGCAGCCACCACTCAACGTCCCGCAGGAGCTTGACATGAGACTCGGAGACTCCTACCTCAAGGGTCACCGTAGGTTTATCGGCAAAGCCTTGAGGTGGTGGAAGAGGGCCCCACCCTTGGTCCCCTTCTTTACCAAGGCCCTCTTCCCTGATTGTGGCTCCAGCGTAAAAGCGAACGCAGGCTGCAAGACCCATCTCAGTAATAACGCGGGTCAGCGCTAGGTTAACAAACTGACCAATGTCAGAGTGGATTATTGTAACCATCTTGACAAGTAGAAGGTTTGCTGCAAGATCGAAGGAATAGCGGTTAGGGCTAGACAGCACAGGGAAATCAAGGATATCGGATTGGATTGAACGGCTAGGGATGTAGAAAAGAACGCAATCACTTGGAAGCTCGCTTTCTGTGATATTTTCTGTTTGATTGAGTGAGTCGGTTGGCCGGTGGGCGGGAATGAAATTAAGCGATTCGTTTTTGAGGAAGGAACGTGTGACTCGACGTGAATAGGTCTGCTGTTCATTCCCCTTTTGAATGGTACGAGATAACAGGGGATTATCTTTAATTGCTGTATGGTCGGCTTTCCCCTGAGGAGCAGTCAGTTGCTGGGATTGAGCAATCATGGACTTTTCAAGCCGGCGGAGCTCTATATCCATGATCATGCAGAATTGCGTTCCACCTTCGTATTTATATCTTGGTATATTCGAAGGGAGGTCTTGTAAGAAGCTGTCCCTATGAGGGACTTCACATGAGTTGGAAAACATCCTCGTAATCAATTCTACGGGTGTCCGTAGACATATAGAAGCGATGATAGCCCTGAGGGGGTTGAACGGTCAAGAAAATCTAGGAACCTAATTTCGTACCGACTATCTAAAAAAGCAGTCAGTCAGCTAAGAAAGCTTGGCAGTGACGTTTTATTCTCGTAGAAAAGTGTAAGTGACTGTTAACCTTGGGACGTGACCGGAAAGGGAGCGCGCACCACTCGATTAGGGCTAGATTAGTAAACTGCAAAGTCCAAAGGCCACGGAGAACAAGTCAGTTCATTGCATAGTCTTGTCAATTTTAAAATGGGGGTACGACGGTTGAGGTCAATGTCAACGTTGATTTAGATGAACGGATAAGCGCGCTGTTAGAATCTCTCGGTCATTATCCAGTGCCTTGTACAAAAATTGCCCGATATAATCATGACTATGTGATGGTGGACCTCTGCCCGCTGTCCACCTGTTTCATATCTGACCGCGGATCTGAAATCTGTCTTTGGCAGTCTTTTATAGAGAAATTCATAGAATGCATAATTACATGAGCTCATCACAAGCTCAGACTCCGGTAACAGCGACAGCTTCGAGGCTCTCATCTAAACAGGCTCAGATTCAACGAAATGGCTGACATGGAACTGCACCCGTCATCCATGAAGTATTAAATCTTGTCGGATATCATAGGCTTTCATATGCCTTATGCCTGATATAGATCAACCGTATCAAACATGCATGACACGGGACTATCCTTGGCAGTAGTATAGATAGGGTCTCGGTATCCTATTCCTACTTGTTTCTCTTTCTCCCCAGTCTTGTTTTTAGATAGAGAATATCATCATTATCTTCATATTCAGATCTAGATAACATACACTGGTGGACCCAGCTCTGAAGCGCAGAAATAGGCTTTTGATGATATTAGGATCAAATTGATGGACGATAGGCAGCATAGAGATGTGACCTGAGAGTACATAGAATGATATTCATGACTATGCCTGTAACACTGAAACCTCTGGATAATTGTGGCTGACGACCATTGCGACAACAGGAAAAGCAATATTGTCCTACATAATTGATTTGGTTCGGTCGTTCATTAACAAGAGCTGCCGGCAGGACAGCAACCCGTTCCACTACGATTACATCCATTGCAACAGACAGTACAATCGACGCTAGGAAGGAATGGGTTACCCAGCTCGTATACGCAGTTGCGCCCAGGGATTTGCTTCACTTTAAAGCTACCAATGCGGTCGTTCCATCCTGCGGCTCCCAGATTCGCCTAAGCGATGTTAGTTTTCTGTATCAAATGAGGAAAGAAAAAGAACATGACATACATAGCCCGGGCTCCAGATGGTTAGGGTATTAGAAGATCCACAGTTATAGTCCCTGTATCACCGTTAGCTAAGAGAACTAGAGAATTAAACAGAGAAAGGAAAAGAGAAGGCATACTCGTAGGCCACAATGGCATTGTACTCATCAGGGCCGATTGAAGTAATGGAATGCCACCTAAATTAATTCACGAGTCAATAAGAGCTATGAGATATTTGACTGACTCGAAGTTATCACTTACCAGGGGGAATCCAGCTGAATACACTGGTCCCATGGCTGCTTAGCAAAACCGCAGTTTCCACCCCAATTTATATCTGTGCAGATATATACCTAATACCAACCCTCGTTTAGTGGACATACACTCATCACATATCAATGAAACCATCGGGACACACTTACACCACCTTCCACACGCTTTCCGAGGCCTGTGGATTCAACGAAAGACACGGGCTGTCTTTTGGTGAGGCTCTCGGCAGATGGTGCCGCAGCAACTAGCGAGAGAAGAGAAGCGATGGCTACTGTTGCACGCATGATGTATAATGAAATTTTTTGATTACTGTTGGTTCTTATTGATGGAAATTATGTAGTCTTGACATGAAAAGGCTTGAAAGAGAGACTTTATACTCTCGCATTTTTGAAAACGAAAGGATTGTGGGGGCTACCCGGTCACAGCTAATAGAGTGGAGGTGGAGAGAGGAAAGATTCTTCTCGCATGCATCCATTTTGCAGCGAGAGATAATCTCCGTTCAGACCCAAGCTCGCTTGCAGCTTCGTTGAAGTTCGGGATACACTCAAAAACGACGATTGGTGATTGTATCTCGGGGCGAGCCCGAATTGGCAAAGGTTCGCCTTAGCTCATTTTGTGGCTAAGACAAATTATGCTCCTGAGACCAGTTGGGCACGGGCTAAATGCAGACCCTCATCAGGCAGTGTGGATGTCTCAGATTAATCTGATTGTGCGAACTTGGGTATTGATTGCCGACCCGAGATAGTCAACCGGGCCAACCCGCAATTGCCGTTCTGCGGTCGCTCCACTGCGAGTTGCTCAGATCCAGGATGTAACCCTAGCCCCGTGAGACTGCATGTCGCTGGGATTCATATGATTGTGGGATTGTCGGGAATTCTGAGGCTCTCTAGTCTGAACGCTAAAGGGTCACATGGGATCCCTGTCCACAGCTTGCATTGTGCAGGATTACTCAGGGGGTACAAACAATATCCCACTTTTCATATCTGTAGATGCCTTGAGATTAATCCCCAGCTACAACAAAACTGCCATCGATATGGTTCGCGCTCTTTCTGTTCTAGCATTGATATTCCTCGCATTTGCTCCAGCCGAGTCTGCTCGAACGCTGCAGAATGGAGGCCACCAAGCTTCGCTAGTTCAGGGTAAAGCCCAGGGAGGCGGTTTCCAGGGTCGATTCGCAACGGGAGTAGGTGATCTTATTGTGCACGTCGAAGAAGAAACTAAGCCTGGATAGGGTCCGCATTCACAACAAGGTCGCCAGGCTCCGGTGTCGAATATCCCCAAAGTCAGTAATAAAGCGCATTTGGTCAGAGTTGGAAAGAAGGAGGACTTGACAGTTGCACTCGAACAGGTCTGTCTTCTATGATTTCTCTTATATTACGACTCTAACATAAATGAAGCCATACGAGGCCTTGTTCGGTCAAATAGGTGTCAACAAACACAACTATCGCAATGGTGTATACGCTAGCATGAAGGAGTTCAAGTCGACTTTACTGCAAGATTAGACGCGAAGGACATACAGATCTATAGGTGTGAGACTGTGGCACAGAATAAAACATATAATTTTGGGGAATTCTAGTGGAGATAACTGTCAGATCTGTAACATTGGTAGCTTTTGTCAGAAGTTGAGGACTGTAACATCAACCATCAGCTCCCGAGGGTACTTCTTGATCCGCGCAAGAATTTCACCACCTCTGGGGGTTTCAAATGCTGGACGAAGAAAGAACTTCAAGCTATGCTCAAACTTCAGATAATGCAATCGAAGGCCATAGATCATGTCTAGGACACTGATACCTCGACATTCCCGACCTGAATTATGCGGGAAGTCCTCTATGTATAAGACATAGGGTGGGGTTTCGCTGTCAGACTCGGAGCTCCCATCTTCTTCCTCCTCACGCGCAAGATTCTGATTATCACTTCGGCGAGAGGTCACCACCAGGTCCGCGAGACTTGGTTCCTCCTGTGAAATGGTTCCGTGGATAATCGACAATTTGGCGACGGGGGGCCAGGTCAGATACTGATCTCTCCACGATGCATGCTCATAAGCCATTGCCTGCAGAGTCGGGTCCGTTCCGACAGAATGGAATTGGGTTGTATTGACCAAGGCCATTTCTAGGCTAGGGGACCAGCGTAGTCGGCCGATAACAAACGTATTCAGCTGCGGAACCTTGCTCAGAACGTGCTGGGAGGGGCCTTGACCCGTGAAGGTGGCGGCACATAGATTAGGTGCATTTTTGATAAGTGAGCGCCACGACTGAGACACACGCTGCAACCGGAGTAAATCTGCTTGCGATAAATGGCCTAGGATTGAACATAGTAGTTCTGTGGTGCCAAGAACTTGGGCGAGAGCATCAGAATTGTCCATCGCTCCGTGCGTCTGATAGTGAATGAGTGTAGGACCTCGTATCTAGTGAGACTAAATGCGCTCAAGAGATGAAAGAAAAAATAATTGGTCGCCACAAAATGGCTTAGGTTCAGGGGTTTGACCATTAAATAGCCCCTCCACTCGCGGATATTAGCCGGGTGAGCTAGGGCGTTCAGCTTATCCACTCATTCGCAGGATGAGATGGCAACAATACCCGACGAATATCAGATGGCTAAATGTTGTATATCTGCTTGACATTAGCGTGGACCCATATTCCATCTGTGCTACTGTATGACCTCAAGTCAGCGTGACTTTCTAGCCCACGGCAAAGACAACTCCCCACTCAGTTCGGTTATTTTCCACATTGATTAGTCGTCTAATCCGTTCGGGGCTCACTCCCTATTTAGTTCCTAGTCAAGCCTCAAGCACCAAGAAAAACTGTCAAATTTAATTCGTAAGGGTTGTTCCTTTTTCTGACTATGGACTAGCCTAATAAAAACAATCGTTAGCTTTTAGAGGTGATTTAATTAATCAAGATACATTGAGTTAATCTAGTGCGAAAGTATGTCGAACTCTCTCAAGCTTTCAAGAAGCTAGAAAGTGAGGATGTGCAAAGTAGCATGCGGTGAGTCTGGCTCGGTCTCATCTCCAGTATCCTTTAACATCTTGTAGGAAGTTGTGGGCGGCGGAACCTCGAGGGCAAAGCCTGCGTCTTTCAGGGTTGCGCAGAACTTTCCAGTACAATGAATGCGGCCGTCAATTTCTTCAATGGAATCTCTCTTTGTGTTGGCGACACCCGTGCTACCTGGATTGTTCGGATAAGCAGGCATAACTACCTGGGCTGCTGTTGCTGCGCTCGCAGCTCCCAACGCGGTGGTTGTAAAGTGAAACTTCATCACCGGGTCTTGCCATTGGCTTCGCGCTTTGGCGTAGTTCTGAAGAAAATTCAATTAGCCAGATTCACGAAGAAAGACACGAATGCCACATACTCCAAGTAATGCATGTGCTCGGGCTTGCCAGTCCTGTTCACTTTGAGTATTGGGATAGACCCCAGGACCATATTGCGCCTGCACATCCGCCCAAGTGTCTGATTCACAAGACACAGCTTTGGGTGCACAGTATACACTGGTGTATGGAGGGAGATTATTCACTCCCCCCTCAATCCAACTAGAAGCCGCATATTAGAAATGACCGTTAAGGGGCGAGATTCGAACTTACGAAGCAGCTGGAAATTCATCACAGGTATATCTCATCCCACTGGGGCCGGTACCCAGCAAGTTAGGAATCTCCATCTCGAACTCGGGGCCCTGCCAGGTGGCAAGTGGTCCGACACGAGCAGGTAGGTTTCCAGGCATCACATTGGGTTGCGCCGGGTCACTACCACATGGGAAAGGGAGTACATTCACCCAAGCTCCCTTGGAGGGACATGACTTCCTACGACGTTTTTCCGTGCTCTTTGAATCAGAATCATAATGGAAGTCCAAGCCCGCACCCATCTGAATGGCATTGTCCACCAGGTATTCCTCTACATTCTTGCAGATTGATGGGAGATTGTCGCAATTGTAGATGAGAGTAGGTAGCACTGGGGAGTAGTCGTCAACGGGCTGGCCTGTATACTCTGGAACACCACCAGCCGGGACTGAAGTTGTCCGGTCCAGGGCCCCTGTCCCGAAAACGAGGCTCAAGGAAAGAAGAGTATACTTCAATGGACTCATATTAGGCAATATGTTATCCCGAGTATACGAACAAACTGGGGAGAACTGAGATTATCAAACATCCTACAAGATCTCGCAGCATAGGAAGACGGAACCATTTTCGCCAACAAAGTCTTAGTTTTCCAATGAAAGCTCAGGTTCGGCTACTTTTGCCATGGGTAATGGCTATCGGAAATTGGAGTCAGGAAGGGGGTGTCAACAGATGACAACTAGTACCGAATTGGAAGCATCCCCTCGATGCATTGACTACTTTAGTTTCAACGTGAATCTTTGCAGTCGAACCTGCAGTAGCGTAGTGGATACTGAAGAGCTCCACAATCTAGCCCGACTTTCTCTGCCATCGTTTCCGAGACATCCAATAGTCAGTGTCCTCATTTCGAAGCTGTGCAGATGTAATTCTTCTTCCAATGACCCAGAAGATTTGGCCCTCTGGTTGTTTAACATTCTCATATTCCGTCATTATATTATGACCTTTTGCTAAAGGCACATTCGCGGTCAACCGCTCGCTGTCAAAATGAGGATCCTCTCATTTTTTCTTCTTCCGACTCTTTTCCAAGCCATTGTGTCTGCATCACCGATTGATCAGTCCATTCCTTACGATAGGACCGTAGTTCAAAAATGGGCCGTATCTGCTTCTATTCCTGCCTCAGATGAGACCAACACATCTACCCTCCATACTCGTCAAGATGGAGGATACTGGTACGAGTCTGCAAGTCATGGTATCTCTGCGTTTGGAGATTCGAGCTACCAGGTCTTCCGCAATGTGAAAGACTACGGTGCTGTAGGAGATGGTGTGACCGATGATACTGTGGCAATCAACCGCGCGATCACAGATGGCAACCGATGCGGAGAGACATGTGGCTCTTCAACCACCACTCCGGCGGTTGTTTACTTTCCGTCAGGTACATACCTTGTATCAGCGCCGTTGATCCAGTATTATTATACTCAATTTGTGGGAAATCCTAATTCATTGCCTACGCTGAAGGCGGCACCCAGCTTTGCTGGTATCGGTGTCATCTCCGCCAACACCTATATTCCTGGTGCATCTGGCGCGGAGTGGTATGTACCTCAAAGCAACTTTTATCGCCAGGTGCGCAACTTCATCATCGATATTTCAGCCTGTCCCACCGCCACTCCCGATGGATTTGGTATGTTCTCGGATCTCTGTTTCATGCGATAGTTGTTGACCTCTTCATAGCCCCCACTGGTATTCACTGGCAAGTGGGTCAAGCTACGAGCATCGAAAATATTCAGTTCGTCATGAGCCAGGCCGACGGAACTACGCACGTTGGAATCTTCATGGAGAACGGATCAGGTGGCTATCTCGGAGACCTGACCTTCACCGGAGGTGCCATTGGCATGTGGTGTGGAAGCCAGCAGTTTACTTCGCGTAATCTTAAATTCCGAAACTGCGTCCAAGCAATTGAGATGATATGGGATTGGGGTTGGACGTGGCATGGTTTGGATATTCTTCTTTGCCAGGTGCGATATTTTGAGCGTGTAAATCTGATAAAACTGACATCCACTAACATACATGATAGATTGGAATCAACGTTACAGCACTTAGCAGCGCGACTGCAGAGCACAGCCAAGGCGTAGCCGCGATTGCGATTCTTGACTCTGTCTTCACCAATGTGTATGTGTCCGAAGTTCCCATCTGAAAGCTAAATCTAACCCCATGTAGGCCAATTGCTGTCTTGACAGCAGGGAAAACAAACATTATGATGGAAAATGTGCAAATGAACAACGCTCCAATCGCCGTTGGCTATTCAGGCGGCCCTACAGTTGTTCAGGGTGGGGATGTTCTCATTGACAATTACGGGAATGGAAACAACTTTATCCAGAACGGAAAAACGTTGAGTGAGACATTCCTGAACGGTGCATTCTCCCCTTCTGCGAAAAGTGCGGCATCAGCTTCACTACGGACCTCCAAAGGCTGGTTTGCAAGGTCTAAACCCCAGTATCAAACCGTGGGAATCGGCGGATTTATTGATATCAGATCGGCCGGTGCCGCTGGTAATGGCCGGACCGACGATACAGCTGTAATCAACCGTGTTCTTGGATCTGCTGGGGGCTCGATTGTCTACTTCCCGCACGGTACCTACATGGTTTCCGACACTATCTCGGTCCCTCCAGGGACAAAGATTGTTGGTGAAGTATGGAGTGAAATCATGGGATTTGGAGATAAGTTTTCAGACATCTCTAATCCAAGAGTCATGATCCGAGTGGGAACGGCAGGCCAAACGGGAGATGTCGAAATATCTGACATGCTGTTCACTGGTAAGGTCTCTGCAATATCTGTTCTTTGGCTAAATATTAACAAAGAAAATAGTGCAAGGAGCTACAGCGGGTGCCATTCTGATGGAGTGGAATCTCGCACAGGCGTCTCAGGGTTCTGCTGGCATGTGGGATGCCCACTTCCGCGTTGGGGGTGCTGAAGGAAGTGACTTGCAGTATGAAGATTGTCCGTGGACCCAGATCGAAGCGGACAACAAATGTATTGCTGCCACCACATTGTTCCACATCACCTCCTCCGCTTCCTTATATTTGGAAAACGTATGGGTCTGGACCGCAGATCACGACTTAGACATTCCGTCGCAGGATCAAGTCTCCGTGTACACTGCGCGGTGTCTCCTCATCGAGTCTCAGGGCCCGGTGTGGCTTTGGGGTACGGGGTCGGAGCATTGCACCCTTTATCAGTATCGCTTCTATCACGCGAAGAACATTTTTGCCGCAACTCTGCAGACGGAAACTCCGTACTACCAGCCAAATCCTAAGGCGCCCGCTCCGTTCACTGGTGCCTACGCTTTGCCCGACGATCCCACATTCACCTATTGCAGCCCGGACTCGTCGACCTGTGCGTATGCCTGGGGTCTTGAGGTTATTGGTTCGTCTAACGTCATGATCTATGGGGCCGGCTTCTACAGCTGGTTCCAATGGTACTCCCAGGCTTGCCTCAGTCTTGAGGCCTGCCAGGAGCGTATTTCCCGTGTTGTCAATAGTAACAACATCTTCATTGTTAATTTATACACAAAGGGGGTGTATTCGATGATACAAGGCAGCAGCAGCACTGATGTCTTGGCTCTGGAGAATATGGACGGGTTCTTGGGCACAATTGTGGGATGGACTGGACTTGACACTACCGGATCACTGGATACTCCCTCATCGGTTATCGCACTGCCCCCGTGGATCTGGAGTGTTCCAAGTCCAACAGTATCGTGCAATATTCCCTGCGTCATTCAACCACCACCCACCCCAATTAGGCCGATTCGACCTCCACCATATACAACCACAATCTCCGGCTCCCAAGTGATTGTCACGCCACCAGTGATAGAGACCCCCGGTTTGCCAGTGCAGACTATCAGCATTGTTGTGCCTGCGGGTCAGACAGTGACACCTATCATTGTTCCCAACCCCAGTATCACCGTTCCACTCATAGTGCCAACTGGTGGGAACTGGCCAGGAGGCGCACCGCCAATCCAACCTCCCCCAATCCCCGTGCCAATTCCGCCTGCGATGGTCCCCAATTGCAGGCAGTTTTGTTCTGGCGCTGACTGGCCGCCGATCTTGTATGAAAAACTTCACCACAACTATGAGCCCTTATCATATCTAACAAATATATAGACCCCCAATCGTGGTTGTCCCGGGCGCTCCACTTCCCGTCGGAGCACCCCCTCCAGTCGGGGTTATCCCACCACCAGTTGGAGACGACGACGCAGGAGATGAGGAACAAAACGAAATGGATTGCGGTATTCCTTTCGCATCATCTCTAACTGACTGGCCAAGCCCTGACGATGTACCAAGCTGGGGTCAGACGCCCGGTGAGACCGGAGGAACGTGCCAGTGGGCCGGTACCATTCAGAGTTACTCGAACACCTTTACCATCGCCATTCCTTCAGGAAAGACTTCCGTGAACATTGACCTTTATAACTTGCTCGGATTCGGTAGCTATGGGTACAGTCTTGATGGGGCAACCATGCAGGCCTACTCTGTGTCGGCGACAGGATGGAGCGTTTCAATGTCACCTTCGAGCTCTCAACCAACTAGTTCGACCTCCTTTGTCAACTTCGATATCCCTACAAACCCCTTGCCAAGTGCGTATAACATTGACATGACATCTAAAAACACGAAGAAATGATTTGCTAATGTGTATGGCCCACCCAGCGAGTATTCAAATGACTGCGAACGTACCGGCGGGCACCTCCTCCATTAATCTTCACATTGAGATTCGGGTTCGTCTTTCTCTCTGCTTCTGACATTTTACCTTGGCTGACAGTGGTACCCATGAGTCTAGGCCAGCAAATCCTGCGGTGGAAACCCCATCCCCGACCCAGCAGGCTCGGGTTCAGGCTCGGGTTCGGGCTCAGGATCCGGTTCATCGTCCCTCTCACTCATATTCCCGAAAAATCTCAATGGCGAGATCATTTGTGGCTCCGATAGCACAGGCGGTGCCAGCAGAATGACTGATTGTCTGTTTTCCTACGGCAGGTAAGTAGCATTACTCAACTTGGTTAGCAAGAGATCCTTATGTCTAATCAAAAACCAGCGGCATCGTCCAAGGCCAACGCCTCACAGAGGGGATCACGATCACCACCAACAATCCATCTTCTGTCTGCATCCGCAGCGGGACGACTAAGAACGAACAAGGTGTCATTACCAACAATTGGTGTCTGGTCTATCAGTTCAACAGTTGCGCATTCGTGCTTTCGGATAAGTCCGAGCTCTTTGGGGGTTCGTTCCCCGGTTGGTCGGTCATTTCGGGACAGGTGATGCGTAACTTTGCCATTACCGCGGCGAATCAATGCGCCGGAAGTGGTAAAACAGCCGTTGCTGCTGGACCTTTCCAGCCGTTTGGGGTAATTGCCCAGTCCCTTTGTCTGACATCACCGGATCATCCCGAAATTTGTGCTGTGCCATGATCCTGTACATATATACAATGATATTGAGACCAGTAGTCGAGTTATTGAAATTATATATGATATATCTGCGCAGATCTATTGGTCTTGGATTTCTTTTACGCCAACTCATCCTCGTTACACCTCAGCATTTGTTCAGCATGTCATCACTAGTACCCGGCTGTGATAAGGATCACGCTTATATGCCTGTTGTAGTACGGAACCTCGCTTTGCGAATAAGCCACATCTTACTATATCAAAAATATTATACTGCAGGATGACTGACTTCGTAAAAGAAATTCTTGCACGAAATATTCTTCAGAACGTCGAGAAAGTAGCAGTCCTTGACTGCTATGCTCCAAATATTATTGCGAGTCGCCAGATAGCACTAGCAATAAATTCTTTTGAACCCGGTTGTATATCACTCCGTCCATTCTTCATAATTTCAATCTCTCACAGCGGCCGTATAGAACCCCAGCACGATATTTAAGCCCGAATTACTTGCCACACGACCTTAGGAATCCGCATATCAACGCCTATCTACGTCTATTCACGCACTTTGTATTGTTGTCGCCCATAGTTCGAAGGACGGCTAACCTCGAGTACTGGCAGGATAGGAGGAAGGCCCAGGGTCAAGATTACGACAGAACTCGGCAACTTGCAGGACTCCGGAATGTATCACGCATTGCAGACGGACAATAGTGCATAACACTCCGTAGGACATGTGAGAAAAAATCACTACGGGAGGTGAAGGATAAATCAGCTGTTAAGGGGCGTGCAATATGTTTGGCTGTGTATCAGGGGTGTAGAGTAGGTATTGAATGGGATTTAAAAAAAAACATACAACAGTGAGGATTCGCTGGTGGTCACCCACCCAACTACTAACTCACCGGCGTGTGGCTTAAGTACGGCTGAGCGGACGGGAAGCCCTGTTTTCCACACCCTATGGTCGTATGTGCTAGGTATTCTGTTGAGAAAGATTATACAGTGTAAAGCATAGGTAGTGACAATAGAGAGGTTTTGTGTCTATAGGGAAATATATAGGGGCGTCCAGTCAAGAAAGCGGGGGGCACTATAGAAAGGGAACGGCATTTCAGCCTAAAATCCGTATATAATAGATCTATCTACAGCACCCATAGGCGCATTCTCCTGATCATATTCTTGACACCTTTTACTATATTTTAGATTGTGGTAAATCCATCCTTCCAGCTGTGATAGAGAGAACATATCAAGGAAATTATCTAACGCTAAAACACTAAACGTTCTCTAGGCCAGACCGTTTATGCCGACTATTTTTGTCCACCATACCCTACTAGCATCAAGACATAAGCAGCCTCTTTTTTTTAGACCTAGTGGAAGTCAATTGCAAATAGAGCGATACTAGGTTGGCCTTGGCTTGAACAATCTAACAGGCCTTACGTGGTCGCCCCACTATGAAGGCAGTCGTATTCGGATTAGAATGTCTTTAATATACGAAGCTCCTGAAAAGGGTATCAGTCTACTCGATTCACTTTAACACTTCACCTCCATATCTCAATTTTGATATGATAGAACCTCTTCAGCCTACTTTTCAACAATCCAACGATGCTTACCGAAACCCCAAGGGGAAGGAATCAGAGATCTACACGTATCCAGTACCACTCAGTCCCGTCATGAACGAACAACATCATCACAAGGCCCCAAACCACAGACGACCTCTACTATACGTCCCCAACACATTATGGACGCAATTGTTTGCAGCAACGGTAATCACGGAGACAGTTCTCACAGTCGCAATTGAAAGGTAGGGGCTCGAACTCGAACATCGGTTTCTTCTCAGACTGAGAGCTTATGGTGATATTAGCTGGATTCTCGTGAGCCTGTGGGACGATCTTGACGACGACAAAAAAGCAGACGGTCCAATGCGCCTTCAGTCCTTTCTGGGTCTATACATTTTCGCCCTTCTATCCGAACTGGCACTATCATATGATGCACTGCGCCGGAAAAACACAATCCAGCTGGTCGGACTTTGTATCTGCAATCTGGGTCTGTTGACATATGGCATTCTCCAGATGCAGGAGATCAAGGACACGATCTCCAGCCTGACCGGTGAAGATCTCAGCGACCATCTAGAGGAACTATATCACATTGAGATAATTCTTGTTCCGGTCTTCCTGGGCATCGGGACTGTGTGCATGAGCTTTTTTACGTGGAAGTTGCGCGCGGAGTTTTCGTGGTCAATATACAAGAATATCAGCGCGGATTTGCAGATGAAGCGTCGATATTTTACATATCAGGTTATTGAGACGTTGAACTGTCTTTTGTATGTGGCTGACCTAATTCTTCCAGGTGTATATCGCTCTCCTAAAATTCGATTTCTTCTTCGTATTCGGAAGTCAACTACAAATCCTCCTTGTCGTCCTCCAAGCCGAAGACGTCGATTTTATTCTCAATGCCGCTTTGATCCCGATCACAATAGCGACCTTGATCCTGTCTGCTCAATTTTGCAAGCGTGAGAAGACAAAATCCCTTGTGCTTATGATGGTGAGGAGTCTCGAATGCGAATCAATATCTAAGCTTCAAACTAACCAATCGCTCAGTTTTTTACGCTTATTATAATGGGATGCTTCGGTATCGCCCTCTTTCGAATCCACAGCCCCGCGGAGAGCGCTGATTTCAGCTCTGTCAGGGTATCTCTGACATTATTTGCAGCGATATCATTGCTGCTGATGGCTTTCACGATCGTCAACTCCGTGATATGTATCCTTAATTTTAAGAAAGGATTGAAGATTCATATTAACCCTCCTAAAAGGCGGAAAATTTCAGTCTCGTTGGAGCTCGAATCCCAAGAGACACCTACACGGTTCCTGTTGAACTAGATATATTGACTTTACGACTTACTGTTCTTTTCTTTACTTCGTATTCTATGTAAAAATATTGTAGGTATGCTTGGTCTTTTATCCACGTTCCACTCATCCTCCAGGTGATCGGCAAGTCACTTAGTCAAACTCCACCCACTGAAACGAGCCCCTTCGTTTCTTGTGGTGCCAAAAAAGACATCCTTTTGTTGAGTCTTCATAGGCTACGATGGCCTCGTTGTGCCCGGCCATGAAAGCGCCTATGTACGCGATGCCGCAACTAAGGAGTATAACAACCAACCGCGCTAAATATCCCTCAGTGGTTGGTTATGGTTATGGCTATGGCATCCTCACAGGTTATACTCCGTACTGATATGTGATACGTGATAGGTGGGTTTTCTCCAAAGCTATCTTCCAATTGCTTCGTTCAGTCTTACCAACTGTAACGATATCATAATCACTACACATTTAAACAAAGCTATGGTTGTTATTTTTAGGGCCTCCTTAAGACCTCTCAAGGACTGCTGTCCAGTATTTCATTTTCAGCTTGCTTACTCCCCAGCTAGCGCGCGCGAGATGATCCTTGAAATATCTCATGTTCAGAGATCACGTCCAAGTTTACACTTCTATCCATGAATTCGACTTATAAAAGGAGGATTCTATGAATGCAATTGTAAAAAAGAACAGATCACTATTCATAGTCTAATCTTGGCTAGAATCACCATATTTCCACGGTCCAGAATCTTCATACTTTGATATACTCTGTTTTCCTTCATAATTACTACGCTTTTTTCACATCCTTGTCTGAATATCAACAATGTCCGACAACAAAGGATCCCCCGATGTGTACAAAGTCTTTACACCAGAGTTCGATACAGTAGCTTACGACCCTTTGGATCCTCCCAAGCGATACCACACAGGTATCTATATTGAAAAAGACGCGGAGAATCAGCAAGGATTCTTTGATGACGTCACTGGCGATATCATCGCCAAAAGCGGCATGCGGTTCGAGGTGAAGGATGACTATATCCCTGTCGCAACTAGGTATTTTCACAAAACCACACTGATTGGATAGATTCGCAAAGCCGATTTTTCACAAATCAGGGGTATCTTGGAAGCCTTGCCACGACCGACCAAACAGCAGGGACTTGACTTTTGGAGCACGGATCCAGCTAAGCGGAATAAGCTTACTTGGACAAAGGAGAATGGGGAGCTGTACAGGCCAGGCGAGCAACAACGGCCAATCATGAAGTGTAATGAATGGACACATCAGGTTGCGATTCCGAAATTGCGACAGAAAGGAATTTTACACTGAATTTTCAGTATCGTCGCCCGTAGGTTTGTCAACGTGGTGGAGGCTCACTGTGTTTGCAGCCATAGGATTGCATCCCCATTGTTGTATCATGCGTCAAGGTGGGCCGGTGACCTTGAAGGACGCGAGGGAGATATTTTTCGTAAAAGCGAGCCTTGTAATCTGGGTGATTATTGCGGTCGACCAAGGCTCTGTAATTACCGACAAGGCCTGCAACGAAGGCAGGTTCGTCGGAGAAAGGCCCTAGAAATTTATTATCACCATGTTGGCTATAGAATAGGTAGTGATGTACGCCGCCCCCGTCCATGCCTCCAAAAAAGTTGGGCCATGGACACTCGACCTTTCGCATTGCGTCAAATATTATTTGAAGTTTTGCGACAATGTCATCCTTCTCAGACTGTGCCAATGATGACCAAATGGAATCCAGCCACACCCCAGGAACGCGTTCCATGATTAAGAAAAGTTGTTTGGAATCACGATACATCGCGTACAGTCGAGGGGCCGGAACTTCTGGGACATGTCGTTCGAGGTAAACCAAAGCCTGGCCTTCCCAGTCATTTACATAACTCCCATATTTTGCAACAACATTTTCGCTCACTGCCACAACCTTGGTGGCGTGGGTCTCGAACAAAACATTGGTGCAAGCGCGGATCTCATCTGCTGTAGGTAGTGTGGGCAGAGGCTGGGAGTTCTGGAAGGGAAGAGCTACTGGTTCCCACATCGTGAACAAAGCAGGAGTCGACGAAAGTAATATTGAAATATGGATGTTGAATGGAAGGGAAGTGAGCTGTGAAGGAAGATGTTAGAAGTTCAGAACCTTCCAAAGTTGGATGGCAACCCCCAGATCTCGGACCACCAGTGCCGATTTTCCGGCCATGTGATGGTTCCCACCGCAGCGCTAAGCCGAAAATCGATTGGGAGATGAAGACAACAGTCCATCGAGAGCTTTGTAGAACGGCGCTCCTATCGTGCCAGTAGAGTATACCCACCCATCACGGTACAGAAAAACGTAGACCGATCCTGTGATCCGATGACCCCTCCATCTGGATGAACAGTTGATCCAGAAGAACTCGACTATGCAGGTGAATGGGTCGCGGAGGATGCTTGGGCTTATTAACTTGCCCTTGAATATCATCTCGGCCATGTCACCCCATCATATGTCGCTGGTCTGATGGAGATATTGTGTTCAAGAGTCATGGTAAATATCATCTGTATGACCTGATACGTGGAGGCCTTTTTCTGTTGACCTCTCCGATAAAGTGGGCCTCGGGTCTTCCGAAGTACTGGCGTGAAGATTCTCATGAAAAATGGCTTTATATGAAAATGGGGATACTTTGCTGAGTAGACAGAGCTGTCCGCGGATTACTAATTCCAAATTACTGAACAGCCTGGATTAATTAAATCCCCGGTATGCCGATCTGTATGCTCCGACATTCTCTGTCTGCCTTAGGCACCAAGCGGTATGCAAACCCTGCAAACCGCCCGGGAGCACAACTGAATCTTGGAATAAGTTAGATGTTGTCCCAGCATCCCTCGATCTTGGTCAATTGAAAATGGCCAGAGCCGAGGGGTCTGATGATAAGCACTATCATTTCTTGCAATGGGCATTGGCTAATGGTATCCAAATAAATGGAGTCGCCCCTTTTGAATTTCCTGGACGCGGTATGGGACTTATCGCTACACGGACAATAGAGGTGAGCTAGACTCGAAGGCTTTTTTTACCATCGTTCGGTAGAAGCTAAACGATTGCACGGCATGAAGGCGGATGAGGTTATGATTGCCGTTCCTGTGTCAACAATGCTCACAATTGACCGCGTCCCAAGAGGATTTGTCGATCGCTTTCCGTCCGAAACCTCCATTCATGGAATCCTGGCAGCATTTCTGACGCACGGAGATACGAGCTTACTTGATCACTGGGCTACCTGGCGCAAAATTTGGCCTTCTCGAGAACATTTTCAACAGTCTTTGCCGGTACTGTGGCCTGAACGTACGGCAAGTGATGATCAAGGGTGTATTAATCTGCCCCCTTCCGTAACTGGACAATGGAAGCTGTTTTACAATACCCATTGCGATTTTACAGCTCAGGATACGTACCAAAAAGTCTTAGTGCAGCAGCGAAAGCGGCTTCATGATGCTTGGGAGAATGTTCTATCCGTTTTTCCTACCACGGATTGGAGCGTTTTCTCATACAATTGGCTTATACTAAATACGCGAAGTTTCTATTATGTCAGTCCTGGCAAAGAGCCTCCTGATGACTGGAATGATGCCATCGGTTTGGTACCATTCGGAGATTATCTCAATCATGCGGACAATGCGGTAAGTAGCGTTTCCTCGGTATGCTTCACCCTTCACTGCTTCGTCTAATGTAGTGAAATAGCGTTGCAAAGTTGTTTTTGATGGACAAGTATCTACATTTAGAGCCACAGCTCGTCATGGTGGGGGACTCTTCTTTTGTGATGATTGGCAATATTTACGCTAATAACTTACTCACTACTTAAGAGAAAGGAGATGAGGTACTCATGAGCTATGGTTCACATCCCAATGATTATCTTTTGGTGGAATGTGAGTACCTTTACCGTGCATTTCCCCGTCTACTGAATACTTTACTGACCAGAGTGCGCATAGATGGCTTTATTTTGGACAAAAATGAAAGCGACGCTGTTTATTTGGATGACATCGTTTTTCAAGACCTCTCAAGTGACGACAAAGAGGCTCTGTGCACCCATGGATACTATGGGTAATCCTCCTACCCTCTATTCGGGGAACCGCACGCTAACCTACTCTCTGAATCAGTCATTATGAGATAAACTCATCTGGGCCCAACCTTGGCGTAAGTATTGTGGCGTCCTTGAAATGTATGAAACGTGAAGATTGGGAAAAATTCGTTCTTGATCCACCATCGTCGGGCCCGATCTCTGAAGAAGCAACAGAATGGATCCGTAAATGGGTTGACACCTATTTGCAAGAAAGCCTAGTAGCAATTAAGGGGCTGGAGGGAATGACGAGTGTCAAAGGAGTATCTCACTCTTTAGAAAACCTTTCGCCTGCTTTAAACCAGAAGGTTGCGACCTTACTACGAAGATGGATCCAAATCAGGGATATGTGTCAAAAGGCTCTTAATACATTAGTCTGAATCAGCTTTATTCTTAAGTTGCCAGCCTTGAAAAAGAAAAACACACATCGTATATAAATCTGGGGGTTTTATTTTAGCGTAGTACGATATATTCTTAGATGTATTGTTGAGTGAGAATGAGATAGTAAGATTTCAATAGATTTGCGTCCTAGAGAGGTATACTGCTTGAATCAAGTAAGGTGCAAAGCGTAGTGCCACCTTGCATCTGGAGTAAGCAGTCTTGTCTAGAATTCAACATTTGCCATCGTTTTGGCCTGCAGCCAGCTCTTCACATGCCCGAAAGTCCCAATTGGTATCACCACGTTCAATTACCCCCCTTTCCGCACTAGACAGAGCTTCATGAGCCGAGGATGGGTCTATCACGCTGGCTTTTGTTCTCTTGGGGCGCTTAGAAGGGTCGTGGGCGCAAATCTGACATTGCTTCAACAGATATATGACATCTGACCTCAATATCCCGTAATAAGAGCTGCTGATGCTCTTCCAAGTGCCATCCCACCCAGCATGGCCGTTGCTTTCGTGGACCGACTCCACAGTATCGGCGATTTTATCTTCAAAAACTACCACGCGATAGCATGCTTCACTAGACTTTGGCTTTGCCAGGAGTTTTTGGGAATCCATATCCCAGACGAATGTCTTCCGAACATAGTTTCGTCGACTGAACTCTGTTTGTGAGGTGGGTCGCTTTAAAGGGTTCGTCAACCATTCGAGGAGGCTTTCCGTGCCATGTCGGGAGACTCGACGAGTAGATGGATTTTCGAGGAGGAATTGCAGGAATTTTTCCTTGGTTTGGGGCGTGAAGGGAGCGAGAGCCTGGGAAGATCGATTGTTCATAACGCGTCGACTTCGTCCTCGTTTTTTAAGAAAAGTGAAGCCGTTACGGATGGTACGCCGCTAGTCGAGGTATCGCCTCGACTAGCGGCGTACCATCCGTGTTAGTCTCGACTTAGTCTCGACTGGAGGCGTATGCCCCGCCTCGTGAGGTGGATTCGAAGTTGCGGCAGCCTGCGTTTTGTTGGGCCCCGAATCCTTTTTAGCTCTAACGTTATTTGTTTTGAAATCTCAGCTGCTAATAAAATGACTGATTTCGGTGCAGTCTGGCGAACTGCGGTTGACCGATACAAGGATATAACTCAAGTCGATCTCGGCTCTATTGAAGCAGCGAACACTGTTGAAGACGTGTTAAGCGAGATAGACATTCGCGAAGAGGAATTCAAAGTATCTCGACATAATGGATCGAAGACTGACAAATTTAGAAGCCTTGTCAGCCGAAGCCTGAATTCCATCGAAATGGTCAGCCAGGTTGTTTCTCAGGGAGTGTCAGGCGTAAGTATTGTCGGACTCTAGAAAGAATAAAAATAACACGAACGTTGTCGGGATAGACTTTCCCACCTGGCATGGCTATTTTCACAGCAGTGCGATATCTTATCCAAGTAAGGACTTAGCTTCATACGATCTATAATTGCTGATGAATGTAGACTGCGAACTCTGTTTCGGCGGATTTTGACAAGATTGCAGAATTCTTTCGTGATGTCGAGTTCTACCTCAAACGGCTGAAGATAATGGAGGGGAAAGTGCCTCTAGGGCCGGAACTTGAATTTGTTATGGCTGAAGTTTTGAAGTCGGTGCTGGTTTTATGTGGTATTTGCGTGAAATACACAAAGAAAAAGCGCTTCGGTAAGACAAAATTTAGATTTCGAACAAAGAAGCCGCAGTGAGAACTTACACAATCGGCAATAGCCAAGGCGTTGCGAAATCTCATGTCTGGAGAAGACGACGAGCTCGCCTCAGCTTATGAGACTTTTCATCAAATGGTCGACCGTGAACAGCGACTGATTGGAACTCTCAGTTTGGTCGAAATGGGTGAAGCAAATCGCTCTTTAAAGCAGTCTGAGCAAGTGTATAAGAAGCTCGAGAGTAAGTTTTCCAGTTGAATGCCTAGGAATATTTGCTTCTCATTTGTTTCAGATAGGGAAAAGCTTCTTGACCGTCAAGATGTGTTGGATGACCTTTCGTCACATACGTTCCTTGCTACACAGAAAGACAAATTTGGTAAGCGTCATGATGGAACGTGTCAATGGGTCCTGAACAGCGAAACTTTTCAACGATGGTCTAACGGCACCGAAAACTCGACTCTTTGGTGTTGTGGGGATCGTGAGTCTTCCTTGATTATCAAGAATCTCATGACACGAATGCTAACATGCCTCAAAGCTGGGAGCGGGAAAACTATATTAACGTACGTATCCACGCGAACTAGCTTCTTATGTGATTAGCTTATGAATCTCACGCTGGTGATTATATCTTATAGGTCGATTATTATCGATGACATTTATGAAAAGACCCGCGGAACTGACACTGCTCTTGCATTCATATATTGCAATTACAAAGACACGAACACACACTCTGAGCTTGCTCTTCTGTCCAGCATTGCACGGCAACTGATCGCACAAATCGAGTACATACCCACTGTGGTGAAAGAATTTCGTGACCATAATGCCATGAAGAAAAGAGACCCGACGGGCGAGGAATGGATCGCACTTATCAAGTCTGTCGACCATTTCTTCTGCCGGATGATCATTGTTGTTGATGCCCTGGTACAAGCTGAGAGTAACACATTTAAACGCTTATGCTAATTTTGCATTAGGATGAGTGTCCAGAATACAATAGAGATGAGTTCTTTCGTTTCATAAAAATGCTAGACACTAGCATTCGCTTCATGTTTACATCTCGCCCCCATATTATTCTCCCTGTGGAGTTTTCTGGGTTGCAACAGATTACTATTGTGGCAAATCCATCTGATTTGCAGATTTTCCTGGACGCTGAGATTTCGAAAAGGAACATGTTCCGGAAGTTTGTCATTCGAAATGATTCTAGCTTACAAGCATTTATTGTTGACGAAATCATTACCAAGTCTAAGGGAATGTAAGCAAGCAGAGAAGCAACCCGGAGGGGTGTGTGCTAACTTTTCAGGTTTCTACTGGCCTATCACCATGTCGAAAGGATATGCCAACAACCACATGTAGCGGGTGTGCGAAAATCACTGAGAAGTCTGCCAGAAAACATTTTTGACTACTATCATGAGGCCATGGAAAGAATTGGGCAACAAGAAGCGGTACTCTGCAAGCTAGCCCAGGATGCACTTTCATTTATCTCTCATGCAAGAAGACCTCTTTACGTGAACGAGCTTCGCCACGCCTTGGGGGTGTGGTCGAGTGATACTGATTTCGAAGAGAGCCAATGCGTGGATGATAATCTCATTGTTAGCATCTGCAATGGTTTAGTTAGGATTGATGAGACGAGAGATGTGGTGGAGCTTGTTCATCAAACCCTACAAGAGTACTTTGATACCTTTCCCGAACGGCTTTTCGAAGATTCTCATTCAAAAATCGCGAGAACCTGCCTCGTTTACCTTTCGTTCAATGCCTTCGGCAGCGGGCCATGTGTGGACGGCGAAGCACTTCAACAGCGACTAGAGCACCACGTCTTCCTTTCATATGCAGCCCATTACTGGGGCTATCATGTACGAAACTCTCGTGACGACTATACGCAAATGGTCCTAAGGTATCTTGAAGACAATAGTAAGCTTTTGTCCGCTGTACAAGTTTTGTACGCGACCTCTCCACGAATCAAAGACTGGTTCGACCGATATCCAAAACAAATTGGACCTTTGCACATCGCATCTTGTTGGGGCTTGACGAAGATCATTGAGATTTTGATTCGAGGCGGCGTCGATATCACCACACGTAATAGTCGTGGTGAAACCTCCTTTCTCCTTGCAGCCCAGAACGATCAGAGGGATACTGTCGAGCTATTTCTTGACGTTGGAAATGACATAAACGAGCAAAACTTTTTCGGAGAAACAGCTCTTTTGTGGGCTGCCAAGAACGGGAGCAAAGATTTAGTCAAAGCCCTTCTCTTGCGTGGCGCCGAGCTCGTGACGGATCATGAAGGGTGGTCTGCAATCAATTGGGCCGTGATTGGTGGAAATCGCGAATTGCTAGAGTTATTGCTCGCGGAAGAAGTCCTTGCTAGCACAGGTACAGATGCCAAAAACCAGGCCCTTTTTCTGGCGGCAGAAGAGGGCCACGAAGAAATGGTGAAAATGCTTCTCCACGCTGGTGCGAATATCGATTCAAAAGATAGCAATGGAAGCACGGCATTAGACTTTGCAGTGTCAGCAGCCCATGAGGTCACTGTTGAAGTGCTTTTGTCCAAGAACGCGAATGTCAATTCCACCGATTCAGGTGGTAACACCGCGCTTCACTGGGCTGCTACGCATGAGCCGATTTCTCGATTGTTGCTAAAATACGGAGCTTCGCTAAATGCAAAAAATTATGCTGGACAAACTGCTCTCTTTTGGACTGCGCAAGATAGCGCGGCCGCAGTAGCAAGATTACTGCTTGAAAATGGGGCTGATGCTGATCTTGCAGACAAGAACGGCTCCACAGCGTTACATATCGCAGCATTGCAAGGACATCGGAATGTAGCTGCTTTACTTTTGGAAAATGAGGCCGACGCCAACATTCAAGACAAAGATGGGTGGACTCCGTTATATGGTGCTGCCGTACAAGAGCATGCGGCGCTTGTTCGTCTTCTTTCGGAGAAAGCCAGCAATAGCGAGAAGACATTGGGTTTGGTCGATAAGGCGATGAAAAGCCCTGGGGAGCGAACGCTTTTAAAGAAGGTTGCAGAAGACAAAAGACAAGGGAGCACTATGACGAGTGGCTTGCGCGTAGCGGCACAGGAAGCCCAGATAGGTAGGCTGCGCATAATGCTTGAGAGAGGGGCAGATGTAAACGCGAAAGACCCTGCGGGATATACCGCGCTTGAGCTAGCAGCGTTTCAAGGGTCCAAGCAAGTCATACAGCTTCTGTTGGAGTACGGGGCCAATGTGAATCTACGAGGCTCTCTCAACGGCCCTCCGCTGTATCATGCTATCGAACAAGGCAGTGAAGCAGTCGTGCCACTGCTGATCGAATATGGTGCAGATGTTAATGCTGAAACGTACGGCGTGACTCCGTTGATGCTTGCTGCAAAACTCGGGAACCTATCGATCAACCTATGCCTCCTGGAAGCGAAAGCCGATGTCAATGCACGGGATTCTTTTGGGCAGACGGCTTTGCATCTCGCCATTTTGAATGGAAGAACACAGGTTGCACGGATGTTGCTTGATGCAGGAGCTGCGTCAGATATTCCAGATGATCATGGGGAAACAGCCTTCATGCTTGCAGTAGACAAGATGGGAGAGAATCAGGCAACCTTACTCTTTGAGGAATGCTCCGATGTCGACGCAGATAGCACCCCAGAGCTTCGTTCTTCGTGGCTATTTTTTTGATAAACCCGAAGATAGCTAGCCTAGACCTTAGGGGTGAGGTCGACTCAAGGCTCTTTCTATACGAACAGATTCTTCATTGCCCAGGAGAAACTATCTCAACCTTTTTGGGGCTAGTTTAATACTGCCGACGTTCACGCGATGTGGGTCTGAACATTGGCATCGCAAAAGAATAGCTGGAAGAGATAAATCGATTTAGTATGAATTCCGAGACGGCATCAGAACAGTGTCTCTGCGATGCGAGATTTAATTTTTTACCAAGCTATACTCTTGTCCTGAAAAACGATCAAAAACAGTCTCGCCCATTTCTAGTAGTAAAGAAAAAGGAGAACGGCAGATATCCCAGCTTCAAGAAAATGTGTGGTTAAATTCCAGTTGGGCATTGTTTCGGTAAAAGTTTAGTCCGTACGGTCCGTGAAAATGCCATCTTGAGGAGGAACGGAGTGGATCGAGATATCGCTCAAACCCCCACTACGCTGTGTATGACTAGAAAGCTCTTTGTATTCTTGCCACAAGAATGGCTAAACGAAGACCCATCATGACGCTCCTCGAAATGCAAAAAGAACTAGGCTTTCAGATTGAACTCAGAAATGATGGGAATCGAGAGGAAGAGCGATTCTATTCTGATCTGTCGCCGGTCTCCAATAATCTTTTGAGCAGAACCGAAAGGGAGCTACAAGAACATCGGCGACAAAAAATATACCGGGAATATCACACTGTTCCAGAACCTCCGCTTCCAAAGTTAGGCGAGACTTATGTATGTCCGCCCCATTTCTTCAGTCTTCTTTTCGATTGAGCTTGCCTTTGCCTGACTGAAGAACAGTCGCTTAATAATGAAGAAGCCATGATCACTTTAAAACGTTACAGTAATGTCGGATACTACGTTTTTTTGTTAGACGTTCAATTCTCATTTGGATTGTGCCTACCTCTTCTACTGACTGAAATCGAGGCGTCTTTGGTCAAAATAAATGCAGAGGTATTGACCCTTCAAGACCCTTCAGACTTGAAGACGTTATCAGCTTAACGAGAATATAGCTTCAAGGGAACTCCAACAAGACGGATTGCGGCAACGCGATGAAACTTCCGCACGAACTTCGCCTAAGTATTATGGAACTTGCTATCCCAAAGCAGGAGTGGGAACAAAAGGCTGCATCCGAATTTCTTGAGAAAATTTTTCCTGGATCAATTGGAGATCTAAATGGGTTTATGTTTCCGTTGAGTCAGAACACTGGCGCTCTGTTCGTCAATAAGTGGATGCGTGAAGAGTCACTACCCTTTGCGTATCGATCGACCCAATTCAAGTTCGACGATATGGATGATTTTATCAAGTTCGCACTTTCCATCGGTCGAATAGGGCGCCGCAATGTGGAGTCAATCGTGTTATATTGGCTCAGTAGCAGCGACCTGGAAACCACGTTAAATCACAAAGACATTAGCTTGTCTTTGCCCTCTCTTCACGCTTCAATATGCGTCCAATTATTGAAGCAGTTCAAAAGATTGAGGTTCTTGCGCCTCGTCTTTGACGAAGAAACTCTGTCAGCAACTACGCTGGAGGGTTTTCAATTTGATCCAGGCATCCGAGAGCTTTCCTCTATTCAGGGTCTACACTTCGTTGAGATATGGGGGTTGAATAATGAGCCGCTGGAGTGCACTTTTGATTGTGCGAAGTGGTTGAAACAAATACTGGAAAATAGAAGTCAATGCGAACTAAAATAATTGCAAATCTCTTCTACTTTGTAGATTGCGCGTACACCCAATTTGCCATATATTGCGCTCAATGTAAACTATACATGTAATGTAATAAGTACATACGACCATAGGGTGTGGAAAACAGGGCTTCCCGTTCGCTCAGCCGTACTTAAGCCACACGCCGGTGAGTTAGTAGTTGGGTGGGTGACCACCAGCGAATCCTCACTGTTGTATGTTTTTATCTTTATTTTTTTATTTTTGTTCTTTACTTCTGCTTTCCATACATCTGCCTAGGGCCTTACAACGACTGCTATGTGGCCAAGATCAAGCCTACTTTACCACTAGACCATAACAAAAACTAAGGTTCCTGTTTATAGCGGGCTTGTATTGCTTTGTCATAAATTGGATGCCTCAGGTCTTTGTTTGTCACATGATTCGTTATCAATTCCAGACGAAAATCTCGGGTCTTTAGGTACACAATTAACAGAACGGAATCTCTCAATTCTCTGCAGCATGTCCCAAAATCTACCTCCCTTAGTCAACGGACTACCACCCAGTGAAAACATCACTGCGGACTCCAAAATTGATCATGACGCGTCGATAAATTATTGGAACAACGTTCCTGCGACGCCGGGCGGTATGCTAGCTATGCTAGGCAACTTCTCTTGGTATACTCGCATCGAACTGCGAGGGTCCAAAATCTTCTTAGCCAAAGTCCGACGATTAATTCCTACGCTGTCCGATCACCAAAAATTCGGTCTAGGTGTCGACTGCGGCGCGGGCGTCGGTCGCGTGACGGAGGGTTTCCTCAGCGATGTCTGTGAGGTGGTGGATATTGTCGAGCCGGTAGAAAAGTTCACTCAGGCTCTCAAGGAAGGGGAACTAGGACAGCGGGGTGTGGTTGGGGACATATATAACGTTGGCCTTCAGGATTGGAGCCCGCGTAAAAACTACGATTTGATCTGGACTCAGTGGTGCGTGGGGCATCTCACAGATGCACAGCTGGTTGCATACGTTGCAAGGTGTCGTGAGAGTTTGAACAACTCCGGAATCATGGTTGTGAAGGAGAATCTCTCCACTGATCCCTTCGGGAATGACATGTATGACAAGTTGGACAGCAGTGTCACAAGGACGGATTCGAAGTTTAAAGAGATCTTCAAAGCGGCTGGCATGGACGTGGTCAAGTCGGAGATTCAAACTGGATTTCCAAAGCAATATAAGCTCTTGCCAGTCAAAATGTACGCGCTACGACCAACAAATTGAACATTTTTACAGTACTCGCCATATCACTCTTGTCGTCCGCCGAGGCGGATCATTTCAAGCAGCCCTACTAAGTTGACTTGAAGTCTCGGGTAGGGTATTTGACTGCTTGTCCAGTCCATGTGTGCTGAACTACTGGATCTTCTCGATGAGCTCATTAATCTTCCGTGGCCCTGGAGCGGAGGCCACGACAGAGATTGGTGGAGTAGCCGTGCATGTTGCCCTTGTCTCAGGCGCGAATGTTGGTCACGCACTGAAACTCGTCTTACCCGTGAAGTCGACCCTGGCAGTAATCGACTAAGCATACTTGACAAAACAACTGCGCACGGGCTACTTTTATGTTTTTCATCACCAACGACTATCAAAATATCGCAAACCTCGTTTTACCGCGCATATATAGAAGGTTTGGATGGATACATAATTGCACCAATGTTGCGGGAATTGGTATTCTGAAGCTCTGAGCCAAATTATAAGTCGCCTGATTGGTACCGCTCCGCAAAGTCCACGAAGAGGCCCAGACCCCAGGCCCATAACCCAACCCAACCCAACCCGCAAATGGGCTGGGCTTTGGGCCCTATAATCGGGCCCACCGGTGGGCTATGGGCCCAAGGTGAAAGTCCATTAGGCTTCAATGGAGGCCTTTTAACGCCCAAAAAGTAACAAACAACACAAATAATCCGAACGACGTGATTTTTTCAATTACGGGATGTATAGACCCCACTTCTCACCTTTATCTTAGGGTAATATTTGATTATTATAATCTGAATATTGTAAATGAACAGTGAGCTATATTAATCCTGTATAAAGACGCGAGAAAACGCGCTATTTCAAAAATATATAAATCGTAGAGGTTCTTAAGATATACTTCTGATAGTGGAATACATATTGATAATCTTTCAACATCTACTGGTTGGATTTGATTGCAAATTGAAATATACACTTAAATCGAGATTGTAAATATATATATTCTAGATTCTAAATCAAAGTCTTTAGAATAAGTAGAAGGGTCAGAAGACACCGATTGCAAGTTCCTAGTGATACCACCTGAATGGGCTATGATGGGGGTCTTATAGTCCCCCAAGATCGGGTCAATGAAATCATCATCATAGTAATTAAGATATTTCAATTTATACTAGTCTACGGAGTAGAGTAGAGCAGAATTTGTTCAGACATAAACCTTACAAACCCAAGCATATGACCTGTGGATTACTAGAATTCTGCATGGCAATATGATCCAATGAAAGGGTTGTGAACAGATGACATACTTAGTCGCCCGTACCTAGGTATAGATGAACAATTGATCCAGAAGAACTCGACTATGCAGATCAATGAGTCGCGGAGGATACCTGGGTTTACTAACTTGCCCTTGATTGTCACCTCGGGCCATGTACCCTAGACCACCAACAAAATTTGTGGGTGGTTCCTTCGCACTTGACCGGTGCTCAACGCTTGAACTCCAATTTTCCTTTTGCAAAGCTCTTATGCCTCAGTCTTTGTCCTCGTTCTTAAAAGGTCTGGGAGAGCCTCTATTGTCATGTGCCCCTCCAGGATATCTGTTATGCTTGTCAGCGTCGCATATTGGGACAAGAAGGGTGCACCCACTGTATACAAAGACAAACAGGGGGAATTGTTCGAGCTTTCCCTGTTCTCCAAGAAACGCACAAACTGCGCGGGCAGTGGACGTTCCCTGTAGTTTCTGACCCCCTAATTCCGTCCTCTCAATTTCATCGACAGTGACATGCTTTTGTACAGCGTGACATGCAGACCGAGAATTCCTCCCTGCGCTAGCCGACGTGATCAGATCCGCTACCCCAGCACTCTCTTCTGTGAATGTCCTTTCATTTACGGATTGAGGGAACCAAAGGCGGCCAAATTTCACCATTTCAAGAATACCAATTCGCATCACGGCTGCCTTTGTGTTTTCACCCCAACCCTTTCCTGTAACGAAGCCAACGGCTAGCGCAACAATATTTTTCAAAGCACCAGCAAGTGCTACACCAGCAACATCCCGCACAACATGAACATACAGATATGGACGACCAAAAAGGAGGTTCAAAAGGCGGGAATCAACATGCGAATAAGACTGAGGGACTGGATGCAGCTTAATGTGGCTGGGTTTGGATTTTATCTGTCGCTGTTCGTCCACTTTGATCAAGTTGTCTGTAGATGAGCCATCCAAGTGCTTGTAATCCATTGGAGGGCCATCATATCCAACAGTGGTTTCACACAGCGTCTCAGCAGCTACCTCAGATGCGATGTTAGCACCCGATAGAGAGCCGCAGTATATTCCCAATTTCTCCATGATCAACTCGGAGTAGAGCGTCACAGTTCCATCCGAGACATCGACTCCCTTAATACACGAGATAGCTCGAGCATAAGGGAGATGATGGCCATTGATTTGATCTAGTATCCTCGATATAAATTGATGCGGAAGATTGAAGACAAGGATAGATGCTCCTCTAACTGTGTCCTGGATGTCGGAATTCGCAATCAGATTGTCGGGGAGGGTGATGCCAGGGAGATATTTGAAATTCTGATGTGTTGTATTGATGGCGTGCGTGATCTTCACGGGCTTATCGCCCAGTTGATCTCGAAGCGTTCCATGATCAGGTACATCGACGTCTTCCTCAAACACCCACATCGTGACATCCTCTTCAAAGACATCAGGATGCTCTCTCGTGTTTTCGGCTAAAATCTTCCCAACCGTGGAGCCCCTTTGCATCTGTGGTTAGCTAGCCTTTGTATAATATTAGAGGTCCGAAGATTACCCACCAGTTACCAGATCCAATTAGGACAACCTTGTGCTTTTGTGGCATTTTAAACTTCTCGATAGTCAGAAAATGTCTGCAAAACTGGGTATCAAGGAGCTGGGATTTGGCAAGACATTCTGCACCTGAAAATACAGCCATTATGTATGAATCATCACTGAAATTTGTGAGATCTATAGACTCGCGGCAGAACCTTCGTTGAAAGTCTATTTTATCAACGCAGGATTTCTCACCAGTCGCTGCAATGCCCTCTTCGCCATAATATTCGACACAATGAATTATTCGAAGTCGCGACGTGACGCAATATCAACTACTGTTATACGTAGCTTTTCTGCCCATGTCGTTATCTTATTACAGGCACCCACTGTCCGATTCTGTAAATAATATCGATCCTGCCATATGGTGAAATTGTCACAAAGATTATAATGCAGTCACCCCGTATACTATACATTGCAAATTTCTCTAGTGTCTCCGAAATAACGAACGGCCAGCTTCGCAGATGTCCAGCTCTTTATGTCCTCGCTCTCAGTAGCCGTGCTTGCAGGTCCAGGAATACAGTGTCACCATCTAAAATGTCTGTTTATTGAACAATAATGCTATCGGAGAGAGCTGACATTCTTCAGGTCAAGTACAAAAGCCCCACTTTTTCAAGAGTACGCGTATGTGATGGTGATAGCATCCCTGTAATTTAGAAGAATTATAGTTTTCTGAACTGTCTTGCGCTATTCTTAATTTCTTGCTTAATTTTAAAGAATCTTCTCATCCATTTCAATGGCAAATTTCGATTTCGAGCTTCGTGGGAGATATGATCGTCGTGTTCCTTCATCTTTAAGTAGCGACGTTGTCAATCTCACGATAAATGCCAGAGAGAGCAAAATCACCAGACTCGCAGTATGTCCGTTCCTATCGATAATTCAGCGCACATCACAATATACTGTATCTTAAAAAGCTTGGGCTTTTGGCTTGGCGCAATTTCCACGTTCGAAGAACGATCATGACGTAATGACCTTCACAATCTATTACTGATACCTACCCACGGAGCTCTCACTTTCAAACAAGTGAAATCAGCCAATCGGACTTGGCTTTGCCACAATTGGCCGGTGTATTACGATCACAGTTTATGTCCTACTAGGTCTGATTGCTGCTACGACCCCTATCCCTAATTCCGGGAAACGACTATCCTGATATCTGCATCAGTTTTTTTGAATGGTTCTCAACACTAGCAATGTAAGTTGGTTATTCCTACGGGAAAGCACACTTTTTCCATTTCAAACGCAGCATCGTGGGCACTATATATCCTTCACCCGGCGTTTAAGTATGTGATATATGGTGCAAACGGCTACCTAGGTATATTTCGCGACTATCGAATTGGATAATTTGAAATATTTGAAATATGCTCAATGAAAAACACAATGAATTATGGGGGACGATCTACAAAAAAACCACTGAAAAGATTGTCTATAATTATGCTGTGGTCTCATTTCGCAAGTCGATATGCACTGTATTATGATTGGGCTGTATTTCCTAAAATAGGAAGAATGGTTAGCTTATGTAGTCCTATGTTGTCCCTTTGGTGGTATTCTGATCATTCTTCGTTTAGATGATCTTCCTCTTCGTTAGTTTTATAGCGGAAGATGCCAGAATTTGCATGGAATTTCCTGGCGGCATCTCTATCTATAGTGCGGGATTCTAAGTCAGTGATTCTGATAATGAAAGCCAGAAAGGTCGGACAAACACATAGGGAGTAATCGGTGTCCTGAAAATCACTGCTGTGGATGTACCTGTACCTACCTTGGTACCTAGGATATACAGGTCGACCAATCAAATCCCCGTTCCAAGGCCGAGGATGACTCGCCGCGGAGAGCCCTAAGTAGGCATTTAATTTTGGCTTGTGAAGAATATTGCACTCTTCAGGAATGAAGATTAGCGTCTCTGATGCTGTTTGATCATATTGCAAAGAACATAAAGGGAATGGCCTAGTCTATTGCAAGTGGTAGAAAATGAATCCACAAATATACCCTCCATATCCACAATCGAACAGATCAGACAGATTGAAAATTCAATTTAAGGGAGAAATTTCCCAGGAATATTGAGATATGAGGTGTTAATGACATAATCTCTGCGTATCATTGAACTTTCAAAGCACGTATCGAAAGTTAGGGTTCTGTCAAATGGTTAGTAATGAAGGTACGGAAGAAATACGTGATATGCAGTCGCTAACCTCAAAATCAGTCAGATCTTCCCCACAGCTCTCGTCAGTCTGTGAAGCAACTTGACCAAGAGCAGCAGCCCCGGCATCTCGCTGCTTATTTCTGCGAGATAGGAGAAGACGCAGCAAAACAGCCAAAGCTGCTTGCGCAGACGAGCATGCCAAGATGAGCTTCACGCCAGTCTGGTATATGGGGGCTTCTTCTGCTAGAAATGCGTGAGGTCCAATGATATTACCGGCACAGTAGGCCAAAAACACCAATGCGACACTGGTGGTGCGTTTGGTATAACCACCCAGATTCGTCGCCGGCATCTGCAAAGCCAGTACTAGGGAGCAGACGTAGGCACCGATGATATAGTAGCCAAACAACACACCGATTTTGTGCGTCTTATGGTCTAACTTCCACAAGAGACAGGCGCCGATGATAGTTGGCATCAAGTAAACGAGCATGACGACAGTCCGGAAGTTTTTAACTCTAGATGCGAGATATGTTCCCCCTAGCACATAGAAGATTTGAAATCCCCCAAAAGGAATACCCAAAGCAACAGCAGTGGCTGAGTCATTGGTCAATCCTTTGATAATCAACTTGCCGAAGCCCGCGATTCCACCATTTACGACCTCGTTCAGAAGAGTGAACAAGAACAAAATCCAGACTTGTGGATCTATCAACGCTTCGCGGATCTGATACCATTTGACCTGGTGATTGATGATACCGGTGTGACCGAGTCGACCGCGGCCAATGAGAAGAGCCTTTTCGTCTAGAGAAAAGCTTTTCGATGAGATAACGTTATCCGGAAGACAAAGAAGCATCAAAACTCCCCAGACAAGGGTAATACCGCCTAAGATGAGATAGATGGCTCTCCATACAGCAATGGTGTCGATTTGGCCAATTCCATATGTCAGAATGCCACCAACCATAGCCCCTAGTCCGTTGCAGCTGTAGAAGACACCGGCACGGAAAGGTTGCTGAGCACGTGTGTACCACATTCCGATCATCATCATAAAGCAAGGGGTGATGGGAGCTTCGAACACTCCGAGAAGAAAACGGCAGATAGCCATTCCGGTGAAGGAGGAGCAGGCGGCAGTAATCATGAGCATTGCTCCCCAAGCAATAATATTCCCAGAAACGACTTTCGCAAGCTTAGTTTTCTGTGCGAGGATACTCCATGGGTACTCAGCAATGAGATATGCAAAATAAAAGATACTGGCGAGCCAGCTGTATTGGTCGCTTGACATGTGCGTCGAAGGGAGAAGGTCGAACACGGCAGAGTAAGCGAGAGCTGATTTGTCGATATACTGAAGCATATATGTCCCGGAAAGTAAAGGCAAAAGAACTAGATCTACTTTGCGGACCAATGCATTGTTTCGTGGCTCATCATCCAAGAGTATTTGGATGGCCTCTTGGTTGAATCCATGTTGGCGGAGGAAGACCTCTCCTTCATCGAGGTCCGTTATAATGCCAACTTGCACATCTTTCTCGTTGATGATATCGTCCACGGTTGATTTCTTTTCAATCTCCATATCTGCAGTGAGTAATTGCGAATACAAAGATGGAAATCTGTCTCACATATAAAGTCCACATACCCCTCAAAGCCTTTTAAGCCGGCCATTTTCCCGTTATCTCTGGGGTTTACCGAATCCGCCAAGTTGATCCACCGAGATATTCCTCCAAGATAGTTCTGCTGCCCCCGCACGGTATAACTTCGGCACTACTTTTGAAACCCGGAGAGATAAGCGGAGAGATAGCGACTGGACGGTCTTATATCTTACTTCCGATCCCCAACTATTGATACTTTCATCGCTGGCAATCTCCTCGGCTTGCCATTGTATTGTGATACAAAATGACTGCTGATATCAAGTCTCCTTCCGTCTCCTTGATGCAAGGCCACGTGGTGGGTACCCAGCTCAAAGACTCTTTTCCGCAACTCGTCGACGCCTTTTTGGGCGTCCCGTACGCTCTTCCTCCTGTAGGGGAGCGACGCTTCAGACCAGCAGCCAAGGTTTTGAGCTCATCAGATACCATTGATGCGTCCAAATATGGCCCCGCGGCTCCTGGTAAGGCACTTCTCTCTGGAGGACCAAAGCTCGTGCAGAGTGAAGACTGTTTAACTGCGAACATTTTTCGACCAGCTGGAAGCAATGAGACAGACAATCTCCCTGTCGCAGTATATCTTCATGGCGGTGCTTTCAACCGGGGGTCGGCAGCTATGCACAATACTGCGTCCATGGTGGCATGGTCAGAACGTCCCTTCGTTGCCGTGAGCTTCGGTTATCGCATTGGAGCCCTTGGGTTCTTGCCTTCGAGTGTCTCGCAGAAGGAAGGGGTCCTGAACCTTGGGTTGCGTGATCAGGTACATTTGCTGCAGTGGGTCCAAGAAAACATCGCCAGTTTTGGCGGTGATCCTACCAATGTTACTTTGTTTGGTTTGTCCGCGGGAGCACACTCAGTGAGTTTCTCAGTTTCTGATGTTTTTTTCAGATTATTTCATTCTGATAAAAGTCTAGATTGGTCACCACCTCCTCAATTATGACCCAAAGAAATCGCCATTATTCCACCGTGTCATTATCGAGTCAGGAGCACCAACTTCCCGCGCTGTTCGCCCATATAATGCGAAGGTGCACGAGGACCAATTTGCAGACTTCCTCCAAGAAGTCGGTTGCCCAGCCAGTTTGACCGAAGCCGAAATCTTCCCATTCCTACGCTCGCTCCCCACCTTGACTGTCACAAATGCCCAAACAGCGGTTTTCGACAAGTATAACCCTTCCCTTCGGTGGGCATTTCAGCCCGTGATTGATGGAGATATAATTTCTCGCAAGCCGCTCGAGGCATGGGAATCAAATGTTTGGAATAAAGTCCCCATCATGACCGGGTTCAACAGCAACGAGGGAACAATGTACGTCGACAAGAAGATGTCGGATGCCTCCCAGTTTCGTGAGTTCTGGCATAATCTTCTGCCTGAGCTCTCGTCATCTGATCTTGACACAATCGAAAAGCTCTATCCTGACCCCATGATTGACTCTACATCACCCTACGTTGAAAGCAGAGAGGGCGAGAGCCTCGGACCTCAATATAAGCGCATTGAAGCTGCCTACGGACACTATGCGTATGTGGCTCCAGTCCGCCAGACAGCACAATTTGCATCATCTCAGGGGGCTCCTGTCTACCTTTACCACTGGGCGCTACCTCGAACGGTGGTTGGTCGAGCAAACCATGCCGATAATATGTACTATGAAACCTATGATAGTGCTATCACAGGGATTTCAGACTCGCAGAAAGAGTTGTCTGGAACGCTTCATGCCTACTTGACTAGTTTTATTACAACTGGTGATCCTAATCTCGTGCCTGGCCGATATTCTCGCCCAGAATGGAAGCCCTTCCAGCCGGCGGATAAAATGGTTATGGTCTTTGGAGAAGGAAATGACGAATTGATTGGGGGTAATGTGGCCCCCCTGCAAAATGCGTTGCGGATGAATGGGCAAGAGAGCAGACGGACTTCTGGTGGTCGAAAGTTCCAATTTCTCAACTTGCTTGATAAATGCAAAGCGGAAACAATCATGTATAGAGCTCAGCCAGAAGCCTCTATGATTTTCTTCTGCTTACCCCCTTCCGTCATCGCCTCCATCATGTGGACTGGAGTCAGTGTCTAGCCCCACATCCCTTTCTATAACACCGTACGTACAAGAGTATCAGCTCATGTAAAATCGACCTGAAATGTTGGAAGAATAGAGTGCTGTTGCCGAAGTCAGGGCTTGCGGAATACTTCCGGAACCCTTCCCCTCACAAGGGTGAAATGTCCCTAGAGCGTCTTCGGAATCTTCTCTTGTAGACCACTCGGAGGCTTGGTGGGCTTGGCACGGTTATGCGAGGAAGACGCTAAAAAAAACTCCGTGTTGATGCAGATACGAGGTCGCCAAGGACAGCCCCAAAATCTAAACGAGAGTTATGTCCCGTCCTGGGGCTGTATGCCACGAATATAATATGTTGATTGCCCGGCTACTCTGCATCACAAAACTCTCCTGGCTTGAACAAACGGTACAATGGACCCCCTTTCTGTAGCCGCTTCTTTAGCTGGTCTCATCACAATATCAACTCAGATTGTCAATATTATTCACACCATAAAATCAAAAAATAATAAAGAGCTGGACGCGCTCTCCAGGGAGATTCACGCCGTGAGAGGAATCCTGTCCCAAATTCAACAAATTGTTCAATTCCAATCCGCCAAACCCGCCAAGAACTCAGAATGGCTCGACGCACTCAACGCTACGTTGGATGATTGTGGTGATACGTACCTACAGCTGCAAAAGTCTTTGCAATCACTGGTGTCGAGCTCAAGACTCGAGGCACTCAAGAAGAGAGTCAAATGGACGCTCAAAGAGAAGGACATCCAAGATTCCTTGAGGAAAATTGAGAGCTATAAGCTTTCGTTGGACCTGTTATTGTCTATACAAACCAGGTATGTGATCTCAATGATTGAGATGAGACTTACTAACAGAACCCAAAAGTACTACGACGACGAGCATTGAAGATGTGATGGTTCAACTCCAAAAGAAGTTACGACTCACAGCCCCCGCTACTGCCACGACTCGGACACCGTTATCATGGAGAAAGAAACTAGCGGGCTTCGGGGCAGATCATCCACCTCCTCGGGTAAGCCATTCTGAAGACACACAGTCAGATGCAGACAGCTTGACAGACGATGTTTCATACATCATTCCCGGGCCAAATACTACCGAGTGGACGAATCCTGGGATCTTCGGAATAAGTCAGGACGAAGGCAAAGATGCCCCTGATCTCAACAGCCCCGGACTTGTTTGTATTTGTGAAATGTGAGTCCACTGCATTGTTTAAATTGACTCAATTCTAACTCTTTGTTGTTCAGATCCGTTGGACAGAAGAAAATCAGCCTCCTCTGTAGCTGGGAGAGACACCCGGCGAATGAAATGCTCACTCCTCTTCGAGCACATATTTTGTTCCAAGGCCCCACACCTGGAGATTTGTACTTCATACAGCTGGAAGAGTGTAAGTTTTTGACCATTCATCATGTTTATTGCTGACATTTTGAAGCTTTGATGGTAGAACCGATCGAGCGATTGGTTGTCCCTGTAGGAAAATGCAGTCTTATCATTGCGCAATGCAACCTCAAGGATGCTGTTTGTGCTCTGAGTGAGCTTGACACATGCGATGATAACGAGGAGTTCAATCTTGCGCTTGGAGACTTTGCATTGAAATCCAGCAAAAATTCTCAACAGGTGCTCGTAAATTTTCACAATTTCCAAGGTATCATGATTGCTCAAATCTAAAGCCTAGAGAAGACTGACCCTAAATAGATCGGGAGAAATTCTTGGGCCATCTAGATGGTGCCAGATACCTTCAGCGCATGGATCTTGCGTTTGCCATGTCAAATCAGTTCTATCATCATTCACTATATCAAAAAAGGTATACCAAAAATCGTCATAATATATGGGACTTGCTGACTTGAGTAGGATTCAAAGCGTGCAAGTAGGTTACACGGATGGCACCGAGAAGTCATATATCTATCCATATTTATACCTCGATTATCCTGTCGAGGGCAGATCTCTCATGCTTGTTTGTGGAACCAAACCAAATAATGAGAAGTCGATAGTATTCAAGGAAAACAGTAAGCGACTTTCAGACAGGATGCGTAAGATGAGTTAATCTTACAATTACAGTGCTTGAGCTAGATATCCAGATCGTGGGGTCTGAAGCGCTCGTCTTCACAAATCGGGACGGGGAAGCCATACATACCATATCAGCAACTCTAAGCTCTCTAAGCGGTGAGAATATTGTATGTTACTTCGCATTGCTGTACTGACTGGATGATAGAGCTGTTCGAATTGTATCACCGCCTGCAAGATGCCGTCAGACAATGGAGATCAATCGAAGCACAAGGGGTCGATAAATTCGAGACTAAAGCCGAATGGTAGGCAGGACCTTTTACCTTCACTTACTATGGCGAATATTAATTATATTGAATGAGGCAGGGTGGTTGACAATCTTGAATTTCTGAAGGATTCTGTAGCTACCACTAACTCTTTTTATGATGTTCTCGTTAACGTTCAAGTGGATCGCTTCCTCAAGCGAATGAAGCTGGAAATTTCGAAAAAGGATTCACAGGAAATATTGGCCTCCTGTCACGGTACGCTTATTGGATTCATCTTGCCTGATGGCCTAGCCTTTTTGGGGTAATGCTAACATCTCATCCATCTAGTTATGACTTCGTCTATTCTGCTCTACAAAGAGCACTTCAGAAAAGAGTCGCCGGACTTCTTTATTGATCCCGTCATGCAAACTGGTTTCTGGGACTTGACAAACGGCCCCGCTACGGCTGACAGATTCCAGGCAGGACAGGTAAAGATAAATGGCGCCAAAGCAAAGGAGATATGTGACGAGCTAGAAGATATCGTGGAAAGTTGCATGGAGAATACCGAGGATGCACAGAAGAGATTTTTGAAAGCGCTTGGTCAAGCATGAAAATGTCGTACTGCGTGCGGGCGACTAAGCATGCCACCCGGGGCATATTTCCCTCGTTGGATGATATTTTTCTTTTTTCTATAGTTAAACACACACTTTGTTCCGTGTATACCAAGTAACGCGTACTCTGTAAAGAACGATATTGACATCGGAAAAATAAATTGGACCACAAATCGTAATGGACAAAAGCGAGCCTAGGTGGCATTTGATTCATGTATAGTGCATTTACCGAATCGATGATTCAACATTATCTACGGAGTAGTAACCTGGAAGTGTTGACCTTGGGGGATGTGAACTCTGACCGCGCAGCTGATGATACGGAATATCGAATTCCCGGGCCACTTTAACGATATTAGACTTAATCGTGGCGTAGAAGGCTTCGAAAGCTGCCTGGACTTACTCCCCCTTTTTTCTATCTGATCTGGCATCGTGGTGTAGTATGAAAATGTATCAAATGATGACAGAAAGAGGAAGATTTTGCATCTTGTGGATCAATCAATCAAGGTTCAATTAGCCTGTTGCAGTATAACTAGCTGCGTATGACTATGTAGGCGCTCCATCCAACTAAAGCAAAAACTCGAAGCCAAATGCCAAGTGGGATCTCTCCCGAGTATACAGATAGATGCTGATAGTAAAGAGTGAGATCAGCCCATTCTTGTACCCCGGACCCCACAAATCAACACTCGTTCGATCTTATACATAAGAAATAAATATATAATGACTGCCATGGAGGGCACTCTCCAAATTCCAACAGTCTCTCTCTCTCTCTCTCTCTCTCTCTCTGTGTGTGTGTAACTATCCGGCCGTTCTCGTCACTGACTACTACCCATCATCTTCCACAGATAGATCCATTGCCACGAGGCCTGTCGGTTTGTCATCGTCCCCCTCGATCCCAACGTGTTAGAACTGCTGAAGTAGACCTTTTTGGTGCATTACTGTTGTTTGTATAAAGTGGAGCGCACCAACACAGGGTGTGTCTGTTGGGCAATTTGCACGATTGTAATAACTTAATGTGCTTCGGCTATCCATTATTTAATCATAATGCCCCTGGCAATGTAAGCCAGTGACTAGTTAGAAGTCAATATAGGCCTTGGCTAGAACCAGAGGCGTGGTTGACGGGCGTGGTGGACTAGTTTCTGAGGAAAACCTACCATGGCCGTAATCATCATCAGAAGTTGTATATAGAAAAGTCGCTTGCACAGAGTATGCTTTTTCCGCCTTTTTCCGCCATCTACCCAATAACACGAAAGGGGAAGACTATCTTGATGGATATCTAAGAAAGACCGGGAAGCCCACAAGACTGCTAAAAAGAGCACTAAAAAGCCCTGTAAGAAAGAGTAAGTGGAGGATATTAATCCATGTTTCATGAAAATACCTTTTGAAAAAATAGCAAAACGAAGAAAAACGAAGTAGAATAAAAATCAGAGGCGTAGCAACCGACCATCCGCCATAGATGAATCGGGACATGCCGGTGACGCCAAAAATGAAACCAGCTCAGGGTTGGAAGGCGTCACTCGCACTCCATCGAGGTCTTCAATCGCCTCAAAGTCCATAAGGGTCAACTTCCCACTCATGGGGTTGTAGAGTATATTTTGCCTTTCAGAACCTAATAGCCGAATTGACCGGAGTGTCTGAATGGCACTACTGCACTCACTTTCTGAAGGATCCCCTGTATGTCTCCGAAATACAATGGTAGATTTGACACGGACAAAGCTATTGAGACAGCATCATATACGTGTCGCGCAAACCGAGTATTCAGCCCCATACCGACAAAGCGTAAATCACCCTCGGGTGAATCTATAACGCTGAGGTCCCCGGTGAAAGGTATGGAGCTATAAGCTTACAGTGCCTGGTGTTGGAAATCAGACTAAACACACATATAACTTGCACACAGTCTTTCACGGGAAACCGAGGGCTTAGTAGTTCCCCTAAGTTGAGTTAAAGCGAAAAGCCGTCATATAAACCAGTTTCTAGGACTTGATAAATAGCCCCGCTATACCTAACAATTTGAAGAAGGATAGGTAAAGATGCATAGCGCTTAGGTAAAGGAAGTATATAGCGAGCTCGGAGATATCGTGGACTGTAATATAGAGAATACTAAGGAAACACAAAAGAGGTTTTTGAAAGCCCTTGGTCAAGCATGAAAACTTGTTGGGGCACGATTCATCATAATTCTCATTCCAAATAAAATTATATGGCCTTCTCATAATTGATTACTACTAGGCAAATGCCTAGATTAGGCAAGTCGATATAAGTAGTTGTGGCTAATGATATCTTGAAATAGAATTGACAGTATCGCAACAACTAAATGCTACAGGAAAAAGATCATAAAGAAACAAATCAGAAAAGAAACGTCATCATGGATATTCATCGGGTATCATCAAACTTGCATACACATAGTAAGAAAATACTGAATTCCTACAAGGGTGGTCTTTGACCATCGCGCTCGAGGCTTCAATCTCCTTGAACCATACATGTTTGCTCTCCACAGGCTATGTCATCGATAGGTAACCGGCCCAGCGTATAATTCAGAAACTTGTTGTGACTTCCTGGCATCGAGCTCTGAGGGAGCTACTTGGTGGTTATTGGCTGATTGTGAGAAGTATTGTTGAGTCTGAGGGTTGTTTGTAGAGGGCCCATGTGAATTGTTTATTTCGCGTTGTTTGCTTCTTCGACGTAGAAGGAACCAAACGAGGGCAATCAAGAATGCCGCACCAGCCACACCTCCGACGACACCGCCTGCAATAGCCCCCGTATTGGTTGACGAGGCTTTCACCGCCGCACTGGTAGTTGCAGACGTTGCAGACGAGATAGTATTTGTCGATGTTGAAGATACGCTCGTGGTTGTTGGAGATGTGGTTATTAGAGTAGATGATGCCAAGCTAGGCGTGGGTGTAGGTGTATCTTATCAATCATATTATCAGCAAGTAATTCACCCCGAGCAAGGACGATATTTTGGTATATACCGGAGGCAGAAGAAAGAACGGGCAACTGGCGCACGTTCAAGTTTAGATCAGATAGATCATCTGCACATCCAACCCCTTTATTGTTTTTATCCTTCGACGTGAAGGCATATTTGCCTCTGTCACAGCAAAACCCTTCGCGCGCTATATCAAACGTTTCAGACGAGAATAGATCTGCCTTGCTATCAGCGCAGCTTTCACCAAGTGAACCACTGCACTCGGCGTCAGGGCAGCAGATCACGTTGTACCGATGCCCTGGGCAAAAGGTATTTCCGGGACAGCAAGCATGAAATGGAGGGCTTGTTGGGCCGCAGTCTTGTTCGGTGCTTAGACAAGAGCCATTCCTGCGCAGTGCGTAGCCGGCGATGTCAGACATGACAGCAGCTTTGAGGATAGTTAAACAACAGGCGTCACTGTTGGAATTATAGAGCAGAATATGCGCACGAATCTCCTAGCCTGGGATGAACGCCCGAGTGGGAGACTCGGTGAACGTTGGACGGGGCTACTAGGTGAATTGGACAGCAATTAGAACAAAATGAATAGGATGGGATGTCGGGTAAAGGGGAAAACCGCCCTTTTGTCAAAATTAGATCCAATCCGAAAATCTGGTCAACAGGGGTGTCAGATATGAACCTGCCTGTGGACCCTGTCCTGGTATTACTACGGAGTACGGAGTACGGAGTACATAGCACATATTCATACGTCCATGCGTCGCTTGGACCATGTATTTGTGCTATCAATATGGCTTTTCTGGCCTAATGCGTCATCTATAAAATAGAACGACCTCACAAAACTAGAAATCTTCTATCTTCAACAATGATTTTGATTAATAGCAACGGTCTATACATACGGAGTAGACCAGAGTGTTGTTAGGGTTGAACTTTCACAGTGCTCAGCCTCATGGCTCTATCTGCGAATGAATGACTGCTAAAATTGGCCACGAAAGATACAGCCACAAGCTACTTTCGCACTGGGCATATCAATTGGGCCTGAGCGGATCACCCTAAGCATGTATGGATACAAATAGTAAGTAGCATGGCCCCCTAATAATGCCAAGCGATAAATGGAGTTATCCGTACAAAAACCCTGTAGCCGCCGGCCCCGCTCCAATTATATTGGCTATCACAGTGGACCTAATGCGTAGTAGACTTACTAGGCGCATACGGAGCGCATTGGATATATTGCCTTATAGATTACCATACGTATAGAAATGACCCAAAAATACAAACTCCGTATCAGGCGAAATCTGTCGCTTCTTGCTGAGGAAACCCATCTTTGAACATAAAACGCTTGTTCTATATTTACTCAAAGCTATTAATATGATCCCTGTAGGTCTGGAATTCGTAAAAACATAATTTTACAGTAATATACACAAGTGTATACTCATCGCGAAGTTGCGCTCAATGGTTCAAGTAGGCAGTCATCTCATCCATCGACATCGCAATGCGATCGCCTATAAAATCGTCTGCGATAGGACGCCACCATTTATGGTTGATAGATTTCAATCCCTTCTCGTAATCAGACTGACTTGCATCTTTCTGGTTCCATCCAGCCCCGAGGTTTTGCCAAGGCATAGGGCCATCTGCTCGATGAGCGTAGTTGATGAAATCTTCTTCATGATGAACAGAGTCATCTTTATCCATTATGTAACGCAGCCCAACGTAGTAGTTGTAGAGTTCTCTGGACGGATGTAAAATGAAGAATCCATCATCCATGCGGCTCTTCTGAGAGAACTTATGACCGGACACGAGTTGCATATTCAAGTCCATCCGAAAGTTTTGCGGTGCGGCCATCATATAGTTCTTTGGCATTCTGCCGGTAGGATTGGTGGCAACACGTATGGTTGTCGCAGGGTCTTCGAAGATGTCATAAATAGGACGGAATATCACTGATTCCACGTTCATAAATGCGATTTTGTCGTATTCTTCAAGCTTCCATAGGTTCAACTTGGCGAGAGTGGTATCCCGGCGTTGCGAAGAGCTCCAGTCATTTCCGAGACTCTCCACCGGAACCACGGTGGCTCCTTCTCTGCTGAGGATATCACGATGCTGTCGAGGTACATCGGGTGTGACCAAAATCAGAAATGGTACATTGTCGATCCTAGTTCGGGTGCGTGGGTTACGAAGTAGTTGGAAAGTGAGTAGCCGTGCCGCCTCAAGGTAGGGCGCTTCTATATCAGGGAACTCCAAGTCTTTCCCAGCTGTTAAAACGGTCGCAAAGGCATAGCGGGGCGGCCTGGAGTCATCTGTTGATCCGCAAAAGCTGAGGGTAGTTGAAGCCCAGATGAAAAGGGCCAGGCAAGTGACGACTGCAGTCACCTTCCTTAGGTAAGGGGTAAAAGTCGGGTTTCTATGCACCACAACCATTGCTGATTAAAGGATCTATAAGGAACCCGACCAGGAAAAGAAGTCAGTCTTTGGACAAATGGGTGCTAAGGATGAGAAGTTATGAAAACAAGACTAAGGAACAAACAAAGGACTCACATGATATAGTTCCGGACAGTTCATAGGCAAGAAAGTCTGGCAAAATTCTGGCTTTGGAGTTAATGAAAAGTGGAAGATGTTAGGTCGTGCTCGACTCGTTTACGATGCAGGATTATTGGCGCTCATGCCTAAGAGGGTAAAGCAACACGTGATAATGTGAGCTTGTGGGTAGCATGGTATCATAATTACTAGACTCAAATTCCTTGTGTATTTTGGGATCCAAAGTCGGGAGTGGGGGACTAGGCCTGGTGTAGGGATCAGAGGCGATTCTTTGGGAACCCCGTCAGGGATTCAGTACATGCTCCGTAGGTATGTATGCAGGGACCCGCCTCGGGTGTAAGACACATCAATGGCCAATGGACAGCGCAATGACCCTAGCGTGGGCGGCAAGAATGAATCAAAAGTACTCCGTACAGACCACTCCGTACCGACTTATTAATAATTCACTTATTCTCCTCCGTACGAATTACCAGAAATATGTAGTACCTGTAGGCTTCGAGCGGAGCGCCTAATTCTCCCCAAAAGACTTTAGGCGACTATCCGTTCATCTGGTAATTCATTATACGCAAATCCGAAGACACCTCAAATGGGATAAAGTCGTGATTCTTTTTCCGCATCAAAGTCGGGTTAGGAAGGAGTGCCGAGCCTATATACTATGTATGGAAATAATCTGGAGTACAATATACGCAACCACTGTGATCAACAAGATTGATGATTTTTAAAATTGAAACTGACACGCCGAAGTGAGTCTGGAAAGTTGACATATTGCCGATACAGGCCGTCGCGATCTAGCGGTAATTTTATAGTTCACTTTAGAGTCGTGTTCCTCGCGTATCCAACTGGAGGATGTCCCGTGTATCTCATTGGTCCATATCATGTGCCTATGGTGTCTATGTATGAAGGCTGTTTACCTAGTTATACCTAGTTATCACATCTCAGACCAAGATTAAATGAGAACCAAAGAAACAAGAACTCCGTACGTCTGTACTACTGGATCATTGAAGCAGCCCAAAATAAATTTTAGCGCTGGCCAAGCAGGCCACCTTGGAACTATGCCTCTCTTGATTTCATGTCAAATATCCTCTCAATTCACAATTTGAAGTTCGGGTAATGGACAATTCATCGCTGTTTTATATTACTACCCCTTTATTCCGTACACACGTCTTACGTGTAGTGCATATTACAGTAGTGCCCAAGCCTGATCAGCCGCACACCCCACGGGCCACCTCGCGGGATCCCCTCGGGTGTAACTTTGAATCGGTCAGCTCACGCACGTGTACCCCACATATACCCTTTATGCTTTTATGGTCCCACAAACCATAAAGCTTTTATCAAACTGCTTTATATTGACTTCCTATTTTGAAGTTTTCACACTATGTTGTATATATACTAGATCACAATCTCAAACGAATTAACTGAAACTGTGAATGAACGTTCAAAGGAAGACAAAATTTGTTTGCTCAGTGCACTGATTGCGGTACTCTTACTCGAAGCTCTTTATGGAAGACTCACTCTGAGCATACACTGGCACGCTCAATCCAAATTGTCCAGCTAATTCATCCTGTATTGATCCTTAAAAAGAATACCCTAGTTAAGTTGTACCTAGAGCTCGGCCCTACTTTATAGATTAACGGCTTGTGACACAATGCCAGTTTCGAAATTTGGTTGGACCCGCCGCTAGCACCACTTAAGCACGCTGCAATCCAGGGCATGCTATGTATCTGAGGTAAATTTAATGACATGATCCTCATCGTCATATTGTGTAGCAAATTATCAGCCGTATTTGGTTGCCGACAGGTTATCAGATACCAGTACGAATGCATCTGACATGCCATCGAATACTGGGCTGGTAGATTGACGGGCTGAGAAAGCTCTCTGCCGAAGTACTGAATCTCAGCCCAGATCAGATAAACAGTGAAAAATCCCTATTTTGATTCACCCATGCCTGACGCACCCAATAGGACCTGGTTCTTTGTCAAAAAAAATTTCAGCTGATGCAACTTCATCCATAATGGGCTGCCGAGAAGCATCCACTATCCCAGTCAAACCTACCTGGCTGTTCCAACTTATCTCCGCTCTAGCCATGTGAAAACGTTCCAATATAAGTTCTTTTGGCTAAATGATACATTCAACAATGCTCAAATCACTCAACGATAACACGGTGTGGGGGTTGCAGAGTACGGCTCAGGATAGCCTTCAGGTCCATTCGATATTCTGAAATCTCGATTCGTGCCAATCCAATTTGAATTTGTATACAAAAATACACGTTGGATCTCGGTCTCGGCCCTTATCAGCAAGATCTCTTCCAGTCGAGGCTTCAACTAGCCCTTTCTCATCTCCTTTATCAGTATCTGCAGGTCACAGATGGCCATTTGTAGTCGGGCCTCAACACCAGTGGGCAATCTTCTTCGATTCAAGAACTGGAGCTGAGCTGAGCTTGGCCGAATGAGCATCTTGGATTGACGATTTTGGCATGTCAGGTTGTGATAATTCACAGCGGCCGCATCTTGCCATGTCATTCGGATGCCTACTGCGATTGGATCTCAGTCATTTAGCATACGTATATATAAACAATAATTTTGCGGCGGCGAAATTACTTACTCCTGTCCTCCAGATCTACCATATGATATACGACGCAGCCAGGCTCTTTCTGTTCGTTGGGGATCTTTCGGTAATTATATCATATTGAGCAGTACATTTGGTTGGTAAATTAATTTCATTGAAACCATGTATGTCTCTCAGCCCAGTAAGCGTCGGGCATCTTGCAATGTCTTCTGCATGCCCTCTGTCCGCGCTTGTTGGTGACTTTGCAAATTTGCTTCATACGCCTTGATTGCTTGCTCCTTCAACCTCTGACGCTCTTTGTCATCCACCCTGGCTTTTGCTTGATCTATAGTTTCTCCTTCACATACCACCCATCTTCCATCACTAGACCATGCTTTCCCCTCGTATACCAATTTAGTTTCGATGGATTCCCTGAGCTGCAACCAAAACAAGATGATGATATCATCGATGAGGTCCGCTGGGTCCTTGATAGTAAACCATAGTTCCTCGAATAGGTAGGGTTCAGTAATAGCTCGGGGATTGACCTTACGTAGTCCGCAGAATATCACAAAGTCTGGCCGGAGTCCCAGCTGGATGCCCTTTTCGATATAAGCCCAGAAGGAATGCGATACGACAAATGTCCTCACAGAAAGCCTCATTGTCACATCCACAACTGGGTGGTGTTTGATAATCTGGATGTAGTTCATTAAATCTTTGTTGCAGCTCGATGGTTTTCTTATCGGAAACTCTAACCCAACAGAGACACTTACGCATGTCGGCAGGGCCTGGCAGGGCCATAACGGGCCGGTACTCACATTTTGCGTATCCTCCATGAGATTCGAGGGGACCGATCACAGGATGTATTGCGCCGCAGGAAGTTCCTACCTTTATAAGTTTGGGAGTCTATTCGAAATTGACGAGCCCGATCTCTTTCGGAACACATTCAGAGTAATCCTTATGCTCAGGGTCACTCTTATGCTCGGGTTGAACCGCATGCCCCGGGTAATTCTCGCGTTCAGCGTGATCCTCGGCGGTATTCATCTTGAATCACAATGGGAACATTGGATATGGTGAAATGGTCGTCGGCTCAAAGAATCAAACCAATTTCAAGTTGTTAGATTTAATGGAATGGTGCTCTCACCTCATGGAGCTTCGAAGCTTGCTTGAGTGTCGTCCCGGGCCGGCTTTAAGTAACTTTTCAAATTATAATGTATGTGACGAAAGGCGGAAACTCTAGCGGTGAAACTTATATATGTATTAATAAGCATTGCCAAGTTTGGCCCATTCTGGCTGCCGTACGGAGTATACTAAGCCTAATCAGGAATTTTCTGCAACTTTATTTCTATATTAAAGGATAACATTGAACCTTGCATCCTATTCTTCTTCTTCTTCATTCATTCCAAGTTTCAGTCTCACTTCTTTGAATCTCATTATATTCGATTTATCTTCTTCAAACTTACCCACCATGTCCCTCCAAGCCATTCCCGAACATCATCCAGATCTCCCATCCGGTCCTAGTGTTTTCACACTAGAACAGATACGATGCCTTGAAGAGGCTGCAATCCTCCTTCCCGAGCCTCAGCCAAATGCACCCACAAACGCCAGTGGTAAAAGAAAAGTTTCCGCTGCATTCAGTGCACCAAGATCTGTGTCAAGCTCATCCACCTCGTCGTCCTCGTCTTCTGCGTCTGTTGCCACCCATGGTTTCCAGCCCAATGTCATCCGAACCTTCGACATCCCAATGGCAGAAGAAAGTGTCGAGGTGCTTGAGTATATTGGGCTTGTACCGGATGTTGCCAGACTGATTTATGACCGATATTGCGGCCGCCCAAGTCCAAGCCAAAATCCTGATGACCTAATGGCATATGTCACTGCACATCTCGCCTCTCTTAGCCGACGACAATATGATAACATGAGCCATCAGGAGGCGCTCGCCGATGTTGGTCTTACTAGCCAAATTCAAGAAGCAATCACGGACCCAAGATTCTCACACATCTTCGGTACCCAGACCCTCACTTACTGGGCACAAGATACCGTTCAAACCAACTATGCCGCTCTTCTTCGTCAACAGCAACTGCTACAAAGTCATGCAAACAAGCGCATGGCTCATAAAAAGAAACATAAGCGACCCAGGCATGAGCCGAGCCGAGAAGACCAAGACACATCTGAGCAGCAACCCGTGACAGCAACGATCAATATGACACCCCAAGATTTCCAGTTCCCAGACACATATGTGATGGTTCAGCCTGACGCCAATATCCTCACCGATCACATTTCTTTATACAAGGGCAAGGCATATGATGAATTACGGCCAGCGGGTGATATCATTGAGAGTGATGGAACAGTCAACCTAAATCCACTCAGCACATACCCCGGCGGAGACTTCAATTTCGATTTTAATGCGCAATACTGGACCCCCGAAATTGAAACGGCTGAAGAGTACCGCAAATTTGCAGAAAGGAGAAGCCCTACAGCCGATACCTGCATTATTCACATTCAGGTTCCGCGACCATTCATCAACAGCCTCCGAATGGAGAATCTATGGTATTCTCCTAACTGGAAAGAGTACATCTGCACCAGCAGGAGACAGGCTACCCCTCACCCGAAATTCGACCACCTCTGGCGACCTGGGCAAGCTGATATTGTCAGAGGCCCCATCTGTTCTACCCTCAACAGACAGCTAGTACGCATCCGCAGAGAAAACATCCAAAGTCATATCACTGAGGACAACGTGATGCGATTGCTGTCTGGGAGAAAAGCTACCCAGTGGGTATTCGTTCAACGCGATGTGATTCATCGGTTAGCGGAACACATTCGAGGGAAGATGCATTTCATCATTTTCGAAGCCGCAGCTCGTTTCTCATGACAACGGTTTAGGGCCCACTTTCTGCTTTGATTGCAGCCGTTTTTCGGGTCGTTCTTCATTTATCTGTTGACATGTTTCTATCGCAAAACATCACCCTTTATGGTGAAAATTTGCAACTTTTGCATGGCTACCCCCTAAACTTCCGTTGTTTGCGATGTCTGTCTGCCCATCTCACTAGTCAAGCCACCTTGCTCCTTACTAGCTGCTCTACAGACAGATATTCCCCCTATCATTCCATTAGCTATGTTCTAGTTTATTTTTTATTTGCAACTTCGATTGGGAAATTTTAAACCCATCATTATTCAAGTTTCAATGATTGGATCTCATGGCCTATTCATTATTAAACAATTGTCTTTCCGTCGGTTTGACTCATCAACACCGGCTCCTAGGAGCACTATAGATATTATTATATTACCTTAAGCTACGGTATATACACCGACGTAACGATTATGTGGATATCTTAATAACTATATAATAGGACATAGCGAGAATAGTTCCACTAGTCTACTTACTTTTATAGGTAGAAAATACTAGCGATATTTAGAAGTGTTAATAAGTGGGGATAACAATAAACCAATAAATAGGCCTTATGGGAATAGACCTTAGAGTCAAAGACGATAGGTATTAGCTAGTGATAATAAATAATATTAGGAGATAAAAGGCTGATTGATATCTGGTGAGGGCTAAACGAGGGAGGGTAGCTTTGATTGTAGAGTCGACGAGTTATATAGGGAAAAGGTGATGATGGTCAAGAGCTTGGTAATCCCGGATAATGACCAAATATATATATATATATATATAAAGCGTAGGAGAAAGGGAGGCAAAAAAGATAAATAAGGCTACTAGATGGAGGGGGTGTGCAGGGGACTATATAGAACCATGTAGGACGCAGAACCGTTTTAGCAAGTTTCTGTAGGCTGAATCTGAAGGAACCTTCATCCACAGTTTGTGTCTGACGTACCACCAAATCTTAGGCCGGCGAATTGAAGGGCTGAGGAAGCTCTCGGTCCAAGTTGCGAATTAATATCAGTCAAAATCAAATATACAATCAAAAATTCGTGTTCTGGAAGATAGGCTATCGAGAACCATTCGTTATACCAGCCTGTTATGCTTCAATAGACCTATTTTCGCATACCTCGGGTGATTCTCGCGTTCACCGAGATCGTTGGCGGTATTCATCTTGAATTACAATGGAAACATCGGATATGGCGAAATGGTAGTCGGCTCGAAGTATAAAGTCAATTCAAATGAGCTTATATACTGGATTTTAGACTCTAAAGAATTAGTAGGAGGCTAGGAGACAGCGATTTCAAGTCGACGGTTTAGAAGCGCCAAGACCCTTTTAATGGGCTATTATGGGCCCCTATAGATAGCCCAACATAGCCCATAGCCTAGTGCGGGTTGGGCCATGGGCCCCCATTTATGGGCTTTGCAGAGCGCTATTCTTGACTGACTAAATATGAGAAAAATATATATCTCTCTAATCCACATTGAATGATTTTCCAACTTATCTCAATTGTTCTCTGCATGATAGATCTTACCATTTCGACGGACCACCGTGGGCAATGGAGGGCCCCAAACCCATCTGTAGGTTCTCGATTCTCGAGATTGGGATTGATAATGGTGTGAATCCCGATCAGAATGACACTGATCCTCCACAGAGGACAACGTGGGATGTATAGGACAATCGGAATGGTGTGTCTCGGTATATTCTGGCATCCTGCTATCCTGTTCGAATCTAACGGCTTTTATGTTCCTTCCGCACCCGTCTTCATGTGACCTACACACGGTAGCACCAGCACAAGTACCTGGAGCTTGTGGTGCAGCGTGATGGTGGACGCGGTCAAATAGGCCATTTGGACTTTTTGGGTGAATGTTTTTGACTGTCGCTGGGCAATGTTGTCGCTCGTTGGGGTGAATACCTTGGGTATGGTCATGACCAGCGTGGTAGTTGTGCTCTTCGTATTCACTCGAGTCTGGAGACTTAAACCGGGGTTGGAGGTGAATGCATTTAATTTCACGTCGATCATGATAGCCGATCTTGTGGTGTTGGACACGGAGGTTAGATTCGAGGTTATTCCTGTAATTCGTTCAGTGTCGAGAAACCAATGCAACACAAGCCCAATCCAACTCTTACATTTTGAGACAATCATCCTGGCCTTGAAAGTGAGGACAGAAATAACAATGAACCATCTTTTTGGTGCTTAGAGCTCGACAAGCGTGGTATGGCTGAGGTTCGACGGCATCGCTTTTATTGTCATTCAGGTAGAAATGGTGTTTGTCCTTTGGGTAGGGCGTGACTTGCTGGACGTGACACAAGTGATGATGGTCAGAGCCGGCAGTGCGCTGTTGCATTTTTGTGCGATAGTATTGAGGGAGACTATCCTTTCTCGCTTTGGTCTGCCGATACAGATGTGGATGATACATAATGTCTGAATCAAGAGACTGGACCTGCGGAAGACCGAGAGATATATTCGGCCATGATGGTGGACTCCTAATTCGGATGTTCCTCCTGACTTCCAAGGTCACTGGTTTCCCTCACACAAGGCTTGAGTGGCGAGGAAGTGCAAACAACCCGTGAAATACTTCTAATCGTGACTAGGTCGGTACCCGCTTCATTTTGCGATTCTTGAACCTCCTGAATTCCCCACCAGTAACCTGTCTGAGCCCACCTTGCTTTTTTTTTTTGTTTTTGTTGCTTGATACGTGGTCCCCTTCAAAATGTACGTTCTTGAATATTCCGAGGATTTTGCAGGTCCCGAAGATGACTTCGCATTCCAAAAGACCACCATAGTCTACGAAATGTCCGGCTCGATCTACAGAGCATTTTCTCGAAAACGATATGCATCAAAAGAGGAGATCCAGTTTGGCGACATGTTCAGCACCAACAAAATCCAAGGGGCTCTCATTTTCCCCGAGTTCTCGGACACATTCACAAAGGCAGAAAGACCATCGGATTGCTCAACCTGGTATCTGAAAAAACCAAGTCTTTCGCCCTACAGCCCCCAATACCCGGCTCTAATCAGAGAAACCTGGATTGAGGAAGTGAAGACCTGCGAACTTCTGAAAAAAAAACCCGCACCCGAATATCGCCCAATACCATGGCTGTGCCGTCGTCAATGATGGTTCAATCCGAGGAATCTACTTCACGAAGTATGATGAAACGCTTATGGCCAGAGTGAATCCTGCCAGACGCAATAAGCTAGACTTTGCATACGAGAGACGCGGGGCTGACCGAGACGAGGTCAACCGTTGGGTGGAGGGAATTGCACGGGGCATCAAGCATCTCCACGGGTTGGGAATCGTCCACAATGACATCAACCCGTGTAACATCATGTTTCAAGGTGAGATTCCGGTCATTATTGATTTTGATTCTGCTCGGCCTCATGGCCATGATTTGAGCTTGGTCAAACGAACGCATGGGTGGCATAATGAGAGAGCCAAAGTGGCTTTGCCGATGAATGATATCACTGCACTACTGGAGATACAGTTGTGGCTCTTGGGGGAGATTGATCAGTTCCAATTTTGAGGTCTAAAGTTGTAGTCAGTTTGTCACAAAATGCAGCTTAATGGGTTTGACTGGGGTCGGGGTCTGCTTGTAGGATTGTGGGGAATGGAAGGTCAATCATCGGCTGATATTGTGGAAGCAGCTACAGCATACGGCCTTGCTTTACAGTGTTTGCTACTCCGTACGTGCAGTTGGCTCGGAAAGTCACATCTGAGACTGACTTCAACATACGCAACAATTGATAGCGATATGAGTAAAATAATTCATCCTCACATTGACGAATGCGGTAAAACCCAGCAGGGCCGAGGCCCATCAAGGCGCTTCAGCTCACTTCGATATGCTCGATCTGTTAAATATTCAAGGTTCCAAGTGCACGAATCTTCAAACGACCTACTCTCTTTGTCTCTTGAGTGTCTTATTGAATGTTTTCCTGGTGTTATAGCAAAAAAAAAAAACGAGGATAGTAAGCTCCGAAATGTAGTATATCATGAGAAGCATAATTTCTACAAGACGCCTTTGGATACAACATGTAATATTTCACAAATAGTGGTGCAGCTACTTTAGACACGGTTGTCCTGCCTTGCACAATAGACCTCTTCACTCAACGTTCAAAATATTACCAGACGATGTGGAAAGCTGCTTGCTGCATGTCATCGACGGTGTAAAACGCTCTACCCATTCTTCCCGAATAGTGAGGAATGCATCGCAGACTGCCATGACTGCATCTTCTCGAGAGTCTCCACAACTCTCGATATAGACTGTATCCATCTGTCAGTAACTTGCGCGCTTGGAAGAGACTGAGAGAACGTACACTTGACCTTGGGCTCTGTCCCAGAGCCTCGGAATGTGAACCGAACTCCACCATCCAGCCACAGCGTAAGCATCTGGCTTGTTGGGTCTTCAGGTAGGTCTGGCTTGTTATCAGGGGTGCTGGAGTCATAACCTTCAGTCAAATCTCTCCATCGTAAAATCTTAAACCGACCAAACTGCATATTTGCCAGGCCTGAGCTGCCTCGAATACCCTGGAACAATGTTGCCGTGAGTTGTGGGTTTGGCGACCGGAAGTAGTTATTCAAGGTCTCATGATGACCGAATTCGCCAAACAATTGCTGCAGCTTTGCATATGCAGTCAATCCCTGAGCTCTCCATTTTGCCTCCGCTGCAAGGAAGACTGCAGCTGCTGTAATACCGTCTTTATCATAGCACACAGATGGGAACATATAACCCAGGGCCTCCTCGTATGCAAAAGGCACTGTCTTTCCTTTTTTCTCTAAGTCCCGGGCAACATTAGCCATCCACTTAAACCCTGTCAGGGTCTCTTCGAAGTGGATTCCTTTTGCAGCTGCCATTTTTCCGAGCATTCCACTCGATACCGTGGTAGTCAAAACCGCGACGTGTGACCAATCTTTGTTGGCATCGTACGAATCCAATAAATGGGAAGCCAAAAGGACACCGACGTGGTTTCCAGTCAAAGTATACCATTTCCCACTGCAAAACACATTAGTAAATTCCATTCACGGTATCTAGAAAATAAGACTGACTCCGCTTTCTCCGCTACGGCGAAGCGGTCCGCATCGGGGTCATTTGCGATGATCAAGGTCTTTCCCTCTTGGTCGGCAGTCTGCATAGCAAGATCCAACGCGCCAGCCTCTTCCGGGTTGGGGAATTTTACAGTAGGGAAGTCAGGATCAGGCTTCTCTTGGGCAGCAACGGATACGAAGTCGCTGATTCCAAGTGAACGACAGAGAGCTGGGAGAACCAACCCTCCAACGCCATGTAGAGGTGTATAAACGAATGGCCTTGGGGGTTGCCAATCTGTTACCGTGGTTTTCTAGGATCAGGTCGTTAGATTTAATGCCTCTAATGACAAATCACAGCATACCATGAACTGGGCGACTTCGCTGCTGTAGTAAGGCAGCAATTTCTGGTAAGAATCCGCGCGCAGGAATTCGCCAGGTTGTAATTCCGCCCATGCAGTCGGCCATGGCTCAAGGTTCTCTTGAATCGACTGTGCTATTTCTCCGTCCTCGGGTCGATTGATCTGGGCACCATTGCTCGAGTAGCTACGAGGCAGATCTTGTCAGCAGTCTCCAATATACAGATCCAGGATTCTTACACCTTGTAGCCTGTGAAACAATTAGCAAGTATCTTACAGCGTCAGAGATGACTAACATACCATTGTCCTGGGGCGGATTCTTTCGAGCCGATTAGCAATACATCTTAAAAGTAGTTTGGCGGAAGACCTACGTGGCTTGCCGTCACCATAATGCCTGCTGCAGCACCGAAATGAATTACACCAAACGCTACCATCGGTGTAGGACCTTCCTCATTGAAGAACCAAACGGGGATACGCTGTGCGATAAAAGCGTTGGCAGCGAGTGCAGCAAATTTTGCAGAATTGTGACGCGCATCGTGTCCAATGACCACACCATTCGAAGCAATTTCAGGGCGTTTATCTCGAATAAACTTGGCCAGCCCCTGTGAGGCTTGTATGACTATCAAAGAGTTCATGCAGGAGAACCCTGCGGCCATGCAACCTCGCAGACCAGCTGTTCCAAACTCAATACCTAAGCGTATAGACAGATTAGAATACGCACTGGCAAAGGCCTTCAAAAGTACCTAAGTACGTACGATTCCGAAGTCGCTTTTCCAGCTCCTCGGTGGCGTTGGAGTCCCGCAATTGTTCTATTTCTGCTCGAGTTGTAGGATCCTATCCGAGTCAGCGGGGTCATAAGATGAAACATGAAACATATGGACCTTGTCCCATTGGAGCCATTGCTCAGTCAAGGAGGAAAGTGAATGCTATAAAACAATTAGATCAATCTAATCGAGACCATAGAATTAAGAAAACTCACTGCCATCGAGTTGAATGTATGTGCCTGGAGGTGCCTGAGTATGTGAAAGGTGGACAATCACATGGGCTGATCAGTCCCGCTGTTATCCACTTCCGCCCCATAGCCCTTGCAACGTTTCTGCCTTTCAATCTCGTTTCCTGTTGTTGTGCATTTTGCATTCTGCTTTCTGCATTGTGAGTTAGCTCAACTAGCAATGTCATTGTAAACCCTTATCGAACCCAAATACATTTCCACAACACCTACCATGGAGAAGACCGCGTTCCGAGCGTCCCGGAAGGACACCCTCTTGACTCGACGATATATTGAAGGTCTCATTGCGGAGGGCAAACATGTCATAATCTACCAAGACCGTGTCCTAAAGGTAGACCCATTCATTAAATATCACCCCGGAGGAGAGAAGCCAATTAAGCACATGGTGGGCAGGGATGCGACGGATGAGATCAACGCGTAAGTTCTGCAAGGGCAAGCATCACAACCTCTGATCAGTCTAATCGATCCCTATCTCATGCAGTTTACACTCCGAAGAAGCCCGCCAGCGTATGTCCTCATACCAAATCGGACGAATTGAAGGACTATGGATCAACTTCCTACCCCCAATCCAGGGCGGCAAGTTTCGCGCCTATACCGAAGAGACGTGCTTGAGTGATGAAGACTCCACGAACCAAGAGAGCTCTGGTGGTTCTAGTCATGACGGATCAATTCCCCCTCGCCCATATTCGATGCCGTCGACGCGAAATCTACAGTTCGTCAACGGAAATCGACCGGAACCACTTTGACCGACCACCCCCAGGCCAAGCCTGCCTTCTTGGATGCGAGAACACGAGAGGAAATCATCTTCGACACTGCGAAGTATCCCTCGCTGGATACTGCAAGTCAGCAAGAGATCAAACGGAAATATCGCGAATTGAACGAGCGTATCAAGGCCGAGGGACTTTATGACTGCAACTACTCCTGTTACTTCGTCGAATGCTGTCGGTACACACTTTTTGCAGGTCTTTCCTACATGTTCCTCCGCATGGGGTGGTGGGCGACCTCTGCATTCTTTCTTGGCTGTTTCTGGCATCAGCTTGTTTTCACTGCCCATGATGCTGGCCATATGGGAATCACACACAACTTTCATGTGGATACTGTCATTGGAATGCTCATTGCAGACTATCTCGGGGGCTTGAGCCTCGGGTGGTGGAAACGAAGCCACAACGTTCACCATATCGTGACCAATGAGCCAGAGCATGACCCGGATATCGAGCACATACCATTCTTCGCTATCTCGCATCGCTTCCTCACAAGCCTCCGGAGTACCTATTACGATCGAATCATGACCTTCGATGCACCGGCTCGATTTTTACTCAAATTTCAGAATTATTCTTACTACCCTATTATGATGCTCGCTCGGTTCAATCTCTACGTCCTGAGTTGGGAGTATCTGCTAAAGGGGCAAGCTCCTAAGAGGGGCCCCGCTTGGTGGCATGTTTGGTTTGAGCTTGTCGGGCAGGTCTTTTCTGGACCTGGTTTGGCTACGGTGTTATGTACAAGACGATCCCCGATGCAAGCAGCCGTATCATCTTCCTTCTCGTCTCACACATTGTCTCCTCTCCTCTGCATGTTCAAATCACATTATCTCACTTCGCTATGTCGACTGCCGACCTAGGTGTTGGTGAGTCTTTCGCGCAAAAGATGCTCCGTACTACTATGGACGTCGACTGCCCTACATGGCTAGATTTCTTCCACGGTGGCTTGCAATTCCAGGCCATCCACCATCTCTACCCGCGGATCCCGCGTCACAACCTGCGTCGTACGCAGAAATTTGTCATAGAGTTCTGCCGTGATACTGGTATCCCCTATGCCATTTTCACATTCTACGATGGTAACAAGGAGGTTATCAGCCACCTTGGTGAAGTCGCGAAACAAGTTCGCCTCATGGAAGAATGCCGCAAATCCATTTCCGAGGCCGGGGTCTTCTCGGATCATCACTGATATAAGTTGTCAGTTTCTTGCTGGCCAAGTACAAGTTCTCCCGTGTAAATACGTTATCACGACTGCGTATACCGCATTTTGTATGTGCCATGGTATATTAATGAATCAACTGAATGCTTTCTGTTTCAATGCGTCGTGTCTCTTATTGTACAAACCAAAAAGATCTTCATGTAAATTACATCCATGGTCATTGCCGCATATATAAAACAGGGTGACAAACGCTTTTATGCCGCATTGCGTCTATATGTAACCAATTTGATCCCTTCGTATGCTTAGCCAGGGAACCCACCGCCACGCGCCATCTTCTTCGCGCGCTGCTGTCGACGGTTATGATTTGCCTGACTACTTTTGTTCTCTTCTTTTCTCTGTCTCGACGCGGCAGTATCTTGCTGCCCCTGGCCACCGGATGGAGGACCACCACCACGACCTCCGCGGCCTCGACCGCCGCCACCTCGCCCTCTTCCACCACGTCCACCGCCTCCTCTACCACCCCGCGAGCGAGCATGACCAGATGACTCGCCCTCGTCAGAAGCATCATCACCATCTTCACGAGGCTGCGGCCTCCTGTAAGACGTAGGGCGCAACTCGGGCTGATTAAGTGACCCAGCACCAGCCGACCCACCAGCGTCCATAGCCAACCGGGCTTCAAGTTTAGCGAGACGCCTGGGATCACGCGATAGCATGACAGCCCAGCCCTCAATAGCCTCGTCGGTCATTTCAGTCTCGCGCTTCAGGGACGCGCGCGGCTGAGAGCGGCGGGTCGCTGAATCGCGGGCAAAGATTCCTGGATTGGACTTGTATGTTTGGAAGAGCACTGTTTCCATATCGGCTGCCCGGCGTTCACGCTGAGCTGCTTCGGCTTCGCCATCTGCGCCACCTGTGGCGCCGTCGATGGCACCGCCTACATCGGCTGTGTCGTAGGTGTCATCACGCTCGTCGTCGTCTGAGTCGAAGGTTGCTAGGGCTGAGAGGATTGCCGCTTTGTTTACGGCATGTTTGCTGTGGTCTGAGAGGAGTGTGTCGGCTGTTTGGTCAGCGTCGGCACGGCCGAAGTGTAGTTTGCCTTTCGTTTCGCCGGAGCGGCTTAGTTCGGCAATGTCCACATCTTCGTCGAAGATGTTCTTACGGATTGGGAGTGGGGCAAATTTAGGTGATGGCATGGCGGGTGGCGTTGGCTGTGGTGGGAGATGGCTGTGGTGAGGTTCTGCTGGTGGAGGCAATTGCTCAGATCGATCTAGAGACTGGAGCTCCATAGGAAGTGAGTCGTCGAGAAGATGGGCGACGATAGTCTCGGGGTTATCGTTATAGAAGTCCAGTAGCCGTACAACAAAGCCTGAGCCAAGATCGGGGAAGAGGTCTTGTACTTGAGTTACTAGTGACATCTTGTGCGCGTGAAGTTCTCCTGAAACAATCGGATCTGAGGAAACAGCTTTTCCCTTGTCCGCTTTCTTGCGCTTTTGATACCGGTGGTGCAGCGACTTCGATTCCACTTGATAGGTGCGCAAGCTGGTAAGGAGGTCTTGCCCTCGTTTCTGGGGGTGAATGCTCAGATACTTCTCCAGCCGAATAAGCAAGTCCGAGCTGCAGATGAGATCAGATAGTAGAGTTGGCTCCTTCTTCATTTTTGGTGCTCCCACTCGAGCAGTGGCTTTGAGGCTGAACAGCTGATCCAATAACGAAGACAAATTGACAGGCTCCTTCAATAAGGAGACCAGTCCGACGTAGATATTAGCAACGAGGATTTTACGGAATTCCTCTCGTGCGCCTTTTGACTGATACGCTTCCGCTATCGTATCGAGGAAGTCGGAGCCCGCCATGAGGTCCTGGCCACACGCTGGCAGCACTGAAGCAAGGATGGTCAGACGGCGGATGTCAGAAATGACTTCGGGATTTGAGGATGAGTTGGCTGAAGAGAGATTTTTGATCACAACAGCTTTTGCTCTCTCGATACTGGAAGTGATTTTGTCACTGTGTATATCCCAGGCACTTGATAATGATGTCTTCAAGGCCGCGCTAGAAGGGTAACAGCAAGATAGGTTGCCGAGAAGTCTCCAGTCCAGAATTCCCTCTGGTGGGTGAGAGAGATCCAGTATATATCTTCTTGTCGCCAGGAAGCAGAGCTTACGAAGTTGTCGAGCTTTAGGTCCACTTTGTAGACTAGAATCTCCCGCAGCCGTGTTTTGATAATAAGATCCCAGGAATGGAGATATTGATGCATCCTCGGGTGCGGCGATCTTGAACTGTTTATCTGACGCATTCAAGCGGATCCTCAAAAGGGCCATCCATGCATCTAGACAAGCTTCCCAATCATCTGATGGGATTGTCCTCCGCACTGCGGGGGAGGGCACTGAAGCCAGTGGCGGGAACTCCGCCATTGGGGTAAGATGAAAAGGTTATGGCTGAAAATATGGGAAGAGTATCAAAAGAGAAAGTGGTAATAGCAAAAGGAAATACACGCAAACAAGTATCAACTCACGATTATCATCTTGAATGCCATTACTTGGCGGTCCCATGTCCTCTTTGAGTGATGACATAAGCAACATCTGAAAGGGCACCCAAAATGGTTTAGCGTGTGATAACCGAAGCGCCAAGAGTTTCGCACTGAACTTTTTGGATATGGAATTCTCGATCCACATCACTCCAACAGCCATCATCACTTTACCGAGCCTAGTAGTTCAGGTCTTGACGGCAATCGCCTTTTAAATTGTGCGCGCTCCTTTCTTTCTGCTCTTGAAATCCCCGGATCCAATTACTAACCCGTTTCAGTCCATTCAAATTCAAGATGTCTTTCCAGAAGCCCGAGAAGGATTTCGGCGAGGGCCCTGTACGTTGTCCCTGATCCAATGGTCACTGTCGCACATTGCTGTTGCACCTCGCTGTCGCTGTCGCTGTGTGCGATAGGCCAAAGAACTTGGATAGGATAAAGTCAGTACTAATTGCCTCTTGTCTGCTCTATAGAAGGTCCACAAGATCCGCATCACCCTCACCTCCCGCAAGGTTGCCTCCCTCGAGAAGGTCTGCCAGGAGCTGATCGACCGTGCTCGCTCCAAGTCCCTCCAGGTCAAGGGTCCCGTCCGTCTTCCCACCAAGACCCTCCAGATCTCCACCCGTAAGACCCCCAACGGTGAGGGTTCCAAGACCTGGGACAAGTTCGAGATGCGCATCCACAAGCGTCTCATCGAGTAAGTTTTTCCTTGCCCTATTGCGCTGTGGCACTATCGCTGCGGCATATAGCGGATGCAGTTGCTGACTTGATATTTTAGTCTCCTCGCCCCCACCGAGACCGTCAAGCAGATCATCATCAACATCGAGGCCGGTGTTGAGGTTGAGGTCACCATTGCCGCATAAATGCGCCAGGATGGGCTTGCCTCGGGGAGGGATTGTGGATTGGTTAATTTGGAGTGCACAGCATGACTTTGGACCCAGTCCTGGCCCGCATGTCTTGTTACGTGCTGCGGGATCCCGTTTGGACCTGAAATATTTAAAATAAAAAATGGAAACATCTTGAAACACAAAAGATACTCAGTAGTGGTCTGAGACGATAATTTGGTTCATATTAACAGTGAAAATAAAGTATTTGCAGTTGCTACGTTTGTAATTAATGATTGTTGATCTCCTAAGCGCCATTGCCCATGTCCTGCACGCCGGGAACATATTGCTCGTGTGATAACTAGAACGAAAAAAAAGATGCACGTTGCCTCAACCCGTGTGAGACGCGTGATAACATAACAAACAAAAAGCAGAAGACAAAGCCACACTCAGCTTCGAGAATTAAAAGTCGAAACTGAGCCACTCCTGCTTGGGAGGTACTGCAGGAATGTTACCATCCTTGAAGTAGCCATTCTTGAGGAAAAATTGATATGCCTCAACAATCTCTGGCGTGTAATCATCAGGCTTGCCGTGTGCGTCTTTCAAACTAGCTGGATCAGGTGGCCCATTAGGAAAATGGATTCGTATAAAGGTTTTGTTGTCTTGTGGGTGGAGGTAGCACGGGTGCTCATTGATATACTTGACGGGCCGGCCCTTCCACATCACTAGTTGCTTGGTGGCTGGATTATGTCGAGTTTCACCCTCCAGCTGTGGAAGAGGGTTGATGTCTTGAGGGTTGTCAATTTTGATGTATGCCCGCGGCCCGGCGTTGGCGTTCTGCACTGGCACACCTTGGACTGCAGGCTGGCCGAAGGGAGACGGAGCAGGTTGTACAGCACTCTGGCCAAATCCACCGGCAGCAGGTTGGTTTTGAGATACTTGAGTGAAGGGAGAAGCGGTAGATGGAGCGCCGAATGGAGCGGCGCCTGCCGGAGCTGAGGGTTGACCAAATGGAGCGGCGCCTGCCGGAGCTGAAGGTTGACCGAATGGAGCGGCGCCTGCCGGAGCCGAGGGTTGACCGAATGGAGTGGCACCTACCGAGGCGGAGGGCTGACTGAATGGGCTCGGGTTGACAGCTGGTTGGCCAAATGGCGACGGGGCGGATTGGCCAGCATTCTGTCCGAAAGGTGACGGGCCAGATTGGTTCTGAGCGACTTGGGTGAAGGGAGACGCGACAGATGGAGCACCGAATGGAGCGGCACCTCCTGGGGCGATCGGCTTACCGAATGGATTTGAATTACCTCCTGGCTGAGAAAGAGCTGGTTGGCCAAAAGGTGTTTTGTTGAAGGCGGATGGCCCTCCTAGTGTGGAGGTTTGACCGAAGGTGGAACCACCTAAGGCAGAAGTCTGTCCGAAGGCCGCAGACTGGCCCATCCCAGCCGGCTGCGCGGGCGCTGAAGCCCTGCCAAATCCACCGGACTGGCCAAAGCCTGAAGGCTGGCCAAAAGTCGACGAAGGAGCGCCGAACGCTCCAGGCGCAGGAGCTGTGTTCGGTGTAGGGGCGACATTTTGCTGGCCGAATGGAGACGATTGGCTAAATGGTGCTGAAGCTTGGTTCACACTCTGGGTCTTTCCCTCGATGATGTCGATTCGATTGGGGTGTTCATTCCTGCCATCGTTGACATATTTGACGGCACCATTCAGGTCATTTAGCGAGACCTCCATCTGTTGCACGCACTCTTGCCAAAGAGCCGAGGCTTCTTGAACTGCCTCGTTCAGGTTGCCGGCGGCTGCTAATTCATAATGGCGCAGACGCATCTCTTCGGTACTCCGCTCGCGGTGAGCACCACCGAACAGCTGTCGCGCAACATCTTTGTGAGGCGCGTATGCAGAGAAGATCCATTCCGGGCGGCCCTGGCCTGCGGTCAAGTCTGACTTGATATCGCTTGCCTTAACTGCTGGGCTGCCTTTTTGTTAGTTCCGAAACAACTTGGAGGGCGCTAGGGGAAAGACTTACTCGGGTCCCTGTTGAGTCTGGTTTTGACCTGCCATAAACTTGACGTTAGGCTTTGAAAGAAGACTAGCCCAAAAGAGCGCATAATTCTTTGGATAGATCATGATTTTGCGCAGGGATATATCTCTTGAGCCTTGAGACTCGATGTAGCTTGGGGGTAGAACCAGGATGGGTAGGAGTAGGATGGGTAGGAAGTATGAGAAAGATACGGGGCACACATTCACATAGAGATCAGACATTTGATCTCATAGTATAATGGATTTTTAACAAATGGGCTCTTTAGGCTGAGTAGCGCTGTATCAAAACAATTCAATTGACGTACCTCCAAACCCTCCGGATAAAGCACCGAATCGATTCCCCGAAGGACCAGCAGTCGATCTGCCGGGGTGCTCGAACTTGCAGCGGTCTGATAATTTATTAGTGACTTGATTTCTTTATACTCGAAATATTCATACCTCCGAACTTGCAGCGACCCTGCTGAAAAAGGTGCATACCACCATCTTTGCGGTGGTATTGGCTCAAGTGCCTTCAAAGCAGCGCTGAAAGGCCTGTATCTCGACTTTTCTCGAATTGATACGTGTCCTTCGGTAAATTATCAAGCAACTTGAGAGAAAAACAATGCTAAGGTTGGTTGTCGCGAGGAGAGAAACTCCTGTGGTTGGGACTTTTCGGAATTGGTCCGTATCTTATCGGAACGTCTGCAAAGGGCAATCCCCAGTACTCTTGTATAGCTTCTTCAACGTCCGAGGGTATGAGATTGATTTTTGTATCACTTTACCCTTAACCTCGAGATGAGATTGAATAGATCTAGGAGATAGAGGCTTATCTGCTTTGTCAAGCCTACAAAGCGAGTCGTATCTGATCGACAAAGCATTATATATATTGGCAACGCAGACTATCAGAATACCAGAATGTTTTTCTAGAAAGCCATCTTGAACCATTTCAATCATCAACTCTGATTGCTATCTCAATTTTGAGTAATCAATAAACATTGAATCCAGTACAGATCACTGGTTGGGTATATCATCTACGTGTGTCGTATGCTCCCCCGAAGGTCATCCCAATTCAGCCCATCAACCTTTTTACCACCCAAGGACTCGAGCTCCGGGGCAAGCTCTGCAGTTCGCCCAGTTGCAAGGCGTCGCATCATCACAGTATCCTTAGCTCCAGGAAGGGTACTGGCATTACCCTGCAGCAAGACATGCTCAAACCACTGTTCCTCATCCTCGTCAAGCGGAAGACCGACAAGTTCCATTGCACGTCTACTTCTGGTTTGGCCAGGGGTGGCCTTGTGAACAAACTCCACCAACTGCTCAAAAAGGCTCTGGCGAAGAGAGTCATCGTATTTGCGCGTGAAGTAGAATGCTTCGGTGACGTTGGATCGGGCGAGTGTATCGAAGAAAGCTTTGCGGATCTTTACGCTTGCAAGAGGAGGAGCCGCAGTGAGGTAGTATGCAATTGCGAGGCTATCGTCATGCTTGGGAAGCTTTGTGAGGGTAAGAACGTAGAGGATCTCATCCGGGAAGGTAGGAATGAGTGAGGGTTCGGCAAGAAACTCCACTGCTCGCTATTATATCATGAAGTTGTTAGAGGATAGCCGCCTTTGAAGATCTTTGACAACTTACCCTAAATTCGAGTCGATCTAAATGCCAAAGACCTTCAATGAAGAAACGATACTTTTCTGGGAGGTGGCATTGTTGCGCGAACTGAGACGAAGCTTCTGGCGCAGCGCGACAGTCCTTGAGGATGTAATAGATCAAGGACTGTTTGTGATGGATATCGAGTTCTGAAGACACGATGTGGTTGAACAGTGTTCGGAGATCTGCATTGGACTTTGGTGGATAGACCTTGGCCACTAATAGAGAAACAATTGATTAGCATGAGGTTTCGGGGCAGGGCTTCAATTCATAATACCTCCTTGGATGCCGAGGAGTCCCAAGAGTCGATCGGCAAAGAGCTGGTCCAACGAGTGTCGGCTGGAGAGAATCTGGTCAAAGACCTTTGGTTCATATGAGTATTTCTTATTGAATGAGAAGACTTGGTCGAAACTCTCCCATGGTGCCATGCTGGGTATTCTGAGAGAAGTGATCAGTTGTTTGAACAAGTCCCAACCTGATCTCCATGAAGCTCCGCGGAGGAGTAATGACCGTACGGTAAATTACAGCGGGACATGGCGGTGAAACGCTTGTTGTGGCAGAACGACGGCCACTTTCCCCGTTTGGGCACGAGGTAAACAACCCACTTTCAAGCAATAAAACCTCCGACAAACCTCTCGCCCCTCTCCATGCAGCAGATATCCCACTGATCTGCACAACATGGCCTCAGTTGTAAAGGGCAGGCCTTCACGCCGGTCTGCTGCCCGCCGGAGCTATGCCGTGGAAGATACATCTGAATCGGAGGACTCTGGAAATATGACACCAACACCCGATGCGCACGATGACGATGACGAAGTTGAAGAGGATTACACCCCGGTTCCTAAGAAGGCAAAGAGAGCATCGAGCAAGAGGATGACACTAGACCCTGTGACACCTTCTACCGTGCGTCCTGCCAGCAAGACCCAAGAAGCGACAACAGATGATTCCGATGCGATGGACACCGATACCGACGCGATGGAAGTTGATGCGATGGACGTCGACGAAGAAAATGACGAGAATGATGAGGGCTTTAGTATGGCGTCAATGGAGGCCGATTTAGAATCTCCCTCCGGTAAAGCGGCATTGAAAAGAAAAAGTATGGCTTTCCCCCGCAAGAGTCGCGGCTCAATTACACCCAAGCCGGCACAGGGCTCACTTCCAACTCCAGAGCCATCCCAATCGCCAGAGTCTCAAGAAAGAGTGCACCGAGCAAGCGTGCCACCTTTATCTGACATCACCGAATCCGCCGTGAATCAGTCACCATCGAAGCCATTGGAAGGGCCCAAATCCCAAATTTCCATTATAAACCCGAACTCGACAGTCTTGGAGAGGCCTATGGACATTGTGGCCAAGTCCAGAACCCAGGCCCCTCAAGCGCCCGAGGAGCCTGCAGCGCCCAAGCCCCGAATGATTATTGAGAACCTTATTCTGACAAACTTCAAAAGTTACGCCGGCCAACAGATTGTTGGTCCATTCCACGCCTCCTTCTCGTCTGTCGTTGGACCGAACGGCTCCGGAAAGTCCAACGTGATTGACTCACTCCTATTTGTGTTTGGCTTTCGTGCCAGCAAGATGCGACAGGGCAAAATATCCGCGCTGATCCATAACTCTGCTCAGTACCCCAATCTTGCATTCTGCGAAGTGGAGGTTCATTTCTCAGAAGTTCTCGACTTACCCGATGGTGGCCAAGAAGTGGTCCCAGATTCCCAACTAATTGTTTCACGACGAGCATTCAAGAATAACACCAGCAAATACTACATGAACAAAAAGGAGACCAATTTTACGGCTGTCACAACCTTCCTCCGTGATCGCGGAATCGATCTCGACCACAAGCGGTTCCTGATTTTGCAGGGTGAGGTCGAGTCGATCGCTCAGATGAAGCCAAAAGCCTCCAACGAACATGATGAAGGCCTCTTGGAATATTTGGAAGATATCATTGGAACTTCCAAGTACAAGACCCCCATCGATGAAGCTGCAACCGAGCTCGAAGCTCTCAACGATGTGTGCGTGGAAAAGAACAACCGAGTCCAGCATGTAGAGAAGGAGAAGATGGCCTTGGAGGATAAGAAAGACAAAGCTCTAGCTTATATCCGCGAGGAGAATGAATTGGCCCAGAAACAGTCAGCGCTCTATCAAATCTACATTGATGAGTGTGCTGATAATGTTCGTGTTACGGAAGAGGCCATTCTACAAATGCAGGAGCTACTCAACATGGAACTCGAGAAACATGAGGGAAACGAATCCGGCATCAAAGAGCTCGAAAAGGCCTACAAAAAGGGTGTGCGTCACTACGAGTCAATAGAGAAAGAGACTCAAACCTTGCTCAAGGAGATGGCCAAGTACGACAAAGAGTCTGTCAAATTTGAGGAGAAGAAGAAGTTCTTGCTCGGCAAACAGAAGAAGCTAGAGAAAGCCATGCAGACCAGCCGTCTTGCTGCGTCTGAATGCCAGAGCTTGGTCGAGAAGTTTACCTACGACATTGAGAAGAAAACTGCCGAAACCACTCAATTTGAGAAAGAAATGATCACGGAAGAGAAAGAACTGAACTCAATTCGCGAGGGTCTGAAAGGCAAGACACAAGGCCTATCTGATCAGATTGCCGAAAAGCAAAAGTCACTAGAGCCATGGAATGCGAAAATCAACGAGAAGCAGTCCGCAGTCGCGGTAGCTCAAAGTGAGCTGGATATCCTGCGCGAGCGTGGAAATGCTGGAGCTGTTCTTCTCGAAGAGGCACAGGCCAAGATTGTTACAATTGAAGATAGTCTACAAACCAAACAAAGTGATCTCGAAGAGCGACAAGCCCAGAAAGAGACACTGGAATATGAAGTGGAGAAGCTCAAACACGACTTGAAGAAATACGCCAGCCGTGAGCCCGAGGTTCGTTCACATGTCTCGAGCGCTCGTCAAAAGGCAGACGAGGCACGAGTCAGCCTCGCAAGCACACAGAACCGCGGAAGTGTCTTGACTGGGTTGATGCGTCTCAAAGAGTCTGGCCGTATCGATGGTTTCCATGGCCGACTTGGTAACCTGGGCACAATCGACGAGAAATATGATGTCGCTATTTCTACAGCTTGTCCTGCTCTCGATAACATGGTTGTGGAAACCGTTGAGGTTGGCCAACAATGCATTGACTATTTGCGCAAGAACAACCTCGGTCGAGCGAACTTCATTCTTCTTGACCGGCTTCCTCGCCGTGACATGGCATCAATCTACTCGCCCGAAAGCGTTCCTCGTCTCTTCGATCTTGTCAAGCCGAAGGATCCCAAGTTCGCCCCAGCTTTCTACAGTGTGATGCAAAACACGTTGGTCGCCAAGGACTTGGAGCAGGCAAACCGTATTGCCTATGGTGCTCGCCGGTGGCGAGTGGTGACAGAGGACGGCCAGTTGATTGATGTGTCAGGAACAATGAGCGGAGGTGGCACCCGTGTTGCGCGAGGCGGCATGTCGTCAAAGCAAGTCGCAGACACCACAAAGGACCAGGTGTCTCGCTTGGAATCAGACCTTGAGGAACTAGAAAGAAAATTCCAGGCTTTCCAGGAGAAGCAGCGACACGTGGAGGCTCAGATGAGGGAAAGATCAGAGGAAATTCCACGCGTGGAGACTAAGATCCAAAAGCTCATCATCGAGATCGAGAGCACCAAGCGTAGTCTTGTTGACGCCCAGCGACGCGTCAAGGAGCTGGGCGCACAGCATCAGCCGTCTGATTCTGATGAAGTCCAAATAGCTGCCCTGGAGAAACAAATTGCCAAAGCCCAAAAGGAGATCGCTAAACTCAATGACGAGAAGAGTGGCATCGAGGAAGAGATCCAGGACCTCCAGAGCACGATCATGGAAGTTGGTGGTGTTCGGCTTCGCGGCCAGAAGGCGAAGGTGGATGGGTTGAAAGAGCAGATTGGCATGCTTGCCGAGGAGATTTCAAACGCGGAGGGGCAACAGTCCAAGAATGAAAAACTCATCAAGAAGCATTCCAAAGCCCGCGATGTTTCAGAGAAGGAGATTGCTCAGATTTCAGATGAGTTGGAGAAACTAGAAGAAGATGTTGCCAACCAGACCAATGAATCTGCCGACTGGAGGCAGAAGGCCGACGAAGCTCAGGAGGTAATTGATCCAAGATCTGCCAGTGTATTGAATTTGCTGCTGACCATTCATAGGCCTTGGAGTCTAAGAAGGGCGAGCTTAAGTCCATGAAGGACGAGCTTGACGCAAAGGTAGCTGAGCTCAATGAGACGAGAGCTGCTGAGATCGAGATGCGCAATAAACTGGAAGAGAACCAGAAGGCCTTGGCTGAGAACCAAAAGCGCAGTCGCTACTGGGAGGAGAAGCTTTCAAAGCTGACCGTCCAGAACATCAGCGATATTGGCGAAGAGCAGGAGCCCACAGAGCTTCAAATGTACACCAAGGATGAGCTAGACGCTATGAACAAGGATTCTCTGAAAGCAGTAATTGCTGCTTTGGAGGAGAAGGTTCAGAATGCCTCTATTGATCTGTCAGTCATTGAAGAGTACCGCCGCCGGGCCGCGGAGCACGAATCGCGCTCAGCAGATCTGACCACCGCTCTGACATCCCGAGATGGCGCTAAGGCACGCCTGGACGGGCTTCGGTCTTCCCGTTTGAATGGATTCATGGAAGGATTTGGCATTATCTCTTTGCGACTCAAAGAAATGTACCAGATGATCACCATGGGCGGCAACGCCGAGTTGGAGCTCGTTGACTCGTTGGACCCCTTCTCGGAAGGCATCTTGTTCTCGGTCATGCCTCCCAAGAAGAGCTGGAAGAACATTGGTAACTTGTCGGGTGGAGAGAAGACTCTTTCCAGTCTGGCGCTGGTCTTCGCTCTTCATCACTACAAACCTACTCCGCTCTATGTCATGGACGAGATCGATGCCGCCTTGGACTTCAGAAACGTGAGTTGGTCTTATCTGGATTGTGATGGCCACGTGTGCTAACTTTCTTTTCAAGGTCTCCATTGTCGCCTCGTACATCAAGGAGCGAACGAAGAATGCCCAATTCATTGTCATTTCACTCCGAAACAATATGGTACGTGCCGTTTATTTTCGCTTCTAAGTTGACATAGCTAACATATTCTTTAGTTCGAGCTTGCTGCTCGACTTGTCGGTGTTTACAAGGTCAACCACATGACAAAGAGTGTGACGATCGAGAACCGGGATTACATCACGGGTCGATAATGACTGGAGATGAAATACCGCGTTGTCGTTGTTGACTTTCGGTCTTGCTTGGACGAAATAGGCTGGTATGCTGCTGCTTTTGATGATATCATGGGTCGGGGAGTTTCGGACATTTTTCCTTTTACAATCATGCTCATGCACTTTAGAAATGAGAACCTGAGTACATCTTTTCACGTACATATCTCATTGGTGTCAAACACTGAATTGGTATCATAAACCGATCAATCTACATATATCTACCTCCGGTGCATTCAATGCAAGTTGCCGTGACGTAGGAGGACATCGGACTAGCCAAAAATAGCATAACATTGGCTGCATCGTCGACAGTCCCCGGCCGTCCAAGAGGGATATCCGACGTGTCCCTAAATTTCCGTGCGTTCGCAGGGATACCCGTGACAATATTCTGCCCACCTACCATGACCTTCTCCTCTGAGGGTGGCTTGGTCAACCGCGTATCCATCCAGCCATATGCGACAGTGTTACAGCGAACATTGTATCTTCATCACGTTAGCCATATCTACTTAGCCCAACAGTGAAGCTATCCACACATACCTCGCCCACTCCGCCGCAACAGTTTTGGTAAGTCCCAAAATTCCCGACTTCGCTGTTGAATAGTTAATCTGGCCCACTTGTCCATGCAGCCCGGAGGTCGAGGACACATTTATGACTGTCTTTGGCATATTTGCAGTTTGAGGATCCATCCAGTGAGCAGACAAGGCGCGGATCATTCGAAAAGGAACGTAGTTGTGAATTTTCATAATCATATCCCACTTTTCATCGCTCATCTTGTGAATGGCGCTGTCATAACAGAATCCTGGAATGATTAGCAGTGTGTATATACTGGCATGGTGACTTGCGTGTACCGGCATTGTTGATTAGACAGTTGACCTTTCCGAACGCCTTCAACGCTGCCGTGACTGCTTTTTCTGGAAACGCTTCGTCCAGAGCGTCCCCCACAACGCAAGCCGCCTCATATCCTGCGACTCTGAGTTCTTTGACGGCTTCATTGGCTTTTGTCTCATCTACATCTGCAAGCACGATTTTGGCTCCTTTGGACGCGAGAAGGGTTGCCGCTGCCCGCCCGATCCCTGTGGAAGGTCAATAAGACATTACTAGTAGTTGATTGAGTCCAACACACCTTGCGCGCCACCCGTAATCAAAACGACGTGCCCGTCAATTCTAAGCCAATTCTCAGTTTTGTTTCCTGATTTGCAACCCCAGAATACCTTTACCTCGAAGGGTCACGTTGGTCATTATGAGCCAACTGGCTGGTAATCTGTTGCAGTCTCTGAGCCATTCTGATGATCCTGATGATTTTTTTTGCGTCCTGTAATTTTTATAAGCGAGAGTTGAATCTCTGGTATAATATTTTAGAGCACCCTTTCTGTACCATGATCTTGTCAGTCTCGACCTTGACATCAAATTCCGCGGAATTATCGAGCATTTCGGAATTTTTCTCGGAACGAAACAGCCCAGTCTACCATCACGGTTTCTGAAAGTCGTTTAGTCTCCCGGAAATACAGAGATTCTCGTTAATGGCAACAATGGAGAGGAATATGCGGTATCATATTCGCTCGCTGGGGTCGATTGAAGGCCTTAAATACAACGGCCCGCTACCAACAATGACTTCTTGATTACCTTGACAATTCTATTGAAATCCGATCTCTATACAACATGACTTCATCTGCTCTAACTTCCAACATCCCCTTCGCCGATCCATCCTGGCACAAGGATACAGCTCACCCATACTATAAGGATTCCCATCGCAAGCTGCAGCGTTTTATCCGAGAGTACGTCGACAGTGAGGTTACACCCAATGCAGGAGAATGGGAGGTACAGGGACATGTACCCGATGAGGCTTTCCAACGCCACGCGCAGCTGGGCTTCTTGGCAGCTGCAGTGTTCCCACTTCCGAAGGATTGCATTGAAGGGCTGACATTGCCTGCGGGAATTTCGGCGGATGGTATGTGGAAGACGGCCTAGCTCATCAAGCGGCGCTGACAATATCTAAGAGTGGGATGAGTTCCACGATGCCATTGTAAGTTTTCTGAGGAGGCATCGTGTCTCCAAGGTTGCAAAAAAAAGCTAACCTGGAGTGTGATTTGATATAGCTCATTGACGAGATCGCCCGCTGCGGATATTTGGGCGTTGTTTGGGGAATCAATGGTGGAGCTACCACTGGCGGAGCACCGATTGCCTCTTATGGAACACCAGAGCAAAAGAGGAAGTACTTAGCACCGTTGTTGCGAGGACAGCAGAAGCACTGTCTGATGGTGACGGAGCCAGATGGTAAGCCAAACAGGGAATATTCGACTGCATGAGCCGCTTAATGTTGACTGAATATAGCTGGATCGGATGTGGCTGGCCTCACCACCACAGCGGAAAAGTCCCAGGACGGCAAACACTGGGTTATCAACGGAGAGAAGAAATGGATCACGCAGGGCCAGTTGGCTACACACGCGCTCTGTGCAGCTAGAACTGGTCCTCCAGGTGCTAAGGGTATCACGGTTTTCATCCTGGATATGAAGATGCCGGGGATAACAGGGAAGAAGATGTACAACTCTGGTGTCAGCAGCAGTGGTTCAACATTCATTGACCTGCAGGACGTTGTGGTTCCCGTAGAGAATATTCTCGGCAAGGAAAACCAAGGGTTTGAGATCATCATGTCGAGTATGTCCGCCAACTCCTAAAAAGAAAGACTTGAATGGTTACTGATCAAGAAAAACAAATTAGCATTCACCCACGAGCGCTTATGGGTTGGAATCACCGCACTGCGTCTGGGTCGAGTCGCTCTGGAAGACAGCTACCGACATGCGCTACGACGTGAGACATTTGGCAAGAAGTTATTTGAGAATCAGGCTGTCCGGCTTAAGTTTAGCAAGATGGCAGGACTTATTGAACCCGTTCACTGTTTGATGGAGGATATCGTACACCGATCAACACGCACTGCACCTCTCGCTTTCTCGCCATGGACTGCGCTGCTCAAATTCCAGGCTGCACAGAATCTCGAAAGCATTTCTCGAGAGGCGCAACAGGTATTTGGTGGATTGGGATACTCTAGAGGCGGCCTTGGGGGCAGGGTCGAGCAGATTAGTCGAGATGTGCGCGTGTTGGTTGTGTCGGGAGGAAGTGAAGAGATCCTCATGGACATGATCGCGAAACAGCAGAAGAAGCTAGCAAAGCTGTAGAAGATGGATGATATGCTAGCATGTCTTTAAAGATGAATGCTTGAATAGTGTAATATATCCGGCATTCTTATCTCTCATTTAGTTTTCATTTAACTTCATATTATTTCAATTCTTTCCTACAAGATTATAGATTAAGTCCATAGAGTGGATCTTCAGTCTCCCAGTTCCCGAAACCCATCTGCGAGGGTTGCGCGTAGAAACCCGTGAGACTGATATTGTGAATATCATATACCGAATTGAACGGAAACTCGAAGTCAAACGCAAAGTCCCCATCGGTGTTGAAGCCGGCACCGGATGCGTCCGTTGGATCATGACTTGACAGCATTGCGGCTGGGACATTGCGAGACTTTACTGCAAGCTGTTTGACAATATCTGACAGTCCACAAGTGCTCATAATGGCGGCCAATGTGTTCCGACTTCGCTCCGCAACCGGGTACCAGGGGATAATCGCATCTAATGTCTCCATGATTGCGGAAAGCCATTCTCTTTCTGCTTCTTTATCCTCGTCCAGCTCCGCACTCACAATGTCCGATATCAGTGCCACGGCAGCCGAGAGGCAGGTAGGGTTGATAGTGGAGAAGATTTTGGAAGCACCATGGTGTTGCCTATATGCCAGGAGTAATTTTGACACCCTGATCGCATTCGCTGTGCAGATTTGCTGTGAAATCTTGGTTGTCTGCCCTTCTAGGCATCGGCGCTGGGGTGCCAATTTGGGGCCGTGGTTGAATATATAAGTTGCGAATGGGCGGTTGAGGAGGATCGTTGTAGATAGAAATTGGAGGTGAAGAGCGCAGATGCTCGGTGATATGGAAAGATTTGCATCCAATTGCAGTTCTGGGGGAAGATTTAAGAACCAGGCGAGCAACTTTCGGCTAACTTCAGAAAGTCTGCTGACAGAGGAATCTTGATATATTCGCTCAGGGGGACCGTTGATGACGGATAGTACCTCATTTAATAGAGATGCTAGCTCAACCCACGTAGCCACAAGTTGTTTGCTTGTACCCAAAGTCTGCGTAGAGAGTTGGGTCATATTCAGGTCATCCAGACGAATAGCGGTCGGTCGACCCTGGAACGAGCTATACAGTCTTCAAAGCCGTTAGTACCCCAAGATAGACATAGCAGATGAGAAAACTTGCTTGTCAAGAACGTAACATCCGTAAAGTGTCGTCTGTCGCACTCGTTGATCAACCTCAGTGAGCCGACCAGCCGCTACCAAGTTTTTGCAGTCTTCGTGTAAGCCGAAATCGAAGACTAGACGGTACGCTATGCCTAAAAACAGTCAACGAGTCTTGTCCAAATATCAACCATATCAGCATTGGAATGACAAACCCGGATAAAGCCAGCAAGCTCTGTCACTTCCTAGCCCTGCCAAATAGTAACCAAACAGACACAAGCCGGGTATTGTGGAAAGAGTAGGATTTTCCATCTCAAATAGTAGTTCAGCCTTCGCCCGGCGGGTGTATATGGTTGCCAGTGTTTCCCGGTGGACTAGATCATCATCGAAATTCAATGACCTCAGAAGCAGCGAATATAGAAGGAATCGTGAGAAGTAATCTGACCGTTCCCCTAAAGCGTACCCTTGTCGAAAAGTCTCTTCATCGAGAATTGGTATTGCAGCATTTTGGTATTTGAAGAACAACTCGATCAAGTGAGCTTGAGCTTGGGGACTATCGGCCATTGTCTCTCCGTCGATGTCGATAGAATTATCACCCGGCGAAAGTGGGGCCCTTTGACTCTGGAGTGACTTTGCGTTTGCTTGAGGAAGAACAGATACCATTCTCATGTATGAAGAGTAGCCGAAGTACCTTAATTGACCGTTGTCGTCCACTGTGAGGGGAGAGTTGTCCGTTTCTTCTGAAAGATCTTCAAGCGGAGTCCCATGAGTGGATGTGTGGCTAGAACTAGACTGAGACAGTCTTCTGGCATGCCCGGCTGGTCGTAGGCCCATTTCGCTCTCCATGACATGGAGATTGAGCACAACCTCGTTCTCTGCTGATGTGGGAGATCGACACTCATGGAATTCGTCTGCGCCCGAGGGAACCGCATAATTGGAGGGCTCAGTAGACACATTGAGCGAAGAATGTCTGACAAGCTGTAGGCGATCGCGGAGATTCATTATACTAGAATCATGTTTGCCCAGTCCACGAGAATGTCTATAGCGGTTCTTGCTGATACGATCACCGCATGGACTGGTACCATGACTAGCAGAGAAGTTCCGTCTATGATTGGCACTCGACATTCTTGCGATGAGACCTTGTCTTTCGCATAAGTAAAGAAGAATGAAGTTCCGAGCTGTGATATACCGATGTGCATTGCCGGGGGGGGCGGGGGATCATCCTGGGAGTCCCCCGCATTATTTGGCCAATGGGCCCTTGAGAATATCTGCGACTCACTCGGCCTTCTTCCGACATATCTTCACTCCTGCGCACACGTCATGAGCCCTCGAGAATCTACCTCGAAACGGCCCCGGAGGGATAAGTATATCTCTCGTGCATGGTGAGGTCCCGTTTCCCCCTTTGGATTATACAACAGTAACCAACAGATCTCTCCAGCCAAGCGTGTCAGCGCCGGAAAAGCAAGGTAATGTCGAAGTCAACGAATCAATCGAGCTCTTCTGATTCAATTATAGTGTTCTGGTCATGATCCTTGTCTCAGCTGTCAAGCTCGAGATCTCACTTGCATTTACAACACCGAGAAACGGCGTCCAAGAAAGCCCACTTCGAGAGGAGAGCGGGCTCCGAGAAAAATAACGACAGATGGAAGAGAAGACCCCCCTAGCCCTGAAACTGGCTACTTAGCACCGTAATCACCACCCCCCTCAAGCAGTGGGAAAGGAGATGTCTAATGCTCAATTAGGTCGGCGAGGCTGGAAACTGGTAATTTACGAGAAAAAGAACCACTATGTCAACCGCCGGTACATGAAAATCAATCTCCCGGACCATTGGCTAGGTCCAGTTTGTATAGCTGTGTTGGAGGGGATCCCAATCCCGTCTCTTTACGATCTCAAGTTTCAAAAGTGCGAACTTTGTTCAACTCAAAGGATGGCTCGGCATTAGAGAAAGGCAAAGAGTTGTACGGTTGCAGGGCAGCCTATGACATTGAACTGCCTGCTTTCTCCAAAATTCAAGAATCACTCCACATATACTTCGAGAACGTGGGTAGGCACTATCCTGCAATCCAACGTGAGAACACCAGGTCTCGCGTACATGAGACTATTGAAGGTTTGACTTATGCCTCATGCGGAGGAATATATATTGACTATGTTGCCGCACCAACCGTTGCGTTGCTGTGCATCATCATCGCTATCGCTGAGATGATTGAGAACAATACCTTGTCCTTTGACACCCGAGCTACGCATTTTGCAAAACATGCTCGCAGCTTGCTACAGACCTTTGAAGATCGGCCTGCAAACCTGGAAGTCCTTCGGTGTCATACCCTGATTACCATATATCTTCTGCACATGGAGTGTCTGGATCTTGCCCTGCAGTCTATTGCTGTCACAGTTCGACTAGCAATGGCTCTTCAACTTCATCGGCGATCGTCGTCTCCTAAAGAAGGAGGCGACTCTTACGATCAATATCTGTGGTGGACAATCTACGTTCTGGATCGTGACCTTGCGTGCCTTGGTGGGATACCTTATCTCATCAGAGACGAGGAAATCGACGCACCGAGACCAGCCCGGGATGGTCAATTTAAACGGTTCTCTAGTGTGACATACATAAATTGCTCAAACGAAGTTATTGAGCGAAGTGGATGGATGGAAGAAAGCGTTCACCAGGAAGACATGTACCTGGAAACTTTAGCGCATCTAGGGCGTCTTTGGGCTCGTATCTGGGACGACCTAGCTACTGATAGCTCTGAACTCGATTGCCAGTGGCAAGCGATGGAAACGCTGGATGCCCAGTTTCGAATTCTTCGGCAGCAGCTCCCGGCTGAACTCGTCTGGATGAGCCCATCAGGCCTCAGTATAAATGTAGAGAGAGCTCATGAGATTGCAATGGAGAGACAGCTTATCATTTTGATGGTAAGATATTCATTTTGACTGGATCTGTATACCAATCATGTCCGCAAGATACTAACCTTCGAAATGAAATCTAGCGTATCAATACCCTCCGCCTATTTATGAGACGAAATCCAGCTTCGAAATGCACTTGTCTAGACAGAAAGTCTCCATATGATGACGGCACAGCCATCTCAGCGCAAACCATCAAAGCCATAGTGGATTTCAGCACACATAACCAAGGCCTATCTCCGATCGGACACTTCATCAGTACCACCCTCGTCCAATGCATCCTATACTTGATAAAAACCATCGGCGAGTCGAGCAACACAAGTGAAACAGAATCAGCCTCCACTTCTGTGGTGTCGGCTTATCAGGCTTTGGTCGATTTATCTAAAGGTTGTGTATCTGCAAGAAGTGCAGTTAAGACACTTGATGAGGCACTCTTCCGCCACGACGGCCCGGCTCGGCCTCAAAACGCGACGATACCACAGCCATATGTTGAGAATAGTCGCCATCCGGGTGAAGCGGAAGGCGCCCTTGCAAAACGACCGCATCGGAGAAGAAAGAAAAGTGAGACTCCGGCTTCTCCCGAAGAAAGCCACCGCGGAAACGACCTCTTCGAGTGTCTACAGAAGAGTTACGAGAGCCTGGACAGCTTGCTGCCGAGCACAATGCCTACTATATAAATTGTAGATATATGGCTGCGGGGAAGAGCTTGCGTGAATCGGACGATGTATCATAAGAATTCAGGTCCATTACCATTTTTAATGTAGTATAAAACAAAATTTTCTGTCGTATGACCTATTGACCCTATAGCTTTGCCTGGAGGGGAGTGGACCCGGTATCGTCTAAGTCTTTGAGAAGGCGTCTCAGCAACTTTCCAGTTGGGCTCTTGGGCAACAAATCGACGAAAACCACACCTCCTTTCAACTGTTTATAACCAGCTACCTGGCTCGCCACAAAATTAGCCACAGATTGCGCAGCAACGTCCGTATCTCGCCCAATCTTTGGAAGCGGCTTCTCGGTTACTATATATGCACGTAGGAGATCGGTTGCGTTACTCTCACTCCAAACACCGCGGACCGCCGCCTCCTTGACAAGTGGGTGGCGAACGAGTATCTCCTCTAGCTCTAAAGGCGAGACTTGGAATCTATTGTCAAACAGTCAATTTCGGTTTTCACATAGACATGACAAGGGAATATTGGTTGGAGTACCCATTCGACTTAACGATGTCTTTTATACGGCCATTGACAAAGAGAAAGCCCTGCGCATCCAGATATCCTATGTCCCCTGTTTTATACCAGCCACCATCCAGCATATGGTCTCTTGTAGCTTTGAGATCTCCCAAATAGCCCCTGGTGAATAGTTGTCAGACTCAATCCCAAGGAAAAGTTCAAGAGTTCTCACATCATGATATGCGGTCCACGCAAGATGATCTCACCAGGTGCACCCCCGCTCACATCATTGCCGGTGGAATCGATGAACCTCATCTCGGCGTTAGCAATGAGCTTTCCCGTTGCATTCAACGGCATGTCCTTATCACGAGTACCGGATTGCACGCATGCACCCGAGGCTTCGGTACACCCGTATGCTAGAGCCCGATTAGCGTTTACTGCCAGGTAAGGTGTATTTCGAATGCCTCTGTGGAAGAACGTACTCTGACAAAGCTTCACTCCGGGGAATACTGTTCTCAAGTCGGCAGCAGTTTTCTCCTACAGAGCCGTCAGTCACTCGAGATCAACGTAAGGTATGACAGCAGAAGCCCTACACTCAAGGGAGCAGCCGAGCATGTAAAATATTCCAACGCCGGATATGTGTATCGACGAGTCACCGGGCTCTCGGCAAGCATCTTCGCGACAGGAGGAACCAATCTGGCCAATGTTGCTTTTCTCTCGGACAGAAGGCGACAATATGTTTCCAGCTCAAACCGGGGCATTAGACAGACGTAATAGCCCAGCCAGGGAGCCCCGGTAATGGCGACATATAGTGCATAGACATGGGATAAGGGTGGGAAGAAAATCTCTCGCATGTCACTCCTCCAATTATCAGGATTGTTCGCGCGCAATTGGTAGTTTACGGCAATGAGGTTGTAGTGGGACAGAACAACCGCCTTGGGATGACCAGTGGTACCGCTGGACAGAATGATTGCAGCAGGGACTTGTCTGTTGTCGCCCCTTGCGAACGAGTGAGCCTCAATCTCCTGCAAGCTCCCACCCACATCCCTTCTTGGCCAACAGGGCCACTTTGAATGGGATTCTGCGAGTGAAATGATACTAATGGGGCTTGCTGGATCGCTCAGACTGAGGCTCTTATCAAGCTTGGCGGAAGCGGAGCTGCCAACAACAATATAGTTTGGCTTGACAAGCTGGATACCGTACGCAATCTCGGTGGGTGACAGAGAATCGTTAATCAAAGATACAACACCGCCAGCCCACCACACAGAGTGTACGGCGATAATATAATCGATGCAGCTAGACGATATCACACTTACGACCTCCCCAGGCTTCAGGGTGAATTCTTTTCGTAGCCAGGCGGCCCCATCCTTGACCAATGCATGAAATTCACCGTATGAAATTGTCTTACCGCTTATTGCTTCCTCGAATATAATTTTGCTCGGAGGTATGGCGGCTGAGTTGTCCAGCAGCGTCGCTTCCGTTACGCTAAGGTGAGTTGGGATTCGTACCCGGGTCTTGGAACGGAAGATGCGAGACATGGTGTTGGAATCCTCTGAATCGTTTGGCCAAATCAATATGATTCTAAACTTCTAAAAGTACAAATCATGAATCATAAGTCATAGACGACATTGGGCGTGTCGGATGAGCCCCGGAATAGCCAACACTTGCGATATTCCCATTTCCGAGTCTAAACAAAACGTTCCGTAACCGAAAGTCCAAATAAATCTCATTGCGCACAGCCGATTGACAAATTCCCTGACCATATCAATTTCCGAGATTCTTCCAATTCCGCGGAATGCGCCTGAGCACGGTAATCCCGAGAATCAGTATCTTTTAGTAGTCCTGCTTTTTGATTCGGAAAATGAAAAAAGAAAGCTCATTCTACATAGCATTAGATTATATTACACGCTTCAACGAGCAGTCCTGATGTTTATTGGTCATCATATCGCTATTTTATCTGGCAATACGATACGAGCAGATACATAACTACAATGCTCCAAATTTAGAATTCGCTTTGCTACCTACCGTATAGGGAAGCATGCAATTTGCAACAGGTCAAAATATCTCCAGGTAGCATGTGTATATTCCCTGACTTGTTCAAAATAATCTATGGAGTTCCGGGGACGTATAATATTGACATAATTGATCAATCCAATCACGCTCGCTCAGCCACATTTTCTACTTCCTGAACCCCAGCAGTCTCCTTCCGAGACTCAATTTCCATATCCTCCATGGTAATCCCTTTGTTATCCAACTCTTTTTGATACACCGCCACTTGATTTTCATCCCCGAACAAGGCTGCAATCTCCTCCAGCGGCTTATGTCTAGTGTCATGATAGGTGAAGATGATTATGACAGCCGCGATAGCAGGGACAACCACAAAAATCGTGTAGAACTTCCAACCAATGGCTTCAAAGGCATACGGGGCTGTCTCTAACCATATCAGGTTGGTCAAAGCGAATGTGCACATGGCGATAGCCAGGCCCTGGGAGCGGGCGTAGCTCGGCCATATCTCGGTAATGTAGAAGTAAGTCGGCCCATCCAAGAATGCACAAAAAGTGGCTTGGAATAGCATAATAATAGTAGCGCTGGCGATCAGCCCACCGCGATTTGTGCTTCCTAAGTAAAAGCTCTGTAAAGCGGCTTCAATGGCCATGAGGACTGCGCAGGTTCCAAGCCCAAAGGAAATGAACCAATGTCGGGGCACACGATCAACCCATAGCATCGAAAGAGCGTTGGTGACAAACCCAATGGATTGGAATCCGACTTGGAAGCCCAGGATTTGGACCGTATTAAAGCCAAGGCTTGCCCATACCACGGATCCATAGTCTGCATGAAAGAGATTTCGCATTAGCTGCCCGTAGCATTTGGCCGCTACTAGCCCAATTCCCTTCCATGTTTGACTCACTCAAAATGACTAAAACTCCACAACTGTAGATACTAAATTCCAAAAATATCGTCATGATAGCTCGCTTGCATAGAGACGAGTTGGTAAAGATACCCCAGTAGGAGGTCCGGAAGCGAACATCAAGCTCGATCTGCTTCCTCATCTGATAGAATTCCCTGGCGGCAAATTCATGACTTTCAGGATCATTTTTGTCAGCGTGGAGTTGCGTGACAATCTTCCACGCTTCGTCTGATCGATCACAGGAAAGCAAATAGCGGGGGGACTCGGGCATCCAGTAGATCCCACTGAGAATGATTGTGGGAAGTACCATCTGTATTCCCACAATCCCTCTCCATTGATTCTCTCCAGGGACAAAATAAAATCCCAGCCCCACAAAACTTGCAATGCAATATCCGAATAGCATCAGAAGAGCATGCGCATCTGAGACCGCTCCACGGATTCCGGGAGGTGCAAGCTCAGCAATCCAAACCGGAACGCTGTTTTGTATCAGGAAAGATCTAGATTCAAATAATTAGCCTTGAAGGATAAGACATGCGGCGAATGGGCTCATACCCCAATCCATTGAAGAAGCGGAAGACGATGAACATAGCTGGATTCACTGAACCCGTAAGCAAAGCACCAGAAACAAGAATAATTGCGTTTCCGGTTGCTGCAGTAAGCTTTCGGCCAAATCGATCGCTCATCCATCCCGCCAAGAAGGCTCCAAAGACGGCACCTGCTTGGTATATGCCTGCAAGATCATGTTAACTACTGATAACTAATCTTCTCCAGTCTTGTCACATTGGAGATTCACACACCATTTATTGTTCCTGTGATAGCACTAGCATTCGGGTTGTTTATGAGCCCCATTTCTTCTTGAAAGGATGGTTGGGTCAGAGTTGTGGCGATATTCGCAGCTGTGTAACCATATGCCGCCGAGCTGAGGGTAATGAAGGCAATGACAACAATACTGTATGCATTAACATGATTTTCGCTTCGAGTGACATTGAGGAAATGGTCATCGGCCATTGCAATGTTCATACGCAAGGTGAGCAATTATAGGTTACTTGCAATATCTGAAAAGCAGCTTATTCAACTGCGAACATACATCCTTTTTAAAGTGAGCTCGGGAATACCAATCCATGGATCTGTGAACTTAGTTCGAGTCGAAATCTTATTTCCCCGCATCCCCACGTTTTCTCTGATATCCATGGATTGGTCAGATTTTCATAATTCCGACATATAGTCAATTCCGACCATGACGACTAGGTATGCAGTTATGTTCGGCTTACTGTATCTGATCAGGTTGTCGAAAAATAATGGCAACATGATACATTCTGAAGCTGATCCCTATTCTGCTAAATGCTAGCTTCTGATCACCATCCGATATCAAAGTCCTCACTTTGTATCCATGGTATGAAGAGCCGGTGTCAATTTCACATCCAAATTACCTTTCTCCCAGACCACAAATGAGGACTGCTTGATCCATTGCTTGGAATCCGGAGAGATTTCCATATCGAAATTCCAAATCATCCGGGCCAGGATCAGTCGCATCTCCGCGTATGCAAGACTGGCTGAGATCAGTAACTAGACAACTCGGACTGCAGAGGAGTAGACTTACTTGCGGCCGATGCAATTTCGTGGGCCTACGCTGAATGCTTGCACTGCATTTCTATTGTCCGATTCAAACTCGGAGGCGCCCATGAACCTCTCTGGAATAAAAGCGTTCGGGTTCTTGAAATTTGCGGCGGAACGGTGAGCTGCTAATATTGGTACTCCGACAGCCGTCTAATATGCATCAGCCTTTGAACATGATTGCTTTATGTCAACGTCAGCTTACCCCTCCAGGGACCCATCTCCCACAGATAAAATCCCCTTTGCCCTCAACCATTCGTGGAAACCCATATGGGACAGGAGGGTACATCCGAAGAGCTTCGTTCAGAACAGCCAGGGTGTATTCTAGCTGATTAACAGCAGCCCAAGTGATCTGATCTTCGGAGGTGAATGCACTACGGATTTCTGTTTTGAGTTTGTCGAGAACCCCAGGAACAGTAAGTACATAATAGGTCACACCGGATAGTAAGGTAGCGATAGTCTCTGAACCTGCAATGATGAGCACATAGGAGTTACTAATTAGCTCGTCTTCAGTCATTCCCTTCTCAAGAGGTTGCTTCAGCACATTGCTGAGGAAGTCCGGGCGCCCGTTGTCCCCATTTTCCATGCGTGCCTGCACTTTCTCCTTTGTCATCTGATTCTGATGTTTCTTTTGCTCTCGGATCTCTTTGGGAACAATCAATTTCATGAGTAAGTTCCCAGCTGGAACACGTCGCAGAACATTTGCCCATGCAGCCGTGCGGAAGTGGCTGAAGATAACAGAAACCCAGAAATGATACTGCGAGTTTTGCAGACACCCAAACGATTCACCAAACGCGAAATCACCGATAATATCGAATGTAGCATAATTATACCAGCATGTCATGTCGACAGTAGCACTGCCAGACTCGGCGAGCCCATGCAGCCGTTGCATCAACAGATCAACATAGCCCTTGACAATAACTTCCTGGCGCTGAAGACTGCCTTCTGAGAACCCGTGGGATAGGGAGCGTCGATATCGGGCGTGAGTCTGATCGTCAGCTCGAAGGATGCTAGGAACGTGATTTGGCCCGACAGATAAATGGCGTTGATCCTTCGGGCGCTGGGGCTTGCCAGGGCGAATGGCGAATATCTCTTTCCAGGCTTCGGGGTTTGTGAAAGTCACTTCGTTTGGAGCGATGCGGACCACGTCGCCATACTTTTCGTGTAATCTGTGTGCGTCCATCGGCAGGTTGCCGCTCAACACAGATCGGAAAAAGGGAAGCGATGTGGCTGCATTGGATTTGGGGCCTGGAAATGATGCTAGAGGATGGAAGTAAAGATTATAAATGATCCATCCGATGGAATAAAAAACGCCCTAGAGACATAAGCTTTGGAACCTTCGTGCTTCGTGATAACTAACAAGTAGCATCGAAAGTATGAACCAACTAATCACTGGGGTGACATTTGCAAATGATGAAGGTGTCGATGAGACAAGCCTGAGTAATGATATCATTTTGATTGTTGTATTCTCCCAAAGTTGTCAACAGAGTGATAAGCAAATGCCAGAGTGCGAATAAATACAACCCAACCCTGCACCTAGGTAGAGCCTTTGGGCTTACATCATGGGATATACTCCGCAATAACGACAGGGATACTGACCTATTGGAGCCCATTCGGAAATCAAGTCGGAATACTTTCCCGGAAATTCATTCGGAATTAGAGACATTATTGAAAATTGGCTGTGGTTCCTAATGGGTACACCACGGCGGCTCGCCAACAGGATAACCATTTACTTGTTATGAATCTAAAAAAACGCCTCTTTGTGTATTTCCCGAGTGACAGAAGCCAATTGTCAGGCTATCTTAATCTATTGCTGTACGAAATCTGGGCTCACACTATATCAAAGTGGCATAACAGGGTAGATTCGCAGTATACATCGAAGCAATTTGGACTCGAACACGCTGGATTGAGCTGAATGGCCACTGGCCCACACGGAGAAAATCCAGGGCAACAACAAAAGGACGATTCTCCGAGTGGATTTTATCATGTGAAGTTGCGGGGCGTTGGGCTATGGGACAGTATTACTGCTGTGAGCATGAGGGTTATGGTCAGTCTTCTGCTTGACGAGTTAGTAAATTGCAGTTAAGTCTCGTGTGAGATGGTATGCCACAGTCTTATTTCGACTTTGGATACAAAGATGAGCAGGGTATGGGGTATCTTCATCACCCTTCCTTCTTTTCCTTTGCTGCTATCTCCGCGTCTTCGTTGTATTTGATATCTATCATAATTACTGGAATTACTTGTGATATTCAATATCCACAGCAGGACAAAATGCCCCAATGCAGAAGGTTATCGATGATCACTTTTCAACGGAGGTGGACGTAATAGGCGATATGCTGCTTATCCTTGGCCTAGTCGGGTCTCGATGTTTGCTCCTCGCCTAAACCTGACAATGATCAGGATCCATGATATTCGTTGATCGATTTAAAATCAATACACTGTTTAACATATTCTACGAGATTAGGGAATCGCACTTCATTTGCAGTAATTACCATGCTTTGGGATGGTTTCAACGCCAAACCCCTTGTCTCAAAGGCCAAGGCATCAATATATACTAAGTCATCCTACGGTATTGGGATTAGTGGCTTTGATATATCTCAATAGCTTGAGTGCTTATTCCTATATGTAATCTCTATTCAAGGTGTATTAAAAGGGGGGGTTTCAATCTAGACTACGGAGTACTCCGGCGGAATCCGTTATTCAATTCATTTCTCTAGGATATAATATATATTTTCCAAATCTATAGTGCTTTTAATCTGTGCTGGGATGAAAAACCTATAGAGATAAGGAGGTCACGCATCTTGCAAGTAAGTTTTTCGTCCCATACATGATTTCTAAGATTTCTATAATGTATGCTTGAATAGGTAATCGTCGTCTCTTTACTCCGTACAGGACTCTACAATATATCCCAATCTAAAAGCCTAAGACCCATGATTATATATCTCTGCCAGTAAGATATACAATTCAAGGGGCCGCGGTCTGGAATCAACACTTCAGCTGTGCATGAAAGGGGGTGAATCATAGCGGCGTGTTCTGCTCTCAAACACGATTCATGTTTTCTTTATTGAACTAGTCTTTCGTGATTCTCCACAATCTGAAGTCTCATCGACTTCATGAAAGGGACCCCCAACCTTCGGATCTTGACTGGACGTGATGGCAAGCCAGACTTGATAATCCGACAGGAGTAATAACGTACCGATAAACCCTAGTTTCAATCAAACATAATTCAACTCCCCAGAGGAAATGCCATGGGCATGATAATTTTGGCAAAGCAAAACACTAATTGTTCATGGTGTAGAAATGAACTCGATTTCGCCGCGACTCATTTTACTACTACAAAACAACCACGCCAGGATTCCCCACCAGTCATACAAGCTGGCTACTCAATATTCAGTTTACTGGTCTTTCCTCCAATCTATAACCTTGCTGACAACTCATTCGCATGAATAATTTCAAGGATACCGCCTACGGAGCCCCGGAAATAGCTGGGCTACCGCTATGAGCTTCCGGCTCCTATAGCAAATGTTTAGTATCTATCCGGCAGCCACACATCCCGTAATCCTCTCTTATCGCCGTATTTCCCGGATCTCAACGTGACGATCGATGAAATAAGACATCGCGCATCTTCGCGACCGATTTGGAGAGCGAGTACTACGTGCAGAGTGTTGCGATTAATGACTAGCAATGGGTAAAAATTGCTTTGAGTACAAAAATGTTATGACGGATGATAGCACGATTGAATCTGAGCTCGGTGAGACGTGGGAGACTAGGGTTCCGCCTTCTCCCGGACACGTGCGATTGAACAAGGACTAGGCCCTCGGGCGTGTTATAACAGGCGGGATGTTGCTTTATGCTTGAACCTGTTTCAGCTGAGCTACAAAGATATTATCCGTGACAGATTCCAGCATTCAAATAGACTGCAATGGTAAGCCATTTAATCTCTCGAGGTATTTCTAGGCATTTCTCCACCACATAACCCAGATGATAGCCCATTGCATTCGCTCCCCGCCTGTCAGGTTAACAAGACTTTTCATGGTGTGACATGCATGACAAGTGCATGTAGATTTCCTGCGAGGCTAGGTATTCCGCGTAAGTCGGCACTATATCCGGAGTCCTCAATTGACAGGATCTAACTTGGAATTACGAGGACAATGAAAGTAAGCAGCCAATAATACCACTCGACAAGGGTTACTTGAACAAAATTCCAAGTTTGTGCTGTGTGAAAGGGGAGATCGCTGCTCTTTCAGACCGCCAAGACTGGCGTCCCCTTGACGTCAGAAGCGGGATAAGAGGAGGTTGGGACAATCAAGAGGGGAATTGAGATGTTCGGCTCCGATTGTAATAAGACATGAGGCTCTGGCCCTGACTCTTGGTTTTCTTCTCTCTTTCTCATCTTCTTTGTGGGTGATTTCATCTCAATCATCTATACCCACGCTTTTTTTGGGTGCTAGGGTCAAGATCACATCGAGACCCACTGTTCTGCATTCTGCATACCATTGCCAGCCACCAGGGACTGAAAATTCCAATTACCCGATATCAGACCAAAAGCGTTGCTTAATAGATAGTTTGCACGCTGAAACTATGGTAAGTGCATCTCTCTGGACGTTGCTGAAGCCCCTCTTCCATGGCTCACCCAAGCAATACCCGGGCGGGCCGAACGGGGAACCACCGATCACAGATCGCATACTCTAGAACTTATAGGCTGATAATTTCGTCTTCGCTAGGCTCCAATGAATTCCATGCTCGAGCCCCGGCAGTCAAGCGGCGGCGATAACTGCCCAAGCACAATCTCCAGTGGAGGAATTGCGGGTATCGTGATCGGCTCGATTGCAGGGACCCTCCTTATCCTCTGGCTGTGGCGAATATTCCGACTTCCCGGCGCATGGAGCGGTGGCGATGAAGCTGACGTTGGATACCGACCTCCAATTACTCGCAGTAGCACGAGTAGCCGCGGACGGAAAAAGCGCCGTCGCCCCTCTGGTGGGGCGTACGGCGACTATGTCGAGCCGACTACTGTACGCAGTGTACGCCGGTACAGTAACCGCGATGATGTGCGCCGGCCAGCTAAGGTTTACATGACGGAAGTGTGAATGGCCGGTGGGGATGATAACTAAGATATGTGGGATAACTGGAGTTGGTGAGTTGTTATTTTGACTGGTCCTGAGCAAATCAATTGGCAACTGGACGTGTTTGGCGGAGCCAAGTAATTATGAGACATGACATTTGACAATGAGCTTTAACGACTTCATGAGAAATCAAATTTGACCTGGTCTGTGCATTTTATGATTCCTTCGTTTTTGAATTTGAAATCTGGACGCCAACCCCCTGAGTTTGGATCTTAGTGTACGGAGTACAGATTAGTGTCAAGAACAATATGCTAGGTACAACACTTTCGATGCACACTGCACATGTGGCTGGATCATCCCGCCTATTTACTGACGGGTACCTGAGCGATGAGAGACTGCCTTGATCTGGTCGAGCGGGACTTGGCTGTGTCACCGCCGAGCAGTGGCGTTGGATCGATCAAAATTCTGGAAGACTCCCTCCCCTGATAGAACTTCGAGCCGAGTCCACCAACAATCATCACATATAACATAATAAACGCCGCACCCGTAACTCTGCGGTTTGATCGAATAAGACGGAAGCGCGTGGTTCATGGAAGTTAGTATTGCTTGATAGGAAAGTGTATGACTAAGGGGGTAAGTGCAGGTAAGACAGGGGAAAAGGCCCACCGGACAAAAGAAAAAAAAAGAAAAAAACAATAAAGAAATAGAACGAAGGAAAAGCCGGTTGATAAAACTCCACCCATTGACCGGGGGGACGGACTTGGCTTCTTGTTGGCTTGGTGATTGGACCTCCTGAGCGGAGCATTCCTCTCAAATCTAGTTTGTTAGGTTTGAGAAACTGGAGGAACTCTGAAAGTATGTTGTTACCCAATGTTATGATTTTCAAAATGATGCGTTCAAGGGGTGTATGATGATCTGTACGGAGTACGGAGTACGAAATACGAAGCCCTATCTAGGAGCAATTACCCCCGTGGCGATTGTTATCAATCGAGTTTTTGATCTTCATTGCAGATATGAGAGTCCCTCGAATGGCCTGGGCCTGCACTGGACAAGGTCTTATGCATTTGAGTCAAGGGATTTTGCAGATGAAACAAAGAGAACCTCACATAGGAAATCTCACATAGACCAGTGATAGAGTCCGCCGTATAGATATGCCTGTGTTCGATCCTTATCAGGGTTCTTTGCGATCAGCCAATCGGTGGGTCACCAAGAGCCAATCACAATCGTCTGCCCAGACATAATTTCAGTGAACAAGACTGGGCAAACCCAACGGGGTTTAGCATCATGCACAGGGCCCTTGGGGAGACCTCAATGTGGTTAGCATGATGCACCAAGATGGAACCCCCTAACCTAGACAGGCTAGCTAATCAACTCGACCATCTCTGCAGCTTTCCCCTTACGCCCCTACAACGGTGGCACACAAAAATAAAATGCCCCAAAACACTAGCCTATAATGTCCTCCACTCTGCACCTAAATTAGTGGCTGTTTTCCCCTTCTCTTGATGTTCCCTTTCCCAAACTCTTAGGATCTTGCTGCTGGCAGACTTGCCTTCCATTCATTACCGTGCACTCGCACATCCATTCTTTATCGAATCTCGAGTAGTCTCGAGTCCATTCCTTTTTTCCCCCGGATCCAACAGCATCCCGAGCAATCATTTATATACATCAACCCGCCATGTTTTTCTCTCGCATCGCCATACTGGCGGCTTTGGCTAGCTATGCCACCGCTCAAACCTCAACCGACTGCGACCCAACGAAGAAAGATTGTCCTGCGGATCCCGCCCTGGGCACTGAGCACACATGGAACTTCAACACCACCTTGGACGAGAAGATCTGGAAAATGACCACCGGAACCTACGATCACGATGAAGAAGGGGCCAAGTTCACTCTCTCGAAGGAAGGAGAGTCAACCCTCCTACAGTCCAACTTCTATATCTTCTTCGGTGTCGTCGAAGCCCACGTCAAGATGGCTAAGGGCGCCGGTTTGATCAGTAGTGTGGTTTTGGAGTCTGACGATCTGGATGAGATTGATTGGGAGTGGGTGGGATACAACACTAGCCAAGTGCAGTCCAACTTCTTTGGCAAGGGTAACGATACCTCCTTCGATCGCGGCGGATACCACGACGTGGAGAACGCCGATACCATGTTCCACAACTACACCACATACTGGGACCAGGATAAACTTCAATGGTGGATTGACGGCGAGATGGTTCGCGAACTCCCATACGACGACCCGAAAGCCCTGTTCGGCAAGAATTACCCGCAGACCCCTTGTCGAGTCCAATTCAGTCTCTGGCCCGCTGGTCAGCGCGGCGCGAGACAGGGTACTATTGAGTGGGCTGGTGGCCTTGTCGACTGGGACAATGCCCCTTTCAGTATGACCCTAGGCAAGCTGCGTGTTAAGGATTTCCACTCTGGCAAGGAGTACACCTATGGGGATCGCACAGGTTCCTGGCAGAGCATCAAAGTGGCGGAGTAAGTGTCCCTAGAATAAACCGATCTGGAAAATTACTAACACGACGTAACAGCGGAAACTCGACTGCACTGGATGAACTGAACAAACCGGAGCCTCTGAGTTTGTCAGAGAAATGGGATAATCTCGGCGAGGGAGCCCACATCGGAGTCTACATTGGCGCCGCCGCTGCCGCTGTGATTTGCATCGCCGGCTTTATATTGTTCTGTCTGCGCCAGCGTCGCAAGGGCCGTCTCGAGAACGCATTGGGCAACAACCCAGTTCCTCTCAACCGTGACGAGATGCAGAACTTCCAGAAAGACTGGAGGCAGAGCGAGTGGAAGCAGCACGGTGGTTACCAGCAGGTCAACAATTAGCCGGCTTGTGAAATACAGACGCCAGTAAACCCACGAACTTGCTTTTGGTCCTCTTTAATGAACAATCTGTGATTTTTTTTTTCCTTTCACTTCGCGCCGTGCCCGGTCTTACAGACTGCCGCCATGACGACATCAATATTGGGCGTCTTGTGAAGGCCGACGGAGTCGGAATAATGTCCCCTTTCCTTTCATCCTGGCTTTCCGGCTTACTGTATTCATTTTGTACTGTCACCCATCTCGCGTATACGCAGAGCCACTCGCTCTGGTCCCCCTTTTTGTTGATATCCCCCTTTCGATCCTCGGATCACCGTTCCGTTCGTTGGCGTTTTTTTCGGCCGCCTTTTACTCTTCAATCTGGCTTCTCATACACGTGTAAATATTTTGCCATATTCAACGTTCTTCTTCTCACTGCTTGACCATGGTGGGGAATTGGTGTATCTTCCATGCCGGCGACCGATAAACCCCCCCCAATATTTGGCGTTACGAGGGTCTGTAATACTTAGAACACTTGTGACTTTGTTGAAGCCACTTGACGACAGCTCAATTCACAGGTTCAACCCGTGTTGCTGTCTCACACTCACAGGCTGAGGGACTTTCTCATGCTGATCTCCCCAACCTGTATACCTGCATATTGTCTCAAGGGTGTAAGGCCATTTGCGAACACATATCCGAAGTCAAAATGTGGAGCAGTTGAAATCGGCACAACTATACCAGATAGGGTGCCCGGAAAGGATATTCCCGCGCGTGGATTATAGTGGATCTGTGTACGGAGTACGGAGACGGAAACGGAGGAGGCTTCTAGAATTTCGGGATTGGCGTCAAACCCGACGTTCCAAAAGTTGTGGCTGAAGATCTCGGTATGACCGATACACATCATTGGACTTCAGTGCCTGGTTCCACTCGCACTTCAATATGAAACGAAATAAATGAAGGTTGTGCAAGGTATCCAGTTGTGAGGCTGTGATTATCTATCCAAGAAAAAAGGGACCGAGGCTCAATGAGGTCACAGCTTTTTTTTTTATAAACCTCTGGACCCCTCCCTCATCCTCTTCCACCAAGCTTGTCTTTCCACGTCATTTGGATTGTACCTTGCTGACTGCATTTAATGAACTGAGGAATAATTATTCCTCTAGTATCTTATATTCTTAACTTCAACCATCCAAAGGCGGAGTACGCCATGACATCGAATCAGGTCCCAATTCCGGGCCCCAAGGGCGTCCCGTTCTTGGGAAATATCTACGACATCGAGCCCGAGGTACCTGTCAATAGTTTTGAATTGATGGCCGATAACTATGGTATGTATTGAGGCCCTACACGAACATGGGTTTGAATTGCGAATTGATGGACTAACATCTTAATTACCTTCCAGGCCCAATCTACAGATTGACCACATTTGGCAGAGCACGAGTATTCGTCAGCTCCCACGAGCTAGTAGACGAAGTATGCGACGAGGAACGCTTCGCCAAAATGGTTTCCGCTGGTCTGAACGAGATCCGCAATGGTGTTCATGACGGTCTCTTCACCGCCAACTATCCCGGAGAAGAGAACTGGGCTATTGCTCATCGCATTCTCGTTCCTGCGTTTGGTCCTCTGATGATTCGTGGCATGTTTGACGGTGGGTGTCTCTCTGTCGAATTTGGAGACCTATACGTCAGATAAATGAGGAACGAGCTTGACTGATTTTTGAATACAGAGATGTATGATATTGCTACCCAACTGGTTATGAAATGGGCCCGAATTGGCCCTACAGTTCCTATCCAGGTTACAGATGACTTCACACGGCTGACGCTGGATACCATTGCTCTTTGCGCTATGGGCACTCGCTTCAACTCGTTCTATCATGATGAGATGCACCCATTCGTCGAGGCAATGGTTGGCTTGTTGGCCGGGTCTGGAAATCGATCTCTCCGGCCTGCGTTGTTTAACAGCTTGCCCACTTCGGAAAATAACAAGTACTGGAGTGATATCGAGTATTTGCGGAACCTAGCCCGGGAATTAGTTGACTCACGGAAGGAGAATCCCGTTGAGAAAAAGGATCTTCTCAATGCTCTCATCCTGGGTCGGGATCCGCAGACTGGTCGGGGGATGACAGACGACTCTATTATAGACAACATGATAACGTTCCTCATCGCTGGTAAGTGAAAAAGTCCTACAACGACTATATGATTTCGGACCTGATTTGGAACTTTCCAGGC